AGACCCTTTGTGACCTTGTACGCTCCGTTGTACTGGGCAACCTCCTCGCCCAGGATGAAGACCTTGGGGTTGGCCTCGAGCTCCTCGGCCAGCGCCTCGTTGAGAGCGTCTCGCACCGTGTACTCCTTGACGCCCGAGCCCTCGGCGTACGACCTGCTCTGCGACGAGCCGCCAAAGTAGACGGGGCGGGCAATGGCCTGTGACAGGGACGGCGCGGCGTGCGCCTTGATGGAAGCGGCAGCTCGTGTCGAGGCAGCCAGACGGGCTGCGGGTCGGAGGAAGCGGGACATGGCGGGCGGAGGGACGAAAGAATTGGCCGGAGGAAACACACGAGATCTGTTCGACAGAGGGGAAATCGAGGCCGCTCACAGCTGTGCCGTCTGCTGTGTCTGGAACGCTGGGAGGCGAGAGGCGGGAGTTGAGGGTTGGTGTGTATTTTTTTTGCGGTTGAGCTGGAGGTTTGCTCTGGCCTTCCCCAAAAAAAGACCAAGAGGGAATTTCCGGCTCCGAGCCAAGCACAACTTTTTTTTCTGGGCGGGCTTTCCGTCAATTTCCTTTGGGGGGGTTTCTGCAGAGCTACAGCGCTGTTGCCACTAACGGCCAGGGCCTCACAGCGGGACGTGGGCGCTGAACCCGCCTGTATGTGAACTTGAAGTTGTTGGGGAGGGGCAACTGCGGCCTGGCTTGCTGACTAAGAGGGGCATCCCGATGCTCTCCGCTGCCGGAGGTGGTTTTCGGCCGCGATAAAGCGAGATGCCGTCGAATCAGAAGGGCGAATTGGTGGTTACTTCAGCAGAGTCGAAGATTGCATAGCCATTGGATTCTCCAACTTAAACGACATATCAATTGAGTTTCTCTTGATTTTAGATAGACTCCCACTGCTTCGTTGATGGTTGTGTTCCAGTGCAACATGATCTTCTGCTCTACAATTCTTGAGCAGATGGTGAAGACATCTCACGAGAGTCGGTGGGCAATCATTGAATGCTTCAGTAGAAAATGCAGAATTATTAAAAGATGCAGCTCGCATCTTGGCTGTTGCCATTACATATGCGTACGTAAATGGGCCCGTTCGTGTCATCAGGCCAAATGCTTCATCGTCCCATCCAAATAACCATGCTCGACGCCGCTTTTGTTTTGTTTTATATCCTCAGCTCCCACTGGGGGCCGCTTCATCGTTCCACATCAATCGAGGTATCAAAATCCAAGATGGTATCAATCATCGTTTCCGTCTCTATATGCTTGTTTCTGCATCTAAGCAGCAGGCTTGCGGCCGACCATCAGGTACATGGGCGTGAACAGGTGCTCGCGGCCACCGGCAACCAGGCAGTCAGCCGCAAGAGCCAGGCTGTCGGCAGTCTTCTTCGTGCCGGCAGGGGCAATGCCAACCTTCTCCAGCAGACCAGCCAGGTTGTGGGCAATGGTGCGGCCCCAGGTGGTCATGCGGACAATGGTGAAGATGTCTCCAACCGACTGAATGTATCTCAATTCGCCGGACAGAGGCCAGTACCAGGGAAGAGGGTCGGGCCGGTCAGCCAGATCCTCGTTCCTCAGCAGCTCGAAGCCCGCGGCGCGCATGGCGTCCAGGGCCTCGGACACCTTGCACATGTTGGAGATGCCGTCACCCTGCTCGATTCCGAGGCGGATCTCGCGGTGGTGCAGGTTGTTGTTGTCGTAGTCATCGGTCATGAGCCACTCGTAGACGCCAAAGACACCGCCGGGCTTCAGCACGCGGAAGATCTGGCTGTAGATGCCCTCCAGGCTGGGGGCGTGGACGGTGGCCTCGATGGCGTAGACAGCGTCAAAGGTGTTTTCAGGGAACGACATTTGCTGGGCTGTCGTTAGCAGAGAATTCAAGTCAATTCAAATATTAATTCCGGCACGTACCATGAAGTCGCCCTTGACAAAGGCCAATTGGTTGGAGAGGCCCTCCTTCTCGGCATAGTGGGTAGCTCGGTCGATCTGGTAATCGTTGTTGTTGAGACCGGTGACGTGGCAGCCGGTGAACTTGGCAATCTCACGGGCAGGGCCACCGACACCGCAGCCGACGTCGAGCACCTTCATGCCCTCCTTGATGCCGATGGTGTGCGCCAGGTAGTGCTCGTGGCGGGCAATGGCCTGGTAGAAGGGCTCGCCCTTGGAGAAGCGGCAGAAGTGGAAGGACTGGCCCCAGCCGTACTCGTACAGGTCTGTCGCCAGGTTGTAGTAGTGCCTCGTCAGAGTGGCATACTCGGCCGTTCGTTTCTATTACGGTCAAGTCAGAAACGGTATTCCGTCAATCCAATTACCCTGCTTTCAAGAGGCAATGGGCAGCGGGAGACAAGGAAAACTCACGGCTCGCTCCTCTGCCGTTTCGTTCTCGGCGGGCTTGTTGTCCCAGTGCTTAAAGTACTCGTCGACAGCAGCCTTCTTCGCGTCGGCGCCCTTGGAGAACATGGCAGCAATGCCGCCCTTGGCCTTGGCCGAGTTGCCGTGCAGGGCCTTGTTGAAGGCGGCATCTCGCGCCTTGTCCTCCTTCTCGAGAGCTGCAGGGGCCATGTTGAATTAAAGGTAGATGGGTAAGGTGGTAGATTGGAAGTAGAAGAGAAGAGAAATGATGAACAGAAGTAAATCCTCTATTAGCCGCGAAAAACAGGGTCAAGGAGAGAATTGAAAAGAGCAGGAAGACACCACGACACTGAAGGAAGACGGACGAAGGGAGTTGCTCCACGAAAATGAGTAGAAAAAGATGGCGATTCTGGGGCCACGCGAATGAGCGGAGATGGGGGGGCTTTTATGCGTTGTCCTTCCAGGTCGGCCTCAAATCGCGAACAGCAGCAATTTCATGGGACTCTGTCCGCCTCTTCTTTTTTTACCCCTGACGAAACGGCAAACGCCAATCTCCAATTCCCAATTCTGGGCTTGTGATCTCGCACTAGAAGTGCAATTTGGCCCTTTGGTTGGCTGGATCGAGGCCGCATTTGCCTGCAAGTGGTAGGCGGTGAATTCGCCCCGCGGTGTGCGAATACGAACGCGAGCTCGGCTTGGGCTGCCCTGCATGCGCCTCTTTTTGTCCGCCTTCCATTCCCTCCGAGTCCCGTCCTCCGTTGCGGTGTGTTCCTCCGGCTAGGTGCTCTTATTTCGGTGCTAACCACTGGAACTGTGTGGCAGAAACTCCATATTAGGGGACGTTTATCTGCGGAGCCAAGCACCAATCTCTCGAAATACGCGTATAAGCTATTTAGTGCCTATCTGCTGTTCTGGCTAAGAGCTGAAGCCCAGATTGATGTTGCAATGGCTCGTGTATCCCGAAATTGGTTTCGGTTTGATTCATAGACTGATGACGGATGGTATTCCAAAGCACGTGCAAATCATGGCAGTATCTGGCATGCTTCTGGAAGGTGGAAATAGACCCTGAAAAGGTTCCCTAAGCCGCCCAATTGCACAGAACTCAATCGCCACTTCTCTCTGCTTCGCAATACGGTGGCGCTCTATCGATAAGATTCCACATCATGGCTTATGTAACAAGCTTCGAGGCAGGCTGCGTCAAGTCTCCACCTAGATTTTGCTCGTCGCGATCTTGGATTTGCAGCTTGCCAACTTGCCCATCAGCAGCAGTAAGTCATCTGCTGCTCACAACAGACAGCATCGCCAATTCTACTGCGGCAGAATAGATATCGCCCATCATGCCGCCTCAGATTAAGCAGGATCTCAACCGGTCGGGATGGGAGACGACCGACTTTCCCTCCGTCTGCGAAAACTGCCTGCCCGAGAACCCATACGTCAAAATGCTCAAGGAAGACTATGGCGCAGAGTGCAAATTGGTAAGTCACCGTCGTCTGATAACTCTCTTTCAATGCTGTGTGCATGTGCTAACTAGCTTCGTCAGTGTACGCGACCGTTTACCGTCTTCAGCTGGGCTGCTGAGCGCGCACAGGGCCGCAAGAGACGGACCAACGTGTGCCTGACGTGCGCTCGCCTCAAGAACTGCTGCCAGAGCTGCATGCTGGATCTCAGCTTCGGGCTGCCCATCAACGTCCGCGACGCCGCACTCAAGATGATCGCCCCTGGTCCGACGTCCGAGATCAACCGAGAGTATTTTGCGCAGAACAACGAGAAGCTCATTGAGGAGGGCAAGGCGGGAACGGAGGAGTACGAGAAGACGGACGACAAGGCCCGCGAGCTCTTGCGGCGCCTGGCCAACAGCAAGCCCTATTTTCGCAAGGGCAGGACCGTGGACGAGTCAGAGCTGGCCGGCGCACGGGTTGGCGGCGGGAACCCTGCAGTCGGAGCCGGCGTGGGAGGCCCAGGTCCGATCCGTACTCGAGACTCGAGGGCTGCAGCTGCTGCAGGCGCGCGACCCGGTGGTCGAGGGCGAGGCCGACCGGCGTTCCCAAGCGCGGCACAGCTGCCCCCGAGCCCAAAAGACTGGCTGCCGCCGGATGACCCCAACATCATGTCGCTTTTCGTCACGGGTGTCGAGGACGACCTGCCCGAGCACAAGATTCGCGACTTCTTCAAGGTCCACGGCAAGATCAAGAGCTTGGTGTGCTCTCACATGTCCCACTGCGCCTTTGTCAACTACGAAACGAGGGAGGCCGCCGAGAAGGCAGCGGCTGCATGCCAGGGCAGGGCGGTAATTGCCGGATGCCCGCTGAGGATTCGCTGGGGACAGCCAAAGGCGATCGGAACCATGGACCGGGAGCAGCGATATCAAATGCTGCAGGATGCCCGCATCCGCCAAAATAGACCGCAACAGCAGCGTGCCTTGGAATCGGGCCAGCAGTCAAGCGCGGCGAATCGTGCGATTGCTGCGGCACCGCCTCCCGGTGCGGAAGATACCCCCAACTATGCCAGCCTGGCTGGAGAGTAGAAGGGCGTTCGAACTATCTCGTACCTGTCTTTTCTTCATGGCGCTTATTTTCTTTTCTTTTCTGCTGATCTTTCTTTTCACATTCTTGGCGTTGTGGTGCTACTGGGAATAGGGAGGATACAGAGGGATACTTGTTGCATTGTCTTTGTAGATGTCGCGGAATCAAGCAGGTGAAATGGCCAATATATCTTGCGGCATTGGATTGGAGGGTATCATGAGTCTAGTAATTGTACAGATTTGTTTTACAGTGGTACATACACAAGCTGCCTCAGTTGCAGCCACAGCCACCGCCGCTGCCGCTCTTATTGCCTGCCGTCAATATGCTGTCGTTGTCGCCTCGCTCAGTGTGTTCGTGAATTCGCAGCTCTGTTCAACAGCGTTAGCATGCTGACAAGATCGCAGCAGCTTCCTCCTTTGTAGGGCGATGCTCACTGTAGGTATGATCGTCGCCTTTGCCCTCCATCTTTTGGCCCTGGACGACGTTTTGTCGCAGGATCGTGGCCACGTCTTCGGCGTGTCTAATAGCAGATTCGATGCTAGAGCTGGAGTCCAAAGCGCGGTTCTCCTGGAAGCCCTGTCGAATTTGGGCTTGGGCAGCGGAGAGGACGTGGACGTCGCCTGGTGAAGTCAGCCTTGCCGAAGATTTTAGGACCTTGCAGTTCTGCCTGCGCAACTTACCCTGAAAGGCGATTCGCGCGGCGCGCAAGAGGTTTCGATAAGCCGCCAATGACATTGTCTCGAGTAATACGTAACAGTCGCTAAACGGAAAGAAGAGAAGAAATCGAGGCCAAAGAGAATTGCACAATCACGCAGGCTTGGTTCGATATCGAGATGCTTTTACAGTGGAGGCTCAACATGGACCGTAAAGAACGGAGGCCCGGTTCTGCCGTCTTCCGCTAACCGATCGCTGGCCCAAGCCCCTGCAACGGAGCCCCGCCATTGGTTTAGGTGGGAGCAAAGAAAAAAAAGCAAAAAACTGGAGATTGCCTCAACGCCGCTCAAGTCGAGCCCGTTTCTTTTCTTTCTTTCGTTCCTCAACCCAAAACTGCTGTCATTGTTCTCAATCGCAGTCACAATGGCTTCCATCAGTCAGGTTGTCACTCTGCCGCTTCCTGCCCTGCCCGAGGGCTGGAGCGCCGACAAGGACTTCAAGGCCGTCGGCAAGCTTTCGGGCGCCGTCCAGCGCAGCATCGAGCCTGTTGGACCGCACTTCCTGGCTCACGCCCGCCGAGCCCGTCACAAGCGCACCTTTTCCGAGGATGACCGGATTCAGGCCCAGGAGAGCGCCAAGAACGTCGAGGATGCCGATGATGGCGAGGAGAGCGAGCCCGAGGACCCCATGATGCTGCAGCTGCAGGCCAAGGACTGGAAGGTGAGTGGAACGATGAATACGGGATTGGTCTCATTGTGTGAGGATCGTGCTAACGAGGAGAGATACGCAGACTCAAGATCACTACAAGGTGCTCGGCCTGTCCAAGTACCGCTGGAGGGCCACCGAGGAGCAGATCAAGAAGGCCCACCGCAAGAAGGTGCTCAAGCATCACCCCGACAAGAAGGCCGCCTCGGGCCGCACCGAGGACGACCAGTTCTTCAAGTGCATCCAGAAGGCCACCGACGTGCTGCTCGACCCCGTCAAGCGCCGCCAGTTCGACTCCGTCGACGAGGAGGCCGACGTCGAGCCGCCCACCAAGAAGCAGCTGCAAAAGGGCGACTACTACAAGCTCTGGGGCAAGGTCTTCAAGGCCGAGGCCCGCTTCTCCAAGATCCACCCGGTGCCGACCTTTGGCGACGCCAACTCGACCAAGGAGCACGTCGACGAGTTCTACAACTTCTGGTACAACTTTGACAGCTGGCGGTCCTTTGAGTACCTGGACGAGGACGTGCCCGACGACGGCGAGAGCCGTGACCACAAGCGCCACGTCGAGCGCAAGAACGCCAACTCTCGCAAGAAGAAGAAGGCCGAGGACAACGCCCGCCTGCGCAAGCTGTTGGACGACGCCTCCGCCGGCGATGAGCGCATCAAGCGCTTCCGACAGGAGGCCAACGCCGCCAAGAACAAGAAGAAGCTGGAGAAGGAGGCTGCTGAAAAGAAGGCCGCTGAGGAGGCCAAGGCTAAGAAGGAGGCCGAGGAGAAGGCCAAGGCTGAGGCTGAAGCCGCCGCAAAGGCCGACCGCGAGGGTGCCAAGAAGGCCAAGGAGGCGGCCAAGAACGCCCTCAAGAAGAACAAGCGTGTGCTCAAGGGCTCCGTCAAGGACGCCAACTACTTTGCCTCCGGCGACGCCTCTGCCGCCCAGATCGATGCCGTCCTGGGCGATGTCGAGCTGGTGCAGGGCAAGATTGACGCCGATGAGATTGCTGCTCTTGCCGGAAAGCTTAACGGTCTGACGGTGGCGGACGAGATCAAGGGTGTCTGGAGTGCCGAGGTGAAGAGGCTCGTTGACGCGGGCAAGCTGAAGGAGGGCGATGTTAAGACGCTGGCGTAGATGGATTTGGGATGGAGATGATGGGATATAGATTTTAAAAGCACATTAGAACTGATGGCCATTAGATCTAGTTTAAGCGAACTTTTGTAACATCCATATCTTTTCAAACATATACAGTGACCAATATTCCTTTCAAGTCTGTAACACGCTACCCAAGGTATCTATGAGAGGCGCCCTTCATAAATCGGGATGCGGGCTTGGATCCCAGCACTTACACCATAGCGATGGCTTCACACAATCTACCAGTTGCCAATCTACATCAGCTTAATAGTAGATTCAATCGATTAGAGCAGCTAATTATAACCCTTCAATCCCTACATGTAGTCTCTCATCAATTTGAATTTGCATGATCGCTACCTATAACCCGACTATCTTACAAGGCTATACGTATTGACGTAACACCAGACCTCAGCCTCTCGGCCGCCGCGGATCCCGAATAATCCGAACCGCAGTCCATGTACCTCGCCTCACACGATGCGTGCATGAGTACTCCGTACCTACATCAATGCCGCTCGAGTTTATCCATTTTCGCTTGGCCTCTCTTTTTCTAGGAGAACCTCAACTGCCTCTGCCTTTTCACCTTCTGAGTCCAGAGAATAAAATTACAGCTTCTCTTGAAGAAACTCTTGTTCCTACTAAGCGTACTTCAGAGGGATGCCACTTACCTTGAGTGCCATTGGTTTTCGTTAGAGATACTGGCGCACAAGCATCATCCGTACCTCATGGTGAAGCCCTAGGACCAGCCCTCCTTTGTCTTCTTCTCCTCGATATAATTATCCTGCACGAGGATAGTAAGAGATTATTGATACGGGAGGCAAAAAAGAAGACTCACAGATTGGCACTGAGTCTCCTTGAAATACGGCTCCAGATCAGGAAAGCTACAGCCTCTTATATAATTCGACAACCAACAACGTCCTCCGCAATTAGAACAATGCAGAACCTCGCGCCGTCCGCGGCCACCGACGCACGAGCGCTCCGCAAGGCCGTAAGTGCAGCTCTCGTTCTTCTTTACACGTGAAGGTGGATAGGCACAATGTATAGATGGACTGCATATCAATATCGGCTTCCTTAGCTGAGATAATGCTGCAAGAGGGAGTCGAAGAGATTTCATTGATTGATTGATTGATAAACAGCTGACAAGCTTCTCCCTCACATGGAATAGTGTGATCAATGTCGCCAACGCAAAGTAAGTGAGCCTGACAAACCACCATCATCCTTCTATCCTCCTCAACTCGGCTCTGAGCTCATCACGGTCTCTTCAAGATCCGCTGTGATAAAAACGACCCGTGTTCCAATTGCGTAACGGCCGAACGGCGTTGTACCTCGACGGCGTGGCAACGGCCAAAGGAGCTTCGACAACGAGTTCTCATCTCGTCACAGTAGTGAGTTGCGCTCTGCCTTCATCTCCATCTTCATTTTCATCTTCGTATATAAGTTGGATGCTTCTCGGCTCATCATCTCTGCTGACTCAATATTGTATGATCCCCTCAAAGTGAGAAGAAAATTGACCGGATTGAAGCCCGTCTCGCCAACATTGAGAATCTCCTCAAAAATCTCTCATCCTCAACTCCCACAGACCCGTCAAGATTCATCCACACGCCACAGACAGACTCCGCCGTACCTACCGGCACTTCAAACGCCGACTATGACAGCTCCGACGAGGAATCCGTCCTCGGCGGTGACTCGGGGCTGACCGTCCACACGACCTTTGCGAGCGAGTTTCTCGAGCGCGCTGTCCAGAGAGCGCCCCTGCCGGCTGTGAACCCCAAGATGGAGACGGCCCTCGCCAACCTGAGCCAGCTTGTTGAGCTGCAAAAGCACCGCTCCATCAGCCACGGGCCTCGCTTCCCTCTGCAGCAGCCGGTGCCTCCAGGGGGTGTGAGCAAGCTGCCTATGCCTCCCATGGCGACGGTGGTCGCTCTGTTGAAGCATGTCAAAGGTATGCAACAAGTCGAACACCCGCTCCGATCATGGATTCCTCTGGTAGTACGAAAAGGGGAGGAAGAAAGATGAACAAAAGGAGACACAACTAACTCAAAACGATGGTCATCCAGCCGCCCCTCCCACCTTCTTCACCATCCTTTGCACCCTCGTCGGCATTAAAGACTTTGCCGACCTCTGCCGCACCGTCTACTTCCCCGCCGAAGACTTCTCAGACGCCACCTTTGCCATGGTCAACGCCATGCTGTACAATCTCTTCGTGGAGCAACACTCTCTGACCAAGGACGAGGCACTACGCGAAGAGTACAACTCATACGTGGCCATCTGCAAGACGAATCTCGAGACGACACTGGCCAACTTTCCGCTGTTTCTGTCGCCAAAGATTGAGAATGTGCAGGCTCTGCTGCTTGGGGTGAGTTTGTGTTTCTCGATGTGGTTGTTACTGATACAAGCGTGATGGACATGCTGACACGATTTACTTCCTCCAGTGCTTGTATGCAATCGACGTCTCCAGACCCTCGGTGGCGTGGCATCTCATCACAATGGCGGCCTGGTTGTGCCAAGCAGGAGGCTACCACCGTACAGAGGTCCTCCGCAATGACCCTCCGCAGATTGCACAGCAGAAGAAGGTCGTCTTCTGGCATGTGTATACTCTAGACAAGGGCCTGGGCCTTAGACTTGGACGGGCATCGGTCATAGCAGAGTGCGATATCGATATCAAACGAGAGTTTGAGGTCAACGGCTTCGACCATCTGACGTCTACCACGTTCCCGACGCTGTGGGTTGAGATAAGCAGCTTGCAGAGCCGAATCTACGAACAACTGTGAGTGGTGTAGTAACCGGATGAATGAGTCCGTTTCGTGTGTGGGTGGAAATTTAGGTAGCTAATGGATATCACCCTTGCAGATATAGCCCAGTCGCCTTGGCAAGCCCTCAGGCGGATCTGATCCAACGAGCTCGAGCCCTGGCCACGGAATGCAGCCGTCTGGAGGTTGAGACAGACGAAACGAGAGAAAAGGTATACACACTTCTCAAATCGATAGGGACATCGGACGTCGTCGATGTCTTCATCAAGGGCGACGAGGTGCAGTTTTACGTCACCAAGACGCTCATCTACCGCGTCATACCGGCCCCGGAAGGCTCCATTACAAGATTCTGCGACGAATGCTTGGATGCGGCCCGTCACGCAATGAGGACGCATCAGGAGTGCGTTCGATTCATGGACATCAGCACGTATATGCGGTCCATGTACATCCACTGGTAAGAAATCCCCGCCTCCGTCGAAGCTAGATTTTGCCAGATGCCAGCAGGCAAAACAACGAAACCGCCTTGTTGAGTCTTGGATTGCTGACCATGAGTCTCTCCCACTTGACAGGAACCTCTTGTTGACACCATTCGCCCCATTCTTTGTTCTCTTCTGCTACGTCATTGAGACGTCTTCGCTGGTAGACCTCAAGGTTCTCCAGACATTTGTTGATTCCCTCGAGGGTGCACGAGGGCTCTCGGAGCCCATTGATAAGCTCTACCGTCTCTGCCGGGTCATGTGCGACATTGCTACCTTCTATGTAGAAGCCAAGGGCCAGCAGCTGCAAAGCGACAACTCCATTTCCATAGGGGATGAGTTTGAGATGTACCTGAGCCAGCTTGGCTTCATCCCCAGCGACGATCAAGCCATGGCCAACACAGACACAACCGAAGCAGGGGCGCCTATCCAGGGCAGCGGCCAGGTGGCGCAGCTGGCGGATTGGTTTGTTGGCAGTCGCAACATGATTGGGCTCCTGGAGGAGGACTTGTCGCAGATTGATTCTCACATATGGATGAAGCCCGATGACGAGCTGTGAGGGTTCTGAATGCTTTGGATATGAGCTGCAGCAGAGGCTGCGATGATAGTTGGACGAATCATCATGACGATAGAATTAATCGCCGGTAATAGACACTGGCATCCGAACAGTTTCGACGCGCCATGTGACGTCGTGACTTGGGCGAGTCAATCGGTGGGAAATCGGGGATCGTAGACTTCATATCCTTCATCTTCCGTATCGCTCTCCACGAGGGAGCTCTTGTGGATACGCGAAGAAGACAAGCCAGGTTTTCCTTGATCCCTGGGAGCACCAGCGGCGGTATTCGCTTGTTTACGAGCCGAGTCTGTCGACGGTGGCTGCGATGCGGGTGCTGATGTCGATGCGTCTGCCGGCGCAAAAGCGCTCTTGAAGCCAGTCTTCTTGAAGCCGCCCTTCTTGAAGCCGCCGCCTCCACCGCCAGATGAAGGCGCATCCTGGTCGCTGAGCTTGATGCTGACGATGCCGTCCGCCTTGGCCTCGGCCTTCCTCGCCTTTGCGCCGGCGTTGGGATCGCGCACCATGGCCTTCATGTCCTTGAGCCGCTGCTTGTGGCTGTGGTCATAGCTGCTGAGGTGGGCTTCATAGTCGTTCATGCGGGAGTAGCCCTTGGAGCAGAGGGTGCAGTAGAAGGACTTTTGGGCCTCTTTCGCGGAGGTTGTCTGCGCGGGAGGGAGAGTTTGGTGTCTCTAGGAGAAGGACACGTTAGTTGATGATGCTGGGCTGTAGATGAACGGGTACATACTGGAGGCATCTTGGCGGCTCTAGGCTGCAATCGCAGGAGAGCTGAGGGGTATCAATTGCGGCGGTCGTTCGCCAAGGGTGATGGAGATATGTTCGCGATAGCTTCACGAATTCAATGTCACGGCTTCTCTTTGGATTGGAGATGTCGGAAGATCGGAGGCAGAGGCCCGACGGAGCTATGGTGGGGCAGAGCGAGGCGGCTGTCCATTCACGGGCCTGAGATTGCCGATTACGGAGTAGCTTTAGGTACATATCAGTACGAGTTTAGCAGCGTATGTTTGGGTGGGTGTATATGTAGCTTTAGGTACTGAAGTCATGGTGCTAACAGCCCTACTCACCGACCAACTTTCCTGCTCACAGTATGAGTTACTGTCCGAACTCCATAGCTGAAGGTACTCTGCCATTGAGCTCTGGCCTGGCATTGGCTTCTATGGGATGAGCAATCATCTCGCTATGTCTGGTGGCTCACGCAAGGGAGAAGGGCGATATCATAGCGTCGAGCAACTACTGGAAGAGGGCCGGTCTAAGACCAGTGGCTTGCAAGGAAGATGCTGTAGCTACATTCGACGTGGTCCTACATACAGCACAGGGATCACCGTCTGCAGAATAGATGAAAACCTGATGCTTGTAGGTATGAGGTACGCCATACGTGCTCTGCTAGAGCCAAAGTGGAAAGATATCCTGGGAGGGCGTGAGAGAATACAACGTCTCGAACAAGGTGCGGGTGCTTGAGACAGCTGTATGATTGCGGAACACACGCGGTCCAATCAAAGCCCAATTGTTCGGGCTTGGTGGCTTGCATCGTTTTCCAAGAAGGGGAACCAAAAGGAGAAAACATGTTTGAAACAGACGAGACTCAACGGCGGCTACGAGGAACACATCAAGCCGCATAGATATGTCTTGAATGTTGTTGTCTCTGCCCATCAGTAGGTACCTTATATCGAGCGGGATGTGGGCTATTTTCCAATATCAACCAAGTACTTCTCGATTAGGCATAGATTCTCCCCCACGATCTTGTGGTCCTTCTCCATTGGCGGCCCTTTTTGCTTGTATTTTTTTCTTCTCGAACGTACTCCGTACTCAGACCGTTTGATGCTCGTACGGTTATGCAGGTCTCACTCGGGAAAATTCGTCTCGGCCTCGGATTCTTTTGATACCCAAGAGCCTGCCCGAAGTTCTTATTTGCTTTGTTTGAAATAATTCTGCCGTGAGCCCTGATACCGAGCAAGGAAGAGAGGGAGCGGGCAAGCAACTGCCGTCCGCCTTCTCGATGGAGAGCGACTCAGACGCCGAGAGCCCGCGAGGCTGGCGAGAGCGGAGGAACTCGACCCTGACGGCCATTTCACTCCTCCAGCTGGATCCTGCACCCATGGAGGACTCAGACCCGGACACACCGACGGAGGAAAAGAAGCCTATCGACCCATTGGCTGCAGATGCCGCTTTCGAAGGCGGTGCGGGCAGTATCAAGACTGGCTCGACCATGGCGCCGGGGTTGAGCGGCAGTGGTCGAGGCGCCATCTATTACCGTAGGTGTTTTCCATTTTCCATTTTTCTTTCTTTTCTTTCTTTCTTCTATTTTGCCTGGTTCTTTCCTTGATTTCTGCTTCTATTTTTATCCTTGCTCTCACTCAACTTCACCGACGTTGCAACCTTGTCTCATGCGGGCTCTTTCTCAAGAGTACCTACATACGTACGTACAGTTCTTTTATGCTAACCACCACGCACAGTCACCCGGCTGCAAAAGTATTCCAGCTATGCCATGTCCGTCTTCACCACCATGCACCTTGCCAATGTATCCCTCATTCCCGCAGTCACCCGAAGCGTGGCTGGCTCGGAGACTTACCTGCTTATGGCCCGGGAGCTTTATCAGACCACCATCACGGAGCCGTTGCTGGTTGGCCTGCCGGTCCTGACGCACATCGGCTCGGGCATTGCACTGCGTCTGCTGAGGAGGTCCGAGAACATTAGACGATACGGCGGAGCGACTCCCGGCTTCTACCCCATGATGCGTTCCCGGACAGACGCTTCCGGCGCCTCGTCTCGCTCATCGGTCCAGCTCTGGCCGCCGCTCAGCTGGATCTCTTGGTCTGGGTATGTCTTCACGGCTTTTTGGGGAGCTCACGTCTGCATCAACAGAGTCCTGCCGCTGGCGGTGGAGGGCGACAGCTCCAACATTGGCCTGGCCTACGTCTCTCACGGCTTCGCGAGACACCCTCTGGTCGCTGCCTTTGCCTACAGGGGCTTGATTGGAGTGGGATGTGGCCATATGGTCTGGGGACTGGCCAAGTGGCTTGGTATTGCGCCTTCGACAAAGGGCTGGTGGGGAAGCGAGGCAGTCACGGTGGATAGGAAGACCAAGCGGCAGCGCAGGCGGCGGTGGTTGGCGATCCAGGCCGCGGTAGTGGCAGCATCCGCATTGTGGGCAGTCGGAGGACTGGGGGTCGTCGCCCGAGCAGGGCCGTCGGATGGATGGGTTGGAAAATTGTACGATGATCTGTTTGCACGAGTCCAGGTGTTGTGAGATTGATGCTGTGGCTGCAGCAACGTGTAGGAGGATGGAATAGCAAGTGAGAACAGGCCTAGACGCATCATAACGAATACACACGATGTTACGAGCACAACTGTCACATCATCGACCGGGTTATGCTGCATATATCTGACTGATGCCAGAAATCATGGGCAGGATAACGGTGGATGACTACCTCGACGCAGATGATTCACGCTGGGAGGGAAACAGCGTGATCTTGACATAAGGTATATAGAGCATCACGGTATAAGCATGGCTACGTCTTTTCTCTTCCCCTCTTCTCTTTATGCCATTGCTTGTGCACGCGTAAGGGACGGGGTAAGATATATGGGAGACATAGTATTGTAAGAGGAGTGGACGGGAGAAAAGTGGACGAGAGTGTGTGAAATGGATGATAAGAGACAAGAGACAAAGAGCGGACCTGAACGAAAGGCGAAAACAAAGATGAACGAGGGGGTGTATGAGAGACTGTGAGAACACATGCACGGAGACTCCATCATGCATCCATACCAGGTACTTCTCACTGGACGGTTGAGGCTCAGCCCTGCTTGGCCTTTCCTACTCTTCCTTTTGAGAAAGAGGATCAGAGCGCCGAGACTGGCCCATCAAGAGAGGAGGGGGTCTGATGAGCTGTTCTGCGGCGTGCATACTTCGTACATGCATGTACATACATTAGCGACAGCGGTATGCTGAGAGGAAGATTTCCTTTGTCAAGCCCTTCTTTGCTTTTTACTTGCATGCATTTTGCATGCAACTCGCCCCCTAGACCACCGACTGGGCTATGGCGATCTATTGGGCCTGGCACCCGCGGCTGATACAAGCGTACCTGCAGGCGACTCTTTTGAGAAACTGATTTGTCGCAGGGAGGGGGAACGGAGTGAAGCCACGGCTGAAGTATGAGGACGAGGACGAGTCAAGGTGAGTGGGAGAATCCATATCTGACGAGTGACGAAGTAATAGTTGCTGGCGGCTTGGGAGGTGGGCGTGGACGCGGAGCCAGCGGCGGAAAAAGCAAAGAAAGACATCCATCATGGCACAGCAATTTGGTGTTTCTTTTTGATTTTCAGAGGGGCTGAGGGTGCTAGTGGCGGGAGCAGTTGAGGTCAGGTACCCGTCTGCGGAGGATGCCATACCAGGGTACTTTATCGAGACGGGAAGTCCTCAATGCCTGATCCCTGGCTAGCAGGTGGAAAGGCAAATGGTGCCTATTCGTGGCTGAAGAGCAGTTGAACGGGGATTGGACAGGGACCCTTATGAGGGAGGGGAGGGGCAGGACTCGCAAGGTATCATCATGTAGGAAGAGTCGAGTCGACGCACGTATGGAGCTTGAGCAGAGAGGAGAGAAGAACCTTTGAACGGGGAGATAGACTGTGCTCAACTTGCGTGTAGGCTGAAGGAGACGAACCTACCTGGACCTTGACGCGTCCCATTATTAGGCCAGGACAAGTGTAAAGGCTGGGTACCTCGATGTACGGTAATAGCACTGGACGACCTGGAGTCTCTTCTCTCTCGTTGGAGGGGAGCCACCCGCTATATAAGACGGCGAGGGACCCGGAAGCCAGCAGCTCGGGAGGCTCGAGGCTCTAAATCCCGGCACCTCAACCAGCAGCCAGCAGCCAACAGCGCGGCTCCGGGGCCTTTTCCAGCATTCTCAGCGCCATTCCTCCAGCGGCCTTCAGGTGGCGTCGACTGCCCTGATTATCTCACCCTCGGTTTGCCGCTTTGCTCGAGGCAAAACCCCCATCCTCAACCTCCGGCCAACTCCTCCCCAAAACACAAAATATCCCACGTGTGTCACCGCGGCACTCCACCAACGTTGGGACACCCCATCCGCTCCTTGTCTCTCCCTCCCTTGAGGGACGCCTTCTGATACCTGACCGTTATCTGTCTCTCTTTTTTCCCGGGGGAGAAATAACGGTTGCCGTGTCCCTCCCGTACTCGGACCATCACTCTTCCACAACCTTGCTCCACTGCATCCTGCATGCTGTGACGACGCTGCAAATCGCTGGACGAAGAGTCGTTGCTTGCTGTCTTGTCATCGGTAGGGCGACTCGCACAGGAAAGACATGCACTTCCGCTGACGATCTCTGCAAGCCGGCCGTTTCGTCCTCAAATTTACAATATCATTTCTGTCTTCCTCTGCCCCCCCATCCTCACTCAGTCTTCATCTCATCTTCCTTGATCCCTCTGCTGGATTGGCTCCGGCCTTATATCAACCAGCCACATCCGCACATATTCATTCCACAGGCAAACACCGCCCCCCAAGGATGATGTCTGTTAGAAACATGAAGAGAAAAGGGTCGCACAGCGACCCTGGCAGCAGCAGCCACCAGCCAGACGGGCCTGCCGCCCTCACCCTCCCTCGCGACGACGAGGCTTCAGCCAAGCGGCTGCGTCTCACCAGCAAAGCCGCCACCGTGGCGCTCAAAACGCCCTCGTACGACCTCGCCCGCCATGTGTCGGACGAGATCCTGCTGCGCATCTTCTCCTACGTCGACGAGCACACGCTGCTGGCCGCCTCGGCTGCGTCGCGTCGGCTCTACAGAATCGCCTCGGATCCCCAGCTGTGGCGCGTCCACTACTACCACAGGTTCATCCTGCCGCGCGCCGACCGCATTCCGGGGCTCAAGCTTGAGGCAGAGACCAACAACCAGGGCGAGCCGCAAGGTTCTGCAGGGGCCAACGCCGCCCAGGGAGCCAGCGGCGGCTCCAGCTCCAACGACTCCCGCTCCGGAAGGCTAACCCCCACGTCTTCTGCGTATGCTGATGCTCACGCCGATGCGGAACCAGCCGAGCCGTTCAAGCCTGCTGATCCGGCCGACAAGTCCGGGCATCCGACGGACTATGTCGACTGGAAGCAGCAGTACCGCCTGCGACACAACTGGGCCCGCGGCCTCTGCGAGGTGCGCCAGGTCCAGGTCAGCCCCATCAACTGCTCCCTGACCCCCGTCCTGGAGCGCCGGACCCTGGTCAAGGTTGTCCATGGCATTGCCGTTACCGTCGACCTGCAAGCCGGGCTCCGGGCCTGGGACTTGCGTACGCAGCTCTCCATTGCGCAGATCACCACCGAGACCCATGACGGCATCCATCTTGTGCCTACCGCGCTCTCCCTGGACGGCCAGAAGTTCGAGGCTGGGATCCTGGACATCATGCTAGGCTTCAACGACGGCACGTTTGGCATCTGGCGGCTGACAATAGGCCAGGGCAAGCTGGTCGTCTTGTATCGTCAGGACAAGAGCTACGTTGGAAGACTCACATCGGTCGCCTACTCTTACCCTTACGCCCTGACCGCCGCCGAGCTGGGCTTCATCTCGCTGTACACGTTTGACGCTCCCACTCCCGAGCCGGAGTCGATGTCTGCCGCTACTTCTGGGCCGAGCCGCCACAGTGGTGACACGGGCTACCTCGACGACGACGAGCTGTCGACGCTCCAGGTGGGAGGCGAGGTGGACAAGAGCGCGGACCTCTCGCACCCCTTTGTGCTCTCGTCGCTCAAGTCCGACTACTCGCGACAGCCGCTGGTCTTGTCCCTCCGCCAGCTCAAGGACTCGGCTGTCGCATCTATTGCCTATTCGTTCGATACCGTGAGCGGCTGGGCCATTGGTATTCAAAACTTTGACATCCGACCATCGGGCTGCTCCAAGCCCGACGTCATCACGTCCCGCGTCGCGTATACTCTGCCTGCCGATACTCGCGGCTTGGTCTCGCCGCCTCACTACCGGCCAAAGTGCCCTACGTGCTCCAACTTTCCCGACTTGTACCTGGACGACGACGAGGGCGGGCCGACCAAGCTGTGCTACAGCCACCCCTATCTGCTCGCGACGATGCATGACAACACCCTCGTGCTCTTCGTCGTCACTGCAACTGAGAAGTCGTTTGCCATCTCGAACCCTACGAGGCTCTACGGGCACACCTCGGGTATCGCTGATGCCGATGTCACGCCAGAGGGGAGGGCTGTGAGCGTCAGTGAGCGAGGCGACGAGATTCGCGTCTGGGATCTCGAGGGACGCCACCGCGACATGAGCGTTGAGGTGAGGCCCCGGCCTGGCAGAGAACTTGACGATGCCGAAGACGACTACGCTTCTTCAGAAGCAGAGCGGCGGCGGAACTGGGTCGGGACTGACGACCAGAGGGTGACTGTCCTGAGCGAAACGCCGGACGGTCGGGAGAGCCTGGTCACTTATGACTTTACCTGATTGTCTAGCAGTCAATCAATTGCATATCTGTCACAGACGGCGTTTGGTAAGAGAGGGAATAAGTTCACAGCATCTACAGGATGTATAGCCATGGATGTTCTAGGGATCGGGAAAGCGATGATTTCTTCTTTTTCATATTTGAGTTGCATTTAAAAACTCGGCAGGCGGCTCACATTGCGAGACAAGCCGTATGCGTTTCTGAGGACGCTGTTCCTCTTGTTCATTTGTCGGATATGATACGAGACTTCAAAAGGATTGAAGCATACACTGCGACGGAAGGTTCTAATATGTTGGGTTTTCTTTGGATTTTGCTTTTGGGGTTTATAGCGCGATTAGTCGACATATAAACTGTGTTTCCTCTTTGCCATCCATTAACTTTGCTTCTCCGATTCCCATCTGATGATCTATGTTTGTCCGCCATGCCACCTCATGCCTAGTCACCGTGGCTTGACCAGGACCAACTTCGAAATAAACACTCACACTCCACCGTAGGAAGATGAGTTTATTAGGACTCCTGCTGCTTAACTGTTGGATAGGTACACCACACTACGATACGTTGGAATGTTACGATGTTGTCCATTGATGTGAAACGTACAAACATCACTTCAGACGAAGCACATAGGTAACCAAGCATGAACGAAGGAGAGCAATTTCATAACCGGATTTTAATTTTCGATTTGTTTTGTCGAATCAATTTGCTTTCCAGCAATTATGCAGTAATACTATTTTACATGTTGGTTCCGATCATCAGCCATCCAGGCTCTCTCAAACGTCCCTCTCCAACTCAACAAACTCAGGGCCTCTCTGCAGCAACCCGATCTGCCGTCTCGGGCGGAATATCCGACGCCGTAGGATGATCCGCACTTCGGAATCCCTTCGTACCCTTCTCGACGCCCTCGGGCAGATCCCAGCCGTGCTCCCTCACGGGATCGCCCCTGTTGGCTTCCGCAGCGATAGCACCCAATCCATCTCCCTCCTTGCTGTGACCGCGGGGGTGCACCCTCGACTCAGTGTGCTTCTTGCCCGGCAGCTGGTTGGAAATTTCTCGGCCTTCCTGGCCCTGGAGGGGCATTCCGATGCCCTGGTGGACGTCCTTTGATGTGGCGCCGGGGAAGTCGAGGGGGTCTGACCGGCCGGAGGGGTCGACGTCGGGGTTGTTGGCCTGGCCGGGGACTTCTGAGATGGGGTTGGGGCGGAAGGAGGATTCTTTGGGGGCGGTTCCGGGGGGGTATGTCTCGAGGTGGGATTCGGGGAGGCGGTCGTTGCCGACTTTGACGCCGGGTTGGTGCTGTAGATGATGATGTTAGTCACTGTATTACCAGCCAAGTGTTTGTATGTCAATTGATGACTTACTCCTCCCTTCATCATGGGCTCGGATGGCGGGACGCGAGCGTGGAATTCGCCAGAGTAGTGTGCAGGGTGTTCAGACATGTTGGATGATTGTGTGTTGTGGTATGTGCGGTTTTGAGTCTTTGTTTGGGTATAGAGGTAAGAATCAATGGCGTCGTAGTAGATGAATATGATGAGATGAAGCAATTGAAGTCAATTCAATGTTTGGCTGTCGTTCATCTTATATAGACCGTTTGATATTCGTCAAACGTGTCTATGATTTCATAGCCTGCCATTGTCAGCGGATTACATCATACCCATCACCGTTGCTCCACCGACACCGACGAAGGCAATGGATCAGTTCGCTTGTGTATCTCAGGAGCTTTCCAGGCGTTGATCTTCGGCGGGGATGATGAAACGGATACATCATTCTTTCGAAATGGACCTAAAACCGGTAGTCGGCTGCGTTGAGTCGAGGGTGGCGACAGCCTCAACTTTCGATGGCGCTTGATAAGTGGAGAAGGGGTCCTTGAACTGCCGTGAACCCTTCAAGTTGGGAAAGAGATATTCATGGATGAAACGATATAGAATACATACTGATGGTATGCAGTCTCGCTCTTTCTTGATCTGTCCAGAATTGACTAGATGCGGAAGGCATCATCTTGAGTTCTTTTGGACGAGTTGTTAGCACAAGGTGAGGCCTCATACCTACCAATTACATGGATTATCAAGCTTTCTATGCACTGTACAAAGTCGCAACGATATCTAGAGCTAGGTACCTACCTACCTTATACATCGCTGGAAAGCTTAATATTCTTCATCTGTCCATTCAAACCCTGTCCAATCGTCTGAATCGGCGCTTCAATCGCCATCGGTCCCTCCTGCATGTATCCTCCCCAGATACCCATCAGAATCATCACCTCCTGGCGCTGCTCGCCCACCGAGATGAACGTCTGAGGACCGATGCCCTGGACCGTGACGTCGCTCCACTTGTTCAGCGGCAAGGTCAGGTTGACCGGATAGGCAATGTTGTGAGAGACGAGCATGAGGTTGGTTGACGTGCCGTTGCCGTTGAGAAAGCTGCTGTCCGGGCCGGAGAAGAGCGCACCGCCGTGAGCCTTGGGCAGCACAGAGAAGGAAAGCGTGTAGTTGCGTCCCTTGCTTGTCAAAGGAGTCTTGAGACAGGCTCCGCGGCCGTTGAGCTGGAGAGCGCCGCCGCTCACATAGGCTCCGTCTTCGAGATGCCCGTGATAGTTATTTCCAGAACCATCAAAGACAGCAAGCGCCGACGAGAGACCACCCTGGGCGAAATTGTAAGTTACAATGGTCGAGCCCTTGGAAGGGATTCGCTGGTCGAGGTTTTGACCCGGCACGGCTGGCTGCAGAGTCGCGAATAGACCGGCATAGTCCTTCTCCTGCAGCGAGCCGCCCCATTGCTTGTCGGCCAGAGCCGGCAGGCCGTTACGGACCATGTAGTACGCCTCGTGGTAGGTGCTGGCATTGGGGCCCCAGTCGTTCCATACCACAGCTAGATGGCCAAGCACGTTAGGGCTGTCTCGAGGGGGATTGTTCGTCGCGTTGGCGTTGTCGAGGATGTTGGGTGCAAAAGCACTGCCGTCCGGGCTGCCGTGAAATACGCGCTGGATATCGAGCTCCTTGGGATAGACGTTGCCGTCAGAATACTTGACATCGAGGTAAAAGTAGTCATCGCTGTTGACAATGTTGTATCCGTTGTCGATAAAGTCGAAGAGGCCGTTGTCTTGGCCAATCTGCCAATGCTGGATCGTCACGTCCTTGTCCACGTTGACGGAGCCAGGGGCAGACGAGGGTGGGAACGTGCCCCAGATGCGAGTGCTCTTCCCAGAGATGGACTGGATGTAGGCGCTCATGTCGTTGACGAACGTGCTGTACTCGTTGATGTAGTTGCTGTCGTACTCGTCTGCCCCGATGTGGACAATCTTGGAGTGGAAGTTGTTGATGACGGCCTTCCAGTACGACTTGACTGTGGGAAGCGTCTCCGGATGGCTCAGGTTGAGCATGCTAAAGTCCGAGAGCGCAATCTCGGGCCTCCAGTCAGTTGTCGCCATCGAGTGCCCCGGCGATTCGAGCTCGGGCAAGATGGTCACGCCACGCTGAGCACACTTTTGCTGCAGCGTATCGAAATCGGACGGGCTGTATGTCTCGTTGACGGGGCGGGCGAGGCCAGCAACTGCTGGGTCGGTGGAATCGACTCGGAACGCCGCGTAGAGCTGGAGAGCGAGTTCGTGAGAGCCGAGCTTGGCGGGATCCCAGACGTGGTCGCTGAGGTGAAGATGGAAGACGTTCTGCTTGAAAAACGAGAGGTAGGAGCACATTTCTGCGAGAAAGTCGGCTGGGTAATAGTGGCGGCCAACATCGAGCTTGAACGAGCGAGCACGAAAGAGATTAATTAGTCCATTGAATGCTCAAGGTGGTCTGTTTCTACGGCTTACCATCATGCCTCTCTCTGACCATCCGGGAGAGTCGACGCCCGTTCCCAGCTTGAGCTTCTTGCCGTTGATCAACGCTTGCTGCAAGACTGTTCGGGTCCCCCACCAGGCTCCAAGGGGGCTGGCACCGCTGACAGTAACTCCTGAAGAAGTCACGGAGAGGCGGTAGCCCTCAGAAGTCATGTTCCCCGCAGCGTTGACAAATTGTGACTTGTCGTGGTCCAGCGTGAGATAGATGGAATCTGCAATGGCCTTGGATCCGGGAAGCAAGACGGTGTCGATGCCAATGCCGGCCAGATCATCTCGAAACGTCTCTGCAAACTCCCACAGGGTGGCAGGAATCAAGGTGAGGCCATCTTCATCGCGGGCAGACGAGTGGGCAAGGTCGACGACGACGGTGTGGACCTTGCTCAAGTCGAATGTCCGTTCAGAGGAGATGTTGAACGGCACTGTCGGTATTCCCAGGAGCTGGGCGCGTGCTTTCTGCTCAGTCAGAACGGACAGAAGCTCATTAGAGGTGAACAGACATGGTGTTGCTTACCCAGGGCAGCCAAGCTCGTAATCACCACGAGAAATTGCATAGTGTTTTCAATGGCAATCCCTCCGTGCTACGTCCCGGTTCTCGCTGTGAGAAATCATCCTCATGCCGGGACCCGGGCGTGATATTCCATAAATACGAAGGCCATGATTGTCCGTATTTCCCTTCATTATCTTGACTTCCACCGCGTAACGTTACAGCAGCAACCCCATGGGGATAGCTGTGCCGGTCGAAGCGGAGACGTGCCAGGGGTGAGGGAAGCTAGCGTGAGCAGCATCGCGAGATAAGGAGTTCGGTATTTCGATGCGTCGAGCTTCTTCGGCGAGTGAGGCTGAGGTTTCGAGAATACTAGCGCCTTGTCTTGATGTCAGTTATTGACGCGAGAGAGTAAGCAGAGGAAATTCATTGTGCCTTACCTCTTACAAGACGAGCGGGGGGCTGGCGTTTCTGAAACTGATGGACAGGGATGGCAAAAAAGAGTTGGATCGAGTTTGGCTCGTGTGGGGGCGGTAGATCTAGATGTCAGATCTTCAGCCACTTCTGCAGGCGACGGTTGAGCTTGGGCTGCTTTGATATTTGGACTCGATTCCGATGGTGGGAGTAAGGATGAAGAGGAAGATGAAAGCTGGGATGACGACGAGACGAAGATGAAGATGACGGTGGAGAAGAGATTGATCAGAAACTGGAGCTGGAACTGGAGCTGGAGATGAGGATGGAGTTGAAAATGGAAAGGGAGATGAAGATGGAGATGGCAATGAAGATGAGAAGGGAGATGAAGACGAGACCACATGGGAGATGACGGTGGACTGGAGGCGGAAATGGATTGGAGATACCATCAGTCTGGGGTCGACGGACCTCGGATAGAGCTGGAATGAACACGGCCGACGAGACAGACTACGAGCAAACATCACAGGGCAGGATACAGAGTACCTGACAGGTTATCATCATCAAAAGCTGCTGCAGCCCCTACCAGATATCATAGCAAGCTTCAACTTCCAGGCATTCTCGCTTCTCTACGTTCATGGTCTCTGATTGTTTTCGTTCTCGCATGCCTTCTCCTCGCTCTTCGCCAGCAGTCCACAACGCCATCAAGGCAAATCAAGATCTTTCTGTTGGCTCTTCCTCATGTCACAGGACAAGCCTGTGCTCACAATGAAAAGGTTTGCAAAGCAGATAAATCAAAAATTGTGCTCCTCCCCCACTTCTTGAGGTAGGGTTCTGAAGCCAGGTAAGCCTCCATCCCGACAACCCTCAGGGTTCTGGGGAAGGGTTGCGTCTTTTGGCTGAGGATGGGGGTGAAGAGGAAAGGAAAGAAAAGAGAATCAAGAGTCGGGGGAGCAGGAGATGTTTATATAGGGGGCATTCTGGTCCGTGCGCCCTCGGTGGTGATGCATAGGTAAGCGGCAGTGAATGAAGGCTCCTCAGGCAGCAGCTCAGGAGTTGATAGCCAATGAGGGGGAGAGATGGGGGTGGGCAGTTTGTTTGTTGCTCAGAATGTACTGGAATAATGTCTTTCAGTCTGCTGTGGCGGCTCGGCTGAGATCTGAGGCCTCTGGAGAGTATCATGACGAAGGAGATACGAGTCTTGTTGATTCAAGTCCCTTTCCCCTCCTCGACAACTTCGCTGGCTCTGCGGCTGGCTTCCCAGAAGACAGGTCTCTCATACATAGTTGGCCAATATTCACCCATAGTATGCTGTAGATGAGCCAAAACTAGAGGAAAAGTTGAGAAAGCGCATATGTCCCAGGTGGAACGCTTTTTAATATGCAATCTGGTGGCCTTGTTCGGTTGGTGACTGCTCTGAAAGACTGCAGGACAAAGAAGCATCCAAGAGTGCACAGAATCTCGACTTGAACGTGAGTAATCCTTTCAACGTGAATTCCATGATGTGAAAAGCTTGTTCAAGATTCTCCGTGCCCAGCTCAAGGAGCCTGATTATCCTCCCCCTCGACACTCTCCTCCCTCAAGACCACTGTCTGAGTTACAGGCTCGCTCACCAACAGTTGGAAGCAAAAGTCCTCCTGAGGCTCCGAACCAGTCACTGTTACGATCCAGAGTCCGTCGATCTTTAGTTTCGTCGCCAATGATTACGAGAACCGAGCTTTGTCGACTCTTTCCATATCGCCCAGGGGGCCAGCAATCCGCAGCTCGTCCATACCTGACCTCGCAATACTGTTTCTGAAACCAGATTTACTGTTCTTATCGCCCCTACTCAATAGTATTCTGGACTTAGGGGGCGGCGGCACTCTGATGGTAGTTAATTACCGCGATATCGAGACCATCAAATAGCAGCAGAGCCCTGCTACACACATGCATCTCACAATATGCATGTGGTCAAGCTAAATCCATTACCCCTGGCACAAGTAAGCTGCCTGTCTCCTCTTCGAGAAGGTCCCTGAATGCAGATTTGACCAGAGCTAGAGAAATTTCCCGCACAGTACGGACGGTAGATGCTGCTGATTTGATTCCATCCCACCATGAAATCCGACCTTCCTGATCGATCGAGAGAGGCTCACCAGCATTCGTCGAGTCAGACCACAAAATAGGAATAAAGTAGAGGCAGGATTCCGCCGGAACGCACGAAACAGAGGCTTTGTGAACTGCAGTCATATTCCCGACGCCATTTTTTAAGTTGGGTTGCAGTGACGCCCGAAGATGCAGCTTGGTGTTTCGCTCGATTGCGGGCCATTGAGGGACCCTGGCCCTCGTATCATGCATCACAAATAGAAGCTCGCCATAGCTACCACGATTGCAATCATTCTTGGGCAGCAAAGATGGATTGAATGAGACGTTACGATCTTGGCAGGCACCGGAGCTGATCTGACATGCTTCTGGCTGTGAGGGTATATATAGCAAAGGGAAAAGACCCTTCTTGAAACGAGCTTCTTGCCGTCCTTTCGGTCAAGCAGTACAATTGTTACGAGCTGCATCACCAGGCACTGTTGCCATCAGGCTAAGATGGTAGCTTACCTCCGTCTGTTGCCCGTTTTGGGCCTGCTTCTAGCAGACGGCGCCCGAGTAGCTGCTCAGGGCTCTCACGGAATAGCTAATGGAAAGGAAGACTGGACGAAGGGGGAGTCGTCCATTATCCCAGGCGCCTACATTGTCGAGTTCGAAGATGGTCATGTGAGTCAAACTGGTTCCTGCATCCTTTCTGGCTGTTACTTCAGAAACCCATCTTGTCGAGGTCTAACCCCATGGTCAACCATAGGAAGAAGCATCACTGTTCAGCGATCTCCAGCGACACGGCTTTTCCGCAACCAAGCGGCTAAACCTCAACTACACTCTGTTCAAAGGAGCTTCCTTTCAACTGGACTCTGTTGACTTGGATCCCCATTCCACCTCCGCTAAAATCGCGTCTGTTCCCTCGGTGAAGCAGGCGTGGCCCGTTCAACGATACAAGCGACCGATCAATACAACACTCAGCTCGATAAGCAGCGACTCAATTCACTCGCGTGATGTATCGACTCTTTTACGCCGAGCAACTTCGGGAAACGATACATATGCGGTCCATGCTCAGGTTCAGGTTGATAAGCTTCATGCAGAGGGAATCACCGGCAAGGGCATCAGGATCAGCATCATCGACACGGGAGTCGACTTCAACCATCCCGCTCTGGGTGGATGTTTTGGCGAAGGCTGCGTTGTCAGCTTCGGAAGAGACCTGGTTGGTGATGACTACGACGGCACCAACACCCCCGTGCCTGGCCCTGAGCCCTATAGCACTTGTGACGGCCATGGAACACATGTCACTGGCATCATTGGAGCCTTGCCAAACCCCATGGGCTTCATTGGTGCTGCTCCTAATGCGACTATTGGAATGTACAGGGTCTTTGGCTGCAGCGGCGATCTTGGGGCCGATGTTGCCATCGCAGCAGTCAACCAGGCCTTCGAGGATGGAACAGACATCATCACCCTATCTCTCGGCGGATCATCCGGCTGGACAGAAGACTCCTTTTCGGTTGCCGTGTCCCGAGTCGTTGATGCGGGCGTCGTCTGTACCGTGGCCAACGGCAACTCGGGCTCTGCTGGACTTTTTGTTGCGGGAACCCCAGCCAACGGCAAAGGCGTCACTGCGGTCTCGTCGGTCGAGAGTACCTGGACGCCATTCTTGGGGACGGGAGCTTTTGTGAGCACGGACAACTCGACGACGAATCAGACTCTGTTTGTCTACACCCCCGGAGCCTATCCGTTTCCCAGCAACATCACCCTGCAAGTATGGCCAGTAACTCCAGATGTTACCACGGACGGCACTTATGGTGCTTGCAATCTTCTCAGTGACAAGGCGCCGGCCGATCTCAGCGACAAGGTCGTTCTCGTCAAGTATGATTCGGCCTGCGATTCGTGGACGGAAGTGACCAACCTGCAGAAGAACAATGCCACATACTATATGTTCTGGTATGACAGTCCTGGAAAGTAAGTGTTGCCAAGCTCTCCCATCTTTGTCCCCAGACACAAAAGAACTAACTCTTTCTTCAACTGACAGCCCTTGGTCTATTGGGGCTACCAGCGCTTCCGGTCTCGGCATGACTGGCTACTCTCAGGGTGTAGAGTGGCTCAACGAGCTCAGCAGCGGCAAGGATCTCTGGCTGACGTTTCCGGAGTCATCATCGTCCACCAAGGCCGGTGTCTTTGTGCCCAATGCCATCAACCCCAACTACATTGACACCTTCACCAGCTGGGGCCCAACATGGCAGGCTGATGTCAATCCTTCCATCTCCACTCCGGGTGGTACCATTCTCTCTACTTGGCCGTTGCCCTCTGGAGGCTACCAAATCGATACCGGAACTTCCATGGCCACGCCGCTGATGGCCGCTATTTACGCTCTTCTCATGCAAGCCCGAGGCATCAAAGACCCCAAAACACTCCTGAACTTGGTGTCGTCAACGGCTCTGCAGCTACCCTTCTATGATGGAACCAACCTGTATGCAAACGAGCTGGCTCCTGTAGCCCAGCAAGGCGCAGGGCTGGCTCAAGCTTACAACGCCGCCCATACAACGACGCTGCTCAACGTCCCCAACATTGCGTTCAACGACACCGACAACTTTGTGAAAGAGACGAGCTTCACCATTAAGAACACTGGAAAGCAAAGCGTTACTTACACCATTGGCCAGACTCCTGCTCTGACCATGTATACATATGGAAATGGTGACAGTCACTTCCCGGCCCCATTTCCGAATCCCATCGCCGAGGGCGCCTCGGCCAAACTCTCCTTTTCGCAGAGCACGATCACGGTCCCGGCGGGTAAGTCAGCCGATATCACAGTGACGGCCACTCCTCCCCAAGGACTGAACTCCTCCGCAATCCCCGTTTACAGCGGATATGTCACCGTCAACGGCACGAACGGCGATGGGCTTGTTGTTCCTTACCTAGGAGTTGTCGGCAGCCTGGCCAATCTCCCAGTGCTCGATCCCGACTTCAACTACATGATCCACTACAACGTCTACTCAACCGTGCCGGCCGCTGCCAACACCACGTACATTGTGCCCTACCCCAACTCGACGGTCGCATTGCAAATCGACCCTGAACCGGACTATCCCGCTCCCATTATCCAGATCGACGCTGGCACGCCCCTCCTTCGAGCCGACCTCGTCGCCGTGGGCGATACAGCGGACAAGGTCAACACGACCAAGGTGCTGGACGTCGACATCGTTGGCAGTCTGGCTGGCTATCCCCTTCCGTACACTTCGAGGTCGTATTTTGTCAACGCATTTACGGGAATGACCCAGGAGGGTACCGTTGTGCCTGAGGGAAGTTACCAGTTCCTGATCCGGGCGCTGAAAATCTATGGAGATGTAAACAATCCGGAGGATTATGAGAGTATGCTTACTCAGACTTTCAACATTCAGTACAATACCACAGTTTCGGCTTGAGTCGGCAGACTTTGAAGCACCTAGGCACAGATTCAACAATATCAGACATACCTTTGTATCATGATTTTGTCTTCCAGTGACTCGGGAAGGTGTAGAATTCGTAGAGGATGATTGTGAAAACAACGGCGAGGCCAGTAAAACAGTTTATGGAGCATATTATCAAGTCACGAATCATACAAGAACATCCGATATGGTGTAGTGGCTAACATCGCTCGCTCTCATTCTTCGAGTGCCGAGCAGCCCTGGGTTCGATTCCCAGTATCGGAGATTTCTCTTTTTGCAGATTTCACAAGATACCGAGTCGTTCAATTCGCAATAAGCATCTCTTTCTTTTTTTTTTTTCCTTTTTTGCGACTTTGTTTACTGGTGTACATAGCTTCACAGGATGAGGTTGGTTCAATTGGTGAATTGGTAACTGACGGCGCAGCAATTGCATTGAGTCGAGAACTGAACACGGAGCGTGTCGTGGACAGTTCAAGCTAGAGGGACAATATGAACCGCTCTTCTTGCTTTCCTGTTCAATGAATGATCCAGATAATGATTTTGCCCAATGTTAGGAAGAAGTTTCGTTCACTTCCTTTTTTTTTTTAACAGCATCGTCGGATGGTAGACTGGTGTTTCACGGGTCATCGAAGCGTTGCGAACTCACTTCTTTCAAGACTCATAAATTCATACTATTTAAACTGACTCTATCATAACACTTGAACTCGTTACAGCCTCTCTCTCCCAGCTTCATCTAAGCGCAAAGAGTCAAGGTCACGTCTTTGTCGGCTCCACAATTCTTGACCTGCGAGCCAGCAGGAGGGATACCGCTGGTCCAGACAATCTGGGGGCAGGCAGTGTTGGCACTGGAAACAACCACCTTATGGGGGTTAAAGGCGTCGCCAAAGACGTCTGAGAGGTCGTACCAGATGGTGCTGCCCTGGAGGTTGGTGGCAAAGATGGTCTGGGGCTTGCCGGTGTAGAGGCCGTCAGGCTGGATGGTGACCTTGATGGCGCGGCCGCCGGTAACGGGGTCTACCGAGAAGGTCTCGCCGTAGGAGCCGCCCTGGGCGAGGGTCGTGGGTGCAGAGACTGCACTGCCGACGGACCAGAGGGTGACGCTGAAGGGGCACTTGTTGACGACGCGGGCCTTGCCGAGGGCAGAGGCCGACTCGACGAGCGCGGCAATGGCGAGGACGGCGGTGGTGGTGAACTTCATGTTGAAGTATGTTTGAAGACTTGAGCTTTGAAAGGGTAGTTGGTACTGTTGTTGTGAGTCTCGAGAGAGTTGATTGTGAGTCTTGAGAGTCTTTATGAGAGTATGAGCTGATGATCTATTTTGAGAGTCTCGTTTCATGGGAACGAACCTCACCTTTTATATCCCCCAAGCTCCCACTGCTCCTCACGGCGAATGCCTCTTTCGATCCCCTCATACTGCACTTCGTATCGTATGCTTCCTACCGAGCATCCCGTGTGATTCCTGCTCGTTGCGCATAAAATGCTGTCACCAAGCCGGCCAGCACATCCTCGCAGCCTCACGCATTCCGGGGGATCTGCACTATCCACATTACCAGGTTAAGCTTAAAGCCTCTCAGAATACGAGCACCGCGATGCCTAAATCAGCGTCGACCTGGGCGGTGAAAAGGCCTCGATGCGGCTGAGAGCCTCAGCAGATGGGTTGTACAGTCGAATACGAAGCCTCTTGTTTTTCATTCCATTGCGTAAAACAAAGAGACTGCCCATGTTGTTTTGCCTGCAGAAGACGAGAATAGAGTCAGCTCAGAAAGGCTCCGGCTGGATGTCAGGTAATGCCGGCCCGCTGGCGGAGGAGCTTTTGGCGGGATCGACGCGCCAAGCATCGTATTTCTGGGATGCGGGGGTTTCCAACTCAGACAAGTCCCGAGGCTGGGATTCGCCAGAGAGGGCGATGCTAGGATGCAAGCGGAATGGTGTTTTGGCTCGGGGCCTGGCATAAGCCCAGAGGGCCCCCGAGCCGTGCCTCCTCCTCGGAGCTGAAGCTCACATATATGAATGGATGAGATCATGTGTGCTGAGCTTAAGCATCAGCCCACAGACGGCTGGTCGGCGGCATGATGAGAGCTGCCAAAGTCTAGAACAGTTCCGCTCCGTTCGGGTAAGGTACCAAGAGTCGGGCATCGCGTCGGGTCATTATGGAAGGGCTGAGCTGTGGGCTGAGCGGGTTGAATGATGCAGCTGGTGTCGTATCATGCAGCCAAATGCAGGGCGAAAGCATGGCCACGGCTTGGGTGGCACAAGAAAAACGTATGACAGGCACCACACGTAACGGTTGACTACGTTACCTCGGTATATGCTTAGAAGGACGTACTTTGTCCAGCAGTTGCTCAGTAGAACTTCATCGGACCAAGGTCTACTCCAACTCCGTAAAAGCCTGGTACATGTAGGCTTTCAGCATTATGCATCCTGTAAGCAACCACATGTTTCATTCGTCATGCAGTGGAATAGAAGAATGACATGAGAATTCTATATAACTATCTATGTATTTTATGCTGACGCAGTGCTATGCATTAGATGAAGCGAGACTGACCAGTTGTGACTCGATTTCACTCATCATAACCTCGTCGCCTTTCCAGGACCATCTGCTAGTCAATTGCTCGCCTTGATGAAACCCCCCGGCAGCACCTTTGCCCCCTCCACTCCATGCCACCAGTTGACACGATGAGCCGCGAAAATCACGTACTGGGGACGGAGCTTGGTCTCGTGCAGCGTGAAATCATCGACAGTGCCGATTCTCATGAAGCTCCTGTCCGGCGAGAGTGCGCTTCTGCGATACATGAGGGTGCCGCAGGTCTTGCAGAAGTAGTTTGCCATTTCCGTCCCCGAAACCGGCGTCTTGTCCTGGCCCCAGCGGCTCAGGTTGTCCTCGCCGCGAAGGTACCTGATGTAGGAGTTGTCGACGGTGAAGTTGGAGGCGAACATGGAGGCGGTGACTTTGCGGCAGTCGAAGCAGTTGCAGACAAAGGTGTTGATTAGGCCTGGGGCTTCCGTAGGCTGATTTTCCCAATCAATATGTCAGTCAATAGGATCACCAAGATTTGTGAGTTATGTCACAGAGGTGTCGATGTTGAACGTACAAATGCTATTTGCACAGCGCCGCAGAGGCAAGTGGCTGTTGCTTCAGTATCGGTGGACCAGCCATCTCGAGCAACTCCGGAGAGGGCAAAGTTCTGGGATTGAGATTGGCTGCCCATGGTGAATGAAGTTTCGGTTTTCTTTTGATGTCCTTGGAGGGATGATATAGATGGTATAGATGGTTCGGTTTGGATGGAGCGTTTGCTTGTTGGTTCAGTGGTGATAGATTCATCGTCTTCGAGACTCATCCCCTCTATATATACCTGTGAGGTTCCATACACACAGCATTTCAATTGATTCCTCATCTCGAGCTTCGAATCAATATATCACGTCGACAGCTCGACGTAACAAACATCCTTCCATCACCGCCTTCTCTCCCATTTCCCCATTCAGTAATTTTCGTCTTACAGGGTAGTTTCGCTTCCATGATGTCACTAGCCAGGAACTCGGCAGGTCAGTTGGTAAGGCTAGAATGGAGTACGTAAGCGGGGCGGCAGTTCTCTATTCGGTAAATCAAGCCTGGAGGAGTTTAGCGGCGCACGGAAGATGCCGCTTGCCTTTTCTAGTTTCCCCTCAGAACATTGGAAATTCCCCAATTGGAGTGTCTTGGTCAGCTTGCCTTCAGTGGGCGATCAATTGGGTTCAAACGTTTAGACGTCGGTATCGGCTTCTGCATGCTTGCAACTGCCTTGATTGCTTGAGACCAACCTCGGTTCTCTTAGGGACGAGGGACTTATTCAGCCGAGTTGAGATGCCTCAGGCACGCTGCAGCGGTTGGGAGTGAAAGAGGCAAGAGCGACGTGATGGCAATGTCTCACTATGAAGGTGGGGTTGGTTCAACCATCCACCCATCAGAGGAAGCCGCGATGGAGAGCTCGGCAAATCCTTCACCACCTTTCAAAAATTCCATGAAACCTCAATCATTATAGCGATAAACTAGCAATAAACCACCTATCTCGGCCATCCCCAATAAACGTCATTGCAGCCACACAAGCACGTACGAATGATCTCTCATGCTCACTCTTTTGTCCAAACTCCCTCAATCCTCGACTTGCGCAGCACCAGAGCCGCCAGATCCGCAACTCGCCCGCTGGTCAGCAGCTCCAGCACCTGCAGATGAGCCTGCAGCTCCTTTCCAATCCAATTCCGCAGCTCAATGGCGTTGAGCGAATCAAGCCCGAAAGCCGTGATGGACGTGTTTCCCTGCCGTGCCGCCATGACCTCTTCCGGCAGCATCAGGATGGCCCCGAGCTTGTCTCGAAGACCAAGCGTCACGACCTCCTGAGCTTCTTCTTCGGTCGTACATCTTCGAAGCTGCTGAGAGACGGACAGCTCTTCGGATCCCGACGATTTATCTGCATCGGCTGATGAGGCGAGCAGAGCATCACGGAGGTGAGTAAACTTGGCATCCGAGGCGTAAAACGGCATTGACGATGCGTTGTCGAAACCCAGTCCGGTAACCACCTGCCCCTGGCAGAAACTATCCACTTTGCCTGTCATGGCGGATTCGATCAATGCCAAAACCTCAGCCTCGCCCACAGTGTTGTCGGACAAGTTCCTCATGACCTGTGACATCTTGGCCGCATTGTCAGCGAGGTAACCAACGCCTTCGACCGCGGCGAGATCGATAGACGCGGCTGCCAGGCCTCTGCGTCTTCGGTGCAGGACAAGGGCATCGAGATACGTGTTGGCAGCAGAATAATGTGCTTGGCCCCTGTTGCCCACGATGCCAGCAACAGAGGAGAGAACGATGAAGAAGTGGAGGGGAGCATCGATGAGTGCGTCATGAAAGTTCCATGCTCCGGAGATTTTGCTTCTGACAACGGCCTCATAGTCTTCAAATGTCATCTTCTCGAAAAGGACGTCCTACGAGGTCGGTTAGTGATGGATCAGGAGACGCCGACAATGCCGTCCAATGGCTTGGTGGCATCCAAAAGGAGGGAAAATACATACTTTGAGGACCATGGCAGCGTGAATAACGCCCCTGATCGGAGGCATATCCTCTTGAAGCTCATCCACCAACGATCGGACGCTTTCCGCATCTGCAACATCACAAGGCACAACGTATATCGAGGCACCCAGCCTTCGGCTCTCTTTCATCAACTTGCTCACGTCATCTGTGATCTTGCCGCTCCGAGAGAGCAGGATAATATGACGAGCACCTCTCTTTACCATTCGCCTTGCAATAGAGCGTCCAAGACCACCTGTTCCGCCAATGATGAGGTATGTTGCATCGCGCTCCAGCATATCCGAGCGAGGTGCAGGGTGTGTGGCCCTGACTTGGCTTCGGCCGCTATGCGTCACCACCAGTTTGCCCGTCGTCTTGCCGCTCTGCAGCCTGCGAAGTGCTCCTTCAACCTCCTGGATGCTCACGGGAGTGATGGGCCCAATGGGATTGATCGTCTTATTCTCGAGGAGACGCATGACGGACGCAAAAGTGCGCTCCATAATCTTGGGCCTCTCTGCCGCAACAAGCGTCAAGTCCACTGAGCTGAACGTGCAGTTGAACTCGAGCTTGGCCATCTCGAGCCTTGTGTTCTTCGTGATGTCTCGCTTCCCCAGCTCGATAAAGCGACCAAACGGTGCAAGACACTCCCAAGTCTCGCGAAGAAGATCACCCGCCAGCGAATTGAGCACAACATCAACCCCATGGCCGCCAGTGGCCTCTCTGATCGCTGGGCCAAACGAAGCATCTCGACTGTAGAAAATGCGATCTTCGGAGATGCCATACGTCTCCATCAAAAGCTGCTTCTTGTCCGCACTCCCAACTGTGGCGTATATCTCGGCGCCTATCATCTGGGCCAGCTGGATGGCTGCTTGACCAACACCACCAGTTGCGGCATGGATCAATATCTTTTCACCAAGCTCCAGCCGGGCGAGGTCCATGATGCCATAATAGGCAGTGCAATATACAACGGGAATGGACGCGGCCACCTCAAAGCTCATATCGTCGGGGATGACAGCAGCGCTAGACTCGAGGCATCGAGAGTACGTGCTGTAGGCGCCCAGAGACATGGCGCAGACACGATCGCCAACTTTGAGGGAACGAACATGAGCACCGATCCGAGAAATTACACCGCTGCATTCGACTCCGAGGTACGGACTGGCCACTTGGCCCATGGCGATAACCACATCCTTGAAGTTCATGCCTGTGCACGCCACTTTGATTTCGACCTCGTATGGGCCCAAGGGCGTCTCCTTCTCGTCCTTCCAATACAGAGAGTCGAGAGCACCATATGTGCCAACAGCAACCTTGAGGCGCCGTCCCGGCTGCTCAAATGGCTGTGCATATGGCGGTGCGGCCGAGGCCTCTGTGTCGTGAAAGATGGCGAGATTCATGTCATCTTGCTTGACAAGGCGGGGGACCATGAGTGTGCCAGCCTCTTCGGCGAACTCATAGTCCACCGGGGTGTCGCCTTCTGGCAACGCCATAGAGACTTTGGCGGCACGAAGGATGAGCTCGGCTGTGTCACGGACATCGAGTTTAGAATGGGGGTCCAGATCGAGAGAGGCTACGGCCTTGCTCGCCTCAGAACGGACAGTGCGCAGGAGCCCCTGCGAAATGTTGGCCTCTGGACGTTCTGCGAATCGATATGCTCCCGAGGTCACCCAAAGCACCGACTGGCAGTTGGTTAGAAGATTCTGCATCTTCTCAAATGTGTCTGCTGTCATGTTGGCAAGAAGCGGCTCATCTATCTCTGCCAAACAGATATAGCAGGTGGTGGGCTCAGGAGTGACGTCGAAGAAGTTGACAAGGTGCGGCCTCTTCGCGGTCCGCAACTCCAAGAGGTCGAGGAGAGCCTCTACCAGTGGTTCGCTTCTATCATGTCGAGATACGAGGACAAACTCGGCATCAGCTAGGCTGTTGGCACGCTCGTGCACCGCAATCTCGCCATGCGTTCCGTTGCCGTTGCTGCTTGTGATGCCGTTCTTGGTTCCTGGAACTTCTAGAGGACTGTTGGCGTTATGGCATCCATTCCCATTGACCTTGTTGCCATTTGTTTCCCCAAAGCCTTGAGTGGATTCCTTGAGATGGCCGTTATGCCCATTGCCGTTTGTCGTTGTCCCGTTGAGAGATGTACCATCTGTATGTCCGTTTCCAGCGGACGTCGTTTCCTTTTCTTCTCTATCCGTCTTCTCCTTTATCCCATCGAGGGACTCCCATTGTACGCTGTAGCATATGGATCGCGGGCTCGGAGTCTCATCGATGTCGCCATTTACGGGCGTCATTCTGAAGCCACTGATCTTCACCACGGGCTCAAGGGCATCTTTATACCACGTATCAATGACAAAGTCGACAGGCCCAGGAGCTGCAAAGTCTGGGCAGCCGTGAGCAACAACCTGCACTTGCTCGCCAGGAGACTTTGGTAGTTTGCTACTCAATTCGATCTCTTTGACGGCTGATGGCATGAAGAGCGAAGGCATCTCGCCGCTACCGGCGCCGAGAATCGGAAAGGTAAGCTGAAACAAAAGATCCACGAATGCTGCTGGTGCAATAGACGCTGACTCGAATGAAGCAGGCATTGTCACCGCTGTATCGGGAATGGCTAAAGAGGTAGTAGAGTATTGCTGGTGTATCTGGATGTTGACGCTTGGGGAGATTCGGAAAACTCCGCTATATCCAGCTCCGCGAGCTTCCAGTTCTGCATAGAAGCGGTCCAGGGGGAGCTGTTTGCAGCTCATGCTCATGATGTGTTTGCGACGAACTGAAGCGGAACGCAACAGGCCAGCGCTGACTGGATTCATCGGCACAGCCTTTCTAATCCCGACGAGGCCGCTGCAATGCTCTAGCCAACCCCTGGCCGAGGTCCACGAGGAAACGCGGAACTCATCCCAATCATTCGAATCGGACCTCGTACCCTCCGCATAAGGTTTCAGTGAGAATACAGTCTCATATGGAGCGCCGTCGTCGAGGATGAGGGCCTTTGAGACTTGGATTTCACGAAGGCGAAAACCTTCGACCTGCTCGGCTGGGATACCTCGCAAATGAGCCCGCTGTGACGCCGCCTCCACAGCCATGCAGATATAGCCTGCGAGGGGGAAGGTTGCCAGGGACTGCATCCGATGGTCCTTGAGCCACGGAACATCATCTGTCGAGATGACGTTTTTCCATTTTGGCTCAAGCTCGCTGTATGAGTCCTCCAAGAGACCCAGGAGGTCATGACGCGGAAAAGGTTTCTGGCGCAATTGCTTTGATGAACGAGGCTCGAACCAGTACTTGTGTTGTGACCAAGGGTACGGATGAAAGTCTGTAATGACAGCAGGCGGTTGGACGCCTTCATTTGGATGGTTGAGTCTCCCAAAATCGATTGCGTGGCCTTTGACAAACAATTGGCCTGCGCAGTTCAAAGCCGTCACGGTGGCGTGTTGGTTACGAATGAGGCAAGGCAGATATTTGGTTCCCATGGCTGCTTGAGGGCTGATACCCTTCAAGATCTGCTTGATAGGGCCCTCGAGGGCAGCATGTGGCCCAACTTCGACAATGACATCTGGCTTCTCGCCAAGGTACAGCTCTTTGAGAGCTGTAGAAAAGAGCACGGGGTTTGTCAGATTTTCGACCCAATAAGATGGACCAAGGGACGACGTCGAATCGAGCTTACAGCCCATCAGTGAGGAGTAGAATTCGACACCAGAGGTTGCTTGAGGGGCCATGTATTTGATGGCGGCCTTGTAATCATCTGCAATCAGCTGCATGTGAGCAGAGTGATATGCCATGTTCACTCGCAACTTGCGGTTGAAGACGCTTTGACGCTCCAGCTCTGCAGCAAGTCTGTCGACAGCTTCTTCGTCTCCGGAGGCCGTGATAGAACTTGGAGAATTCTCGCAGGCCACGGTGACTCCCTGCAGCCCCTGAGTCTTGATGATGCTCTTGACGTCTCCAGCCCCCGCACCAACAGCCAACATGGCACCTCGAAGATCTGGATGCTTGAATTTCATACCCGAGGCTACCTTTCCGCGCCAATAGGCGACAGACATGGCATCCTCGAGGCCAATGGCACCGGCAGCGAAAGCAGCCCCAATCTCTCCGCTGGAGTGGCCAATGACTGCCGATGGCATGACTCCCCAGTTCTCCAAGAGTTTTGTAAGGCCCAGCTGAATCGCTGTGCAAGCAGGCTGCGAGATGTGCGCCTCGTTGATCAGTGTCTCTTCTTTCCCCTTGACCAGTTCGTCTACTAGGGAAAACTCGGCGCCAATTTCTTGCAGATAGTCGCTACATCTTCGAACGGTGCTGGCGAATACCGGATGGCTCACCATGAGCTCCTTGCCCATTCTAGCCCACTGGGCGCCCTGGCCGGTATACACGAAAGCCACTTTCGGCTCATGGGAGGAGACCGCAGGAGCTGCTCCAATGCCGTTGAGAGCATTCGCGAGCTCATCGCACGACGATGCCGTGATTGCAATGCGCCACTGGAGATGTGTCCTCCTCTCACCGAGCGTGTAGGCCATGTCCCTGGCCAGGCGCTTCTGAAAGACCTCGGGATGCTGCTCAATGTAGATGCCGAGCTGTTCGGCTACGCGCTTTGCTGCGCTTTCATCATGAGCGGATAGGACAAATAATCTGGGGACCTCGTTCTGAGTATCTTGAGGAAGGTCGGCAATTGAGAACGGAACCTTCTCCAGCACGACGTGCGCATTGGAGCCTCCGAAGCCAAAGCCGTTGATGCTGGCGAAGCGCTTTTGACGAGGCCACGGCCGTATACTGGTCGGAACTTTGATGTTCCATTCGTCAAGGGGGATAGCTTCATTGGCCTTCTCAAAGTTGACGTTGGGGAGGATGAAACCCTTTTCGAGCATCAAGGACGTTTTGATAACGGAAATGATTCCACTTGCATTTTCCAGGTGGCCGACGTTTGATTTGACGGAGCCCATGAATAACGGCGCGCGCTTCGTGCGGCCGGCTCCGAAGACGCGGTATATGGAATGAGCCTCTATGGGATCTCCAGCTCGCGTCCCGGTTCCATGAGCTTCGACATAGCCAGTGTCGTCGGGAGAGATACCGGCTCTGGCATAAACATCGCGAATCAAACGCTCTTGAGCTTCGCCACTGGGATTTGTCAGTCCGGTTGTTTTCCCGTCCTGGTTCGTGCCGGTATTGATGATGATGGAGCGGATCTTGTCGTTGTCCGCCAGAGCCTTGTGGAGAGGTTTGAGGATGAGGCAGCCAGTGCCTTCACCCCGAGCGAAGCCAGACTTTGCTCTGTGGTCGAAAGCAAAAGTCTTGCCATGCTCATTGAAGAGACTGCAATTATGTCAACAGATGCTCGTCTTGAACATCGCATTGCTTGGACTGAAAGAAACACACTACTCACCCTAACAAGGACATGGACACCATGTCGTGAGGCTGAAGGTGCAAACTGGACGCCGCGACAATTGCCGAGTCTGACTCTCCTGAGCGGATACTCTGCACTGCCAAATGCAGCGCGTAAAGACCAGATGAACAGGCCGTGTCTGCCGCGAACGAAGGGCCATGAAGGTTGAAGTAATACGAGATGCGCCCGGCTTGGATGGACTGATGATTGCCCGTGGCATCGTACATGGGTATCTGGTCAACCTCTTTCAGGGTGCCCAGTCGATAGTCCGAGGAGGTGCCGCCGATGAAGACCCCCATATTGCTTCCAGAAACAGCATTTTTTGGAAGCCCGGCGTTCTCCAGAGCTTCATACGTGCATTCCAAGAGATGCCTCTGTTGAGGATCTGCCGGCAATAGTGAGTCTTCAGGATACATATACTCAAGCAGACGTTGCTGCCGCACAAGAGAAGGAGATGTTCATACCCATAGCCTCGGCCTCCTGTTTGGTGATATGGAAGAATGGTGCATCGAAAGTCGACAAGTCACCGTTCATGAAATAGCCACCTTGGTTGTTGAAGCAACCCTTTTTCTGCGGATCCGGATGATGGAAGGCCTTGGTTGCGAATCTCTCCTCAGGAATCGGCCGCCAGCCATCACGGGAGCGCGACAGCATGGTCCAGAAGTCGTCAATTGTCGAGACATCTCCCGATAGACGGCATGACATGCCGACTATGGCAATGGGCATCGGGCGTTGCCCATCCATGTCTTGCTTCGAGGACGACATCTTGATCAGCGAGGGAGCCTCGACTGCCAAGTCGTCAAAGATGTCGAGGAATAGGTCTGCGTGGGAACAATTACGACCTGTATCCCATGATTCGAAGGGAATTACGAAGTGAGAAGCAAAGTCTGGTGCGGGAAGAATGGTTTAATACAACGGACTTTATCGTCATACTACCTCAGGGGAGCAGCTTCAACTTCGCAGATTAGATGACAGGCCCTCGATAAGAGACATGTATCAGAACGAAAAGGGAGCCACCGAAGCGACTGTCAGCCAACATAACCCTGTTTTTTTCCGTGAACATCAGCTCAGCACTCCATGGCTGGCGGGCATCAGCAGTTTGCGGATTTGAGGCACAGCGCCACGCTACCGTAGGGCCGGTAATTACAAGAAAGCCAGCTCGTGGAACACCCAGGAATGCCATAATTAGCGGAGGGGGCCATTATTCTCTTGTTCTACAAGGAATAACAGGGGCCGCTCTCGATGAGTCCGTGTTGGGAATGTCTCACTGGCGTCTGCCCCTTGGACTCCCATTTGCTGCTGCATGCATCAAGCCACCGGATATCCTTCCGCCGACCCATGGAGTCTCGAATATCTTTTCAACTGGATCCTGACCATTTTCAGAGGATTTGGCCATGGAGAGTGAAATTGCGTCAGTTGTGCGGATTTAAAGCTTGCCCACTCTATCAGGCATAGAAGATGCAGCCATCAAGACAGAGATATTGCGGTTGACGTGATTCTGACTGTCGTTACACATACACGATAACGGGGGCCGAGGAGCTTACTATCTATATTGCGTGTTGTTCCCCCTCAGCTGTGCCGAATGTACTGCGATATTACACGTGGTGTAACACTAGCCAAATTGTCAGATGCAGGCGGCATCATCTTTGACCAAGGCAACGAGACACGCTCAACATCGCGGCTCAAACTGGCCGTGGTCGATACATTTATAATATGAGCTGTCAGTTATTGGGCCTTGTTAGTCTCGCAGTGACCCCTCAAGGGATGGTAATGCTAGCATTTCTTGAATTTGCAAGACATGTGGGTGGCTTAAGGATTGTCGCTTTCTCTGGAAGGGAAAGTATTTGGAGATGATGGAGCTCGGACAACAGAAGTAGTTGTAGGATCAACAAAGCTACATCCTGGCATCGCTAACCTAATGAGGAGAGGTTAGAAGGGCGTCTCTGAGCTCAGAAAGACGGGAGGTTGGCGATCTGCCGGCTAGATGTGTGTCCCTCCCTTGCCAAATACGGACACGGCCTGGTTATCCGGAGGCGTTGCGTTGTGTAACGGTCTCATTTGCCGCTTTCCACGTGTGGCTTCCTCTTGCATATCTGGCGCGATGAGCTGATGACCTTGGCCATTGTCTGCAGGTATAATCCGGGCTTGCTGGCTTCAGCAAACTCTTCAAGTTCTCCTTGCATTTTGTTCGGCATAACTCTGCCCGTGGGGAGCATTTGGGGAGAAAAATGTAGGTCTCTGAGGTATCACTCAAGCCACGAGCGGGCGGATCCGTCAAATTTTGGTTGAAAGCGACGTGCTCCTGCGGGACTGTCTCAGATTGAACACGATGTCTCCGACTTCGTGCCGCCCCGGTTTCGTCCCCTACACTAAATTGTGGGTTGCGGCCTATCAAGGGACTACTTGTATGTCCTCCATATTCTATGTTGGATTGTTGGCACTGATATGTTCCACATGCTCCCTACACAAGGGGAAGTGCGGTCTCTAACGAAAGAGGGACTGTGTGATAAATCAAGGATCATTCTCTGGACCTATTATTTCTTGCCTGGGGGACTTGGATTGACGACCTACATTCGTATCAACCCCCGACATCATGAAGGTTCTTTGTCTTCACGGTGCCTTTGGCAGCGCTTCTGTGAGTTTAGAAGGGCCGGTGATGGAAAGTGTTGACCTGATTTACTAACGAATTATTTTCTTTTGGGTGCTCAGAACTTCAGAGTTCAGCTCGGCATCTTTGCCGATGCCATCAAACAGCCGGATATCGAGTTCAAATGGATCAATGGCTTCACGAATGCAACGCCACCGGCCGGCTTCGACGACTATTTCGGCGCTCCACCTCTGTATCGGTTCATAGACGTTGATGGCATGAGCGAGCTGGAGCAAATGGTCGTCAAGATCAGGGACATTCCTCAGGGAGACTCTCCTGAAGAGACAATGAGAAAGCTGGTTGCCGACAAGGAGCAATTTACTACCCCAGCTGTAACCATGGCACTGAGCCAGCTTTTGCAGCTTCTGGATGATGATCCGGAGATTGATGTCAGTTGGAATTCTCTCTCATGATATGGAGCTTATCACCACTGACACGGCTGTGTAAAGGCGATACTGGGCTACTCGGAAGGGGCTACAGTTGCAAGTACTCTGATCCTAGAAGAGCAGCGTCTCTTCAGAGAGCAAGGCCGCCCTCGGCAGATTAAGGTTCGCTGACATTGTCCTCTTACCCTCCTGCTGTGTCTTCCCGCTTAACTGACAATGAGCGCCAGTGTGCCATCTTCTTTGCGGGCTGGCCTCCGGTTCGCATCGTCGATGGTCGTGTTAAGACGCTGCTCGCAGACGAGCACGACGAAATGATTGACATACCGACATGTCACGTTGTAGGCTGTAACGATCCGTATATTGATGGCGCGGTAGCGCTGTACGGAATGTGCGATGGAGATATGGCGATTTTGTTCGATCATGGGAAAGGACACACGGTGCCGCGGGACGAGACCACGGTGAGGGAGTTGGCAGAGACGATTGAGAAGACATTTGATCAAGCTGCGTCGTTTGTTCACTGAGTGGGTATCAACGGATTCGGGGATATTCTATAGATTCGAGCAAGAAATTAGTCTACATGCATATCGTGTCCGTGAAGCAAGATGTCTCGCAACAATTGTAACTCTCACGCTGTCCGCGTTCTTCTCAATGCAACAGCCGTAGTGTTCACGATGAAGCAAACGAGTTCAGGGGTATTTCTGCCCATTCTGGCCGGAAGCTATCGTACCTATTGCGGGGAGACGATATCGTTTCGCGTAAGGTCCGACTCAAGAAGCGGTGGAGGCTTTTTGGCCTTTGTCTGAAAACGGCATCAGCGAGTCTCGACTTCAACTTTGCTGTGCTGAAAGATAACCACGATAAGTCGGTCCTTTTCCACACACGCTTGCAGCTAGATGAACAATTTCGACGCCTCCAAGGGTCAGTGATACTCAATATCTGTTTGCACACGCGTTCAAAGGTGCAGTGAATGGTTATGGTGTTGTTTTCAATCTTTGACTTGTTCAATTGGATAAGAAGAGAGAAAAGGGAGCAAATCCAGGGGGCCGTATCGTCCAAACCAGCGGTTTGAGACAACACAATGAGGCTAGGACAATTGCGATGCTTCCAATCCGGGTTTCCGGAAGAACAAAAGCTCCTACGGATTCACTCAAGGAACAACAGACAAGGAGACAAGAGGAACAGACGCACTGGGGCTTGAGGCTTGCTCGTACGGTCGAGTTAGCTAGATAGCGGATGGAGAGTGAGCAATATGTGAAGGAAAAGAGAGGCAGCTGTCAGGCACCTGCACGCCACCCAGCCAAAGCCGAGCAATTCACTTCATCGAGGGCCTACACGCACAAGAAGGAGAAATTTCTATCCTTCTTCCTGCAAGACATTTCTTCCCTTCACGCAACCCTCCTTCCTTCAACCCTTTCATCAACCTCACGAGCCAACAAAGACAGGTCTGAGACACAAGACATCGCAGCCATGGCACCCTTCATCTCCAAGAAGGTGTTGATGATCACCAACATCGAGCGTGGCGAGCTCAACGTCTTCCTCGCCGCGGCGTCATCTCTGATGGCTGCCGACCCCGACCTGGATCTGCATCTCGCGACCTTTTCCGGCGCCCAATTTGCTCTTCCCAAGGGCCTCACGTATCACGAGATCAAGGGCATCCCCATGTCCGAGGCCCTCCAGCAGTACTTTACTCGCACGCAGGGACACGCCAACTTCCCAGACTCCTTCACCAAGAAGCCAGGCTTCGTCAACACCCAGCAGGCAATCAAGGATGCCACATCGACCTCTGTTCCCTACACAGGACGCCAGATGGTCGACGTTTTCACCTCCACCGTTTCCATCATCAAGGACGTCCAGCCAGACTTGGTCGTCGTGGACAGCCTCATGGCGGCGGGTCTGACAGCCTGCTACGACCAGGGCATCAAGTTCATCTGCCTGGGCCCGACTTCCATCAAGGAATTCGCAATCTCCTCGCAGCCTCGCGCAGCCGGACTCTGGAAGTTCCCAGCGTAAGTGACTCGTTTCTTGCAAATGATGACTTGGACTGACGATATTGCTGCTCAGCCTCTTCTCTGGCTTCTCCTTTCCCGTGCAGTGGCACAAAATCCCCCTCAACCTTTACTATGCCTTCTCCAAGGTTAGGGCCTTCAAGAAGGACAGTCAAAGAAAGGATGTTCAATCGTACTTGAACGCCCACTGCGTCATCAGAACCCCGGTTGACCTGATCACCAACCGCCCCAAGGACGTCAAGATCTTGGTCAGCAGCCTCCCCGAGCTGGACTATCCGCTCAAGGTCCCTGATCACATCATCCCCTGCGGACCCGTGGTGCGAGCCTACGCGCCCCTCTACAGGAGCAACCCCAAGCTGGCTGAATGGCTTGCTAACGGACAGACGATCCTCGTCAACATGGGATCTCTGGTCAAGGTCTCGGAGCCCCAGGCCGTGGAGATGGCGCGAGCCCTCAAGGCTGCCATTGATCGTTTCGACCAGGACGGTGAGAAGAAGCAGCTCCAGGTCTTGTGGAAGCTCCAGAAGAAGGGCAAATACTCCGTCTTTGCGCCGGAATGCATGCTCGCCCACGTTCTTGGCCGAGAGTTTGCCTTTGATCGCGTCCGAGTGGTTGACTGGATCCAACCCGAGCCGTTGTCCATCCTTCAGACCGGCGATGTCATTTGCTCCGTCCATCACGGCGGCGCAGGCTCGTTCAACGAGGCCATTGTGTAAGCTTTCCGCCTCAGTCCCCCCCTTTCCCTTCTAGAAAGCATCAACTGACGAGCATTCCTTCATTATATACAGCACCGGCGTTCCGCAAGTCGTCCTTCCGGCTTGGGCAGACAACTACGACTACGCTCAGCGTGTTGAGCTTCTCGGCGTTGGCCGCTGTGGCAACAACGCCACGAAGCCTCGCTGGACTTCGGGAGAGCTCACTCGTTCGATGCTTGAGGTGCTGGTGGGCGACACCGCAGCCGCGATCAAGGAGAAGGCGGCCCATCTGCAGGAAGTCTGCCAGATGAATGGTAGCGGCGCTGATAATGCGGCCATTGCCATTTTGCGCGAGTGCGATGTTCTCTGAATCCTGACTTTTACATGGTGGATGGGTGAAGAGCAACAAGATCTACTGCTGCTTCTTCTTCAGGGCTCGGATATGCCAAAGTAGGGTACATGGAACGGATGATGATTTGATGAACAAACTGGGCCTGACAATATCATACGTCGCCCTTTTCGCTATGTTAACAGGGACTTTGATTCCCAAGGGTAGGAATGGGGTTAAGGGTTTGTCACTTCCTTCGGATAGGAACATGTTCATGGACGGAATAACATGGCATCGTTATATTTCGGCCAGCTTCCTTGCAGTTGTGTGCTACGCTTGTAGTCCGTAGGTGCTTCATCGCCATGTTCCAGTGAGCCTGAATATCCATGACTGTCCAAACCATTGACACCCCGCCTACGGTCACGAAGAACCATGCATATCACCACAATTTCTCTTGGTGAGGAAGCAAGCGAAGGAAAAGTATTCAATATCCTCATTGGATGATGAGCTTCACGCTCTACGATCATGCACGAAGGACTACTGCCGGCCATCTTCTTACCTATTCCGAAAGAGCATAGTAGAGACCTGGCTAGATCTGCCTGTGCCTTAATTAATGCGAGTCGACATGAAAAGCACGTTTGATCTGCGGCGCCCCAGCCTGGGCCAGGGCTTCTGCCTCCAAAGCCCCGTCCTCCAGCCACATGGGAGTTCCTTGTTGCATACGGAGTACGGTAGGTAGAGGGGCACGCCTGGGTTATGCAGACGTTGCATGGTACGCCCTCGTATCGCCCTTGTTCCCCCCTCTTTTCCCATTTTCCCTTTCTCCTTTGCTTGCCGGGGGAAGGATCAGGAGAAGTAAGTGAAGAGAGGTAGCGAGGTAGGATTAGAGAAAGACCGGGAGGATGAGAGGATGGGAGCGGGGAAGGCATCACGCACGAGGCCGAGGGAATTCCGCAAAGTGCCGTGCCAATGGGGGTTCAAGATCTAGCAGGATGCCAGCTTCGGAGCCGAAGCAATAACCTACAAGGACGGAGGTAAAGGCGCGAATCGAATCAATGACGCAGTTTGTCTCACGCACAATGCTTCAGACTGGTCCATCTCGGAAGAAAAGGTTGCCCGTGACCTGGTTTAACCCCATCACCCGTCCTTGTCACGATGTCGCATCCTGGCAGCCCTCTTTAATCTTTCTACGAAGTACCGATAAGCATCAGTGCCGCTAGACTATGGCGCAAAGCGGCCCGTATCGTTATGGCTTTCTCCCTCGCGAGGGAAGTATTGAAAGGAGGAGGAGGAGGAGGAGTAGAAGGAGGAGATGGCCAATCGGGCGGGCGCTTTCTTCACCATGCTGGCGCGATAGGTCTCTCGATGGGGAGCATGGCCCTCCCTCTGTACTCTCCTCCGCGTCTTTTATTGACCACGCCCCCCATTCTTGGGGTTGATTCTGGGGGTGTCATGCGCGGGCTGTCGCGGGATAATGGTGTCGAGGGCGGCATGGCCCTTCTGGGCACTAGCAGCGGAGAGGGCTTGGGGGACAGCAGACCGGCCGGCTGGGGTGTCGGTTTTTGGTGGTCGGCTTGACGGACCCCGTGGTTGCTGATCAATCAAACGCCGCTTCTTGTATTATCTCCCCGGAAAGCCTGGGGATGATGATCAAAATTGCCATAAAAGCAAGCGGTAGTAATCGTATAGTAATACAGCCCGGGAAGAGGAAGGGTTCAGTGGCAGATCCGGTCAGGCCGGATCGTCCCCCTTTTGCGGACGGTGCTTCTGCGGTTTGACGCGTCTGCTTGTCAAATCAAGACAAAGCGAAACGGAGATCCAATCGAAGCAATCAAATGAAAGCAGTAATCGGAGCCGCACCAGCAAATCAGACCAAGCGGGCTGATCTGATCTTTTGTCAAGCGCGAGTCAGACTGACGAGAGACGATGACGATGGCTGACAGGCCTGGGCATCCCTCATGATGGCTATACCACAAAATCCGATCCGAGACTGAAACCCAATTCTCCTGCCAAAGCCAATTGGCAATTGCCAAACGCCAATTGAGTCCCCGAGCGGCGGCAAAGGGCAATTGATGGATGGATGGATGGGTTGGACGGATCGATGGAATCATCGGGGCTTGATTTCCCAACCCTTTCCCGCGCACACAGCTTCTGTAGAGTATCGGCAGCAAGCTGATGTGTGTCTGGAACTCTTATCGGGAGCATCAATCATATTACAATCTCGCGTCACTTGCTCACTTCGCTACACCTTCGTGCATATTCCTTGTCCGAAGGGGGGAGGCCAATGGGAAGAGACTCGTCGGTACTTTGCTCCGGCGAGTCTTTCCCTTGTCAACTGTCGAGACTCGCGGACCTTCTTAAAGACACCCCTCCCTCCCTGCCTCTGTATCTTCATCCTCTGGCTCCCCCACACTCCAAAATCAGACCGACCCGAGCTAACGAGGAGCTCGAACCGCCCGCCCGCTCCAGGAGGCTTGAAGGCATCCGCTGAGATGACGTTGACGTACGTCTGGCATGTCTGAGCTCTTTTGCTGCGGTTCTTTCGCATGGCCGCGGCGCGCCAGGCGGTAAAACAGATGGATAGTGGTGGTGGTGGTGGTGGACGACCAGTATTCGAACTTCTCGAATTGCGCCCCAAGATGCAGGCGACGGATCCGTCAATTGGAAGCCCAGGCAGAGACACATTCCAGCCGCAACAGGGCTGAAATTCCTCCTAGTATCAGCCGCAGCTAGGCGAAGGGGTAACGAAATACCTTATCTACCAATACACGATGCCTACGAAGAGAGGTACCCGTTTAGAGTAACCAGGCCTGTTCCTAATATAGTAGTCATAGTTGAGATTGGGAGAGAAGACGGCCACAGCAGGCAGCCGCATTGATTCTCGCCGTCTGGGCGATTGATGGATGCCTTGCGCAGAGATGCGGACTTGAGATGTTGACGTATCTCCAATCTCCAGCAACCTGACAGAAAGAAGAGGACTTTAGGTCAGCTTATCGATAGAAACAGCTGCCTTGGGGCAGAAAGGAAGCATCGTCGGCCAGCTGCTAGGCCGGGACAAGAATAGAGGCAATCCCGCAGCTTCGGCTCCCCTTTTAGTGGCCGTCATGCTAAGGCGACGATGCCTCGTCAGCCCCATCTTGTGACTCACTCTCCTGTGGACGGTGTCACTGCTTCCTGTGCTAAAGGAGGCGTAGCATGAGCAGCTAGCCGGTGCCACTAGCAGCTGGTCCTGCGGTTTTCATGCACGCTGTTTACGCTTCTCAGATCCAGATGCTGCCTCTGATGCAGCTGACACGCCCCCTCCCCTGTTGCTTAGATGGTAGCAGGATGTACCGCTCGTATCTTGCTTCTGCTACGAAGTAACCTCCAAGCACGCTCAGACTGCTTACTGCTAGAGGTACCAAGCACTGCTGTAAGTACTTCTTCTCCGAGTTGACTGATTGATCCATATTCACTCTTCTATCGCATATCACATTCGCATGGCAGTACCATCAACTACATCACAGAGGGCGTTTTGCTATCGAATTGGCCAAGAGCCCGAGACAAGACAAGAAACAACCTACCAAAAGGCCAAAAAGGGGGGGCAGCAACCGCTCAGGTGGACAGAGTCACGCGAGTTACGGTGTGGATGCCGCAGCGCAACCCATTGGCCAATGGATTGGGCGTGTGCCGCTGAAGCTGCCACTGGCCAATTGCTTGGGGGGGAAGAAGGCATAAATCACGTTGCCTTGGGGGTCGTCTTCAGCTGTTGTCTGTGTGTACCTTAACTCTGTTCCGTGCCTGTGCGCTTGTTGCCATTTCCTGTATCTCGCACATGCTTGTACATGGGACGTGAGCGGACACGATACGATGCGAAATTGGCCGTTCCGATAGGCACCTGGAATGCTTGCTCTTGCATGCTACAGCAGCTGTGCGAGGCCAACCCGTCACCGACGAGCTGACGAGGGACAAGTGGCAGGAATGGAATTGGCCAGTAGGCCTGCGCCAGCGAAACAAGACGAGGCGGTCATGTTTCATCTTCTTCAATTCTGCTCATCGTTGTCGTCATCGTCAGCTCTGTCCTGCTTCTCCGTTCTTCGGAGTCATATCGTCTTCTTTCTCCTCTACATTTGGCGACGACTAACACACAAGCAACGTTAGCCTGTCATTCCCACGAGCCGCTACTCGTCCCAATGCTGCGACTACTAGCAGATCATGCCAAGGCAACGCGAAACCGAACGCAAACCATAACTCAACGAAAAAGAGCGCGCAATCAGCATGTGAGAGGGGGGTCACGGCTCCCGCAATGGCCCGTTTCCAACACGACGACGTGCCTCTCGCGATTGGGCTCCCTCTCTAGTGGCTACCCAGAATAGGTAGTCCGGGGGGGCCATTGGGCATCAGGCACCTGAACTGACCGAGATACCTTTGGGATCAACGGACATGGATGCGGATACTAACAGGTGGTAAGTATCCCCATGGGGGTGGCATTTTGAACACAAAACTCGGCCTTTTTGTCACGGTTTGTCACGGCCCCGGAGAGAGAGCGAGAGTCAGGCAAGTCAAGGCCAAACGGGGGGCAACCCTGCTCTGTCTCTCTCTCACGGCAACCTTTGCCCAAAATCTTCGTCTCATTCCTTTTTGCGGTACTTGTTGCTTCAAACGTTCCTCTGCGGACTTGCAACGGCCACTCCCCCCCTCTTTCTCCTCATCAACCCTCAATCGCCGCTCAAGTCACCCCACCGACGCAGCCCACCTGTTCATCACCCGTCCGCCGCTGGGAAAATCGTCGCCGGAGCTGAAGTCCAGTCCGTCCTTATCGCGCCACTGCCGCCAGAGATGTCGTACATGTCGTCTGCTGCTTGCATTGAGCGCGAGATGCACGGCCTGCATGAGTGCTCCTTCTTCCCATTTTCCCCTTCTGATCGTTCCATTTTGATCGTTCTTCTTCTTCGTCTTCTTCTCTTTCTCACCAAGCTATTCTCCGCGGCCATTTACCCGAACATGCCAGGGCAGAAGCAAGTTCCAGTCTTGACAAGAACCATCCCATCAAACCCCCCCCCCCCTCTTTCATCATCTAATCCTACCAACCCGGACCCAGATGGACCGAACTCGATGCTACGCCGAGGCCCTTATCGATGAGAAGTGAGGGGTGATAAACCAATTGCCCCTCTTCTGGTCTCTCTCGCGGCTATCCGTCCTTTATCGCCAAAAGATGCCCCTCCATGTCTGGCCTCCCTCGCCCGCCAATGATCAACCACCCATTGCACCGCCGTCCATTCTAGTCCGTCAACCGCCCGTTTCTGCTGAGTCTTGGATGGTGCTACTGATGCAATTGAGGTCTCTTGACGGCTGCTACGTGACCCAAGACGGTCCTGGCGTCTCATGGCGTCTCATGGCGTCTCTCCGCTGCGACGTTGAAGAGAGGCCAATTGCCTCACTAAATCACGTTTGGAAGTACTTTGAAGAACTCCTGGAGCGGTAGGTATTAGTAGATTCATGTCTCGATTCACGAGATACACGCCTCTGTTTCTGTGCCTGATTTCCATGCTATGATTAATAGTTTGCCTCAAGCGGCAATTGGGCATCTCTCATTGTCGGGATTTTTCATTCGACTCGGGCGCTATTATCCAATTTCCCCTCATGCTGTCTGATTTTCCCATTCTCTACTGTTCCTTTACTTTCTATCTCGCCGCGCTCTAGCCGCCAGTCACGGACATGCCCTCCACCAATTGATGCATCTTTTGGATCCGGCTCGTACTTGAAGAATTTGTGCGAGTATCACGGTAATAACACCACTCGACTCACGTACTCCGTACAAGATACCCAGAGAGGCACCAGACCGGCGCGGACGAGGCCATCCACCGCCATTGTAGTGGGTACGTGAATCATTGCATACGTCAATTGAATCTCTCCTCTCCGCCTATTCGCCCGGATGCCTTTCCTTGCGGTTTGATATCCTGATTCGTTTCTGAAACCAAAGAGTTTAGGGCTTGTCAATGGCTTGTGATGCGGTGAGGCAGGGGGAACGAGTCTGGGCTGTTCAGGCACCTCGCTCTACAGCCACCCTCCCCGAGCAAGCCCTGCGCCTTGGCATCAAGGAAGCCCATCAATATATCTGTTTTGTGTAGCCAACATTGCAGCAGGGCGCAGTTTACGAATTGACTGTTGAGCATTATTTGGGCTGCTTCTGTGTAAAGGCAAACTGGCAAGATTATCACTCAATGCTGCTACGAAGCAAGCAATCTGACCTCGCCTTGTTCACATGAGTTGATATCGCAAATCGCCTACGAGATGACCAGACACCACCAATCAGTGCAACTACAAGAGGCACTATCAAAGACACGGCGCGGGAACGGACAGCCGCTTGTGTGTGAGTAGTACTACAGTACTACTACCAAGATGCGTATCTTTCTTTGTGATGCTGCCCGGGAAGAGCAAATCAAATCAGTCAGCCACACCTTCTTGCTGGGCCGGTGTGCCTGATGACCGCGCCTCGAGGCCGCACATGACTGGGCCGCGCAAGAACGAGGGCAAGGTGAAAGGGAGGGAGGGTGAGCGTAGTGAAGGAGTGGAAGTGCGTGCGTTTTGGAAGTTGAGAGTGAAACTCTCCGTGCAAATCCCGCGAGGGTTCCTGAAGATTTGCGCTCTTAGTATCGACTTGAAGTCTCTTGGTGTTGACGGAGCAGCATTGAGTTAATACTATACAATTTGAGCGAGAATGATGGGGCTTTAGGCACCAATTCGCCAATTGACGGTGAAGAGATGAAGTTGACTGAATGCGTGTTGAAGCTGAATGAGAGAATCATCAGTGCCTAGCGATGAAGTCATAGCCCGGCTGCTGACCGTACCTACCGTAGGACTCATCTGTAAGGGGTACGCAGGTGCAAAGTAACTGCCTTGCCGCGTTAGTACTAGCAGGTACTCCTACCCAAAGTCCCCATAAAGCGATGATGCAAACCTTTCTTTGGTGCTTTAGCATCCACGTTTTTGCAGGGCATTTATGCAGCGACTTAGCATCGTACCTACATTGGCATGGAAAATGGGGATCCAGGAGGCATCCAGGCATCATCCGAAGTTGCTCTTTCTTGCTTTGCAAGTTTCCAATCTTTTATGATTTACCTTACGTCTAGAGTCTATTATTATGAGTCTCTATGAGCTTGAATTTCCTAGAATGAACCGATGCTTCGAAAAGCAAATCGATGTTTCAACACAGGTACTTACCAAAATATCCTGTCAACTTCAAGTCGTGCTCACACACCCCCTCGCTCCTTCCCTCCTACCTCCTCTCTCCTCAAGCTCCTTCCCTCCCTTGCGCCAAGCCCGCCCAAGTGTAGCCTGACCCAGGCGCTCCTTCCAATCATGCCCGCTGCTCCCCCATTCGAGTACTAGTACCTTAGTAGTCGCTCTTTCCTCTCCGTCCTGTCACTGCGCACGACTGTCAAGAGACATTGACTAGGTACCCAGTACTAAGCTGAATGGACACACGCAGTATTAATAATACCACGGCAAGTAATGTACTGTAGATAGCAATGGAAGAGCCATTGGGATTTGCAGCTTCCTCAGCAGCAATTGATGGGTGACTACCCAGTACGATTGTGTAACACCAATGCCTGAGATACGAGATGCGCTGGGCCGAGGCTTATGCCCAGTATCTGAAAGGCAGCAGCAATCGATCAATCAGCAGAAGCAATTGCAGTGCAAACAGGCACATGCTGGGGAGGAGCACAGCAGGACAACGACCCAAGAGAAAGGAAAGGAAGGAAGTATCCTCAGATGCCTGTCCTCCGTGCTCCGTACCTTCGTCTCCCACTCACACCCCCCTTCCCCCCCGTTCAGGATCCCAACGTTCTATCCCCACCCCCCTATAGCCCCTCCAGGCACCAAGCCCACTCAAGTGATCGGATTTTAGCAGCTACTTGCCGGTACTTCACTGCTACGCACACGCCCCCTCCCTTTTCCCGCCGCTTCCTTTGTGTCTTGGCTTGCTCCTTCCTTGCGGGGGGCGTGCGCGCGCGTGTGTGCCTGCATCAGGGTCTCGCTGGCCGCCACATCACAGCTTTTAATAGCAGGGCGGTCCTTCCTGCTCATCGGGTATCAACACTGACAGAGAGCAAGAGCAAATCACTTGAATGGTGAAATCCGATCTCGCCAGCAGCAACTGACTGACTGACTCCTTCCCTTCTACACTCTGCTCAGCTGTCCTTGCCTCTCTTACCACTTAGGTACCCGCCGTGAACCAGGAGAGAACAAGAAAGAAGTACGAAGAACGCAGGAACCAGACGAACAAAGAGGCGAAATAGCACTGTGAATATTTCAAATATCCCGGCCCTGGAGGGAAAAGCTTACCAAACGGACGTCCTCCTCTCCTAACTTAGCGTCAATTCGAGCGGCAAAGATTCCAGTTTGACCAAAGACAAAAGAGTCATCGATCCCCAAGACCCTTTTTTGGCCCGTCTTTTGCCTTCGCCGTCAGGCTCAACACAAAACCAAGGCAAACCCCCCCCTCTTCCCTCCTCCGAGAGAATAACATAAAATCTTCGCACAAGCTTTGGAAATCTGCACGCGCAAAGGGGATCACCTCTTTGTTCACGGTCCCTTTTTTTATCCTCATTTTCCTGACCGTAATATCAAATATCCGCTGCCGAAGGGGGGCGCAATTCACCGTTATTCCTGTTCCTGCATCTGTGCCACAGGAGACGAAGAAAAAGGATCCTGTTCCCCTCGAAACTCAATTTCCCTCCCATTTTGCGATCGTGGCCCTTTTGGTTCCAAGGTCAATCCGAACTCAGACTCGGCTCAGCTCTTCCTCAGGACAACCGGACCGCCTCTTCCTAGGATCTCTTCTTGGAGCCAGTCCGGCCTTGTCTTGTTCTATTTCTGGTCTTTGTTTATCTCCCTATTGACCATTCATCCTCTTTCCTCCCACTCGCCATTCACACAGCCAGCGAACGTGTTTGCGCAAACAAATCAAAACAAAAGCACATACACAAGCAAGGGCAAGACTCTAGGCAGCAATTGGTCGGCTCTCCGATTGATTCCTTCAAGGCCTCCTGCATGCTTGAATGGAAGCTGCCTGTCCTATTCATCACTCTCGGACAATCAGCTCGCCCCCGCCTGCCGCCTGATTGACCTGCTGTCGCCGAATTCACAATCATAAGAGGCTCCCTCAATCGCTTCCAGCCAGATTGACTTTTGACCTCTTTTCTCCCCTCTCCCTCCCCTGCTTTCCACTATCCGCCACCTCCCCTCTTCACTATCGCCGTCCTCGCATCTCCGCCTCAGAGGAAACGGATGCACCAGTCACACGCAGACAAAGCATAAAAGGTAAACAGATCCTCTATCCGGCCTCCCTCTATCTCCGGCAAGGCTAAATTCCGAAAAGGCTGTGACCGATCTTTGACAGCTTCGCCTGACCCACCCGCTGTGCTGCCTGCGTCCGGCTCGTTACGGCTTCGCCACCCAAGGGAAACACGTCAGACGGGTCATCGCCATCGAGGAATGGCTGACAAACCCGCGGCAAGCCACGCATACTCCCACGCCCAACCAGCTTCCACACTGTTCGACAACATCCGGGGCATTCCAGCTCCTCGGTGTCTTTCTGCAGCATCAGCCACCATAACTGCCGTCACTACCACTACTTCATCACCCTCTGCTCCCTCTTCTTCCATCATCTCGACTCCTGGTCCTTCTCCTTTCTATCAATTCCTTCACAGTCGCCAGCCTGCAGTCGAATCTCACACAATGGCGACCAATCTTTCCCGAGGCGACCCTGCCGCCCCTTCCAAGGAGAGCGGCAAGGTTGAGATTAGCAATCTCATGTCGCCCCCTGACAACCTGCTTGACACCTTCAACCAGAGCCATGGCCCTGGACAGTCAAAGATGCTCTCTGCCATGGCCACTGTCGTCGGCTCCATGCCACCCAGCGGCGGGCTCTCCTCTGACAAACACCCGCTGCCCATGTCGCCTCCGATCTCACCCTACAACAAGCATGTCTCCAGCAGCGCCTCGCCCAGCACGCCGCCCGGCCAGGCCATTCAGGATCCCGTTCTCTACCCCGTCGACGAGGCTTCGCCGTCCAGCCCGCCTCAGGCGCCTCTGTTTGCACCCGCCGAGATTGAGCACCACAAGCGCATCGTGGACGAGCATGTCCGCGCTCGCCAGTCGTCCACAATCATCTTCACCAAGGTGTCGCCGCCCCTGCGGGAGGACTACGAGCTGGCCTTGACCTTCCGCTCGCAGGTCATGAAGCACTTCACCAGCGACCGCCGCGGATGGCTACTCAAGGAGCGTGCCCTGCTCGTGGCGGACCGACAGGCGGGAGCCGGAGCCCAGCGCTTCCCAACTATCCTGCCGGCCAAGCCGATTGCAGCCAAGCCGGCCCGATCGCAGCGCACCGATCGCGTCTCTAAGCCACAGGCCACGGCTCCCCGCCCCATCCGCTCCGGCGCGGGTCCCTCGGTCGTGGTTCGACCCGCCGCTGGCCGCCGCCCAAGCGCCACGCCCGAGCCATCCCGCCGGATCGTGGCCCCTAACCGCGAGGACAAGGACTTCAACGCCCTTCCCGACTACTGCCCGCCTCTCAGCTCCCTCCCCAGCCGGGCAAACAGCCTCAAGGTTGACTGGAAAGGTCAACCCATCGACCTGTCCAACGACCCGTACCACGACTTGCTTCACCCTGACGAAATCATCCTCGCCGGCAATCTGCGCCTGGACTGCGCCACCTATCTCACCAGCAAGCGTCGCATGTTCGAGCGCCGCCTCCAGTGCCTCCGGACTGGCAAGGAGTTCCGCAAGACCGACGCTCAGCAGGCTTGCAAGATTGACGTCAACAAGGCCTCGAAGCTCTGGACTGCCTTTGACAAGGTGGGCTGGCTCAACGCCGACTGGGTTCGACGCTTCTTGTAAATGCGAGCCTCACACAGGTGGATGGGTGATGAGAGGGGCTGAGCCCTTTGCTCTGGTTTCACGACTCATTTTCCTCGCTGTCTCTTCTCTACTCTTATGCCCTCTCATTCACCAGCCGACATTCATTCTATCCCCCTCGACTTTACGAATTTGACGACCATCAGCACTTCATTCAGCGTTACGACATCTCTGCCGTTTTTATCCTTTCATCATCTTCAATTCTTGGCCGCCATTGGTTTCTCACTCGATTGAATGCCTTGGTCGGCTTGGTTCAGCTTTGCCGACATGATTTTTGTCTGTTGAATCCGGCAATAAATCTACGAAGCAATATCACGCAGGCCACTTACGATTTCGTTACCCAATTTCCCATCTTATTTTCCCCCCCCATTAGCCTGTTCCCCCCTTCTTCGTCTCTTACACGATACAACGCATCTTTTCTGCATTCAGGGAAATCTCATTCGATTGCTCTTTTCTTTATTTCCTTTTGTATTTTCAAGGATCACGCACATACACCAAGCATGAAGGGGGGTTTTTTCACCATGATACCCAGTGGGCGAACGCGCCATTTTCTTGAAAGACATGACGCCGCTCCATTCACGTTTTCCTTTTGTCTTTTCGCATCTTCTTCATCGTTCAGACTGTTCATTCGGCCTTCTTCCGAATCTAAGGATTCGGCTTGCTTTCGTTTCAGGACGGGGCTTCCGAGCTCCCAATCCTGATGAGAATCATTTGATCTCTAGGGACACGGTTTCGGATGAAGACACAGGGATTCGGATTGCATGCATGGCGTTTGATACCTTTCAAACCCTCTTCTTTGGTCCCTGCATCCAACTGGTCGGTCGGCGTGAAGAAGACTGGAGACGATGGGGGTCCCCTTGACGGTGGCCCTCATTGAGTACGCATACACGACCGATTCAGTTGTGGGACTGAGGGAGGATTGAACTTGCTTTATTTCCTACTATGATTTTCCTTCTCATTTTGGGCTTGTCGCCTACGTATTGTCATACAGCCAGGCTTATGCATGGAAGGCTACGCTGGAGGAGTTTCTCTGCCCGATTTTCCTTGTCAAGGGAAGCGAGCGGCAAGGAGGGTCTTTACGAATAGGTCATGGTTTGTGGTCTATAGCAGCTAGTTGTTTCACGGATTTCCACGGCCTATGCCACATCTGCGCGAATCAAGATACCATTTCATCTCCCTAACAAACCTTGCTTGACTGTGATGATGAGTGACTGTTTTAGTTTTTCTGATTTTCACGTAGCAGCGCGGACGCCTAGGAATGATGAGCGGGAGGTGCATGTAGGCTTGTAGGTAGCACTCTGTACCTCTCAGCCCTATGAACGGGGTGCAAGATCTGGCACGATCTCCAGACGTGCAGCGGGATCAACAGCTCTGCTCTAGCTGGAAGGGGGTTGATGTATGTACTACTCTACGGAGTAAATGGCAAGGTGAAGAGAAAATTTTCCTGGTCATCATGCATGATACCTGATCGATCGATCGGGGGCTGCAGCCAAGAGGGGGGCAAGGATTGGGCTGAAAGGAGGGAGGTGACTGGACGGGCGAGGGTCCTTTTGAGTGGAGAGATCCCCTAGACGAGGGAAAATTCTCCGGGGATGCTTCATCGATGGCATGGTACGTACCATCTGCCTTTTGTCTCTTGTTACGATGTTTGGATTGATGAGACTGGGGTTGCTTGAGAGAACTTGAGAGTTGGGTGAAGAGTGAAACGTCTCGATAAGATTGAATCTACCTATTACTTCGTAAAGACATGATGTTTACGAAATGAAGTACTTTCTCTTGTAGTTCGAGTCACGAGTGTGTATCGATAAAGCTTGCTTCAAGTTATCACATGACAGGTACAATCACATTGCTGTCTTGGAAAGTGCTCCTACCTAGGTACCTACCTCGGAATCCTTGGAAGTCCATTTGCCTCGTCTTCATCCTTCATTGCCCTCGCTCTATCCAATTCGCAATGGCGAAATTTCCGCTGTTTCATACGCTTCATGATGCTTCATATTTAGTTATGAAATTCGATACTTGAGCGCTTTTGTAAAACGCATCTGGCTTCCTTCGGTTTATTCCGTCTCGAACCAAGCATGCCTCCCTCTTCCACTGCCTTTCGGAATCTCTTCGACAGCCATTCAAATGTGAGATATCGGTACACAAACAAAAGGTCTATAATTAAAGGTATGTGCGTCGTTCATTCATGTCATCTTCCCCAACCGCCCTCGCTTATTCATACATTAGATATATACAGACCTTTACCGCACCTCGATATGCTGCACCGCAACCATCCACTTCTTCTCATCAGACCTGTTTCGAATTTGTTAGTCTTCCGTTGAGCCGATAGCAGGATATGGAAAGTCAAACTCACTTGTCAAACTTGAGAATCTTGCCCAGTACGGGAACGAGCTGAGCTCTCAGACGGCTGTCCTTTTGCTCCAAGAACTGTAGCAGAATCGTCTTGAGATAGAGCATGTCAGACAGCTCTCCTGCTCCAGTGGTGCGATTCGAGTCCACCGAAGTCCGAGACGTCGAGACACCCGATGATGATCCCGACTGTGCCGCCGATGATGCCGCAACCTTGGCCTGGGCTGCCTTGAGCTCCTTCGAGAGTTTGTCATACAGCAGCTGCAGCGATTCGTAGTCCTTGCGCAGGTTCGCCTTGACCTTTTCTCCATCTCGAACCTGCATCTCTGATGCGTCCAGGGCAGTTCTCAGCGATGAAATAGTGTTCCGCAGCTCGGTCGTTTCCGTCTCCATCCTCAGCTCGAGCGCTTCAAGCTCCTCTCGTCGACGCCGCCAGCTTCGTTCTCGCCCTTCCAGCTCGTCACGCTCCTCGCGCAGCTCCTTCACCTCGCCCTCCAGCTCGCGGACCCGGGACTTGAGCTCTCCCGTCAACTTGACGTTCTTTCTCACCACGGCGCTGGTCTCGTCTTCCAGTCGCTCTCGCTCGGCAGTGACCGTCTCGACGCGGTTCCGCATCTCTCGAAGCTTGGATTCGGCCTGCTGCTCTGCGTCTGCGAGCAACCGCCGCATCGTCTCGCCCTCTCGGGTGCGTTCCTGCAGCAGATGCTGCACCTCACCGAGCTCCTCCTCCAGCGACCTCGCCTGCGACTGCGCCTCCTTCAGCTGGACCGTCATTTCGGATGCCTGGTCTCGCATGCTGCTCAACAGGCCCTGGGCCGTCGTGTACTGCTTGGCCTTGAACTCGGCTTCTTCTTGCGCCGCGGCCTTCTCGCGTCTCAGCTTGTGCATCTGCTCCTCAAGCTCGCCCACGCGCGGCGATACCCTGGAGAGCTCCTCCTGGACCTTTTGCAGCTCCCGCTCCATCTTCTCCGCCTTTGCGCTCAGCTCAATCTTCTCGGCCGTGGCTCGCCTGAGGTCCCGGCCCGCGACACGCTGGGCTTCCTCCAGCTTGGCCTTTTCTTCCGTCTCAGCGGCCAATCTGCTCTTGAGAGTCCCAATCTCCGAGTTGCGCATGTCAATCTCCTGTCTGGCACTCGCCAAGTTCCGCTCAAGCTCCTTTTCCTTCTTCTCCAAATTGGCGAGCTCTTTGCTTTTGGCGGCCAACTCCTCCCTAGCCGCCTTGAGATCCTCAGAGTCCTTGCGCAAGCGCTTGAGCTCCGGCTGGGCCTTTTGCAGAACCTCGCGCAACTCGGCCAAATCCTTGAAGCGACTCTGCGCCAGCTGCTGGGCGGCACCGAGGTCCGACTGCAGTGTGGCCGACTTGTCCTTCAATTCTTGGTAATCTTTCTGGAGGGCCTGCATCTCCTCCTGCAACTTCGAGTTGGCCTCGGTGTTGGAAGAGAGCGAGGACATCTTCTCCTCCAAAGCAGCAATTTGTGCCTCCAACGCTGCCTTCTCTCCAACAAGCTCCTTGATCCGGGCCTTATCCTCGACGTGATCCTGGCCAATGTTGAGGAGATTCTCTTGCAGCGTCTCAATTTCTTCACGGAGGTCTTCTTCTGTCTTTCTCTTCTTCGACAACCGCTCGATTTCTTTATCCTTAGTTTCAATCTCCTCCTTCAGTTTGGTGACTTCGGCTTCAAGGGCTGAAGTATTTGGGCCCTGGCCAGCACCAGGAGCACTTGAAGCAACGGAGGCGGCGGTAGGAGAAGTAGGAGTAGCCGGGGGTGCTGGACTAGTAGCACCACCGCCGCGGCCCTTCTTCTTCTTGTTCCTCTTGTTTCCCCCTCCACCACCGGTCGTGGGCGGTGCAAGAGTTGATGGGGGTTCGGCAGGGGCGGGGGCAGGAGACTGCTTGGCCGCTTCGTCCAGCTTCTTCACTGCTTCATCAAGCTTACTCTGCATCTCAGACTTTTCTTTCTTCATCTTATCGAGTTGGGAATTGAGCTCGTCAATCAGGTTCTTGGACACTGTCCTGGCAGCCGTCGCCCTAGCAAGCTCTGCAGCCACATCGCTGGCCTGTTTCGCAGATTTGGCAAGTAAATCCTCTACCTCCTGCGCCTTGGCTGCCGCTTGATTCTTCTCTGTCTCCAGTTGGTTCTCGCGCTCGTTGTGCTGCTTTTCCGCCTGATTGAGTCGCTCTGTCAAGCTCTCGATTTCCGTCTTTCGAGCCTCCAGCTGGGTCTGCAGAGAATCCTGTGATGCAGAGGTTTCGCGGGTTTCGCTCAGCTCCAGGGCGGAGTTCTCCAATTTCTCTACCAGACCTGCGCTATCTTGCTTAAGGACAGAGAGCTCCTTCTGCAGATTGTCCACTTCAGCCTTGAGTGAGTCGATTTCTTCAGTTTTCGCAGCAAGCTCGGCCTGTAGCTGGGGGATCTCTTCGTCGTAGGAAAAGAAATCCTCGCCATCTTTCCCTGGGTGCTTTGCTGCTGTGCCGTTTGCTTCTTGCTTCTTTGTTTCCGAGGACTTTTCAGCCTTGAGGGCATCGAGTTCGTCTTGCAGCTTCTTGATCTTGTCTTCGTTCTCGTCGTTCTTCTTCTTCAGCTCGTCCTTGTCGGCAGACACTCGCTTCAGCTCATCCATGACCATGTCGCCCTTGAGCTTCAGCTGGTTGAGGTATTCAACCAGAGCCTCTGGGTCGCCAATTGAGGCCAACGGGGTGTTCTCGCGGAGGGCCTTCTCAAACGGCTCAATGGCAGTAGCACGTCGATGCGCAACACGGTAGGAGCGCAGAAGCTCTACACAAAAACATCATCAGTCTCTTGCCCTCCTTCTTGAGTTCTTCTTCAACTGCAAGTTTCCGTGCGTTGGACGTACCGGGATATGTAGCCTCGAGCTTCTCCAGCTTGCGGAGCTTCTGCCGCAACTCCGGAGTCAGCGGCTTGGTCGCATTCGCAGCCCCATCGTGGGATGGCGCATCTTTGCCATCGGCATTGGCATTGGCGTTTGAGACACCAGAGTCCTTTCCAGCCTCCGCATTGCCGACTGGCTCTCCGGCAGGCGCATCCTTTTCAGGAGGCTCCGGCTTGGGTGTTCCGGCTCGGCTCGGCTCCTCGCTGTCGTCGATTACGAAGGCGGCTTCGAATATGGCAGGGTCGGGGTTCGGCGCGGAATCGCCAGCATCGGAGCCCGGATTCTTAGGCCGAGATCGTCTGCCCGAGACGCTCTCGTTTCTTCGCGACGAGGTTGAGGCGGATCTGTTGACGGAGGAGCCGACTTCGAGCGCCCTCTGCTGGCGGGCCTGTTCCTCGGCGATGGTGCGGTCGATGGCGCCTTTGATTCTCTATAGTTTGAGTTTAATGACAGTCAGTGATCGTCCTGACGAAGTAAAACAGGAGTTTCGGCGGCCTCGAGAGAGTGTGCGCGCATCGAGGGGAGACTGACTTGGAACATGATGAGAGAGGGGGCCTTTAGGCCGGTTGTGGACAGAAATCAGCAATTAAAAGGTGTAGATCATAAGAGGCTTTGCATTAAAGCACTGCGGAATAAAGAGTGCAAGAGAAAAGAAACATGAATGATATCGCCAAAAAGCCAGTGAAAGGGGAAGAAAAGATGCGACCCTGTCGAGGCTTTATCATGCAGGTAAGTAGCCTCGTGGCGTAGTAAGGCTTCTGGTTGAGTGTCGAATTGTTAGACGAACGAGCTGGAAGCTCAGCCTCGTTCGCATACGGAGAGCGCAGTTGACGGTTTAGGTCTAGCGGTGGTCAATCGATTGTGCTCGTAATTGTACGTACCTTCCAAGTTGGTGGCTGATGAGGCCTGCCGAGAGACGGGAGGCAGGAGCGAGAAATTGATGTACCTTTTGGCTGCTAAAGCTCTGCTTAAGGTACATGCTCACCTTCGTACTTTCCTGATCGCGAAGCGAAGCAGTTACCTCATGAGAATAAAGAAGGAATGATTGCTGCCAGTCATACATACTTTCTACTCACCAACCCTTCACCTTTTCATTTCTATCGAGTTTCAAAGCGGCCATGTTTCTTCATTTCCCCTTTAGTCACGGAATACTGGTGTAAAAGCAGGCTCTAAATTCCCATCAATACTACTGACGGCGCCGGACCTTGAAAGTGATGCAGTTCCATGCCAAACCCGTGAGTCTCCCAGGCCGTTTCTCATGGAATTCGCCCACGTCAATCCCTGCTCCGACTGTTCTTTTCTTCCACCAATTGTAGGCACCATTTGAATTTCCCTTCTTTCTTCTCCATTTCTCGACCTTTTTCTTGAGCCGTCACCAGATTACGTGGGTATGGCAGCCGCGCCTCTACTCCTTCGCAGCTTGCTAACCTAGATCAGGGCGTCAATAGCCCAGTCCTCGAAGCCGACCATGGGCCAAAGAGTCTCTATCAGCTCTGCCTTTCTGCGCTCAGCAGCTCATAGGCCAACGAATTAGGCCTTTCTGACCTCGTCGATACTTACAAGCCACCTGCTCGGGTGCTCTGCCGGGTGGGTGAAAGACTCACTATTCGGTTTGCGCTTACGGAGTACTGACGGTAGCGTTGCTAGTAGACGTCGACAGGAGACCATGTCCTTTTGTCCCTCTCCACACCTCTCTGTAACACATTATTGACAATGCCATACAGTCCCATCGAGACACCTATCTTGAACCGCCGTTGGCTCGCACGTCGGAACCCTTCTTGCGTTGCTTCAATGGCACGGTGATAATTGGAATAGGGTCATCCCTCTTGATCGTGGTCATTGGTTGAATAAGGCCATCTAGTTCAATTACAATGTCTGCCCAAACTGGCAACTTAATCGTACACCCTCATCCACATCCCTCCTGATCTCCGTTCGACCCTCTTCCCCCCCAGATCCAGAGCCTCAACTTCTCTCGCAATCCAACAGAGTACGAGCTCGAAGGCCTCACAACAGACTACCAGCGTCGTATTTCATAGCCGGCCGATGAGAAGGGACAATGACAATACAGTGCCCCCGTGTCTCTAATCATTAGCTTTACCTCCTAAAACCGAGCTCAACAACAGCTTGTCTATCAGACGATCCTTCCCTATTCAGCGCGTTGTTGTCTTAACCCCGACTGGGCCACTCGAGTATGTGCGGTGCTCTCCTGAGGGAAACTTTAGCGGAAACCAACTACAGAAGGTTTCATTAGTCTCTCTCTTCCATGCCCATATTTGGCGATCGATTTGCACGTCGAGTATTTGTGGGGTATGACTCGGGACAACGAGGATAAATGAGATCAGGAACTGGGCCACTTCGCCCGTCGGCTTCGGATTATGATACAATATTGCCGGTGACTCTCGAATGAGTACACATTCGAGAGCGTGAGTTGCTTAGGAGAAGGGTCATCTAGTTCGATTAGGATTACTTGGGTTATTGACGAGGTATACACACACAAGGCATCAAGATCCTCTCGGCACGGCTCACTGCAAACCGTCGACCCTCATGTTCAGTATATAAGAGTCACAGAATAACAGCTATAGCTGATCTTTATGGGATCCCGTGCGATCCCTTTGTATTTCTGCTCAACCAGCCATATCCCGTCATCCGAGATGGCCACCTGCAATGATTTTGCCGTTCTTCGCCAGCAGGCTATCATTCTTCCACGAGTGCGAGTAGACTACCACAAGACGCAACATACTCGCTAGCAATTGAATGTATACGGGAGGCCGATCGATACGCAGATATTGAACAACATTATTTCAGAGCTAGGGGCCCGCCATTGGTAGCTGGTCATTGGGAGAGAATTCGAAGCGTGAAGAGACATGTATGAGGCTACGAAGGGCGAGTACTGGTACAAATGTACATGGACTAGAGAGCCATCTCGTGCCCCCCTGAGTATTTTGAGACGCCCCTATTATTATTATTTCGTCGCATCTAGAGATAAAGAGAATCGAGAGAATTGAGCTGCTGGCGTCTCAGTGGATAAAGCTGCGAAGAGGTATTCACACCATCATCCTTGTTTCATGGTAATACAAGGTGACCATGGTCGACAACGGCTGCGACAGTAGTAGGAGATCCTGTGCAGGCTTCCATGACATATATCTATCGCAACAGCTGATACAACCTTCTTACTCAAGTACTTTGTACAGTAATACCGTCTTAGTTATTATAGTGTCAAGAGATGAATATATGAACCCGCTGGCGCTCGAGACGTCCAATTCTAGTCCTCAGACAGGTTGTTTGCCCCCAGCTATCCGTCGTCATGATCGAGACAGCCAGGTCCACGATTCAACCGCTGCCTCAGCGCATCCTTCCTTCTCATTAAGATCCAGTCAACAGAAAGGAAACCTTTCACTTATACTGACTGCAATAGGTCCCTTGTGAAGACGACTTGAGAGGGCAAAAGGATGGAGCACGACATCGTCAAGGCGCCTACTTGCGTCGTTGGGGCCCATTTCTTCCTTTTGCAAAAAGCAAGCAATCCATGAACACGCATTCTACGTTCAACGTTTGATGTTGGGCCCCCATGGCTTGCATGATTGGAGGTTACACAGAGGAGGCAGCCACCGTAACGGTTGATCAAGAAACACATGGCATGCTGCCATCCGCTTCTTGTGGTCAGATTAACCGGGCCCCGGCATCGGTTCTTGTTACCTTAAAACAGCAGACGCCAATAAGCCACTCTGCTTTATGTATGTCAAGAATGAATACTGTGATGCGGTAATATTCTTGGAGACTTTGTGTAATGATTGGGGCGGGTACTTTAGCAACTTGTATATCTCTGAGAGCGGATCTACAAGGAGACAGACCGCATGCGTCATCGACATCATTTACGGAGCATTTCGTACTTGCAGGAGAAATCACGTTGTCTATCTGGTTCCTTTCCGGACCTGGCTGGCCTCCTATCGACTGACATCGGGATATGTCTGCTAGTTGTTGTGGGAGTTAATGAGCACGGCGAGCTGGGCTTGAGGCGCCTCAGCCGGGCAAAGGCAACGGTAAGCCATCTCATCCACGATTGAGAGAGGTAAAAAGGAAAGAAAGGCGTCGTATGAGATATGGTGAGGGGTATGTACGAGGATGCCAGTTGCATATCTCTGCTTCACGATAGTCTGCCAGCAAAGCAAGACTGCTGGTCGAGCCAATGAAAGGCCATGCGTGTACAGGGATCGACAGCCTCAGCGGAAGACGAGCAGTCGTGGTTGGCGGTCCAGCAGGCTCACCGGTTCGTCCTGCAGCAATCTCGGCTAAGCGACTGTGACTGTGTGTACAAGTGAAAGCATGTCTATGATGGGCTGTGATGGATTTGCAATGGGACTGTCGAGGGGGTTGGCCTATTTCAAGGCGTTGTTTGGGGGCGGGTTGGCTTGTGATGGGGCGGATTGGCTTGTGATTGTGCGGACACGTACAAGTTCTCCGTCGTTCCATCATATTTCCATCATGCCGAGGCTGCTGTTGTTTGGAGCGTGTCAATATGCAGTTGTCTGTACTAGCATCAACCTCAACATCGATCGCGTATGCCGGCAAAGCTGCCATGCCATGCGAAGGAGCCTGAAAGCCTGACTGTTGGGCATCTGGACAGAATAGATCGAGTCAAGTAGATTGGACAAGCTGGGGGGATCCTAGGCCGAAGTCAGCCGGTCAATCGCAGCTCTCTGCAGGCAAGAGAGCAAAATATCGCGTTACACAGAGTCGAGAGGAGGTGCTCTTTGTGGCTTGCAGTACAGAAGCAGGGAGAGGGAGACTATGTCTGACCGCTGAAAAGAGCAGAAAGGAAGAAAGCAAGATGCAAGTGGACAGCCAAGTTCCGGTTTTCTCAGGGAGGGCGAGACAAGGTCGACGAAGGCTCGACGGCTTGACGGGGCAGTGAATAAGTCGGCGATTTGAGGAGGAGGTGCCGATGCCGATAGAAGAGCCACAAGATAAGTTGCTAGTCGGGAGGAGACTTTATAGAGTTGTGAGCTCTTGTATCTCAGCGGTTGGGCTTTGTATAAAAGGAGGAGGAGAACCAAAGGCCAAGGCCAACAATGACAGGAGACAAAGCCGAGACCTGGGGATTGGTTAGAAGCACTAAACGTAGTACTAGCTCCCGTACCAAGCGTACCTTGTACCGGGATAGGGTCGTCAAATGGGAGGTCCAGAGCTTCAAGATTGAAGCTGCACAATGCAATGAGGGACGAGAGTCAACGTGCGTGCCCACGTCACGAGCGGGTTCATTGGTGGGTACTCCGCACTGTGCGGTTCCTTCCTTACTCCCTTGCCTCGAACTGTCCTTCTTGCCTTCCCGCACTTGCCACTTGCCAGCATCCCCACCGTTTCCCGTCCAGACCGGCCGGGCCTGTTTCTCCGACCATATGCCTGGCCAATCAGTGGCCGCATGGCTGCGGGGGGCTGAAACACGGCCCCACGCGCGCGGGTCTTTCCTTTTGCTGCTAGTAAGGCAAGCGCAGAGCAGCAATCCAGGTAGCCAGAATCTAGGAGGAAAGAGACCTGCCAAGGGACCCTGCCGCAACCGCTTGTGTAATGCTCAAGGACCTGTACCTGTCCGCTAACACTGTACCTTAGGTAGGAGGTACCACCTAACCTCCTCATCCCATGCTTGCTGCCATTTGCCATGATACCGGACCCTAGCCGCCCGGACCTTATTCTGTTAGTGTCGTATTCTGTCGTCTCGTTGCTTCTGAGCCGGAGACTTGGGATCTCAGCTAACGGATCGCTAATCGAGCTACGCAGATAAACCGGCAAAACATGGGGGAGCATGGCGAGGGCATCGGAAGATCAAACAACAAGATACAACCATTGCCGGACAAGACGAGCATCAGATTCGGCTTCGCTCTTCTCGTCGCCCATCTCCACCGTTTCCCTCCTGCTCAGAGCCATCCGCATTTGTGTTCCACCACCCATGGAGTGTGTCAAGGCTTCTGCACGTCCTCCTCGCGAACCTCTTTCTCATACCCCTCTCGCGACCGGCTGCCTACCTATCAGGTACAATGGCAGCCAATACAGTACTCGTACATACATGTCTAGCTTGGCGCTGAGGCTGAAGCGTTCTTGTGCAGCTGCAGCCAGCCACTTCCTGACCGACAGCCTTGTTCATTTCTTTCCCTTCCCTTCTGTCTTATTGCTTGTTAATCTCCACTGCTTGGAGGGTCATGCCGCCGTCCTGATGATCAGTTTGGACTCTTGCCCTCAGCTTCTTGTGCTCTCTCTTCTGATGAGTTTCGATTCGGGTATATATCTCTCCTCTACTCTTGGTGACTTACTCGGCTCGTTGTCTAACACTGTCTGATCAGCACTTCCCTCTTTCAGCATACGGGCCCCGGCGTCTTTTGCTGCTTCAAGCTCTTACATCTTTTACTCTCCTCGTTTATGAAGCATCTGTCAACGAAGACAACCATTCCACCATGGAAGCAAACGAGTCTCTCCTCGAACAGGACGGGAGCATGATGCAGCAAAATAGCAAGAAAATAGGGCTGCTCAGCATCCCAAACGAAATCATCGGTCAGATCGGAGGGTACCTCACCAGCGATCACGACGTTGCTGCCTTTTCGAGGACATGCAAACTCTTCAACACCATGTTTGGCGATATGCTATACCAGCGGAATGAAATATATAACGGGGCTTCCTGCCTCACGTGGGCAGCCAGCCACGACAGAGTGGACACCCTGAAGAGAGCCGTGAAGGCGGGCATCCGCCTGGAGAACCACTCCTATCTCGTCTTTGTGGTTTCTTGCAACGGGAGTAGCGAGGTTGCTAGGCTGGTTCTGTCGACACCTGGAATCAACCCCATGGCCGAGGACGTGAGAGGGTGGACGCCCATCACTCTCGCTGCCAGCTACGGACACACAAAGGTTGTCCAGGCACTGGTAGACCACGGAGCCAACTTCAAGTCGCCCACGAGGAGTGGCTGGTCGCCGATCAACGTGGCTTGCAGCCATGGGAGCATCGAGGTTGCGAAGCTCCTGCTGGACGGCTACGGTGCCTCAATGGAAAGTGATGAGGAGAACGGCTGGTCGGCACTGAGATCCGCCTCTGTCTTTGGTCACGCAAACATACTATGCTATCTTCTCCGGAGGGGAGCGGACACATCTGAGCGATCGGCTACAGGCTGGACCTGCCTGCACTCGGCAGCCGAGGCCGGCCACACGAGGGCAGTGGCAGTTCTTCTTGACCATGGCTTGGATCCTATGGCTCTTACTGACATGGGGTGGACGCCCCTGATCCTGGCGGCTGACAAGGGACACGACGATGTTGTTCATGAACTGCTTGACAGAGGTGTTGATATCGAGCAGACGTGTAGGAATCTGTGGACCCCTCTCTGCATGGCTGCAAGTCGCGGCGACTATAACATGATCGGGCTCCTGCTCAACCGCGGGGCCAACATTGCGGCCCGGGCAATGGGTGGATGGTTTCCGCTCGCGCTGGCTGCGTCCAATGGCCACGATCCCGCAGTCAATCTGTTGATAGGCTATGGGGCTGACATTCATATGACCAACTACAACGGCTGGACGCCTCTCATGGCCGCTGCGGACAATGGCCACAGCTCGACGGTCATGATCCTCCTGGACAAGGGCGCTGAGGTGGAGGCCAGGAGCACAAACGGGTGGACGGCTCTCCTCTGTGCTGCCGACGGCCGCCACCTGCACACTGCCAAGCTGCTCTTGGGCTACGGAGCCGATATCATGGCCACTTCAGATGCTGGCTGGACTGCAGGCATCCGAGCCGCTCACTCAGGGGGCATCCGGCTGTTGAACATGTTTCGCAGGGTCCCTGGTTTTGAGCTGGACCACCTGGATAACCAAGGCCGCTCGGCATTCTTCCATGCTGCCATGCGAGGCCACGCGCGACTGGTCAAGAAGATGCTCCCCTTGGTGAGCACGGCTAACACGAGAGACAAGTACGGGACAACTCCCATCTTCGCGGCCGCTAGGAACGGACATCGCAAGGTCGTCGAGGTTCTTGTCAAGGAGGGATATGCGGATTTTGAGGAGAGAGACTTCCTCGACTGCACGCTCCTCGCCTGGGCGCAAAGGTCCAAGAGGCGGCAATTTGTCCGGTTCCTCAAGAAACACGCTCAAAAGGCTGACATCCCCATATGGCTGGAGGACCCGGCAGGCAAGCGCACGCAATACAAGTACGACTGCTCGATGTGCCTCTGCAGCATCTGCTGTCGGACCAGCCCGCATTTAGAGCAGGCGTATGTATGCGACGACTGCAACGGGGGCATGATTATCTGCGCGGAGTGCATCGAAGCCGGCATGATATGCGAGAACAGCTCTCACACTTGGAGGGCGCATCAGTGTTTCTGGAACCATGACTATGGCAGTGATGTACCCGAGTACCTTGCCGCCAGCGCCAACATGAGAAGCAGGGTGTGAATGTCGATGCTGCTGGGGGTGTTGACGGATTTCTTGCTGGCGTTGAAGGACAATAGAGGTCTTCGCTTGGGAAATTGGAATTGGAGTTTAGGAACCGTTCGTTCATTTCATAAGGTATGCGGAACATATACAGATTAAACAGAGATAGACTGGGTACCAGGAGGAATGTCGATCATGGGTTTGATACTGGAACAGTTTGACTTGAGAGTTTACAAGGCGCGCTGTCTCAAGCCATTTTCATCCATTACATTTCACAGACTACAATGTCTATTGACAAGTGACTGAGAGAATATGAAAGGGCTGAAAATTTGCAAAAGTAGAAATGGAAAGAGACAATGCATATCTGGGTGCCATATTTTCCTTGCAATCGACTCGTCATGTCGAGCCGCATCAGAAGTCATATGCAAGATCCAAAGTCCCTGAATCTTAGCGGCCGATCGGCCAAACAGTGGTGCCTGTTTCAAGGGTTGCATTTTTAATATCTGAAATCCGCCGGCAGAATACGGAGGCATGAAGCAATATTAACGGCAGGAGGCTGTAACTCGTGGCGTATGGCTCTATCATGATATGGGAATTTGTGCCATTACTTTCTTGTTACCACTAGCTCCTTCCGCTCAAGTTTCGCGATGTTTGAGGCGATGATATCATCTCCATTACAGCATCATAACTGGACGCTCCTTCTTCACCAGCTCTGTCATACCTACTCCAGTAGGCAACTGCCCGCCCATCATTTGTGGCTCACCATCTGGGGTAGCTGCAAGTCTGCTCCTGCCGTGGCTGTGCGCCATTCCCGCACCCAATTAGCCACCGCGGATAAAGTGCAATCGCCCCACCAGCCTGTGGCGCCGCACTCCCACCTGCCCAATGAAGTCACCACGAGCTCATTCCTGCCTCTGTGTCCAAAAAGGTACTTCTTCATCCTGCTGGAGCTACTCGCTAGGCCCAAGTCACTCGCTTTGCCTTCGGTCCTTGCCATCCGCCATCCGCCGTGTCTCGTGCTTCTCCTCTGCGAGGGCTCACGAGGGCCTCAACCAGCCTCGACTTGTTCTGCCCTGCGGCTGCGCCGTTTCCAGAGCACCAGCTGCAGACTCTTGCTTACTTGCAGGGACCTTGCGCAACCCCCTTTTCGTCTCCATCTTCATATCCGTTGTCGTCCGCCAGCTTCATCTTCCCTCTCAACTGCCAGCTATCCGGTACTAGTCCGAGCCTCTCTACAGGGAGAGCGCCTCTTGTCTCTCTCTGCTCACCTACTCTCCCTCTACACTCCTCCAAAACAGCAGCCCGCGATGGTGTCCTTTTGGCCGTGGAAGGTAAGTTTTCGACCAGCATTGCCTGCCTCTACCAATTTTCTATCACACCCCTCCTCCCTCTCTTCGAGTCTGTCACTGACCAGCTGGCTTTATGCGCAAACAGAGCGACGACTCCTCGCCGGCCTCGTTCGAAAAAGCTCTCTCGGCCCTCTCGAAAAAGATCGCAACTACTCAGTCTCGCCTAGAATATACCCGCCTGCGGTCCCGCAAGATTAAACTCTTGGGGACTCTATACACCTCCTTTGCCTACCTCGTCAGCGTCATCGTTCTCCTCCTAGTTGTAGGATATCCAAATCTCGGGCCATGGGAATGGACTGGAATGGCTGGAGGACCTGTCCTGTGAGTTGGATTCCTTTCTCCCTTCCTCTTCGTCAAGATTTTAGGCATTTCATGCTGGGACTTGCGCACATACCACATTCATACGCATGCACCAAGCACTTGCTCCCTTCCCCTCTCTCGTATGTCCAATGCTGACGATTTGTGCCCCTCCGCCCTTGTCGTTGCACAGCATCCACTTAACGCGCGTCGTCATCACGAGCTATTACAATTATCGCATAGACAGTCTCGAAGCCAAGCTGAAGGCGCTGCAAGAAGAGCGTGGCAAGACGATTCAGAAGCTTAAGGATGCGACCAAATATGACTCTACCTTGGAGCTTATTGAGAAATACGGCGGTCCTGATGGAAGACCGCGCAGCAGACAACAGGAAGCGCCTGAGGAACCGGCAGACGCCAAAAAGTCGCACCCGCAGCAGGGCTCGTGGGCGATGCCGGATCGCATTCACATTTCGCCTCCCCCGACAGCCAACATCCCTCGACGAGAACTCTCACCCGCCTCGCTTGCTCCCAGCAGCCGGCCCGTGACGCCGCTGGCCCAGAGCGTCGGCTCCCTCGATACCACGGCCGAATTTGCGCCCAACGCTTTTGGCAACAATCTTCCTCCTCCCCGGCCTCAGTCGGCGCAAAGCCAACAGATGTACAACATACCGCCTCCGGCCCCCTCCGAGCCCCACTGGTACGATCGCATCTTCGACGTCCTTCTGGGCGAAGACGAGACGGCCGCCAAGAATCGCATCGTGCTAATATGTCGGTCCTGTCGCGTGGTCAACGGGCAAGCGCCTCCCGGCACCAAAAGCCTGGGTGAACTGGGCATGTGGAAGTGCATGGCCTGTGGGACGCCCAACGGCGAAATGGATGAAGGGAAGCGCATCGTAAGAGAAGTCCTCAAATCACACGAGAAAGAAAAGGATGCGAGCTCGAGCAAAGAGCCGTCGACGCCGGAGACTGACGATGGTGCCAAAGAAGCCGAGGACAGCGAGCTCTCAAGTTCCCATGCCGACGGCCCAGCAGCTTCAGTCAAGGCCAGGAGATCGACGAGAAGTAAGAAATAAATGGCTGCGGATGGCTCTGCAACGGGGCAGGCGTATCGGTTTTTTGCAGTCTGAAACAAAGGCCTAAGAAAGGGAAGGGAAAAAAGCATCAGAGGACATAAGAGAATTTTCCTCGCTGGGAAAAGGACGGGAAAAAAAAATTGGAAAGCAAAGGGGGGAAAACAAAATCCAAAAATCAGGGGGTGGGTGGAAGGCGTCCTTTTATCTGCAGTGATATCTCTCCGCATGGGTTTCATTCTGGTTCTTGTTGGCTTTCCCCTTCGATTTCCTCTATCATTCCGCCATCTGCCATTCCACTGCTACAGGCAATTTGTCTACGCATTCATTTTCTTTGTATCGGCGTCGCCTACCTGTTGTCTGGCTTTGATTGTGCTCTTTAGCACTCGAAGCTTGACTTCCCAAGGCTACCCTAGGTGTTATTTTCAACTATACCTATACCCCTTTCCTTATCTTACCACTCAGCTCTACTGCTATATCTACCTACCACTTACCATTACCAATCCTCTTTGTTGCTTGGCAGCTTAGAACACGAGAAAGAATACATGTGCCTGTTATAACCGTACAGGCGGAAACACGTGGGAGGATCGGGGGCTAGGAAGTGTGAAGATGGAGAAGCCACGAGTGATTATCGTCGAGACAGGACATGCATACGTCTACATCATGACCCATTGGGCTTGTTTGTCCGTCACTTACGATAGGGCGGACTGACGGATGATAAAAGAAGATCGATAGTCGGCACTACTGCTGACATGCCTAGGCTAGGAGAAACGCAATAAGGGATTCAAGGGATCTTTTAAGGGAATCTAAAGGATATCAAGGGACTTTAAGGGGCTTACAGGATGAGGGGAAATGCCAAGGCATGATGCAAAATCATCACATTGCAAAGTCTATCTCAACTCCCTCGAATCATGTTAAAACATCGTAGCGACCAGCTTCCTCCAACAACCTCACCCCCCGCCCAGTCTCTCTTATTTCTTCCCGCGTGTGATTTCTTGTTTGCGATTGTTCTTCTTTGCTTCGTAAGGGAATCATTTTTTCGTATCTACTTTGACATCTGCTGAAAAGGCTACCCTGGGCGTCTTCGATTCTGCCTGGGAACCACAAAAAAAACCTTCTACCATCCACTCATCATTAACTGGCGGGCGTAGTATGGTTCAAAAAGACAAACAAAAACCCAACACAAGCGCAGCATGGCCCTGACCCATGACTTCTGCTCCGTCTATAGGGCTCCCCCCACTCATCGCTTCCGCACCTCCGAGGCCCATCCCTCGATGCCCTCACCCCGGCTGCCGGGCTCGAGACCCTCAATCTTGATGCCCTGCATGCCCGGAGTGTCGTCCAGCCAGGGGTGAGCAGCCATGCCGCCGGCGTTGGCCCGCTTCTCGGGCACCAGCTCGAGCATGGGAGTCAAAAAGGCCGAGATGCGCTTAGCCTCGTCCTCTTTGAAATGATATTTCTCTCGGAGAACATCGGGGAGAGCCCAGTGCCGCAGCCTATGAATGTTCCGAAGCTCTCCCTTCCTGTTGAATATTTCCTGGCTCCACTTGCCGCTGAGGCACAACGACCGCGGGAATGGGCCGAGTAACTCTATGATCTGCGCGATGTGGTCGTCGTCCTTGCCATACTTGGTACCAGACTGGGGATCGAAGAGATAGTCGCCGGTAATCAGTTCAAAAACCTGGTTTGACGGTCATTGTTAGCTTCATCGAAAAGTGTATACAAAAGGGTACTAGACGGTACTCACCATGGCCGACATGCTCCAGACATCCGTGCTGGCCCCCCATTTTGCGCCCAAAATCACCTCGGGGGATCTATACTGTCGCGTCTGAATATCGTTGGTGAAGTGGTGGTTCACCCAGCACGCGTTGCCCAAGTCCGCAATCTTGACGCTGATTATGTCGTATGCATGCGGATCGTCCGCCTTTCGCTTGTCGCTGGTCGAGGCTGACGACGGTGTGCTAGATTTGTCTAGCGAGATGCCCGACACTTCGCGGGTCAAGAGGTCACTACATGGCAAGGGGAAATCAGTCAAACAGTGTCAGCAGGAGGACAGGCTGGAAGAAACGAGACAGAAGGGGGCTTGTCGTAGTTCGACTTACGCGGACTTTTCTCTCTTGCTCTGGGCATCATCGGCCGTTGACGACTCATCCTTTTGCTTACCTAGATATGAGAAGAAAGGGAAGCGCCAAATGTCAGAAAAGCTCACAAAAGGAAGGATTAAATCAAATGCCGAAATCATACCTTCTAGCATTCCACCGAGACTGCCCTGAGAAGTAGACGAGGGGAAGAGATTGTTGTGGTTAAAGTTGGCGTTGAGAGGAGAGGGCAACGGCTGGCTGCCGGTGATGAGCGTCCTACGTCTCCGGCGGCCGTTGCGATTGTTCTCCTTGTCGGGGGTCTCAGGCTTGACGACCTTTTTGACAATCTGCTCAACGTCTCCAATCTCAATCAGGACGTTCTCGGGCTTAAGGTCGGTGTGGATGATGCCGCACTCCCTGTGCAAGTAGTCGAGGCCAAGCAGGACCTGCTTGGTGATTTGCTTGACCAGCGGCATGGGGATGCCGCGATGGTTCCATCTCTTGATGAGGCCCAGTAGGTTCTCGCCCAGTACCTCAAAGACCATGCACATGTGGGTGCCGTTGGGGCCCTTGTGCTCAAACGAGTCGAGCAGACTGACGACATGCTTGCGGCCGGGGTGGTTGGGGTTGGCTTGCACAATCTTATTGAGGAGCTTGATCTCGTCGACGGCCGTCTCGGTGTAGTGGGTGGCGGATCGCACCACCTTGAGCGCGACGTGTTTGCCGTTGGTGTTGTCCCGCGACAGCCAGACAGTCGAGAAGTGGCCCCAGCCCAGCTTGCTCACGACCGTGTACTTGCCGTCCTTGAACTTTTCGCCAATCTGGACGGGGTGGTAGCCGCCCTTGCAGTAGTCTTCGGAATCTTCCTCGTCGGCCGTGTTTTCGGCGGGGTCGTCAGCGGCTGACGATGAGGATGGCGAGTGAGCCATGGTTGCGCTGGGCAATTGGCGGGTTCTAGATGGCAGAAAAAAGGGAGAGAGGACGGGTTAGCGATCGCGATGCAGAGCTCGTGGAAGCGCGTTCAGCAGGCCGGAGAGAGGGGGCAGATGTGATGATGGCCAAAGAACGATCTGGCAGCAAGTTGACGGGAAACAGAGAGAAAGGGTTGAAGTTGGAGAGGCGGGCGCAGGGATAGTCGCTCCTGATTGGGCGGTCTATCTGGGAAGAGGGGGGAGAGGACAGAGGCTAGTGGGCAGCTCGAACCAAAGAATCCTTTGCGGGGTGAACTGGCATCAACATTGGATCCCAGGTGCGTATAGTTGCGGATTCTCTCGTCAGCCCAGCCTAGACTCCCTAGCAACACTGCCTCCTCTTACTACTAACTACCTAGCCAGCACTTGCCAGCAGCAGCAGCAGTGGAGGAGTTGGCGAAAGCAGCAGGAGATACCAGACGCACCCGAGGCATACAGTGAGGCAAGTGGTAAGCACGTAATGCTACTCGACGCTACATGGCAGCATACAAGCAGCAAGTAGGAGCAACTGTACGTGGGAAAGCGGGCCGCCCACTTGGGCACGAGAGCCTCAAAAGGAGCCCCTTGCAGCCCATGAGCTTCAAAGGAGCCCTGCGGCTGGAAAGGGGGGCTCTGAAAAGATAATGGCTTCGGTGAAAGAAAGAAGAAAAGGTGAGGGGAACCTAGTCTTGAGGAAGCTCATGCTGCCTGTGACATTCTGCAGCGTCTGTCTGCAGAAAATGGCTGGGCAATGATACTCGCGGCTGGCTTCGGGAGACGAGATCCAGGAGGGACGATGAGATAGCGCCCGTTGCGGCTAGCTAGGAAAGGGAAGAGCGTGAAATAGATGCAAATGAAGAAGAAATAGAAGCGAGAATCAATAAGAAATAAACGGCTGAGCGATCAAACAGGACACGAGGTAGAGTCTCAGGCGTTTTCCCTCCTCCCCAAGGCAGCAAACCAGGCAGGGTAGACAAGGTGAGGGTTATTCTGGTAAAGAGCGGTATCGTGACAAGGTGACGGAGGGGAGAAGGGCAAGCATGGGCGTGGCAGCAGCAGAGTGAGACTTGGCTGAGCTCACACACGCGCGCACACACGCACATCGAGAGAGCCATTGGCTGGGCCCAATGATGACGGCGAGCAGCTGAAAGCGGCAACACAAGCAGAAAAGTACTTGGGCCGTAGCAAAGCTGCTTGATTCATTACCCGCCCGAACCAGCCCCTCCAGCGGGGCAACTGACAGGCGCCGGAAGCAACTGCAAGCGGCGAAGCGCCCTGAAACACAGCCTGTACTGCTTCTATCTCGAAGACAAAACAGCACTGATGGAGGCGAGAGATTCTCGCGAAGGGGAAGGGATTTGGGGCAAGCTTGTTCAGTGCACGAGCAGCAGACAAGGCCAGACATGGGACTTCTCGAGGCCAAACAGAAGGAAATCGGGGAACCTCAACGGGATGACACCGCCGGAACAGCCAACGGAGCCTCTGACGGGCAGCAGCGCGGAACCCCCTGGCCACTTGGACTGCAGCAAACTCTGGCCCGAGGTGCGACGTCGTTGCTGTAGCAAGTAACGACGACGGAGGCGTGAAGAAAAGTCCAGACTGAAGCAAAGAAATCAAATGCAAACTCAAACAAAACAAACACCGGTCCGGCGCAGGCGTCGGCCCTCGTCAGCTTCAGCGGCCTCCCAGCTCGTCACTCGAACGTTGTTCGCGGCCCCGCTGATGCGAATAGCATCCGTATAGAGAACATCCTCACCACAGCCTCTTTCAAGGTATGTAGTGTCATGGGGCATCAGGGATGAAAGACACGCAGGAGGTAATCACTCATCTGCCCTGTTTTTTCTTCCCTCCTCCTGCAGCTTCTGGGTCCCTCTGGGCTCAACTGGAGCAAATGCCGGGCTCGGGGACGGCCAACACGGTGGAGCCGGCCATGTCATAGAGGGGGCACGAAGCAACGAGGGGCAGCCAGAGCGAGTCGCCGTCTGTAGCGGGTGGAAGAGGCCATGCAGATTCCATGCAGAGGAGCGCAAAGGGGAATGGAAATGAGCCTGCGGCTGCGAGGGGAATGTTGAGTGATGTGACGGTGGAGTTGGACAAAGGTCAGCCAGGCACCCGACCAGTCCCTTGCCAATAGCAGCGCAGATACATCAACGATGCCAGATGCACATCATGCTCATCCCGTTACTTTTGTGGCTCGCAAGGCTCCGAGAGGGGAGAGGGAATCGATAGAGATGAACAGGTAGGGGAAAAGGTAAAGGTAAACAGAAATAGAATAGAAAAGCGGCCAACTCACCCGTGCCCATCAGATGCCCGCGGGAAATACGACGAGTCGGAGTCTTCCATGGTGATTACGGGCTTGCGGTCCTTCTTGCGCTTCTTGACAACACCGGAACCGTTGGAACTTGGTGGGAGGGCGTCGTTCTTGGTGCGATCTGCGTCAACGTCGCTGCCGCTCATAGCTGCAGGCGCCGTTGGTTGCTTTGGGCGAAAAAGAAGAAGAAGAAGAGAGCAAGCGGAGAAGAAGAAAAGAAAAGAAAGAAAGAAAGCTAAAAGAAACTGTCGATTAGGAGGGAGGCGAGGCGAGGCGAATGTGGCGAGAGAAGGCGGAGAGAGGAGAGGAGTTCGAGATGCGACAAGGACAAGGCTGAGTTGGGTAGATATCGATAACGGCTGGCAGACGAGCAAAAAGTGCAGGAGCGTTGCGAGTGGTTGCTGTTTATCGGGCTGTCGTATCTATTGGAAGGAGGATATTATCGTGGCAGGTGCTAGCGGTTCGTGGCGAGGGCAAAAAGGCTCTGGACAGCTGTAAAAAAAAATCATGGAAGGGTTACGAGGGGAAAAAATTCCCTCTATTGACTACTGCAGCTGTTGAGGTGCTCGCGCTTCTCTTGGTTTCTATCTACCTGAATCTACGCCTTGTTACGAACTGGATAAAGCGTAAGAAAAGAAGATGGAGAAGAAGATATCCAGCGATATGCATGCATTTGAAAGAATAACCATAAAGGTGAGGTTATATCTCTAGTCCTTACCTTGCCTTGCCTCTGTTTGAGATGGAGACAGGTGCAGCGAGAGGCGATGCAAGAGAAACAAAAAATGTTTGATTACCTTACCTGCCAGCTTTTGACCGACTTTGCTTGATTTTTTCATGGTGACGAAATCTAGAGCATGGGTGGAAGGTTCAGGAAGGCACTGAGAGGGACTTACGGGGCGTGTCTGCCATCACCAGAGCTCATCAAACGTCCATTTCACGTCCTAACAGCATGCGAAGCACATCTTGATGGCTTCAGCCAAACGAGAAAGAAGCTGTCTGGCCTCGTTCAATTTGAAGTATTGAAAGAGGCAAAGGAGCAAGGAGTTTGTCAGTATCGTATCCTCCAACTGATGGTGACAAGCAGATGCAGCTAACAGATGCGTCGCATCTCCCAGATAGCAATGTCTCCAGTGAGTCAGCTGGGAGCGGCAATGGCCTCGTCGCCTTGGCCGTAGGGCTGCTGCGCAATTTGTTTCACCCAGAGGCTAGCAGGTCTGTTCATCACCGGCCCAGCTTGGCGCTAAGCAAAACACCAGGCGACTCATCTGTATACGATACCGGCCGGATATCGACACACATGGACATATCCAGAGTTCGGCCGAGAAACACCAGCCGCGGAGGATGTATGACTCGAGCGGGCGATACGACAGCCACAAACGACGAGGCTGCCGAGGGTCCAACGACCAGAAATTCATCGGCCACAGAGCTTGCCTTATAATGGCAGTCTAGGAGCGGTCCGTTCCGATCTGGATATCAGTTGGCGGCAAGCCATGAGAATCACCAAAAGACATCCATTTTCATCCAACAGTTTTATAGGCGAAAAGCTTCGGAAGAACCCAGGGTGATCCCCAATCCCGAAAAGAGATCGTACAGAGATACAAGGAGCGGGCCAGGGTAGGAAAAGGAGAGCTGGCATGTGAGAAATGTGTGAATCTCATGACGCCGCTCTCGGCACTACCCTTGACACATGCACGCCATTCTTGTGCAGAAGAAGATCGACTGAGGAAGCATCGGTGACGCAACTCAGAGAACGACCACCTCCACTCGGGAAGCCTTTTGTCCTGCTTTCCACTGCGTCTCTCAATCTATCCCTGGTCTCATCTGATCTCGGTACGGCTTGCCTTGATACGGACCAACTCTCAAAACTCTCCACATCCCTAGTAGTAGTATGAGCACATATTTAGGACCTCGGTTGAATGTACGACTGAACGACGATTCCGACACCGTCGTCCTCGGATACCGGCCTCTTCATTCCTGATGGCGGTCAAGCCCCTGATAGCATAACCTTCTCCCCTATGGTTATATCTCAGGAGAGGCTGATACGGGCCGAAAGCAGGGCATACAAAAAGCAACAATCACAATAGGCATCCCCATACATGGGCCATCATCAGCCGTATCTTCAGATCCCTGTACGGAGCACGAAATGCAACATGCTTCGGAAGCAGGACGCTGACTGGGGACAATGCTAAGCAAACATTTGCCGAAATCCATCTTTGTCATATGAATTCCAAGTGTACTTTGCTCCAAGAAGTAGCACTATCTGTGAGCTTAAGAAGGGGCAGCTGAATAAGGTAGGTCTCGACAACAAAAACATACTGACATTATTCGCGTCGATCGAGAGGGAGACAATATGATCGTGATAACTTGCCGCATTGTGGCCTCTGGCCCGGTACTCGAAGGCAGCGCAGGGAAGTGCATACACCGTTTTTCATGCACGTGGCGGCTCGGCCTCTCTGCAGTCATCTGGAGAGCAGGTTTCCCTGGAAGAATGCAAGGAGGTCATCCAACGTCCCGGCCTTCCCAGCGCAGACCGGCATTCCCAGCGCAGACCGCCGCCCGTGAGGGCGCACGGTTGGATATGAAGGCAATGCGAAGTTGCCCCTACAAGTACGGTCTTCTCATGCCGAGACGGGACATGGCCGGATTACAAGCTCCGAATTTGATCGATAGTCCGTGATGCTAGGTGCAAACGGTTGCAACTAGTAAATTTCTCCTAGTTGATTAATGCATCCGCCACCAAACTGCGGCCCGCGATGCCAACCCAAGCGCTCGGACAGGTCTCCCTATCCTACCTACCTGCCAAACCCTTTCCCACACGGGCCTCTTCGGGCCTGCAGTCTCAGTTCTCATCAATGCTTCAGACATGAGATACCTGATATCACATTTGCCGAGACGACTGCTATACCTCCTGTATGTAGCTTTTCTACGCCGCGGGAGCGTTAGCTGGATTCTACGGAGCAGCGCAAAACCGGAGAAACCCTGAACGTCTCCCCGTCAACGACGGATCTCGCGCAAAGCTGCCTTGATGAAGCCGTTTCCATTCGTCTTTTGTCCCAGATGTGATTGGCTGCCGTTGAACCCCCAGTTTCCGGTTCTCGGCAGACAGCACTGCATGTGCGCAGGGACATGTCGAATAGCCGTCTGGGCAAAAGAAATTTTCCCAGCTTGTGGCGTGTTTGCCGCAACCCCCATATTTTATCGTTCGATGTGCCAAGGGCCCAAGTCCACAATCTGCAAAGCCCCTGACGCAATAAACCGCCTGGCTCCGAGCGACAAGATGCACGAGATGCCGGGCGTGGCTGCTCGCGTGCTGTTATTGCCCCAACGTCCACCTTTCCCCTTCTTTTCTTGATTCCGAGTCAGCGGCACCAGGGCAAGCCATGGCCATTCTAGAACGTGTTTGGAATTGGTCTCAGTCCGCATCCATCCCCTGTCCGATATCGTACGATTCGCCTAAGCCTCGTCAAACGCGATTTGGAGGGCCTGAACCGCCGTGACATCGTGGTTGGTTGAGGTTATGGAGATTCTTTCCCTTTTCCCTTCATTTCTTGTGTCAATCATGATCCAATATTTCCTCAGCCGCTGCTACATACCGCTGGAGTGGAACTTGTGAAGCATAGGGCGGCACATTGCGGCCCTTCCGGCTCGTCACGGGGAGCAGACAATCGTCCCATGGACTTTTGCCCCAACGTTCAAGTATTAGTGCGGACTCGATTTCGTTGATAAATCTCCATGTCCGCCCCAGAATCTTCAGTCTTCTTCTCCGCATAAATCTTGATTGCTGTTGGTTCCTACGTGCTGCGATTACCTACCTGCCTGCCTTCCTCCTCGCAAGCAGTTGTATGACCTTGATACCCTTTTCGCGCCATTGTCCCTTGGTTACTCAAGCTTGACACGTCCCTTGCATCTCAACATAAGGGATCTTCTACTCTACATATCCCATAGCCGCCTTGTATAGGTTTCGACTCTTCAGCACCCAAGCCTCTCTCGTCTGTCCAACACCCCAAATATGGCCTTGACTTACCAGCAGGTCAAGCTGGTCAGGGACACGATCCCAGCCCTTACCGAGCATGGAGAGCGCATCACAACCACCTTCTACCGGAACATGCTGACGGACCATCCGGAACTCCACAACTACTTCAACACTGTCAACCAGGCAAACGGCCGCCAGCCCCGTGCCCTGACTGCCATCATCCTCAGCTTCGCCAACAACATCAACCACATCACCGAGCTCATCCCCAAAATGGAACGCATGTGCCAGAAGCACTGCTCGCTCGGCATCCAGCCGGAGCACTACGACATCGTGGGCAAGTATCTCATAGCCGCGTTCGGGGAAGTCCTGGGGCCCGCCATGACGCCCGCCGTCCAGATCGCCTGGAACAAGGCCTACTGGCTGCTCGCAAAGATGCTCATTGGGCGAGAGGCTCAGCTGTATCACGACTGGCAGCACTGGCAGGGATGGAGGCCGTTCCGCATCGAGCAGAAGGTGGAGGAATCGGACGACATCTACTCTTTCTATCTCGTCCCGGAGGACGGCAAGAAGCTGCCGAGCTTCCTGCCGGGCCAGTATGTCTCTGTGCGAATCCAGGTTCCGGACAAGGACTACAAGCAGCTGAGGCAGTATTCGCTCAGTGAACAGCCGAGGCCGGACTACTATCGTATCACGGTGAAGCGGGATCGAGGCTCACAGACGGTTCGGCACCCAAGCTATCTGACAAACTCCTTTGGCGCCAACCCGGGCGTCGTCTCCAACGTGCTCATTGACCAGAAGAACGTCGGGGATATCATTGAACTTACTCACCCCGCGGGAGAGTTCTTCCTCGACACATACAACACCTCGAATTCTCCTCTTGTGCTCATCTCGGCCGGCGTGGGCGTCACTCCCATGGTAGCCATCCTCAACTCTGTCATTGAGAAGCAACCCAACAGGCCGGTATCGTGGGTCCAGGGATCCCGAGACTCGATTCCGTTCTTCCTCCATATACGGAAGATTGCCCGAGACAAGCCCAACGTCAAGACGAACATCTTCAAGACGCGCCTGGCCGAGTCCGATTTAGCGGGCGTCACGTATGACCACGACGCGCGGGTCGATCTGGACAAGGTGCAGGCGGAAGACCTGTGGCTGGGCAACTCGTCGACGGAGTACTTTATCTGCGGGCCGGAGCAGTTCATGATGGAGATGGCGAAGCGGCTGAGGGAGTATGGCGTTGGGAGCGAGAGGATTAAGCTTGAGCTTTTCAGCACGGGCGATACCGAGTTCCAGGTGGATGCTTTGAGTATTGCGTCTGGACGTTCAATGGCGGCGACGCCTTGCAGTAGCAGCAACTAATAACGATGCTTGTCTACGGACTGCATGGCTGAGAGACTACAGACACGAGGCCTTTGTGCGAAATGAAAATTCATGATGATGGGAGGATTTGAAGCAGGCCATGGGATGGGACATAGAGGTTTAATCGGGCAACATTGCAGGTTTTGGATGGCATATATTGGGTAGATACGGCAAGACGTCAATGATTCACACAAGGGGGACGAATAATAATGGAGTTTCTTTTTTGCAATAAAAAATGACACCCGTGATGTTCCGCTTGGGTGCTCATTCTTTCTACTCGTTCAATGCCCATGAGTCCATGAAAAGTAATTGGAGCGTTTTGCATGACCTTGAACAGTATCTGTTGACTATGAGACGAGAGCCCTCTTGTCCAGGACTTGTGTCATTTGAGGGAAAGTCTCGACTTTGAAACGTCAAAACCGCCATATAGAAGTCATGTCAATGGTCAGATAAATCCACGTCCGCCAGCTGCCAAGTTCATCCCTGTTTCGCAAACCGGTTGCTCCAAAAGCCGGGCTACCGGTCTGTGACCTCCTCAACCAGCCACCTCATACTCGCCGCATTCGCATCTTCCGCCTTCTCCGGTCCAAGCAATTGTTGACTCTGAGGTAGTTGAGCCTTTGGAGCAACCATGTGACAGCGTTTAGCTCAAAAGTGCGTAACTCTGCACTGGCCATCCTGAGGAGGCCTTTGACCCGTCCATACCTACACCGTAGGAAGAGGAGGGACAAGTCACTTGCATTCATGAACTGCCTTGTGAGAACACTCACCGGCTAAAGGGCAGAAGTCATCTCATTGACTCTCCGGCTGCCACACCCTCGGGGTTAGCTACTCTTGTAATGATGAAGAGCGCTCCAGTTCCTTCGCCGTCGTCTTTACCAAACTCCTTGAGGATGGTGGTATAACGGGCCCATGATCAGTATGGCTGGAAGTTGACGGCTCCCGACAAGCGAAATTACGGTCTCTCCGACAACAGAGGACAGCACGACTGGTATCGACTGCTAGAGTCTCTTCAGATGCGCATAATTAAGAGTTGTGACTGGTTGGTTCTGCCGCTCGAGTCATCGTATTCTCCTTCCAGCATACCGCGGCTCTTACGCAGCCATCCAATCACTCCCCATCAACACCGGTTTCCTCCAATATCAGTAGACCGTACTCTTTCCTGATTGGAACTCGCAAGTAGTCATCAGATCCCGGGGAGTACGAAGCCCACGTCCGGGGATTTAGTGGGTGAAATCCAGCCGCGGGACCTCGCCAGAGTTACGCGGGATCGTCGGGGCTATGCAGATCCGACAGACTTGCAGCGGAGGTGAAACAAGGAAAGGACGGGCCCTAGCGACGCGATGATGCCTGCTTGCCTGCTAACGAAGAACTGGAAGGAAGATAGCTAGGCTGGAAGATGCGAGTTTGCAGAGTGCCGGCGGTAACGTACGGTAGCATCGGGGGTTTCTGTTTTAGCTCGGCTTCAAGATGGCTTCAGAGCCCCCTTGTCGTTCACTAAGGACGCCAAGACGTTCGGCCAGCCCCCGAGAGTCGGGCTTTGGGTGTTGTGTGACCTCGTGCCCCCTGCCGATGGGACTCTACTGCTACCGGTAACGGTTTAGGCGGTGCCCATGGGGCGGTTCGTGACGCCTCGCAGCGCTTCGGTCAGCACTTTCAGCGCGGGTATCGGTAGTGGATGATTCACGTTGCTGCGGATTTCGATGAGGTCTCCGGCATATAGAGTTGCTGGCATGTCGACGAAGTCGGGACGCACTCTGATAGGGGCGCGCCATCGTTCCGAGATAAGGTGCGAGATAGCGAGCAGGGCCATTAGTATAGACTGAGGGCTAGACGACGGTGGTCAGCAGGATGAATAGAGAAGAATAGCTCGCTAGGCGTCGTTGGCTGTTGCTAGTCGACTTTTGATGGCTTGGACTTGTTGCCGCCACCAGATCCGTCTATTGCCCTTGATCCAGCGATTTCGCAAGTGATTTTGTGTTGTTTTGCCAGACTTCACCTCTGCTGTGATGAGCTCTGCTGCCTTGCCTCGCAACTGCGTCCAGCTTTGTACTAGCTGTCAGACTCAAAGCTCTGGCTGGTTCTCGGCCCTTCCCCCTTTTTCCTTACCTTATTATGCTCCTCTCCCAAAGGACCAGTCGCTGGCCCATCTCTGGTGCTACTACTGGCCTTGCTACTCTCCCTATCATGCTTTATGCCTCTTGCTCCTAGCTATCCCACACCCCTAACCTTGCTCCCTCACGCAATAGGGAACTGGCTCTCCTCCCCAACAAGCAATCGACGGCAACCCGACACTTCGACGGACTTTTAAACGCCAGCGGTTTCTTTACCCCGCGTCTCCCGGCTCCCCTGTGGGCTCCTTGGCTCCTTGCCTCTCAGGCCCCGACCCAGGTTTGATTTGCTCATCTAGAAAGCTTCCATATCCATCCAAAACCCATAATCGCAGCAAACCCATGCTCGGCTCTTTGGGTCGTTTTTTTCCTGCTCTTCCTCCATCAATCTCAGACCCCGGCACTTAGGGCGATTTTATCCTCCACTGTTCAATCCGGAAATCGCCTTTGTTTCTCGCGTCCTTCTTCTTTTCTGGATACCGCCGTGTTGTTTCCTACGGCGTCTTACCGCCGCATCTGCTTCTTCATTCTGCATATTTTTATCTGATTTTTGTCACGTTACGAGCGATATTGGCATTTGGTGACGTTTGCTTTGTCTTATTCTTGTCCTTTCATGAATGATTGTTTTCTGTTCAGCCATGTCTTTCTGATCTCTCATTTCACGACTTGTCTTTGATTGAAACGATTCTCTCGATTCCTCTATCTGGGCCTCCGCCCATCCACCAGTACAGCTTGACGGGGATTTCCAGCTTTGCATGAGGAGCTTGTAAACCGGGCTTCTATTCTACTTTGCGTCGCTTGTTCCTGAATGGCGCGCCGAATTCGCAAGACGCCGTGGAGCCGCACGGGTTGCAGTACCTGCAAGAGGCGGAGAAAGAAGTGTGAGTTCCTTTTGACGTTGCGCTCCGCTGTCTTTGTCCCTGATAGGTGGTTTGGGGGGGAGGGCGGCCGCTCTGCCGATGGATGGTCTCAGGTTGCTTGTATGTTACGTGAGACAAAAGGTTGACTTACTGACGTTGAATACCTACAGGTGATGGCCAGAAGCCTAGGTAGGCCTTTGTGAAGTTCAACTGTTGTCTTTCCTAGTAGCTCCGATATCGTCCCCTTTCCCTACATCTTGCTCTTCCTTTCTACTGGTCGGACAGCCCTCTACGTTACGCAGGGACGTCGGTCACGCAAGGATGGGAAGAGAAGTCTACAGTCTACAGTCTACGGTCTGCAGTGATGAGAATCTACTGGCTCTTGGCCTTTGATAAGTCGTATGCGACCAGTTCCCGCTGACGGCTTGGCGACTTGCAGGTGCCAGACATGCCTCCGACTCGGCCTTGAATGCGTGCAGTTCGACATCTTCTGTCCCATCAACGTCGTCACACCGACACGCGACACTCGGTCGTCGAGATCCGTGAGCGACGCCGACCCGGAGCCGGATGCGGACGACTTGAACCACTCGAGCCCGGCATCGACCTCGTCGGGGTCTTCCGGCAGCTCGGCGGACGATGCAGAATCTAGCACCAGCCGCGAGCTGGTCCCCGTAAAGGCGCGGAGGCTGTCGCGATCCTCGACTCAGTCTCAGCCGGAGCTGCAGTTCCAGACGCAGTTCCAACTCGTGCACCCCAACCGTAGTCGCCGCCGCAGCAATCGCGACAACCAGGATCACCAGGCAGTGGCCCTGCGGGCTCGCGGCGCCTCGCGGGAGATACCGTCGCTGTCCGAGTTTTCCTATCTCTCTACGAGCGAATACTTCTACCTGCAGTACTACCTGGAGCGGCTGAGCAACGTGCTAGTCAACGCAAACAGCCGCGTCAACCCGCTCAAGTCGCTGATTCTGCCGCGAATCGCCTCGTCGAGTCTGCTGCTCGACGCCATCTGTGCCACGGCTGCCGTGCACCGCTCGAGCGCGTCGGAGGTCGATCGGTCCGAGTACGCAACCATGGCAACGCGGTACTATGTTCGGGTGTTGTCGGCGGTGCGAGAGTTGATCCCGCGAGTATCGAGTTCCAGCTCTGGTTCCGGTTCGGTCTCTGGAAGAACAAGAGACTTGTTAACTGATGGGGACGCATCAATTCCGATGGACGACGGTGATGACATTGCAGGAGACGACGATGGTAGCAGTAGTAGCAAGGGCAAGGGCAAAGGAAAGGCCAAGAACAAGAGGAACACGGCCATCGCGGATAAGGACACGGCTGAAATGGCCATCCTTGCCTCGATCTTCCTCTGCAAGTACGAGATCATCAAGGACGGCGTGGAGAACTGGCGCTTCCACCTGCGAGGTATCGAGTCTCTGTGCCAGTCGTTGGATGCGGATCAGGCTGCCTCCATGTCCGAGACGCTGACCTACGTTCGAAGCTTGTGAGTCGTGCCGTATCTTGTTCCTTATGCCTTAGCTAACGAGCAACAAACAGCATGTCGTACCATAAGAACATTGCTCGCGTCACCGAGTCTTCACCGCAGGCAGTCGATGACGAGTTCGAGCATGAGCCCTTTGAACAAGACCGGCTGTTCCCAGTCGACCCCTACATGGGCTTTTCTCAGAGCCTCATCATTCTCCTCGGCCGCGTCAACGACCTCCTCGTGATCAACGTTCGGGATGAACCCGAGAAGCTGGAGCAAGGAATAAGGGAATTGTATGTGAAAGAGATGCTGAGACCCTCTCCTCTAATGACTGAGAGCCTGAGGAAATGGATCACTGACTGAACCGTCTTGTAATAGGTTGCGCTTGCTCTCCCTGAGAAGCTGGGACGCGCATCGGTTCGCCATTCCGGAGGGCATGTCAGCCTCGACAATCGAAAACTCGTCCCACATTGCCGAGGCCTATCGGTGTGCCGTCATTGCCTGCATCCATGCCGTGCTCGAGCTTCAGGCGGAGAGAGAGGCGGAGAGGGAGGCGAAGAGGGAGAGAAACGGCGCCGTTTCGTCTCCACCAGCCCCGACGGCGCTGGACTTGTCACTGCAGTCGGAATCGCTCTCGCAGTTGTCATTGTCACCCCAAGCCCTATCCCAGGCTCAGGTAGAGGCTCAATTCCGAGCCCAGTTCCAGGCCCAGGCAGCATCACAAGCTCAAGCCCAGCCGATGATGTCCATCAACTGGGTGTACCTGCATGCTCTGTTGCCCACGACAAAGGCGGACGCTCTGACAAAGTGCCTGGCGGCGGTGGCTCGAGTTCCGCTCGGGTGTCCGGAAGAGGCCGGTCTGCTCCCCCTTCTCTTCATCGTTGCCTGTGAGACGAATCGGCCAGACCAGGCTCGGGAGGCGCTGCAGCGCGTGGAAGCGCTGGGCAGCCACATTGGGCTGGGGAACGTCAAGTGTGCAAGTGCCTTGTTGAACCAGGTCTGGAAGAGGAGATCGGAGCAGGGAAACTTTTCGGACTGGCGGGGGTTGCTGGCAATGGCGAAGTGGGATCTCATCATCACTTGAGAGCTCACTGGAGAGGATGGAGAAAGTTATCGTCAACTGGTGACGAACCCCATCACCAACCACCGGTCACCAATCCTCGTGATGGCGACCTCCTCACCACACATAGAAAGGGAGACGGGGATGGCGCATTTCCACTCCAAGATGATGCGTTGCTTCTTTCTGCTTTCTTCTTTCCTTCTTTTCCTTTGTTCCGGCTTTTCCTTATTCCCTTAGTTCGGTTCTGTTCAATTTCCTTGGCCCGTTTTCGTTGTCGTCGTCGGTTCGATAGTATGCATTCGCTCTCTGGATGGTGTCATCTGTGTTTGGATATTCGTATGGGAAACATGACTGAAGGATGGCGTCTAGCTACAAGCACATAGCCAAATCTAGTAATTCTGTGAGAAAAACATTTCCATCATCGGAGAAAAAGAGAGACAGGATGGGGACAAGGACGGACCACGGCTTTAAATGTCATCGACTAGCCTGCACGACTAATCCTCGACCAAGCAGAAACGAGCAAGGGAGCTGCTCCATAGCAAGCACAGTAGTGTGCCAAAAGGCTGGGGATGGAGCCTTGAGCTGATGATGTGCTTTGTTCCGATAATCAAGGAGCTGTCTGCTCTTTTTCCGCCCCCTTCTTACTTACATGGACACCACAGACGGAAAACAAGGAAGAGCCCAAGGGGAAAAAAGCCTCCACAGCGGCTCTCTATTTTTTCCCGTTTAGGGCGCGTATCTTTGGCCCAAATCGGAATCGGAATGACGGTTGCTGTACCAGAGGGCGTTTCTTTTTGGAGAAAGGGAAAAACTTCACTAAGGCAGCGGCTGGCGTTGGGGGGGCCACCTCCGCATTTTATGGTGGTTAGTTCAACGAGCAAGGACAGGCAGATCGGATGTTGTTGGTTCGTCTGTTTCTCTTTGCTTTTGATACTCTTTTTTTAACCTTGGTTGGGCCCTTGACAACTGGGTTAAATTCGCAAGGGCGGGGAGGATCCTAAAAAGATAGTTCGATAGATAGATTGGTGAGGGGAGATGGGGGGGTTCGGTCTTCGGTTCTTTATCCGATTTGGAAGTTGATGCGTAACTTGTACATTACACTGGCGCCGGTTGGTTCCCGAGACTTGCATGTTCTTCTCATTTTGCTATCGAGTGAAACGGGGAAAGGAAGCGGCGGGATATTAAGAAAGATGGGGTTTATATACCTGCACGGATGGGTGGTTGGGCATGTATGAACCATGTCTCTCGGTCCGTATCTGTGGGTAAGTCCCAAAGTTGTCGTGATGGAGAACGAATAAGCAAACCGCAATGGAGGCTTGTCAAGCTGCGAGTTATCGATGGGCTTAGAAGAGGTGATACGGGTATGGTTTCGACGTTAGTGCTGTGCTAGGTGAGATGGTGGAAGTTGAGATAAAACGGCCTTCTCCCCCCCCTTTCTTTGCACGATCATGTTGTCCCGCATTCATTCAGACTCTTGGCAACTTGACTGGTCAGCTTTGGGAGTCTCGGTTGGAAGAAGAGAGAAAAAAGGCTGAAGAAGAGCGCATGGCCAATCCTTGCTGCTGGACCTGGGTATTGCTGTTTTGACCACTGCCGGTGAGAGCTTTTGGATATCACTGGAGGTAATCCGGATACTATTGCGGATACTGGACGATTCGCCGCTATTTCCGTACAACACCAAGCACAACTACACGCTCTGAGAGCTGCCACTGGTCAGTTCCGGCTTATACGATATACAGCACACGGCACACACGGCATACTCGATATATCCAGCTCTTATACGTTTGTTGCCGTTTGTTTCATATACACAACGATGCATCCCTTCGATCCCATCCGCCCAGACGAAATCTCCCTCGCCACATCCATCCTCAAGGCGTCTCTCCCCGGCATCAGCCTCCGCTTCAAGGTCATCGACATCCAAGAGCCCATCAAGCAGCATGTCATCCCCTACATCGAGGCCGAGCGGACGGGCCAGGCTCTCCCCGAGCCACCTGCTCGGCTCGCCTACAGCTACCTGCACCGCCTCGATACGCACGCCTTCCTCAAGGCTGTCATCAACCTCGAGACAAAGGCCGTAGTCTCCCTCAAGGAGCTGCCCAAGCACATCCAGGGCCCCGTGGACGTGGACGAGATGATTGGGCTTGAGACCATCTGCCTCAAGCACCCCAAGGTCATTGCCGAGATCGAGAAGCTGCAGCTGCCCAAGGGCGTCACCGTCTGCACGGATCCGTGGATCTACGGCACCGACGACGAGGCCGAGCACCGCCGGCTGGTGCAGTTTTACATGTTCATCGTGCCCACGGCGCATCCGCAGTCGAACCACTACTCCCTGCCGTGTGCCTTTTCGCCCGTGCTCGACGCAAACTCCAAGGAGCTCGTGCGGATCGACTACCTGCCCACGGGCCGCGGTCACGAAGTGGCTGGTGAAACTCAGCCGTGGAAGCCAGTCAAGGCCGTTGAATACGCCCACGAGCTGCTTGAGACGCCGCTGAGAACCGACTTGAAGCCGCTGATTGTCCAGCAGCCCGAGGGGCCCTCGTTCTCACTCGATGGCCACCTCGTCAAGTGGCAGAAGTGGCGGTTCCGCGTCGGCTTCAACTACCGCGAGGGCCTCGTTCTGTACAACGTCACCTTTGACGGCCGCAACGTCTTCTATCGCCTCGCTCTGTCCGAGATGACTGTCCCCTACGGAGACCCTCGCAAGCCATATCACAGAAAACAAGCGTTCGACGTGGGAGATGTCGGCCTGGGCATCACCTGCAACCAGCTCAGCCTCGGGTGCGACTGTCTGGGCCACATCAAGTACTTTGACGGCTTCCGCATCGATTCCGAGGGCCGGCCAGTGCATCTGCGGAACGTCATCTGCCTTCACGAGCAGGACGCCGGGATCCTCCACAAGCATACAAACTACCGCAACGGAGAGGCGACGGTGGTGCGGAACCGACAGCTGGTGGTGCAGATGATCTGCACCGTCTCCAACTACGAGTACATCTTTGCCTGGGTGCTGGACCAGGCGGGCGGGATCGAATTCGAGGTCCGAGCTACGGGCATCCTGTCGACGATCCCGATCGACGACGCCGAGGGCCTGAACCTGCCGTGGTCGACCCCTGTAGGACCGGGCGTCTCGGCGCCGTATCACCAGCACATTTTCAACCTGCGCGTCGACCCTGCTATTGACGGCTTCAACAACACGGTGATCTACGAGGACAGCGTGCCTCTCGACCCGGAGGAGCACGGCGTCGAGGACCCTTACGGCGTAGGCTACGTGGCGCGGACGACAGTGCTAGACGCCGCGGGCTTCGCCGACACAAACGTCGAGCTGGGCCGCGTCTTCAAGATTCGCAACGACGGCGTCATCAACGCCATCAGCCGCAAGCCCGTGGCCTACAAGGTGCAGACCGTCGCCAGCCAGCGCATGCTCATGGCCTCGCGCTCCTTCAACGCCCGCCGCGCGCGCTTCCACGAGCACGCCGTGTGGGTGACGCGGTACCGCGACGGCGAGCTGTTCGCCGCGGGCGAGTTCACGAACCAGAGCCGCATGAGCACGGGCGTCGATACGTGGGCTGCTCGGGGGGATGATATCCGGAACCAGGATGTGGTGTTTTGGCATACCTTTGGGTTGACGCATAACCCGCGGCCGGAGGACTTTCCGGTCATGCCCGTGGAGAAGCTGAGCGTGCATTTCAAGCCGGTTGGGTTCCATGAGAAGAATCCGGCGCTGGACGTGCCCAGTTCGCAGCAGGGCGTGAATAAGTCGACGTTGGTGGAGGAGGTGGCCAAGGAGATCGAGGAGTGCTGCAAGGTGTGATATTCCAGGATGACAATGTAGTTCATGAAGCGTGCGAGTATAACTTGGATAGAGATGTTGGATATCATGGGAAGCCTATATAAGGCCTGTGAGATTGGAGCATATCCTACTTGAAAGACCTTTATATAGATGGTTCTTAACAAATAGAGACGGAGGATGATGATGAATTATCAACTGCTGAGATGAAAACTCCTTACATCCTCTGTAAGCCCTCGTGATACCCCTCAAGGGTCGTCTATATAACATCTCTATAATCCTTGGCTACGAGAGTCGATCATGGTATCTGTCACATTTGCCCCAACAAGCGCAGCATCACTCACTTCCCCAACAGCGCCTTCTCAATCACCCTCGCCGCCTGCAGCACCAGCCTCTCGTGATACCGCTTGCCCACGACCTGCACTCCAACCGGCAAACCCTCGGCGTCCTCCGGCGAGTAGATTTCCCAGTAGTGCTTCTCGAGCTCGTTCTTGGGCTCGTACGCCTCCCTGAGCTCGGCCGCCGTCGCTCCGCCCACCAGCTTGTTCGCCGGCATCGCCACGGCCGGATACTGCAGCAGGTTCCAGATGGACGTGTAACCCCAGTACCTCGTCGCTCCGTGCGGGCCGGCCACGCTCGGGTATATCGGGGCGAGCACCACGTCGACGTCGAACTGTTTCCAGTGGTCGCTGTACTGCTGGCGGAAGGCGTCGCGAGCCTCCTTGAGCCCTTCCGGCGATGAGGCCACTTCCTTTCTCCCCTTTTGGCACTCGTTGATGATCCACTCGGTCAGCGGCAGGACGGACTCGCCCCCCTTTTCGCAGATGGCGCGGATGTTGGCGCCGCCGTCCTCGAAGTAGTTGGCGGCAATGATGCTCCAGCCCCTGGCGTGCTCCATGGGAGAGAACGTCACGACCTGGACGTCCACGGCGCGGCCCAGCTTCTCGGCGATGCGGCGCATGGCGGTTCGAACGGGAGGCAGAGGCGAAACCACGCCGTCGTCCATCAGCAGCCCAACCTTGAGCGGCCGTGTCTCGTCCAGCTGGCGGCCCATGGCGGAGGACAGGATGCTGCCGGGGATGAGCGAGACGTCGTCGATCCAGGGAAGTGTTGACGAATAAGCCTTGCAGAAGAGCTCAATGTCGCGGAGAGAGCGCGCAAAGGGGCCCAGGGTGCCGACGATGGCGTCGTGGCCGGGCGTTGGGACGACGACGCCGATGCCGCTGAAGCGACTGGGTGAGGGCACGAAGCCGTAGAGCTGCGTTTTGTCAGCGAGTAATCTCATAGGGGGGAATCATAAAAAAAAAAGCGCCCTATTCTTACCCCGTTAAAGGCTGCGGGAATCCGGATGCTCCCTCCGATATCCCCCCCTATGCCCAGCACCGACGCATTCATGCCCATCAGCGCCGCCTCACCCCCCGTGCTGCCCCCCGCCGTCAGCTGCCTGTTGCGCGGGTTCACCGTCGTGCCGTAGATGTTGTTGGACGTCTCCAGGTGCATGCCGGCCTGCGGCTGGTTCGTGCGGGCGAAGACGATGGCGCCCAGCTTGCGGAACGTCTTGACGATGGCGGCGTCGTGGCGGCTGGTGTTGTTGATCCAGGCGACGAAGCCGGCGTTGGTCAGGTGCGAGGCGACGCCGATCTGGTTCTTGAGCGAGAGGGGGATGCCGTGGAGGGGGCCGATGAGGCGGCCGGTGAGGGCAAGGTGCTCGTCGCAGGCCTCGGCGTCGTAGACGGCCTCGGGGAGGAGCTCTGTGAGGCAGTTGGTCTGTCCCACTGTCAGCTCAATGGAGCCACCTTGGAGAGCCCGAGAATGAAGAGAATGGGAGAGGTCGACTCACACACTGCTGGGCTATCGTGGCCCTCTTGCGAAACGCCGATAGAAGCTCAACCGCCGTCACCTTCTTTGCCGCCAGCATCTCCAACAGCGCCGTAGCATCGTACTCCTCCGTCAGCTGCAGCTCCGCGTCCGTCAGCAGGTCGCTGGATCGAGGCACCGACGTCACATCTTGGGGGAGAGACGTGATCTGGGAGAGGGAGAAGAGGACGCTCTTGTCGAGGGAGCCGTCTCGCAGGGAGATGGCGAGGCGGATGCTGTCCTGCGATTCGGGCATTTTTGGTGGTGATGGCGGTGGTGGTTTGTTTTTGTTAATTTGTTGTCTACAGGAGGAGCATTTGCGGGATTGGGCTGCTATGGGTTTGCAGAACTCGGGAATCTGATTAGTTCTGATTAATGCGAGGCTATCAATTCAACTGCAGAGTCCAGTCCCAGTTCAGTTCCTCTTCAGGTCGCAAAAGCCTGAAGCCATCCCCCATCTTCGTCCACAGCTTGTGTGCTCAACCCCTCATCCCCTCATCAGTTTGCCTTCCATAAGCAGCATCCAGCTACCCCATGGCTGCCCAACATGCATCTACAGGAATTGGATGGAGAAAAAGAGGATCAGAGGAAAAAATAAAAGAATTCATTATTCAATACAACATAAATATCCGTTAACGAATTTCACGTAGCATTTTGCAGGCATCGCCCCCCCTCTAGCGTATATACTGCCCCCTTTGGCATAGCCCTCGATGCCGGCGAACAGGAGCACGAAGCCGGAGCATTTAGAACAACTGGGATCGGGCTTCTATTCGATTTGTCTGCAGCATCAAGAGGCACTGAAACAATCTGCATCTTTGACTTGTCATATCATGTCACTTGGAACTTGTGTGTGTGTGTATGAAACGACCTTATTCATCACATCACTTCCCGCGCGGGGTTTTGCCAATACCAAAGGTAGAGCCTAGACCGGGGTTGTTTCTCGCCTTGTTACGTGTACTCCGTACATAGTATCCAGTCAAGTTAGAGACCGCGGGAGCGATGGGGCTCGGGAGAAGCTCATGGGCCAGGCGTCGGCAGTCGCTTGTGGAGCAGCATTGCGACGCTGTGTTGGTTGTGATGAGGAATGCGAACCGACAAGGTGGTTCGACGCGAATGGACGGGCGTATCGTGCATGGATCCGCTGGCCCGGATGCGACGGCCATGTTGATGTCATGTCATGAACAACGGCCATGATGTTGGATGGTGTTCGATTACAGGTACGGTAATGGCCATTATCTACAACCTACCTTGGTACGACAAGTCGCCTTCAGAGCAGTACATATCATGATAGTGGCGAGGCAAGCTCTCATTGTCATCTTGTAGATTATGCTCAAAACTGAGTTCATTCATGTAGTCGTATCAGTAATACTGGCATCGAGCCCATACCCATGAGCATGCCCCATTAATCCCGTTTCCCATTGCCCATTTCCATGCCTGCCCTGAAGGACATGCAGCCATTAGTATGTATAGTATATAGTCGTCAAATCAAATCCCATTGGTAGCTCCGGACCTCGGGTCAGTCATTACACGCTCAATCAAATAGAAGAAATAGAGGGCGGAGAGGTGGGGAGAGAAACAGTCGCTTTAATCCTTCTGTGAGCCCGTCGTCTCGCTCTGGTCCAGAGACTTGTCGTGACTCTCCTCGACGTGCTCGTCAACCACGTCCTCAAACGCTTCGGGAATCACCACGCCCTCTTCCTGACCGTACTTGGTGTTGGTTGTGTAAAAGTAGATGCTGATCATTGTCAGGATCAGTCCCACCATCATCATGCCAAAGTAGGCGCCGGCCTCTCTGATGAACTGCACGCCGTGAGTGTCGATACCAAACGCCGTCGCCGTGCCAAATGCCTGGAATCCCTTAAAGTATCCACTGTAGCGTCCCAGAACGTGCGGCTCGTTGGAAAAGGTGCTGTATGTCCAGTGGTGGAAGTTTTGGAAGATGGGGTAGCAGGCGCCAAAGAGAATGTAGATGACGAATGGGCCGGCAAACTTGCTCGTCTCGGTCCAGTCAACGGCTCTCGGGGTCTCGCTTCGGTCGATGTCGTTGACGGACAGGAAGGAAACCATGGCGATCCATGTTCCTCCAATAACGAAGGCCACGAAGCCTCCGGCAACAAAGGCTCGGCGTCGACGGGATCCAAAGATTGAGGCATCACAGACCCAGGCAATGGCGAGAGCACCCAGAACTTGGAGGATCCAGTAGCAGAACTATTCTCACAGTTAGAACTCGACTTTATAGAATGATGATAGCAAAAAAATGCTCACATTGGCCAGGGATCTTGTTCTGGCGTTAAAGTACCACGCGTTAAAGGCTCCCGTCAACGACAGGTACATCTCGCTGCTGTAGATGGACAACGTGATCAGCGCCATCTTGGGCTCCAGCATTGTCAGAGCGAGAGCCTTGAGCTCCTGGTGCCATGGAAGAGGCGTGAACGAGGCGATTGGGCGGCCATCGTTGCGTCGAAGCTTGGACGGGTCGAGCAGCAGGCCGGCAAGCAGGAGACCGACGCACTCGAGGCAGATGAAGATGATGTAGACGGACGACGGCACTCCGGAGACGGAGGTGTTGTTGATAGTGACGCCCAGGACGATGGCCGCTCCGACAACTGAACCCATGGCATTGAGAACCCATGACGTGGCGATGTATTTGCCCTTGTCCGCCTCAGTAGGATAGCATGTCGTGATGTAGCCTGTATGCCTATGTGTGAGTAAGGAGTCTAAGTGATCATTGTTGACGCTCCTTACCTTGCGTGGACCAGAGCAGACCTGCGGACAGACCCAGCCAAGCACCACCAAAGAGAACAAACCAGGAGCCTTCGCCTTTATCAATCCACCTGAAGACCACAGTCAGCTTGAACATTCCAATTTCACATAGAGAATTGTCTGTAAACGTACCACAGAGATCCCGCATACATGGGATAACCCGTAGCTCCAATCATCAATGCCCATCGCGGTCCGATCTTGTTGATAATGCTACCTCCCAAGATACCGGACGCTCCAAACAAGCAGTACAGAATGACATTGGCCTTGTTAACGATACCAATCAGCTGCGGCTGCTTGCCTCCAGCGCCGAGACCGGTGATGGCGAGATACGTTCCAGGGTTGCAGAACAGCACGAAGCCGACGATGATGGTCTGGACAAAAGGTCTATCGCGAGGTTAAACTGACAGGTTAGCAAGGTATGCTTGCAATCATCAGAGGACAGAGGCAGGGCCGGAAACGCACGAGTTATATCGCCATGTGGAAAGACGCTGATGTTGCGGTTGTGCCTCTACAACGGCAACTTCATCCTTTTCAGCGGCCATGATGAGAATGGCGGGAAGGGCTGCACTAAGTTCAGGCTGGCAGTCCTTTCTATCTTCCCAAATGTTGGATGAGGAAGAAAGGAAAGGGGATGGGATGGGTGAGAGAGGGAAAGGCGTCGATGGAGTGGGAAGACTAGGCAATCCAGAAAGAGCGGACCGGCTTCGTTATAACTGCAGGCGCTCTTCGGATATACCTACTAGGTAAGGTAGTTTAGCTCGCTGCTTCCCGTCCGGCGGTCTCTCCTCTCCGCAGCTTCCAGACGCGACTTTGGACCCAGGCAGGCAGTCACAACCGGGGAAACGATTGATAAACCGTTGAGATAAAATATAGTAAAAAGTGGTAGAAGGTCACAAACTAATACTCTATCGATTCACCCCAGTCAACGCTTGATGCGGCGGCCGCAAGTCAAAGAGTAGAATGAAAAAAAAAAAAAATTAGATAAATCGACATCGTCTAGCCATCCCCCGGCCTTAGCTTAGACTCTTCTCGGAGGCCAAGCGTATCTTTATCCCTGAAAGGGGGGCGAGGCGAACGAGGAGAAGAGCGGGAAAAGGCGATTTGTGACTGCTGGCTGGGTGAGAAAGTAAAGGCGACCAGAGAGCCAACGGGCGCCCTTGTTGAGGGGCCATGCCGATTCGCTTGAGCTTGACAAGGACATGGATGGCGGCTGTACGGGAGGGGGGAGAGAAAGAAGAGAGCTAAACTGCTGGGATCATGTCACTGCAAGAAGCTGAGAAGAGGAATAGGAAAAAAGTGGCTTTGAAACAAGTAGAATTGCGGTAAGAGAGCCGAAGAGACGAAAGGCCTGGTGACAGTGTCAAGTTGACAGAAGCCGTGTCGATGATTGACGTTTCTATCTCTTCATGAGAACTTGAGCCAAGTAGCGGGTACGAGACGAACCATGAAGCCTCGTTCGATCGGACACGAGTTCGCGCGTACAGTACCAGCCCACCAACAGCCGAACAATAGATGCCAGGTCCAGGTACGCCAGCCACTAAGCGGTGCTACCGACAGGCGGGTATTGGTTACATTTGACCCAGCCGCATAAACTCATCGGCTGCCCATCAGTTGATCCAGGTTCGAGCAGAGTGCCTTAAAATATCACAGGTACTCAAAGCCATTTGCCCACCGCCTCCCAATGCAACTTGATGCCGAAAGGGGTTGGAAGACCAGCTTCGATCAAGCCAACCGAACAGCTTGAACATGAGGCTAGAACGCTCTGAGTAGACAGGGAATAGCTTCAACTCTGTGGCCGTGCTTGTTTGTACACCGGTTCTGGCAAGGCAGCTAACGCATAACTACGGGCTCTCCCGTATTAAGCACGGATCTCCCGGTCTCCATAATCGACATCCATGCCCCTTGCAGAGTCGTCTTGGAGCCTGGTTTTCTGACTTTCTGCACAGGCATTAAATACCTACAGGCCCTGTTGAAGCATCACGAGCCCCGGTAGAGGCATCCATGGAGGATCCATGACTCCCAGGCCCAGGAGTCAGGCGAACACCTGAGCTGAGCTGAGCTGAGAGTTGAAGCGAGCAAGCCGTCACTTTTCATCTTCTCTTCTTACTCATCCATCAAAGCATTGGGCGATTTCTCTTACCAACAAGCCATACCGCCTGGTGTTGCTGCACGTTTCGCTAACCCTCACAGAAGATGCCCTTGTCTAGCTGATCCATATCCCAATACTAGTTTCTTCAGCCTCAGCCGTTGCCGCTCCCATGACTCTTTGGACACGCGTTTTACCCCAGATGGCTCGCTTATCTCAACATCACCAATATGCCGGCGGCACAAGCACAGCTGAGGTTTCGAAATATGCATCGATCGAGTCGGTCGGAATATCGTAGAGTCTGGCGAACAGAGACCCTTGAGTTGGCAGAAAGTGTGCAAACAGGGACCAAGGGAATGGGAATATTCTCAACCAGGCTGACTGTCGACTCTCCTTCGCTAGTTGCGCCTATCAAGGCCCAAGACGAGCAATTGATCGTCGAATGAAGGGAATACTGCAGTATGCGATGTTTGGACTTTGAGAGACAAGTTTCATGAGGTGTCGTGGTCTATAAAACATTCTAGCGCAGTTGAAGGCATTGCAGCGTGAATAGCGCTGTAAAATGAGTGCTAGCGGCCATGTTCGTTCCGTTCTTGCGTGGTTCGGACAATATGTGGCCATCATTGACGGAAGATCGCTCCGTTCTGAATATTTTCCCTCCTTCATCTTGAAAAAAGAATAACAGATGAACATCGTCAATCCCTCATCATTCGGTTTGCTATTTCCGAGCTCTTTCGGAAATAGACAGCCGTTGGAATGCATGTTTTGCTAATCCCTCCCCTATCCGAATCTCATTATGGCACCACAAACACCACGAAGGTTCGGGCACGAGAAGCGGAGAGCAAATATGCAATTTAGGCATCACAGCTCTGACAAACACATTGAAGAAGCAGAAAGATCTCCCACCTATTCTATTCTATTGCTGAATCCCGTTGATCCCTTTGCCCCTGTTGCCTGTGTCTTTATTCTTCAGGCATTGCGCATTTGATCACGGGTAGGTAAGCTGTGCTTAGGACCGACAGAATGACATTCTCCGCTGTCCATCAGCAAGAAAAACCTCATGATCTCTATTCGAGCGCAACGCGTCCCAAATCGATATCGAGGGACGAGCCTCGACGAGCCGTGTTCAGTAATAGGCTGCGTGGCGAAGCCCTTCACGGTCCGAGAAGTTTATTAACAGTTTTACGATCAGATCTCGGCAGCGTGAGAATTTTAACCATAAAGCGCGGCTTACACGAGTGTAATCAGGTTGAATTGCAGCTTCACTCTTTGTTTTATTGGCGAAAAATGCGGCCGCAAGACGTGGACTTGTTGCTAGATCGCCCAGTCCCTCCCCATCTTTAACCATCTAAACGATGCTTTATCTTGGACTCATTTCCACAGTCATTGTTCCCCTGTCGCTGTGCGAACATGCTCAACGAGTCTCCGCGAATTTATGGTTGACGTCTATCTTGATATCTTTGAGGAGAAACGGAGAAAAGAATGTCGTACCGGGAAACGAAGAGGTCACAATTCGGAGACTCGGATAAAGCAGCTTCCCAGCAACGGCGTGGTTGAAGCAGCTGTGCCACACAGGGACAGACTTCTTCACGACATCGACCTTGTAATGCATGCGCATCAGTCGATATCCGGCGTCAAAGTCAAACTTCTGGAACTTGGTATGGGTGGGATAGCCGTCGGGAAATACCACCTCCAGAGTCGTCCACTCCTCGCCGTTCTCTCGCGTGGGTCCGTCCACTTCTCGAGTTTGGATTTCTGGATCTTCGAGATAGAATGGAAAGTTGACGTAGTTCCAAAACGCATAGCCGACGAAGTAGAACAGATTCTGCATATCCCACGGGGTGGCCTCAACGTGGGTGTCAAATACATCTCGGGGATTCTCCCGAACGTCAAGATCTTCTGCCGTGCCAATCTTGCCAACTTCGGTCCGTGTAGGTGTCCATGATCCGTAGTAGTCGCCGAATTTCTCAAACGTAACCTTCTTCGTCTTGGTATCAACCACCATCTTGATTTGATAGGGCCCAGGTAGGCCTCTCATTCGCAACGCCGGCCCGGAGAACTCAAGCTCCACGTTGAGGGACTCAATAGAGTCCCAGTACTCTTGGCCGCCATGGGCGTCAATGGCGCTCTGCAAAAGTTCAGGGCTGGAAGATAATCAGCACTATGTTTAGAGGTACGAGGAGAAGGTCGTGAAGAGATCTACCTTGTAAAGGTCATGGTGGATAGCAGTTAGTTAAGCTACAGAAGATACCAGTTTCCCAAAGCCCCCCTTAGGACAATATATACCTGTTGATGGACCTAAGCAGTCTCTGCAAGGTGGGATATTGTGAAACTCACAACTAATCCGCGATTGTCTAAGCACCCAATAAACCAATTTAGGCAAATCGGATTCAACATCGTGGGACGCCCGGCTCCTGATTGACGTACAACAACGTTGCTATTGGCGATCCCGTTGCCCTCGAGATTACTAAACCAAGTCGTAGGGAATCTTGGTTCCAGAAGAGATCAGTAAACGGAAACTATTTCTCGTGGAGCTCAACTGAATCACTGTTTCTAGACTTCATCTGTGAGTAATCAAGATTGGCCTTGAATACCGAGGCTATAGAACGCTTTATATAAACCCGTTGGTTGCTGGACTTTCAGCGCTCATTGTATCGACCAAATGCCTGCCGCGGCCGCTCAACAATCGTCTTGCTCAGTCATGCGCTGCCTTACTTCTACAGTTATTGATTAGATAAACGCAATACTCCTTATCAAGACCTGGCTATTCTACCATGGCTACTGATAGGGGTCTCCAGATTTCTTCTGCCTTTCCCTACGAGAAGAAATCGGTCGAGGTACTGGGAAACCGCATGGCCTATGTCGCCATCGGCTCTTCTTCTGCGTCCGGGTCTGCTGTTGTCTTCTTGCACGGCAATCCAACCTCGTCATATCTCTGGCGTAACATCTTTCCGCATGTTGCAAAGAACAGCCGCTGCGTCGTGCTCGATCTCATCGGCTTTGGTGATTCAGACAAAGTACCGGGGCTAGAGTATAAAATCCGCGACCACCAGCGCTATATCGATACTTTTCTCAGTATAGTCTTGCCAACAGAGCGCATAACTCTCGTCATCCACGACTGGGACTCAGCTCTTGGCCTGGACTGGGCCAGTCGCCATCAACATCGCGTCGCCGGTATTGCACTTATGGAGTGGATCACCACAGTGAGCAGCTGGGCCTCTCGAGATTCGGTGTTCCGAGACCAGTTCCAAGAATTTCGCACGCTTGATGTTGGGAGAGCCATGATCATGGAGCAAAATCTCTTTGTGGATAGGATACTACCCAAGGGGGTTGTTCGAGGGCTGACGGAGGAAGAGATGGTTCACTATCGCCGGCCATTTCCGAAACCTGAAGATCGTGAGCCAGTCTGGAGATTTCCCAACGAGATCCCCATTGAAGAATACCCAAAGGATGTGTGGGAAAAGGCACAGAAATACACTTCATGGCTTCTCGCATCGGACGTACCGAAGCTGTTCTTCTGGATGAAGCCTGGAACGTTCGTCACGGAAGAGGACTTTGTGAGGCTAAGAGGAGCGATGAAGAATGTCAAGACCATCTTTCTGGGGCCAGGAAGGCATTTCGTGCAGGAAGACTATCCCCACACCATTGGACAAGAAATAGTAGAATGGATGGCAGAGTCGGATCTTTGATATATGCAGTCTGTTTTGTATCTTAGCTTCTGATAGGCCAGCAAGGTGAAGTTGGCAGTATCCGTATCGATAGGTACAATGGACGATATTGCTGGAGTTGACCGCCTTCTTCCTCGTTTCCAGACCGTACCTGCCGCGAGAATCTGAGAGCTAGGGCAGAGCCCGCACGAACCGAGTGTTTCACTTTGGCAGGAATCTTCGGTATGGCATATGTCCACAGCTTTACAAACAATTCACCAGAGGCAAACTTGGATTCGCTCTTCCACCTACCTGCCTATGCACGCGCCATACGGTGTCGATACCATCATTCTGTTCCTTACGAATACATCGAAGACCACCTATATTTGTCATATGTGCCATCCCAGCCAAACTTCCCACCTGACAATGTCTTCACCCCGGCTCAGCCTGCTAGAGCTCTTATGCTAGAATCTGGCGTGAGTCTCGCGTCTTCTTATTGACAAAGAACGGAGAAAACTAACAGGAGTAGAGAGTTTTCAGCCGTGTCTGGCCTTGCCGGCGCCGAAGCTCCCACCTATTCTACAGCGGGCCTGGTTCTGCTGCCCTTGCACGAGGGGGGGCCCAGGTTTCGACTCCCAGACACAACCGGTGGTTCCGCTTTGAATCTCATACGCAACTGCTAGTTTTGGCCTCCAGTTACATCATGAGCATGTCAGCTTCTAGCCAAGATGAGTGCATTATACAGCCTAGCTGAACTTGTCGAGTCTTCCATCCACCTGAGCATCAACTATGTCAACCACTCCGGCGTCTGCTATGGCCTCTACTGTAGCACCGACCATGATGCCTGCTTTGGCACACTTTACGACCCCTGGGATGACACCCGCCATGACACTTTCCTCGGAAAAAACAAACTATACAGTCACTGTGAGTAGCCCGTACTTCAGCCACTCCTTGCCCTTTCATCATAAATAAAAGCTATGCTAACGTCATATAACCCGATCTTATAGTCGCCGACGATAAGTTGGAAATATTGCTACAGTTCAGTAGCACTCGGTGAAGTGGATCCGACTCAACGGTCATCCATGAGCTTCGACAGTCGCAGCACAGACAGATAGAGATCCGAGGGCAATGTAAGTACATCACACTCTATCCACTCCCCATTCTTCCATGATCAAATGGGAAGCATGCTAACATGCTGAAGCTCGGTTTTACAACCAGCAACGATGACTTGGAGATGTTGGCGCACTTCAACAGCACTCATTATAGAGGGTATGACTCAACAGTCATCCATAGGTCGCGAGAGTGGCAGCACATGCTGTCGGCAATTGCGTCGTCGTCTAGAAAGCAATGGAGACGCTCTACCACAAGAACCGACATTTGCCAGCATTGCGAATACTGACAGTACAAAGAGCATATCGAGCTTGATCCATTCTTCAAGGTCAGCTATATATTATACAGACAAAGGTTGTTCAAACCTCGCTTTGAAGCGATCCATTGCCTGCACAAGGCCTGTCGATCCGACTAGTTATCAAGATCCACAGAGAGAAAAGGAGCCCATACACTGGGGTGGGCAGAGCAAAAGAGCCAATCCATTGGGGTGGGCAGAGCAAAAGAATCACTTCACTGGGGTGTGAGTTCCGGAGAAGCGTGACCTCTTTGCAGATGGATAGCCCCATTCGAGATCTGGAGCACACTGGCACCAGAGAGTTGGAGCCGCCTTCGCCGTCTGGAGGAAGAGGAAGACACACGAACAGACATAAACTCCAGGGCTCGGACCCACTGTCGTTGCCAGTATCATTAGACGTGCGGGCGGCCAGCTGCGTTTGAAAGACGGGATTTGCTGGGATGCTGGATAGCCAAGTTGGGGTGCTGGCTAGCTACTCCCATCGGCGATGTCGCCGACTTTGCCAATCTTGCATCTTCGGTGGTCGCTGAGTTAGAAGAACTGTACTCCAGTTCGTCTTTCTCTCTCGGCAACTCTTTGCCACTCAAAGAACTTCCCCCAGGCCACTATCGATTCTGGGATGCTGGATAGCCACTCTCTTGCGGCTTCGATGGGAAGTGACTTGGACCAACTGTACTTCAGTTCAGCTCTTTCCTCTCGGCAACTCTTTGCCATTCAGAGAATCTGGGAGAGGGCTGCCCCCTGTTGCTCAGTGAAGGCCGCGTGCCACAGAGGGCCAGCAGTCCACCGAACCCAGCCCTTTCCTCGGGCCACTATCGAGTCACACCTTGCAAAGGTCAAAGAGGAGCTGAAACAGGCAGAGATGGAGCTGGGTGGGCGGCCTCGGTTTTGGGTGAACGGTCTCGGTCTTGGGTGAGCGGTCGTTGCGCTGGGAGAGATGAATGAGTCTTGATCTCAGAGGCACTGGTAACGGAAGAGGTTGAGAGTTCCACATTTATATTACAGTTTCCGTTTCAAAAGCCTGAAGAATCCCCAAGGACGAAGCCTGTGAGCTGACGGGTGGCTCATCTTTTTGCGATCATTGTTGCTTGTCAAGATGTCGGACGATATGAATATATTCACTTCATAGAATGTTCAGACAGCCGTGGCCGTCAGTATTCAGTGTCCAAAAGTGAAGCTCCTAAATGCTATGTATCTTGATCAGGCACGTTAGCACATCCTTTTCCCGCGACAACCATCTTTTGTCGGCATCCAATCATTGAAGCTTCGCGCATCCGGCTTTCGGATTTCGGTCTCCGAAGATGGTACGTCATCTACAGAAATGCTGCTCCCATCAGCTCATTATTCTCCAAGAGCTCCTCACTGCCTCTCCAAGTCTCTTTCTCAAACATCCATCCCCTCTAGCATTCCGGAATCCCAGCATTTGTATATCTGACATTACTGCCTCGAGCAGCCTCACAGGGTCATTTCCTCACATCTATTGACCAGATCCATGTCACTGATTCCGACAAGAACATGCCAACCTGGAGTATAATTTCTCATGTGCGGCAGCACCCTATGCTCTTCACCTCCGCAGTCGCCATCGTACCATTGATGGCTTTGATGATGCCTTGGTACCGTGGCTTCATCGAGCTTGGTCCCGGTGGTCTCCCGCACAACGTCTTTGGCTGGCTTATTCAAGGCGCCCTACGTCCATTAGCCATGAACAGCACCGTCGACAGGAGTGTCTTTCAAAAGCCTGGCATTTCTTCAGCCTACGAGCCTCACGGTACCACTCGGTTCTTGCAGGGCGAGCTCGCACCGCGTCGAGGCGATAGGCCAACCATCCCGAACTACGTGGCGCCCCAGAGGCAGATCACAGAAAAGGGCGATGAAGCCCTTGTCAACAAAATGAACAGCCATCTGAGAGACTTGGCAAATCATCGTCCCGAGACGCTGGCCGTGAAAGCATCTGGCCTGGAAGCTAGAGACCACCCTGCGCTGTGGCTTGTCGGCGCCCCCTTGCCCAAATTCCTGGCGAAAACGACAAAGGGAGAAATTGTTCACGTACACCCAGAAGCCAGTTCCCACATGGTCCTCAGCTTGAGCGATGCAGAGGAAGCGATTGCAAAGGGCTGGGCTGAACTGCACCCACTCAGTGGCGTCCTGGGATTGATTCCGCTGCCGTATGTCATAGTGTACGCGCCACGAGATGAGGAGGAATTTGGAGTGTGGACGAGGTTCGTTGATGCCGCTGTGGCTTTTACTACGGCAGAACAGAATTAGCATGTTCACCCCAGGGGAGATGTTTTCTTGAATTCCTACGTCTGAACAGGGTCTCTTCAGGGCATCCATGATTGTGTTTACAACGCTATTCCATTCATTTTCACATCTGTTCGGAGGGGTTCACTATTCATATACGTGTTTATACATAAGGAATGTTACTCTGCAGATGTGCTATGAGATATGTGACAGTAGTCCAACATCTTTGACTCCAACATACCTAGGTACATCCCCACTCAACCCACGCAGTCTTAGAGAAGGAGTCGTCAGGGACGCTCACAATACCGTTGCCATGCTGACATGTCCCGTCCCGAGTCCATTAATAGCACACATTTACGGTTGAGAGGATGGCCTTGAGCTCTTCATCGTGCAGGTTCTCATCGACAGACTCGTCCAGAGCGCCGGCGATTCCAGTCCCAGTCACATGTACATGGAGGTCGACTGAAGAGTCGTCGCGCTTGATCTTGGTCGAGATGTCCGCATAGATGGTTGGTCCGATCGAACTGATGACATAGGTAAACTTGCCAGCATCCTGCCAGACGCTGTTGAAGTGAATGCGAACCCATTCCCGATCCGACTTGTTGTACGGTCCGCAATCGACGTTGAGGTCGATGTTCAAGTCAAGGTAGTCGTCGGTGAGGATGAACTCGGTAATCTCCCACTTGAGTCCGAGGTTGCAGAAGCCATTTGGGTAATTTCCACCGCCAGTAACGTTCAAAGGCGCTGCTTCGTGCTCCTCATTGTCTTGGGCATAATGAACATGGAAATCGCTGGCCTTGTCATCCCAGCAGCACTTGGTCACATGGGTGCCGCTGGGAATATCGGGAGACAAAGAGTGAGAACCATACTCGCATTTTCCATTGATAAGTGCAGTGCCAGGCTCTCCGTCGGTGCAACAGGTTCGGCCATCGTCGGAGTAGGTGGCGGCAGCCGTGGCAGTGTCGGCTCTGTGAGCGATGCCAGCGCTGGTGAATGAAGCCAGCTCGAAGACGGCCACAGCCGCGGAGAGTAGACCCTTGGTGAAGATCATGATGGATGAGCTTCTTGAATAATGTCAGCTAGTCGATCAAATTAGTGAGAGGAACTGAAAGCAGGAGACAGACTCTTCGAAGCGGTGTTCTTGTAAAAATCGCAAGGTATATTAAGGGCTGGGGTTGTCGATGCTGAAAATATGTTTGTAGCTGTTGGCTGTCCACTTTGAGGGGGTGAGTCTCCCCTATTTATCATTTTTGATGACACTGCTTCCTCCAGCCTCTTGTTCACGCTGTCCTGTAGAGAGTTTCTCCGTTGAGAGAGCTCTCTGTGTGTAAGCTCATAGTACAGATGACCGTTCCATCACAATAACCTTCATCAGAAGGCTTAACATTGTCTCAGCAACTGAGTTTCTCCTTGACGAGCTGCCATTTGACATTGGGAAGTGATTTACAGTGAACATCTTGGCAATCCATCTGCCAGCCCACGACCACAGCCCAGAATTTAGCTACTTGAGGTCATGACGGGCCGCTCAGGCATCGCAACAGCAACAGGAAGAGCATCTACCCGTCATTGTCAGCTGTCCAAGTATCGTGATCCTCCGCTAATATGGCTTCGCCGAGAGGGTGCCAAGCGTATCAACACGCTTCCGATTGACATCTGCGGTCTCACTATGTCGTTCTTTCAGCAGCCGCTCTTGATCCGTTCGGACTGAAACCTGGCTGAGCCACGGCTCATTGTCTACGTCAGTGAATGGCGGCAACATCCAAGAAGCTGGCACCTCAAGCCAGCAGTCCTATAAACACGATTGGGAACAACAATTACCTTGTGAACCGTGTACCGATCTTGGCATATCGGGAGGTCCTTCCAACTGTCTGGACTCAGTCCAACAGCATCTTTCATGCCAACCAAGAAGAGTACGGATGGAGTTATTAGAATAAAAGCCTCCAAGCAATTCATGACGAAAGTCTGTGAGAAGTTGGCAAATCAGTGGGTGAAGGCAGTACGATGACTTTCGTTCCAAGGCAGCTGAATACCGTAGTGTTCATAGTGTCTCATCACTCACCGTCACACAGCATGCATATTTCTAGCGTAATAGACCTTATAGTTCAATATTGACCAGTCTACAACATGAAGGTATGACAACACAGAGGTTTTCCTCTCAGCAGCTGATGATCAGTGAGGATGAAAGAGGCTGGCTGAAGGCTTCAGTCGCCGATTGTTGAGACACCACCGACGGCCCGTTCAGCCTGCCTCAGGACAACATCACTTAAGAAGAGACCTGATGACGCACTTCTTTTGGGATGCAATGGCTGGACTATGAGACACTCTTTTGCCTACATGTGAATATTGGATATTTCGTGATATGCGTTGTAGAGCGACGTTGGCGGAAGTTGGCCATCGTAGAAAGAAGTAAACGCATGAGTACATGTAATGGTAGTGATATTACCTGATAATCACTGACATATATCCATTGGATATTGAATGATTTACCTCAGTGCCAAGTTGACCCTTATCGACTCGAAGATGAGTTGTCGCTGAAGCTCGTATCTCTTGTGAGGTCATCTCCATCCCTCCATACCTTACCTTAGATCCATACAGGTACCTAAGGTACAGACGCTAAAGGCGGCGATACAGAAGGTGGGGCGCTATATCTGCACCTGTTAGGCTTATCGATTGCTTGGTGGGGGACGACCGATGACTGTCAATCTCAAATTTTGTTTCCAGCCTCGTCCGAATTATCCTACCTTAGTCCTGCATCTTCCTATACCTACCCAATCAGCCGAATCATCCCCGTCCGACGGCCTCGCGCATCGCCTCTTCCCGGGTCCTCAGAGTCGAACAGTCGAATCGCATCGATATCATGCCTTCATGATAAGCAGCGCAAATTCCACACTCCGCACAGGCGAACCCGAATCTGAAGAGGCGACAAGATGGCGCACGCCGCGTTCGTGAGCTCTACCAAGGAGCAGCTTGTTGACAATCTGCCCAAGCGCTTCAAGGGGATCAAGTTTGGCATCCAGTGAGTGTTGCTACTGTGTAATACCTGATGTTTCAAGCATTCTCGGCTCCCTAACCGCTGCTCTTCGTCAGGTCCAATCAGGATATCGTCAATCAAGGTGTGCTGGAGGTTTCCCAGCGCATGCTCTATGATATCGACAACAACCGAGCACCCCTTACCAATGGAGCTCTCGATCTGCGAATGGTGTGTATAATCATCTGAATCCATCTGCGTATCTGTAGTAAGCATATTGACTCTCTGCCAGGGAACGTCGAGCAAGTCTGGCAAATGCGGTACTTGTCAAGAGCCTCTCAAATTCTGCATCGGCCACTTCGGTCACGTACGGCTAGCGCTCCCTGCTTTTCACATCGGCTACCTTCGCTTCATCCAGACGATTCTCCAGAACGTGTGCAAAACGTGCGCCAAAGTGCTCCTCACCGAAGAGGAGCGGCGGTCGTTCCTCCAGGACCTGCGCCGACCCGGACTCGACAACATCCGCCGAACGCAAATCTGCAAGAGGATCAACGAACAGTGCAGGAAATGTAGGCAGTGTCCGTACTGCGGCGAGATCAACGGCCAGATTCGAAAGGTCGGCGTCCTCAAGCTCACCCACGACAAGTTCTCCGCGTACAAGAAGTCGACTTCGCAGAAGAAGCTCCCCCCGGAGAGCAAAATCGCCTTCGACGCCTCGTTCGACGAAGCCAAGAAACTGAACCCCGACTTGGATAAGCATCTGGTGAGAGCGATGGAGGATCTGAACCCGCTCTGGGTCCTGAACCACTTCAAGATGATCACCGCTACGGACTGCGAGCTGCTGGGTCTGGATCCCACTGAGGGCCGCCCCGAGATGTTCATCTGGCAATTTGTTCCCGCTCCTCCCGTGTGCATTCGGCCGTCGGTCGCACAGGAGGGCGCCAGTACAGAAGACGACCTTACTGCGAAGCTGGCCGAGATTGTCTACATAAGCGGACTGATACGGACGGCTCTCAACAAGGGCAAGCCGATGCAGACCATAATGGAGCAGTGGGAGTACCTCCAGCTGCAGATTGCCATGTATGTCAACAGTGATGTTCCCGGCCTTAACCAACCGGGCTTCGGGAAGAGCATCAGGGGCTTCTGCCAGCGTCTCAAGGGTAAACAGGGCCGCTTCAGAGGAAACCTGTCAGGAAAGCGAGTCGACTTTTCAGGCCGAACCGTCATCTCCCCCGATCCCAACCTGGGCATCAACCAAGTAGCGGTTCCTCAGCTTGTCGCCAAGAACCTGACGTTCCCCGAACGAGTGCAGAGCCACAACATGGAGAAGCTGCGGCAGTGCATCTTGAATGGGCCAAAGGTCTGGCCGGGAGCTAATCACGTCATCAAGGACAACGGAAACTGGAAGCAGGACTTGCAGTTTGGTGATAGGGCACTCGTTGCCCGAGATCTCAGGATTGGCGACGTCGTGGAGCGTCACCTGGAGGACGGAGACGTAGTGCTCTTCAACCGACAGCCGTCACTGCACAAGCTTAGTATCATGAGCCATTTGGCCAAGATCCGGCCCTGGAGGACGTTCCGCCTCAACGAGTGTGTCTGCGGCCCTTACAACGCCGATTTCGACGGAGACGAAATGAACCTACACGTTCCACAGTCCGAAGAAGCGCGTGCCGAGGCGATTACGCTCATGGGTGTCAAGAACAACCTGGCCACGCCCAAGAACGGAGAACCTATCATTGCAGCCACGCAGGACTTCATCACAGCCTCTTACCTCCTCAGCAGCAAAGACCGATTCTACAACCGAAAAGCCTTTACCTACATCTGCACCCACATGGTGGATGGCGTGACTCACATTGACCTCCCTCCCCCTTCCATCATCAAGCCTGAGGCCCTTTGGACGGGTAAGCAGATCTTCAACGTGCTGATGCGTCCGAACAAGCAATCACCCGTCCTCGTCAACTTGGACGCAAGGTGCAGAGAATACTCGGCCAGGCCCGGGCAATGTCCAGACATGGATCCAAACGACGCTTGGCTCGTCATTCGAAACTCGGAGGTGATGTGTGGTCGCATGGACAAGTCCATCATCGGATCCGGAAAGAAGAACTCCGTCTTCTACATCATCCTTCGAGATTTCGGCCCCGATCATGCCGTCTATGCCATGAACAGGCTGACCAAGCTGTGTGCAAGACAGCTGGGAAACCAGGGCTTCTCGCTCGGCGTTGGCGATGTCTTCCCCAGCACCGAGCTGACAAAATCCCGAGATCGACTCGTGCAGGATGCCTACGACAAGAGTGATGCGCTCATTGAGACGTTCAAGCAGGGCAAGCTGGAAAAGGCTGCCGGGTGTGACATGGAGCAGACGCTGGAGATTTCCATCTCCGGTATCCTCTCCAAGGTCCGACAGCAGGCCGGTCAGCAGTGTGTGGACGCGCTGAGCCGCAACAACGCTCCCCTGATCATGGCCAACTCCGGATCCAAGGGTCTGCACATCAACGTCGCCCAGATGGTTGCCTGTGTCGGACAGCAAATTATCGGCGGTCAGCGTGTGCCTGATGGCTTCCAGGACCGCAGTCTGCCGCACTTCCATAAGAACGCCCGCCAGCCGGCTTCCAAGGGTTTTGTGCGCAACAGCTTCTACTCAGGGCTCTTCCCGACCGAGTTCTTCTTCCACGCCATCTCTGGACGAGAAGGTCTTATTGATACCGCCGTCAAGACGGCAGAGACAGGATACATGTCGCGACGCCTGATGAAGTCTCTGGAGGACCTCTCCACGCAGTACGACAACACCGTCAGGACATCGTCGGGGACCATTGTGCAGTTCCAGTTTGGTGCGGACAAGCTCGATCCCGTCGACATGGAGGGTTCGGCTGTGCCTGTGCAGTTTGACCGCACGTGGACTCACGCAGAGAGCACCACCTGGGACAACAATGAGAGATCACTGCTTCCTCGCGAAGTGCTCGAGGTGTGCAGCAGCATGCTGGACAAGGAAAAGCTTCGCTACAAGAGACGACGCCTGGTGGACAATGCCCTGCTCGACTATTCCGATCCGACCGACGAGGCGCTCGACGAGCATGAGAGCGCACGAGGCTTCATCGACACAATCTACGCATACGTAGCTGAGCGAGCTCAAAAGATGTCCAAAGCCCGGGCACTTGTTGGACTGGACCCGGACCCGAGCCACGACGAGGACCTTACCAGCGCCTCGGAAGACCTCAAAGCCCGGCTGGCGCGCGTCGAGCGAGTCTCCAAGGTCTCTCTCACCACACTGCAGAAATTTGTCAAGGAGTGTCTGGAGCGGTATCACAAGGCCCACGTCGAGCCGGGCCACGCCGTAGGCGCCGTCGGAGCGCAGTCTATTGGTGAGCCCGGAACGCAGATGACGCTCAAGACGTTCCATTTCGCAGGTGTCGCCGGTATGAGTATCACCCAGGGTGTTCCCCGTATCAAGGAGATCATCAACGCGTCCAAGAACATCAGCACGCCCGTTATCACATGCCCTCTGCTCAACGACAAGCAGATCGAGGCCGCACGCATCGTCAAGGGGCGTATTGAGAAGACGTATGTCATCGACGTACTCAAGGCGATCGAGGATGAGTGGGTGAGTGGCCGCGGTACCATTGTGCTGTACATTGACATGGAGGCACTGCAAAACATGCATCTCGGCATCGGCATTGTGGACATTGCAGAGGCCATCCTCAGATTCAAGAAGCTCAAGATTCAGCCCACCGACGTCTCGGTCGGCCCCAACTACATTAAGATCTATGTGCTCAACAGTTGGGTCGACCCTGACGCGGCCAAGAAGCGACAGCGCAGCACCACCTCGCTGACACTCACGGAGGAGGCGCCCGACTTCCTCCTGCGAGTCAACCACTTGCGCCGCATGCTTCCGAAGGTGCCCATCTCGGGATACAACGAGGCGACGAGGGCCATCATCCAGACGTCGGAGAGCAACGAGCACACGGTGCTTGTGGAGGGTTACGGACTGCGCGCCTGCATGACCACGGAGGGTGTGATTGGCACCAAGTCGCGGTCTAACTCTGTCATGGAGGCGCGCGACGTGCTGGGCATCGAGGCCGCCCGTACCACCATCGTCGACGAAATCTCGAGCGTCATGGCGGGCATGGACATTGACCCGCGTCACATCCAGCTGCTAGCCGACGTCATGACGTTCAAGGGAGAAGTCCTGGGCATTACCCGTTTCGGTCTGTCTAAGATGCGCGAGAGCGTTCTCCAGCTGGCCTCATTCGAGAAGACGCCGGATCATCTGTTCGAGGCGGCCGCCGGCATGAAGACGGACCGTATCGAGGGTGTCTCCGAGTGTATCATCATGGGACAGACGATGAGCGTCGGCACGGGCTCCTTCCAGGTTGTCAGGAGGCTCAACATTCAAGAGTGGGAGGTGAAGCCGAAGAAGACGCTCTTTGAGGATGCATGGGCAGAGACGGTCAAGGCCAAGAAGGAGCGGCGAAAGCTGCGAGGGATGGTCTAGGGTATTTGAAATAAGTGGTTCAGTCTAGAATTCCCAGGGAAGGGCTTGATGTTTGGATGTTTTGGAACCTGCTGCGAATTTATGTGTATATACGGCAGTGCCAAAGCTGGATGATGCTATAAGGGGCATTTGGGATGGCAAAAGCATATAATGAACATTTATCAAGCGGATGGATATGGACTACATAGCAGTCATGATGCATCTTGTACGATCATTTGGCAGTCACTAATCACTTGGTTAAAAGACTTGGAACTTGAATCGGTAAGGACATCATCAAATGAGCACGTATAAGCATACATGCCTGAAATCATATTTATCCCTTGCTCCTCAAACGCCAGTTTCCCATAAATGCCCCTGATTAGAAAAGCATAGAAAAATAAATGAAATAGGTCGAGTCTCTGCCATGATACCATGACTAGTTGTGAGAGTAGTTGAAAATTAGGCACCACCCCTCTTCTTGCTCTTTTGCGTCATCTTCCGGAAAGCTTCCATTCCTCCAGCTCCAAGCGGACGATGATCCTGGTTCCTGGTTCCGTCAAAGGTGCTCTTGGGGGCGATGGTGTAGCTGGCAGGGAGATTAACCATGCGGGCTCTGTTGCCACCACCGACAGGAGCAAGCAGCCGCTCGCGCTCTGCATCACGGGCAGACTGGGCGGGTCGCTGGGACAGGGTGAACTGAGAGCCCGTCTTGCGGCGTTGAGCCAGTTTGGCAGCCCTGTGTTTGTTATGTTAGAGCGCATACACGGAAAGACGTCGAAGACGAATATGTCAGTTAACAAGGAACGGTGGACGTACTCGTAATCGAACTCGCGAGTCTCAATATGACGCTTCTTGTAGTCGTCGGTCCGCTTGAGGATGGGGCGGCTCCATTCTCCCAGCAACCTCTCGGCCATTCGCTTGATGCTCGGCTCGGGCTTCTTGCTCCTCGTGTAGAACAAGACAACCTTGCCGATGCCGCTGCTCAGAAGAGCCTCCTTCTCAATGTTGAGACGCGTCAGGGCCGTGAAGATGTCCCGCTGGATGTTGTAGGCGGGCAGCGAGCCGTCGTTGAGCGGCTCCAGGAAGAACTTGACGTGCTGCAGAAAGTTGGTGTCGGGATCCAACACGGCGTGCTGGACGTTGTTGCGGTTGAGCAGGCCGGCGACCTCGGGCAGCAGCTTGAGCTTGTGCAGGGCGGGCTGGCCAGATTCGCGAGCCTGGTTGTCTGCCTGACAGGCACGCTCCATCTGGACCTTGAGCGCAGCCAACTGCTCGTCAATCTCGTCCTCGAGATCCTGGAATCATCGGGCTGTCAGCTTCTGCATCACTGACGTGTGATCTCCGTGTCACCAGCACCCAGGGGAACTTACAATCTCGTCCTTCTTCCGGCGCTTGGGCGCAGACCCCCGGTTCTTCATGGCGGCATCGAGAGCCCTGTCGATTTCGCGATTCTGTCGCTGTTCCGGCGTGAGGTTCTCGTCGTTCTCTTCGGGCTGGGGCGACGTGGGCTTCACCCGGGGTCGCCTCTCGCCCTCCGTCCGTTTCCTCCGTGGCTTCTTCTCCGCCTCGCCGCTGGAGCCATCGTGCATAGACGCATCATCGTCTCGATCCCGGCGCTTCTCACGACGAGTCTCTCTGGGCTTCTTGGTCGCCTTGTCGCCCTCGGCGCGCTTGCGTTTGGTGGCCTTGAGCGTGCGGGCAATGTCCTCATCAATCTCCACGGGTCGATCCTCGATGTTTGCGGTCTCGGGATCGTAGTCTTCGAACTGGTTCTCGTCAATCTCGGACAGCAGGTCCGAGTCGCGATCAGAGTCTGCATCGGCGAGCTCATCCAGGAATTCCTGCTCCTGGCCGTCGTCGACTGGCCCGTTGGCCGGCGAATCGAGGTCAGACATCGTTTGGAAGCTCGTGCTGCCGATCAAGAGACGGTGGGAGGGAGAGAAGGAAAATTGATAGCGGAAATGAATCTGAGATTCGAGAGGAATTCGTCGCAGCCGCCAATCGATGGGCCTGGGAATGCAAAAGAGAGGTGAGACAGTTTGGTTGACTTGGGAGAAAAAGATTCATTCCATCTGGCTTCCCTCGAGCCTCTCTGCTGCGCGTGGCTGACATAAGCACGCAGCTGTGGGCGGAACAACGTTGTTGCAGCCTGAGGCACCAGGCCGAGAGCAGACTGGCGTACGACTTTGTTTACTTTCGCCCCGTCGACTAACCCGGTTGCCACTGACAATATGCAGGTGTGGATAAGCAGATAGGCCAAAATATGTAATGCCCAGCATTTCAAAGTTTCGGACAAGGATGTTTCGTACAAGTCACTTACCCGCTACTTTGGATCAACACACCTGAATCAACAAAAAGCTAGACGACCAGGGCATACATATTCCTTGCAGAAGCTCGCCCCGAGACTCGGATCATGCATTGCGCCAGCCATTCTTACCACTAGGAATCACTCGCTCGTTCGACATCGCCAGCGCCATCGTCATACGACGCACAGCGCGAAGCAGCTCTGCATCATGGAGCGTCGAACCTTTGAAGCCCCCATGGAATGGGAGTACCAGAACTCCGGGCCCGTCGATCTAACCAGCCCGTTTGCGCAGGTGGCCAAGAAAAGATCAGAAAACTGTTGGTGCTCCTCGTGATAGGGGATGATTCGTTGCTACGACAGACAGCTGACTACGACGTTTGTCGTTGCTTTCGCAAACATGCAGTGTTCAATTCATCGCTCAAGCCATCGACGACGCAGAATACTCCGTTTTCCGCCTTTGGAACGCCGTCGAAGCCGCCGACGAGGTCGTTCTTCACCCCCCAGCTTGCGCCCCGTGTGGTGGCGCCGCCCTTTCGAAACCCGGCATTCACGACGCCGAGACAGCTCGACGACGCGGGCACCTCGGAGTCCTCCTTCGCCGAAGCTTCCTTCAGCACGGCCGAAGCCTCCTTCACCACAGCCCTCGAGGGCAGTCCAGCGCGCACCGATGCCTCTGCGTCTACCAACCATACCCCCGAGTCGGAGCACATGAGCGACGCGACGGTAGCCAACAGCCCGACGCCGACCAAGGTCGACAAGAACTCTCGATACAACAGGGCCTCGCCACGGAGGCATGCGGCCGGCAGAGGAGAGATCCGTCCGGTGAGGGATTCCCCGCGCAAGGAGCTGCAGCTGCTCAGGAAGAGGAAGCGACACAATCTCGACAAGGACGTTAGCAGTGTGATGCGACACCTGCCGCGGGACTGGGAGGACGATGCATCGGATTCGGATAGTAGCACCGTCTCATACCGAGGCGCATCACCGAGCAGGATCGCGCCGCCGCCATCTTCATCGCAGCAAAAGAGCCCCCGGAATCGCGAGGGCTGGTTCGTCTCGCTACTGGGCACAATGGACCGATATCCCGGGGCGCCCGACCACATCTACAGGTGGCTGCAGCTGGGGCTCAACTGCTTCATGATTGGCATCGTCATCTTCTGCGCCTGGTCGGTCGTCGAGGCTGTGCGTTCCGACATTCGCAACGCCAACGAGATGGCGCGCATGGAGATCATGAGCCGCGTCTCGGAATGCCAGAACCACTACACCAGCAACGAATGTACGAAGAGGGACAGGCCGGCGCTGCGTGCGCTGTGTGATGAGTGGTATGACTGCATGACGCAAGATTCGGAGGCCATTATGCGCGTCAAGGTCACCATCAAGCAGGTTGCGGAGGTGATTAACGAGTTTGCGGACGCGATGAACTTCAAGGCATGGGTAAGTGGCAAGCATGGATCGTGATGTGGACGGCTGGTATCGGCTCAGGTTATCTAGTACTGGCTTACTGACAGCAGATGGGATCTACAGGTCATGTTTGGCACAATCGCCGTCTTCATCATCTTTTCCAACGTCATGCTGCAATGGGGACGATCCAAGTCTCAGCCGGCTCCTCCCGTGCATGCAGCCGCCTTCTCGCCCGTTCCCATGATGGGCCTCGACGCCACGCCAGCGCACTTTAGGGGGCGGTTCGAGACGCCCAGGTCACAGCGGTACGCCTACCTCGAGGACGATGTGATGGACACCGACATGTCGCCTTCCAGGAGGGCACTGGGGCCGGGCTTCATGTATGCGCCCCCAGGTCTGCGCAGCCCAGGCAAGGGAGAGCGACCGCTTAGTCCTATCAAGTATCCGAGTCCGGGCAAGGGATCCGGGGGGTCTCTGCGCTGGCAGTGAAGGAGGGTCACGGCTGAATATGGGCTCTTATTGCATGTTTCAAAAGGTGCATACGAATAGGAAATGATTGGTCTCGCAAGGGTTTATTTTGTTTGTTTGCTTTTTTACTGTACATGGGAGGACACTCATTCATCCATTCACATAATGTGGCGTTGGTGGAAACAGGAAAGGAAGGCTTAGGGGTGGTTACGACTCGAATCACTTTGTACCATCAGGATTGCGCATCAGGGATAAGGCAAACAAAAAGACAGCAGCGGTACAATGAAGCAATGGTATTGATTGATAAGGAACCTGGAAGGACTCGCAATGATGGTGGCGATGTGCATGTGAATATCAGTGATACTCTGCTGGTATCCCGCGTCTGGGGCGAAGTTGCTACTACTAAGAACAAGGCCACCGATATAACGCGGCCATCTATCGCCGTCTACTGCAGTCAATGCAAGTCACGACAGCTTCTCGACAAGGAATGATTTGTAAGTGGTTCGCTAGATACCGAACTTGTGTTTTGTACGAGCCACCGAATGGCATCGCATTGTTGTCCGTTTGCCTTACATCCCCCCCTACCGTGCGTCCCGGTATTTCTTTCAACCTGCAGCCGCAGCGGGAGAGTGATCGAGATGCGTGGCTTTTCAGCTGCCAATGCAAGTGGACTGGTGGCCTCCCCTTGCCTCCCCCGAGCGTGAAGCTTTTCGAATTGGTGGTGTGATGTTTTTCCTTTTGCCTCTACGAAGTCACTAGATGTTTGTCTTGTTTTCTGGCGCATGTCAAGCATGTGTCAGTGCCTCCAATTGGTACCGGGCGGTAGTGGCTGGTGCAAGTTTGACTCGGCAGGTACCGGCTAGTACACGGCGCGCACGTTGCCGATGACCTCATGGCTCATCATCATTGAATCAGCGCCCCTTTGGAAGGCGGAGGGGTCCGGCAATATCGTGCTCAGATTGCCCTGTATCAATCGCATCGACACCTACAGTACAGAAAAGTGCAGCACTAGCAATTTAGCAAGAAGGGAACATTGGAGCCGAATGGGAGATGCAGATGGGGTGAGATGCGAGATGCGGGTGACACGTCAAGTCGGGCCTGGGCGACAGTTTACTTACTGACATGGTTGGATTAAAATACCTGTATGTGCCCTGCTTTGGCCTGTCGTCCCCTACAGTACTACTGTAACCTCTCCCGCTGCCCTTGGCCCCTGTTCGCGGCCTGCCATCCAACAGCTCAGCTTCACCATACATGTACATACCCCTCTCCCGGCCTCCAGCTCCAGCTGCGGTTCCAGGGCCCCATCCAGTGCATTTTGCAAAATCGCGTTCAGCCGAATGCCGCGCCCGTGAACGGATTCATGGATCCAATCTCCTCTCCCTCTTACATACATACTTACCTTACCTTAGTAGGCGGCAGCTCCCCACTATGGACTGGGGGCAGGCTGCAGCAGGCGAGCACATCAGCTATTTAGTCGGTATAGACAAGGTTTTATTAGGGCTAGCGCATGCAAATGGGATTGGGTAGATGATGGCAATTGAACCGGCTTCTCTCACGTACCAAGCATTCGACGTCTTGTCGCCTGCATGAGATGAACCCCAACCCGGCGTCTCTCTTGCTTGCGAGGCCACCAATCGCGGAGATGCAGGGCTGGCCGGCCGAGATGAGAAAGAAAGCAGGCAAGCGGTCTACTAGTATACCGTAGTTGTTTGCTCGTCGTCTGGTGCAGGCGCCTCATTGTCATCCTGGGCCCTCCCTGCGTTGCCTTGGTTCAGGTCTGTTGCTCTTTCGTTGCCGCTCATTCGCGACCTGAACCTTGAATTCTGGAGTACATGCACGTCCATGCGCTGCTACATGCTCCCGCGGCTGATCCATCCCCGGTGTCAAGAGTCACTCTGCCCTCGGCGCCGTGTCCCCCTACATACCTCAGGCGGTAACCTAACCCAGCCGCAAAACGTGAGCGCACCACCCCCTTGGGCTTGATAGCGTTCCGCCACCGTCATCCTGTGCGTTCGCTCGCACGTTGGTAATCAGTAGGTTAGCTACCGTAGCAATTGGCAACTGCCTGGCCAGCACGAGGCCGGCCATGTGCCGGGAATCGCATCGCATGTGCTGGCGCCATCCGGACGCGGCCACAGAAGCCCTCCCAGCCCTCCTTAGCGGCTGCTGGGCCCGCGGTGGTGGTGAAGCGGCCCCGAGCTCTAGTGGTCGAATGGCGCCCTCGGCTGCCCAGCCCACAGCTCTAGCGGCTGATGGCACCTGTGCTCTGACGTGCTGGGGGGGCCACTGGAGCTTCCCAGGTTCCCAAGGCTCTCGCCTACCCCCGCCCCGCTAGCAGCGGCTGGTGCTTGTGCTGTGCTCTGCGGGCTGTGGGATTGGAGGGCCGTGGATGGATTGCACGGATTGCCATCCGCGACTCTGGGACCATCGCGACGCTTCCATTGATTCGTTTTTTTCCTCCCTTGCGTCAAGCCTCGCGCCTCCAGCCTCAAGCCTTTGCCGCTGCTTGCTGCTCCTGTTCCTGCTGCTGCTACTGCTGGTATTGCTATTGCAGTTCGTCCTCCTGCTGCGACTCTGCAGATATCAAATCGCCGCTCCTCCCCTCCTCGTCCGCGAACCCCAGATCATCATCATACATCATATAAGCTCCCTTCTGTCCTCCCGATGCCGTGCCGACTTTGATATCCAGCCGCGCGACGCCCGCGAACCCTTCGCACGAGCTCCAGAGGTCCACGACGGATAGCTTCTCCCCCCGCAGCATGTCTATCCCACCACCAGGCTGCAGCTACCGCATCTCGAGCTTAGGAACCGCGCTGGTTCCGCATCGCTGAAGCAAACCGACCTCTTACTGTCCCCCCTCTCTCCCCCTCTCCCTCGTTCTCCCTCCGTGGGCCTCAGTCAACCTCAATCTCAGCTTCGCCATAATCATTGGAACGCGCGCCCGCCCCGGGTCGAACGCCTCGATGGAAGAGGACACGGGCAGCCAGACGCCGGGCCACGGGAGCGGCCATGGAAGCGGCCATGGCAGCACCAGCGCCGGCACTGGCAGCGGCACCGGCAGCGGCACGACGCCGCAATCCCAACAGGCGCAGGCCGGGCCGTCCACGTCCAACTCGCTGCTGCAGCTGTCCAAGCGCAGACGCGGGCTGGGGGTCGTCACGCCCAATGCCTGCACGGAATGCCGCAAGAAGCGAGCCAAGGTGAGCCCTGCTGTCTGGGGACTGGGCGGGAAGAGACGCTTTGGCCTCGTGTGTATATAGGTCTGGCATGGACTATATCATGCACGGCGATGTCATAGCTTCTTCCCGTGGCCGCTCACTGTGACCTGATTCCTCGCCTGCCCATGCTATACCCAGCAAATGGGAACGAACAATTGCTGACAACTCCGCGTGTGTGCGTTGTAGTGCGACGGCCAGAAACCCTGCGGGCGCTGCAAGTCGCAAAAGGACGTCGAGTGCATCTACGAAATCCCCATCCGCCAGTCCAAAGAACACCTCCGCAACGAAATCGAGAACTTGCGCCTGCGGCAGCGCTCCTCCGACCAGGTCTTTGCCGCGCTGATACAGCCGCAGCTGTGGGAGGAGGTGCTGGCGCGCCTGCGCGGTGGCCAGTCCGTTGAGAGCATCTCCGAATGGCTGGCCAGCGTCCCTCATCCCGCGCCTCCTCAAGGGGCTCCGGGGTATGACCCTACCATAGGCCACGATCTGACGTCCATGGCTGCCTTTGGCGACACCTCGGTGGCTCCGCTTCCGGGCATGGCCCTTGGCATCGGGCCCGGGTCGCTCTCCATCCCCGGCCTGGCCAACGAGCTGACGGGCAATGCGACCAGCCCCTGGCAGTTCTCGTCGCAGAGCCAGGCCGGCTCGACCAGGAGCGGCTCCCACCCGGACCTGATGAGCTGGGCAGCAGACATGAACGCGCCGCCGTCGCGCGTCGGGTCCTGGGCCGAGAGTATGCAGACGGACCACCTCGGCGATAACATCCAGCGGTACCGCGGGCTCGAGCAGGTGCTGTCGCCGCTCAACGAGCCTCAGGCCATGAAGCAGCCCAGCGGCACCTGGACCACCATCACTGACGATGTCAACCTGGTGCAGCACCTGCTGGCCCTCTACTTCTGCTGGGAGTATCCCACCTTTGCCTCCCTCAGCAAGGAGCACTTCCTCCGCGACTTTCAGGCGGGGAGACACCGGTACTGCTCCCCCATACTCGTCAACGCCCTGCTCGCCCTCGGCTGCCGCTTCTCCACCCAGCCCATGACGAGAGCCAACCCCAGCGATCCCTACTCCTCCGGCGACCACTTCTTCAAGGAGTGCCAGCGGCTCTTTTACGAGGAGACGGACCATCACTCCCTGACCACCATCCAGGCCCTAGGCATCATGTCCATCCGCGAGGCCAGCTGCGGCCGGGACTCGGAGAGCTGGTACTACGCGGGGCAGAGTATACGGCTGGCCGTCGAGATGGGCCTGCATCGCATCCACGACGATGACGACGAGGACGAGCTCGCCGTCCAGTCCGCCACCTTTTGGGGGGCCTTTGCCCTGGATCAGTGAGTTGCAAGCTTCCTGGAATGATACTAAGTGCAGGCATTGAAGACTATCTTCTGAATCTGCCGTAGAGAAGCAACAACAACGCTAACGCCCCCTCGTCCTCTCAGCGCATGGTCTCTGGCCACCGGCTCCCTGCCGCAGTGTTCCTGCTTCCCTCACCTACCACCCAAACCGGCCATCATTGGCGACATTGAAGCCTCCCTATGGGTACCGTATACCGACGACGGTGAGGACCGCACGACTACCTTTGGGGTTAATTCGAAGGGGCTGCCTACTAACGTGTCAGAAGGCGCGCCGTTGCAGCGGTCGTGCGAGCAGCCATCTAATGTGCGGTCAGTATACAAGTGCTTTTGCGAGCTGAGCGAGCTGGTCCACCAATCACTCTACGTGCTCCATTCTCCCGGACGGCCCCTTACTGCCCGGGATCTGTTGAACATTTACACCCAGTATCTGAACTGGTACGACCGCATCCCCGAGGTCTTGAGGCTGGGCCACAACTTTACGCCCGCGGTCTTGTTTGCGCAGTGAGTCAACCAGTTTTATTTCTCTTCTCTTCTTGTTCATCGGCCATTCTTCGTTTTCTCTCATCTCCATTTTTTCGAGGCTGACGGTTCGTTCACTTTGTGTTCGCAACAAATAGCATGTACTATCACTTCGCCATCCTCCTTCTTTTCAGGCCACTGATCAAGCTACGCATCATCGGTTCCAAGGTGTCGCCGCGTGACGTATGCTCGCAGGCCGCCGATGCGATCCAGGGCCTGCTGACCTCGTACGCGCAGCTGTACACTCTGCGCAGGACGCCGTCGTTTGTTCCCTACTTTGTCCTGACGTCCGCCATCATGCATCTGGCCATCGGCGCCGCTTCCGTTAAGAGCGAGGGCCACGAGACGGGCGAGGAGAAGATGAAGAGGGCCGCCAAGATGGACCCTCGCGTGTCAGAGGCCCTCAGCAGGGGCATAGCTGACCTGACGGAGATGGCGCCATGTCACCACTTTGCTGAGCAAGCGCTCAACATCCTGCGGTACCTGGCCAAGAAGTGGAACATTGAGGTCAACGTCGACGGCGACAAAACACCCCCGGAGGACCCCGACAACCTGGTGCGGCCGTACTCGAGCAGCCTCAACTTCTTTGCGCCCAACGTCCAGGAGAGTGACTTCATGTGCGGCTGGGGGCCCGGCGCCGAGATCGTGGAAACGCTGCAGCCGCCCAGCGTCAGGAAGTCGGCCGAGCTGGCGGAGAATCCCCTCTTCTGGCCGTTCCCTATGCAGGGGAGACCGCTGCTGCCCACTGGCGAGGAGCTGGAGCAGGCGGGCTTCAGAAGGCTCTGACAGGGACGGCGCGCGCCATTGTCGCTCGTCTCTTTGTTGCGGTGGTGACGAGCTCCTGGACGCATCTTTGCTTGTACGTCGTCTTCCCTTGTCTTTGGTTTTGATGGTTCCGGGGGGGACGGCCAGGGGGGTGACATTCAAAGGCGATTATGGTGTTTTGTAAACGAAGCGATGCGCCTCACGGACGCGGTTTGGGCGTCGGATCACAACGGGGAATACTTGGCCAGCTTCATGGCGATGAGGCTTTTGTACATTTATAACGATTCCATCCATGTAGCCTATTGATTAACCACTGCTGGTAATGACGATGGATTGGTATGCTGGGAAAAGGTACCTAGATAGGGAGGCAAAATTGTAATAGAATTGCCAGGCATTTACGGAAGACCAGACCTTTTCCTCCAAAGAAAGTATATATTTCTTCAACTTTTTGGGGTATCTCAGTTTGAGACGGCGTGTATAAAGGCCTCAAATAATCTATGATGAGCAAGTCTTTGCATCAGCCTCTGTTGTAACGATTCTCCATGAATTCAGGGTACCTTAATGAGGTGCATCATGTCAATGCAGCACAGCCACAGCTTCACAGGAACGCGCCACAAGGGGGCGTCCCTTGTACCTCGGCATGCACCAAAAGCGTCATCTCGCTCCATCATTGGACCTTCCCTGCTGTGCCGCAGCAGCTGAAAATCGAAACTTGACAACAACAAGCAACAAGCGACAGGCAAGCAAAAAAGAACAGCCGGGTCGGCCAACTGCTCTCAATTGCCGCGGACTATCTGGGAGTTCTTCCAAGGGCGGCACGCGACAATCATCCGACCAGACTGAAGGGAGGCATTCACGGCGACCTGCGAAAGACGCGATATAGGGAGCTCGGTTATCGGATTGGAATCTCACAACATAGTACTCCTCCCGACAAGCGACACCAGACAACTGCGAGAGCCGAACAAGTACAGAGAGGCAGAAGAAGAGTAGTTCTTATACGCAAACAGTGAAGAGGCAGATGCAATGCCGGCCAACGCAACAAAGCCGGCGCCCAACCGGCCGCAGCGGCGCGTGACGGTCGGCCAGGTGCTGGCGATGCCGCCCAAGTGGCTGGGCATGTACGACGACTTCATCACAAAGAACGCCGGCCAGGTGTCGCAGATCGAGAGCGCGCTGAGGAGCTTGACGTACATCATTCCCGGTTCGTTCCCTTTCCTCTACATCCGTCTGCCTCAGGGTATATGATGCTAACAGCCTCCCTTCCACAGGCCGCTTCCGCGATGCCGAAATCGCCTCCGAGTCGATCCATTCCGGCGTCCAGCTGCTGTCGCTCTACCACGACGGCATCCTCTCGCAGGCCGTCTCGAAGCTGCCGACGGCACCCGCCCGCTCGGCCCACGCGCGCTACACGCGATACTGGACGCAGAAGAGCAAGACGTATCGCCGGGTCGCCATGGTGCTGCAGATGGTCGTCTACACGGAGCTGCTGTGCGAGATGAGCGCCAAGCGCCGCGGCGGCGAGAAGGCGCGGTGGAACGTCGTCGTGCTGCTCGAGGCCATCAAGGCCTTTTGCCGCCTCATCCTCATGCGCGTCACGCGCTCGCGCCCGCTCGTCACCCCCGTGCTGCCGGAGCGGGAGCCCATCCCCGACGACAGCGCCGACGACGACAACGAGGATCTGGTGACGGCCAGGAGCGAGAGCGAGCTGATGGATGAGACGTCGCCCAACGGATCCGCGGTTCTGGTCAGCAGCGGCGGCCCCTCACAGAAGCCGGCGTACGAAAAGGAGTGGACGATGCCCCGGACCGGCATGAGCCTGCCGTCTCTGCCGAACCCCGGCGACGTCGGGTCTTACCTGCTGGGACGCGTCCTGACGGCGGACGACATCAAGCCGGCCAACAAGCTCCTCAGCACGCTGCAAGGAGGCGGCCAGTTTGCCGAGATCCTGCACATCCTGACGCCCTTGATCTACGCAGTGTCCCTGGCCCGCAGCAGGAACAAGAAGTCATGGACGCCGTGGCTGGTGGGCGTGACGCTCGAATATGCGGCTCGCCAGCTCCGCCAACGCAGCATGCGAACGTCAACGCTGGAACGGGACGAGTGGAACAAGAGAGGCTGGGCCATGATCTGGTGGATGATGCGCGGCGCCTTCTACGAGAATGTCACCAAGGGGGCCGTCAACGGGGTGACGAGCAGGATGCCGAGCTTCATCGCGACGATTCTGCAGGATTACGAATATCTGTGGGAGAATTACTACTTTAGCACGAGTGGTTGATGCTTCTCACGCTCTTGCAGTGGTGGATTTTCCCTGATATATATATATATATATATATATATATATCCACCAACATATACTGGTGCTACCGGAATACATGCGCGTCTGGCCCCTCTTTGACGAGATATTGAGATGGACTGGACTGGGCTGGAACGATCTGGATTTCGGAGAAGAAGGCGTCTCGGCGTATGTTTCTTCAATTGTTTTCATATGGAAGGGGGCAATTTGAGACAAAATTGGGCGGTTCAATCTCGCCGTTATCAAGAAATGGACAAGAGGCGCTGTTGCAGACTGGCATCACGATGGAGGCATTGCATTTACAGGCAACAGTCCCGAAGAACATACGTACATCCACCCGGATACGCGGATATTCGAGTGGAGAGAGACGATATCTGCCCGGGGTTCATCTCCGGACCTTCTTCTGCGGATGCGCGGCATCATGATCCTCTTGTGTCCTTTTTTCCCCTCTGCCCCGGTTCTGTTTCTTTAAACGAGAAGCAGGGTTGGACAAGATACCACACGATAACGAGATACCCAGCGTCCCCGGCTTGCCTTGCTTCTAGGCTTTCAGTGCCCCCTTGTCCTTGTCAGAACGGAGATGAAAGGCGAACAAGCTTTGAAGATGCCGAGGCAATCTTCTTATCCATCTTCGCACTATCCATTTCTTACTGGCTTGCGATGATGAGTGTTTAGGGAAGAATCGAAGAGGGTTGCGGTTCGGTTCGGTACGGTCGGCTGGCGCTGTTTTTGACCTATCCTTAATTCTTGTTACTTTCTCTTCTCACCTGCTTTCTGCTCATGAGACAGGTACCTTTGTGCATTCGTGTACGATTCTGTTGCTTCAGTTTTCCTTTGTACTGGTATCATTGTATCATCTACTCCCGACTCATAAGTTGCTGTTTGCTGTCTAATTCAGGGGGCGGCGGTGCTGGTATCTAAAACACCCGAGAGAATATACTACTACTGTATCTGTTCACTTTACAGTGTTCAACATGTAAGTATGTGATTCGATATGACGTGATTTTGTTTCATCGAGCCCGAGACTTTGTTGTACTCTGTTTCAAAATCACATCTCCCCGTTTCCCTTCATTAAGATCGAGAGATCCTGGACCATTGCCATGTGGTGCCATTTCCAATCAGCTTGAACAGGACTGCCATTAATAATACATCTTCCTTGAATAAGGTAATCCACATGTGGCTTCATTTCCTCGCTTCATGATTTCACTTCTTTCCGGAATCTCCCTGTTTCCACTTCGACGTTTTCCCTCGTGGGATATGGATCCCCGTGTCCGGGAGCGGGATTCCATTCTTGTCCTTTCATCCGATCTGATGGTTTCATGCGTTGACATTGAAGGATCTTTGACAGCTTGGAAATGGAGAAAAGGAAAGTGCAAGTATATGCGCTTGGGGCCCATTGATAGATTTGCCGTGTTTTTGTTGCAAAGGATGAGGAGGAATAGTCCAAGTGTTGGTCTCAAGCGGGAGAGGGAGGATGATGCGTGAACAGTGTGTTTATGCACACTTCATGTTCATATTACCTACCTTACCTTACTTTGTACAGGTTCATGATCCATCAAAGGAAGAAGGCGAGTAAACGCATTCCTTCTTGTTGTCTTCTTTCTTCAGTGTTTTGAGCCTGGTGCTTTGTCACGATGACAAGAAATGACAGGAGGAGCCCCCAGGCAGGGGTACGTCGGCAAGCTCGATAAGGGAAACGTGCCGGTTGGCTTGTTGCCGTTCCTATTGCGACGGGGTGGAGAGAGGAGAAGAAGCACGCATAATGACCAATCTTGATAGCCACGTTTTTTCTTTCCTGTCATCCGTGGATTCACGTGCTTTTGGTTAATGGAATGGTTGATGGAAGGCAGGCAAGGGGTAATGGTTTGATGGTAAGGGTACAGCCTCGTGGGAATGCTTGGACGCTTCGGATTTGGAGCTCGATGATGGGGTTTCCTCCGTATGGATAATGGGAATGCAACGCTCTGATGCGAGTAAGACGCTTGTTTGTGCGTGAGGCGTGCAAATCGTTCGATGAGCTTCCTCTTTTGAACGTGTTCCTGGAATAACCTGGGCTTTGCATCTTGTTGCATTTTCCGCGCGGAGAACAGTATGTGGACCTTGGTACCTTATCCTGTTACCTTTGCTACTAGTACTATACGAGCCCCAACTTAACGTCAACGATTCTGCATACCCCGTAGATAGATGAGAGAGAGGGATTCTCTGCAAGCTTCGGCTTTTACCAGATCTGTCGCCGTGAAGAAAATTGAAAGGATGCGAACAGGTAGTGCTCCCCCACCCCCATTTATCTCTGACAGGAACTGATTCCACCAGGGGCTTCGAGCATGGGGTATTTTTTTCTGGGTCTGGCTCCGCGGCACCTCGCATCCGTGTCGGCGGCACCTTAAAAGGTACATTTTTATATGTGAGGTACGAGATAAGGCACACTTCCTACAGTACTTTAGCTTATTGCACTTACTGTATAAGCAGGTCTTTACCTGACTTTACTATTACAAGATTGCAACTCTGCTATAGTAGCTAATATGCTACACCTTGTAGCTATAAAAGTCTGTTATTACAGCACTGACATAGCTGCTATAAGGGGTTGCAATCCTATAGCTATGCGTGCGGCATCCCAGCTATTATGGAAGAGCTGCTTTTGCAGCAGTGTGGTGTTCTAGCCACTATAGTAGAGCTGCTTTTGCAGCAGTGTGGTGTTCTAGCCACTATAGTAGAGCTGCTTTTGCAGCAGTGTGGTGTTCTAGCCACTATGGTAGAGCTGCTTTTACAGTAGTGTGGAATGGATTCCAGCCACTATAGTAGAGCTGCTCTTACAGCAGTGTAAATAGTGCTCTAACCACTGCAGTAGAGTTGCAATCTTATGGACAGCTATGCGGTATTGCTGCTGTGTAAAGGGAAGTCTTATAGGTGTAGTATGTGTAGGAGTTTTAACGCTGTAAAGAGTACTTTGTCGCACAGTAAATACAGTGTATTGAGGTGCTGCGGAACCGGATGTGAGGTGCTGCGGAGCTAAGCCCTTTTTTCTGGAGCTTGGCTTCTTCTTTTCGAAGCCGTTCAAAATTGTCTGACGATTTGGAAAGTGCGGAATTGAGTTGAGCCCGTTTGCAGAACCCGATGAGAGGCTGTGCAGAAAGATGCAACCTTGAAACGGGTATCGTGGTCCCCATGCTCTCATATGATTGCAGTACTGCTTGGCTGGGGGGGTTCTGAGGGCATTGGAAGGGACACAAGGCAAGTTGTCGTACGAGTAATACGAGCAATTGGTTTTTGAATGACTGGTACTTTCAACAAGTAAGTCGTTGTATATGTGCTAGTAGTATCTGCAAGACAACTGGACCGCTGCTACGAAAATAGAAGCATGGAAGCGAGCCGCGATGCTGGGATTTGGCACTTGACATCTCGGTTCGGCGTAGAGCCTTTACGGGGCAGTGAGGGATGGTGATACGGAACGACTCCGTATTCCTTCTAAAGAAGCAGGGGGGTCCCCGTTTATGACGCGAAGAAAGAGCATGCTGATAAAACTGGCATTTCTGAAGAATCTACTCGTCTGTACCCAAGGTAAGGCAGGCAACAGGTAAGAGTCTATTATGCGCAAACTTGAAACGAAAATAGACGAGCTTTGAGTTCAATGTTTCAACTTGACCGGTTCCTGTTCCTTGGGCTCACAAAGTAGTTACGCTTACTCCCCGAAACCAAACAAGGCGTCATGAAGCTGGCAGTAAACATTGTCTCCTGTACGAGCCGTCCCGTGGGTACATTGGCTCTACATCGAGGCAATGTACTGTTCACGATGAGTTCGCCGGTGCTAAAACCGAGTAGCAGCAGTAGTGGTGATAGCTCCAAACTCAGCCGCAGCTCGAGTGTTTCATGCGACGCTGTTTTGTTTCCGTTTCTTTTCCCCATTGGGTCCAGTGGGAGTTGAAGCAGATGTACATACTGCAAGGACAAGGAAGAATGAGAAGTTTAAAGTGCGAGTGTGGTGTTTACAGTGCATTAGTCGAACGAAAAGCGAAGTTGGCGTCGATATGGTGCCTGACTCGCGCCAAGTTGGGTTGGAGATCGACGCGAAAAGGTTTCAGCTCGTGAAACTGATGCCCACGATCGTCAAGTGAAGAGCTTTCACTCCATTGTATGTGTGGTTAGTAGTACTAGTAGTAAGCTGAGACATCGACTCACCTCGTCCGCTGCTTCAAGGCCGACCGACAGATTCTTTACCCCGGACCTCTTTTTTGTTATTGCTGCCCTGCCCGTTTTGTATGGTTTACACAAGACAGACGAAGAAGCGGCTAGGGTCAATAACGGTAGAGTCGCACAGAGGGTAATAGAGCCAGGTCAGCTCCGCCCAGGCCGAGCGTAACGCTTGCCAGGCACGGCACGGCATGAATGAGATGCATATGGGCATCGGTCATCTTTACAAGCAGCGGAAAGGCGCACCCGAACTCCCCCTTCTGTCTTGGCTGGAGCTGGACACGCTTCTCGCGAGCTTTTAGTAGGTAATTCTGAGCAGGGGGAGGGAGACTTGTCATTTTGTTTGTTTGCTGTGCCTTTTTCTCTCTTCCATTGCTTCTCTCATCGTCATTTGTGTTGGCGCAAAACGAGGGGCCAGGGGCAGCATCTCGTCATTGGCTCGAGAGGATGCTTCCTAGTGCCAATCTAATTTGTGTGCCTGTTATTGCTCGGTGCTTGTTGCGTCGTGACGAAGAGGCATGGCTATCCCTGCAGCCACACTGCGTTTGCTCCCACACTCGCACACGATGCTCACTCTCGCACGCACAAGCCCAGGCACACACACACTCAGAGGTACACCCGCACCCCTGAGCTAAATGCGAAAAAAAGAAAAGAGAAAGAGGGCCAAATGACAAGCAAAAAAGGTTGTGTGTAGGGATGAGGGATCGATATCACCTTACCCGGGCCAGTCATTTCACTCCATTTCCAGCCGTTCAGCAGGTCAAGGTTTCTTGGGCTGCGGAGTAATCGGCGATGATTTTGATGGAGAGATCACATTTGACGACATAATCAGAGAAGAGCGTCTTTCTTTCGGAGGATGGCCCTTCAACTCGACCCTGTATGCATCACTGCTTGCTCCGTATCGAAGGCCACCTCGCGTTGGCTTGCCTCGCGAGCATACCCGCACAGGTGATACAACCAGCAAGAAGATTAAGCACATCCATGTACCGACATGTACTGTAGCTGCAGCAACAACAGGCGTTGTTTCCGTCCTCTGGCTGCTGGATGCTCATGCCTGGAGAACGGAGATCCAATGGAAAATGGAGACGGCAAAGTGCCCGTGGGAGAGCCGCTAAGAGGGTGCACGGATTGCTTATTGCTGGTAACACGGGGGATTATCGCGACAAGAGTGGGCACGCATCGTCATTGCTTTTCCTCTCACCATGTACTACTAGTAGTAGTACTTCGTATCTTGGTGTCTTGGCCTGTCGGCGTTTGGATCGATGGAGATGTAAGTGGTTGAAGGAGGAGCAGTATTAGATGGAGGCACACCACATGAATGACACATACTACTTATGAGTAGAGTACAGTACGGATGGATATGAAGATGCTGTTGGAGATGCTCTGTGGTGAACAAAGCAGTAACTGAGACAAGACTTGTCTAGACGAGAGCTGCTGCTGCTGCATGTCTGTTGGTTGCACAGACTCCTCCTTCGCAACACGTCCATGCAATCACACGTCGAGATGCTCCCACATCCGCTGCCATTCCAGCCCAAAGAAACAAAGAAACAACAGCGAGGCAGCCGCAGTGTCTCTCATTTCCTCTTCTCAGCCGCTTTTCCTCTCTTCTCCGATCCCTCCATCTGCCGTGTCTCCTCCCCTCCATCCCCTGTCTATGCCGATCGAGACGTGCAGCAGCAGCAGCAACACCACGACAAATAAGGACCCCAAGACCAAGACATTTCGTTGGGTCTGGTCATCCTTCTAAAAAGGCCCCGCGAGACTAGCCAGAGCCCGGTCCTACCACCACCTCGCAAACCTGGCAGAACGGGAGAGAGAGAAAAAAAAAAAAAAACAACACGATGCAGTGATACATGCACTTCAGGTACTGCTTCCCTTTCTCTCATGACGAGCTGCGAGCAATTTACCCCAACTCGAGTGCTAGTGCAAAGCCAAGATTGCATTCGCACTTTGCCCAGATGAGCAATGATAGCGCCTCTCACATCTCACGGCGTACAGTATGAGCGCAACGACAAGACACCAGAAGCAAGACTTCTCCAGAGCTGGCAGGGCGAAATCCAAATATCAAAGCACGGACGCATTTGGGTTGATTCATCAAGTCATCCAGCGAACCCCCGGCACCTTTCCAGAAGGTAACAAATCTCATCCGGTCATCCATTTCATCATAGCACGAGGGACGGAGGAAGAATCAGGATGAGGCAAGGAGGAGGGCGTGGTGCCTGGATTAGCTCTGGAGTAGCGCCCCTCCCTCATCTGGCTTTATTTCCGTTGGACTTTACCCTCTTCATTTGTGTTCCTCTTGGGGGAGTTTTGTCAGCTTGAGCCAATAACTGGCCCGCGACTTGCGTGCTTTGGAGATCTTTATTGGGCAATCGGATTTGGAGCAGGTTTCCTCCAGCTCACTCCCTTGCCTGTGCTCGTCTGGCTGAGTCTCTGCTCTTCTCTTTTGGTGTTGCTCTGATACTGTACTTGTTGGACATGTCTTGCCCAGTTATCTTGTGTTGGCTTTGTGGCTCTGCCGTCTCCTCGTTCCAGATCCTTCTCTGCTGCTGATCGGTCGGCTGTGCTGCAACATCAATATGGCGTCGATACGACGTACAATATACATACACACATACCTACCTTACACATGGCCGAGTCCGTGTCTCTTACTCTGTGCGTTATGTACTGGGTATCCATGCAGTACACCCGCATCTCCTGATCAACATAAGCCTTTCATCACTTGTACTCCAACGCCGTGGAGGCTTGCAATCTCTTTCACCAGTCTGGCGAGTTGAAAGATGACATCTTCTTCCAAATTCATGCCTCGGTATTGCTTCCGGGACCTGATCAGAACCCATCTCCATCGGGCTGTTATGCATCCTCCACACAGAGGAAGCGTGGCTTGGCTTGGCTCCCGAACTGGCATTACAGCAAATATAAATATATTAAAGAGCAAAAGGCGCCGATATTATTGATCCATGCCCTGCCAGTGACAAGTGACAGCAGCAGTCGTTGGTATTCGCTACGGACGTCAACCAGGTTCTTCCTCGTCCAGTGCCTGTACCTGAGCAAACAGTAAACATCCCTGTCCTGCCCATCCTCTTCTCCTCTCCTTCTCCAGCCCACGGCCTCCTTCGTTCCCGCGCCCTCTGTCTTCTCTCTTTCCGCCGTTCTGCCTCCATCTCGTCATCTCTCTCTTTCTACCTTATTATGACAGAAAGGGACGAAAACACGGTGATTACTTACCCTGTCCCCTTCCACACCCGCCTAGCATCGTATCGGTACCTTACTGCTTCGTATCGTATCGCATCGTCGGCGCTGCTAGTGCCAATTTGGCGCTGTTCGCTACGACTCGGGAGTATCACGCTGTTTCAAGCATTTGATTATCAATATTACCACCACCTCTACCACTGCGATCTAGACTTGCTACGAATACGGAATAGGCCATTTTTGACTTAACGCACCATTGTGCCTTTTCTTCCTGTCTTGCCTCCCTGCCCAGAGCCTGGTCCCCGGTGCTGGCGCGCATTCCAGGTCCCCGACAGAGTCGAAAGCTCACTGCCAGCTTCCTGGTACCTCAGCAGTACTTCGGTCTCAGGTACCGTTTGTACGACGGCGACACAAGACATCTACAAGCCCAGCAAGTACCGCCTGGGCGCTATTTGCAACCGCCAGCAGCCACGCTAGCCTTGATTCTGCTTCCACCACTCTATTTGCTACGCAGGCCCCTCCTTGGTCTTTATTCTGTTGATTTAGCAGATTTCTAATTCTTCTTCTATTTTTTCTTTTCCCTCGGCCTCGTCGAATCTATCTGATTTTCGCTCGCCTAATCCTGCTACAATTTCACGGGCTGTCCCGGGCGCAGCTCTTGCCCACTGAAAGCCGCCTGCGTGGCAGCCGCTCAGGCGCTAAGACAGGTACTAGAAGCTACCTGGGCCCAGCTAGAGGCCGCTAGCACGCGTGCGCCGCGCGAGCCTGGGCCAGGCGTTAGCACGTGTACCTGCGCCCGGGTACCGGCGCCGTACCTTGTACTCCGCCGCGGCCCCCAGACGCGCGAGTGACCTTGCCAAACGGTATCCTGTACCCCGTCGCGGGTACCTGGATACCTCTGGGCAGGTACTTTGCGGCTCGTACCTTCCGTACTCTCGCGCAGACGCCGTTCCTTCCTTTCCTCTCTTTCCCTCCCGCAGCCACAACCGCCCGGCCTCACCTTCCCAATTGCTCGCGCTCACACGCACATTCTTCCTCCTAAACTCTCCTCCTCCCTTAAACCTTGCCTTGCCTTGTCCTTCGCCCTGCTTTTCTTCCTTCTTCTCGCCTCGCCCTCTTTGTTCTATCTTTTCTCTTGTCTCGCCAAGAGTCTCACTCGCTCTTTTTATTTTTTATTATAATACTTGGTTGCTTCTATTTGTTCAATTCCATTCGTTTCCTGCTTCTGGCTTCTCGCTCTGCTTCTTCCCTCGTTTACTGCTTCTGTCTGTCTTCCTCGCCTCGCTCGCTTCCTCCAATTCGTCTCCAATTCCCGCCTTGCGCCTATTCGAACAATTGCCGTCCGCTTCCCAATCCTTGACTTTCCGCTCAAAAATCAAAGACCCGCATAACGCCACTCGCTTACTGTTTCTGCCTGCCTGCGCCAAAACAAAGGGGGGGAGAAAAGAGGAAGAACAAGACGAAGAAGAACGGCAAGCAAGGGATAGGACGGAACTACTACAGGACGAAATACTAGAACGAGGGGACAAGAGAGGAGAGAACAACACCATTCCGTGCTCAAGCAGGGCCGTCCGATGTGAGGCGCTCTTCTCAATGGACTCCAGTCTTCAGTCTCACCCGCTCCACCAGCTGGGCCAGCCTCAGTCCCAAATGGTGTCTCAGTTTGAGCAGCCACATCTTCAGCAGCAGCAGCATCTCCAGCAGCAAGACCAACAACAGCAACAGCAACACCATCAGCAGCAGCAACCGCTGGACTCGACCAGCGCCGCCCAAGATGTCCTCGTCGAGGCGCGCAAGAACCTCCAGGTCCTGATCGATTCCGGCCTCTCCAAGGATCTCCTCCACCAATGGGTCGACGACGACAGCTTCTCTCTGCAGCTTTCGTTCCCTGGCCAGCAGTCGCCGCTCTCCCAGAACCTCTCGACATCCGCCTCCGCAACCACGCCTCCCGCCTCGGCCTCGACTCCCATCCCGTCGCCGCTGCTGTCCAACACCGTTTCCGCATCTCCCTCGCATCGCATCCAGTCGCCTCAGACATCCTCTCTCGCGCCGTCTCTCCATTCCGCGACTCCGCAGAATCAAAATCAAAATCAAATCGCACCTCCGTCGGCCGCTTCCGCCGTCCACGGCTCCCCTGTCGCGTCTCTCTCGGCCTCATCCGCCGCTACCTCTCCCGCCGCCATCTCCAGCTCGGGCACCATTGGCACCTCGGCGTCTCCCGGAAATGGCGCGCCGCCGTCCATCGCCATCATCAAGACTGAGCCCTCGTCCTTCGCCGACGATGTGTCAAGGGCCTGGGCCGCAGCATCCGTGCTTCCGCAGGCCCCGGTCTCCATGTCCGGAGCTCCCCCGGCCCAGGTTGCGCGCGTTGCCCCGGCTGCCAACATAGTCAAGTCGGATACCGCGACCTTCATCTCACCCTCGATGCCCTACCTCCACCACCGGCCACGCATCTCCGTCTCCTCGACCAGCTCGGGCTCCTCCGGCCATGCTTCCCTGTGGTCCGTCAACTCGGCGCGTTCGTCCATGTCCTGGGCGTCAGCTTCGTCTTCGCGCACTCAGGGATCGCTGCCCATGACTCCGGCCTCGTCCTCCTCGGCCAACAAGACCAACATCTACTGGTGCACATCGTGCGAGACCAGCTTCAAGCGCAAGTATGACTGGAAGCGCCACGAGGACGAGTTCCATGAGCGCTGGAGGAAGTATCCCTGCCCCGAGCCTGGCTGCAATCGCAGCTTCTGGGGCTCCAACTCGTTCAACCAGCACCACAAGCAGTGCCACGGCTGCAAGACGTGCCCCCATGCCGAAAAGGTGGTCAAGTTCCTCCGCAAGCGCAAGTACTGGGCCTGCGGCTTCTGTTCCGCCCTCCACCCGGCGCGTGAGCGTCACGTTGAGCATGTGGCCCGGCATTTCGAGTCTGGCCTGGGCAAAGCTGAATGGATGCATTCGAGGGTCATCTACGGTCTCCTGCACCAGCCTCTCATCCACAACGCCTGGGACGCGCTCGTGTCGACCAAGCAAGCCGAGTTTGGCGGACGCCGGCCCCAGTTCAGTTGGCATCCGAGCAAGACCGGGCGAGCTCAGGGCTTCCTCGAGAAAGAGAACCCAGGCCAGCTGCAAGATCTGCTCGAGTTCTTCTCCGGCGACGAGGGCGAGGCCCAGTGGATCGTCAACATCGCCTTTGAGCTGTCTGACATGGCCTTTGCGACTCCGCAACCGCCGGCCCCTGTACCGTCGCCGCAGCCGCAGTTTGCGCCCAACATGATGGCCGCTCCGACCGGCTTCCCGCAGCAGCAGCAGCAGCAGGATGCTCGCATGTCCTTCGCGGCGCTACCATCACAGGCGCCGCAGCAAATGCTGTCGTCCTCCCCCTCGGCCACTTCCAACCCCTTTGGCACTTCGCCCTATCGAGCCTCGGCCTTTGTCCCCTCGCAGCCATTCCCCTCGCAGGTTCAGCAGCACCCGTCCGACATGTCAGCGGCCGCTACGATGGCTACCTCGCAGCTTCATCTCGACAAGCGCGAGCTTCCCCCCATCCCTCAGGGCCACACGCCTTCCATGGCAGATGGCATGATGGACTTTGAGTACTCTCCCGCCCCTGTCCTCTTCGAGGACTGGGAGAGCATTGCCAGCTCAACTTATCTCGACACGACGGCAAGCCAGCAACAGCAACAGTCCAACCAGGCTTCTGACTGGGGGATTGCCCAATTCTATGGCAACCACACTGCCAACTGATGAAGTAAAACAGCGATGAATCGCAAAGAAGAAGCTAAAAAAAGAAGAAATAACTATAAAAAATAGAGAGAGAGAGAGAGAGGGAGACTGAAGAGAGGAAAAGGGCGAAACCAAACCAACTCGGAAAAAATCTGGACACTCTTTTACCACCCTTGCTACAACTATTGTTGCCATATACAGGCATGGGGTCTCTATCATGATGACGTTGCATCAAGCCATTTTCCTTAATTCTCCATCATCTATCAGCGGATTTGCGCTACACTACGAACGGTTTTCCTTAAACGTCTTTTGTCTTGGTTACATTATCCTGTTTATTCAACGGGCATGGAGCGTCTCGGGGCAACAACGCGTGGTTTTTGGTTTTTCCCCTCTATACATTTGCTGCCTTGAAATAATGATAATACCCCCCTTTTACCGCAACCAAAAGCGTGGGCGCCTATCTACCTTTCGCTGTCTGACTTGGGTTAATTCCTAACCTCAGTCTACGCATACGATCTCTTAATCCGTCCTTTTCCTTTTTGTCCCCTTTCCTTTGTTTGTGTCTTATATACAACTTGCCGTGGGAAAGCCACCCGAGGGAGGAGTTGGGAGGTAATCTACGCCTATCGAGCTGGGTTAATGGTTTTGTCATTTGTCGTTATCTCGAAGCAAGCCTCGCATGGGTAGTTTCTTGTTCTATTTGTCTCTGGAATGCTCGAAAACATGTGCGCGCAGATGAAAATGGGAGGACCCGGATTTGCTTGTTGGTTTTTGTGTGTTTTGCTCCTCGCAGCTTAATCGGCCATGTACACTGGGTATGATGGGGGAAAAGGACTCTGCAAGAGGACAGGTATGTAGCTTAGTGCCGGGGAATAGACGGGCAAATTGATGATATACTGGTTGATACAACTTGTTTCGCTGCTTGATTGCTCATGTTGTCCTTGACGGGGACGATTGCCAGTGTTTGCTTAGTGTCCTTGATTTGCTTTGCAGCGAGACTCGAGCTGTCTCGCTCCTCGCAACCGCCACTCTTCAGTTCTGCACCACCTTGGCATGCTCTTCACCAGCAATCCCTCGACCTTATTCTCGAAGTATCTTGCCCTGAGCGTCAACACCTTACAAAAGAACAACCTTGCTATTCTGTGGCTCAATTCATTCACGACTGTTGTGTACAGACAAACTAGGACTCCCTCGGTCCTCGAAGCGACACAATATAGAACAATTCCCTGCACGTTCAAACCTTGCTCCAATGACACCAAAACGGAAAAGAGCTTGATGCATGCGAAATGATCAGCGTGTTCAAAGAATGGATGTCGTGGGAAGAGATGCTGAGAAGGTAATGACTCTGTTCGGAACTCGAATCGAGACGAGGCTTTGGAGAGACGCTCCTCGAGTCTTTGTTTCCGCACAGAGACAGCGTTTGTATCGTCAGCCAAAGGATTGGAACAATGATCTTGTTCTAACCGCAGATAAACGATGGACGTTGAACAGAACTTCGCTCCATGAAGGGTATTGGGATCCCAGCAATGTAAAGGTGCATTTAATCGGCCCCTTTCCCTCTCATCGAATGGACTTGAAGATTCAATCAACACCACTCTCAATTCACATACGCATACAAACGAGCCTCAACGAATCACAGCATTCTCTTGCAATTGCTCACTCAGTCGAAGACGCTGAGACTCGCATCACAGATTCGAACTTCATCGCTACTCGCAGTTTACAATGGGCAACGGACACTCTTCCTCCAAAAAAGACCCCCGGAAGGATTCCAGAAAGGACTCCCGGCGCGAGCCCAGGCGGGATTCCAAGAAGGACTCGAGGAAGTCCTCTTCTAGGAGAGACCACAAAAAGGACTCCAAGGGCACATCTTCTCGACATGAATCCTCCTCCCATCGCTCCCATCGCCATCGTCATTCTCATTCTCATGCCCGCTCCCATTCCCACTCCCGTTCCCACCACACTCACGGAGCCTCTCATCACAACAACAACCACCGCAACACCATCCACATGGGCAACGAACACGATGGCTCACAGCAGCGTGCCCACCAGCGGATGGATTTTATTCTCCAGCTGTTCCAGGACCACTCCCTCGTCCCCCAGATCCACCCCCTGTGGGAAAGCATGACCGAGGACGCAAGGAGTGCGACCCTGAGACTTCGGGACCGGGGCTCGGCCGTCACTGCGACGGAAAGGGATGACCTCGTCCGAATGCTTTACGTCGGGGCTCCTGACGCCCCCGAGACCATGGGCTACGGCTACGACGTTGAGGAGGACAGGCTCTACAGCCGGGACGCCTCGCCCGTCGTCAACGCCCTCGGCATCATGAACAACGAGCCCCCCAGCGAGCAAGGCTCTGCGCGCCGCCATTCGACAATCGGCCACTCCAGTGTTCCATCTACCGACGTCGGATCCTCTCAACGAAGCCGGGGCCGATCGCTTTCTCCTCTTATCCCCCAGGCTGCTGCATTCCCTCCACCTGGCCCTGCCCTTGAGCGTGCTCCTCCTCTCCAGCAGGCGGCTTCGACGGACCACCATCACGACCGCGGACACCGCTCTCACTCACGATCTCATGCTGGGCCCTCGTCCGAGGGTGATCGCCACCATCGCCACCACTCACACTCACACTCACACTCTCGCTCTCATGCTCGCGAGTCCTCGCGTGAGAGGGCCAGGAGGCGCCCGCACCCTCACAAGAAGTCGTCGTCGTCTCGCAGGAAGTAAGCTGCAACGACTATCTCCCTTCGAACCCCTTTGCCCCTTCCCCCTGTTTTCATCTTTACTCTTTTTTTGCTGTACTTTGGCTTTGCGAGCTGCTTTTGGATTTTCTGTACTGCGACTAGAGAAATGGTTTGGGAAGTTGCCATGGACACCACATGCACAGATACAACACACACACACACAGAGACATAAGGTAGGATACGTGCAGCGGAAGGGAATCTAGCTTGGACATTCGGTTGAGTTGAATTATCATTGGATAGTATACGGAGTAGCAGTAGAAAGAGAGAGGTCGATTCTGATTGATAGCCTGAGAAATATTGCATTAAAATTGATTGATTGATGGAAACAAATTTGACTGTTGAATTAGTTTGCCTGTCAACGTCATAAACACTCGAGGAAGGTGCAACCGCATATCGCAACGTGACCATGATAACTACCCCTTAGGCGAGCCTTCAGTCAAACCTCCTGCCCCACACACCTTCTTTCTTTCTTCATCTCCATCTACATCTTGAGAGGCCGTCTCCATTCTCAGCTTCATATGGCATACGCTTTTATTCATTCGCTGCCGACCTGGCTCTGACTATACCCAGTGATCTCTATTCGTTTTAGCTCCTTTATTCGTTCTTTTCCAGCTCCTCGCGCTTCGAAATACCCATTTGATACCCATTGAGACCGATCTCACCTCCAGCATCCAATACGCCTTCCTTCCCATCAACCCCCCCAGCCACTTCGACCTATTTTTCATCTTCATTGGATTATTCGAGCTTTTGCAATCCGCCGGGTCAGTTCTCCGTCCGTTGGGTATCACCCACTCCGATTTTATAAACTCCTCAGCACCAACCCATTATTAGCAAACCCCCATCCCAAACTCCTTCAAAACAATCCCAATAAACGCCGCTGTTCACCATTAGCTAATAAAGTGTTGCAAGTGTCTTCGCCGTCGGAATCCAGAAGCAATTCCTTTCCTCGTATACCTCAGAAACATGACCCCATGTCTCATCAAGCGCCCGAAACAACGTGAATTTCATAGCCGATCAACACCTCGGTGTTTGTTCCTTCCCATCCGCGATTGCCCGCTGCGCTTAGCATGAATCTGCTCGTGGGATCGATGTACAGACTCGAGATGACACCTGCTCTGGGGGGTCCCGGTATGATGAGGAACGGCACGGTCGAGTGCTTGAAAGCGCGAGATTCTCGCAAATCATAAAGCCTGAGAATGTCGTGTGACGCACTGGATTGAGAGTTGTGTCAGTCAGCGTTTGAACAAAGGAGGGCCACGCATATGCTGGCTGTCTTCCGTCTCTCCGAATCTCCTCCACCTTATTCCTTTTTTGTCTTCACGATGTCCACCAACACCACACAAGGGATAGGAAATCAACTCACCAGACCAAGTGCCGCCCGTTGACCATGGGCTTAATGGCACTCACTGCTCCGCTGCCTGCCGGAAACCGAAGCACCCTCTCCGGCTGCCATCCCCTCTTGGCTTTGGCAATGTCAAACTCCTCGACCGTTCCGTTACGTCTGCCCGCATAGATCTTGTTGCCGTCTGGGCTCCAACAGGCGCTCATGCACCAAGGCGGCACGCCTACTCTATTTGGAATCCTGGCTACGGCGCTGGGAACACGCCTGTCCCAGATGCGAATCGTGCCGTCAATGGCTGATGAAAGGAAGGTCGTCTGCGATACCTGCGTGGGATCGAATTGAGTCGGTGGTGGCTGCGAACTGACAATCATTGGGGACCGCGGCCTCTTGGTGCCCAGGCGCTCAGATGACGCCTCAGCTGTGGATTCGCCCTCCAGGGATTGGGCCTGCTGTTGGAGTGATTGGCTTGAATCGTCCATCTTGTTCGCCTCGGTATCCGTCGCCAGTTCTGTCTGCTCCGTCACTCCAGAGAGAGTGGACATCTGGGTGTCACCAAGGTTAAGAGCTGAGGCCGAAGCCGAAGCTGGAGCCGCGTCTGGCGCGGGAGCGTGCGACGTTGATTCGGAAGCTGGTGCCGGGCCTGAAATGGACATCGAGACATCTACGTCCATGGCATCGTCTGCAGGATCTGACTGTTTGAGCTCCTTGTCTGCCTCCATGCGGCCCATATTCTCCATTGCCTTGTCTGCTGAGTGGTCCATCCCCGCCTCATTGCTTCCTGCCATGTTCATACCACCGCCGAATTCGTCGTCATCGTGGCCAAACGGCTGCTCCCCTGCCGTCTCACCAAAGAGACTTCCAGCATCATCGCTTCCGCCAAACAGACTCTCGTGGGCCGGAGAAGCCGCAGCCGCAGCGTCAGTCTCGTCCCTCGTGGCGACAGTAATGGACTTGTCGAGTCCATTGGGGCTTCTGATATTTGCACTCCCTGTGAAGCTCGCGCCAGCGATGGGTGCTCCGTTGTTGGTAGATATCGTGCTGGAAGGCAGAGGCTCGTCGGCATCTGCTGGGACTGGGGCGCCGCTCGCTGGTCGCAGCTCAATGGACGAAATCTGACCTCCGCTGCCGTCAAAGCTCCGCTTGATGTGCCCCGTATCGAGGTCCCAGTCAAAAATGTTCTTATCCCAGGAGCCGCTGAGCACACTTCTCTCATTGGGGGCCAAAGTGAGCACGCTGACAGCGTTGGTGTGCTTCTGGAGAGAGCATATCCGCTTGCCCTCGTCGTGGCGAACGCTCTGCAGGTTGATTGCGCCAGACTCGAGGCCGGACAGCAGCCACAGAGCCTCTGAATGGACAGCCAGCGAGTAGACAGAGGAGAGCACATGCTCCTGGTCGCTGCGTCCCGGGGCAGCTGGTTCCTCGTTGGGCCAGTACGACATGAGGATGCCGGCCTTTGTGACCGAGTCGACAAACGGGTGTCTCTGAGCAACGGTCAGGGGCAGCTTGCCGTTGATGGTGCCCGGACCGTCGTACTTGCGGATGTAGCCGTCGGCGCCTCCGGTGATCCAGTACCGCAGATCGGGCGTAATGGCCATGGCATTGATGCTCGTCGACATGGGCGCCGCCATCGTGGGGACAATGTCGTACAGGCGCGCCGTGTAGACCTCGGGCCGGATCTTGGGCCGCCACGTCCTGTAGAGGGACGGGAGCTGGTCAAGCTCCAGCGTGTCGGAGTGCGTGCTGGGTGACGCGGGCTGCTTGCCGCGGACTCGGTCGTCGCCGTCGGCGCCCAGGTTGTCGGTCGCCTGGGCCTCGTCGGCCGCCACGACGACGGTAGTGTTCTCGCCATCAGCATCGTCGCCGTTGTCGTCTCCTCCGTCTGCCGCCTGCTCGTCGCCGTTGTCGCCATCACCTTCGTCCTCCCTCTCGCCATCTTCCTCCCTGTCACCTTCGACATCGGCCTCGGCATCAACCTCAGCGTCGACCTCGCCCTCGCCCTCTCCCTCGTCGACGTCATCCATCACTTCGTCGGGCTCATTGTCACGGTCCGAGGTGGGTGAGCTGGCTCGTGACTGGTCGTCCTCGTCCATTTCTGCTGTCGCAATGGCGCTGATGACTTCTCCAGATGGCTATTCGAAGCAAGATTACCCTCGGATGACCGCGACAGCATGCAGCTTGACGAAGATGCGCCACGACAGCAAGACGCAAGCAAGCAATCAAACGTTCGCCGTCTAAGTTTGTTGGGAACGGCGTTCATTATGTCGGCCCTTTGGGAGGAAGTAGCCAAAGCTACGTAATTGCTTAGTAAGTTGAAGCTATGGCGTTGCAATCTGGCCCGTGCGGCAGCCTCGTCCCCCATCGCCAACCTCATAGCCTCGCTACCCTACCCTGCTATCATGCCAACCTGCCCTGTGTTGCCTGTCTTCGCTCGATGCAGCCTCATTGCCTTTGGTTCTCGGCAGCCTCGTTGGCTTGTGAGGCTGCCATGGTTCTCTCACCTTCGCTCCCTCGCATTTTGCCCTGATTAGGCTGCACGAATCTGCATGAGGCTTCTGCTAACGACTGGGCCTACGACGGGCTCTGCGAGTCTGCGATCAATGTTTATTACCTGGTCCTATAGCTACCTGGCCTTAGAAAGAATCATGTCAAGTCCTACAACTGAGCAAATATAAGGATACCACCCCCCTAAATCAAATCCCCCGACTCCCCCGAGCCCTCAGCCCGCCGAGCTTGAGCCCTTGCACGCTCCATAAGCCGTTCCTCCTGTTGAAGGAAGTTGCGATAGCCAAAGGCCATCATCTCGTCGCTAGTCGCGTTTGCTACCTGCGTACGCAGCGCCGCCAAAGCAGCTTCCCCAGCCTCCTCTGCAGCATCAGCCATCTCCTCCCATCGCCTCATCTGCCGCAGGAAAGGCGTGTCTAGCGGAGCCTGTTCAGTCCTCAGAGGAGGAAGCTCGGAAGGCTGCAGGGGAGGTATAATGGGAGGCTGCAGGGTGGCTGCAAACGGGAGGACAGGGCCAGGCGGCCTGCATTCACGCGGGCATCTGCATAGCTCGTTGCACCGCATCTCGCACAGATGGCCGCAAAAGAGAATTTTGGGGCAGGGCTCCTCGCAATTGCGATGCTCATGGTCCTGGGGATGGCATTGGTCGCTGCACTTGTGGCCTTTGGGGCACTCCCCATTGCACGGCTTCATGCAGCCACCCGCAGAGATGCGCTTCCACTCCTTGGCCGTCCTGATAGGAGTGATGTTGCTGTGGGTACGACAAGTGACTGGCAGATAGTCCCCGGTCTGCGTTCCGAAGGCGTTGAAGACCTTTTGCCACGTCTCGTAGCTTTTCTGGCTGCTGCTGAGGATGTGCTGTGCGTTTCCAAACACATACATTCCCCGTCTTGCTCTGCTCATGGCAACAACAGCACGATTCTCGTCTTCAACGAACCCCACAGTTGTGCGTCTGTTAGCACCCATCGGATTTGATGGGCTTCGAACCAGGGAGAGTATAATAACATCATTCTCTTCACCCTGGAAACCATCAACTGTCCGTACCGACCAAACTGGCTGCAGTCTCTTGAGCATCTGATCGAAACGGATCAACTGGTTGATGAGCTCGACCTGGGCGCTATAGTATGTCAAAACGGTGACCTGGTTGGGCTCGACGTCGTTCAACATCAGATAGCGTATAAAGCCAACAACCATGTCTGCTTCTTCATAGTTTGAGTAAGACAGCTTCTTCCCCCACGTCTCAGGCGACTGGTGCTGAAACCACCAGAGATTCGTCCCGCCCATTCCAGGCACTGGTGGGCGATTTCTGATGTCCTTGACCGACCAGTGATCCCGCAGCATAGGGTAAAACGTCTGGACTACCTCGCGGATCCGCGGGATCATGCGGCGCTGCACTTGGAGCGTCTTGTAGGGTAGGCCAAGCTTCACAAGCCTCTCAAACATGGACACCTTGAGGTTGTATGGCGGGGAACCGAGGAATTGAATGTCAACTTGGGGAGTCAACTGCTGATGATCCCCTACCAAGGCCAGCTGCTCCAGAGAGGGGAACATTGCGGCGGCGATATTGGCCTCCCGAGTCTCAGCTGCCTCTTCGATGAGCATGACACGAGGCAGCAGGGCGGCCAGCATGCCACGATACTTGGACAAGCCTGTGGTGGTACAGCCAATGATGTCGATACCTTCACAGTCGATAATATGAAGTGTGTTGGCCAGCCGATGGATCTTGAGTGTCTCGCAGACTTCCTTGTACACCTGCAGCTGCTCTCGAATCGCCTGGATAGTGCGATCTCTCAGCCGCGTCTTCAGGTAGTAGTAAACCATGGGCCTTGCCTTTGAGTTGATTTTGTTGAGGTCCGGATTGCCCCTGACTAGCGCTCTGGCCTCCTGCCACCAGCGCCCAGTCCTCCGACAGCCGGGAGGCACGGGGGCCACGGTGTGCTGGGGATCGAATGGAAGAAATAGACCGCGAAGTTGGAAGGCAGCGTCATCCGGAGCTTTGCCTCGTATAGCCTGTCCCTCCTCTTCCAGGTCGTCATCCGGAGTGTCATCAATTCTTCCCACAATGGCCTTCCTAGTCTTGCCGGGCAGCATGGAGCGAATACCTTCTTCTGGGTCCTGATTGGAGAAGCTGTAGAGCCAGCCAATCATCAAGCTGATCTCATTTGGGTCTTCTGTATCTTCGTCCTTGGCAATTTGTGCAGCCGCTGGGCTGCTATCAACGAGAGATTGATATTGCTGGGCAGATATGAGTTTGGCTTCAAGAAGTTCCTGGGCGCCGACAAGGTCCCGGGTATACGCCTCAACCAGCTCTTCAATGCTGCTGCATATTTGTTTCCATGATGCTAGGCCTCGATAGTCCTGTCTTCGGAACCTGGACCTCGATCGGATATTGTACAATGAACATCGAGAAACAAACTCGGAGCGGGACTGGCCACCAAGGCGAAGGATCTTGCCAACCCTGTGATCAAGACACAAATCCAGAATTTGGTCCAGTGCGTGGTTCGTCTGAGCCGAGATAATGATGGGCGCTCGACGCGATTCTGGGCCTGCTGCATTTTGCGTTTCGACGAAGCCGCGAATGGCCACCAGAGAGGTGAATGTCTTGCCAGTTCCCGGAGGCCCCTGAACGATGGAGAGCGCTTGTGTGGACATGATGTCAAATGCTTCCTTCTGTGACTGGTCGAAACGATCGGCAGCTTGGGGGACGACGATAGTATCGCCGGCTGGATTGATGGCTCTTGCCAGGCGGCATTCGTCGTCGTCTACGCAGATAGTCGAGCTGCCAGTTGCGGCAGCTGACAGCCTGCCGCTGGCTGAGGGGTCCAGAATGAACCGGTCAAGAGGAGTCCTAAGAAGAATGTCAGTATGGCTTAAAGGAAAGATAAACAAGATGAAGGGGCTGTTTAGGGGTTATAGTACTTACTGGTACATAGCAGCATGTTGCAAGCCGAGCATCGTATGGCGGACATTCTCAAAGTAGCCAACCTTGGCCTCGAGCATCACAAACTCCTCGATTGGGTCAATCAGGGTCTCGCTGGTGTTGGCGAAGAAGAGCTCAACGCGCGGAGGGTGCCACGGATTATCGCCATCCTCGACAACGGGCACAGCCCTGCCGTTGAAGGATCGGGTGGCGATGGTTGCGACGATGCACTTCGACCGAAAATAGTCCCAGCTCGGCGACAAAGCCACTAGCGTGCCCGGAGTGAGCCGATCAGAGTCTCTCCAGTCGATTGGTGTGGGAACCCTCTCTGTCGAGAATCTGATGCGACTGCAAGCTCCTTGCTTGCTGAGGAGTATGCCTGTGACTTTGACCTGAGGAAGGGGAAAGAGAGGAGGGGGAGGGAGAGAGGGTCAGTTTAGATACTTTTCGCGAGGTCGGTGAGGAAGAGCAAAACGAGGCCGGGGAGAAGAGGCAAAGATACAAACCTTAGTATAAATATAGGCCTTGCTCCTCTCGCCCTCCATCATCTTCCGATCCTCCCGAAACTCGGCGACGGCCTCCCTCAGAGGCTCGGTGGCCTCGTAGCGACACAGCTCGTAGTGAACCCTGAGATACTCTACCTTGGAGTCTGGGAAAGCATCGAGGCGGTTCCTAGGAGGTAGAGGAGTGTTATCGGCCATCAGAGCTGAGGCGTGAACCATCTCGGGAGTCGATCGCCAGGCCTCGCGGAAGTCGTCACTGAACTGCTGGTCGAGCTGACCGTTTCGAACGTGCAGCGACAACTTGGCAGAAGTTTCCAGGCGGAAAAAATCCTAAAGTAAACAATTAGGCCAAGCAAGGGAGTATGAACAGATAGACAGGAAAATCACAACATAGGACTTACAGAAGCTGGCGCTGGCACGTAGCTGAGTGGCTCGTGGATTGGCTCTTCTATAACAGCATCCTCATCTTCGGGGCTAACAGGAGAAGCGGGAGCGGGATCTGGACTCTCACCATCCTCAGGCGCTGGGTAGAGTGGCTCTTTGCCTTTGCCGCTGTCCAGTGAAGGCTGAGGAAGGGATGTACCATCTTGAGGGGCCACGGAATCGAAGTGGAGAAGCTCTTCGCCTTCGTGAATGGGCTCAAGGGGGGTGTAAGCCTGCCAGGCTTGGCCCGAAGGCTGAGAGTCAAGGAGACTCATATGTTGAAGCTCCACAGGCCCATCAGGAGGAAGGGCCGTGACGCCCTGGTCTTCGCCCGGAGCGTCAAAAACAATAAGATTCTGTTCGCCATGCGATGCGGGCTCGAGGTTGGGACGTCCTTGGCTTCCCGGGTTCGCGGTATACTAAGGCCAGTCAGTTGAACATGATAGAAATTGGAGAAGGAAAACCGAACAAAGACTCACGGAGACTGAGCCAGGCTTGGGATGCCCATGCCCGTGGTGCTCCTTGTGGTTCAGCCAATCACGAACGTAGCTGTAAACATTCGTGCCAGCCGACATGGCTGGCTGTCGCCTCTTCAACTAAAGGACGAAAGTCAGCGAAGACACAATCGCAGTGGCAAAAAGGAGAGGTACTCACGAGTTCTGAGAGGTTGTTCATTGTGGAGGCAGTGCGGCGAAGAGGGTCATGGACGCAACAGAGGAAGATGAAGATAGGCGATAAATGGAAAGGCGACAGGTGAACGTTGATAGACAATGGCGGTAGATGAAAACAATAGGAGAAGGCGATAACGGAGACGATGTATGACGATATAGACCACCAGCCGTGATAAAGCGGGAGAGGCGGGTGCTCCAGTAAGGAATGACATAAAAACCCAGTGCCGGCTGGTGAGAAAGGATCGTGAGAGGACAAGAGAGGAGAAAAGAAGAGAAGTCAAAAGTTTGGGGAGCGAAAAGGAAAAGGAAAAAAGATGTCGGGTGCTGTGGTTGAATTTAAGGAAGGAGGCACCTGTAGGAAGGCGGTCTGCAGACGTGCACCTAAGGCATCAACCCTTCTGGTACCGGACAGGTGCACGACATTCGCTCCTGCCTCTGATATTCACTGAATCAGGGACGATTTGATTGGCATGATTTTCGAACCACCAATTTTTCCTCACATCATGGGGAACAGAGTGATTTGTTGAGAAAATGCTGGCCCCTGAGCGGGAAGTGATATCCCCCTTATGCAGTGACTTGGGCAATGGTTTGCAAACTTTAGCCAGGAGTGTGTAGGTATGGATGAATGTTCTAGGAGTAAAACAACTGACAATTCTAATTCTTCTGCAATGCTTTCAAAGAGTACCTTGAGACTACCTACCTGAAAGTCACCTGCTTGTCATTTGCCAAGTCTTCTTCAGGACTATGCCAGTGCTTGCCGGCTGGTGCTTTGTTCATGTTTCTACCGCGTGATACGCCGATTTCTCAGGCTTCCCTCTCTTCTCTTCTCTTCTGTTTAATTTGGCATTCTACCCTTTTCCCTCACTACTTGAGCTTCTCTGCTCTTCCAACTCCGCGCCAGGGGTAATGTCCCCTTTCTAATATCTATAGAGGTATCGCAGCCGCGTCGGTTCCCCCGTACTGTCTTGAAGTAGAGATCTCTGAGAAACCACTGAGTCTATTACTATAGGTACTCCAGAAGCCTCCTATTACAAATTATACTGACTTTTCTATTCGAATATCTGCTTCTGATGTCCACCCTCTGCCTGACCGAACGCTATCTCCATTACCAAGAGAACGAGCAGCGACAGCCTCTCTTCGCAATGCTACTCGGCCGACGAACATCAAGAAGACTAGGCGCGTTGAGGAGGACGAATACAAGGAGCAGGGGAGAAGGGAAAGGGGAGACATTGACGACCATTTCCAATACCGTCCTGGATCTTCCCAACATACTATATCCCGCACTTGTGATCATTTGACACTACTATCCATCGACAGCCTGTTGCACCTGCGAAGCCGCTTTTTGGAAACATACGCTTGATAGTAATAGAGTCCAATCAGTGAAGATTCACAGGGAACCGAATATAGTCAGCGTTCTTGTTAAGGCGAGCTCCCCATTGATACCCTCAAGCAACATCTCTATCTCGCCCGGGGCTATTGGGACTTACAGAAAATCTGCTTCGCAATGCTTTTGCTATACATAAGGAGGGGAAGCGGAATTTAGAGGCAGTGGACGCTTCAATCAGGCATATATGAGTTCACTCTTGCCAATATGGAATAAGACAGCCGCGTTCGAGCGAGCCTGGTCTACAAGGAAGAAGGTGGTCTTGAGAACTAAGGAATAATACCCCTGGGCCGGCACATATGCAGACCTACCTCTCTATCCGTACACTAGATTATTAGCGTCACGAGAGCAATAGTAAAAAACAAAAAGAAAGACAGATAAAGTCAAGCGAAGCCCGTGGCTAGCATTTGTGAGAAAAAAAGAAATTTGAGTGCGTAATCTGGGAATCGAACCCAGGGCTCCCCGACGTTGCGGATGGCAACGGAGAATTTTACCACTAAACCAATTACGCTTTGGATGCTTAACGGTTTCCAATTTGCATATAAGATCCTTTTGCAAAAAGCGAGCCCTCTGCAGCAGAACATTAGTGTAAGTTCCTGTGATACTACCCAGATGTTATAATCCTATTACATAACGAGTATTTCTGGAGTCTACTAATATTAAGTGAGCTAATAACTGGAGGCAGTTGTGATACTGTTTAGGGCAAAAGCAAGGTGAGTACAGCTTCGAAAGATAAGGTAGTATAATATCTAAGTCTCCTTCTACTATGATACTCTATACATCTTCCCGAGACAATGCTTCAATAGACATAATGCCATTCATAGACGGTGATCAACAGTACATCTGGTATTGACCGACCAAAGCAGAATAGATCCTTAGAATGACTTACCTCGTATCTCAATTAGCATACACCGGAAAGAATCGACTCTGATTCAGAAATTGGTTGTCTCCTCCAGTTCAGCCGACCATCGGGTCTAACGCTCCAGTCCGACGCCTCCTCCACCAGTTCCCAGTTTCCAGTTGCCGGGTTCTTCTGCACAAAACGGAATATGATGCTGGTACCAAAGTCTTCAAAGACGAGCTCGCGCCGCCTGAGGCGCATCCACTGCTCGTTCTCATCTCCTTCCATGGCGTTTGTGATCTCCGTATCGTTGTTCTTAATGGCAATGGCTCTGAAGATCCTGCTGTCTCTCAGGGCGTTGCGGATAGGATACTGGCCCAGGATTCGAATTGCATCTTCTCTAACGGCCCGGTCTCGACAGCCAAAGGAGACGACAAATAGCGGCCAAGTCCATCCTGCGTCCATGGCAAAGCCGCAGTTGGGCCGGGACTTGAGCAGCATCTCTGCAAGACTGTTGATTTCGCGATATTGTGGCGTGAGACCCTTGACGGTGATGAGGCTGGAGTATCGTGGGACGGTGGTATAGATGTAGAGGATGAGATATTCGATTCGGATGCTCATGGCCTGTAGATACTGGGCTCGGTCGGTTTGGGCGTCGCGGAGGACGGCTTGATACATGGGCTCGTACGCCTCGGTCCAGCGCTGCAGCCAGTACCGAGACTCGGCGATGAATTTAGACAAGGTTGCGTTCGATTTGAGGCTTGCGAATTTCCGGTCCAACTCAGCTGGGTCGGTCGTCTTGTGAAGTGCAAGATCTGCCGTCACCCTGGTCAGCATCGGAACGTGGCGGACCATCTGTCGCTGCACCAGTCCCCAATAGTCTCGCATTTCATCCCACGAGGTGAAGTGGCGTGGCATATCGTCTAGTGAGGAAATCCTGGTGAGCTTCGGTCGAAAGTATGGGGAATGTTTCGTAAAAGGGATTATCCCTGGCGGTCGTCGAGGACTAGGAGGAGGGGCTCGAGGTGACCACGGGTCACTCTGGCTCTGGGGGCTCGGCAGGCCGGTTATTTGCACCTGAGGGCTCTCAGGCGACAGCATGGGGGGCGTTTCGGGCTGGCTCGGTGGACTCGGGGCTGCCGTTGCAGAGGGATGTCTTGTGGATGAGTAATTGGCTGTTTCGTGGTATTGCCGTTGCGGATTTTGTGGCGATAGCGAAGAAGGAGAAGTGAAGGACGACGGTGAGGAAGCTGAAGGGGTTGGAGATGAGGATTGTTGACCTGTAGGCTGGGGAGGTTGCGGTGGGAAGAAGGCCTTTCTATATGACCCCATGAAGGACCGCGACTGCAGCTCCAGGGGCTTGTAGCAGTCTAAAATGTCCTGCACCATGGCTGGCGGCGCGGGAGCAATGCTGACAAGATCTGGAGCTTTGTCGGTGCAGTTGGCGAGTTCGTTGAGCATGGAGAAGCCGTGAGTTATGTGCTTAAGAGCGGCCGGTACGTTTCCTCTTTGGGTTTCGAAGCAGATGAATAGCAGGGAAGAAAGCAGAGCAGTTCTCATGCCCTCTCTCGTAGGCTTCATCTCCGATTGCATACGGAGGGCTTCGCAATAGTAGACGACGGCGTTCAGATAGTGTCGATTACTGCTGTCGAGTCCCGATTCCGACCCGTGGACTTGGTACGCCTTTCGTAGAGCTCCCACGGCCATTGCCCCGTATCGCAGCGTGTTTTCTTCTAGCGTGACCTGGGGCATCGTGGCTGTCCAAAGACGAGTCTGGTCGATGAAGCCCCCTAGAAAGGTGACTGAAAGCTGTGACCATTCAACGAAATAGTCTCGCTGGTCATTGTTGGCGAAGCGGATGGTGTTGACAAGCGGTTCGATGATGAGCAGAGGTGCCTTTTTGGAGTGTATGAGTTTGCCCTTGGACGGCGGGGCACGAGATTGATGTTGTGAAGAGGAGGCGGAAGAGGGGTTGTCCGAGTAGGAGTCGCAGTAGCCGCGCCACTTCATGCAGTTGAGGCACGCCGGTCGAGTTTCGTCGCACTTGACATGTCGTTTTCTGGGAGAAAATAAGAGAGTTTAGTTCCGGCTACCAAAGTAGCGTGTCCAAGTTGTGAATGCGGAGAGAATGAGGAGAACCTGATGCGGACGCAGGCAGCGAATCCTTGAGCCTGAGGCAACTTACTTGCCTGGCCATCACCACAACAGCTGGTTAGCAAGAGACGTGATACAAAGGGCCGGTCTTTATTTGTAGACATACAAGTGAGGCAGCCAGTGCGGGCACGAGTTGAACTGCGCCGAGTATGTCTCGCCCTCGAGTCTAGGGCGAAGCGATGAATGCTGGGCTGTCCGGTTGACGCAGGCTCCACCTGTGGTTGAGCAGAACGTGCTGAGCGGCTGTTGTTTAAAAGGCTCCTTCGTTAGAATTCTGCCATAACTCATGGATTGGTCCTTGACAGGGCCGGGCTCGTCATTGTTCGACCAATGTTTGCCCTCGCTCGAAGTAAGCGACATCTCATGAACTCACCTGCTTGAACTGCCCCTTTGGACGATCGGTAAGGTGAATTGGATCTCCATTATGTCTGAGCGATGCTCTTGGTTCTCCGGGCACCTCGTGTATCAGCGAGGCCTTCGTTAAACTTCAATGCCTGTGTTCGGTCTTTGTGTTGCGTCGGAGGCTGGTCAGCAGCTACCTATGGAGATGAGGCCGAGTTAACGGAGGTCGTGCCGAACTTGTCTTCTTGGCGGCTTTGCTTTAACTAAGTTATGGTAGAAATAACAGGCAACACTGGTAGACGTAATAATAACGGCTCCGATCGCTCGCTCGGCGGTTTCTGAGTATCATGGACTCATTTCGTAATTATTCACACTTTCTTCAGATTCGGTGTTGTCTCTTGCTCAAGAGGAAACCGCAATGGTCGCCTCAAACACGAAGCGCGGAAGGCAAGAAAAAAACAAAGGATCAAAAACAAGGCGGTTGCTGGTTCTTAGTTCAGGATTCGTCTGTGCTTTTAGCCACCTGAAGAGGATTCCGTGGTCGACGACGGGGCCTTTGGCTTCAAAAGTGCCGGCTCGGGAAGTGGCGCTCTGAAGACTGGAAATAAGATCGGAATATAGCGCAGGCCGAAGGAATCTGAGGGTGGGAAAAATTAGCCCAACAACCAGGATCGGATCTGGATAGAGGTTACATTTGTACTCGCCTTGACAGCAGGGAGAAACGGTGGACGTCGGGCGAGGGGGAAAAACAAGGAAAGAAAACCGAAGGATGAAAGACGAGAACAAAGGGCAGGAAAAGAGATGGTCTGCTCGGTATCCCGTAGGTAAATATTGGGGGGCCGTTGAAAGCAAGATGCCATGCCGCTATTCCACACTCCGGGCAGGGATGTTGAGTCGAAAAGGCACACCGGAGCCTGGCAGGGATGATTAAGCTGGGGGATGAGGACCCAATCTGTCTATGTCTGCCTTCGCACGTCGCCGTCGTTACTACTAGGCCCAAGATGGATGACGAAGACGGTACGGCAATTGGGGCGGGATAGAGCACGATTGAGAAGATGTCTCTTTATCTTGATGGCCCCGTTTGCTGAGTGCTTGGGCCATTCTGGATATGTCCGGTGTCATGGTGGTGATAGAGGTACTGTGACTTTTTTGCCCTTGTTTCTTGGTTGTTCTTATACGCTGAGTATGTATCTCTAGATTGAACCGGGACACACTTGGAGCATCACACGGATTCTGTGTCCCAGAAGTCTTAGCATTACCGAGCATGAGAAATAACCCCCCTGTGCTACAATGAAGCTCGATGCCATGTCTCGAGAGCACAAAGTAGCGCCACGTCCGATTCCAAAACGCCGTCGGGCAACTGGTTTGAGCCGGACACTGTCTGACAACCACTTAGCAACGCCTCTTCCCCTTGCCCAAACTAGAGCAGCAAGCCACCTCTGTACTAATCCTCTCTATTCTTCTTCCGTTTAAGGCTCAGGGACGGCCTAACGCAGGCAAGCGCAAGCTGAAGCGGACGCTGAAGCAGCTCAGCCCACCACCGTTGGGCTGAGGAATGTCTGGAATCTGCCCAAGCTAGTCGATACTCTGCATTCCCGTCGATAGCGTTGTGGCCCAAAGATCGTAAGTCGAACTTGCTGGGACAACCAGGGTACGGTTCAAGCATCAGCCTTGAAAAATTATCTCAAATGGGCCTGACAGGATGCATCATTGCTTGAAACATCCTGGCCGAGGTAAGCAGAGGTTCCACGCATTTCCTTATCCCTACGCTGCTCTCTTTGCACGTGCTTGACAATACTGCCTTATTCACATCTGTAGAACAGCTTGGCCAGGATCTCACCTCCCTCACCTCTCGTACCGCAGATACATATAGCTAGGCCCTGGTCTTGAAAATGGTTCTGCTCCCCTACACAACGCTAAGTCTATTCAGCTGTCCGTGAGATGTTATCTGGTGTCTTCACTTCCCACCAGATTATCGGCCGAACAACCTCTTCGAATAGAACACGAGAAACCCCGACGTCTGCAGGAAAACGCGGACTTACGAAGCACGAATGGACAGAGCATTGAGTCGAATGCAGACTTAAAGCAGACAACATGAAGCAAGAGAGATGCAGCTACTCCCACGTAGCATCGACAAAAAGCTGCAGAACCCAAGAGATCTGGAACCTGAATTGGAGCTGACAAAAAGCCGAATGCAGGGGATATAATTGCCGAACGATGCTGCGAGAAGCCCTCAGCGACCCTGGGTATGTAGAGAAGTTGTTCTTTGGTTACATCGTGCCTACAATACGATCACAGTTTTTACACCTACAACGACGCCGGAGTCTAGACACAACTCGGCAGCACCGGCCATGCTGATCGAATCCTTGTGGGTGCAATTAAGATATCATGGATCGTTAATCTCGGAGGCCGCTGACAGAAACTTTCTTTTCTCTACACCGACGAATCTTAGAGAACTACCGAGGACAAGGAGATGTCGATATCCAACCCAGCTGTTCGGGATACAGTGGGTCAAAGAGGAAAACAAAAGACAGACGGAAACCAAGATACGGCACTTGGCGTGCTGCTCTTATGTCTCCTTCCTGGCTCAGCCTTTTTCTGGCATTTGCTTCACAACCAGATTCTACTTCTCAAGTTGATGAAGAGACTTTACAAAGGAGAAAGCCTCGGCTACCCAGCAGCTTCTGACGCGCTTCCTCTGCAGATGTACGGAGTCCTTATGCCCCTGTCAGAAATAGCACCATCGAACCTCCCTTGCGCCGAGATCCCTAATGCCGGGATATGCTACTAGTACTAGTATCTGAACCGACGAAACGTTGTGCGGCCAGGGTACTATGATTGAAGCCTAGAATGTTTGCATATGGCAGGACCATTAAGGTGACATGGCTGGTCGATAGGTAGTATTACAACGGGAACCAAGTTTGGGTGTCGTTCCCAGTTGAGTTTGCATAGCAGATATCACATCCATCTTTGCAAGGGACGCGGCGGACTACGCCGAAGGCGTGATGGGCAACGCATGCAGGAGGACGAATCGAGCTGAGCCAGACTTTGACAGCAAGACCAAAGCGGCATCGGTCAACCGCATGATAACTGACAATGTCCCCAGGCAATGGACACACTAGGACCAAGCCCGTCCACATGCCGCTTCGCAGGAAGATCGCGGCCTGGCAGCTAGCGGTCTAGGCTTCCGTGCTCTGGACGCCGCCTGCCGGGGGTCTGTCAAGCCCTGTCTGTTAGACGCGGGCACTTGCATCTGGTGGGGGCGATTCCTTGTTGATTGGTGATGGCCACGGCTCTCTGCCGCACTGGGTGCTTCGTCCAGGGCATGGGCTCGTCCGGTCGCGAGGGGTTATGTTGTCTATGCGCCACTTGTTTGGAGCTCTTCCTCTTGAGTGAGGCCCTGTTCTTCACCGCTGCAAGTCTCAAACAGGACATCTCTCGGTAACAGGATTGACGGCAGACCGAGGAAGCGCCATGTGGACTGCGAACAGCCACTGAGTGTTTTGGGAACAAGCAGACGCAAGCAGGTGGGAAGTGGTGGAGTTTGGCAGCAGCACTAGATCGGCCTGTGGTGGATGTCATCTCATGCATCTCGGTGGGTTCGTTTTGTTTCGCCTTTATCATGCGTTTTGTGCTACGTGTTTGTGAGATAGATTACTAGAAAATCAAGGCATTTCATGAACACCTTCTATCTTACAGCCGATTTGCCGTGCGGGCTTCATCCGGTTCGACATGATGGGGACATGAATTTTGAGAGGTCATCGGTCAGACTCGCTGAGAAATGCTTTTGCCGGCAATGAGAGGTATTGCTGCTTGCATTGCCCACAGATTCAACCGAGTGAGGGGTCATGCAGTGTCAGAGGCCAAGGGCCAAGATTCAGGCGAAAGGGGCAACCAAGACAATGGCGCAGATCTTGCATGTCTCTCGGAAAGCAGGAAAGTTATTCTTAGTGGCTGCGTGCCGGTCAAGGTGCTGACAGACATGCTCGTAATGAGGCACATGTCGCAAGATCATACTTTGGTTTGCGGGCATCACTTAAAGCTTCATTGTTTTTGCCCCGGTCGACTCCCGATCAGGCCATATCTGGGGATCTTTCATCTCGACGGCGACCGAATGGCTTCACCTTCCGAGCTTACGGGGCTTTCCGCAATACGAATGCTGAGATGAGCCATACGAGGCATGAAGAAAGACAGAGAAAACCTGGGGAGATGAGACTGGGATGCCGGAGTGACCCACTCAGGCCCAGACAGTACCAGAATGCACAGGAACCGGCTTTGATTTTCGCACCTCGACCGACAGCCCAGGAGCCTCGAAAAGAGGGCTGCGGTAGATGAAAATGGCTGGAGATTATCCTCTGCGTATCATTTCATCGCGCAACATACAGTGGAACAACTAGAACACGCCCGGATCGTAGCGCAGCATGAATCTCGTGTCTCGTCCAGCCATCTGCTTCCCGGATTTCCACCCCCTGGCCGTCACAATCGTTTCCAAGTCATCATCGTGCTTCCGCGTCTCCAAAAAGTGACGCTATAGCCACTCTCAGTTAGTAGCTCAGGCGGGCGACCTGCGCCATTGGGGAATAGCGGCAGCCTTGGGGGTGAGAAAGGGCCTCAGCCGCCGCCATAGCGGCATTCTGCTCCATCTTCTCGTTATTTTGGGTAGCAGAGGCGCTCAGTTACAGCGGGTTTGTGTGCTGAAGCCACGCGGTTCTTATGAGGGGGAGCTAACGGCAGCTTCTGACGACGATGTGCTTCTAGCTTTGGTCAATGACCAGCAGCGCAATTTGCCGTGATCCCGATTCTCCGTTTTTCCCAACACACACATCGCGAGCTGACGTTGTCGCTCTCTTCAACTCCATCATCTCTTCCCTCTCAAACTTGTCATTGCATTGAAGTGGAAGACAAAGGGAGAGCGCGCGTCGGCAGCTGGTCTGATGCTTCCCGCGCCTGATTTGTCTTCCCGTCTTGTCGTATCTCGTGTTTCATCCATAATCTCTCTCTCTCGGTCTCTCTCTCGACACTAGACAAACGATACGAGCGCCAAACTGTCAGCTCATAAAGGAGGCAAAAGGCAGAGGAGGAAGAGAGTCACTCGCTTTTACGAACAGGCCCACGATCGCTCAACGACCCCCCAGCCTTGAGTTACCGGGTCTCGTCGTCATCGTTGTCAATATCTATCCGACTTTCCCAACCCCCCCGAGCAAGGCCCTCTTTTATTCTTTTCTTCTTTTGTCTCTGATCTTGCAGACTGCAGCTCTCGGCTTGCGCTTACCCGCATGCGCCTTTGATGATTCTGCGCTGCTGCTAGTATTTGCGAACCCCTGTCGACCAGTTGTTGCGTTTTCTTTGATCCGTCCATTGATCGGCGTTGTTGGCCCGCCAGTGAGTCGTCTTTTTTGATAAACAATTCGATCCCCCGGGGGTTTCGATCCGAACCCCATCGCTCTGGGCAATTGCAGCGCAAAACTGCCTCAAGCCGCGACTTCTCTCCTCGAACGAGTCGCCAGCCGGAAGCACGAGTCCACTGACGCCTTGTGTAGCCACAACTCGAAGCCTGTCATGCAGCGCTACGGTGACCACGGCGACTCTACCGAGAGAGAACCTCTGGATGGCTACGGAACCCAGTCGCATCGAGCAGCTTCTCCCGACAGCCACGCCTACTCGCCGCAAGAGTATCACGACCAGCATCAGCCGCCGCCGGTCCCCCAGCACCAGAGCCAGATTCACGACTACAATCAAGGTCAGGGTTACGACCACGGCTACGACCAGAACCAGAGCTATGCCTACGACCAAGGCTACGATCACGACTACCGTGACGACGCTCCTCCGCCGCCGCAGCATCAACAGGGTGGAAACCGGATGCAGAGTGACAGCGGCTACTTTGCTGGAGGCGGAGCACGCAATGACGGGTATGCGCAACCGAACAGAACCAACTCCCGCCGATATTCCCAAAACAACGTGACCCCTGGCGCTGACAACTTCAGCGACATGGCCTCTGGAGGAATGGCCGGCATTGCCTACGGCGTAGCAGAGCGCAACGCCCGAGAGAGCGGCATGCAGGCGGCCCACGGCGGGTTGCCGCCTCCCCCCTCGCACGCCCGATATGCCGAGGCCAACGGCTACCAGGGCGGCTACGACTACCACCCGGATGCCGATCGAGGCTCGCGAGCCGCCTTCAATCCCCTGGGCATGCCGGCGGCGGCGGCCGCCAGCTCGCGCTCGCCCTCCCGCAGCACGCGCGATCCCTACGGCGACGACCACTATCCGGCCATGTATGTGGCCAACTCGCGGAACAGCAACCCGATGCTGGGCATTGTCAATCCTAACGAGATTGTGGATGACGGTGACGACGGACTGGAGTATTCGCGACGCAGCCAGCGCCACTCGATGCTGAGCGCCTCCAACTCGGACCGAGCCAAGGGAGCTGCTGCCGTAGCGGCCGTGGCGGTTGGAGGAATTGGAGCTGCTGGTGCCATCAAGAGCGCCTTGGGACGTAGTGGTGAGTTCTTGTGATCCTCGTGTATTCTGGACTTTTCGGTGCCCTTGAGCTACCCAGCACCCCTGATGATTCCCCCTTACTCGTTGATCAAGTCTTTCATTGTATATCCGTCTTGACTGTATTCATCCTTGCCTCCGAATCCAAAATTCGGTCGATGTACATGACGTGATGAACAACGCTGACGCGTCTACCCAGCAAAATCTGCAGCAACAACAACAACTGGAGCAAATGGTGGCGACGGAGGAGGTGAAGGCGGGGGCGGAGGAGGCATATTCTTTGACAACGGTAGCACTGAGGAAAAGTCGGCCTGGATGGCCCAACAAACGCACAAGAGCAGAAAATGGCGCTGGATCATTTCCATCCTTCTCGTTGTCATCATTGTCGGCGCTGTTGTTGGCGGGGTCGTCGGCAGCCGAGCCGCCAACAACCACGGTAGCAAATCTAGCAGCAACAGCGGTGGTTCCAAGGGCGGCAGTGGCAGCGGCAGTGGAAGCGGCGGAGGCGGCGGCAACTCAGACGACGACGAGGGCGATCTCGACATCAACAGCCAGGAAATTAAAGACCTGCTCAACAACCCGGACCTGCACAAGGTCTTCCCCGGCGTCGACTATACCCCCCTGAACACGCAGTATCCCGATTGCCTGGTCAACCCCCCTTCCCAGAACAACATCACCCGCGACGTGGCCGTCCTCAGCCAGCTCACCAACAAGATCCGCCTCTACGGCACCGACTGCAACCAGACCCAGATGGTCCTCCACTCCATCTCGCAGCTCCAGATGACCAACGACATCAAAGTCTGGCTGGGCGTCTGGCAGGACAACAATGCCACGACCAACGCCCGCCAGCTCGAGGAGATGTGGAACATCCTCGACAAATACGGTGACGATCCCTTCGAGGGCATTATTGTTGCCAACGAAGTGCTCTTCCGTCAGCAGTTCACCGTCGCCAGCCTGGGCAGTCTGCTCGACGACGTGCGCACCAACCTCACCAAGAAGAAGCTCAGCCTCCCCGTCGCTACGTCCGACCTGGGAGACGACTGGACGCAAGCTCTTGCTGACGACAGCGACTACATCATGGCCAACGTGCACCCCTTTTTTAGTGGAACAAAGGCAAGCGAGGCCGCCGCCTGGACGTACAGCTTTTGGAGCGAACACGACGGCCCCTTTTGGAAGAAGGACAAGTCCAAGAACATCATCTCCGAGACGGGCTGGCCCACGGGGGGCGGCAAGGACTGCGGAGGACCATCGACGTGCCCGGATCCTGCCGTGGCAGGCATCGACGAGCTCAACACCTTTATGAACGACTGGGTGTGCCAGGCCCTTGAGAACGGCACCAACTACTTCTGGTTCGAGGCATTTGACGAGCCATGGAAGGTGATTTACAACACCCCGGGCGAGGAGTGGGAGGACAAATGGGGACTGATGGACGCCAACCGGAAGCTCAAGGACGGAGTCAAGATTCCCGACTGCGGCGGCAAGACTGTTTCTTAAGGCCGCAGCAAGTTCCTCTGTCTATACTCATATTGCTTTTGTTTTCGTTGTTTTACGGGTTGATGAGGCATGATGGAAAGCGAAACGAGTTTCTGGGCTGTTGTTATATACGCAACCTTCCCCCAAGCACCCCCTTTACCCCGATTTGCAGCCCTCGGGTCGTTGTCCTTTATTGATTGTCTTCGCTGTCTATAACACTGTGTTTAGTTTTCTCACCTGTTTTTTTGTCTTTCACGTTAGTGTCCTATACTGTTCCAGATGATAGATCTGGCGATGCGAACATATGGACGAGGCTATGGTCACTTACCCTGCGCTTTGCGTTTGCTTCTTGTATTCTTTCGTCGTCGCAAAGAGGCATGACACATATGGCGTTGAGGATTCAGCTGCAACAATGCTTATACACAATTTAATACACATAATTGGACCTGATAAAAGAAATCAAACCTGATTAGAGAAACAAGGTCCCCTTGAGCCCGATGAAAAGACCTCAATCTAATTGAAGATGTTGAATTTGAAGGAAATCAGCCTTGGACTGAGAATCATGTATATTAACCGAGTCTAACTAGAGAACTGAATCTGACCGGATGAAGTAACTCCATTTATCATGCGCCTATTGATTGAATCCATCTCTAAAATTGCATCACGCTTCTACAGAGCTCGGCTTCCTAAGCAGCCTCTGGTAAAGCCTCTGGCGGCCGGAGGCAGATGTATGTCTTGTAAAAAATGAGTCCGCTCTTGACCTCGGGGAATTGGAACTTCTGGTATTCTGAGAAAATCTTCTTGAGGGGGACCATGGTAACTGGATGGTCTCGCGGAAGGAATTGGGTACTGGCAGTCAGACACTATTAGCAATAGACCTCCAAGCAAGATGGGGTAAAAACATACTTCAGCTCCCAGCATTCAATGCCAGAGCCCACATAAATCACTGGCAGCTCACCCTGGAGAGCTTCGGCATATAATTGGTAGTATAAGTGAGGGCCATAGAAGAGCGTGTTGGCGTGGATGTATTGGTTGCCCTCTGGAGAATCGACAACGGTATGGCCAAGAGACTTGATGAAGGCGATGTCATTGGCGTTGAAAGCAGGCTCCTGGAAGATGATGTTGAACGGCTCCCTATCCTGCGTCTTTTCTGCAGTTCATTAAGATTGCTTAGTTAGCGAGTGTGTACAGTGTGAGAGGAGGAGTATATTTGAGATTTGAAAATAGCTATGCAGGGTAATGACGGAGGAAGACCATCTTACCAAGTTCCTCTGCAATAAGCAGCAGCGCCGCCAGCTGACAGTATGAGGTACGCTTCGCCTGCCAGTTGCCATCGGGGTGGTCGAAGCAGCCAATGCCAAAGCAGACAATCTGGGAGACGGGGCCCTGGCCGGATTGGGAATGCGCAGCTACATAAGCCGAGAAAATCCCACGCAGCTCGTCTTGGGGAAACCAGGCATCCAGGTCACTCTTGATAGACTCAAAGTCCTTCTGAAGCTGCTGGACAATAACCTGATTGGCCGAGGTGGGCTTAGGACCGGGGTCAGGCAGATTGATCGCAGCGCTGTTGGCGGATCGAAGACGGCTGGCCCACTTGCTGGGCTTGACGCGGGTCCAGCCTTCATCGTCGTCTGCCATTGTGGCCTAGATAGGCGGATGAAGGCGGTTGAATAGAGGGTGAAGGAGTGAAGGACGCTGTCAGGAAGGCAGCGGCGGCAGGGGGCTGGTGCTGCAGTGAATAAAAGAAGAACGAGGCTGCGAAGCTGCTGTAGGTTGGTGAGGCGGGATGTCGAAGTCTGGAGGCTTTGAGGTTCGTGATTTGTGGGAATAATTTAATGGTGGACTCGCTTAGGTCCGCTTGGTGTAAATCACGTGCATACACGTGCGAAACTCGCGCACTACCCTTTGTGGCTCGCTACAGCCTTATAGCGGTGTTCCAGGCGTCGAGGCGCTGTAGCAGATAGTGCTGTTCGCCTGTGCAGACTAGTATCTGGCGGCTGCACCTCGAGATGCTGTCATCTTTGAGTTTTGATAAGATGTAATATTTTAGCAAGTCAAATTAAAGAATAGTTGTACTAAACAGAATCGGATCTTATTGAACCTGATTGGGAGGATTCAGATCTGAGTGAACCAACTGAGGAAATTGAATCGGTTTAAATCGATCTGAAGGAAACAAGTCTGATCGAATCTGGACAGAGGAATGCGATCCAATCTGATCAAACCTGAATAAAGGAGCCGAATCCCATTGAACCCATCCGACTCAATAAATCAAATATAAGGAGACAAATATCTTTTCTACTCGATTGTATGCTAAAGTCTTCTGGTCTCTTGTTTAATCATCACTTCTGTTGCATTGCGCAATCCGTCTGACTTGCCTCTCAAGATTAGTATATACGCATTCTATGCAGCGGCTTGACAGAGTCACACCACCCCAACGCATCACATCTCCAAGCAATGAATAGCCATTACAACCCCCAAATCCCCAGAACAACCAATGGAATTTCTCTGTGCCTTTAATAGCCTAATCACCTCTTGACTTGCCGCGTCAATCACATGGCAGAATCTGGCGGTGAGCTCCAAGACAGCTGTTTCAGGCATTGATTGCTTCACTCTGTTGGCTTACAACTGTCGTCATACCCGTGAGACCGAAGCGGAGGTCTTATCTCAACCAGACGGCTATAAGTCCATGTACTGCTCTCCTTGCTGCCCGATTTGCTGCCCGCAATAGAGCTCGCAGCTTGAATTTCGTCTCTTGATTCTAACTGACTGATTTCTTCTCTTTGTACAGCCTCATTCGCATTTACAACCTCGGCATCCTCGTCGGCATCACCATGGCTACTGCTACTCCGCTCCACAGCCAGCTGCCAACCTGCGAGCGTTCAGCTCCTGGATCAATCAATATTCGCCCAGCTGAGTTTCCCAAAACTGCGTCTCCTCCATCTCCCGACCTCGATCCCAACAGGACTGCTCTGCAATTGGTCAATGTTTTGAACGAATCACTCGCAAAGGGAGACTACGAAGCTGCCTCGAAACTCTTCGTCGATCAAGGCTTCTGGCGAGATCACTTGGCCTTGACGTGGGAGTTTCACACAACTCAAGGACCCGAAGCTATTCGCGGTCTTCTGGAATCGAGTTCTCAATCCAGGGACGGCTTTCGCTTGAAAGAGATCACCCTCAACACGAGCTCTGCCTTGCGGTCACCTCGAGTTGCGCCTCTGGATGGAGAAGGCAAGGTTACGGGGATCATCTTCTTCATTAACTTCAAAACGGCGATTGGATCTGGCGGAGGCGTGGCCAAGATTGTGAACGACAATGGAACCTGGAAATTCTTCTCCCTCTACACAGCACTTCAGGAGCTCACTGGCCACGAGGAGCAGATCAATGGCAGACGACCCCGTGGAGTCGAGCACGGAGAGAAGCCAGGCCGGCAGAACTGGGCGCAAAGAAGAGAGAAAGAGACCCAGTACCAGGATGCTGATCCAACTGTTTTGATTATTGGTGAGGACTTTCCACTTTCCCTCCCCTAGTAGACAGAGGAATATACCTCCTCCAGAAATCAAGCCTCACTTCCTACAGATCTGTCTCAACTGACAACTTCCAGGTGCTGGTCAATCCGGACTGACAGCAGCGGCCAGACTCAAGATGATTGGCGTCGATGCCTTGATCGTCGATCGACATGCGAGAGTCGGAGACAGCTGGAGAAAGCGATACGATCAGCTGGTGCTCCACGATCCTGTCTGGTACGATCACATGCCGTATCTTCCATTCCCGCCGCATTGGCCCATCTTCACGCCAAAGGACAAGCTGGCGCAGTTCTTCGAAGCCTACGTCAGCTTGCTTGAACTCAACGTGTGGACTAGTGCCACAGTTGAAGAACCTTCTTGGAACGAGGCAAAAGGCAGTTGGACTGTAAAAGTCCTCCGACGACAGGAAGATGGCTCGGTAGAGACTCGTACCCTGCATCCACGACACATCATCCAAGCTACAGGCCATTCCGGCTTCAAGTATGTGCCGCCAATCAAGGGAATCGACTCATTCCAAGGCGACCGCATCTGCCACTCTTCAGAGTTCCCAGGGGCTCAGGAGGAGGGCCGAGGCAAGAAGGCGGTCATAGTCGGATCGTGCAATTCGGCCCACGACATTGCGCAGGACTACGTCGAAAAGGGCTACGACGTCACAATGGTTCAGCGCTCGAGCACCTTTGTCGCCAGTTCCAAATCCATTACTGACATTGCTCTGCGCGCCTACGCAGAAGACGGACCCCCTGTGGAAGACGTTGATCTTCTGACCCAGAGCAACCCCATTTCTGTGCTAAAGGCACTTCAGATCACCGTGGCTCGAAAACAGGCAGAGAATGACCGCGATCTCCTCGAGGGCCTCGCACGCGCAGGCTTTAATGTGGATTCTGGGCCGGGTGGATCCGGCCTCTTCTTCAAGTATTTCCAGCTGGGAGGAGGATATTATATTGACGTCGGTGCCTCTAAGCTCATTGTCGACGGCAAGATCAAGGTCAAGTCCGGTCAGGAGGTGGCAGAAATCCTGCCCCATGGCTTGCGCCTCGCAGATGGCAGTGAACTGGAGGCAGACGAGATCATTCTGGCAACAGGATACGGAAACATGCGAGAGGTGACGAGAAAGATGTTTGGGGATGCGGTTGCAGACAAGATACAAGATATCTGGGGCATCGGCCAGGGAGGAGAGCTTCGCACTATCTGGCAGCAGAGCGGACAACCTGGCCTCTGGTACCACGGAGGCAATCTGGCGCTGTGTAGATATTTCTCGAGGGCATTGGCGCTGCAGATCAAGGGCATTGAGGAAGGGCTATATCGGTATGGTGAGAAATAGAGGAGAGACGGCTTTGTGAGAACTGTCTGCTCGAGATTGTCAGGTGCCCCCGCACATAGGATACCGAATGTTACTCTCATTCCAACATGATACTATGAGGGTTGCTTTGTTGCCTTCTGTTGGAGATTGTTCCGTCCTGGACACATATTCTTTGTGTAAACTCAAGCCTTGAAGCGACTCTCCGTACCAGCAACGCGTGAAGTACCCCCTGCTCGCAATCGGGGGTAAAACTGTACTGGGGCAGGCAAGCGTACTCGGACCACAGAGGCTACCCGCTCAATGGACGAGCAACCATCTTGCTACCTACTGCCACTTGCTGGCTTCAAGGTGTCTCTGGTGATTATCATTGATTATGGTAAACGCCATGGACGAAATGGGACAGACAGGGTGTACACGTAGGCGTCTCTGTCCCATTAGTCCGTCTCTGCTTGCCTGTCTGGCGTGCAGCCCCTCGACTTTGGGGCTTTCTGGGTTGTTGAGACTCGTAATTGATGCTGCTGGTTGCTTGTGCCTTCAAGTCTCTCCTCATTGAGCCTTCCACTCTCACGTGTTGAGAGTGGAAGCCTTCTTGTTTGGGCTCTTTCGCCGCTAGCTTGTTGACTGCCCAGGAGTGATGCCTTTGCCGTATTCCTTGATCCTTCGCCCTACGGTTTCTCTCGTTGACGTTTTATTGATTTGTAGCCCTCTGAAATTCCCTGTGTATTCCTCTTTTTTCATCACCATACCAGCATTACGAACATTATCGTCGTCCTCCTCGTCGTCCTCATCGTCATCATCGGCATCGTCATCTGCCAGTTTCAGAATGCCTGTGATAGCGCATATCTTGTCATCTTCTTCTTAACACCATTTATCTAGCATTCTCCTCCAAATCATGCAGATTCCGCATCTTCTACAAATCATCTTTACGCCAAAGGGGCTCAGCACTCCACTGCTTTAGCTCTGTCTCTGGGTCTGGCTGGTGAGGAGTCAGCAAGCAGATTTCCTGTGGCATTGGTACTGACCTGTCTGCCTTTTCAGGCACCAGATATCGTTTCACGTTAGCACGACGTCCTCCCTCTCTGCATACTTCTATCAACCGGAGGCTGTTCACCTTGGCGACCTGCTGCGGTCATGGCATACGACCTGGTGCGAGAAATCTTCCTCCCCGCGAACTTTCGAGACCGACGTGTACGAACGGAACCAACAACCACGAGTACACCGAACACATTTACTCGACGTTCACTGTCAATATTCTTACCGTGGTCATTTTTGGGGAGTGTGTACTCGTTGGAAATTGCGAATATTCTTAGGCACGGGAATAGCTAGGCCATGATGATGGCGATGGGAGGATCTATTGAGGCCTCAGGTCATGGATTCTGGCCATTGTTGGGGGAATCGGCTGCAGAGAATGATAAGACAATCCACGTTGTTATCCGGCATCTTTCGTTTCCCGCTCATTCTTTTGAGTCACCGGCAAGTTGCCGCGAATGGTTGGCATTTAGTTCTCGTCACAGTAGATGAACGGCTCCCATGTTTGCTGCTCAATGGCTGTGGCACACCCTACCTACCTTACTTTAGGTATGGATAGCTGGGGGACCCCAGTTCAAGATACGCTTCAAGCTTAACAAGTGCTAGATCCCGGATCGCCACCCCCGGCTTCTCCTCTCCTCCTCGCCACTCGTCTAATGTCGCCTAAACAAACTCCTAGTGAAACGTGCATCTCCGTCACGACGATCTAGGAAGCCACCACGAGACGGGATCTCGAAAGTACCTACCCTCCTGCAATGCATGGTCACGATTACTATGTCCCATTAGCAATAGCTTGATTGGCATGAGCGTCGCGAGGCGTCATCACTTTCCCAGCTACCGTAGCAGACCGACCAAGCATTCCTGCCGTCTTACAGTCAAGGTGTCAATTTTACGCCGCGATAACGTCACGACGGCATCAAGATTTCAAATTGAACTCACCTCATTGGTTGGTCAAACTAACACAAGCATCATTCATCGTGACCAAGAAACTGACGTATTGTTTCGACGGGAAGGTGAATGATAGCTAAGGTAATATATAACGGGCATGAAGTTTGCACAGTCTCAGCTCTGTCTCTCCATCAATTCCTCCCATCCATTGATTCAATCACCCCCTTCGCAAAAAGCCTTGCCACAAAAGAATGTTCAGTCTGCGCACTGCTCCTCTCACGTTGCGCCAGTGTAGTAAATTCTGTTCTCCCTCAGTCGCCCGTCGAACCTTTGCCCAAGCCGTCAAGATGTCGAGCATCTCCGAGGCCATCAAGAAGGACCACCGCGAGCTGGAGCAGTACTACAATGAGGTGATCAACAACCAGGGCGACCACGACCACCAGGAGCGCTACGGGAACCAGTTCGTCTGGGAGCTCGCTCGTCACTCTGTCGGCGAGGAGCTGGTTGTGTACCCTGCGTTTGAGAAGTACTTGGGAAGCAAGGGCAAGGAAATGGCCGAGAGTGATCGAAAGGACCACCACGTCGTGAGTACACCCCCGCTTAAATGCCCATCACGGATATGTTGTGTCATGACTTATGGATTACTGATTGGTGTGTAACTTAAAAACAGGTCAAGGAGCTGCTCAAGACGTTCCAAAACCTGAAGCCGTCCGACCCAGACTACGTCAGCAAGCTCAAGGAGCTCTGGGCCCCCCTCTCAGAGCACATCAAGGAGGAGGAGGAGCGCGACCTGCCGACCCTCGAACAGAAGCTCCAGGAGGTCGAGGGAGAGTCCGCGTCGATGGCCAAGTCCTTTGGCCGCACCAAGGCCTTTGTGCCCTCGCGCAGCCACCCGAGCGCTGGCGAGCACCCGCCATTCGAGACCGCCATGGGCCTGCTCGCTGCGCCTATTGATCACATTGCGGATTTGTTCAGGAAGTTTCCCGATAACACGATTTCCCCCAACCCTTCGACTAAGTAGAAGTGGTTGGTTGTGATGTGTCACACGGTTATGATGTATCATAGCATACGAAGTCTCACGAAGAGTGTCCATTCGACCATGTATTATTAGTAAACGATTCATGAAAAGTTCTTTTCTTTTCGTTCCAAAATGCCTTAGTATATGCTTCATGAAGCTTGTCTATCCGACGATCATGTGTTGTCAAGTGCTCATAACTCCATATCTACTCTTCTACTTCTTCTCTTGACCTTGTAAAAAACACCTGCTTGTGCTTCCAAGTGATCGTAACTCATGAACTTCGTCTGCATCATTCTCTGTACATGACCATTTGCTGCCTCTTTGGTAAAAATCCATGCTTTTTCGCAAGTGCTTGTAACTAGCTTCTATTTTCTTCCAGTGATCCTTCTCTATGGTTTCGACAAACCTTCGTTCTTGTAGCTGCCGCTATCACCAAGCTTGAGCACGTCAATTAGCCTCTTCAACATGCTGCTCACGCAAAGCTGCACATTGCCTTGAACGACACGCTGGTACAAGGCCTTGTGCATCTGATTCCGTTCTTTCGGCGACATGGTCAACGCGCGATGAATCTCATCGGCCACCTGACCCACGTCCCAGGGGTTGATCCGGATCGCCTCTTCTAAATAGCTTGCCGTTCCGCTGAACTCGGAGATGATGAGCGGTCCATGAGTATCACGCTGGCACGCAACATACTCTAGACTCGTCGTGCTCATTCCCTCTCGCACACAGGTATTCACTGCCACATCTCCAAGACGCAACACGGCGAAGTACTCCTCCTGGGAAAGTCTCTGGTTGTGTATCTGGACGGGGGTAAAGTCGAGAGAGCCGTAGGCTTGGTTGATGGAGCTGGCCAAGTCGTTGACCTGACGGGCATAGATGATGTTATCACCGTCATCGTCGTCCATGGTCGCCGGACTTGTGATCTGCACCAGGACAACATCATGCCGCCACTCCGGATACTTATCGAGGAAGCGCTTGAAGCCCTGGAGCTTCTTCTCCACGCCTCCAAACCGGCTCAATGGGTCGCTGCCAATGATGACCTTCTTTCCCTTGTACAGCTTGAGGAGTTCGGTGTATGTCTTGTCGACCGAAGGGGAGTAAGCCAGAGATGTAATCTTGGAGACGTTGATACCGGATGGAAGTACGGTCAGATAGACTCGTGCTTTGCTGTCTTCGGTCTCTACCCATTCACTGGTGGCATTATACCGAAGGATACGGGAGCACGAGTTCGCAAAGTGCTGCAAATAGTGGAAGGCCTGGAAGCAGACTAGATCGGATGCAAGAACTCCCTTCAAAATCTCCTCTCGTCGATGCAGACAGCGGATCAGCTCGCTGGTGGGAAAGGGGGACTCCAGGAAGAAGACGATGTGCATTCCAGGATGACGTTTCCGGAGAATTTCTGGGACGAGCATCAGGTAATGGTCATGAACGACGACGATGTCGCCTGGCTTGTAGGTTTCGCTGACTCGTTCCGCGAATATCTCGTTCATCCGGCGGTAGTCGTCCCATCGTAAAATCGCCTGACGACCGTCTGTTGGGGCCCGCTGCTTGTAGTGGAACAATGCGCAGAGATCGTGTTCCGCATACCGCCTCCATCTCGACTGGTTCTTCAGCTTGATTCCAGAGTCCGTGATGTCGCTCTTGTCGGCGAGCCAAACGGGTACGGTTCGTATCTGGTCGTTGTAGAGCTTGTCTTCGAGAACTGCTTTGCTTTTGTGGGAGATGAATGTCTCTCCAGATCCCACATCATCGTCTCCATGGGCGTGTCCGCCAAGCGAGGTAGTTGTCGAAGCCGGGACCGACTCCTGGAGCTTATCGTGCGAAACAGATGCGTTATCTGATACGTTGTATATCTCGCCCGTCCATGCGATGACCGTGTGTTGCCATGGGCTCTCGGGCGAAGAGAGGTAAGAGAGCGAGTCCAGATGGGTAGAGCAATGGTACTTGTGTTCCAATTCCTGTCAAACTTGTTAATTGTCTTCTGCACCCACGATGGAAGTTGTTTGATCTTGGTTCCGGCGTAGAGACTGACCCAAACTCCTCCTTTCCGATAACGCAGCAGCTGAGGCAGGGTAAAAGTGACGGACAAAATGTTGCCGCTCAAAGCAATATCGCCTTGTCGTGCTGCCAGCGATATCTCGTTCAAGGGCGATACGGCAGGTGGCTGAGCCGGCACCGTATGGGCTGCGCGTCGAGGAAAGTAGTCTTGTCTCTCCTGCTGAGGTCTCCTCGATGTTGGAAACCCGTTGGGACGCTCGACACCATATGTTCCCTGGGAGATTCCGGGAGTCACTGGGATGCTGGTGATGGCTTCGGTTCGATGAGCCAGCAGCTGCGTCTCATTTCGTTGCGGCACAGATGGTCGAATCGGGAGCCTTTCGTGTGGATTAGGTCTGTCAGCCATATTGAGAGTTGATCGAGAGGATCGCAGGACAATGAACAACGAAGCTTCAAAACACAGTTGAGGCGATCAAATCACAAGACTAACGTTGTCAAAACTTCACAGAAGTCTGGACAGATATGCCCGAGCGCTAGTTATTTGTCTCTTTGTTCTATCAAGGTCATAAATGCACGGTCCAAGATCGGCTCTAAAAGCGTTCTCGCCCCTCGACAAGATCTGACGGTTCTACTTGCCTCTGGGAGACGCATTGATCTTCAGAAGCGACAATGCTGATAGGCCCGAATGATAAGACTTGGCGACGACTCCGTACGATTCAAGAGGCAGCTTTTGCCTTGTCATACCTTGTTTTTTTCCTTTTTTTCGGAGCACTTGCGCCGGGAGATCTTCATTACGTCAATCGCCGGTCATTGATTGATGCCTTCGTGAGCGCATTGCCAACGCCTCTAGAGCCGGAGCGAGAAGAACTGCATTGTCCTTCGTACGAGCTATTCCTATGATCTACACTCCACAAGGCTGCGGTTCAACGTCAATTGAGATAAGCATTAGTAACAGGTTCATCTTTTGACGTAGCAATATATTGACAATGCTTGCTACAGCCTTCCCAAGTTGATATGCTTCCATGGGATGCTGATGAGGACGGGAGGCCATGACAGGTCCCATTTAATCTGCATCATTACCTAGGACACGACTGGATTTTCGCAAAATCAACACAAAATCGAAAAAAAGAGATCAATTTGCCAAATTGTCGTTAAAGACTTGCTTCCTGCAGAGACAACGTAATTTCGAAGATAAGTTTGTACACATTCTACCTATTCTATTCTACACAATCCGATCTCGTGAAATAGTCATGAAATGAAACAAAAACGCCCTCTACCACGCCGTGTGTCCACCGTCGATAATCAAGTTGCTTCCCGTCATGAATGTGCTGGCATTGCTCATCAGGAACAGTGCCGCCCCCTTGAACTCGCTCGTCTCGGCCAATCGTCCCATCATGTTGGCCTGGCTCCACGTTTCTCTCAAGCCCGGCACCTCCTCAAAATTCTTGAGAACCATGGGCGTGACGATGTGTCCCGGGCTCAGGGAGTTGACGCGGATGCCGCCCTCCCCGTTCTCCTTGACCGAGCTCCACTCCATGGCCAGGTTCCGGGATAGCTGAATCACCGCCGCCTTTGACGAGTTGTAGGCTGCAGAGAGCAGACCCTTGTTTGCGATGCTACCAGACATGCTGGCGACAAAGCAGATGCTTCCGCGGGTCTTGTACTTGAACATCTGTCTGGCCGCTGCTTGCGCCGTCATAAATACGGCCGTGTAGTTGGTCTGCAGCATTTTGTTTACGTCTTCCGGCTTGTAGTCGATCGCGGGAGTGAGTTGCTGGATGCCGGCAGCCGCAATGACGCCCTGGATGCCCTTGTTCTCCGCGGCAATATCCTCCATCATCTTGTTGAGTGCTGCCGTGTCGTTTACATCCAGCTGTCGATACTCTAATGAACCTCCCCATTCAGGGACGACGCGCTGCAGGGCCCTCTCATATTCTTCGTCGGGCTTTGGTAGCCGATCAACGCAGTAAACTACATGCAATTGTTAGAACACACGAATGGGCCACTATATGGGAATAACCCAGGAGAATAAATCCGGGTACGGTCACCATACCTTTACCACCAGCCTCGACAAGGGCTTCTGCCATGGCCAATCCCAGGCCTCGAGCACCGCCTGTTACAACGAATGCCTTGCCGGCCAGGTCAAAGTCGGCGAATCTCTTGGTGCCAACTTCGGTCCCCTTCGGCAGCCCGGTGACGCTCGTTCCCTCATCGCGAGATGTCGCAAAGTGTCGTCGGTGCTGATGAGAGGCTGCGGCAGGCTTGCATGCCGCTGCCAGGGGAGCTTTGCTGATACGTGCCGCTTGCCATCTCGTCGGGGTTGCAGTTGGGACCTTGCACCGGCCGATTGGGTTGCGGCATCGAGCAACTAGTCTTGCAGACATGGTTGGTTTATTTTTGTTGGAGTAGGAGTAGTAGTGGTATTGGTATCAAACAGCGGCTGACAATGTAACGCAAACGAGGCAAGTTACGCGACCACAAGAGCAACTCGTCGGACGTTGCAATGGCATTCTTTAATCTGAAATATCCTGAGATCGCGAATCTAGAGAACCGGATCGTTATGCATCTTCGACGTCATGATCTGCGACCGGCCGTTGCTAGTCTGTTCCTGAGAGTGGCAAAGCTGACCCATCGAGGCTGAGGAAGCCGTATCACCACGACTCGGAGCTTTGGCTCCGACCAGAGACAGCGAGATCTCGCAGACGTTGAGATAGGCAACAGTATTTCGTTCCATTTACCAAGGAATTAGCTATGCCACAGTTCCATATTTGCTCCACAGGATTGCGTTAGGATACTATCTTCTTGCAACCGCATACACGTTGTTGACAAGCGGGTGACGATGTTCTGAAGGCAGTCTTACATATACATGTAAGCTGTGGATCAAGAGGCGTCAAGGTCGAAACACTTCCGCGGCATATTCCTGAATGGCAAAATGGCTCACGACAACTGACCTGAGCAACACGATCTTGGACAGAGCGTCAACGTCCACTTGTAAAGCAAATTCGTCCAACGCCATCATGATATGATATATCGACATTGGTGGAGAGGATTCTGCATAGGTGCTGCCAAGCTCGTAATCGTTTAGTGTAGCCGACAGTTTATGCCTCGTATTTGGAATCCAGTCGCGCTCTAGACTGGCAAAGAGCGACCGAGACCATCGCGATCGATGGTCGAGGAAGATTTGGGAGGAATAGTCGAGTATCAGCGATTGTAGAACTGCCCTGTAGGAGAAACAGACTATTACTAGAGATCAAAAGCCGAATTGACTGGAATTCGGGGAAGCTTGTGCAACCAGTGACCATTTCGACATTTGAAGCAGAGCATCCATACCTAGGTTAAGAGCTGAGACATGTTCCTCTGTTCGAGATTGATCTGGCAATGTCAAAGCGGTCGCCCATCACACCACCACAAGCCGATTCTTCTGACTGATCAATTTATAACTCTCCACTGGTGTAGGATTATCTTCTGTTCATTTTCTGATGATCGATGAGGCCTGGAGAGAATATGTGAGGTTACGGGTTGAAGGTCGAGTCTTCTGTAGATGCGGAGTTCCCAGAAAGCGTTGCTACAGGCATTGTCATATGCAAACTACATGCATGACGAGGACTGCCGGCATAAGCACCTACGACACTGGGAAAATCAAAACAGGAATTCCAAATCTAAGACTATGCCTCTACTGCACCAGAGAACAATGACCAGTGTCTGTTCTGGTCATCTACGGCTGCACATATCCAACGGCCGCTTACAGCTGCCTGCACGAGCAACGCTGTCCAGCATCAAACGAAAAAAGAACATCACCATTGCCAACACTTTCCTCCTATCAGACAAAAGCAGAGCATCGTACCTTCCTTTAACCACCGTAACCTCCTTATCTATGGGGAAGCACTGTGGAAGCCCATGTACACCATTATCTCCTCGTTTACCGCAACACCATAAACTGCACCTCCCTCCCTTAGAGGGGCCGTAGCTTCCAGACGCCTCTCCGTGATAACTGGCTCCTTCCTAACAGCCTACAGCAATGAAACCGCTGATGAGCTCATTGTGAGCAGGTTCTAGGCCTTAACCAAGGCGCGTGAGTCATCGCAATGCTCCTGCCCTTGACAAAGCTTTCTTTTGCTTGAATGCCACTTTCGCTGCCCTCCAGAGCCTCCATATAAGGAGCCTTTCCCCCCTTCACTCTTCTCCTCTCTCTTCTCTTCTCTTCTTCATCATACACTTTGCTCTGCCACGAGCACCCCCAACTCTTCTTCTTCTTCTTCTTGACCTTCCACCACCTCCTCCTCTCTTTTTCCTTCACCAACAAGGGGAGGTGGTGGAAGCGAAACGGTCGGTCGGCAATATTCCTCGCCTTCCTTCACACGGGGGAGAGCGGCCCCATCACCTTTTTGGGGGCCATGCCCTCCCCCGACGCCCTCACCGGGCACAAACACGGTATGTCGTTGGCCTCTTTACCTCCTTTACAATTATATGGATACTGACCACGCACGCGGACAAGTGCCAAATTCCACTCTTTCGGCTCCCTTCATTCTGCTGTCGGTGGGCTGGACCCAAAAAAGCCCAATCCATCTCGGCCCACCGGCAGCTCGAGTACAACGATGCTCGGTATGTCGAGTACCTTTTCTGGTGCTTCATGTACTGACAGAAAGATAGGGTGTTTCCCTGGGGGTGTCGGCAACAGCAGCAACAGCAACAACAACAACACCCACCATCGCCATCGCCATCACCACCACCACCCGAGAACCACCACACGAGAACAACCACATGGCAACGCTCTCAAACTGACATTAACACTGCTGCAATGTGATCGCTTGAGGAAACAGCGGTCGTATCAGATTGCAACCTGGTTGAAATGATTCACGATTGGAGTTTGGAAGGGCAACCGAACCGAGTATTTAGACCATAATGTCAGATGTAATACACAGTACAACTTCTCACCCTCACCTTGATGTGCCAGGTTTCCCGTGTGATGACCATGTAATCCCAGCTATTGTTCGATGACTTGCTTGTCTATATCACTATCAGAGACACATTGCAGTCCACGAAAGATTGATTGTCGTATCTACGTGAGTCTATGCGGTAATGCCTGCGTGTCCAAGACCATCTTTTGTCGCGGGTCGTTGTTCGTGGCCACGCATTTTTTGGGTATATTCTGTCACTTGAACTGTCAAGGCCTGCGGGTCGGCTAGGAGCTGCAGCAACTTCCAGTTTCCAACTACAGATACCTCGTCTCCCGACTCAACCAGACGCTACGGAAAGACTGGAGATAGTTCTAGCGACGGGAAGGAAGTCATTACGGATATATAAGCAAGCATCTCTTATTGCAGATCCCTACTTCCGTCTGTGAAGTGTCCACTATTAACGCACGAGGTTCGCGGATAGCAAGCCGACTAACAACTCGCATATCGGTCGATCGAACACTGCGCTTAAACGGTCTACAAGCGACTACTATACTACAAGTACATTGGCTGTTTAGGGGGGTTCAGACGGTTGAATCGGCCTCAAAGTTCGTGCTGTTAGTCCCTTTTGCCGGTATTTGCCTGAAAAGCGCGAGCAAAAAGGACGAAGAATTCTCGAGGCAGCTCGGCTCGAACCCGAAGGGGGACAACCAATCGTCATGGTCAAATGTTCGGTCGATGTATGCGGGAAATATCATCGATAACGGGCCGTGAGCCGTGATGGATCGAGAAATCACCAACATCGTTCCATCGCATCACGGTTGATATGCAGATGCGCTGGACTGGCACCAACCATCACCGGCAAATCATACCCGCAGTGGTACCTGTTGGACAGGCACCGCTGCTACGTACTTTGTACATCTTCTGGGGCAAGACACAGTATCGATCCACCGATGCAGCAGCTTTGTTCGAGTCTGTCAAGCTCGCCGCCTGCCATTGGACCGTCTGGACATCGCCAACCAGGGCCCTGAATCGTCACGATTCTACAGCTACAGGCAGGAAGAATGCACACATGCCGCAAACGCCTGGACAGGCTCGAATCGGCCGAGGCGATTGGCCTAAGAGCGTCTCCGCAGCCACCGCACGCGAGACCAGGGTCGTGGGCGCTTAAAATCCAGCCGGTGGGCCAACCACGAGCGATTCTCACATCAGCATTGTGACGCCTCCAAGGTGCCACAGGCCGCTTATTGGCCTGCCGGCAACGCTGGAACGCAGTCCGCCTTGGTTTTGGCTGGAGAACGAGAAGAAGATGTCCTGTCGAGGTAACTGCGCGTCCTTGTCCCGCAATCTGGGGAGGACTTGTACGAGTCTGTACGAGTCCTCGACCTGTGAGCTACTCGAGACGATGTTCAGATATCTCGACTAAAGTCCGGATTACAGATATTACTCCCCCCGTTAGCTTTTCGAAGAGTTGTGCATTCTGCGGCTTCGAATAAGCATGGCGTTTGCTGGAATAAATCGAAAAACACGAGACGGCCGACGAAATCACAGCCAGCATTTTGCTGAAGAATAGCTCTCTGACAAGCCAACGCATCGTCCCCAAGCTGCTGCTGTGCTCAGTTCGTAAAATGCAGGCAAAGAGTAGTCACCCGTCGCCTCTGTGGAACAGCCAGTGAGAGACCAAAAATTGGAGGTATTCGCACACCAGGATCGCGCATCTCCCGCCCAGGGCTGGGGTTCCCTGATTGGGCCAGCCCGCGCCAAAGGAGTTGCTCGAATCACAGCGGGGAACCAAAGACAAGTCCAGCGGTTCTACATCTCTCGGCCACTCAGCTTCCTGCGCCTTTCTTTTGCTTCTCCGCTAGCCTGGTCCCCGTCTCGGGTGGCGTCTTGCCCTTGTCCTTGTCGAGGGAGGGGGGAAGAAGGAAAAGATGCAGTTGGGCGGCTGCAATGGGGCCGCTGTTGGTCGGTTGAGTGTGCATGCTTGATGCCAGGGCGGGACTCGTCCTCGTTTCGGCCCCCAAGGGACCATCTTTAAGACCTGCTGGTTGCGCACGCTCCTCTTCTCCATCTCTTTTGTCCGTTCTTTTGACTTGCTGATTGCTGTGAATCTTTGTCGACGATATATCGAATCCCGGTGGCGGTTGTCTCAAAGGAATCTTCCTTGAGACTCTGCTCAACTGGCCAAGAGTTGAACTCTGCCTCTGCGATCTGTGCACCTTGAATCCCCGGAACATTGAATACGAGAAAGCTCTCCCACGGGAAGTAAAGAAAGGGTGAAATCTTGCGACGGAACAAGAAGATCATCATCTCGAGACGAAATCGCCCGAAATACTCGAATCCGAACTGCATATAAAAGAGGGGGAATCGAACTCCTCTGAAGCGGAACCACGACACGACTTGCCAAGCCCGACGACGGAAATACCCACGCCTTGAGGGTTACACAGATAGCCATACACACATACACGCAATCAATACCGACAATATGCGGCTGTCATTACTTGTTACGCTCGCCCTGACGGCCCTCATCGAGGCCCATACCGTCATGGTATACCCGGGATGGCGCGGCAACAACCTCATCACCAACGAGACGTTTCCCTATGGCATGCAGTGGATGTATCCATGTCAGTAGCACCCAGCTTCTAGCTTCCTATCCTCGACGCTTCGTGGGATGTATCTCAACCCAAGCATCATCACTAACATGCAGTATTCAGGTGGCGGCATGGGAACGAGCAGGAACCGAACATACTGGCCCACCACCGGCGGCGCCGTCTCTTTCCAGCCCGGCTGGTTCCGCGGCCATCTCCAGGCCCAGCTCCAGATCAACCTCGGATACGGCACCGACGGCCCCGACGGCGGTCCCCCGAACATGTCCAACATCATGGTCAAGCCGTTCATGCTCCTCGGGCCGACGAACAATCCCTTCCCTGGGACGGTCTGCTTGCCGCAGGTCCCGCTGCCTGCTGGCGCAAACGTCTCGGCCGGTGATAAGGCGACGATCCAGGTTGTGGAACTGGCTCAGCACGGAGCATCTCTGTACTCTGTAAGCCACCACTTGGCATACCTCTCTTTGATGCATCATCCAAAGCTAATCGTCATCCAGTGCGTCGACATCATTTTCGCTGAACCAGGCGACCCACGTATCCCCATCGTCAACGAGACAAACTGCTTCAACTCGACGCAGTTCGGCTTCGCCCAGATTTACACCGTCACCACGCAGGAGCCCGACCTCGACGTCATCGCCTCCACGACGACTGGGTCGGCGCCGAGATACTACAGCTGGGCCGGGTGGCTGCCGCTTGTTGCCGGAGCGGTATGGATGGCTCTGTGATGAAGATTTGCTTGCCTTTCTGCCTCCTTCTCCGCTTCATCATTTCTTTCTCTGTCCCTTTTCAGTCTTGCGTGTTTGTTTGTCATGCGCGTAACTATTTCCAACATATACCCCTGGATCTCACTCTGTCGACGAGAGTTGGTACCCTCCCTTTTTTGCAGTTATTTCACCCTCTTGCCTAAGTAGCATGGCAAGCAGGACATGGGCGTTGTTGGCGTTTTACGAAAATAGGGAGGCGAGGCCATGTTTGGTTATTTACAGCCTGTATATTTCACGACTTTTACTTTGAAATGCTCAAGCTCCAAGATGATAATGCCCTACAAAGCGAAGCATGTATATAGAGAGTGGTTTATATGTGTGTATAGAGAGCAATGCTACCTGTTTCTCATGCTGATAAAATACCTTTATTCATTATGCGCATGCTCCCGAGATCATCTGGGCGTCTTATATAACGATTGCCCCTTTTCCTTAACTTCTCATATTCTAGTACATTTTCTCATCCTTCCTAAGCTCACCGGGGAATCAGATTCAGACACTCACTCGCCGCGCCCTTGATTCTTTCTTCAGAGCTCTTGTTCGCCGCACCCTGAATCCACGCCGTCACGCCGAGGTTCTTTGCTTCATCCTTGGATGTCGACAGGATGGTGCCGAGAGCAACCAGAGCTCGATACAGAGCCTCCGAATCTGTCTGGTCCCTGAGGACGGTCCCAAGCACAGCAACCAGACGTCGCCGTTGCTCGGGAGTCAGCAGCTTCTCCTTGTTGACAAGAACAGAATAGTTAACCGCCACCGTTGTCACCGCAACAAGGACATTGCGGTTGAACTTGCCAATGGGCTCGCCCCCTTTGATGCCCGTGATACGTTCTATAAACGAAATGGCCTTGTCCGCTTGTGAGCTCGCAAGGCTTCGACCATCAGCCGAACCAAAGAGATTAGCCAATGCTCGAGCGCCCATCATGGCCGCATTCTCGTTGGGCGGGAAGTCATCGGGAACCGCCGAGGCAATGGCTATATCCACGAGGCTTTCGTTCAAGGGCCCCTTAAATTGCGCTGCTATAGGGTATCTGGCCACGCAGCGGAGCAGGTCGAGACCAGCGAGTCGATCAGAATATGGCCACTCAGTGACAATCTTGAGAATCACATTGAGTGCAGGGGCAGGAATGGCTTTTGAAGATTCCAGAGCTGCCTTTGCTGACAGCAGGGTGCTCTCTTCTCCTGGATTTAGGGCCACGTCTTTCCGACCAGAAGAGATCATAGTCTTATTAACATTTGTAACTTTGTTCAAGATGGCTATTAGGAGTTAGTATGAGAATTGCGAATATTGCCATGCTTGCTTAATAGGCAACTCACCATCGAATTTCGCAGCTGAAATGCTAAGGTACTCCTTCTGCGGCAGTACCTTTGCTGATTGCGACTGGGATTCTTCGCCAGGTCGGTATCGTGACTCTGTGCCATATGGATCAGGTCCCGAGGAAGGGGCAGACTTTCCAAGAGTAGCCCCCTTGGTGTTTTCGGTGATGAAATTCGCCACGTTGTCTAAATAGGACAGCGGCAGTTCGTTGTCGTTGAGGAACTTAGTTGCTCGCTCGTAAGGGTTCTCGGAGAGATTGTAGGGTAGCTTGAGCGGGGGCTTTCCATCCTCAATGTCGACGTCGAATACGTAATCGTAGGATTGTCCGTTGTATTCAACCTTCTTGCCCGTGCTGCCGACGGCATCAACCACGGTGCCAACATTGATCCATTGCTGCTGTGCCATGGACCAAGTATGAGCCGTGACGTTGCCGTTGCTCTCCTTGATCATCTGAACCTGGCCCTCCTTGGTGCCAGCCTTGGAGGCCAGAAACTCTGGGCCCGGCAGTTTCTCCTTGTTGATGCCTCCAAGCTGCTGCTGCGGGATGGCCGAGGCCTTGACAGAGTCTTGGAACTCCTTGAGAGTGGCATCATCTGCCATGGCCTCCGATCGCCGGGTGAAAATGCGTGCGACGCCGTCACTGGCGCCGGTAATGATATCCCCCGTCTCTGCGTTGACAGCAACCGTCCACACAGATATGGCCGGGTGCGTGATGGTCTGGATGCATTCGGTCCCCTTCCATATCCTGACGGTTCGATCCTCGCCGGAGCTGACAAGCTCGCCGGATGGCAAACTGGCCAGGCTGTACACAAAGCTCTCGTGTCCATGAAGCTCGCTGACCTGCTGGCCGTTGAGCTTCCACAACCGCAGAGTGCCGTCGTTGCTCGCACTGGCAATGTCCGCACCGCTGGGGTGGCCCTTAGGGACCTTGCACAGCGCTCGAACAACATCGGGAGTGTAGATGGTGGCCGCGGGCATGACCTCGCCGCCTCTGCCCTGCGTCAGATCAAACACCCGAATGCTCTTGTCCGCGCAGCCCGTCACCACAGTTGTCTCGTCAATGGCAACAACGCTCCAGACAGCCATGCCCTCGTGGCCACCGAGCATCAGCTCAGTCTCCCACTTGCTCAGGTTCCACACACGGGCCTGGCCGTCCCATCCGCCCGAAACGAGGTATGTTCCCTTGGGGGAGACATCCAGCGTACAGACGTTGTGTGCATGGCCAATGAGGAGCCGCTCAGCGTTGTCGGTCGCCAAGGAGTTGGGCGATTTGACCTCGATGATGGTGTCCTTGCCTCCCGACACCACGAGGCCGTTCGGGTGCTCTTGGTTCGGGGGGAAGAAGGCCACCGAGTTGACGTATTCGGAGCCGCGGCTGACCAGCGTTCCCTCGAAAGCTGGCGGGCTTGTTTGTATGCGCCGCCATATCCTGACCGTGCAGTCTCTGGAGGCCGAGAGGGCGAAATCGGGGGAGGGAAAGCTAACGGCGCGGACCTGTGGCGCATAGAGGAGTTAGCAAAGCAAGGCATCGTGAGTAACTGGGCCCAAGGGATCTCGTACGTCAGCCTCGTGGCCGAGAAGCTGCGCTGAGAGCTTGAATTCAGCCATGCTTCTGGCAAGCTGTGGTGGGGTTGGTCTCTCAAGTCCGGCGAAGAGGGGAGTGACGATGACGATGGAGAAGACGACAGATCAAGGAACAGGAGAGAAGAAAAGACGAGGCGCGTGGCTTTGATGGAAATGGCCCGGAGGCAGCAGCGGAATTGCTTTGTCAGGCGATCTCAGCGTTTGCAGAGGGAGTGGATGAGAATGGAAGCTTGGAGATGGTGGAGGTGATGGTTTGGTGCAGCTGTTTCCAGTTGGTCATCGAGGGAGTATGACGGGAAATACGTACCCCGGCTGTTGACTGCGACGCCCCACCAGGCACAGCACAGGCACAGGCTTCAGTGGGTATTTTAGCGGGTAGCTCCAGCGAGGGGCCTGGAAGCTTTGGTAAGCGGCCGAATGTGGCTTGTGCCTTGCACCTCGAAGAGCCCTTGGCCCTGCGAGTGCATTAGTACCTAAGGAGTCTTGGAAGCTTTCTGTGATTTTCTAGCTATTTTTTCGGACTATAACAGTCCCGTAAATAATGTATTGAAAATTCAAAGGCTTGAGAAGAAAAAACCCGAAGCTATATGTTGCTATCTATTGAGCACCTATGAATACTTACCTAGGAACAGCCGCTACGCAAGCAAAGAGCCATCAACGCCACCCCAAATACCTCATCTGCGACCCCTCCTTTTGTGGCGGTGTCAGAGGCATAGGCACCCAAGGCACCCAATCGCTCGACAATTACAGCGCTTGCCATAGCGCCTGTCTCCTGCTAAACAGTCCAGGTTAACAGGGCAGTTACCGGTCAACAGCTACCTGCCAACCTGCCTAGTGCCAGCTGCCTAACTGCCCCGCTTCCCCAGCAGCTGACAGAAATCATCATCCAGATCGTTCTGCGTCTCCAAATCTTAGATCCTCAATCCCATCAAAGGGGCTGCCGGTGATCGCCTCTCTGCCCTGCCCTACCACTTCTTCCCCAGAACCCCCCGAGAAGCCGGGCACAGACACTCTCTGGCATCCTGCCCTCCCGCTTATTGGCCCTGTTTCTCCCGCCGCAAGCCGCACGAATCCCGCTGTGAGCTGCCTCGACTCCCTGCATAGCAGCTTTGAGACTACTGCCCTCGACGCGATTCGATCACTGCAAGCTCGGAACCCTCCACTCTGTCTTCGTCGGCCAATTTATACCCTCCGCACTTTCCTTCTTCTTATTCTCTTCTTTTTCCGACTTTAAGTGTTGCAGCCTCTCATTTATCAAAGCTGGGCCTCGCTGCGTCGCCTAGAGCCTGCTGCCCCCCTAATCCATATCTACCCATCTTCGAACTTGAAACACTTTATCCAGTCCTTTTTATTTTCCAGCCGCGTTAAACTCCCACCCTCGATCTCTACCACACGCAGAGAACCGGCAGTCTATCAGTCTCTACTTTAACACCCACGATATACCCTACGACTATCGCCATGTCGTCCGAGGCACCCCGACAGTACGTCCCCTTGACGTGCCACGGTCACTCGCGACCGGTTCCGCACATCAGCTTCTCTCGGCTTGAGAAGGAAGACAGCTATTACATGATCTCGGCCTGCAAAGGTAAGCAGCCCTCAATTTCAACCAAATGCAATTGTTTAACTCAACCCTGACCTTGGCATTTACAGATGGCAATCCGATGCTCCGCGATGGTGTTACGGGCGACTGGTATAGTTTTCTCTTGTGCAACCCTGCGATATAGACAGATCCGTGCTGACCTTGTGCGTCAGGATCGGCACTTTCATCGGCCACAAGGGCGCTGTTTGGCAGGCTAGACTGAGCCCGGACACCTCCACGGCCGCCACCGCGTCTGCCGACTTTACTGCGTATGTGATACTTGGCATCTCTCCCAAACCTACCACTGCCGCGAGCGTGGGAAGCGCACGTGTCTAACCCGAGTCTGCAGCAAAATCTGGGACACTCACACCGGCGAGCTCCTGTACACGCTGCAGCATGAGCATATCGTCCGTGCTATTGCGTATCCGCCTGACAACGCGGACCTCGTGGCCACCGGCGGCATGGAGAAGAAGCTGCGCGTCTTTGACCTGTCTGACGTTCCCGGTGCCGGAAGGGGCAATGCCATCACCATCCCCGCCACGGCTGGCTTTGAAATCGGCGAAGGCATCCACGAGGGCTCCATCAAGTTCATCTGCTGGACGCAGGACCCCAACGTCATTGTCACGGCCTCGGACAAGACCATTCGCTGGCTGGATCTTCCCACCCGTGCCTGCATCCGCCAGGAAGTGCTGGACGGCGAAATCCGCTCTTGCGAGATGGTGTCTCTCGCGCCCGAGTACGCTTCTGTCACGGATATTGGCGGTGGAAAGCCCGTTCTCGCCGTTTCTGCAGGCAAGACCGCCTATTTTTGGGGTGGTCCTCGCGCGATGGAAGAGCTGAAGCGCATCGTGCTCCCCTACACCATTGCCAGCGTGGGTCTCGACGTCAAGGGCCGCAAGCTGGTGGTTGGAGAAGAGCCTGGAACTTGGGCCAAGGTTATCAGCTATGACACCGAGGCGGAGCTGGACGTTCACAAGGGCCACCACGGCCCGATCTGGTCCATTGCCTTCTCGCCCGACGGCAAGCTGTACGCGACAGCCTCGGAGGACGGAACCATCAAGATGTGGAAGAATTGCGACGGCTTCTACGGCCTGTGGAGAGGCGGACCCGAGCGATCTACGGACTAGAGAGACGTCGACCGCAGCTTCACCTCCTCCTCGGACGCGGCGCGCACCTCGAGCCGATGCTTCACGCCTAACAGCAGCCGCGACCTCGACGATGTGTCCGTCGGCTCGTCTTTGGCGCAGCTGAGCGAGAGCTCCTTTGCTCGCCAGAACTTGAACTCTGCTGACGAGGCGTCCACCTGCAGCCGCAGTTCACGACGCCGAAGCCCCTTTCCGTTCAAGTACTAGATGCTGCTTTGAGAAGCAAGCCTAGGACTGGAACGGCAGAATTGGGAGACTTGTCGGGCAGCCATCCTTGCCATCGCCGCCGCCGCGGCGATGACTGGTTCCATGTGTTCTTATATACATGCTTATATGAACAGCATGTAGTTCCACACATATTTTGAGACAGCTCCATTTGAGCCATACTATCGGTAGCTTATCTGCTGGCATATCAAATGGAATAATAAAGACGCATCAGTCAATTTCCTATTGCGATCCTGTGATGTGTAGCCTCCTAGCCTGAATGCTTTGTAGTCTGCAAGCTCCTATTCTGCTTCTTCGTAGTTCCGTAGACATTGTACCACCCGGTGTGGCAGTTCTTTATGGTGATGATGGTGACGACATCTTGCCTCCTTTCACTTAATCCCTCTACCTTCCTCCTAAACATCTACTACCTTCCCAGCTCTTTTGAATGCCCCTCATTCTCTTCTTCTCTTTGAATTTTCAACTTGTATTTTTTCTTCATTTGATTTACATTGTCGTCGAGATAGTTTAACAGCATGCAACTCGTGGATTACTTGGTCACATTTAGGGTATGCAAAGTAGTGACATATAGTTCAGCAATTCTGCTACCCCTGTCAGCGTTTGCCGCACAAGCCCGCGCTCGGTACAAAGTACCCCGTACCTCCTCCGGTAACCGCCCTGAGGCCGGAAAAACGTTGTTGCAACACGCCCGCATTCTGCCCCTCCCCCTCCATTTGCCCAGCCAAAAGATTGAGTCACCTTTGCGAGGCGCCGATTTCGACCAAAAAAAGAGGCTGCGCCAAAACATCGTCAACTCAGCGTCTCGAAAGGCGGCAAACCGAAGCACGACAGCAGCATCATGGCTCCCACATCCGCTGAATCAGCCGGCGACCTCGCTCACGATGTCCTCCGGGCACTGGCCAACACCGACCAGATCCTCTCGACCGAGGCCTTCCCGAACGTGCCCTTTGAGACGCTCAAGGCCGCTCTCGATCGCCTCTCCTCACGGTCCATGGTCGTCTACGAGCAGATTGAGCGACAGGAAGCCGTTCTCGAGCCCGAAGCCGAGGAGATTGTCCAGCATGGAAGCCACGAGGCTCGCGTTTTTGAAGCCGTCCACAAGGCCCTTGGCGGTCTCTCGATCCAGGACCTGGAGACGACGATTGGCGACAAGAACGTGACCAAGGTTGGCCAGGGCAAGGCCTTTAGGGAGAAGTGGATCAAGAAGGAGGACAACAAGCTCGTTGCGCTGGTTAGTCTCGGTTCGAAGATAAGACTGGGCAAGGTGATCTAATCTGGAGACTCTTCTCTCTCTAGGTCGACTCGATCGAGGACGTAACGAGATCGCAGCTCCGCTTCATCAAGGAGACCAAGTCGCACGACCCCAAGATCATTGCCGACCTGAAGAAGCGAAAGCTGCTCAGCACCCAAAAAGTCATTTCCTTCAAGATTTCCAAGGGCCCCAAGTTTGCGCTCGAGATTGTCAAGGAGGAGACGGACCTGACGGCCGACATGCTTGCGTCTGGATCATGGAAGACGGCAAACTTCAGTGGGTGCTTCCATGGAGAAGTCAAATATGGATCCATCTTTGCTAACGATCGTCCTCGAACGTAGAGCCGTACAACTTCAAGGCCTTGGGCGGGCACCAGGCCTCAGGGGCTCTCCACCCTCTCAACAAGATGCGACACGAGTTCCGGTTAGTCGAACAGATAGATCACCATACCTCAACGGATTGGCATGCACCGGGATCCTAACTCGTCGTTTCTCGGCAGGCAAATCTTCTTCGAGACTGGCTTCACGGAAATGCCCACCAACCAGTACATCGAGTCTGGCTTCTGGGTACGTATGGATCTATACGATTCTTGCTCATGGCCGCTTTGAAGCCAACAATGGTCAAGGATGCTAATATCAGAGCCGTATAGAACTTTGACGCTCTCTTCGTTCCTCAGGTAATCATATACCAATCTCTCAGAGTTCCCCTTCCAGCCTCGCTAAAAATAGAATAGCAACACCCTGCCCGAGACTTGCAGGATACCTTTTACATCTCCGACCCCAAGACGGCTGGCCGGCCCGGACCCACCTCTGCAGATGATAAGCAAAACTACGAAGAGTACTTTGAGAACGTAAAACAGGTGCACGAGAATGGAAAGTACGGCTCTATTGGCTACCGATACCCCTGGGCCGAAGAGGAGTCATTAAGGCAAGTATTTCTGAACGTCATTACTCCTCTAAATGCCTAGGCTAACTGGGGATAGACTTGTCCTTCGCACTCACACAACCTCTGTTTCGGCGGCTATGCTATACAAGTTGGCGGCGAAGAAGGGTCCGGACGGCCGTGTGCCTCCTGTCCGTTATTTCTCCATTGACCGCGTTTTCAGGTAATAATCAATGCTTCGAAGTATACGTGTGAAGTGGCTTACAAAGTACCCAGAAACGAGGCTGTGGATGCGACACATCTGTGCGAGTTCCACCAGGTAGAAGGTATGATAGATCGGACAGGAAGATGCTTTGGTGTCTGGGTTGGAAGCTGACAATAGTACAGGTGTCATTGCCGACTACGGACTGACCCTTGGTGGTCTGATGGAATTCTTCGAGACCTTCTTTGCCAAGATGGGCCTGACAGAGTGAGTGAAACCCTCCCTGATTGCTCAGGTCTGTGATCTAGTACTAATGAACCCACTTTAGCCTCAAGTTCAAGCCAGCGTAAGGACAGATGCAGCTTCGCAGACTATATTATGTGGGTCACTGACAAAGGAAACAGTTTCAACCCCTACACAGAGCCCAGTATGGAGCTCTTCAGCTACCACAAGGGCCTGAAGAAGCTCGTAGAGGTAGGAGAACGCATAACATGACGAAATGGTTGGAAAGCTAACGGCGAGGCAAAATCCAGATCGGCAACAGTGGCATGTTCCGACCGGAAATGCTCGAGGCCATGGGCCTGCCCAAGGATCTGAGAGTCTACGGCTTCGGTCTCAGCTTGGAGAGACCGACGATGATCAAGTACGCCATTTCAAATATCCGCGAGCTGCTGGGCCACCAAGTGGACCTCAACTTCATCGAAAGGAACGCGGCTGTACGATTGGACAAAGATTAGAAAGGTAGGCAAGACGAAGGATGATGCAGAAGGAATATAGACAGGGGTGATGACTAGGCGAATGAGAAAGACATGTCTCATCCAGGGAACGAGAAGAAGGAAGAGGAAGAAGAGAGAAGCGAAATAAACAAAGACGGACGCCAAGACAGTTTTGGAGCGTCCCATGATTTTGTCACGATATCTCCATCAGGCAGAAGCAATGATGTAACGACTTGCTTGATCGCAGACTGCAAAATCCGAACCTCATCATGCATTATAATTTGAAATCGCAAGTTCGCGACTATTGCACCGTTATATGGGCTGATGGAGCAGTGGCATGACGCTAAGTAGCCGTCGTGGACCCCCTCGCCTGGAAAAAGTTGCCTACATTGTAGTCATCACAACTCGGCGGAGCGTATGGATCCGGAGCCTCAACCGCAGCATTTCCTCTTTAGGAATGTGTAGTGGGGTTCATGATATAGACGCTCGGAAACATTTCCACGAGGCTTGCGGCTGTCTGTTCGCCAGGGGCTGGCCAGCTTAGAAATGATATGTCTGGAGAGCTTGGCGATAGAGACTGTGAAGTGGTATAAATCAATCTGATTTCCCAGACTGACTGATTTCCTGCATCTGCTCGAACACCAGAACTTCTGATCATCAGTCCTTCTAAACTCCTGCTGTGGTGAACGTGAACAAACATACCTTCCAACATCAAACCAACTCACAATGTCTTCTTGGGCCATCGTCGGAGCCGCTCGCGGTATCGGAGTAAGTGACAAAAGTCTAGTGTTGATGCTTCATTGGTTCGTTCATCCGGCTGACTGGTGGAAACAGTTCGAATTTGTAAAGCAACTGGTGCGTGGGAAAGGGCTGCTGGCAGTTCTTCTTGAATATCGTCCAGCATCGCTTTGACGGAATAACCACTCACCTACTTGGCAGTCTGCTAATCCTAACAACACCGTGGTTGCCTTGATTCGAAACCAGGCAACGGCCGGCCAACTGAACGAGCTGGCCGCCAAGCGCAACAGCATCAAGGTGATTGAGACAGATATCTCCAGCCTCGACAAGCTCAAAGAAACTGCAGAGAGCGTGAGCAAGGTCACATCAGGCAAACTGGATGTCCTGATTTACAACGCCTACTCCGCCGGGACCGACGAAGGAAAGCTTCTGCCCCCCAGTGCTTTGTGAGTACTCGATTGCTCCGTCCGCAACAACTGCCAGGTGCCAGAAGCTAACTTCACCAAGCCATGGAAAGGAGGACCTCTTCAAGCGAGAGATTGATGAAACAGTAAGCCATCTTCATGGAGTAGAAGCCTTATGAGCGTGTACTGATTTGCTCTCCTCAACAGTTGAGCGTGAACCTCTTCCAGGCTGTCAACACGATCAACGCCCTGCTTCCCCTGATTGAAAAAGGGCAACAGAAGAAGATCATATACATCTCGTCTGGCATCGGGGATATTCCTACCACCCGCGCCACGGAATTGCCGAACCTGCTTGGGTATGCCGTCAGTAAAGCCGCCGGCAACATTGTCATGGCGAAATACGCCGTGGAGCTCAAGCCCAAGGGCATCCTCACCCTCTCGCTTAGCCCCGGCTGGGTGGAAACCGACGCTTGTGAGTGTTGACCGATGGCTGATGCAGGACCGACTCGATTGTTGCTGAGACTGACATTCTGCAACACTAGCTCGAGAACTTCTCCAATCGCCGGAGGTCTTTCAGTGGATGCTGTCATCGTTCCAGAAGATGGACCCAAGAGTCAAGGGCATGATCTCGACCGAGGAATCTGTCAGCGCCCAGTTGTCTGTTATCGATTCGCTTGATGAAAAGCTCAGCGGAGCTTTCGTATCTCATCGGGGTAACGATCGGGACTGGTTCTAGGCTCGATTCCTTTAGCCGTTTCTGATCCTGGCCAATGGAGCCTCGAGATTCCGAGCGAAAATCGGGGTCGTCATGGGTTGCTATATCCATAGTTAGGTGAAGCCAGTATAACGAGGAATTCGAAGTATGTCTACCATGTCATATTAGCAACGCGTGACTGGCCAGATGTAGTCTTTCTGCCCATTTGTACCCATACTTCGAGATTTCGAATGTCCATAAGATTTCTTGTTCGATCATGTGTTCAGATTCTTTTTCGCATGCCACCAACCAAATTTCTCGAAGCTGTCTGGCGAGTGTAAGTAAGTGGCTGGGACATGGTAGCCGCCATGGCACTGGTGAGTTGAGTTGGTTGAAATGTCCCATGAAGAGACATGTCTAGGTGGAGTGTACAACTTGGGCTGGTTGAGAGACAGGACTTGGGGCGGGGTTTTGTTAAGCTGAAGGTTCCCGCGACTGATATCCCGCTTGTCTGTATCTTCAAGTCAGAAGGTTTTCTCTTCGCAAATAAGGGTTTCTTGTCAAACACTGTAGCATGTCTAGAGCCGACAGTGCTTCCGCCTTGACTGTACTTTTCTCAGACTCTCATAATGTCGAGCAACTCGGGAGCCGGGTCTATGTGGATATCTTTGTTTCATCGCGAGCTGAGAGTATGATATATATTGTGCTTCGTTCGAAGTCACTTGGTGCGTTCGATGTTCTGAGTGGATTGTTCGTAGTATCTCTGGTCAATGTTTGCGGCGTCGTTGTAAAGGGCTAATGGATCATCGAGTAGTCAGATGCCAACGGGTTCCTTTTAGGCGTATCATCTGTCACCTGGAAACCGGCAGTGGATGCTTGATACCACATCTCAAAGCAGATATCATCGCAGTATGTTACGAGGTGAAGAGCACCAGAGGAGGGGTTAGACTGTATATGCAGTGTGTAGACTCTGATGAATCCCATAACAACACCCACACTGATCCCATCAATCATCATCGCGTACGTCTCGAGCTCTGGGCCGACACCATAGCATAGGGTTGTTCTCTGTATTGTAAGTCGCATCGTCATTGCTGGACTTGGCTCGGAATTGCACGGCAGGAACAAACGTAACTGTGACCTTAGAAGTATGACGTTGACGGACTCATACCTCGCCAAAAGGAAGGAAGGATACATGTATGGTGCGACAATCGGAGGATTCCGTCCTAAACGCAAGAGCTGGTTCTACTCATGCGGTACGGGTAGGTGCCATAGATGTCATCTCCTGCCCATTTCCTCATCCACATGCGTGCATATCAAATGGTAGCAGTCCAATCGAGATGCGGGAGAATGTGGCCGTGGCTGATGCTGGCAAGAGCTAGTTCGAAGCTCAATAATGCGATCTGCGAGAGACGCTGCACGGCAGGTTCGATGGCCTGCTCGTCCTGCCTTGACTGAAGGTGTAAGGAGAGGGGATGGAAGGTGATGAGTCAAGGTGAGAAGGAAAAGCAAAAGAACAACAGGATGAGATCAAGTGAGGGCTATAGCCAATTGTCGGCCGAAAGTCGGCAGATGGGCTTCTCTCTCCAAGAGCTTGACTTATACGCAGCTTTGCTGCCTGGAGTTCGTAGAGCAGACCATGGCAGTGACCAACGGGGAAAAACGTAATACCGTCTTCCACGTCCATTAGCTGAGTGCGAATCTGGCAATAGAGAGGACCAAATTATCAGATGTCTGCGGTTTGCCCTCGCTACGACCACATTTGAAAGCCTAACAGAGATCACATTCGCTGGAACTTGCGCTGGAAACTCGGCCGCTATCTTTGTGGCAGAGAGTTGATTGATTATATGCTCTTGCACCCAAGAGAATGATACTGCTTCATAGTGTGTTTGATGAATATGTGGCAATAAGATGTGGTCATAGGAGGAGGATATACACAATGGCTGCTTTGCAGGATGTCATTCATTCTCGGAAGCCTTTCAAAAGTAAGATATGTCTGCTTGTTCGAGTAGCAGGAGGTTGTTTGGAGCTCAAGCCACCCAGAAACATGTAAAGAAGGAAAACGAAGAGAGGTACCATATCCTCGCGTTAAGGCAAAATCATTTCCGAATATCTGGCCGTGGCTACTATTCCTTTTCCATGTCTTTGTTGTCCTCTTCAAGCAGTCATCTTGATGGTATTGGGTGAAAGTGTTTGCAAGGCGGTGCACTGCAGTCCCTCTCAAACAGTGAACAGAAAAACAGGGAAAAGTGCAAAACACCCAACTGGCGAAATATACGCACATCATGCGTCAGATAATGATTAGCTTTTGTGCGTTAATGATGTCAAATGTATGCACTTATTCTTTTCGCGGTTTCTATTCTTTTGTTCACCACCTGCCTCTCCCACTCTCCCCTCACCAGTAAATGTATGCCAAGATAGATACCCTATAGCTTCTGAAAACCCACCGGCTAACCACTCCAAGGCAACGAGGCAAATGCGAACCACGTACGGTTAGCAATTTGGTACTACCTGGTCGCCTTATTTCATTGACCAAGACACATGTAAGGGTCTCGCGGGCAAGTATAAATATCTGCCCGATTCCCATCATTTCCTCTGGTTTTCTGTTCTATCCATCAGCCTCCTTAAGCCTTGAACGCTGAGCCAGTATGTGGCAGCATCAACTTCCTCGTCCCATCGGGCCCAGCTGTGGCATCTACTGTAACGACAATGGCATCAAATTCCTCCCCATCGTCTCTCTTGACGTACACACCTCTATCGTTGCGTCAAGCTCACGCACTGTCTTGAAACAAACCTTTGCGACCACCGGCCGCTCCCTGAAGAATGTGCGGTATGCCTTTCCTCTCTATGATGGCTCATCAGTCGTCGGATTTCAATGCACCATTGGGTCACGCATCATCAAGGGTGTCGTGAAAGAGCGCCACGAGGCCAAGCAGGCGTACGACACTGCAGTTGCACAGGGGAAGACGGCAGGCCTGCTCGAGCAGTCGCTGGAGGCCTCCGATGTCTTCATCACCTCTCTTGGCAACGTCCCTCGCCGCTGCCAGAGTATCGAGGTCGAGATCACGTATCTCGGAGAGCTAAAGCATGATGCTCAGGTGGATGGACTACGCTTCACCATACCCACCAGCTTAGCCCAGCGATATGGACAGCATTCCATCACCGGAAGCGACGCCGTTACCTTCCAGGGCGGAAAGCACATCAAGATCACGGTTGACGCCGATGTCTCTAGCGGTTCAGTCATCAAGAGCATTCAGTCGCCGTCGCATCCAATCTCTGTCAACATCGGCACTCTTTCCAAGGCCAGATCCGATCCGCCGTCCCTACAAAGAGCCCATGCCACTCTTGCCCAAGATACGGTCGTGCTGGGAAGTGACTTTGTCCTCCAGATTGTCGCCACCGGTCTCGGTGATCCCATCGCTGTCCTTGAAAATCACCCGACGATCCCGAACCAGAGGGCATTGATGACGACGCTCGTTCCTCGATTTAACCAGCCCATGGAGATGACCGAGATTGTCTTTATGTGTGACAGAAGCGGTAGCATGGCATACGGAAACAAGATGAGCAACGTCATTAATGCCCTGAACATCCTTCTTAAATCCTTACCCGTTGGCGTCAAGTTCAACATTTGCAGCTTTGGGTCGTACTATTCCTTCCTGTGGGAGCGGTCGATGACTTATGACCAGGAGACGTTGGACGCTGCCATGCAACACGTCGGCGGCTTCGGGGCTGATCTTGGTGGTACGCAAATGTACGACCCCTTCCATGAGATATTCCAGCGACGCTACAATGACCTGAACCTCGAGGTGTTTTTGCTCACCGACGGAGAAATCTGGGACCAGGAGAGGCTATTCAAACTCATCAATGCCCATGTTTCCGAAAGCAAAGGGGCTATACGAGTCTTCACATTGGGCGTGGGAAAAGACGCCAGCCATGCCTTGATTGAAGGCGTCGCACGAGCGGGCAACGGCTTTGCCCAGGCAGTAGCAGAAAATGAAAAGATGGACAAGATGTTGGTTCGGATGCTCAAGGGGGCGCTTACTCCCCATATCACGGATTATTCTCTCGAAGTCAAATATGGGGCCAGTGAGACCGGCCCAGACGAAGAGACCGACGACGACTTTGTCGTCATCGAAAGGGTCATGGATGCAATGACGTTGGACAACATCTCTTCCTCATCGGACTCAATAGCAGAGCCACCGCGGCCCATCTCGCTATTCGACCAGAGCGTCCAGGACACGGACATGGCAGTACCCACAGCTTCCAACTCTGTGAGCGTGAAGCTGCCCCCTGTGACTGTTCCAAGATATCTCCAAGCTCCATTCCAGATACCGCCCCTTTTCCCATTCAACCGCACGACTGTCTACGTCTTGCTTTCCGATGCAACGCCAGACCGCCAGCCGAGGAGCGTCATACTTAGGGGTTCCTCCATCCATGGTCCAGTAGAGCTTGAGATTCCCGTCAGGACTCTTACCGAGAAAGGCACTACCATTCACCAGCTGGCGGCACGAAAGGCTGTCCGCGAGCTCGAGGACGACCGTGGATGGATCTTCCATGTCAAGAGCCGAGATGGCAAGCTCCTGCAAGAGCAGTTTGAGGGCCGCTTTAGTGACATGGTGAAGCGGGAAGCAGTTCGCCTGGGGACTCAGTACCAAGTCAGCGGCAAGTGGTGCTCGTTTGTTGCCATCCAAGATGCTGGCAGAAACGACGCCGCCAGCACGAGCCAAGAGAATGCTGATGCAGAGGAAAGCGTGAATGACGATGCTGGCAGCAACGAGGACGTTTCAGTTGATGACTTCGTGCAGGAACCCTCTTCGTCTCGCTTGTCTGCCGGCGCTGCCGGCTACATTGCTACCTCGGTGAGGAAACGCAAGAAGATGTCCACTGAAGCTCTCCAGCCTCCACCTGCTCGGCAGACGCCCATTTCGCAAGGTGGTGCGCATATGAGGATGCAATTTGCAGCTCTTCCAGCTGGTAGCATGCACCAAGCTCGAGGTATCCCATCAAATGTTCCATGTGGTCAGCCACAGATGAGTCGTGCTATGGGGGGAATGCGGCAGCAACAGGCAGGAGCCCTCGCTTCAGTGCCTGAGATGAACAGGGATAATGACGCCCAGACGGCCCACCTTCGAGCAGCACTGGCTGCCCAGAGGGCTGCCGTGGCCCAACGAGTCGCGAGTGAGCAACTGCATCAGCAGCATCAGCAGCAGCAGGCATCAGCTTCGCTTCTCACGAACCGTCCCGTGGGCATGCAACAAGATTATCAAATGGTCTTAATGCTAATGAATCGGCAGCAGCAGCAGCAACAACAGCATCAGCAACAGCAGCAGGCATTTGCTTCGCTCCACCCGATGGGCATGGCTCCTAATCCTAGATCCGCCTTATACTTGAATCCCTGCGCCTCCCCCTTGCTGGTCCTGGCTACACTGCAGACCTTTGTTGGCAGCTGGCACTGGGACTCGAGGCTGGAAGCTGTTTTGGGAATCACGGCACAGCTTGCCGCAGATAGGGTTCAGCTTCCTGGTGATCAGAGTGCCCAGCAGACGGATGTGCTGGCAACGCTCTGTGCTGTGGTGTTTTTGAAGAAGAAGCTGGCATCCGAAAAGGACTCGTGGGAACTCCTCGTGCAAAAGGCAGAAGACTGGCTGCGGAATCAAACGGGGACGGATGTTGTCGAGTGGGAGAAGACCGTGAATGATAAGTTGTTTACGGAATAAGGCAAGTCGATGAAAGAGAAACCCGAGAGCACGAAGCTGTGTATTTCCTTATGTCGCCCAAAAATTTGCAAAGGGCTATGATATGGGGGATGATCGATAATTTGTTTGACCATCCAATACTGGGCTGGGGATTTTGTAATGCTCTCTCCAGAGATTGTACGTAATGAAAAGTAACGAACATTTCCATTTTGTAGCTGGAATACTGTCCCAAAGATATTCAACCCTTTCAATTCTGAATGGCAAGCTCCCTAATCTGGTAAGTTCCTGTGAAAAGGCATCTAGAAGCTGAAGATGCGTCAGTTCCGCCAGCGTGAGCGTTCTTATGGGAATGCTTTTGAACAGCCCAGGGGCGCTCTTGAGAATTTCGAGCCGTGTGCCTTGTCAGCCGGTCAAGAGTGTTGACAAATAGGCGTTTGCTTAAGACGGGGAAGACGACGCACACGAACGAGGAGCAGTACACGCTGACATAACGCTCAACTGTCGCCCTCCGCGGAAGCTCACAAGGCTGTGCGTTGGCGGCTGTTGTATCTGGATCTAGATATAGACGTCGCGGGTTATGCCATTGGTGGCCAAACGAGCAGAAGGTGTGTGGTGTCATGCAGCTTCCGGTACGAGATTCGACCCATGCCCGTCCCTCTTCGGAGAAGAGTGGGATGGTGGTGAAGGACGTGGCATTGCGCAGATGGGAGCCAGATGAGGTCAATTATTCTATCTGAGCGTCTAAAGACGAGTCAGAAAAAGAGTCGGGCGCATACAAGAAGGTCACTAGGATGTATTTAGCGAATTCAAAAAGGTGGATGTGCAAGAGGAGAACTGGCACTTCAAGGGCGCAGTGAGGTTGAAAATGAGACGCAAGAAAAGGAAATAGAATTGGGGTCTTACCGGTATTGTGCTGTGATAGCCGCTGAGCCAAGATGGCCTCCATTCGAGTGATGGAAATCGGGCTGGGAGATCTTGTAGTCTGGGCTTTTCGTCAAGATCAGCGAAGAGGGCCATGCTGGGCAACAGATCTACCCCAACTCCCTGCATGATTCGGGAATGCATAATCGCGAAGAGACGTAACGGGAATAATCTTACCTCTTACTGCTTTTCTTCCTCTTGGAGCTCGCCACTAATCGATGGTATTTGCAGGCTGGATCGCGATGTCTGCACCAATTGCATTGAGGAACTTCGGCATCGCATTGGATCTGTTACGGCCCCCAGTCAGTTCAAATCTTCAGTTAGTTCTCTCAGCTTCATGATTGAGTCTAATGGACTATCTGGACCTGCAGGTTCAGCGGTGGCTCCTACTTTTCTCCCCGAGCACGAATCACACGCCTTTGCACGGCGACCCCTGTTCGAGCTGCGAGGCGATGTGGTTGCCATTTAGTGCGAATCACCGCTAGACAGGGCTTCATTTTCCTACGGTGTATTAAAGACTGAGGTACAAGATGTAGGAGAAGAGTGAAGTAGTTTTTGAATTGGCAAGGGAGGGAAGACTGAAGATGAGGTAGTGAGAAGGTGCGGCATCTGGGGAAGTTGGAGATGATTCGCCGCTGAGTCAGCGGAATCGGATCTGCCCTGATTTGCCCCTGGCGAGAACCGCTGCAGTTACATCAGATCTCTTGGTCGACTGAGGAGAGAAAGAGGATGCAGATTATGCAGATTAACATCTTCGAGGGTGAATAGTTCCCAATGTTTTGACCTTTCTCTCAGGCAAGCAATCAGACGTATGTTTGTATCTTGGAAGTGTCTCCTTGCATGGCGAGTCTCACACGAAAACCCATGGGGAGCTCACTACTAGTCCTCCTTCGTTCTGCAAGACGCGCTTGGGAACAGAATGCAAATAGGCACCCTGACCATAAACTGAACAGAGAACTGCAACTGACGATTCGGCATTTGGTTCAGGTGTTCTGCTATCTTAAACGACGACTACGCTTCTCCCGTTCACCACCGAGAACTCCCATCTCCCGACTCAATCCTGGCCATGAGCTCGTCCTTGTGCTCCCGAACAAACTCGTCCCAAGGCTTCAACGACAGGTTGGGAATTCTAGGGGATTTTTTGGTCAGTATTATACGACAACTCCGCATGTCCAAGCAATTGAACGCTCACCTCTCTGGCTTGAACAGACTCATGGCTCGCATACACACTCCCAAAATACTCGTACATCAAAAGCTGTTCCGTCAAGTCCAAAGAGATCTCGGGTGTCAGGCCAGCTGCCTCCAACCCTCTCTGAAACTGTTCTGCGGTTGTTTTCATGTATACGAACGGAATCCCAAAGTCTAACAGTGTCCTTGTCAGTTCTCACGAGGCCTCACCGAACGATAACCTGCACCACCGAAACGTACCGCTCCCGAGCTTAGCTAACCTTTTGCCCTCCGATAGTCCCTGAGCCCAGAATGCGATGGTATTCTCAAACTAGGTCGACTTGTCCTCTACGGCAGCCCGAAATGAGCTTGTCAGTGTCGGCATTGGCGACGTTTGGCAGAATCGTGTCGGCTCGCACAAGAGTTCCAGAGATCTGTCTCCCATCAAAAACAATCAGTTTTACTCTATTTGCCGTATTGCCAATTTGAAATGGCCTACCTGACGGGGCAAATACCGCCTAGGATCAGTCAGACAGTTCTCGAAGTAGTTGGGAAAGAATCGTTGTCGTCTTTTCCACAGCTCGGGTTTCTGCGTCTTGATGTACTCCGTCACATCTGCCTTGCTCTTCCAGTGGTGTACACGGTACAGTATTCCCCGAGACAGCTCCATCGGATCGGGAACAGCGTTCCATACAAAGTTCTCCAGCGTGGGAATCCTGGCAGCGGCATCGGCCAAGGCCTTTCCTTTGAGCAACTTCCACGACTTTGGACCTTGAGGCCCAAAAGTCCGTCAGGGCGAAGATGATATTTGCCCCAGCAAAGACCTTTCCCAGAAACTCGTGGCCGGAGTCGAGGTCTGCGGTTTAAACGTCGACTTCTTTCGCGAAGAGAGCCAGGGCAGCCGGTCTGGAGACATCACGAGCGAGGCCTCTGACGCGATACTCGTTGGGATTCTTGAGAGATTTATCCACAACGGATCCTCCCTTTTCAATCAGGTTAGAGGCGGCGTTGCCAATGGAATATGGAGAATTGAAGTACAGACTTATAGGCCAGTGGCTCCGACGAGGACGATTGTTTGGGGAGACATGTTCTCAACTTACCTACTGCTTCTCGGTAATTGATGGATGAGGGTACTCCAATATGTTGATCCAAGAGAGTGTCATCTTGAGGTGGACAAGGCGGCATCCTTATATACTTCATCACTATCCCCGCTGGCACGTTATCGCTCCATCAATCATTTCAACCGATCAAGTCACCGGAGGAACACAACTTCGCTTTACCGAAGGCTCATTGTCCGGGCCACTTGATCCACTGTCTACGGACATGCCTTGCCCACCCCTACCTAGCCTCAAGGAAAGGGATTGAGAGAATGGGCTCAATCTTTGCATCTCGACCCCTGAATTACACCAACCTCTCCAAGCCTCGGCTGCAGCTTATAAGAGTTGCGTCTGCCTTACTAGGCCCAGAGCGGATGAATGACCGCGCGCGAGGGAAAGTAGTCTTCCTTCATGCTCGGTTTGGCTCTTTGAACTGTGCTGGACACCGTCATGTTTGGTCGGAGGAGATACTTGGCTACTAGAGACGCCCCAATGCTGGTCCAACGTCCACCGACCAAACAATGTCCGATATCGCGTAAGATGAAAGCGTGCATACCTCTGCTGGCACCAATAGTAGGGACGGCGGAATGAGTCATGTCGAATCAAATGTAAGCACCATGAATAGTAAAGGCACATACGTAATTAGAAATAACATCTTACCAACATCGTTTCCACATCATTCGAAGCCCATCCAGATATCCCAAACTTGCATCCTACCTTGCCTTCAATTTCACGACTACGAAGCGGCAAGGCTGATATGTCTTGACTCTTGGAGAAACTTGTCCGTCTCGACTTTGGAGCTGTCTCAGTTCCGACATTGACTGATGGTGCCGTGGTCTCTAGTGACGAATTGAAGTAACTGAAATCATGGAACACATTATTAAGATGAACGTGTCATGCAAACAGGATCTAGTGTTAGAGGCAATGCCCAGAGAAGTCATATGGATCAGTGTGATTAGCTCGTTGAGTGCATTGTTGAAACACAACATGACAGATAAAGAGAAAAAGACAGGGTCAATGACAATGACATATACATAGACCAAGACATCTAAGCAGTGTGCTCCAGATATGATGTTCCCAGCTTTCTTACGAAATTACAGAGGTTATTCACCAGTTTAATACAGCTATCCGAAGAGCAAGTCGTTGCGAGAGAATGATTGTCACGAGGGATACTGAGATTTGCGGAGAAGACAGGCGTCGATTAGAGATAAATTCTTTCTTGGACCCATCTAGCTCCTAGCGAGACGTAGAAGGCGGAATCGTAGACTGAGGCCTCAATAGACGGTAGAAAATGATCTGGCCAGCCGGCTGGAGACTCTTCGTAGCCTCCCGGCCAACTGGCCAACGTCTTTCAAAGGGTGTTGCTGGCTAGGCGGCGCCGCAACACGGTGAAGCGGACAGATGCGATAGCTGCAGGTGCCAAAGCAAACGCGAATACTTGATCTTTGATGAAGGCCCTCCTCCTTCATCTTCAGCTCCATTCGCTCTGTCCAGTCCCATCCATCCATTCCCACCCATCGCCCCCCTCTCCATCCATCTCCTCTACACCCGTCTCCCGACCCCCTCCCATGCTTCGGCATTGGTTGCTTTGCTGGAAGGGCGATGGTTTCTTTGTCAGCATCGAGCTGACTCCCCTCCTCTCCCCGTCCATCTTCTCCACACTGGCCGCTCACCTCCTCTGCAGGCTTGAGTATCTCAGCATCTAATGAGCCTCGGCGTCAATACGCCTCCTGCTACACCAGGTGTGTCCTCAATTACTCCATCTCTGCAAAAGGTCTCCCCTCCCTCCCAGTCTTCCATCTTTTCCATCTCCTCTCCATAACCCTCCGAAAAACTGGCTGATCTCAACAGATGGTAGGCCTCGGCGTCAATACACCTCCTGCCACACCAAATGCGTCATCAATCATGCAGGCTTGGCATATAGCCTTGCCGCTGCCCAGGGCTCCTAAGGTCGGCGATATGCGGGAAAAGGAGAAGGGCCCCCGGCCGGCCAGCTGAGGCCTCAATAGACCTCCCGCTAAACCGGTCGTCGATAGTCGTCAATCTGTACATGGGTTAGCATGATGCAATGAGTTCCTCCGATGGCATGAACTTACACTAAAAATCATCGTCGTACGTAAATTTCGTTGGCCCCCTCGTCAAGAGCTCCCGGCCGTCCTCGTTTCTCTTGTCAACTGCACCCTCAGCTTTCTTGTCTCTCTTGTCCATGGCATTATCTCGGCAATTGATTGGCCTCGGCGTCAATACACCTCCTGCCGCACCAGTTGCGTCCTCGATAGCAACAGGTGGCGGTACAGTTGTCGTGTCATCTCACAAAGGAAGTCCAGAATACTCGTGGCAGAGAGCAGCGGCAAGAGAGAAGACGACGATATTTTTGAGTACGTGAGAGATCTATTACTGCATCAGTATAGCCAAAAGATTGCCAGAGCATGACAAAGACAGACTTACCCGACAATGCCGATGTGCTGAAGCTTGAATAGACTCATCAGTACTATAGCCAGCAATAACTTCTGCGATTTGCTGCTTACGGAGAGGACACTATGGAACAAAAGTCTGGCAAGGACGCTACGTACCATCATTCTGAGAACCTCTCAACGCTCGACGACCAGACATTGCTTAGTGGTGCGAGTAACTCTGAGCAACTGAGGGCCTTTGGCAGATGCGCGCCTCTCGATATATCAGAATCGGCATGATCTTCTGCGGTATCGACGTGTCTAAGGTACAAGTTAGTGAACATCAAGTGTAGAGGCTTGAAGTATCGAATGAGCATGGGCATACCGTTTGCCTCAGGCGTCTGTAGATCTGGTGCAAGGCAGATGGCCTGCTATAAATAGGAGGGAGAAAGGATGGCAGCAGCAGCGGTGGAATCACTGTTCAACTCTGCTTGGAGACGTGGGCGGGTAGCTTTAGGTTGTGAGGATGAAGTGGCTATTGCTCTTGTTCAATGTGTTGATGGCCATGGCGCAAACAGGATTAGGGCTGATCAAGGCAAGAGAAGGATATGAAAGAAAAGTAGGAGGATAAAGCGATGAAAGATGTAGGAGGAAAGAAAAGAGGGAGATGATGGGAGGAAAGCAGCCGGCCTTGGAAGTAGTGCCAACTGTTTACGCTCACCTCCCTTGGACCCACGTGTTTGCCCTCGATGCGTCCAATGAGAGCTTCCGGCGCCGACGGTTGTCAGGAAGTAGCAGCTCTTTATTACTGAGATTAATGCCGATGACGCTTTCGAGTGGCCTTTGGAAGGTGAGAGAATGGTTGCACACGCGTGTTCTTGCTGGAGAAGGTTCTGCAGTGACGTGCTCCTCGGGGGATGCCTAGACTCCAGCGGTGTGCACATGTCGGTCGTTGCGTTGCTATTCCCTCGACATACTTCTATGACGCATCAAGCGTGAATATGTTGGGCATTTGTCCTGCCTCAATTCAGTTTCAGTTTCTGTTCACGTAGTTGCCGACTCTGAAGTAGGGAGGCAGGAAGACCAAAAGGATCCCATCATATCCGTACCCATTGTCAGTATATGAGTTCTATTATGTTATAAAAGGCAATTCATAATCCTCGTTGTAAATAGAGCGTCTTGGCGATGTCGGTTGGGAAGTAGAAGCCCAATCTCGGAGGAGAATACGGAAACATGATACCATTCACATCTAGCCTCCAATTTTCCATAATAGCGACAATCTCCAGCATATAATTACGAAGCCAAACAGTGTGTTACTATGATGGTAGACGGGAGAGCCAGTGTTTGAGCGTAGTTGTGATATTCTGTCCCCGAACTGCCTGCGAATGGCGAAAGTCGGCATAGTGAGAATCACAAGCCTTCCTTTTCTGCTGCAGTCTAATTGTATATCTCTAGCTGTCTATGTAATCTCGCTTTCTGTACACTCCCCAGACCAAAAAAATAGCTCAATCCGATCAGAAACACCAAAACAATACAAACATTGCAGGCTGTCATCGTGCCATGATCTCGAAAAGCAAGCAGGCAAAGCACAGCCACCAGATCACTCAACCCCACCTCTAGGCCCGAGCATCTCGAACCATCGCACACTGGACGTAGGTCCCCTCCAAGAACTTATCGCTCTGCACAACTCGAAACCCATACCTCTCGTAGATTGGCTGTCCCTTGGGAGACGCATCCAGGAAGCACTCCACCTTGTCCTCATCAGCCTTTTCCACCCCGTACTTGAGCATCAAGCTCGCCGCCCCTTTGCCTTGATACTGTGGCTTGACGGCCAGCATCTCGAGATACCAGTGCGGCCTCTCGCCCATGGCCTCGTGATGCATGTCGCCGAGCTTGCCAAAGAAGAAGGCCGAGAATTCCTGGTCGCCTTCGCTGGGCCATTGGTCAACGGGAGGGAGTGGCTCCGGAGAAGCCCCAGGAACGATCCATTTCGCAAAGCCAACAAATACTTGGGGGCTGGTGGTGTCGTCCCAGACAGAGAGGAAGTGATTGTTCTTGTCGCGGATCTCAGCGGAAAGAGACTGAGTCCAAAAGTCGTGGGCTGACTGCGTCCCTTTGGGAGCAAAACGCTGATGGATCGGATCTTGCGAGAAGGCCTCAAAGTATGTTTCCACCATCAGTGGCACGTCCTCGGGGCTGCTAGGTACCAGCTTGAGTGGCATTCTGTCGGTAGGTTCACGATCGAAGTCGGGGGTCGTGGCTGATGAAGCTGGGAGGGGCTCCGGTTGATTGTGAACTGGGGTTCTACACAAGTGGACAGCTTGTCAGCAAGTGCGGAATCGGATAGTCTATTCGACAGCATCTCCGCCCTCTCGCGCCTTGCCGCCGCATCAGTCCTATTCTGGCTGCAGCGTGAGAAAGCTCAAATGAAGAACGAGGCAACATGCCGGAAGCCGGTCATGAAGACGGCTTCAAAACCCAGAGACCGAGGGAGAGCATCCATTTCTGTGGCCGCCAATGAACATAGAAACTGACGGCGATGGGCGCTTGTTTTTCTGTGTTGTTTTGGGAGGAGACTAAAACGAGAGATGGCTTGGGAACAGAAATTCAACTGCAGACATCTCCTCACCTGTCAGACGAAAATGTCTCTCTACCGCGATGGCTTCTTTAAGTGTTTTAACTCCGAGTTGTGAGACCTATGGCCTGCCGATAGGCAAAGTGTAGACAGAAACATTTTAATTGCGCAGAGCTACCATTATCGTGAATTACAAACACGACCCATCCTCGGCGATAGAGTAGGCCAGCCGCTACCCGTCCGCAGTCAAAATGATGAATGAGGCCTCGTGGATTACATCAGGGACCTCCCGCCGACAATACATCCCAGCACAGAACATCAAGCAATGAAATCTTCGTCAGAAGAGCAAGCACTTTCTTGCTAGTGTAACCCCATGTTTCTTCGGCTATTGGCTGGGGACTCTTGTAGCCCCCCGGCCGACATGCCAACGTTCGAGCAAAGGTCTGATCCAGCGCCAGGTCATGAAAGATTCGCCGATCTCACGCCGTGGAAGTCCCAGATATCCTGGGGAGCTTCCCTGGTCCCAAGGACATGAGAAGGGATTCGTAGCTTGGACGTCGTGGAAGTCCCAAATGTCTTTTTGGGCGTCGCTCGTTCCAAACGGCGAGCTTCGCCGCGCGGTCGACGCAGTTTGCGTAAGACTTTACCGTGCACAAAGGCCGGTGGTAGCCTCTAGCTGGCTAGCTGGGGCCTCAAAAGACCCCCCGCTCGCCAGCCGTCGGTAATATCCTCGCTCGGTCATGTGTAGTGAATGGGAGGAGACAACAACCCGATAGGCCTCGACCTCAATAGATCTTCTGCCGTATCGGTCGTTGAGCGTAGGGAGAGCAGGTACCAGCGGTAGTAAGAGTGGGAGTGATGCGGTTTGACGAAGTCCAGAGAGCGAGAGAGTTCCGGTGAGGGAGGTTGGAGTATGTCTTGGTGAGTCTGGACACTGTTGATCGACGGTGACATTGGCTGACGGAGACCTCCGATGAAGTTTGCGTTGAGGCTCATTGATGTTGGAGTCTGGCGCCATAAATGCGCTTGTCGGATCCTCCGATGCGTGCGATTTTGGCCGACTTGGTCAAAGCACCGTTCGTCGTCCATGGCATCAAAGAAATCCAGGCAAGCTAAAGCCAGAGATAACTGGTCTCTAGTTTGAAGAGTCAGATACAAGACAATATCATATGTTGAAACGTGGAGGATGAAGATGGTAGAAAACTCACTGAGCATGCGAATGGCTGAAAAGAGGGTGGATAAGAGTCGCCGACCAGTGCCGGAGAAGCATCGAACCAGAGGAAACTAAAAAAAGGATCTCAGACACCGTTCGCAACATCAAAGACTCAAGGCAAGTCGAAGTCTAGTGATGGAGACGGTTGCTATTACAAAGAGTCAGGTACATGAAGCAAGAATATTCAGATTAAAAGAACAGAGAGGATGTTTGAAGACTCACTGGGACGGGGCGTTCCTCGTAGAGAAGTAGGAGAGCTGCTGACTATTGACGTAGAAGCACGCATCGGGCGAGAGGAACAGGATAGAAGACCTCTGCGGATGCCAGCAAGAGAGAGCATCTCAGGCAAAATGAAACAACAGAGTGCATCTGTCGACGGGGCAGAAGAAGACATCTGAAGAAGTGCGAGAAGAGAATTGACGAGATGAGAAGAAGAGGAGGGGAGGAAGGGAGAGAGGCGGAGAGAGACGTAAGGCAGATGAGCAGAGGTAATGCGTCCTCTCTCTAACCAGACCTGCCTGACCGCTCTCTGATCTCCCTGGTAGCTGCTCGGAGAGCAGGCACACTTCCCTCGCGATCAGAGGAACGCGTCATACTCCAGTGAATGGAGGAGAGGCTGCCCCAGGCATCCGCGCTCGTATTCTTATTGCCCGCTCACTCATTCGACGGCTGTTCGCTGCTTGATACCTAAGGTACCTAGTGCCTGCCTACCTTATCTTCTGCCGATCTATGTGAGCAAGTTTCTCGACGTCAAGGTCGGTAAAAGGGCTGGGCATTGGGGGAAGGTGAGGTGGTTCTGCTGGAGCTTGCATCATCTGGCACGGTTCGTCGGTGAGGAGTTCCATTTTTGAAGGTGCAGCTTGGGGATTTTGAGTGCCATTATTTCTCTCTGTGTATTACTGTATTATAGTGGGCGTAGGGAGTGTGATGGTGTAGTGGTGCGTGAGTGGCATCGTGACAGACGGCTTGCAATTTGCGGGACGAGGTGGGTGGTATAGGGACTTGATGCATGTGGACAGCAGGGGCCATTTTTTTGATCATTGATGGAATCAGACTCATTCTCTCTGAGATACATCACTGATCTCCAGATTGGTAGTCGTGTTGTATATGTTTTGGGTTGTAGTTCTACCCATCATCGCACGCTCAGGAGCTGGGATGTTGGAGATTTCGACAACACACGGGGTCAGCCTATTGCACTGCAGATAACTAGTATTACAACGGGACTTCCATCATTTACACTCCGCTCAATAATCAAATAGTAAAATATCTATACATTTATTTACTGTTATTTCACCATGTCTGGAAAAAGCAAGAGTGTTAATCCCTGACGGCTGTATCAATCCTTAACACCATCAGCTAATTCCAGAATCACCAATTAGTCTAAGCCTTTGGCAGCCATATAATCTCTGGCTGAAATCCAGGTAACTCCTTATACTCCTCTTCCGTCAACTGCCTCCCGTCCTGCAGATCCGTCACAACGATTTGCACTCGATCCTCTGCAGACAGTCGGTCCGCAAACTTCTCCGCGTTCAAAACCCGCGACGCTGCAGGTTTACGGCATCGACCAGAGTTCTGCAGTCCGACTCCCGCTCGTCCAGGCCCCATTCCCAGGCGTGTGACTTGGCCAATGAAATCTGGGTTATCCGGAACATGGGGAGTCAAGGTCTGTGCATCGGGGGCGAAGACGTCGATGCGGTAACTCGAGGCCGTACAGCCGACGCCAGTAAATACCACGAAGGGGATCTTGGCGACAGGCTCTGCGTTGGAAGCTTTAACACCGTTGGTTTCAGATTTTACGCCGTCGCCCTTTCCGCTGATCTTGACGCCCTTTGGAATATAGACGGCACGGCCACCAGAAGGACGCAAATTACGCACTCCGCGTTCGATGATGGACGGCGGTCTGTAGACGTCTGGGCTGACGGGCAATCCGTACATGTATCCCAGAGCCCGTGTATCCTTTGCCATGTCCCCGATAGTCGTGTATATCCAGCGACGCGGATCGTCGTAGCTGATGTTCGTGCCATTGTCGATGAACGGCTGAAGAGGGAAATTGGAAGTGAAGTGATTCTCGGGATGGGATTCCATGAACATGCCCGCCAAGCGATCCATGTTGGCGTGATAGGACAAGAAGATAGGGTCGAAAGCCGTGTATGTATTGTCAGCCTGCGAAAAAGCACGTCAGTAACTATTATGCAATTGCTCCTCTTAGGGGAGATGTGATTTACCATATCAGGTCCTGTCCAGCCGTGAAAGTTGTCGTGGACCTGCTCGAATAGCCCGTCAAAGTTGAAGCGATGGGGATATAATTCATCGCGCTGGTTCTCCGAGAAAGTCTGGATATTGGCCCAGGGAATGCCTAAGTGCTCCTCGGTTTCCGACGAGGTAAAGGTTGACTGTTTCAACGCATTTGTGATCTGCTCATGATACAGCTTCATCATGCATATCTTGGCGGTCCATTTGGCTGAAGAAGGTCCCTCTGCCAGGACCTTGTCTCGAGTCACATACTGACTCGTTCCGTCGGCAGACTTTCCATCCAGAGACAGGGCATACTTGAGGGGATTGGGGCGGATACTACCGTCTTTGGGATGGACGTAGGTGTCTTCAAAGAAGCATGGCGGGATTCCTGCATGAGGGGAATCCGATTTGGCAGAGCCAACAGAGTAACCGTTCCAGTAGGGGATTGGGAAGCCTATGAGCTGTTCTACGTAACGGAGGAAAGCTCTATGCCACAGAAAGGTGGCTTCTTGGTAGTGCAAACACCATTCAGCATCTATAATCTATCGTCAGTAGTTATTAATGAAGATATCGGAGGTCACACTTACGCAGCAGTCCGAGTTCCTGCCACTTCGAACCCAGTACGCCCACCTTAAGCACGTCATCCAGCTGGGCCTGATACTCGGCGAGTCTGTCCTTTGACAGACTCATGATGTCTTCTCTGACTTTGTACGTCTTTCGCGGCTCCACAGGCTTAGGAATGATCAACTTGGGTACTGGAACATCGGATTTGGTCTTTGGAAAGCCCCCGTTGGCCCACTTTCGCAACACCTCGAGTGCGCTCTCTGGCCAGTAGTCTTGGGGATCATTGGTGACTGGCATTGACTCCGATCGGAGATGATGATAGATGCTGACGATTCTCTGTTTCACGTCATCATAGGAATCGAGACTCCAGTGGTTTGCACCCCAATACCTCATCGCTTTGATCCAGCTCGCTCCTTTCTTGGCTGGATCACCTTGAACCCAATGGGGGGATTTAATGAGAGGAATAACGTCATCTTCCCATGTCGGCGTATAGTCTTCATGAGCGGAGGTTGAATCAGCAAACCCATTTGCCTTCTCACGAGAAGCCAGATAAGGGCAGCCTTGAGATCCTCCAGTCTTTCTGCCGCCAATTTGTCTCGAATTTGCAACATTTTGACAGCGAAGAGCAAGTCTTGCTGGCTTGGGGAGTGCTTGCAGGTTCAGTGGTGCTGGAGAATAATCTGCATCAGGCTTTGGAAGCATTCTCGGGTTCACGTCACCCAGAACATCTGTCCATTCCTTGAGAAATTTCTGCCCACGCTCTGGCATGGGCACAACTTCGCCTTTCGCAGTCATTTCCAAAAACGGAGCGGTGAATGGCATCTTGGTCGCGTAAGGCATGGTGTACCCAAACTCGTCGAGGGGCAGGGGACGGTAAATTCTCCTGCGCGACTCTGCCAGCGACAGATAGTCGTACAGGGCCTTTTTGGGCTCGTTCTTCATGCGGGCTTTGACTGCATCGAAGTACTCGACGATGCTCTTTTGATGGTCCTGGAGGGTGCAGTCCAGCAATTGAAGAAAGTGCTGCTCCGGGGTGCCATTGATCTTCGCCCATGAAGAGTGCTTGACATTGTCGACAAACCGAGCATCAAGATCGTATGCATTGCCGTCGAACGTGGTGTCTTGTGGCACGTATTGCATCAAGCGTCCTCTCTTCCAGGAGTAAATGGGGTTCCAAAAGTCGACCATGACGATGGCGTTGAACGTCTTGCCGGAGAATAGTCCAATGAAAGAAGCCGGAGTAATCGCCTGGGGATCGGTTTTTGGGACAATTTTCTTGAGGGTCTGCATTCTCTGGACTCCATGAGCGTCCTCGAATGATGCGTGTAGCATGTTGAAGGGTGTTTCTCCTTCGCCGACCAAGACCTTCTTGAAATATACGTCGTCATAAGAGACTCCAGTTTCTGTCCGCTTGTCGCCGCCGAGGGACTGCCAGGGGAGCTGGATATCGGGAGTATACTCTGTGGGATCGATTTCTTGAAGCAAGCAGAGCCCAAGGTCGTCGACGGCTTGATGGTAGACTTCATCGGAAAAGGAGACGCCGAGTTTTTGAGGCGGCTGTTAAACAGACTAGTGTTAAGATCGGCAACTAATGGTAACGTTGGTGTAAAGTGGCCGTGACGTACCAGGAGAGTAGAAAAGTTTGTCAGGCTCAAGAGCTCTTGGTCGTAAAAGTGATTATCGGGAATGACCCAGTTGCCCTTAGGCTTTGGGACGTTCAGAACCAAAGCATCAGAGAACCTGGGTGGCGGCTTCAGAAATGGCTTGAGCGATGCCCCTTCCATGTTGATGGTCGTCGTCAAAAACAGGTGCGATACCCATCGCGGAATATTCTTGGGGTTCTTGAGCAGCTTGGAAGCAGAATCGAAAAAGTCCATTTTTTCTTCGAATCAGGAACCAGTTGACAATGCCATTCTTGATGGCCGTCTCCAACTCTTCGGGGTTGTGATTGACGGCGGAAAACACGCCTTGTCCGTCCTCCGTGATGTAAGGAAGCTTTTTGTACATTTCCTTGAGATTGTCGGGGATGCAGGCTTCGAAGTGGACAGGAGCGCCGCCAAGCCAATGCAGCCATGGCCTAAGAGCATATGATGTCAGTCAGATAAAAGATAGGATATTCATGTGGAAGACGTAGATCACTCACGTATGGAGTTCTTTCATGATGCAGGCTCCGTTGACATGTCCGTTGAACGGCCCGAGATACTCGGCAGTCCCAAAGGCATCCATGGACTCTCCAAAGTATGTCCAGGACTGTTTTTTCCTGTTCCCGTTGGGGAAATCACTCTGGTTTCACGTCAGATGGGGCATGCAAGCTTAACGTTATTGGAGTGGGCGGACCTGATAGAATCGGAACGTGAGGCCGTCCCAAGAAGCCACCTGGAGGAATGACTTGGTTCGTGACGACTGCAGAGGATCCCTTCCTCCAACGATACACAACGTCCACTCAGATGTTGATGAGCTGAATGCACCCTTGTCCACCAAGGTGATGAGTGTTACAAGGCGAGGATGGGGATCAAACCAGGTAGCATCTGGGTTCTTGCTAAGATCAAAGAAGCTTCCGTCGGCAACCATAAAAGTTTTGATGCAGTACAGGGGCTGGTCTCCGGTGCTCTCGTCTTATCGATGTTAACAAGATATGACCATGAAGCGCACGAGGTGATAGAGGCTTACTCCAGAAGTGCATTACCAGCGAGTCAAAGGACTGGCAAGATGCATTATCGCCTTGCTGTAGCCACTTGCCAAAGAAGTCCTTGAACTTGGTATCGAGAGTGACTTGATCAGCCTCGTGGTCTTTGTCTGGTTGCCCCTTACGGATGAATTCTCTCCAGTAGAATTTCGGCGCCATTGTGAATGTAATGTTATATTTCAGTATATGGCAGAGATTTTTATTGTAACAGCAGTCTACCGTCGTCTCTACTTATACAGGAGTGACACTTTGGCTTGACAGCCTGCTGTTCAGCCTCAACGATCCATTGCCGTGAAGCCGAATAACTGTGACGGAGAGAATCTCGACATAAGGCGCAGAATCAATAGTCGACAGCGTTTCGTCGAGTGGCTGGCTGAGTTTCTGTACATGGCCTCTTCGAAACGTGGTCTAGATGTCGAGTTGCGGTTCGCTTAGAGGAGTTGGAGGCCGTGATGCTCAGGCAAGGCGCAGACGAGGCGGAATGCTTTGAAGAAAGTCGCTATGATAGGATGTGACAAAGCGGACTGCAAGGCTAGAGTGAGCCTGGATGGAGCTATTGTACTCACTATTGCTTTTGTCCTCGGTTCCCGCAGCATGCAGGGGAAGAAGCAAGCCGGACAGTTTGGTCCCAAGACACGGCCCGTAGTGCCATTGTGATCGGCCCATCCGTTTGGTCGGATCTAGCCGCTGCATGTTGGGCGGTCCACTTAGAGGCATGGGTCCGTGAAGGCTCTAGAGCTTGGCCATCTGGCTAGAAGATCTGGAAAACGGATATGTGACGGGAGACAAACCGTGAGAACCCCGAAGCGGATTAACCGACAACGCTTTGCAGGGATTCATTCAATAGATGCCCTAAAGACCCAATATTGGCTAGAGAAGGTCCAGCTTGTGATGTGGTTGTGGCTAGCTGAAGCGAGTCGAGACTGTAGGAGATGAACCTGGTAGAATACGAGACGGCTCTGATTGGATTATACTATTCTCATCATGCTGAGCTCTCGAAGCTCCTGCCATGTAAACTGGTGATGTTTTGGTTCTGAAAGCGCCCAAGAAAGAGCTCAGCTCTTCGTAAACGGTAACATGGCTGTATGAGGGTTGTGGTGAGTTGAGCCGGCTTTCCGTGGAGGCCGCAATGATAGACTATTGAGTGTGTTGAAGCGTGGACTTGGTTGAGCGGTTGGAGGACTCGCGTCGAGTATAAAGATGAGAAGATACTATCGAGCCCCAAGATACAATGCCGCACCTCACCTCACCAACGCAAGCCACCACGATTTTCTATTCACGTTTCCAACTTCGTCACTTCTAATCATTTTCAATTTCTTCACTTCTCTTCCCTTTGAAGTTGCACCACTTCAGCCGTCAAGATGAGCGACCAAACGATCCGAAAGCTGGCAGTCTTCCGGGCTCCAGGATATCCGTACCAAGATGACAAGCTCACGGCTGGGCAGACTGGCGTCTGGTCGGACATTATCGACACGTGGATGACTGAAGAAATTAACGCCGAGTATCGCGACGACGACGGCAACATGCACCCCCTCCCTGGTCCGAGGAAGCGCGGCTGCGATGGCAAGCCAAGAACCAAGCTGAAGCAGTTTTTCAACGGCCGCATCACTCCGTATAATGTTGGCCAGAAGCCTACTCCCATCACTTGGATCGGATTCCCGCGACTGGTAAGAGTTCTTTGATTGACCCGGTTGTTGTTGGAACTTGGCACTGACTTGGTTCGCAGATCCAGAAGGAAACCAACACGGACCAAGAACGGTGGAAGGAGGCGGATGCTCACCGCGACCGCCAAGATGAGTATCTCGAGTGGACAGTGAAGAGGGACGAGGACGGGAGAATCGTATCTGTAACGTTTACCTGCGAAGGGCCCGAGGTGAGTGATTGACGACCAGTGAGCTGATTGGGAACAGCGATGATGAGCTAACATGCCATGTGACAGTACTGGGCCTTCTTGGCAGATTATGCCCCCAAGAAGATGTTTTCCATGTACCAGAGCTGCAACCCCGAGTTCGCCGACCAGATGAAGCAGGAGGATCTCTTTGGCCCCGATGGGAAATATGAGCCATACAACAAGTGGAACGGCGTCGTGAGGAGCGACCCCAAAAGTGCAGATGACCTGATCACGACGAACCCTGGCTGCATCATGCACCTGGCGCAGAAGAACAACACGCTGAGCGCCGAGATTGACATTGCCGCTCAGGGCACCGTGATCCGTAAGAGAGATGACGGGACGATTATCGTCGACCCGGTGGAGCTGTGCAACTGCTCGGCGTATGGAAACCCGACGCGCAACTCGGATCCCAAGGTATGTGACTCGTCTTGCTCTGTTGTGTGGTAAGTGCTTCTTTGTGGCTAACAGAGATTACTAGATTGGGTCGATGATCAACTCGCTGGTGGTCAAGGGTGCCAAGGTCTCGATTGCCGACCCTGTGGCCATCTATATGCGTGAGTTTGCGGCATCCAAGTTCATGCTGGACGTCGATGGCACCGGCGAGAACCTGCAGCCCGTCCCCGCGGGCACCTTCACCTGGGTGCGCGGCGATATCAAGAAGTACATGGGCCTGCGTCTGCACATTCAGGTTCCCGACGGCATCGTGGGCACGGGCGACAGCGCAGGGCGGCAGCTGACGGTGAGCGACCTGGTCGACACGAGCAACAGTCAGAATGTGCTGCACGGCGCCCAGTTTGCCGACTACATCACGATGAGCGTCAACGGAGTGATTATCCCTGGCGGAGAGCCGGAGCCGGCGCAGGAATGTCCCTGCAAGTGCAAGACGGAGGCCAATGGAGAAGATGAGGCTGTGAAGATGATGGCTTCATCTGACGGGATGGAGCGATTCCAAGGCCGGATGAGAGTGTAGAGGCCATGGTGACTCGGCGAGTGTCTGCCCAGGCGGGGGGGGATGTATCTAGCAGCAGAGGTTAGTTGTGTGCTTGAAATGCAATTTGATAGAGCATGTTACCTTGTAAAGCCTCCGAAAATCTACAGGGGAGTGAGAGATGAACCATATTCGTCGTGGATGAAGCTGTTCAAATCGCATTTGGGAAGAGTGAACAGAGATCAAGTGCCGTCATTGATGAAATGAGTTCAGCATTCAGGCACGAGAAGCTGGTGGATTGATGGTGGATCCGCTGGGTACGTACCTGCAGCGGCTTGTGCAGATATGGTATAGTGCAATGCTAGTCCCTCAAAGTGCCCGCGATCCGACACCCTCAGGTTGTATCTATGTACCTTCGTACCTCGGTACGCTCCTCTTCTTCAGAGCGAAAAATAAAGACGAGATCAGTCAGAATCTGGGTAGCAACCTAGGATGGATGGCACCAAAGTTCAGTCTCGTGATGCAAGTAAATTGCGTCGTTCTCTTCCATCTGCTATCCCATCTTAAGAGGCTCTATTTTCACCCTTCATCAGCAGAACACCGTTGCATCATGTGGTGGTACCTTACTACCTAGTTTCTATACCGAATATCATAATCAAAGTCATAATGGGCCAGATGTTGGAGCTTAAGACTGACGTGAAATCACACCTGGTTGTACTTTTTATAATCCTACAAGACCTAAGTAGTGAGAAGTTAAACAGGATTCATTATTCTTTCTTGGGCAGTTACGATCTCGAAGGAGGAAGTAACAACGAACAGAAGAAAATGGAGGCACTCTAGGGTATCAGTGTTCAGTAGCCCCGGCTTCTGTCGCAAAGGTGCCTGATAGAACGCTTCGACAGCGACATCGATCAAGGGTTCGGATCATGGCCGATATACATATTTCCCTTGGTTTTGCGTGATTCTATCTGACAGTTACTATTCGAAAGACAGAGACAATGCCGCGGTTGCGAACCAAGACTTGTCGACCAACATCCATCCTCCTTGTAACCAGACTTTTCCAGTCATGCCAGTCATGAATCCAGCATTCAATGCTCAGTACGAAATGTATCCACCCCATGACAGTTCAGTTCAACCTTGCTGAGACACTTGAAAACGTCAAAGCGAAATCAACACCAAAATGCACAGAGCGGCCGCTCCCTAGCGCTCAAGCGAAAAGCCGCCCTGGTTGGCCTTGACCCGATCTCAAGGAGCTCCACTACCTGTCAGCCGTTTTTTCTACAATCGGACGTCCAGCCCAGCTCGAGCCTCTCAACCACCTGCTAGCCTCGATCATCAAAGGGTCTCGTGCCGATGAACCAGGAATAAGAGGCTCCTGGTTGGGCGGAGATTACGAGTGAAATGCCGTGATTGGCGATGCACCGGGACGACCGAGTTGCCACGCAGAAAGCCGGAGAAAAACTGTCAGCTAGGTTGCCGAGTTTAAGCCATCTTGATAGACCGTCAAGGAAACTTAAGAATCAGAACGAGGGGGTAGAACGTATATATAAAGGACATGTCGAGTCAAGAATGGCGCCTCCCCCGAGATGACAATCCATCATTGATACCCATCGCCTTCTCTCCTTTCCTAGGTACTTTGAGCACAACGACATCGACATCATGGGAATCTTTACACAAATGTGGCCGCCCAAGCCAGCCTTCACGGAACAGAACTTGGGTGATCTCACAGGCAAGGTATGCGACTTCGCGATCCTCTGCTCGCCACCTACGCTGTGAACGGTTTTGCTCATGCATAATAGGTCTACATCGTCACCGGCTCCAACACCGGCGTTGGCAAAGAGCTCGCGCAGATCCTCTACTCCAAAAACGCTGCCGTCTACGTCGCGGCCCGTAGCCAGGCAAAAGCCACGGAAGCCATCGAGGACATCCGCAAAGCCTTCCCCGCTTCGACCGGCCGCCTCGAGTTCCTCGCTCTAGACCTGGCCGACCTGGAAGCCGTCGCAAAATCGGCCAAGGAGTTCATCGCGCGGGAGACGAAGCTCGACGTCCTGTTCAACAATGCCGGGGTCATGCACCCGCCGCAGGGATCAGTGACGAAGCAGGGCTACGAGCTTCAGCTGGGCGTGAACAATCTGGGACATGTGCTGTTCACGGAGCTCCTGACGCCGTTGCTGGCTCAGACTGCGGCGAAGAGCGCGCCCAACTCGGTGCGGGTCATCTGGGTGAGCTCTTTGTACTCGGAATTGGGATCGCCCAAGGGCGGGATTGACCCGAATAACCTGGGCCTCACGAAAAAGGAGCAGAGCATCTACTACAAATACTCTGTCAGCAAGGCGGGCGTCTACTATCAGGGCGCAGAGTATGCGAAGAAGTACAAGGACAAGGGGATTATCAGCATGGTGAGTCTAGGCTATGAGAATGGCAGGATGCAATGGGCTTCGATGGGATATCTTGCTAATATTCGAACAGAGTGTGAACCCCGGAAACCTCAGGTCTGACCTTCAGCGATATGGTGAGAATGGAATCATTCACAAAATCAGCAAAAGGGTCGTCCTGTTTCCCCCAATCAACGGAGCATACTCGGAGCTCTTCTGCGGCCTGTCTCCGGAAGTGACGGCAGACAAGTCAGGAAGCTATGGTAAGCACCCGTGAGGTTGCAGCCCTTCATAGCACAGCCTGTGAGCTAACTTTATCGACAGCGATCCCGTGGGGAAGATTGGCCAGGATCCGAGAGGACATTGAAAAGGGAACCAAGAGCCCGGAGGAAGGGGGAAGCGGCCTGGGGAAGATATGGTACGACTGGTGCATGGAGCAGGTTGGCCCGTTCATGCAGTAGCTTCGATGCCATTCCCTTATTTTGCAGTGCCATTGATCCATATTTCCATTTCCTTCTGTATTAGTATCTAATTAGCATCTTATTCCTATGTCCGTTAGTATTTCACTCCAGTTACACAGTCGTCAGCAGTTCCTCCAAATGCATGTCCGTTGACTCCGCGATCCACGAGTCAAGCTTGTCCGAGTTCACCGTGAGACTCATCATAGTCAATCCAAAAGGATCAATGTCTTTCACTGTCGTCCTCTCAAACAGCCAAGCCGTCTGAAAAGGCACCGCGAACAGGGGATCCCTTCGCTCTAGCATGTTCCTCCACAATGGTGCAGAAGCTGCATCCCAGAGGCCACGTCGAGCCGTAAAGTCAATCGTTCCGTCGCAGTGACCTTTTCCGTCTCTCGATACGAGATAGATGCACGTCATGCATGTGCTCGCCATCCAGACCCGGCGGACATTCTCCATCAAGATCCAGATGCGCCACAGCTTGACGACTGCTTCTGTTTTGTCCTGGGCCATGAGGTAGTCGCCGCCAAACGCGTTTTGTACCGTGACGTCGATGTTGACGGAGTCCCAGAGCTGGACGGTCCAGTCTCTTAGCAGAGGGATGAGTTTCTCGGCTTCGGCTCGTTGTCGGATGTGGCCGTCGTAGAGGCGTATGAAGACGTATACGAACAGGGACAACACTCTGGCAAGGTGTTGAATGGTCGAGAGGGGCGACACGGCGACAAAGGCCTCAGCAAGCAGATCTTTCTCAGAAGAGTATCTCTCTAGTAGGGCATCGGTTTTGTCCTGAATGTGCTGCATCACCATCTCTTCGTTGTTCTCGTTCTTCGTCCCGTAGACTGCCAGGGCGGCATAGGCATCTTGGACACAGGGCGGCATTCCCGTCTCGGCGAACAGGGACCTGTGTATCATCGGACAGTGACCTGACTCGACCCATTGCATCAGCCATTTTCTCACGCAGCGAATATACTGCTGCAGGATTGAGCCGCGAACTGCGGGAAGCCGGGGCGGATGCGCGTCGCCGTGGTAGATGACCCAGTGCTCGACCCGGAGAAACCAGGAGGCTGTGCAATACGGTGGATTGAGGATGCCGTTGACATCTTTTGAGTAGCCTCCGCCGTGGTAGTTGTCATGGCTGACTTCGGCGTCCAGCAAGGTTGAGAGCGAAGACTCTAGCAACGGCGTCGCTTGAGATTCTGCGCTTCTACTGGAGCTAGGACTCCCCATCTGGGGCGACCTGACGGCTCGACGTGCGTACGGACGGGCCACAGAGTATCGACAGGTGACTTGCTTGTCCAGACATCGCTCACAGCAAGGGCGATTCATGTCACAGCGTCGCTTTGCCTTCGTGCAGGGGATACACGCTCTTCGGCGGAGGTGAGCGGAATTGGCATCGGAATCGGCGTCTCTGCTGGGTTCGAGCTGCATGTCTGCTCTCTTTGCTTTGAGATGCGTAATGGTAACTTGCGGATGATTTGCCACGATTTCGTCTCAATTGGAGACCTCAGTAGTGAATGGAAGATAGTCGAGGCTGGTGCGGAAGAAAGTGACGGAAGATGATGCTGAGAGTTGGCGGGAAAAAAGCGTCCGCTGGCGGCAGGTTTATAAGCGGCGGAACATTTGCGGAACTCCGGCCAAGATGGTTCATTCATGCTCTGCAACGATTTGGCGGTTCTCACGATGAAGCATAGGAGCTATAGAATTTGGCTAATTTGGGAACAAAAGGATTCTCAAAGGATAGAATCTAAGTGATGTGTGAAGTGCTACAGGGGTTGATTTGTTGTTGGGCAGTTGCTATTGGGAGATGGTGAATCCCAATGCTGAGCAATGAAGATTCCAAGGTCGAATATTCGACCACCACTCGCTATCGCAATGATAACTTCATACTCTTTTCTTGAATATGAATCCGAGATTGTCACAATTCTATTTCTGAATCGTTCTTTGGGCTCAATTCGTAACATTTGCATACACTGACAGGCCCAGACCCCAACTCACACGATCTTCCGCCAATTGCCCGCAATGATCCGCTGCCGGAAGTCCTGCAAAAACGCCATCCAGCCAGCCCCTGCTTTATGAGATCGAGATCCTATACTCCGAAGCCAAAGGGCAGCTGTTTCCTTGGAAGATGCCCTTGTATAAGTAGCTCCCTTCTTCTGGCGTATGCCCTCATCTGGATTCAAGTCGCCTCATCATATCCCTCTCATAGCATCTTCCCAATCTCTCACACAACAATAACCGCCGCCATGTCTCTTACCGTCGCTCCTCAAACCAAGACCATCCACAATGCCGCATATCCCGCCATTTCAGCCTCCCGCCCAGAGCTCTCCCAAAAAGGCCGCGTCGTCTACGTGACAGGAGGCTCCGCAGGCATCGGCCTCGCCATCTGCCACGCCTTTGCCGACGCCCAAGCCGCCACCGTCATCCTCACCGGTCGTCGCGAAGCTGCTCTGAGCGAGGCCGTCGATGCCCTCTCCAAGGAGCACCCAAAGACCAAGTTCATCGGCCAGGTCCTTGACGCCGCTGATCGTCCGGCCACGGAAATGGCCTGGGCTCAGCTTGAGAAGGATGGAATTCTCGTGGATGTCTTAGTCTTGAATGCCGCCTTTGTGACGTACAGACAGGCATCCCTGGTTGAGCTTCCATATGATGAGGGATGGCCTAGCTGGGTGACCAACGTTGGAGCCAACTATGACCTTATCCAACGGTTCTACCACCAGAAGAATCGTGTCCCAGGCCGTAAGCTGGTACGTCATTGTTTCCAGTAGTTGAAGCCTTATTGATGCCGTCTTCCTTTATCTGCCAAGCTCATACTGACATCTACCCGATGGATAGTCGCTCGTCAACCTCTCAACCATGGCTATTCACGCCTTCGAACAAGTCAGAATGTTCCCCGCTTACTGCGCCTCAAAGAACGCCGGCACTCTTCTCGTCCAGCTCTTCGCCCAGGACGTTTCCCCGGACGACATGCAGGTGCTGAGCTTCCACCCAGGGGCAATCTGGACGGACGGGGTGAAGAAGAGTGGTGTTCCCAAGGAGGCTTTCGCATGGGATGATGGTATGTATTATGTCTTTTCTGTCTCTCTTCCCGCACTTGCATGGCCAAAGGTCAGCTGACCGAAATATACAGAGACGCTTGCATCGAATTATGCCGTTTGGGCGGCCTCAGACGAGGCCAAGTTCCTCCATGGACGATTCACATGGGCGGCCTGGGATGTGGAAGAGCTTCAGAGCGAAGAGTTCAAAAAGAGGCTTGAGGAGAAGCCGACGTACCTCCAGGTTGGAGTCGTTGGTCTTTCATAAGGGTCGTAAACAGCTTGGGGATTGTTTCGTTGTCAACCAGATGTTCTGTGGAGCGCTTGATCAATGTACAGAAACAATCGTCCGCAGACAAGGTATTGCGCGCATAAAGCTCGATGCACAAATATACTCCTTTTTCACAGCTTGGATTGCCCCCTCTGAGTCAAGACATGATGAAGTTCGTCTGCTAGAGCAAGGAGCTTCTCGTCTTCAAATCTTTGCCCGACCAACTGTACTGCCAGCGGCAAGCCGTGGAACTTCTCGGCGTCATATAGCTCCTGGATTGATCGGTCCAAGTCACTGTAGCAATCCTCAAGTGGCATCCCGACGTCCAGGCTCTTGTCCACAGACTCATTCAAGGGTATCGAAATACCCGTCCAGTCGACGACGTTCATGATACTCGTAAAGGCAAGCCAGGTAAACTTGTCAAACGGCACGGCCGTATGCGGTGCATTGGCAAACAGGATGCCATCAAGGGGTCTGCCGCCGTCCGGTCGCCAGAACCCCTTCATCTGCATGGCTATGCGGATGATCTGGAAGTTGAGCTCATGTAGATATTGGACCGTCGGGTTTGGCTGCTTCAACCTGGGAGTTATTGCTCCGGTCTCTTGGACGATCTTGGTGTGCGGCTCAGATTCGAGCAGTTTGCGCATATGGGACAGATCCATAAACTCGCCAACCTCGCGGTGGACATCCCACGCTTGTTGAAACGGAGGGGGCGACAGCTCAACCACCTCGTATCCAGCTCTCCTAAGCCTGTCACACGCAATTCGGAGACCTCGCTCGACCGGTGGATGAAGATGGACCACGTCAGTCTTGAGCCAGACGCCGATGCGAGGCTTACTGGGGCACGTAATCTGCATCCACGGATGAGGGTATATGAACGGGCTGTCGTTCCACGGCTCCGCACTCGCCATGACCCTGGCCGCGAGCCTCGCGTCTCTCACTGACCTGGCAAGAAATCCAGAGACCGCCGGAGGTCCCAGAGCCGTTGTTCCCATGATGCCCTTGCCCAGGATTCTCTGGCCGTCAATTGGGATTCTGTACGCGCTGGGCTTATATCCGACGACGCCGCATACTGCAGCTGGAATCCGCACACTTCCCGCCGCATCTGTTCCCAGCCCCAGGGCAGAGCCGCCCATGGCAATCAGTGCGGCTTCGCCTCCTGAGGATCCGCCTGCTCCAAACTCAGCATGATGGGGATTCAGGGTACGGCCGAAAACGATTGAGTCGGTGTCCGCAGTCAAGACGGTCTGGGGAACCGTTGTCTTGGCGATAATAACACAGCCGGCGTTGAGCAGCATCTGGACAGCTTGACTCGTTGATCTGGCGGGTCGGAAGCAGAGGGACGTAATTCCCAGCGAGCTGTCGTATCCTTTGATAAAGAATTGGTCCTTGACGCTGATCGGAAGGCCGTGGAGAGGTCCGACAGTTCTCCCGCGTCTCTTGTACTCGGCATCCAGCCACTTGGCTCGGGCGACGGCTTCTTCAAACATGATTTCCGTCAAGCAGATGGTCAGCTGCTGCGCAACGGCGGCGCGTTTGCAGAATGACCGAACGACATCCTCAGCCGTCACTTGACCGGCAGATAGCAGCGAGAGCAATTCAGTGGCGTCTCGAGCGGGACTTGTGAAGGCGAGATCCTTCTCTGAGAGGATTCCGCATCGAGGAAGATAGTCTATCGGCCTGGTCCCAGGAGGGAGTGACTCTGAGAGAAGCCATTCCGGAGGGATTTTGGAGTCTCGCTCGGCACGTTTGCGGGCGGCGATGTCCTGCCAGGATGATTGAGGCATTGGACTGAGTCGGAGGTTGTTCGCGAGTGAGTCGGCTAGGTGTTGAAGGAGAAAGGTTGAGAAATGGTATGGAATGAAAGTTTCTCAGCCATTGCGTGTCGCTTCTGAAGCCCTGGTACGCGTATGCCATGCCGTGAGATTATAGGGCATTTTGTTCTGTATTTACATGTAATCATAACCATTTCCCCAACAGCTGGAAGAGGCCGAAGGTGAAGAGGATTACATAACGGTTGACCGGATGCTGAAAGATACGAGATTTGCAAGAATCCGGAAAAATATGGTGATTCAATATTGGACTATACTCAGGGATAAATCGTGCTTTATCTCTTGCATGTTGCTGTCTATGACAACTTGGTCTCTTGCTCGTCAAAATTTGGCATTGCTTGTTCCTTGTCGCTTACATCTAAGACAGCCGGCTGACCGAGCAATGATCGAAGATGAAACCACCAAATCGACACTTCTTTTCCGCTCCAGCTGCTACACGTGTGAATTGAAAGAATTGGCGACCATGTCATTCAGTAATTGCTCAACTTGAAGACTCCAAGTCAGTTCATTACGATCGGAGCTCAGCTGCTGTTGCTTGACACTGCTGCTAGCACTAGCCACTGACAAGCTACGCCGGAGCCCAAGGAGCTTGGGATTCCGTAACTGAGTTTTGACATTTCCAAGATTCTACTTCGCACTCCGTAAAGCTTGCTGCGATGGGCTGTTGCTCAAGGGAACAGTTGGAATCAACCGCCTTCTCCCCGTGTGACAGACAGACAATACAGCGACTCGACAGCCTCGGGAGCCCTTGATCGTCTCCTTCTGAAACCCAGACAAGCAGCCACAATGCAACGTTAACCTCAGCATCCCCCCCACTCGCTTTCTCGCTCCTACTGCCTCAAGTCGTACTGCCTCGTACCTGGTCTGTCCCTCGCTCTAGAGTAGGTAGAAATTCCTTCTGGAGCAAGGCCCTTGTGGCTGGTCTCCTCCCCAGACAAGTGCGGGGAGACGGGTGCCAGAGCTCTACCATCCCGGGCAGTAAGCACGCATCTCGTAGTGCCTGGGCCTGTGATAGCCGCCAACTAATGGAAGCCATACAGGGCCGGGATCCGCAGATTCTTGCCGTCGATATGTCTCCGTATTCGAACGAGGAAAGCAAGCATGCAGAAGAAGAGACATTGGTCTTCTTCGTTGCTCCTGCGAGCCGATTACAGATCGAGAATCAGGCCATCTTCAAAAGCAAATCCGTCAGACAAATCCGTCAAAGGAAGCAACGCCGGGCCGGTTGCTGCCAGAACGAAGAAGCGAGCGGGCAATGGCCAGCATGTAAATCAGGACTCAGTGGCCTTGTCTTTTTTAGAATTCTTCCCTTCTCCCCATCCCCGTAGACAGCGATTCTTCTCCTCTTTCTCCTCCCGCTCCATTGCCCGCCAATGCTTCTTCATGTCTTCGTCAATCTCCACTCCAAGCAGCTCCATCCCCTTGCCGCCATGCCGCTAAGCAGCTTTTCGTTTAGCCGGCCACATCTACAAATCCGGGGCACTGGCAAGCGACTGTACCTCTACAGCTGTCTTCTCCCTTTAGGATATCATGTCTTGGCTCAGGATGTCTCTCTGCTTCGGCTCCATAAGTATGCTGCATACTTACGCTGCATCTCCTGCGTCGACGGCGTCTTCAGGGGAAGACGCGTCTATTGAGGGAGATTCCATCGGCAAGTTTAATATGTTTCTTTTTAAGCTTCTGTCTAACTCTTCAGCGATGACACCCCTGCCACCCTCACTGATAGGTGGAACAATCGTCAAGGAGCCATGCTAATGCTTGCCTGCAGTCTTTCGACCCACGCTAGGGACCTTCAATTGATACCGTGTGGCATCAGCGATGCTCTCTCCGACCTCGAAACCACCACACCAGTCTCAACAAGCCGGGGTTGAAGAGCCACCATGTATGGCATCCATTCTGATACTTTCTGATCTGCGAAACGATTTGCTCGAGCTGACATAGACTTCGTATCGGCCAGCACTCCTTCCCTCTTGTACCACCCAGGGCTCCCTCCACATCACCCATTACATACATTCGACAGCTGGTGGCATTCTCGTTACATCGGGCCAAAAGCAAATCCCAGAAGTCGCACAAGTGGCGGGAGCCTTATCAGTCATGGCACTCCACTCCACGCCCTTGTACACCTTCTTGGTTGGTATATATCCGCCATTTCCTTGTTCTGGGCTCAGCCTGCAAGCTCGGAACTCACTGTCGTGTCTCTTCGCCCTGTTTCAAGCACGGCTACTGGCCCTGTTCGTGTCTCTCAGCCTCGCCTACAAGCTACGCTCGAGATTGTTGTCTCAGAGCTGTTACCTTTGTTCTCTTTCTCTTTTCCTTCTCTGTCCCTAGTTCATCTTGAGCCATCGCAGCAATCATCATACCCCTCGTAACATCCTCTCAGCATGGCGGACACCGACTTCAAGCGCGAAGTCACCCGACCCGACTCTGTTCATGACTTGAAGCATGGTGGGGCTACCGCCGAAGCCATTGAGGCCATTCGAGCCGAGCATGAGCTCACCTTCACCGAGGCTTTGAAGCTCTATCCCAAGGCCATTGCCTGGTCAGGCTTCGTGTCCATTGGCGTCATCATGCTGGCCTTTGATCCTCAGCTCATCGGAAACCTCTATTCGACGCCTCAGTTTGCTCGCGACTTTGGACACTTGTACAAGGGCGATGTGAGCGATCACTGTCTCTATTTTCGTCTTCATAGCAATTGACACACTTCTTCTGCAGTGGGTGATTCAAGCATCATGGCAAACCGCTCTCTCAATGGGCAACCCCATCGGCCAGGTCGTGGGTGCCCTCTTCGCCGCTTACCCCATGGATTATTTTGGCCGAAAACTCACCTTTGCCGTCTGTGTCATTCTCACTGCTGGCATCGTCTTCATCCAGTTCTTCTCCAAGACACTCGGTGTCCTTCTCGCGGGAGAGCTGTTGGCCGGTCTTGTGCTGGGCATGTTCGTTGTCATTGCTCCGGCATACGCCTCTGAAGTTTGTCCTACCGCACTTCGTGGCCATCTCACCTCGTTTGTCAACCTCTGCTTCGTCATCGGTCAACTCCTAGGCAACGGCGTCACTGCGGGTACCTCGAAACTGAACAACCACTGGGCCTACAAGATCCCCTTCCTTCTCCAGTGGTTTTGGATCATTGTCATTCTCCCCGGCATGGCTTTTATCCCAGAGAGTCCCTGGTGGTTGGTCCGAAAGAACCGCTTGGAAGACGCTGAAAAGTCCCTGCGAAGACTGGCATCGTCCAAGGTCAACGTTCAGGCTACCTTGGCCTTCATCGTGGAAACCGACCGTCTGGAACAGGAGCTTGAGGCTGGCAGCACGTACTGGGATTGCTTCAAGGGTGACAACTGGCGCCGCACTGAAATATCAATGGGCGTTTACTGCACTCAGGTTCTCAGCGGTATTTATCTCATCAATTATGGCACCTTTTTCTTTCAGCAAGCCGGCCTTCCCACCGATCGCGCCTTTGACATGTCAGTTGGTTTCTTGGGTAAGTTCTCGTGTCGCCCCTCTCTTTTCTCCATTTCTTGTCACGTTTCTCTTGGCTAATCAGTCTGATTCTTCGGCGCTTTAGCTGTCGGTTTCGTTGGAACTCTGGTCTCCTGGGTGCTCCTGATTAGGTTTGGTCGTCGGACATTGTTCGTGTCGGGGCTGGCATGGCTGGTCGTTCTCCAGTTCGTCATCGGCATCCTTGATTGTATTCCCGGTCGACCTTCGGGCGCCATCTGGGCTGAATCGTCGTTGATGCTCATCTGGAACTTCTTCTACGACATCTCCATTGGCCCCGTCTGCTTCGTTCTCCTCGGCGAATGCTCCGCCACCCGTGTCCGTTCCAAGACCATCGCCGCAGCCACGGCTGCTCAGGGGATCCTCGGCATCGTCATGACCGTCGCCATTCCGTACATGATCAACCCGGAGCAGGCCAATTTGCAAGGTAAACTGGGTTTCTTTTTTGGTGGTCTTGCCCTAATCTGCCTAATCTGGTCCTACTTCCGCGTGCCCGAAACTATGGGACGCACATTCGAGGAGTTGGATCTACTGTTCGACAAAAAGGTACCCGCAAGACAATTCAAGGGCTACAAATTGGATGGCGCAGTGTCCACTGGCGCAGCCTGATGAGGTGCCAAACGACGGAGTCGGCTGATCCCTCTTGGATATAAGCATCAATACGAGGGACGGAGAAGTGGGAGCTTGTGGAGGGTGTTTTGAATACTTCTTTCTTTCTTCATCGGTGCCTTGTTGGACGCAGCAGCAAAGCATTTGATTTGACGTGCTTGTTACGGAAGAGCCTTGTGCTACTAGGGACTGGTCAAGACGCATTTGGGGCCAAACAAATGCCACTTACGTCCTGGTGGGCTGTTGTTGGATCTCCGATGATGTCGGGCGATATGTCTTTCTGGATTGTTGAGGGAGGGCGGCAACACATCTTCTTGGACATTGGGATGGGTGGGAGGGTCATATAATCTTGGATATTGGGACATGTGGGAGGATCATTGTTTTGCATTCTTTTGCCGTTTCGTTTGCTTCTTTTTTTCCTCCATCTTGGGGTTCCTTTTCCCCCCTCTTGGTTACCCTTTTTCATTATTTGTGGTTTTGCGGACTTTCTTGGAAGTGTTCCCTTGTTTTTGTTTTTTGTTTACGGTTCCTTCTTGTTCTTATGATTCCCTTTGGTCTTAATGTCTTTTTTGGTCTTTTATCCTTCTATGGGGTTTTCCAGAGGGCGTTTCGTTCCTTTATCTTCATTCTTCTTTTCTGTCCCCATATTCTTTACTCGTTCCTCACCTTTGTGTTTTATTGTGTATTCTTCTCTTTACCTATGTCCTTTTCTTTTTCTTTCCTTCTCCTTATTGGTTATTTTCTCTGCGCTCGATTGTTTCATGGGCTTCTTCGAAAGGTTCTTTTTGTGTGCTTTGGATCACTTTCAAGTGCTTTTCCAGGGTAACCTTTCCTTGTTTGCTGGTTTCTCTTTGCTTCTGTTTTACGCTTTAAGCTGTCTTGCGGGCTCTTTAGAGACACTTCTTCTTGTGCCTTTGTTCTCTATGGATAGTCTTTGGATGGTCACTTTTTAGTGTTTTCCTGTTTCTCGTCTCGCCGTTTCTCCGTGTTCTATCCGTTTCGGGAGCTTTTTTTGTTATACAATTCTTTGTATTTCCTTCTCTTGGTTTCTTTTGCCCTCTATTGTTCCGTGGGCTCTTCAGAAGAGTGGCTTTTGGTTTTTTCGGGTGTCTTGACAGACTTTTCTGGAGACAACTTCTGGAGCGGTTTTTGGGAAGGACCTTTTTGGGGCGTTCTTCTGTGGGAAGCTGCTTGTTGCTCTTTTCTCTGTTTCTTCATCGCTGCGCTGGATTGTTTCTGGTTACCTTTTGGTCAGATGGTTTTGTAGTTTCTTGTCTGTTGTTCTGTTCTTTGTTGGAAGGATTGTGGGATTAGACAACCTTTTGGACTTAGTATATCGTAATAAACATTCTTAAATAACCTTCTGTTCCTTTTGCATATCTGAAATGTTCCCCACGTGGCATCATGAAGCTCGCTGATGCGATGTGGAGAGTTTGTCAATTTGTAAAAATATCTTGAGCTATCAACATGTTGTACAAATCCCCATGCTCCTCAACCCTAGTCTCTCTTCGTCGCAAATCCCTAGAATTGTACCCGGAAGGTACACTCCCTGGATGCTCGAAGGCATTACAGCTATCTAAGTGGTATACTCCGTTTCCCATTACTCCATAGTAGCACACATACCTTTAGATGTTGTGGGGAGAAATAAAGAAGAAAAGAAAGAGGGAAGAAAATTCTTGTGGCGTCTCATATCCATCCCTCTGAATCATGATCTTGGATAAGACCAGAATATTGAAACCCCTTAACCCTGTTGAATGATATCTAGAGCTCGAGGTTATAGAAGGGGCTTTAAAGGTTGGACGAAACGCCGGGAGAAATGGAGTCGAGCTTAACGAGGAGCTCGTTAAAGATCTTCTTTTGCACATCCTGGCCAAACTTGTTCGTGACGAACTTTGCTGGTCTGTTCGGACGGGGATGGAATGGTCAGCCCACGTTCAAGATATGGCGCGTTATATCGATAGAAGAATGGACAATGTACTTACGCTTGGACGTGGCAATTGGTCAGATAGTGGCCATGGCTGGATTCGTCCGTCCACACACCGTGTACCAGCGTTCGGCTGCCCTCCTCCGCTGTGCGAGCCAAGAGTTTCTCAGCCATCTTGAAGCCGGCGGATTCCATGTCCCTGCTGAGGTCTGACCTGCACCAGCTTGGGTTCGGGGTGTTGATGATGAATTTTCCTTTGCTGCTCGACTTTGTTCTCTCGGCTATTTCTCGTACGATGTAGAGGACGAGAAGCTTGGACAGGGGGTACCTGCCAGCCATGTCCGCTCGTTTCTGGTTATTGAGTCGGTCGAAGATCGTCGTCTCCTTCTCGTTGAGCTCGGCAGTGGGGGCCATATAATGGAGGGCGCTGTTGGGAATCACGAATCGACATGGGTTGCCGGTCTGCTGCTCTGACCTGCGCATCAAGGGCAGGAGGAGGAAGAAGAGGAGAAAGGTGTTGATGACATTGACGTTGAGCGTCCTCTCGTTTCCCTCGCTGAGGGTAAACTGGGTTGTCATAATGCCCGCGTTGGCCAGGATACCGTCTATCCGAGGCAGCTGAGAGGCCTGTTCGGCAAAGGCCTTGACAGCGTCCTGGCTATCCATATCGATGTTCCAGACTTCGATGGAGGATTCTGGCTTGCCAGTTGACTGGAGGATCAATTTCTTGGCCGCCTCACCTTTGGAGAGGGTTCGGACTGCCATGATGATCTTCCCTACGCCGAGACGGGAGAGATGGCGGGTGGCCTCGAAGCCGAGGCCGCTATTGGAGCCGGTAACTATCATGATGTGATCTGATAGATCGGTTGTCGCGGTGGGCATAGGGACGGTGACGCAGACTTTGCCATAGATGACGGATCCTAACCCGTGAAGGGCAGACATTTTCGATTATTTTGGAGTGATATTGGTCGTTGGGTATGGTTTGATGAAGGGAGTTAGATGTGGATGTTGGTTGCTTTATTTGTTGAACAGAGTGAATAAAGAGATACGAGGTTATTGGGGACTCGTGTTCAGTTTTAATGCTGTTTCTGTTTGCCTATTTATGAACATCGAAAAGAACTTCGCTGTCGTCACTAACATTCCACTGCCTTCAGTATGATACTCACATCGCGACATCTCGAACTTACACGAATCCCGTGCTTCCAACCCCGACGTAATTCCTAGCGGCAGCTTGCGGGTTTCCGTGGTGCTGTGGAGATACGGGGATAATATCTCCGTAGTAATGCTCAGGTAGAGAGGGCCAGCCCGTCGGTGGCGTTGCTGCGGCAGGGTCATCATTGGTCCTGGGGGATGCCGAATGCGGGATTCGTCGAGATAGGGACCTAGTCGGAAATAATATACCCGACGGAATCATTAAAAGCTCCGCGAGCATCGGCGGTCATGGTGCCAAGCGCGCGGTCTTTGCTCGTGGCAGTCCCTCTGGTTCGCATCTCTAAATCTTCCATCTTCTTCCCTGCAAACAGCGAGGCACATATCGCAAATTTGCAGACTCGAATCCGTCGGAGTCGCACAATGGAGTTTGGCCCCAGAAGGATCGAAAAGCGGAATCGGGCGCCTGTCTCGTGCGAACCATGTCGAGCTCGAAAGTAAGCCCTCTGAACGATAGCATCCCCTCAGAAGAGGAAGCCCCCAGCAGAGGGAGACCCTTCTCTGCAGCATGGCCCGTCAAAGACATGGCAGGAGGCTCATCTCTTACAGGCAAATGTGCAATCGCGGCCAGCCATGCGAGGGATGCACCAGGCGAAACCAGGCGTCCCTCTGCCGCTATGCGCCAAATGCCATTCGAAACAAGCCTCGGCCACCTAAGCCGGGCAACATCCAGGAGCGGCTGGACAATCTCGAGATGATGTTGACTTCGATAGCGTCGAATCCCGCCGCTCTTGGGATCGGGGTAGGAGGAGTCAAGACCGGCAAACAAATTGCGCCAAACACCACTACCACCACCACCACCACCACCACCAGAGGGTCAGCAGGTTTCCCACAGCATCAAGCATCCGTCACTCTACCACCGACTCGCCAGGAGGATCTCGTCTTACCACCCGAACAGCCTCATCGCCACGAATGTGAAAATGGCCAAGTCAGCTTCATAGAGCCCAGCCACTGGAGGGCCATCTTGGACGAGATCAAGGAAGTCCGGGAGCATCTGTCTGCGTTTGAGCGCCCCCTGCTTCAAGAAGAGCCGGATCGCAAGAGCTTCTCCCCGGAAGAAGGGGCCGAGTATCTCTTTGGGACATTCCCGGTCGTTGAGATGGAAGACGTCATCAATTCCCTGCCGCCAAGATTGGTTTGCGATGCTCTTGTCTCTCAGTATTTCAACGCGAAGTTCATGGTTCTGGGTAAGTCCTGGTCACTATAGAGGATTTCGGGTTGCTATTGCTAATGCTATCCGCATGTAGGCATCCTGCATCCAGGCAAATTCCAGAAAGAGGTCAGTTGTTTCCGGTGCATCTTTAATATCAACAGAATCCTCTGTCTACCTACAGTTGACTGACCAGACATGGGGTAATAGTATGAGAGATTCTGGGAAGCTCCCATGAAAGCACCTCCTCTCTGGGTTGCACTCCTCTTTTCCGTCCTCAGCCTTACGACGAGTCTCCGCCAAATCGCCTTTCCTTCGGAGAGCAACGATTCGGGACCAACTGCCAGCACGTTACAACAGCGGACCGTAGAGTGTCTCGTCCTGGGACGGTTCGCCACCGCAAACGCATACGCCCTGGAGGCCATGGTCCTCCATCTGCAAAGCTGTTACCTCACCCATAATAAGCTCACATCCGACCACTGGTTCGAAATGGGCACCTTGATCCGCCTCGCCTTTCGGATAGGCTATCACCGTGACCCAGATAAACTACCGGGCATCTCGGTCTTTGACGGGGAGATGCGACGCCGTGTTTGGCATAACATATTCCAGGTGGATGCGCTGATGTCCTTCCAGATGGGCTTTCCCAGCATGATTCCAACCGAGTTCTGCGACACAAAGGTGCCGAGAAACCTGCAGTTTTCCGACCTCGAAATAGGCATGACTTCGCTCCCCCCTGGACGACCGCTGTTCGAAAACACCCCCATCAGATACCCAATTGCAAAGTCGGGCATCATGGCAGTCTTCAAAAAGGTTGTTGCGCACTCTCAGTCTTTATCGCTGCCAACCTACGACAACACTATCATGCTCGATGGCGAACTGAGGGAGACGTATAACTCCCTACCTGAGATACTCAAAGCCAGAGATGTCAACCGTTCGTTCATGGATCCCTCAAGCCTCATCTTCGAAAGGACCACCCTCGAGATGCTTTACTTGAAGGGGCTCATTGTTCTCCATCGGCGATACATCAATTACGACGTCGACAGCCGTCGATTTGAGCACTCCAGACGAACCTGTGCCGAAGCAGCCCTCGATATTCTGGCTCGCCACGCGGATTTGCACCAGGCCTCACAACCTGGAGGGCGCCTGTACGACGACCGCTGGATGGTCTCGTCCCTGACCATGCACGACTTTCTCCTGGCTGCCATGGTGGTTTGCTTGGATCTTTCCGTCCGCCTTCGACGCCCTTCAAGTATCTTGTCGCCCGGCAAAGACCATGATGCCCTGACCAGAAGGGAGTATCGTGCATTGCAGACATCGCAAGCCATCTGGGCAGCGACCAGCACAATATCTCCAGAAGCAGGTCTTGCGGCTGCAGCGCTCGGACTGATGATACAAAAGGTAGCTGAGAAGGACGCCAGTCTTGCCTCTCAGTCCGTTTCCCCGCCCAGCTTGGCGGCAGAGAAATCACGTCCCGCTGTTTCTACCGAGGACCTCCCATATGCAGGCACTATGTCGCAGATGATTGACAGCATTGAGGGGCTGGATTGGGTGAGTGGCGTCTTGATGAACGTTTCAACCTTCACACAGAGATCGAAACTAACAGAATGTAGGGCCTTTTGGATCAGTATTTTCAGAATCAGCCGATTGATGGAACACGTATGGAGGGATTTGACCTGGATACTGGTGCTTCTCACTGGTTTGATATGCAGTAAGGCTGAGGGGATGGTTGCGCTCTGTGTTACGACCTCTTTCTTTGAACAAGTATATATCATGCAAAAACGTTGGACACGGAATCGCTGGGAATGATCTGCCACAGAAGCCAAATATTTTTAGCGCAGCAGCACTGTGATTGGGGAAGCTCAAGCTGGTACTGGTGAGGTATCCTAATCCTAACGGCTGGCAGCATCTTATGCGTTCAGACTACGTCGTTGAACACAGATTATCCAGCAAATCTACAAGCGCCAAAGCAAGGGACTACCTAGGCCTTTGAAGCCACGGATACTTCTTTCATTCACCTTTCGTTGCTTTCTCCCCAATTCCGGCCATTCGTCTATTGAAGTCCATGCCATAACCGGATTTTGGACAGCGTCATAAGTGTTGGGCACGAGTTGAGATTCTCGATTAGGGTCATTCATGAATCGCCGACTGTAGATGCAGGGGCCCAACGTGTGTCGAGTGGAAAGGGTAAAAGTGGATAAGAAGATAATGACGTTCGCATTGACCTTGAAAGCATCAGTTCTACACACAAGTAGTCGAGATCACTTTGAACTCACCTGAGAATGACCACATTCTTCTTGTTCTCCCCCGTTGAAAGAACCACCCTACACCGCCCGGCAGTTCTGCCCACGGTTTCAAGACACTTTGACTGCACCGACATTCTGCTCAGACCAGGCATCATCTTCCATCTCTCCCGTCGTTTTCACTCACACTTCATCAGCATGGAAGCTCCCGTTCCTTTCGTACTCTCTTCTGTCAATGCTCTCGGTGTTCTCTCTACACTCTCTTCGAATATTCTCTAGTTGTTTCCGTCTCCTTCGTTCGGGGTTGACCATTCTCCCTTCATCGACGCTCGCTCCCAATGTGTCTTTGTGTTTCTACGCTCTTTGATGCCGCGCCTCCCTCTTCCTTCTGTCATCTTTCCTCTTGTTGGGAGCCATCTTCCCGTCTTCTGCTTGCTCTCGATTGCTGCATGCGTTCGGTAAATTTATTCGTCGTCATCTACTACTAGACCTTTGAAACAGTGCCAAACTAATTCAATTCATCATTCGAACAGGTCCAAGATCTTAATATAATGCTTAGTTCTACCCCACGCTCGCCATCTGTATCAACAAGATGCAAGATATGCCTCCTTCATATCACTGATCGTCCCACCTGCCGATAACTCCATCAATCACCTTGCCGAACCAGAGCCCCCTTGTGGGATACGATTCTCTGCATTCGAGGATTTACCGACCGGTGCAATTTGGGGCAGCCCAGATTCTACACCCCGGGTCATCTACCCGTTGATGGTCTGTACGACACGACATCGACTGCCAATGGACTACAATTCCTTTCGACTTCCAATGCGTCTACTATTCTACTATCAAAGTACTCTTTCTGGAACGCCTTGTTATACCTAGTGGTATGTCGTCACAGCATCTATACCGTCTTATCATACCAAGGATACCTCACTGCTTGCTATTTGACCTCCTGGACTGACGCAACGGGTTGCACATAGACAGACACAGTGACCTGTCTGACCAGATCCAACATCTGGAATGACAACATTATGAAGAGCCAGATTCAACATCTGCGGGTACCGGACTCCCAGGATAAGGGCGTCATGGTGTGCCCCTGGGCGCGCCGGCATATCTAATACGCAGGCCAAGTGACCCGGATATGGACGGTCAACGCTCTTGGTTAAAGGAAGGGATTGTTCCCACGAACAGGCATACCAGCGCCTACGAGGGAAATACATCGACCTCCAAACCTCCGACCAGCGCGTCCTCTTCCCCCAAGACTACGGCTTCACCCCCTCCCCCACCCCTACAGCGCAGAATTCAAGCGGTGCATACATACCACCATTATGTCAGGAGTTATAGCACATCTGGGAGTTCGATCAGCGATACCCTTCCATCGGGAAGATGATCTTTCCAGTTTTTTCGCCTGGCTGGATACATGAGGGGTGGCTGGCCGTCGCTCCACCAAACCTTTAGCAAAGATTCAGCGCCGTAGAGGCTTGGCCTCAGCTGGCGACTGAGTAGCAGGGCTGAGCTTGAGAGGAGTCTGGGCAAGAGAGTTGACAGTATAGCGTGAAGTTTGGCCACGGTGTATCATCGATTGTCTTACCCAGGCTTCGCGCGAGACCAGCCCCTTCACTCAGTCGCCAGCTGAGGCCAACCCGCTACGGCATAACAATCAGCAGTCGAATGATGAATAACCCGACGCTCCTCGCTTCAATCATCAACTCAACAAATGATATTTGTCTGGTAAGTGTACCCTATCCTTTGTTCCTATACGCAGGATGCGACGGAATGCTGACCCGAGCTTGCATCAGGTCAATCCTAGCGTGGCATCAGCTAGATGGCCGAGCCGCGCGTTGTTCCCGTCACTATTTCGCGGCATCTTTCCAGATGTGGCATGTTAGTGCTGCCGCCCTCTAATCCCGACGAATGCGGCGTCCCTCTATTGGCCAGGCGAGACGCATCATCACAGCCATGTTGATCATTCAGCCAAGGCCTAGGAACATACAGAAAGATTGGTCTGGATTTTCGCGGCATCATCCCCAGAACGGAAGAAGCTAAACTCTGGTCATTGAGTATCCAGACACGCAGACTCCTGATGGATTTCTTCGCATCCTTTGCTTGTGCCTCCTCACCAGGCCCTGAGAGATATAAATTACAGAAAGTTCTCATCGAAAAGACTACAATGCAGTCAACCTCACTGCAATCCTCTATTGTCTTGACATATTCACGGTAGAATGTTGGCCTCAGGTCTTCGCTTGCTACTCTTCCTGGCTGTTATCGGCCGCGGCCTCTGTGCTCCTCAGACACGAACGTGCAAAGCCTACCCCGGTACTCCCTCTTGGCCTTCGGCTCATGCTTGGGCTTCACTCAACAAGACGCTCAATGGACGGCTCCTCCAGCCTGTTCCTCCTGGCGCAGTATGCCATCCCGACCAGCCTACCTTCAATTCGAGCCAGTGTTCCGAGGTAGCCGAAGAATGGAAGACGTACGAGTTCCACGTCGAGAGTCCAATCTCCGTCATGTGGGACAAGTTCGATAACTTCACCTGTCTACCAGAGGAAGATACACCATGCTCTCCTTCGGGCTATCCCGCGTATGTGGTGAACGCATCAAATGCAGAACATGTCAAGATCGGGATAGACTTTGGTAAGTCGACCCCTCCCTCTTCATTGCGTGTGAAAAGTAAAGTAGAGACGGGGTGACCTAACAATCTTGTTAGCTCGCAAGCACAATGTTCGTCTCAACGTCAAGAGTACCGGCCACGACTATTTGGGACGCTCCAACTCTCCAGGCTCGCTATCTATATGGACCCATCATCTCAACACGATGACATACAACAAGGTTCAGTACAAGCTACATGGCTCTGGCAAAGTCCTCCAGGGCAACTCCATCACTGTTGGTGGCGGATCTGAGATGTACAAAATATACGCTGCCGCAGACAAGCACAACGAGACCATTGTTGGAGGAGGCGGAAAGACGGTCGGCATCGGAGGCTACATCACTGGGGGCGGGCACTCGGTTTTTGCACCAAAGTATGGCCTGGCCGCTGACAACGTGTGGGAGTTGGAGATTGTCACTCCAGGAGGAGACATTGTCGTAGCCAACGAGGATCAGCATCCGAACCTATTCTGGGCAATGCGAGGAGTAAGCTTCAACCACTCACCCCTGGCTTCCTATGGCGACGCGACTTACTGATGACGAACAAACAGGGAGGTGGCTCAACCTTTGGCGTCATTACCTCAGTCACACTCAAGACGCATCCGAGCCCGAAGATTCTGGGCCTGCTTTACGGGATCATTACTGATCCCAAAGAAACCCTCGTCTACGATCTCATTACATACATCCTCTCCCAAACACCATACCTCATGGCGCAGGGCCTCTCCGGCTACAACTACCTCACGAGAGACATGGCGACGCCGATCCAGCTGCCAGGAGTTCCTGATCGCATAGCCGGGTTTCTAGGCTCCTCCGTCCTCCAAGACGTCCAAAGTCCCGACGCCGTCGAACAGCTGTTCAAGCCTCTCAATGACACCATTCGGAAGCGCTGGGCAGACAAAGTCCAGTTCTTTGTCCTCCCAACTGCCTACGACTCCTGGCTAGGCTGGTTCGACAACAACTACGACACCGACCCTGCCGGCGGAAGCCAGTACCTCGTCTCCCGACTATTGGATGGCAAGGCCTTGACGAAAAGCCCAGATAAGCTCAAGAGCGCTCTTCAAGCGGCAATGGCTCCCATCGGTACCATTGCAGCCTTTATGGTAGGTGGCAAGGGCGTCCACAAAGCGAAACCCAGGGGAGGCAGCAATGCCGTCAACCCTGCATGGAGGAATGCATACATCCATGTCCGTAAGTCTATCATTTCTCATGGCAAGGCAAACTGAGTTGAGGTATCGGTGCTAACAAAGACTTTTCATCAAAAGTAACCAGCCAACCGTTCGGACCGTTCAACAAGACTGCCGAGGAGCAAGCTATTGCGACTCTGGACAGCGAGTTCCAGCCCCTTCGCGATCTGACTCCCAACTCCGGCGCGTATATAAACGAGGCATGTCAATAACTCTCTCCCAGATCCTCATTTTGCCCCTGTGTTCGTCTAGCCCGTGGTCACGATGACTTAGTGCTGACCGAGTTCATGCCCCAATCTCTAGGCTTTCCCTTTCGAAAAGACTTGGCAGAAGACTTTTTGGGGTAGCAACTATGCGCGGCTCCTCCGCATCAAACGCGAAATCGACCCGACCGATATTTTCTGGTGCTCGCCATGCGTGGGAAACGAGAGATGGGAGGTACAACAAGATGGGAAGCTGTGTAGGAAGTAGAGTATCTCAGACCCGGGTAACCTGGCAAACGTTGTTTCTCCTCGCTCTCACCAGCCGCCACCGAGCGCATGGATAACGTGAATTGTGCTAGGACATGACTTGACAACATAGACGCGAAACTGCGGATTTTCTTGACCATCTTCGTCATGGCATTCTACAAAAAGATTTGAGACAGCCACCTCAGTTTGACTCAAGGAACAGGTTAAAGAAACTTTGCCAATGCATGCTCCTAGGTAAAGTACTGGCGGGGTGACTCGGCAGTATACAACTCCCGTTGCCCCTGAACAAAGCCTCGAGATTGAACAAGTGGAATTTGCTGCATCATAAAGTGAAAAAAAAAAATGACAAAGAATCATCCCTCCCCTCACTCCATTAAAGCCGCAGGCCAATAACAGACTCTCTCGTACAAACTTTTGGGTGATGCCCGAATCCTACCAGTCTTTCCGAGTTCAATTTCCGCCTCGCCAGACTGCATCCCTCGTACCAATTCGTCCTGCCTCACACAGCCATCATAAAGGTCGTCAGTAGGTAGATCGGGATCCCATCAATGCATCCTCGTACATATGCAGCAAATCATCTACGTAACCCCCGCGCATATTCTATAGCTTTCGTAAGACTTTACTGTGCCCAAAAGCCCTAACAAATCGTCTCAGGAACCGAGCCAAAGAGCAGAAGAGCGACGAGTTAGGTGGAAGAAGGGCGCCCAGGGGGACGGTGACGCCGAAGACGAAGCTCAGCGCGAACGTAGAATTCATGGAAGTCGACCTTGGAGAAGCCGTAGTCTTGCGGGGAGAGGGCGCGCTGAGAAAAGGGAAAAAGGGAGAGAGAGGTCTCCCACTGGCAGGCTGGGGCCTCTCGTAGACCCCCCGCCAAACCAGCTTCTTCAAATCGCAATGCCCAGGATCAGCGCCGGCCCGTCGTACCGCGCTTCGAAATCTCCGGCCGCTGAGGCCTCGGGGGACGGTTATGCCGAAGACGAGGAGGGCAAAGACCCGGGGCTCCTCCGATGCGCGCGAAGGACTTGTGGAAGTCGACGTTGAAGTTGACTTCTGCGTCGTGGGCGGAGAAGGGTGCAGCCGGCAGGCTAGGGCCTCTCGTAGACCCCTCACCATGCCGGCCACAGGAAACAGACGGTGACAACAAAGCTGTCGAGACAGGAGGAAACAAGATACGGCGACGGCACGACCGAAGCGGAGAAGAATATAGGAATGGCGGTCGTGGGAATGCCGAGGGACGAATCGTGATCGTGAATCAAATCGCTCAGGGTTCAACCAGCTAGCTAGAGCCTCTCGTAGACTCCTCACCGTGCCAGAGCCCTTGCCGTCGTGGATGCATATGCCGAAGAAACGATTGACAGTGGAAAGGCTGAGGCCTCTTGTAGACCCCCCATCACACCAAGCCAACTCGTCCCAGGTGGCAGATCGAAACAAAGTCATATAGTTGGTCCCAGGGCCGCAATTCTTACTCAGATCGAGGAAAACACGTCCATCTGGCGAGAGCCTGTGGCAAGCCAGGGCTTTCGGGTTGATGGTCTGCTATGTTGCTCGTGATGGATCGAGGCATGGAAGCGGCAATCTAGGACGAGAGACCCGTGTCAGTGACAAACTCAGCAGAGTCGTGGCTGTAATAGAGGATGACTCAAGAATCGCATGACCACTCACGTAGGAATCGAGCATGTTGTTTTTGCAAAATACACTTCCAACAGAGGAAGTCTGTGTTGCAGAGGAAGAGTTACGGCGGTTGACAGTGTGCATGTGGTCATAAAGCAGGAGTGTTTCTGCACGCCAGCGGTTGGATGTCAAATGTCGAGTAGAGGCCAGTGACGAAAGGTTTGCTGTGATCCGAGTAGGGTACTCCGGGTCGAATGTCGACACGGCTCGGGTCAACACGGGCTGAGTCGAAAAGGGTGCAAGTCGAAATGAGTCGAGTCAGGATGCGTCGATTGGACATGGTTCGAGTGGGAATGGTATGAGTCGTCGGAGGGCGAGGTGAATTGAAGAGGACAGCAGGACAAAGGCCGTGTCGAGAAACGATTGACGGTGGCAGCAAGTGGCGAACGTCGTGAATCGGAGAGATGTGCACGTTGGATCGAAAATGATTGCTGGCCTCGAAAAGATCATGAAGAGCAGAGATGGAAAAGATGATAGAGAAGAGAAAGTGTCGAAAGTCCGGGGGGCAGCCTCTATTTATACTGGGAGAGGAGACAGAAACACCTTCCGCCACAACCTTGAGGTTGTTTTCCTGGCGTAGATGCAGAAAGTTGATCTCAACAAACCAGAGAGAAGAAGTCAAGATCGACACAATCGTTGAGGTATAGGCGAGTGGCTGCCTGGGCCAGTTGCTCAAAAATGCCGGTGTGGGAGAACGAAAAGGGAGGAAGGAGGAAGAAGCTTGACGAAGGAGGCAGACGGCTGACGACAGCAAATGAGGAGAGCGAAGAGTCGAGGCGGCGGTCAACACATGCGAAGGACCTGCCCCTGGAGTCTGTACTCCTGCCCTCCGTAGCGGCCACTATCAGTCGACAAGATGGTTCACCGTCTCTTAACGCATGGTCTGGGCCGGTCCGTGCAGAACTTTGTCGTCAGTCCACTCACGGGAAGCCGGAAACTGCTCGCTTTGGTGCTCCCCTGTGGGAGGCAACAGCATATGTAGAAGGAGAACTAGCAGATTCGGAAGCACGAAGAGTAAGTTGCAGAGAGAAGAAGGCTGGGCTTCGTAACCATGGAAGAGCACTGGAGTAGAGCACACTGGATGGGAAAGACAGTTCCTACACGGCTCTGATTTCTTCTCTTCGAACACTATGGCAATTGCTGGCAAGGAGAGTGCAAAGCAGTGTAGTCTCCTGGATGCGGGCAGGAAAGGATGGTTTGCCTCTTGCGGAAGGGACACTGCGTTGACGACTGCAAGGCTGCGAGATGCAGGTGACATTTTCCTACTGCCTGTGGTTGTTGACGATCCAAGTCACCTTGACCCGGTCACGCAAGGCTGCCACCTGGCTGGCTGGCCCTCCGAAGATGCTCCCCCTTAGCACCTACTACGAGCACAGAAGCTTAGCGAAGCCATCTTTCAAGGTTATGCCTCTCCAGCTCTTCTCTCTTTAAATTCCTCGACAAATTCCTGGCCATCTTCTTGTTCTCTTCATCTTCCATCATCCTTATCCTCCAGAGCCAAGTCGCACCTATTGCTCTTCCAGCCATCTCCTTCAGTGTTTGCAAAGCCAGATCAACAAGCAGTGCCTCAGACTCTCTCTGATCCCGCAACCTACAGGCTTCTACTACAACATCCAGAAACAATGGTGAGCCGTATTCTCCTACAGCTCATCCCCCTCCCGCCCGTCACGCACAGAATACCGTTCCAAACCACCGAAATAACAGCACTAACTCGAGCAACAGTGTGTCAGGTGGTGGTGCAAATGCAATGAACCGCGCCGGCCGCTTCCAGTCACACCCCCCGTCCAACTCCGCAACAAAAATACCGTATATAAAAGACACAAGTCCAACACACTGTCTTGGACCGTGTTCTGCTGGTGGCCCTCCTGTAGCAGATCCGAGATACTCCACGCTAGTCCGCCGCTGGAATATCCCAACTTGCCACCTCTCGACACTTGATCTAGGTGAGCATGACGAGAATCTGTATGGAGCAGTTGTCCTGATCTGTGTCTAGTTGTCGGGGCTTTCTTTCGTTTGGGTCGGATGGATTTACGGGTTCACGCGATGGGGGCGTTATCTGCCAAGCTGTTGGATTGACATTGTTGACGAGCAAGTCTGTATAATACCTTCTATCCTAAGAGATGAACATGTATACTATTCAGTGATAAAGTAAGGGCGTTTTCGAAGATCTGGATTCGCATCGCCTTTGAACACTCGCCCGTAGACAACTGGCGTCTGCTGGTGCCTGCAGACCCTTAGCGCGAACAGCTCTATAGTGCAGTTCTGCAGACAATCTTACAACAAAATGGGCTCGTGGTCTAGGGGTATGATTTTCGCTTCGCATGTGAAAGGTCAGGGGTTCAATTCCCCTCGGGTCCATCTTTTTGCACTTTCACCACCTTTTTGTTGTTGTTGTTTTCTACTGATTTACGTCGTCAAGCCGTCCAAAATGTTCGTTTTTCTTTTATATCCTCGCCGTTATTGAGCTCGCTGATGGGCAGGTCGATTTGGCATGCGTGGTTTTTTGAAGTTTCTTTCGCTGTCACTTGAACTCGTTTACGGCATCGCACACATTTGCTCCTTCACACTATTGACACGGGGTTGACGAATAACGGGAAGCCGTCCAGTTTACAATCTTGTAGTCGATTCAGAAGTCTTGATACCATCGTGTATCAGACTGCATCCTCCTGTAGTACCTCAGTTCGATATATGGCGGCGTCGGCTGGGTGGCTGCAAGGTATTGTGAGTTCCTCCTTGGATACCATTTGAATCGCGAATTCCGTTCATCCAGAGAGTCCAAGGAGCTGATCTAATCCTCTACGATACCAGACCTACGCAGCATGTGTGATATGTCTATTCCGACGCCTGTTAAGTGCCACGGAGCTTGAGACTCCCGAAGTGTAGTTGAAACGCGAAGCAGAAGCGACGGAAGCCTTGCACCCATCTTGCGTGGAGGAGGAGGCATGGGGACGCGGGCGAACGTTATCCGGATATACAGACCTGACGCAACAAAAGAATGACCCGGAGATACCCAAAGCATACCATATGTTCTTTCGCATTGCAGAAGGATGGGATGCAGATTTGTCTGCCTCATCTACTACGATGGGCAGGTGAATCGGACTCAAATCGCGAAGTGTGTATTCATATAGTTATAGACAGGCTTCGCATGCGTAAGACTTTACCGTGCACATATGGCATGATAAACTCTCGTATGGCGCATGGACCCTGGGTCGAACAGGCCGCTGGGGTGATTCGGACGCACTTGAAAGCGAAAAACCACCTCTTCCACCATCGGGGTTGGGGCCAGGCCTCGAGGTTGGCCGCAACACTGATGGCTTCGTGCGTAAGACTTTACCGTGCACACATGGCGGGTGACGGGATCGCAGTCTACCCGTTTCACTCGATAACAAATTTCCACGTTTCAGGACTTGGTAGCCCACAAGCTGCTGGCAAACAAAGGTCAGGCAAGTTTGTAACCGGCAGACCACGAACAATGAGTACTTACGTGCGTATTGGAACGATGGTAGTTACGGCTGTAGCCAAGTCAACTCGCAAGGGGCGAGGACGATGGCGAGACCGTGTGACAAGGTCTCAAAGGAGCGGCGAAAACGAGCGTCCGATGTTGGAGAGAATAGCAGATTGACACGAAATGTTTCCAAGCGGAAGGCGTGTATAAACGGGCGCAGAGCTGAGTATTTCTGTTAAAACTTTCGAAACAGTCGAGCATTCCTATGGTTGGCCCACGCCTGGTGCAGGGAAAAGGTCAGCCAGAGTGAGATAAACAACTGGATGCAGAGGAACCTACTGGTGGGTTTGGATCGACATCAAATCTTCAAACGGAGTGGTAACCTCTGTCCGACAAGCGTAGTTTGCCAGAGTTGAGCAGCCATCCCGACGACGGGGAGAGGACGACTGGAAGGAGGGCGATGGTGAGAACTGTGGGCAGCAGGACATGAAGAGAGGAGAAAACGTCGCGAAGAGTCGCTGACAAATAGCTATAGTAGCTGAAAACGCTGTGAGAGCAGAAAAGGAGTGGCTTGGTGGAAGAAGAGAAAGGGTGCGAGATAGAGGAGGAAAGTTGATTCATGGGGGAAGTGGGGGGGGTCTCAGCAGCGCTCAGGGCGTTCAACATAACATCTTCCACACACCCAAACACTCCTCCTGCATTCGCCCTCGTCCCCATGTCGCCTCTTGATGGATTCACCGGACTTCACGATCCATCAACTCGATCGAAACACCCCACCTTCGCCCATCCATTTTCGCCTCTTGGATCGATCTGCTTCAGCGAACGGAACAAGTGGTAAAAACAGTGTCTGATCATGTCAAAAAAAAAAAAAAAACGGAAGTATTCGGCAACAGACATATGAACACCTTGTTGAACATTCGGTCCATTGCCGTTACGAAGAGAACATCAATATAGGCCAAAGATTAGAGACTAGGGCAAGATTTGGATGGGTAGCAAAGTACCTATGCCGGCTCATCGCGATTCCAATTGTGACATATTATGGAGTCTGGGGATTCTTCGGTCTCCATGTCAAGTCAAGAATGCAAAAGAGAAAATCTAACCATCGTCCTCCTCCTACTGGTAAACCTACCAGAGGTTAATACTGTCAATTAATATCTTAGGAAAATACTCCCATGGTACTGGAAGTTTGGGTTGTTGTAATATCGGTGAGTGTCAATCGGGTGTGCACTCAACTCGGTTCCGCTGCGCTCAACCGCCCACGACCAGCTACTCGAGATGCATCTGAGTAATTGCTGCAGCAATAACGACGAGACTAATTGTAAAGATACTTTCATCTGTTTTCTGCGGCTGTAGCAGCACTGAGGCCTTCTGTAAAAGCAGGATTCTGGCAATCCTCCCCCAGCTGGCAGGCCCCTTTTTCCATCACCAGCGGCGCACGGCGCATCACCGCACCAGAGAAGAGACATGGCTTTCTATCGACCATAGTGACAAGCAAAACCTAGATACTGAAGAAGAAAAAGCATTTGGGATGTTGATATGATCTTCCATCATCAGACACTATCGAATCAAGGCGTGATACACGACGTTGTAACCTGCAAAAAGATGCATCCTATGTCAACAGCACAGGAAACGAAGACTGCCACACGCAAGTCTCGAACACGGGACTAAAACAGTAAAAAGAAAAACGCATAAGACTTTACCGTGTCTAGCCGTCACGGTAAAGTCTTACGCTGAATGGAGTTCTTCAATCTTGCTTGATATACCTCCTACTTCTCACCGCATAAACCACAAGGGCCCTACCAATCTTCAATAGCCAACAATACAACCATATTCACTTGGAATAGAGGAAAGATCTTCTACTAGAGAATATTATAATGCTTCAATCTTCTACAACGGAGCTACCTTTCGTTTTGCGGTTTCATCCCATGCTTCTCCCTCCTCATCAGGAGCCAAAAGGGGCCACGCCAAACGGCAGACCAGACAAAAAGAGACACACACGCTCCGTGATCGAACCTGACCTCTTTCGAAGGGCAAAAAAGGCGGAGAAGTCGCAAGACTTCACCGTGTCACCACAAGGGCGGCACAGTAAAGTCTTACGACTTCCCCGCGATCTGAGTTCTGCAGTTCCTCTTCATAACCTCCCCCCACCCCCCTACCCTCCCCACCACAGCCATTCTGCTTCTTGCTATATCTCGTGCCATCTCTTCGGAACAGTCCTTGCCGTGTGCCTCGTGTCCGTATCTCTATGCCTCCTACCTTATCCCTTATATGACGAGTGCCCAGCTGCCCTCGAAACAGATTTTGCGGAGCATCTCGCCAACCACGTTCTCCCATTCGTAGGAGCCTCTCTATCGGCCTCGCAGATGCTCCTTCTCTTTTTCGCTTCACCGTAACTTCTCGCTTTCCTGATTTCTGCGCTTCTTTTCTCTGCCGCCGACCGCCTAGCCCAAGTTTGCCCCCCTTTTCTTCCAGTCTCTTTACTTCTTCTCCTCTCATCTTCCTCATCTCTGATTCTCTTTCGTCTTTCATCTCTCATCTTCCAACTCTCGTGTATTGTTATGGCATCAAACATCACCACAACCATGCCTTTACTTCCATTGCCATATGTGCACGGTAAAGTCTTATGCACCGGCCTGGCCAAGCCAGAGGCCCGGGCAATCAAGGCCCATCCACTGCCCCTCGGAGGGACAGAATATGGTGCACCATGCAGCAGTCCAAGTCGTCCGCTTGTGCAGGTGAGTCGAGTTCAGATCAGACATACAACGTAATAGTGTCCCGTTTCTGACTCAATTGATAGCCGACCCAAGCAAGGTTGTCAACAAGGATCCAAACAACGATGTCAAGAGTCGGCAGCTGCATTACCCTCCCTTCTCAGCAGCATCGCCACCGTCACCCGTCTTCCGGCCATCTCTGATGCTTTCCCGTTGCCATTTGTGCACGGTAAAGTCTTACGCACCTTGTCTCTTGGGTGGCAGTAAGGAGACCAAGCTGCCACCAGCCAGAGGCATAGAGCGTGCTGCACCCAGCAGCAGCCAGGTAAGTTGAGTTGAGACTCACAAACCTCATTGAAGTATTTCGTTTTTGACTGGTTTGATAGCCGCAGGAGTCGGCAGCTGCATCGCCCAACAACATTGCGACCTTGCACCCGTCTGCTTTCTCCTCCTTGTTTGCCGTCGCCATATGTGCACGGTAAAGTCTTAAGCACCACTTCCCTATCGAGGGAAGTAAAAGAACCAGCGAGGAAACCAGCGAAGAAGTCGACCGTCAAGGAAAGCTTAACCAGAGAGTCGGGCAGCCCTGATGTTCCTGCCAGCAAACCTCCCTCTCCCTCTGTGGTGTCCCATTTCACGGAAGGGCGTCTCCTGCCTTTTGAGCATGGGGTGAGAGCGGAGTGGCTGATATATAAGCAGATTTTGGGAAAATGAAGAGGTAGCGAAAGAAGACGAGTAGCGAGTTGTCGATGAGGAGAATGGGGATTTGGACGATGGGTGGGAGTGGAGTAGCCTGTTTGAGACCATACAAAGTAGAAAGTCGCCAATGAATTGACACTATGCTCTCTTACTCCATTCTCAACTCTAAATAGCCACACATCAAGCTCGTTCCGTGACTTCCACGTCCATATGTCTGATATGACTTGGCGCCCAGAGTCGCACGATCTTGAATAGGTACCTTAGGTTGCCAGCAACTCTTCGCTCGGAAGCAGGAAGAAAAGCACAAACAAAACCATCTTGACCGATCAATTCACAGCAACCGCAGGCCTGCTCGTGGGCCAACTCGATGCGCGGACTGAAGGCACTGTTGCAAAAGCCAAGGCTGTTAGCCAAAGGTCCGTCGATAAGATTCCCTTGACCGTTTGTGGATGGAGTTTGTTACACGTTATTCACAGAATGACAGTCGATCCACATGTTTCTGATGCCGCTTCTTTTCTTTGATCGGTCTTCTTTTCTTTGGTGAGTCCAGTCCCCTGTATCGAGTCGAGGGTGTACGCAGCTGTGCAACTGCATTCTTGAAGGAGATGTCTACGTGTCTTATAGTGCATGGCAGACTATCACGACTTGCTCGGGGCCTGATAGACATCTTGCACTTGAATCAAGAAGCTCTTATACCATAGCACAATGTCGCCCGCTTTCATATCCTGTTTGACTGATCTATAAACACCGCCAAAGAGTGTCCGATAACATATGATCACTGCCCAGCCTTGAACTTGTCGTAATTCACCACTGATTCGAGAAGTGTCTGGGCTCCAAGAGCGCTGTTCGTCATCGAGCTGTCAGTATAACCTTCGTCCATCGTGAGAAATTTGGTTGTCTGGCAAGCTTACCAATCCTCTGGACTACAGTACTCCTCAGGGTGGTGACTGACGCCATCTTTGCAGGGAACAAAGATCATTGTCGTGGGGCATCGGCCACTGGTATTGACGCTGTCGTGGCCGGCTCCGCTGGTAATGTGCAGCCAGCCGTCGGATCCCACAAGATCCGTTGCAGCCTTCTCGACCATCTTGATGCAGTCCGGGTCGAATTTTGTGGCGGGAGAGTCTGTATCGACGGTCCAGTTGACTTGAACGCCGCGACCGTCTTGCCTGGCGATGTCTTTGAAGGCCTCGAAGCAGAGGCTCTCCACTTGGTCGACTACCATGTCGTCGGGATGGCGGATATCGAGGGTAAAGGTCACCTGTGAGGCAATCGTATTGGTGGAAGAGCTTGGGGGAATCTTGAAGACGCCGGTGGATGCCAGCGCGCCGAGGGACTTTGCGATGGAGTTGGAGGCAACGATCATCTTAGATGCTGCCAGCAGGGGGTCGCTGCGAGACTTGAGAGGCGTCGTTCCCGTGTGAGCATCGCGGCCGTCGACGGTGACGGTGAGCCAGCGGTATGCCTGGCCGCCCTGGACGACGCCAATTTTCTTACCGGTATCTTGGAGGATCGGGCCCTGTTCGATGTGCAGTTCGAAGTGGGCTCCCAAGGGATACCCGGTGGATGAGCAGGCGACGTCTCCGATGTAGCCCAGTCTCTGCAGCTCTGACTTGACTGTGATAGATGGATCGAAGATATCGGCTAGCGAGTAGGCTTGTTCGAGCGGAATCTTACCGGCCCAGACACCAGAAGCCATCATCGACTTGGGAAACCTGGCACCTTCTTCGCTGTTCAATGAGTCAGACTATAAAAGACATACAAGAAGGGTGCTGAACAAGCCACTCCAACGAAGGTAAAAGCGGAAGCATCAGAAAGGAGAAGAGAGTTATGGCAAGTTTGAACATACTTTGTCCAATTGACAACTCCAACGTCGTGATGAGTCTTGTATCCATTCTCTGCAAACGTCCGCAACACCTCGACAGCAGCCACAACTCCCAAGATACCGTCGTATCGGCCACCTCGCGGTTGAGTGTCGAGGTGGCTTCCCATGGCAATCATGGGGGTTGGATTGGGTGTTGACCCTCGTCTGCTGGCGAACATGTTGCCGAGCTGATCTACGACCAAGTTGCAGCCCAGCTTCTTCGTCTCTTCGGCAAACCAACGGCGAGCCTGGGCGTCATCATCGGAAAGCGAAAGCCGCGACGTGCCCGTCTCCGTTGGGCCGCTGTTCATCTCATGTTGTCAGCTTGGCTGAGGTCATACCGTCCGCAACAGTTGCTGGACATACCTTCCATATCGATGAGCTGCTCCCCATTGGCACGTGTGATGGATTGTCTCCTGGAGTCTGTCGGCGTTGATGCGGAGGCCTGAGGCCGGGGCGGAGATGTGAGAGGCCGAGTAGAATCGCTTTGCGGCAGTAAACGCTGCTTTGCGTGGGATGAAGGGCATCTTGTTCAAACTATGAGATAAATGCAGGCTCTTGGTCGCAACGGGTCAGCCAGAGGAGATGTCACAGATGGGCGAGAAGGTGTTAAAGCAGCAGTTGATTGTTTGACTGCGTAGATAAGAAAAGCAAGGAATCAATGCGCGTGGAGTGTTGGGCATGCTTGTAATCTGGAGATGCGCCCTCCGCCTTCCAATGACATGAATGAGAAGAGTTTTCGCACACTAGACATGAGTCGCCAATGCGTTCATTCTGAACTCTTCGGCAGCCTGCAAACACCAGAAAGGGAGATCCACATGATTATCTCTGTTTGACTGAATTGAATCCGAGGTTCTCCGGAAACTTGGGCGTTGAGAAGCAGTTTTTGTGCCTCCCAAGATGGTGACGATTGAAGATGGGGTTTCAAGTACAGTGTACCGTGAGCTGCACGGGTTTTGGCCGGTCGAGCAAGTAAAGATACTGCAGACCCCGCCAATTCTCAGGTACCTTTCCCCCAAGCAGGATGGCGGGGTAACTGCAGTGATATCGGATCAGATGAAAGAGAGTCCAAATCGATGATATACCACTCTACTCCGTACCTTACACAAAGACACATATTATCTGATACGAAACAGCTGTGCAAGAGCTTATACTAGAATTGACGTGACAGAATGTAGGGCAATCCCTAGACCTATAGACATAAGGGGGGAAGGGGGAAATAACCCGTCTTGATTCAATGGCATTAGTGCATTTAAAGAAGCAGTTCCAGAGTATTTCTTGGACAACGGAATAACAGCCTATATTCTGGTCTGCCAATACTTAAAGAGGTTGCAGAGAAGATTTTGGGGGAGGATTGTCTAAAAGAAGGGGGACGAATAAGAACAAGGGACAATCTACCCTGACGTTCATATTGACTTTTTTCCAAATCGTGAGATTCGCGCGCAGAGTGTGATAGATGATAGACAATGGAAGAAGATCAGCTCACTTGGTTGATCTCAATTATGGGCATAATGGCAGGCACTGATCATGGTTGAGCGTACGTGCCATCGGATAGGATGCTCGGCTCACGCAAGGGTAGTCAACGCTGGAAATAGCCGTTCTTACACGCACAGAAGAAATGCCTCGATCATCCCGCTCGATGCAGTTCGGACGACTTGCGTGTTTAATCGGCTTATCATCCCGACTTGGTCGAGTGGTATGGCGAATCGGAAACTTCACATTGATGAACGTTGTGGGCACCCGCTGCTCATTGTCACGCCAATGTACATATCACCAGAAAGACCGAGCCAGCCCAGGCTGATTCACTCGATTGACAGGTTGAGCAGCTGCGCATACCGCTGATGTGCCTAAAGAAGAAAGACCAGCGAGAAATGATAATAAGTATAGATACATAGAGTCAGTTGCTTGCAGCGAATCTGAGTAGAAAGATCCCAATCGCTTCAGTGATTGACATTCTAAGGTGATTGAGCTATTCGCACAACGCACACCTACCCGGTATCATATCACACAGTGAGCCTCAATCCCCAGATGCAGCCGATCTGACGGGTGCCAAGGCAGGCACGTTGAACGACCTTGCAGTCAACCTGCGGGCATCGGAGTCTGCGGCTCTTGATGGCATCATGCCGGCAGCCGAGCGGTTCGCATGACGGAGTCGGAATCGAAGCGGTTGGTTGGACAAGTGGGAGAACGGAGTGGAGGAGGCATGGCGCTATCGCGGGGCCGAAGACAGCGGAGAAACCAGTGCACAGGTGCTGGAGCGATCAGTTGACTGATATCCAGTGGGAGCAATGGTGTTAGATGATTGGAGTATTTGGTAGCACACAACTATTGCGTCATTGAGGCTTGTTGCAAGATGGCATTCAATCGTCAACTGTCTCATCTCGAGGCTGGAGAGCGAGGGACCAGAGAGATGAGAAACCGAGAAGCTGGCGGTGGGGTACGTAGATAGGGCTGAATTTGGCTGAGGAGTGACTGTGGCGCTGTGTCTGTGGCGCTTGTGGTGCTTCTGTCGTTAGGGGCCCAAGGGCCTGTACCTGCATCTGTGCTGGGCAGGTGCTGCAGATTGAGTACAGTGGACTTTCAGCGGCATCATGGCGCATCATCTTATCGATGAAGATTCCATGCAATGACACTCGACACGAGGGGAAGGACCAAGACAAGCGAGGGCTCGATACACACGAAATGATATCATCTTGTCAATTACCCCTTACCGCCCAATGCGAAGAAATGACCACCTTCTCGAAGCTCTTCATCTCCAAGCTTCGCGCCACAAACAATTCGACATTTGTCTCTCTCAGCTGTCGACGGACATCAAACGCCGCTGCGATGGTGCAATCATCGCGCTCAATGAGCATCGGCTGCTTAGTTGCAGATTTTGCTTGGCCGGTGGGTGCACGCACTGATGACCGTGGCAACGGATGCTGGCAAAAGTGTCCATCCGTCAGCATTTGGCTCCAACGCCGACGAACTGCTCCATGACTCGGAAGCCACCGCCGAGAAAGCGCCTCCAACCGGGGCCAGGTTCGCATGTACATTCCATAAGCACTGAAGTACGGAGTAGCGCGGTGAGGGAGCTGGAGAGAGCTTGGACGTTCGGCAGTGGACTGATGGAGAGATGATACAGTAGATGATGCGGCGGCTCGACGGCGTTGTCTCAACATGTCGATTCGACGATTGACTCGACACTTTGTGATGCCGACAGGCGGCCAGCGGCGAAGCAGAGGTGCTTGCGCCTCGGCCCTCGTCCCGTCGCTTCAATACCTATCCCGGCCGTCATCAAGCTTTCGATTACGTACAAGAACAATTGCGCGCCTATGCTACATCTGTCGAAAGGTGCGTTCTCTGCTGGTTCTGGATTCCTTTCCGGGGTGCAGGAGAAGCTTCAGCTACTGCGTGCTAGGCATGGCTACCAACAGCGGCCTGCAGATCCCTGCGGCAGTTGCACACCTCTACCAAATGAACGCCGCGCCGGGTGGCTCTCGAGCTTCCAGGGCTGCCAATGCCATGCCTGCCCTGTCAAGCCTTATCCGGGCTTCGTCGTCACCAAACCTGTATCCTCGCCACGCCTCATTGGAGCCTTGCCGTCGGCCTGTCTCCCCAGTGGGGAAATCTCTCGATCACGCAATCGCCTAGCCCAGCGGCCAAGTCCGCCCACGGAACGCCCTCACGCAGCCATCGCCAGATTTTTCTTCGTTTTTGCTCTGGGAGGGGAGCATTTTGTATTAGATAAGGGCATGGGTTCTTTTGTTCTCGAAGGCGCTAATGGATGCAAGAATCTCGAACCTACTTCATCTGCAGAGTCGCCGCGTCGTGACATCCTCCTCTTTCCTGCTGTCTCTTTTTCTCCTACGCTCTCTCAGCCTTCTATCACGTTCCGCTTTATGGGGCACTGAGACCGAACGAGCGGTTGCTTTCACAGCAGTTGATTTTCGATACAGCCGATAGTGAAGCCACACCCGTTGCCAAGGCGCCGGCATTGCATCGCACTCGTTCTGGAAGCTCATCACGATACACGAGATATCACCAGTGCTAGAGAAGCGGAAAAGCCTTTCAGTTCTGACTGCATTCTTTATAATCAACAGCACAGGAAGGAAACAAAGCCTGTGCATCATTCACAATGGGCTATCGCCAGGATTACCTCGGCGATGAGCAGACGCCAGGTTATGGCAAGAAGGAACACAATGAGGTCGGGGCCGTACCAAACGATGAACTTGAAGGCTCGACACACATTCTCCAGGATCGTCTCCGCCGCTCTCTGTCTGCACGCCAGGTCCAGATGATTGCGATCGGAGGCACAATTGGCACAGGTCTCTTCCTTGGCACGGGCAAGTCTCTGGCTACCGGCGGCCCAGCATCGATTCTCATCTGTTACGCCATTGTCGGCTTCATCGTCTTCATCACGATGCTGAGTCTTGGCGAAATGGCCGCTTTTTTGCCAGTTGCTGGAAGCTTTTGCACATTTGCTGGGTATGCATTTCCTGCGTGGTTTTTGTCATGAGAATGCTCGAATATGCTGACATTGCAACCCTTAGTCGCTTCGTGGACGATGCCTTTGGCTTTGCGCTGACGTGGAATTACTGGTTCAACGATGCCGTATCGACAGCAGCCGACCTGGTGGCCTTGCAGCTGATACTGCAATACTGGACTGACCACTTCCCCGGGTGGGCGCTGAGTTTGATATTCTGGTTTATCTTGATGGTCGTCAACATTGCCACCGTGCGCGCATACGGCGAGGTAAGCAGGCCTGTTTCGCGTGTGCAAAATCAGCTTGACTGACAGAATCACGAAACAGCTTGAGTACTGGCTCAGCCTTCTCAAAGTCATCACTATTGTTGTAAGTAGCCTAATCGGTACTGCAAAGCAGACCTGCATCCAGCAAGCTGACCCATGTCTAGGTTTTCATTGTTATGGGCATTGTCGTCAACTGTGGCGGCAACTCTGAGGGTCGCTACATTGGTGGCGAGTACTGGCATATTCCCGGGGCCCCGTTCGTCGGCGGCATCGGCGGGTTTGCGTCCGTCTTCGTCACTGCTTCTTTTGCGTGTAAGTGCCTGGGCAGCCGTAGCCTTGATATCTTGTGGTGCTTCTGGCTGACAAACATCTGTAGACGGTGGTACCGAGTCAATTGCCATCACGGCCGGCGAGACCAAGAACCCTACTGTCACCATGCCCAAGGTTGTGAAGAATGTCTTTTGGCGAATCCTCCTCTTTTAGTATGTCCCCCTCAACCCTCTGTCAATGGTTCCATGGCGGCTAACAGGTCCAAGTGTCCTCGCCGTTCTCCTCATCGGGCTGAACGTCCCCTACAACTATCCCGACCTCGATTCTAAGGACACTCGCACCTCGCCGTTCACCATCGTCTTCCAGATGACCGGCGCCAAGGCCGCGGGCAGCGTTGTCAACGCCGTCATTCTGACTAGTGTCCTGTCTGCCGGCAACCACGCGCTGTTCGCCGGAACAAGGCTGCTGTACACCTTGGCCATGGAGGGCCACGCGCCCCGAGTCTTTGGCACCCTCAACCGAAACCAGGTGCCTTGGGTGGCTGTTCTGACTACCGGTTTCGTTGCCGGACTCTGCTTCGGCTCCAGCTTCATCGGCGCCGGTCAGCTCTGGTCATGGCTGCAAAAGTACGTAACGCCGCCCCCGAGTTCATCCAGTATGATATCGCTAACGAGATCCTGTGTAGCATTGTCGGTGTTAGTAACCAGCTGAGCTGGATCGCCATTGGCATCACCTCGCTCCGCTTCCGCGCCGCCATCGCCCGCCAAGGCAAGACGCATCTGCTCCCCTTTAAGAACTGGACGTACCCGTACGGCCCCTGGTTTGCCGTCATCCTCAACTCGTTCCTGGTCCTGGTGCAGGGCTGGAGCTGCTTCAGCCCATCGTTTGACGGCGTCAGCTTCGTCAGCTTCTACATTGAACTGCCCATTATGCTGGTCATGTACCTGGGCTGGAAATTCTTCAAGCGGACCAAGTTTGTGCGCCTGGACGAAATGGACCTCGAGACAGACGTACACACGGCCGAAGAGCAGGTAGAGGAAGAGAAGGGTTGGAAAGGAAAGGCCAAGACGATTATTGGATGGTTATTCTAAAGCGCAGGCGTCGACGTTGTGTTTCAGGCGTTTCATTGTATCTTTTTTTCTGCGTTTCTCTCACGACACGATGACGATGTTTCCTTCGGGTTGGCAGCCAGCAGGATTTGTACAAAGCCATTGACTGTGTATTATAGGTAGTCGGATATGCTTACATGGTATACCTACATAACAAGGGATGACCGATGCCTCTTATGTGACGATTATGGGAACCCTTGTGCTTATGAGTTCACGTTAGCAACGGTCCAGTTGTTTTGTCAGAGGTGACAAAGGGCTACTAAACCGGCAGAGCGGCCAATTGATGGCAGGCCTGGCGCTGATTAGCGCCACATGTCATGATTATGTGCAGCGACGATTCCTCATTTTTAAGCAGCAGGGCGAGGCTATACCCAAAGCACGTGGACGGACAAAGTCAAAATAGCCTACCAGCAGTGCCGTCGGGCGCACAATCTCCATCCAGCATCCTTGTCCGCAGCTGCAGAGTCCCGCGGTTTGCACGTATTTTGAGGGTCTCTTGGTGGAGCGCTCGGAGCACTCGCCTTCGGTCTGCTTCTAACAAGCTGTTGATGCGGGACTCAGTTCGTCCGGAAGCTGGGGTAAGGAATTGACAAAGCCAGTCATCTGGAGTAAATTGCTGGTGGTTTAGCTCTCGAGAGGTAGGCTATATACGAGGTGCTCTCCCACGGACAAGAAGTAGCCTATTCTACTTCCAGCCTCTCCAGCCGACGCGGTAGACCGACGAGAGCATCCTCTCTCTTTTTGAGCTTAAAAGATCGAGGAGCCCAATCCGTACATTGATTATTGTCTGGCGATGGAGTCGCTACAGGAAAGGAAGCCACAGGCAGCGGGCGACGACTCGACGGCAACCCGGGTCCCCACGGCGGTCGACTTGCCTCCCTCATCCTCCGACACTGCGGCATCCGGGCGACGGACGACAACGACCAAGATGGATCTGGCGACCTTTGACGGATCCTTTGCGCCGGCGGTGCGGCCGCGAGGCGTGAGGCTGACGCCGTGGTATCGTAGCCGAGACTATTTTGTCGGGCAGTGGCTGGACGTGTCTGTGTGGAAGTCAGCAGTGGGTTTATCCTGAACTTTTTGTCATCTGTTTTCAGCTGGTTCAAGTTTCAAACATCGATCGTTCAGCCGGTGGTTGCTCTGCTTCTTGATTCGATAGAAGTTGTGGTGCTTGGAGAGCAAGAAAGGCTGACAACTCTTGGTGATGCCTAGGTTGTCGAAATGATCGCAACTTCATGCCTCGTCTTCATCTCCGGCCAAATTACCGCTACCATAGAGGGCTACGGGACACCGCAGGTCGGCGGCTACATTGGCATTTCCAACATCATCTTGTTGTCGACCTTCATCTACGCCACGGCGCCTGCTTCCGGTGGCCACCTGAATCCGCTAATCACCTTTTCGGCGATTCTCACGGGTCTCTGTTCCGTGCCTAGAGGTATGTATGTCTTGTCTTGGATTGCTCCTGTTTGTTGAGTCACCACGGTTGAATCATTGAGTGGCCCGATTACTTACTCTGACTGGCTATCTACGCCACGTCAGTTGTACATGCATGTGTTCTTCTGACTTCTTCTGCCTTTGCCTTCATTCAGCGCGCCCTTCTGCCTTTGACAAGTCTACTGACTATCTGCTCGTGTTAGGCATTCTCTACCTCTCTGGGCAAACTCTTGGAGGCGCCCTTGCCGGCGGACTTCTCTTGGGCGTCTGGGGCCGTGAACGAGCAACTAGGTAAGTGCCACTGTTACCATCTCCAGCATCTAGTAATACTGCCATCCTATCTTGCGAAACCACGTAATAACTGTGCATCTTACGACGATCAGCCTGCAAGGTGGCGGCTGCTGGTACGACCCATCGCAGGCATCTCCCGGTCAAGTCTACCTCAACGAAGCCTTCTCCTCATTCGTCCTCCTCTTCCTCTCATTCGGCGTCGGACTCGATCCCCGGCAGGCCGCCCTCTTTGGCCCCCGGATGGGCCCTCTTCTGGTTGGCGCGTCCTTGGGCTTGGTGACGTTCTCGTCGAGTGGTATCATCCCCGGCTATGCTGGAGCGCAGATGAACCCCTCGAGGTGCCTGGCTTATGGCATCGCAAGACGGAACATGACATGTGAGTTCCTCTTTTTGAAAAGCTCTTCGTCTAGTGTTAGGTATTGCCTGTGAAGGGCGAATAAATGACCCTTGCGGATCTTTGCAGCCACAGTGAGCTAACTAGCCGATGCATTTGTTTGCTATCCTTTAGACCAATGGGTATGGTGGTTTGGACCGGCGGTGGGGGCTCTCATGATGGCGGTCTTTTACAATCTGATCCCGCCGCATCACACGGAACTGACGAAGCAAAAGAGCAAAGAGACTGAGCCAGACACGATGGCTGGGCACACTGACATACCCGTGGTGTGAAATGAGGGAGCGGAAACCGGAAGGCCGAGAATCAGGAGGGAGAGACATTGAATCCAATAAACCGGATCCCGGGTTGCGTCAAATGTGAGGGCGAGAAAAAAAAAGCAAAGAATGTGACCTAATATCCCGAGGGAATCAAGAAATGACGCGGCCGATCGAGATGCGCTGCTCAGCTCACCGGTCATTCGATGCCCTGTTCGTGGTTTGGGGGCCGCATCAACCGAACGGGATCTAGGCGGCTGATGGGGTGATCATTCGAACAGGGGCGAATCAGGATCACTCAAACTCCCAGATCGCGGGACATTCGAGCTATTGGGTGAGTTTTAAAGTTGTACGATCATCGATATACAAGGTTTTAATGGCGTTATCGGGGAGTTGCCAGAACAACAAAGAGCGCCAGAGGTCCCAGAAGCATGCATCATGACGTCCATCCATCCTTTCCATTCTCCGCAAGCTCGCCATCCTGTCACCGGTGGCTTCAACCAGCTACGCCTCATCCAGCACGTCAGCCAGCAAGCTGTGAGGATTACGAGACCGAATGAATGGATACTGCCTGTCTGTCCTCCTTGGAAGATGTTTGTTGCGAAAGGACGACGCAGTGTAAACTTTCGAACGCAAACGACCAAATTCGAGCCTCTCAGTGATGCTGCAGCTGAACTGGATGCTCCGCAGCGCCAGCGACACCCCAGTCAACCTCGGAAGCACTTGAGACAAAGAGGCACTTTGTGGAGATTACATCAAAACAGAAGTCCGGAGGGGAGATGGGACAAGCCGATCTGCTCTTTGCCTACAGATCGGACGTCAATCTCGGGATTTTAAAATGAACTTGATCAGGGCCGAGATCGTACAAGGTCTCCGGTGGGTGGCAGCCGATCACGAAGTCATACAGGTCAACACGCCACGATCTCCCGTCGCATCGAGGCTGAGCGAAAGGGGAGGGGCTGACTGGCTGCAGCTCTGCTCCACGCTTTTGTGCTCCCCTGGATGTGACCCAGGCCCGCCACAAAGAGGAGATCAGGGAAAAGCAGGTTCAGCTGCCGGTGCCTTGGCCAGATCCTCTTCTAGCCGCCGGCATGGGTCCCGTGTAGCGTGGGCGTCGAGACATTCTGAACACAAACATCCAGGATAGGAAATGGCACGACCGCGCCCTGGCCTACCCAGACGAAAAGAGAATCACGGTTTTCGTGCATTTAAGTACGACGAGTAAGCCGCCATGGTGTGTGTGCGACGCTCCGTTCTGTTCTTTACCTCGTGAGTTTATAGTTTATTCTCTCCGGAGGCGTTGATGTGCATCTTTGTGTTGCCTGACAAGATAGTTCGCCGGTCTGTTGTTCAACTATAAGTATGAATGTTCAATCCAACCCCTTCTTCTGGATATCTTGTCCTGTTCAACAGCGAAGTCTTCACAGTCACTACAGGGACTCGCTTTTCCATCCCAATCGCTGACACTTTACCCTTCAACGGCATCCCTTCGTTTGCTAACCAACTTGTCACAATGAAGCTCCTCGCAGTCACGGCTTTCCTCGTTGCCGGCTCTCTTGCCGTGCCCGCCGGCTACTACCCACCTCCGCCTCCGACGTACGGGGACGATCCCTCGGGCGAAGTAGGATACCCTCCCGAGTACCCTCCTGACTACGCTCCTCAATACCCCGAATACCCTCCCGGCCACGGAGGCGACGACGGCCCAGACGACGGAGACGAGTACACCTACGCGCCTACTACTTCTACCTCTCCTTCTATCCCTGGTCCAACCGACGGCCCTGACGACGGGGACGATTACAGCTCCACGGCTCCTGCTCATACTACCCCTGCTCATACCACTCCTCCTCATACCACTCCTTCTCCCACTACCACAACCGACGGCTCAGACGGAGACGATCATAGCTCCGCGCCTACTACCACTGCTACCACTACTACTACTACTACTACTTCTTCTCATTCCCCTCTCCCAACTGACGGCGACGGTGACGATGTTCCTGGAACCCCTGAGCAACCTCCCACCGACGGGGATAGCGATACTCCTGACGACGGGGATAGCGGCGACGATTCTGACGGCGGTGGCGATGATGGTGACGGAGAAGACGGTCCTGCCAACCTGTGTCCTGGTTTTCTTTATGGTAGCCCTCAGTGCTGTGATACAAGCGTGCTCGGAGTACTTGACCTGAGCTGCGATCCACGTATGTCCCCCATATCCCCTCTGGCGAAGTGCCTTCACTGATCTGTTCTGGTCTGTAATAGCTAGCAGGACCCCTGCCGACTTTGAAGAATTCAATGCCATTTGCCAGGAGAACGGCAGGCAGGCACAGTGCTGCGTTATCCCTCTCGTAAGTTTAATCCTTTGTTGATATCTCAACAATAGAAATGGAAGCTGATTCATGATTGCAATAGGCTGGCCAGGCCCTTCTCTGCCAGAACGTCCCCGCTCAGTAAGTTACTCGCATGGGGTTCTCAATGCTGGAGAGTTTTTCTTGTTTGGAAACTCAACTCAAGGTGGTCAACGCGGGCAAATGATGGGATAGCAGAAGGATATCAAGCTGAGTCACGGGTCGTTTGTGACGAGCTTCTGCGGCATACTTACTCTTCGAGGCTGGGGTCTATGGAGTGTGGCTTTGAGTCTCGCTGTTTGGATTCCGGTCATATTTACTTAATTTTATACTTGGCCATAATGGATACTTTGTATGCATACCTATGACTTCTGCTGAATCATGTCTGTAAGCTGCTCCATGTCTAGCGCAATCGAAAGATTTCTTTTCAATAAAGGGCTGATGTTGAGTATTGCTCTTTGTGTCTTTCATTGGACTCTGAGTCTTGTGCTTGATTGGTGTTGCGGGTAACTGCAAGATTGAACGGCGCTGCTGTTCGCAATCGGAGAAAATTCGTCTCCTGGCCATCTGTTATGGGCTGGCACAACAGCTGCGACCAGTGCTCAACAATTACCCCTTGAATCAGTTTGCCTACCGCTGCCCTCAGACCTGATTCTTCTCTTTCTTCTCTTCTGCGCCATAATCTGAGTTGTGGTAGTGGTCTGCTCTCTTCAGACGACAGGCTTCTCTACGACAAGAGCCAAAATCCTCTTCTGTTCTTCCCTATTCGAGGCTCCGGCGGTGAATTCCTTCCTTTGTTGGGCAGCGACTCAGACGGCGGATCCGATCCGATCCTCGAATCCGTCCCTATCGAAGGCCATACAACGAAGCAAACATCTTCCCCGCCCAGGCGTTACCTCGGCATCGATGTTCCGCGGTACTGGCATGCAGAAAAAGGCAAATCGGATGAGAGGATACCCAAGTATGCCTCTCCGAGCGGTCGAACGTGGTGCCTGGAACCTGTAGGATCCAGAAGTGCCACGAACAAGGGGATGATCGGTGATCAGTTGCTAGCAGTCTGTTCCTCCGGCACAGGCATGACTATTGGGCTCTACGAAGGCTCAGTGTCGTGCCAATTGCAATGGGAAGAGCAACGGTAATTCTCTGTGGTGAACTTACTTGGGAGAAGAAGCTGGCGACTCTAAGTTGTGTTCAGTATCCTCCTAGAGGTTAGCACCTCGAGGCTTTTGTTTAGGGAGGTGATCTCCAGCTATGCCGGCCGTATCGTAGGTTCTGATGGCTATCCAGGCCCGTAGCCATACGGGGTAGGGCTGCATGGCATTTGAATTGGGTTTAATAGGCTCTTTGCTTGTGCAATAATCCTGTCAGGGTGGAAGCGCGTGCGAAGTTCTCGGCCTCTCCCGATCCGGGACCAGTAACAAGGGAATTGGCAGTATATCATGAAGAAGTACTTGAGCCAATAATGCTGGGAATGGGAGATAGAAGCTATCAAGTTCGAATAGAACTGTTGCCCGCAATGGATACCTTCCAAAAGCCTTCATTCCATGCTAACCCTATTGGCGTCTCGGGTACAGGTCATCCGTACCAAAGGCAATCAAACGAGGCATAAAGCAGTGATCAATAACCACAGGCTTGCAAAGAGCTCTCTCGATTGCTCGGTGTTGTCTGATACGTAGATGGCTCCTGTCGGTACTCCTTCTTTGTTCAGCGGGCTGCGTTCAGCGCTGCAAAAGAGTAGGAACTCGATCAGTACTCGTTCAATGGCCATCGCAACATAAAGTAAGCTCTGTATGTCTCTCTGTTATCCACAGAAAAAGCTTCGCACGAAGTATGGTCTGGATTTACGCAGATTTTGCTATGGAAGAGGCTGAACTGCCAAGGCGGCAGAACCACTGATGGCAGCTGGCAATGGCGTCTCTGGCCGAACTCATCTAAATATTCAGAATCTACACAGTTTACAACATCGGGCGCGCAATACTGTAATCTCCTCGTAAAGCACACGATAGCTTCAACGCTCACGAAAGCCTCAACCACCACAATCGCCTCACCTCCACCCATACGCTCACCACCATAGGGGGGCATCGGCCAGCCCCCACAACACCAAGCAGACACCTTCCTCAAGCTTCAGCAAGTGAGGGGCAACGGAGCTGTCACTCCGTCAGGCTTTGCGATGTCGTGATGCATCTTGATGAGCAATCGACAGAAGGTGACGACGGATCGAATCAAGATCGTCATGAACATGCTCACCTTCCTCCTCCTGGAGACTCAATCGCGTCATCTTGGACCATTCCCAACCAATCTCGAGCACCGCAATGCGAACAAGGACCACCCAGGCGCGCAACTTCCTTCGGAACGCGTCCGTGGGTGAGGAGAGAGCTCGCTTCTTGGAACTACGCCTGCTATCCCTGGCCTGTCATTGGCCCAGCACAGGGACACCGACACCCGCCTGGCCCTGACGAGCACCGTCACGTCAGAGAGATTCTCGGAAGGTTGGTCTCCGAGTCTGGAGATCAGGAAGGAGCCCAGAGTCCGCTCGAGTATAAGTACCCCCCTTATCCCCCCGTTCCGTTTCCTCTTCTTCTTCTCTCTTCATCAGCTCTTCTTGGTTTATGGTCTTGGATACCATACCACATCTACATTCATTTGCTGCGGCGGCCCTCGTTTGACCCTCAATCCCACTCGGTGAGTGCATTGCTGTCCTCTCTTCTCCAACTTACCCTTTGCCCCTTTCCATCTTCCCTGTCGACAACGACTTCATCGACATGACTTCGACTTCGGCTTCAACTTCGATATCGACACTGTATCCATTGCTTTCGACTTGAACCTCAGCGACTCATCCACCTCATCCACCTCGTTCACCCGATCTCCACGACCGAACGATCCACGACCGAACCACGACCGAACCAAGACCGAATGCTCCTCCACGACCGAATACTTCACGGCCGAAACACATATATTCCAAGTCCACATATCCCCACACCCCTTTCGTCTTGTTCTCAGTAACATGGTCATCTTCGTCCTCTTCGACCCCATCATCCACATCCATTTTTTCCATCAGTTGATTTATGGCCGAGCATCCCTTGATGCTAACGTTCCTTCAGGAGCGAGGGTCACGTCACCCTACACGTTGCCATGGGTCGCCGCGGCAGGCTTCATTGTAAGTCAATCTGCCTTTTGAGGTGCTCAACTAACGATTCCTTCCAGCACAACTATCGGTGCTTCCCCAGGTCTATTGAGGCCTCAGTTCCCGGAGGTCCCAATCGGTGGTGTAAGTCCTTTGACCTTATTCGCTGTTTGCATTTCCTATGCTCAAGCTGACTTAGAATTTCCAAAACTTCGCAATATAGCTTTATGACGTCCCCTCGATCCCTGTTCTTGTCGTCCCCGACCTCCCTGGCAGAACACCTCCTCCGTCGTTCGTCGTGGCCCCAAATAGCTGTTGCCATACCTCTCTTGCGCCGTCTCCGACCTCCTCATTTGCTCGACCGAATTCTTGCGCCATCTATGGCCCCATCGACCGAGATCCGTCAGCATCGTGAGCTGCTTCCGCACTTCGTGGCGTCCATCGGCCGATTTCTATATCCATATCCACCCCTTTCCCACAAGACAGGACCTGAAGAGCCATTCGGGCTGTGTCCCCAGCGGCATGTACGACTTGCCAACCTCCCATTCTCGGGCTCCCAACGCGAATCGACGTCCCACATGACACCACGACCGCTCCGTTTACATCTTAGTCGTCTCCGGCTTCTTCAGATTTGCCTCCATCGTCTTGTCGTAGTCTTCGCTTTTCATTGCTCAACTGTGGATGGAATCAGGAGATGAAGCCGTCTGCTGGAGCCGCACACCAGGGAGTCTCGTCGATGGTCACACGACCTCAGCCCTTTGGATACAATCTTTGGATATGGGGCGCCGAGAAAACGTATAGAGGCTGTCTGATGTAGGGTTGGATGTTGGGCGTTTGGAGTTGGAGGCGTTGGAGTTGGAGGCGTTGGAGTTGGAGGCGTTTGGGTTGGATGTCTTTTTTTGGATATCGGTTTTGGATATTGGTCGTTCGGAGTTGGGAAGCGTTGGCGTTGGGGGCGTTTGGCGTTGGGGGGTTCAGGATTGGACGGTTTTGGGTTTTGGGGGTTCGGCGTTGGGGTGTTTGTTTTCTTTCTTGGAAAGGGGCTTCGCATTCAGGGACTGGGCTTCTTTCCATGGATATGAAATATCTTTAAACTCGAGAGCCATAGAGTAGCTGCATCAATAGACGTTACTGGTTGGATAAATCACATTTTCGTTCTGCCAACTGTGTGTCTTCATTGCTGCCGAGCTGCCGTACGCTGAGCGTACCATGTCACCCGCTGGCTCTGACATCTATTCGGCTGTAGCAAGCTGCAACGCTGCCCACAAAGTTCACTGTGACACGTTCCACCGGGCTTCTGTGGGGAGGGCATGACGATGGGTAATGCTCTATGGTACATTCTACTGACACGAAAGTATTTGGGGTTCAGAGTCGAGATGCGATCTGTAGGGTTCTCCTGAGGGCCGCCGTAAGTAGTTCATTGTGCATCAAAGTCGGGGAGACCTGCTTGTCGTCTTGGGCTGGTGTTCTGTCAGGCTTAGCATCGTCCTTGGGAAAGTCTTTCTTTGCTCGCTAGGAGGTAAGTCCAAGCGTGGCAGATTTATGACGTTCTTCAACGGGGCGACAGGTGTGCACAAGATCCAGAGTAGACTCGGCTGGAGCCAGAAGTGGGCAGAGTAGCGTCGTACGCTGTGGTGCGGATGTCGACGGTTAGGAGTTGCTCTAGCGAATAGAAGCTGTACGTCTTCTTGCAGATCGAGTCAGTCCGATGCCAATACTAGGATCTTTTGGTTGAAGCCTGTGCCATGGCGACGTATCACTTGGTCTCTGGCTGCCATCTTGTGTGTCATACAAGCAAGACATTGTAGCCTGACGCTTGAAGCTGCCTGGGCAAGTGCTCAACCGAGGCACCAGTCGAATGAGGACAGCAATAGCAGCAACGAGAGTTCGATTCTTGGGCCACGGAATGGCATTACCACCGTGCTTGACTTATTGAGCACTCAGAGGGACGTAAAACATTCCGGCCTTGACACTTCCGAGGGCCCAGCCAGGCAAAAGCTGGCAACACTGCCACTGAACATAATCACAACAGACACGGAAGCATTGTTAAACTGCTAGATAGACTCCCTTGCTTTGAACTCTGTCTCAGATTGAAGACAGAAAGAAGCAGAAATCTAGAATATACCGCCTTATACCTAAATTTCCTTTGTAATGTTATAATTGTTATTCTTTATAGTTTAACAACGTTATATATCTTTAACATAAAACATTACTATTATTTCTAGAAGAATATTTCTAGTAATACTATTGTATATAATTATTATAGATACCATTACTATTATCTTTAAAATGTATACATAATTATAATATATTTATTAAATTTTTATATCTAGTAGTTAGTGGTAGAGATCTCAGGAGAGAGCTAGGCTGCTACTAAATAACAAGACCTGGCTGGCTCTTTCGAAGCAGAGGGCCCAGTATTTCTGCTGGCCGCCCTCCCCCTCCTGTCGGTTTTCTCTCTCTTCATTCTCTCTCATGCTATAACTTCATCTCCTCATCTCTCCAACTCTCCATTCCTCCAATTGGTCTTCTTCTCTTCGTCCTTTATTTGCTCTCCGTCCTCGGTCACTCAAGCAAAAAAGCACTTCCCTGATCCCGGTTTTCTCCAGCTCGCACAGTTAATGTTTCTCCTCACTTTGTTCTCGTTTCTCCTCGAAGTTCTCTAACTTGGTGCTTCCAGTCTCTCGCTTCTCTCGGACTCATTCTCCACCGGATTTGTTGTTTCCTCGGTTGTCCAGCACACCTGGGGCGTTTTGAACACAAATGCTTCGCAACCTTTTCCAAAGTGCCACTGAACCTCCTCCTTCGATGTATGCTTGCCCTAAAATGCAATTGCTAGACTACCTTCACGCATCCTCGATGCTCGCACCCGTCATTCCCATCACAGTATTGTGTAGGGATTACTCTGCTAACTAGAAAGACAATAGGTGAAGCAGACCAGGCATCTTAGCTGCAAAACAGCAGTTGTTGCTGCTCCAGTCGCTGATACAGCATTCAAACTGCCACGACTCCTCTCTCCTGGCACCCTACCGCAAACTGCAACATCAGTTTAGAGAGCCGTCCCCGAGTAGATCTAACTGCCACCATCAAAGACCTGTATTCCAACAGCGGGAGATAAGTCAATGCCAACTCTGATCGCTGCGGCACGACAATCAGGACAGAGCCATGCTACAAGAGGGTGGCCTGTCGGGGGAGTCGCCCCAAACTGAAGTTCCCTTTGATACGCCTGAGGCAAAGATGACCGGCAGTGCTATGCTACCCAGAAGATGGACTGTCGAAGAGTCGGAGCAACTCGTCGGCAATGGTCAGGCAGCGCCTGCATAAGAGCCGCGACGCGCTGCTGATGGCCCATGCTACAAGAGGGTGGGCCGCCGGCGACTTGACAAGACGAAGTGGTGGTGTTAAGCGCATCTTCGCCACCATCTACGAGGAGATGCGGAAAAGGTCCTGAGAATTGCACAACCCGACGGCCCATGCTACAAGAGGATGGGCCGTCGGGAAGGACGTGAGTACGTTTCCATTTATGCCCCCCTTCCCATCTTGTCCTTTGTGTCGCTCTCCAGCCTCATTGTCCCTCGAAAGGCACTGACCAGACTCTCCTATATGCAGGCTTCGACAACCTTTGACACCGCGGCAGAGCGCTTTACGGCTTTGGCCAGGATACCTGGACTGAGCAGATCTCACCGTCGCCAAGAAGCCAGAAAGAACCCTTTCAGGGCCAACAAGATGCACTGGATATCTCGGTTTGGGTATGCGCAGAGTCGTGAAAACTACAATAGTGAGTGTTTCGGGTTGCGTGTATCAACGTCCAATACCACAATGCGGAAACAGTGCCTCTGGAAAGCGTACATTTACTTTCTTGCTCATCCTTCCAATGCTCTGAGTTTGCGAGTTCTGGCAGCGCCATGCTACAAAAGGGTGGCCTGTAAAGAAAGTTACGGCGAGCGGCAGCGCACCTAGGCAAGGGCCACAATTGGCTATGGACATCAATGTGTGAAAGTGGGAGGATGCGATCCTAGTCAGACACGGGGAGCGTCGGCTTCTGGCGATACTGAGGCATGGTCGGCTCAACCGTACTCGGACCTCATTTGACTTGCGTGTGAACGAAGATGGAACGGCGCAATGGAACCTGGGCAGTCATAGGATTTGCTGTTACCGAAGCCCGTCATGGCTCCGGTCGTTGGGAAGCCAGAGATTCCAGTACATATATTATAGTCGAAGTAGAAGATATAAGCATTGAATTATATCTTTTGCATCCTTAAGTTGACAAATTCCCTAATTTACGATCCGGCTACTGGGTGGAGGTGTGTGCCGTGGCGTGAGAGCAGGTACAGACAGTGCATCAATTTCGCCTCCAGATCGGGGACGGGTGTTTCTCCCCAGGACACCGTTCTGCCAGCAGGTTGATGAGCACAGCCGACGCCTTTGCTATCCGCAACTACCTAGCTAACGATCCTTTAGACAAAACCCCCCTCAAAGAACCTGACTCCTATCATCTCTTCCTTCAAACGAAGATGTTTGTCGACAGAAAGAAAAGCTGCTCAGCTCTTTGCTGTGCCCTACCTATGGCCCTCTCACGGGAATGAAGCTCGATACAAACTTCAGTGACTCCAGGCAGACGTATCACTGTGTGTCAGCATGTGCTGAACGAGGATATGGAATACGAGTCGACAGCATCTCGAGTCACCCAGACTCCCATTTGAGGCCTCCAATTTCGCGCTTCAGCTGCCCAAAAGACAACCAGAGATCGCCGTCCATACAAGATTCAAGTCGTCTCTTCCCCCAGGTGTCCCTGTGTGGCAGGACGATGCGTATGAAACGATCAGCACGTCTCCGAACCCATCAGAATAACCAGCCGCCGCCAGTGAACGGGAACCGAGGCGCTCCGTAAGACTGTCTCTTCTTCGATATCTGGGTAGTTGAGAACTTGCTGCCGACACTTGGGCTTTGGCACGGTTAACCCTTTGGTTCCCCTGGTATGTTTCTCTTGCATTTTCACTTCAGCCCCGAAACCAATTGCCCCGAAACCAATTGCATTCACATCAATATCGATTCCGGCGACTCAATCGTGCCCCCAGAATCTGTTGACTTTATGAATCATGTTTTGCACGGCAATATCACGGACCAGGCAGAGTGGCTGAGTGGTCTAAAGCGTTAGACTTGAATTATCTACATGATTCTCGCTATCTAATACCTTCGGGTGCGCAGGTTCGAACCCTGCCTCTGTCGCGTTCTTTTTTCTTTTTTCTTCCCCCGTCGATGATCCTGTTTTTCCTTTCTGCTTGGAGTCGATGATGAGGACCAGCTAGAGTTACTTACCTTGGGCCGTCTTGCACTTCCTCATACCTACTCCCCATTCTTGTTATAGAGGCAGACCAAGGATCTCGTGTGAAAGAGGTAATTTTTGCCCAATCGAGCAACATCCATACAGGCAGCCTTAGGCAGAAGCCGCTAAACCGGCCACCATCACCACCAAACTTCCGGGTACCCTTGCAGTCAACCAAAAACAAGAGGTCAAGACAAGATACATCCTCAGGTGGCTTCAACTGCGTGCATTTTCTAGTCTAGATTGTTGGTTGATCCTCACGAGCATTCAATCCACTGTGCTTCAGCATTGTATGAGGTAGAGGTACCTGGTACTTTGACAGCTTCGTCTCTTACCTTACCCTGAGATTTTGGTGCGAGTTCCAAGCAGCAAATCAATCATCCTGAATGTCTCCCAGATGGGAAGGAACCAGTCTCAATGACGGCATCGTCGCCAATTCAACCAATTGGATATCCCTCAAGTTGTTACGGATAGCGAAACTCTATTCCCCGAATACGCCAATGTCGACTTTTCAAGTACGAGGACAAACTTGGAAGTTGCCTCTGCTTCACAATATCCTCATGACGATGCACCGCTTGAACCGTGAGATACCAACGACTTGTCCATTCTTCGACTGTAACGATCTCCTTTTGAAGTTCTTCTTTTAACCCTTGTGGTCTGCAGCCAGCATCTAGCATCTGACTCATGGAATAGCTTTTTTCTCTGTTTCCCAAACGTTTACGATGCCCTTCAACTCGTCGCCATTCAAGGGTCCGACCGACTCAGACCTCGTTCTCGAATCCGCTGGCGGGACTCCTGACTTTACAAGCCAGGCCTAGATTTCAGCCTCTAGCAGCGCCCTTTCCATCATGCGAGACATAGACTGCTCGTCTCCCGCTTACACGGTCCGTATTGCTCGACCCCACGCGCCAAACGCTTCCCTCGGCATAAACTTGACCATGCTGACCACTTTTGTCCACTCTGGTGGACCAGTGGTGGGTTGACTAGTTTAGGCAGTGGCCGATTGGATACTCGAGCGAGACAACATGAACGACCAAACTACCTTGGTGAGCACAACTTTATAAAGGGTCGGCGGCCAGGACTGTTTTGTCCCTCAGCAAGTTTTAACGTCTTCACAGAAGCCTCACAACTCAAGTTCTCCTCCTCCGTTTTGCAAGTTCCCCCCCTCAGTCGCCTCCTTCCTACAGTCGTCATGAGTGTCATCGAAGATTCCATTCAGGTCGAGGAGGGAGATCGTCTCGCTTGTCTCTTGAGCCTTTGCCCGCGCTATGTCGTTGTTCCCCCCAACCCCCCAGATGGCATTGCTTTTGCGATGACGGGAGATTGTCAAGATTGGGAACAGTTGACCTACTGGCACTCTGGCATCTCTAACTGCAAGCCTGGCATCTGGAAGGCAGAGGTCAAGAGCATTCCTGGAGCCGAGCGAGGAGATGCCGACTACGAGGCATGTCTTCGTTGGGTGGCAGATTTGGACGAAAGCACTGAGCTCGAGTTTGACGCCTCCCTTGATGAATGGCAGGCCTGGGAGCAAATGTTCAAAGACAGATTTGACGAATCTGTTCAATGGGACGAGGACATCACCTGGAAGCACGGCGGCACTTACTACGACGATGGAGGCATTTTCAACGTCATTTCCACGGCGTATCTGACCCGTGAAGCGGCAGCCAAGGTGCTGGGTGATGATTTTAATGAAGACGAGTATGACGGATATTTGGAGGTGATTACCCTCAACGACAACCCCATCAACGAGGAAGATTGCCAGAGAAACGAAGGCTTCACACTTGGAGGACTCCATTGTAGGTCATCCTCCTCTGCATGATGAACAGTCACTGACTTTGCGTTGCGTATCAGTTATACAAGACAGCATCGGCGGCCCACCTGCGATTGCCCTGGCTGAAAAGGATGGCCAAGTCGTTGCGATCAAGCTCTGGAGGGGCGATGCCGAGACTAAGGAGGACACTCCTCTTGAAAAGCAGCCCGGCCAGCTCGTTTTCTAGTTATTATGACGACGGAGAGTCTGTAGTTGTGACTTTACAAATCCTTTTCCCCTGGGTTCCTTTGCTTGTCCACCTCCTCTGTCTGTTTTGCCGCCGTTGCCCTCTGTCAACTGGAGAGGATCCTCAAATTGGAAAGGCCTAAGCCATTTATTCAAGGCGCTGAAACCGTCAATTCTGAATATACTGGGGATCCAATTCCTGCCAGGCAATTCGAACGACTCTGTCGGCTCGTCGTCCATCAGAAGGGAACCGAGTCGCTAGCTATCACTAGCGATTACTTGTGCAACATGTTCCGCAACGTTGTACTCATATACTATGCGCGTGGGCTTCGCCGCTATGCTGGGAAAGAGACCTGCCGAACCAATGTCAATCTTAGTTTCCGGAGGAACCATCTTACAACATTTTCAACTTACCCAGAACCTTGAAGAAGCAATACATTGCATACTCACGGATGATGCCCATGTCGCGCTTCGAATTCTGAATTCTTTTGGCGCTCTCGAGGATCTCCGTAACACGTGGTTTCCGAAGGTCCATGTACTGTCTCGCAGCCTTGGTGACGGCCTGTCTCTGCGTCGTAGGGCTGCTGGAGTCTCTCCGTGACAGTTGATGCGCCAGGAACAGCGCGAACGACTCACAGTCCTCCAATGCTTGTGATACACCTTGACCGGAAGTCGATGGAAGAGCATGGGCTGCATCTCCAAGCAAGACAACGCCATCGCGCTCCCAGGATGGCAGCGATGGCGACGTCCAGGTGGGATACATGTTTGTCACTCGAGCGGATTCAATGACTCGCTGAATGACTGGATCTTTCCACTGTGCGTGCCTCTCTCGCAGCCGTCTGGAGACGTCGGCCAAGTCCAGAGTGTTATGATCCGGGCATTCCTTGATCTCATATGTGGACCACCAGGCGAGTGTATCTCCTGGCTCAGACACCGCGTAAGGAGATTCGCGATTAGGATCCGAAGGATGACTCTCCGAGAAGAAATAGCCAAAGAAGCCGTTGCCTCCAAAGATGAAGTTCATGGAACCCTTTTCAACGAATTCTTCCAGGCCAGCTGCTGGGACGAAGCCTCCGATTCCGACAAGGCCTCTTTTCAGGCGGTCAGTATGTGTTGACCGAGAGTTGAAGGTGTATTATTGTGGCACTTACTCGTAATGTGGAGGATACGGATCTTCTGCAGCGTCCGGAAAAAGAGCTCTCTTGGTAATTGACTTGACGCCGTCGGCACCAATCACCAGATCCGCATCTACAGAATCGCTTCCGTCGACAAATTGAACAATGTTTCTCCCCTCCGAGTTGGCGACGACTCGTGACACTCGCTTGTTGACAATGGCCGCGTCGGGAATGCGAGTCCTCAGACACCTCCAAAGAGAGTGACGGCTGCTTGCCACCATGTTGAGCTTCTTCGAGGGACCCCCTGGCTCGTTCATATCGGGACTGTTGATGTCGATGCACATGAGCAGGCTCCCCTTCTTATTCTTCATGTTGGATCGCGATATCACATATCCACCGCGCGTCACATCCCGGAGGAGAGCTTCGTCAAGGCGCTGAATCACACCGAGACCGTTGGGAGCGATGCCCAGCCCGCCGCCGACGATGAGCGTGGACGAATGCGTCGCGCCTTCTTCTCGATCGTCTGAGATGACATCTTTTCCGGTGTCGTAGGCCTCGTAAATTGTGATCTCGTGATCTTCAGCAGATGGCTCGATCTTTGGCAAATGTTTCTTTAGTTCGAGGTACACTGCGCATCCGGCAATGCCAGCGCCGATGATGGCAATCTTCATCCTAGGCTCAGAAGAGTCAAGCTTTCTGCGACAGTTGACAGAGATGATGTTCCTCAGGACTCTGGTATCAAGACAATGTGGACAGAAAGAGATAGACGGCGCGATGAAGAACGGAACTATATACGCCTGGAGCTCACAGCCATAGACCCAGACGTGCGGACTATCTCAACACCAGGGCCATATCGACTCGCTTCACACGGTGCATCTCGAGAGAGCCTCATCGACAGTGGAGCCGCTAACTCGCAAAGCTAACCTGAGCGAGACAAGCAAATCTTCATATGTGATGCGCAAAAGGCCAGAGATGCAAACCAGAGTTGTCCGAATCAAACTGGGAGCTTGGGCCAGACGGTTTCCTCAGTATCGAGCCCAAGCCAGGTGGCGATAGAAGACAGCTTCTCCGCACGCCAGACTCCCTCAGCTACGAAGGACATTACCCCTGGTTGACCAATCCGGCTAGTGTTGCGATACGACAAGCCACTTTGGCGACAGTGCTAATTTCAGATGCTGAAGGTTGTGCTCATTCTGCTCCTTAGGCGAATCGCATCTGATATGATGGATGCATATCAAGCCGGGGGCGAACAGATGGGGCGAGCTGAATGTGACCATGGTTCCGGACAGTTGCCTTCAGTCGACGGAGTAATTGTTGAGAATATACGCCGCCACATGAGCAAAGTACTCGTTCGAGGGCGCCGAAATGTCTGCGAAGCCTCTGTTCTGATTCGTTTGTCCCTGGAGCATTTGAACAGCCACCTCTCTCTGCCGCGAAGAGGGACTCCACAGGGCAACGGTTTTCAGCTGCTGAACCAACATGATAGAGCTGCGGCCAGGTACAGAGGTTGATGATGTCTTGATCATGGCATGCGCTGATAGGATTGACTCTGAGTGTTGCTGAACACGCATAGTATACGAGGCTGCCTCGGGAGACACCAGACACAGCAAACGGAGCAGGATGACATTGGCCGCATCGTAGAGCGTGACCAATGCTGCTGATGCAACGTCATTGTATGGCAGCATGAAGTGAAAGGGATCAGAAGATGTCATGAGATGGTCGTCAGCTACCGGCTCTGAGGCCTCTTGGTTCTGTCGGCCGTCTTTGCGAGAAGCGTAAGAGAGGGCCTCTGATCGCCATTGATGGATCTGAAGTCTCGCATCCTGGATGACAAGATTAAGTTCATGGCACAAGAGGTTTCTCTGCTCGGTCTTGGATGTAATGAGACGGCTGGCAATGGACAAGCATCGCTGAGCAGCAAAGAGGATGTCGACTAGTCTGTCAAATATGAGCTTTGGATGAGTTTCGAATGGAATCGTGGTCCATTGGGGTGATGCAAAGGGATGAAGCTCGTTGTTAGCCATGGCTGCGACAAACTGTTTTGAAGTAGATTATCAGCAAGGCTTCAACCAGGTCAGGGACTTCAAGCCGCCAATGAGAGACAGGGAGCGAAAAGAAACGCACCGTTTGGAGTCGCAGGTGGCTGAATATCTGATGCAGGAACCCGGTCCGACAGCGTTCAGGTCCTTGTCCTTCCAGCAATGAAGCCGCGCCTTTGACGTGCTTCAGCCACGCCCTGGGGCTGGTTCCCGCCAAGGTCTCAAAGTGGACGAGCATGACGGCTGCGCAGACCAAACTCTCTGAAGAGGATCTCAGTGGGCCGTCGTGGGATAGCAGAAGTCGGAGACTCTGCAGTGCTCTCAGGTACCATCTGCAGGCTTCTGTCTTGAGGGAGGCATCGCCAACTGCCGTGCCATAGCTGAGCATTGATGCTGCCCTGATGGAGCTTTGCACGGGAGACGGAGACGGAGAGGCGAGGAATTCGGGAAGCTCGTGCAGCCATATCCTTGACGATCCTCCAGGCACAGGCAGAGATGGTCTAGGAGTTCCGAAGAAGCTGTCGATGAAGTGAGAGACGAACAGCTGATCAAAGGCTCCGGCTGGTGATGGCTGTGACGCTGGTAACTGCACTGGGTGACGATTGTTGGTGCCGCTCCGAAGAAGCGATGGTTCGTGCTTCGAGTTCAAGCTCGCAAAGGCAGCTGATGCATCTACAACTGTATAGACGAAGAAGGCGTCTGTGCGGGCTCCGGGGCATTTCAACCCCATGTTGAGGCACCGCAGGCACTCTGGGAGCGACTCATCGCACTATTCCACCGGCATGATATGAGCTAACAGCAAATGAACAGTCATCACCAAGCAGGGCGCACCTTGACTCTTCGTCTTCGACATGTGGCGCATCCTCTGCTTCTCCCGGCGACGTTGACCATGGCGACGGTTTATCCGTACAGCAACCATCAGACGCAAGTCTGCTGGTGCAACACTCGATCAGCCTTGTCGCCTCATCTTTGTTTGCACGCGGTTGAACCTGTTCGAACCATCAAACGGACGCAGCTGGTGATGAGCTAAACACCACGATCCGAAGATATCCCGCACCAACCCCTTTGTTTCTCTCACGCTCGCAGGATCGCCAGGGGAAATATCGCCTTGCCTCGCTTTTAGCTTGAGCTCCTCTTGCATTCAATCAGGCACCGCATGAAACAGCCTCTTTTAGCCTTCGACTCCCAGATCGGTTTGCGCCTTGCGGCAAGCTTCAGGGCCGGCTTCTCTTGCATCGCCTCCCTCCGCCCCCCTGACTCGTTTTGCCTCTTTGAGCTGCAGACCGACACTTTGGAGGCCGTCCAATAAGAAGCTGCATGACGAGCTCCAGTTCTCCAAGGACAAGCCTCCACTCAAGGGAAGCGATAACATCCATGGCGATTCGCTCTGCCACGTCACTGGGATCCTGACAGGGCTGGTTTCGTTTCGCCTCTGCTTTTGTTTGTTAGCCCACAGCGCAAAAGGGAGCCAGAGTGGAGCGGACAACGGTCAGATGCATCTCTGTCACGCTTCTTGGGCCGCCAAAGCTGAAATTCACGACATCAATGCGTCGATAACTGACTGTCTTCTTGCGACAGACGCTTTGCTCTATTCCCCGCGATCACAGGCTTAGCAGTTCATTGCCCTTGGCTCCTCCCTGCACTGCTTTGTTCTGCATCCGCATTCACAAACACTCACGTTTTATACCCCTAAATCTGCCTGTCTTCTCACCGTCTCCTCTCACTCCCATTCTCATCAAGACGGTATTAGTCACATCATCACCACCATGGGCGAAGACCTCCTCTCCGTTATCTTCAAGGACAAGTCATACAAGGGTAGAGCCATCAAAGCAGCGGCAAAGCTCTTCTCAAATGCGGCGCCCATCGTCAAGACCATCGAGGCCGGCAATGGAATCATCAAGATCGGCGAGACGCTGTCCAAGGCCAACGAGCTGGCCGGCAGGGTCAATGAGTTCGCTCCAAGGGCAAACCAGATGGCCGACGGGCTCAACAGATTCATCCCCGCCATGCAGGTCATGGGCCAGTCCGTGTGCGACAGCGCCCGGATCTTTGCGTATTTCAGCATGATTGCCACGACGGTCCGCATCGGCGTCAACATTGTCCAGACGTATCAGGGGATCCAGGCGCTCCAGCTTATAGCCGCCAAGCTGCAGGACATCTCCGTCAGCCTCGCTGCGCAAACGGCGCTCATCGCTCAGAAGGAGTTCCCCGACTACGTTCACAGCATGATTCGGGAGCGGCTCACGCAGACGTCGGACGACGCATCGATCAACCACTGGTTCTTCCTATGGCATCCCGATGACGACTGGTATCCCAAGTTCTTCCATCTGCTGGAGGAGAAGCCACTAGGGACCAGGTTCTGCGGCTATACCAACCAAATCGACTCCGTCTTCGTCTTCATGATTGCAGCCAGGCGGCGCATCAACGAGATGGAGTACAAGGCCCGCCGGCGGGGCCATTCTATCCGCCCAACGCGGCTGCATCTCCTGGTACCCGCATATCAGCCTATCCTCATCGCCGAAGCTCTCAAAATTCCTGAAGAAATTGGTGACTTTGTTATGGAGGGCCGCATCAACAGCAATCGCGAGTTTGTTTGGCTGAACCTGCCCGACGACCAGCGGCACTACACGCTCAACATTGGCCAGTGGGTTCCTCCCAACCAGGGGTGGTTGACGTGGGCCGCATCAAAGATTGGGCTTGGTGAGAAGGCGCCCAAGCTGCGCGCGCCCAGAGCTCTCGGATACAGCCAGATCCCATTCGAAGTTGAAGCGCAGCCTCTACCTGCCCACGAAGACGACGACGGGAGCAGTACCCTAGTGAACCCCTCAATTGCCCCATCCGAAGTCAGCCTTTTGGAAGACTCAGACAGGTCAAAAGACAAGGAGAAGGATAAAAGCCGCCGACAGGCGACGCCATTGCATCAGCGTGAGCGGCGGCATCGCAGCAGCAGACGGAATTGAAAGGCGTGAGAACTAGTTGAAGAGAGAAGTGAAGAGGCGGATCAACATTGGGTAAGGACAACGGCAGGGGGGACAAGGAAACGGTTCAGGCATACAATCTTCTTTTCTTCTCTGTTTTCTCTTCGATTCCAGTTGCACGTCGGACCCGCGATAGCTCAAGTCCGCCTGCAGTTGGAAGGCAAGAGAACGCATCGCGAGATCTGGAATCTCCGCGTCATTTCACAAACAGAACGACGGCATCGGTCGGGGTAAATAGAATCCATTTGGCATCAGATTGCGAAATCAGGCGACATATGTTCAGCTTTATAAAGAAATATACCATGGTATTCCACAGCGGCAATGTCTTTCTCCATGTTTCCTCTTCTTTTCATAAAGAAGTCATTTCGAAACCCACCTGCTCACACTTCGCTCACTGAAAACTCTTATTCCTTTTCACAGCTAGGAACGTCAAACTCCACAGCTGTCGGACGTCGCTCTCTGTTCCACCTCCTACTCCTGGTGGAGGAGGAAGTACACCCAGAGGGGAAAACTCGAAGCCTCGCGACGATCCTTCGTTATACGTCCAGCTCCATACTTCGGATTCGAGCTGCTCCGCATTGTCGTCGATCATATCCCACAGCTTATTATACGCGCTCTTCACAGCACCCAAAACGCCCTTGTTGCTGCAGAATTTGGGAATCGCGGTTGCATCGACCACGGATGAAGGGATATCCGTCACGTTCGCGCCATGGCATCGCGCAAGCTGCCGCTCAAGTCCCTTGGCCATCAGCGCCAGCTGCCAGCTCCAGATGACGGTGCCATGATAGGCAGAGTTTGTGAAGTTGGCGATGAGCACGCCGTTGTCGGACAGGGCAGGATTCGCGACGACGACGCCGACCGGGGTGCTCAGACCAGCTGGGAACGGACGCAGAATCGCGTTTGCGGATGCGTTGATAAATGTTGTCAGTTGCTCATCGTCTGTTGTGTTGAGCAAGTAATGGCGAAAGGCCGTATCTGTATGTGAAATGGGAATAATCTCTGGCGTAGTGGTGCTGTTGATGGCCAATCCATAGTCAATCACGGTACCATCGGTGGAATAGTTCGACACCGAATCACCATTGGTAGGGCCCTTGTAGAATGTGCTCTTGTTGGTGTACTGCTTCAGCCTTGTCTTGGCGGTCTGGGTGGTAATGTTGTGCTGGAAGAACTGTAGCGTCTTGTCTTCCCACACTTTGGCCCTCCGTGCCGCCTCCGTGGCCCAGTTTCTGGTGAAAGAATTGTTGGGATAGACGCCGGGCATGGCTGCCAAGCTGGAGATGGCGTACAGGGCGGCTGGTGCCAGAGCGCAGTTAACGTCGAATGGGATGCGGCCGTTGGCAAGACCATATGTGGAATCGCGCCACTGACCGACGATCTGGTCTGGCTTGAGAGCAATGAGGTTGTCCACTGTCTGATTATGCTCAAATGCCGCGGTAAGGTTCATGATCTTGCTGGCAGTGGTGTAACTCAGATCGCCCCAAGTCAGATTCGCATTGCTGACGTCAATTGTTCCAGCCTTTGTGCTGAGCAGTGGGCTGACTCGATCTGGAGAAGAGCCAAAGTATCGTGCCATAAGGATGGGGAGATAGTAGTCCGTGTCAATCATTGGATACGTAAAACCAGCGGCTGTAGATGTAATGTTGTTCTGCAAATTGACGAACGTCGCATAGTCGCCAATGGTTTCCTCATGGCAGACAGAGCCATCTGTTCGATTGACACGTTCGAGCGCTGCTCCTATGACGGCCTCGATGGCAGAACCATTGCCGGTGCTGAGAATAGGCTGGAGCAGGAGTGCCGAAATCATGCTGTCGCGGCCAAAGTATGTGAGAAACCTCCACCCTCCGGCCAGCAGCTTCTCCGTGTAGGAGAAGAAGGAGAGGGATGAGACGGTCTCTGGCTGTTGTTTGACGAGTGCTTGGGACTGGTTGTTCAATATCTGAGTCGGCGTCAACTGCTTGAGCTGAGGATAGTTGAACGAAGCAGTGAAATGGTAGAAGCCAGAGCCGAACCGCAGCGTTGTGTGGTGGATTCGGATGTGGCTATCACTGTTCTTCCAGGGTACAAGCGTGAATGTAGTGGTAGTGACGTTGTCTAGCCATCTCCGAGTAATTTGCGCGCCGTTATGCTGATATTTGGTGACTCTGATGCCGGCTTGTATAACAGGACTAAGGAGACTTGGGCCTTCTGTGAAATCACGAATGTTTCTGACGCTGCCCAGAATAGCAATCGGCAGCTCAGCGGAATCATTGAAGGAGAGAACGCCCTCGACGCCAACAACAGGGGGGGCAGAGTGGTTGGCCTTGCGGTAGATAGGGCCCAGAGGGCTCCCCAACGTGGAATTGACAAGCTCAATGGCGAGGCTACCGTTTTTGCCGCTTTGTGGTTGGAAAAAGGTGCAGATGCCACTATTTCCGGCAGGCCAGGCAACGATGAGTCGAGGGCCTATGATGGAAAGATTGCTGTCGGGGAGGGGACTGGTGATGACAGCTTGAGCATCGACGTGACAGTCTGAGTAAAAGTAATCCTGATAAGGCGGATCACTGAGATGTAGCGTTCGGGCTGGACAGGATGATGCGTTGTTGTGCAAAGAATGAGTAGTGGCGCTTCCATAGCTCACAAGGAGCAGAAGCGAGGGGATGAGCTTCATGATCTTTCGAACCGTGACTGCCAACAAGAGGTCGGGACTAAGAGATGTCTCTCCTTTTCAAGACATCAACCTTGCATGCATTGTCACCACACCCTGTCTTAAAATCCACCAAGCTTGTATCCTTATATATGTATTCGTATCGGCCGGTCGATCGTCTCGGTAGGCAAACAAAGCCCAAGCTCGTCTCGGCATCGGGGCCGGTTCGTCGTCTCGTCGACGTCATTTTGTGCCTTTCCGTTGACAGCCACCACGCGAGTGTCCGTCTGGGGTAAAAGTGGGCAAAAGACTGAAATTATTCGGGCCTTTCAGGCGAAATCAGCAATCCGAGCACAAAATCCGAAGTGCCTGGGGCAATCTGTGGAGAAGATCTGGGACAATCGGACGGTGATTTGAAGGATTCGGATGCGGAATTGTACGTAATTGGTGGAGGAAGCTGTCATGGAAAGGTTATGATTGGGGAATTGGAGATGTTGGGGGTGGGTGCAGATGGCGTGGAGACTTCTCTGAAGAACCGTTTTTCCTTGTTTCTGGAGAAGCTGAGTGACGATCTTTCGGTGCGAATTCGAGGTTAAGTTGTGCTGGACTCGGAGATGAGAGCAGTGACATGCTGCTGAGAAATGCCTTATGTCCTTGCTATCGGTAAAAGTGTTAGCCACGGTGACAAGGGGAGGAAATGAGACAGGATGGACAATGGAACGAAGAACGAACAGAAACATTGAACATACCAAGAGTAGTCGAGAGGAAATCGCGTCAAATTTCGCCGCAAGATTTCTTGTAGCTGTCAGTCTTGCAGGTCAAGGGGCGTAGTAGTGAGCAATGCAAACGAAAGCGATGATCTATCCGGATCAACGTCCCTGCATTTTCAGACCATGCAAAGGCATGGGCTTTGCTTGACCTCCAGGCTTCTGACGCTACTCACCTGTAAGCACATGGCGGGCATGAGATCAGTAAGCCGCGAGCCACCTCAACCAGTCTCCTTTTGTGGAGGGCCAAAACATACCGTTTCTCTAAGACACTACCGAGTAGACGGATATGTCGAGTTGCATTGGGGCACACTATAAGCCAATAATCTCAGCAACAAAGCTTCGCACTAGACCAAACATCGTCATCCTTGTGACGAATATACTTTGGTGGTGGGAGGGGCACATCCCATGTAAGTGACCACCAACAATGAGTCCACTAGAATCGAGGCTTTTCTTAAGGATGAGATTCTCAAATAGAGCTCGGATAGAAACGCATCCAGCATCGCAGAGCCATACAATTTGTCGGACAAGGGGGGCAATTCCTGCGAGCAAAACCGCGGGCGTCAAGGCCAAGCGGTCATGTGTCTTTGCGACTGTAATCCGTCACCGAGATCTCCTGAGAGAAGCTGTATAAGATGCCTTTATTCTTCCAGTCCAACAATGCCAGGCATACCGTTCAAGCGCCTCAAGGGCATCACAAGCGTCTCGGGCGACATCCCTCAGTTGGTCATTGTCAAGCGGGGGATGTTGCGCTGAAGCCGTTTTATCAATCACTGCTTGTTAACGCAAAAGATTGCATGATTGTGATGTCGATTGAATGAAAGGATATGTTGAAAGACAAAGACTGTTGAGGAAGATGGCCGATTGAAGAGATGATGGGGAGCGGCGGAAAAGGTGGTGTACAAGATATTGGCAGAATCGAAGAAGGCAGGCGCGCCGCAACGGGTGAGCATCTCTCTCGTGAAGACCCAGGCCGCCCACCGCTGTTGTAGGATGTTTCCTGTAAGAAGCTGAGATTACGTATTTTATTTTAAGCATATAACTCAGAAGAGAACCATATTCTTAGTCAAGAAATGATTTCACATAGAGCAATGATGCAGAGGTGTGCCCGAATCGTCAGTCCGCATCACAGCGCACCTCATCGAGGCACACTCAGTTCTGTAGTAACCAATACCACCAAAAATCCACCACCGCAGCGTCAACGCTCCAGCCGCTTCCAAACAATTGCGTGTTACAAACTCCCGTCAACGCCGTTACGCCTCTTGTTAGCTCCCGGCATGCAGAACGCCGTGGCGTCGAATCTAAAACGGGAAAAGCTCAGTTGGCCCTGCTGACTGGCTTGTGGACTGTCAGACACCAAAGGATCAGCAATAAACGAGATTGAAGCCCCTTCTTTCGAACCTCACCTCTATCCAACAACCCTCTCCATTGAGGAATATTTGGCTTCAGCCCGGAATTTGAGATGGCGTCGTATCTGTCCAAGCTCCTCGGCCTCGGGCCCAAGAGACGCGCGCCGGCAATCGTGCCGACCGACGAGGTTGTGCCTTTACATCTGTTTGATGATACGGCCACTTTGCGGGAATTCACGCTCATGTGGACCTTCAAATTTGACCAGGTGCTCGATGCGGACAAGCTGGGCGATTCGCTGTCGCAGCTCTTCCAAATGGAGGGCTGGCGAAAGCTAGGCGGGAGGATTCGACTCAGGGTGAGTAGACAGACTGACTTTGAGGCAACGGTATCAAGGATCAAGATCCAGATCAAGATCAAGATCAAGATAAAGCCAAGCACAAGCTGACTCAGAGGTCAGCCCGATCGATCGGCAGAGATTCACATCCCATGCCCCTTCACCAAGGATCGACCGCCCCTCCACTTCACAAAGGCGAGCTTCAACATGCGCATGGCGGAGCACCCTGAAGCATCGAAGCTGCCATCTTCATCAGACAGGCTCAGGACATTTCCAAGCCCTCGTAACTACCAGTCGCTCGCTTTGGGACCAGGGGCGCCAAGATGCTTCGACGATTACCTGTATTCGGATCTTCCGCTATACGCTCTCCATGTCGTCAACTTTACAGACGGAACTCTGGTCTCGATCAACTTCAATCATGTCGTCAGCGATCTCGCCGGACTGATGGCCGTCATGAAGGCATGGCAACTCGTGCTGGCAGGCAGGCCCGAGGCCGTCCCTCCGTTCAAGGGCTTCTGCGAGGACTCAATGGCCGGGCTCTACAAGGCGCAAACGGCTGAAAAGTACATCCTGGCCGACAAGCACCTATCGGGCTGGCGACTCGCGGCATTTGGACTTCGACTCATCTTTGAGTCGTGGTGGTACTCTCCGATTCAGTCCAAGCTTGTCTGCATCCCCAAGGAGACCATGGACGCACTTGCTCAGGCGGCCAGGGACCAGATACCCAAATCAGCAGAGACCAACGGCGCCGCAAGCTCATCGTCCTCGTTCATCAGTGAAAACGACATCATTGTAGCGCTGTTCATGAAGACATTGGCGCATAGCCTTGACCCAAATCGCTCTGTCGTGGCTCTGCAGGCTGTTGATCCCCGTAGCCGGGTCAAGTCGGTGTTTCAGCAGGACGCCGCTTATGTGTGCAATGCACCTGCGGCTGCTTTTGTCCAATGCAATAGTCGGGAAGCGATCGATATGAGCATTGGCGAGCTGGCGCTCGAGGGTAGAAAAGCTCTCCTGTCGCAACTTACCGAAGAGCAGATGAAGGCCGTGGCTGCGCTGGCGTACAAGTCCATGCTGAGCAACGGCAACCCTCCTGTAATCGGAGAGAGCAACATGGCTTTCCTCGTCTTTTCCAACTGGAGCAAAGCCGCCTTTCTGGAAAAGGTGGACTTTAGCCCAGCCGCTGTCGAGGCGGGTCGGTCCCAGGACACACCAGCCCGACCCGTCTACTATCACTCCCAGAGCTTGGAGACGGGCTCTTTTGCACCGAATGTCATCGTCATCATGGGAAGAGACTTGGAAGGAAATCTCTGGCTGAATGCGGATCTCCCAGCTCACGTCTGGCCGACGATGCTGGAACACTTGGAACAGTATGCGTAGATGAACGCCGTTTATTCGTCTTCATAGAACAGTTGCGTCTCGGCTCATTTTCGTCCTGAAAAGTGGCAGGACTTCTCCAAGAAAGATTCAAATCTTCTCATTTCCGCTCCTGGTCAGTACAAGCTGACATAAGGACATATGTCTCAAAAGAACTAAAGTACCTATGCTGAAGAGTAAAAGTGTCGGAACGCACAAAGTATCAAATCTATCAGAATCTATTAGACGTCTAGAAACAAGCAATGAGAGGCACGACCATGGCTCCTGCGACCAAGTAGAGGCTTGCAGCAGCTGCTCCGGCACCACCCTTGGATCCGGTCTCGGTTGGACTCGCGGCAGCGGCACTTCCTTGAGAGCTTGCTATCGTTGTGGCTGCGTCGCCGGAGCCCGTAGTCTGTGAGCTGCTGGAGGCTGAGCCATCCGATCCGTCCGATCCGCCAGATCCAGACCCGGAATCTGATCCAGACCGGGAGCCAGAGTCGCCCGAAGCCTGCACATGGCCCGCAGCGGTAATCGTATACACGGTTCCATCGCCCCCGTTGGTATAGGAAAAGACGGTGCCACTAGCAGGAGACGTCACGGTTCCAGCAGCATTGCTGAGCGTCGCCGTTCCGCCTGGGACGACGTCCGTCGGCTTGTAGTATTTGGTAACTCCATCAAGTGAGTATCCCAAGTCATTTACGCAGTCGTACGTATCCAAATATGAACCGCACGAGTTGAAGTCGGTGTTGAGCTGCGACTGAAGCTCAGAGACGTCTGAGAGTCCGATGAGTTTGGGGTCGGTATCGGGGCAGATGTTGTAGAGACTGGTATGAATTAGTACGGATGTGTCAGATACAATTGGATCGGGAGAGGAGTGGCAAAGAGAATTTGATTCACCTCGAGAGAGCACCGCTAATCTCGCAGCAGTCGCACCCCTGAATCTGCTGCAGATTGCTGCTGGCGTCGCCCGAGTTTGCATTGTTGGAGCATGTCGCCGTCTCCTGGATGGCGTCCTGGATTGCGAGGAAGACCTTGCCCACGTTGCAAGAGCACGCATCGGGAGCCTTGTTGGGCGCGGGGAAGTAGGGCACAGGCAGCTTGGCGATGGGACAGTTGATGAAGTAGTCAATGATGTATTCCTGGTACTCGCACTCCCAGACGCGGTTCCAGCAGGAGGCAGAATAGCAGTTGTAGTTGTCGACATAGTTCTGACAGCCGCAAGCCAAGAGTTCTTGCTGGCTGTTGTCCTTCTTGGCCTGGGCGATACAGGAGCTGAGCTGGTCGTTTGCTTGCTTTTGACACTTCTCGAATCCAGAAGAGTCGGCACATCCCGTGCTGGTCAAGGTGACATCGCCAGTGGCGGCGAGGGCCACTCCGGTAAGTAGAGGGAGCAGGGCTAGACGCAGCATTGTGTTGTATGTGTTTCTCACCGACTTGCACGGAACTACGATAAATCAGTAAAGGAGAGAGACGAGGAATACAAACGATAGGGTCCAGCCCAGAGTTATCAAGCAGGCCTGCGCTGACTGGCCTGCAATCGCGCGCCCTTCGTCTGCAGGCAGTCTGCCTTGGCCGTCGCCCAAAGCGGCCAAACCAGCCAACTATCGTCGGTGGATACAGAGCCTCTTGATTTCCCAAAGAGGAGGATCAGGGACTTTCTGCACGCACGTGTCCTGCCGAGCGATCCGTATTCCGCTCTATGAGGCCCAGCAGTCGCGGTCCGTGATTCGACTGAGTCGGACGAGGAGGGTTCGCCTAAGGCTGGACCCCAGATTGGCGATCGTAGAGAGCCACGGGATTGGTCAGGGGGATCAGCCGCACTCTATTTCTCGATCTCGGTGGGTTTTTTGCATCCTAAGTCGAGGATAGTGCGCGCAGCTGCCGTCCCCATCGCGGAATCGGCTGGCATTTTGTGCTGCCTATCCGGATCTCGAAGCTGTCAGCATCGTGAAAAGAGTCAGAAGTCAGCCTGGCTTGTTGAGAATAGAAGACTACGTGCATTTTCCTTCATGATGGCGATCTGCACGTCAGAGATGATTCAATCCATGATTTGTTCATCTTAGGGCGTTGTGGATTGTTTATTGGTGCGCCGAAGATGTTTCTCTTCGCGCTCTCCCCCTCTCTTTTCGATGGCGATGAGGTCCGCATGCTCTCGGCTGCGCGATATCGTCACGTGTAACCCTTATCGATTCCGCATCCGATACTCATCAAGCTCTCAGGCATTGCAAAACTCATCTCAGTCCTCCTATGAAGCTCATATGAAGATATAACCAGCCTGAGAGTCCATCTCGTCCGCCCGTTTTTCTCCATTGCCTCTCTATGAGCCTTTGTGAGATTGAGTGGGCCGTTCTGATGGAGTTCGTATTTAGGCGCGGGAGCCGATTCAGCTGAATCGATATTTTACCGATTTAGGCAGCATATCCCGGGGCGGGCCTTGAAATTACCCTACAAATGTGAGATCTCATGCTGATTTCATGAAAATTTCAATTCAACTGGATGCAACTTCATACAAACGTTTAGCTAGGTGAAGTGCTATGAGGTGAAGTGCTTCTCTCTTGAAAATGCAACTTTTCGGTCATTTCATGGTGGGCCATAATAAACTTATTATTAACCTTGAGTGATGATGTCGCTGAGGCAATGAGGGTCTCAGTGGATCTCGTGACGATCAGTTCGTCTACGTTCAATCATTGGGTAATAGCGACAAGGCCTCTTCGGGACCAAATTGCTTCATCTCACACGAAAAGTGCATTGGGTAACCTCCTGAAATCAAACGAGAGTAGAGCTTCAATTTACCCCATCAACCGTCATGAAAACTTATCCTTATTTGAAACATCGCTGTGAGGATTACTTGAAGCAGCTGCAATGACTGGGAATTCAAGGTTTGAAGGACCTCAACTTCCACCTCATCTTTGAGTCCTCATGACTATAGGGCACGATCTACGGCTACGATATATGAGCGATAATTTAGCTCATTAGGTGCTCAACTTTTTAATCAGATCCCTACTAATACGTTCATGAACCATACCTACATCACCGTTGTATTTCAACTCACTGACACAGACGATCATGCATTCTGGGGCTCCGTGCTCATGGACTTGAAAGACTCCGTGCGGAATCTCCAGACTCCCTCAGATGAGTCTTGTGGATCTCTGCGAACAAGCATGGAAGGTTAAGCGGCATCGGAACTTTTAATCGACAGAGTAGGGCCTTTGCCAATGCCTCGGTGCTGCGATTGAAAAAAGATGTGGGGGAAACCTGGTCAACGCGGCCAGGTGATTGAGTTCATTATTTATCATTTACCGCCGGTGCTATAGCGGTATCTATCCTCTTTCCGAAGCATCCGTTGCCGACGAGATAGGCTCAAACAGTGAAGAAAGGAAGACTCGGAAGCTATACAAGATTGCAGCAGTCATTGACTGTGAGCGCTGTGTCTGCTTCAACTGGATGGATGGCTGGGTGGAAACTTGAGCGGATATCCACCCCTGATCCGATGGACATTTCGGTGTTAAGGATGGTCTCGCACGCCATGATACTATTCGTTGGATTATCGTTCCCGATTTCTAATCGAAAACATGCCATACAGTTGCAAGTCCACGTATCTCTTCCTAAACACGAAAATTGCTCATATCGACGGAGATGTAGATTTCCCTATGTGATTATGGCTGAGCGACAATCCAGATGGACGTCCGTTCTACGTATTAGGTAGGTTCCCTATATGATAACTCTAAAGACAATGTATTGAAATATTCCTGCAAGCTATGCCTGCACCATCTCTTGACAGTCACCGCGTTTCTTTGTAAGATCAAATTCCTTCAGCAACCCTTGAATGCTGTGTGATTTACGAAACTTACGCATAATGAGAAGTCATGCCGAGTCACCGACATCATCATACATTCCCGCATTTCTTACCATTTTCTAGAATTACTTCAATATGCAGTCTGTTTAGCTTCAACTGGATTTAACGCACATCGAGTTCAAACAAGTGAAAATTTTTAGTTCAGCGATATTGTATGATATCCAGTCAACCACCGTTGAGGGTAACTGTTAAGCCTTCATGGGGCTAGATCAATAAGAACAGCCTGCTGGGTCTCATTCTTCTCTGATGTTGATATAGGTCCGAAAGTTTGATGGCTACACCCTGCGGAGATTGCAAATGTGTAATATCTATACAGCATGAGACTTGAGCCTTTTCTTTCTTTCCTCTAAAGCTCTTGAAGCAAATAAGAACTCGCTCAAGAGATACGTGCGTCTTATATCCATCTGGTGTGTATAAAATCTCTCGGCGGCAGTGATCGATCGTGTAGAGGTTCGTGAGTTGTATCTTCTCCTGGAGCTCGTCGTGTCATGTATCGGTGATCAAGCCTCATACGCTATAAGACTAATGGGATGCTTGGACATCTGTCTTACAAGGGCTGCCACACGCACATGCCCATGTGAAGAGTGCTATTGAAATATATCAGTTCTTGATAGTAAATGCTGCTGCTGCTGCACTGATGCTCACCTCGCAAACCCGGCCAGCGTGGATGCGATTCGCCGCATCTCATTCAAAACAACGTCTTTCTCCCATGCATCTCTCTCACAAAATAGAGTGTCACATTGGATCTCCTTCAATATCGCCCTACTCAACGTTGTAGAGGCAATCGTGAACCCCAGACACAGAATGGCGTCGCAGCGAAGCCGGGTGTTGGCATACGCACTGAACTTGGTGTCCAAAATCGATGGGTAGATAACGTCCACACTACTATATGTCAAAGAAAGTAAACACTGAGACTAGTCAGATTGGAGATGAAGATGTGTTGCAGCTTAGTGAGACGGTACCAAGAGGATGATGAGGGCGTCTAGAAAGTTGCATACATCGCAAAGACGGCTGATAGAAAAGGAGGCAATGAGGACGTAGAGACTTGATGAGATTATGCGTATGGCAAGGTAGATTGCGCGAGTCTGGGTGGAAAAGTATTGCGATATAATGGGACAGCCTTGTTTCTCATCCATCACGGCGGTGGAGGCTGTCGAACGAAATGGAATTACATGCTATCACAATGCAATGCTTGAGAGCAAATTCCTGCCATCATCATTATATCAAGTCGTTCACAATCCAACTCCACGATTTCATAACAAGATTGTGAATATTGCCTCAGACAAACTAAAGCAAAGGATTTTTGAAGGGGGATCGTCTCGGGAAACTGAAGCTATCCGTGCCCGAGTCAAACCGGTATCCAACGGAGACGCACGTCTTCATCCATCGTCATGATGCCAATCACCATGAGGCGCAAGACCCGTCTCCGTCTTCAAAGGGGGGACTCGGACGAGATGAACCGGGAGGCTCTGATAGTACCAAGAAGTCGGAGTCCCACACCGGAGTCCCGAAAGCGGTAACTTGGACGACACACTGTGACTCTTCCCGTACTGTAAGTTCTTCTAAGTCATCCCACAACCCACATATCCGTAGGTTATCCGCGTATTCGGGCTGCCAGGGATCCATGGACGGGCGTCAGAGCCTTATGATTCGCGAGACCAGGGGAGAAGTCTGCCGGGAAAAGTCCGTTGGGCCCCTCAGAGAACCACATCCCTGGCCGACCCCCTCCGCTACTCCGCATGGCTTTTTCCCCTAAAGGGGCAATTGGAGGTTGAGGCAACAACCAATGGAATGCGAAGAATTGACGGCTCTCCACTTTTAGAATAACGAAGAAGAGGCCATGCCCCAGCTTTTCGAGGTTGGTCTTGTTCAAGAGGTCCTGGGTTTATACTACGAGAGGCTTTGAGGGTTGACTCTGTTATAATGGCTGATGGTATTTCTTCTCAGGAAGAAGGGTTCGCTTTTCATTAATATTAAGAGTACAGAATGTCCAATCATCAGTTTTGCCAGACCGAATATTGAGTCATGAAGAAGATGATGATGGCGGTGATAATGTTGAATGTGGAGATAATGAAGAGGAAGGAGAATAAGAGACAGACGCAGACGATATGCTCGGATCAGATTTGATCTCTGAAAGCCTCTTTGCAATTTCCGCCGTCGAGCTTTCCGCCGCCGACGACGACGTATTACTGCACTCGAGACACTGCCGGCACTCGAGGTTTCGCCGCAGCTGCTCCTCGCACCAGGCCAGGCGGGCAAACAGATCCTTTGTTGATTGCCTTCTTTTTCGCGGAGCGGCGGGTGCGCTTGGCTGACAAACGACCTTGAGCTGAATCGATTTGCGGAAGCGATTGTATCATGTCAGCTGGCGTGTTGAAAGTTCCAATCATCCGTATCAAGCTTGTCGTGTAAATGGACGGGGGACCTTATCTGATCTGGTTGAAATGTCCGCAGGCAGAAGAGTACGCACCTTGATGCACATTGAGCATGGGCTTTTCCGGTTGCACTTCTTTTTGCGCTTCTGACAAAGGCGGCAAGCCAGTTTCCGGGTTTCCTTTGCGGGCTGGTGGGGAGTAATAGGTGAGTTGGCGGAGGAGCTCATTGTGGAATTGTTCGTAAGTGTGAGGTTGAGGGCGAGGAGTTGGTGGAGGCCGGAAATAGCTTTGGGGATTGAAAGGGAAGCGGAAATATGATTGAAGAGAGTGAGCTGCCATGAAAGGTGTATTTTATCAGTGAGACGCTCGACGTGAGATGTCAAGGATGTTCACATTTTGAAGTTGATGTCAAGCTCAAAGGTCGACTAGGCGGATAGTGGCTCGGCAGTCATAACCCCCCCGTCAGGCCCATGCAAGATCAGCAGAGACGGCTAGCTCGACAAACTTTGTTCGTCAAGTCGTACGGGGCTCGGAAGCATCGAGTCATGGGTCATGAAGATCGGAAGCCATGCGAGTCGGGCTGAAGAACGAGGCTAGTACGAGTACGACGTTGCCAGAGGTGTAAGTAGTAGGTAGGCTCCGGGGGGTCATGGTGAGCAGAGGCGGCATCGTGTTCCATCGACACTCCGAGACAGAGGGAAAAGCAGACGGCCGCTCGGGGTCTGTTAAGAACCCGGCTGTGTGGAGTCCCTGACAGAGGCCGCGATTGGACAAGGGGGATCGAGGAGGAGGCGAGTGATTATACTCAAAGTCCGCAGTACGGCGTATAAACAAGGTAACATGGGGCCAGGCTGTTGACTGCAAAACGATATTCTTCGGAGCTGTAGAGGGCGTTTACTCTATTTGATAGCTAACAAAGGGATGACGCCCCCTGAGAATTGCGGAATACGGGGCTTAGTGGACTCTGTCATTCTGGACTATTCTGTTGACTCGGGGGCTGGTAACGTGGGAGATCCGAGAGACCGGTGCGTTGGCAGGCTGCGGCTGTCCGATCCTGGGTGATATATAGTATGTAAACCGTCAGATGAGCCGTCGTATTGATGGAAGTGTAACAGGGGATCTAGGAATAGGTGAGCTGAGCAATCTTTTGGGCTTGAAGATATTGGCGATATTGAAAGCCGCAATAGAGTTGCCCGACTGTTCTCACCTACCTACTGTCATTCATCTGTATACATCAATATCCCTGATGCTCCAGTTGCTCTGAATATCGACGCTTGGACGAATATTATCAAGATGTCTGGGCAACCAGACCAGGGCGACTCGAGCCCCGAGTCTCGCGCCCAATCTCCCCACGGAAGCGCCCAGACCTACGTCGAAGGCCAGAAGACTCCCCCCTTCAACGCCGATACCAAGAAAGAAACGAAGAATCAAGACAACGTCAACGACGACGACGACCAAGATGATTCCTCAGAGAACAACAGCGTTCAGGAGATGGAGCGGCGGCTCAGCATGGTGCAGCAGCTCGCCCGGCAATACACGCACGCCTCGGGCATCGACATCCAGGGCCAGCCGACCTCGCTCTTTGGGAACAACGACCCCGAGTCGCCGCTGAATCCCATGAGCAGCAAGTTCAACGGCCGCACATGGGCCAAGACGGTGGCCAAGTACGCGACCGAGCACGGATCTGGCTTTCGGCGCAGCGGCATCTCGTTTCGCAACATGAACGTCTACGGATACGGAACGGAGACGGATTTCCAGAAGGACGTGGGCAACGTGTGGCTGTCGATTCCGGATCTCGCTCGGCAGGCGATAAGCAAGACGGGCGGACGCAGACGGATCGACATCCTGAGGAACCTCGATGGTGTCGTCAAGTCGGGCGAGATGCTCGTCGTGCTGGGACCGCCTGGAGCAGGATGCTCGACGTTTCTCAAGTCGATTGCCGGCGAGACCAACGGCATCTACATCGATGGCGAGACGCAGTTCAATTACCAGGGTATCAGCGCAAAGGAGATGCACACCCAGCACAAGGGCGAAGCGATTTATACAGCCGAGGTCGATGTGCACTTCCCAATGCTGTCGGTTGGCGATACGCTTGCCTTTGCGGCCATGGCGAGATGCCCCCGGACTCTGCCTGCCGGCGTCTCCCGCGAACAGTTTGCGGCTCACTACCGAGACGTCATTATGGCCATGTACGGCATCAGCCATACCGTCAACACGCGCGTGGGAAACGAGTATATCCGCGGCGTGTCTGGCGGAGAGCGGAAGCGTGTGACAATTGCCGAAGCCTCGCTCTCGAACGCTCCTCTTCAGTGCTGGGATAACTCAACCCGTGGCTTGGATTCCGCAAACGCCATCGAGTTCTGCAAGACTCTTCGTCTCCAGTCCGACACCTTTGGCCAGACCAGCGCCGTGTCCATCTACCAAGCACCCCAGAGCGCATATGATGTCTTCGACAAGGTCCTCGTTCTGTATGAAGGAAGGCAAATCTTCTTTGGTCCTACCGACAAAGCCAAGGACTATTTCGTCAATCTCGGCTTCGAATGCCCTGCGCGCCAAACCGTGCCCGACTTCTTAACGTCAATGACGGCGCCGACGGAACGAATTGTTCGTGCTGGGTGGGAGAGCCGCGCTCCTCGCACCCCTGACGAATTCGCGACGTGCTGGAGGAATAGCGACGCCTACAAGACGCTTCAAGCTGAGATCGATGCCTATAACCAGGAGCATCCCATTGGCGGTGCCGACGCCGACGCTTTTCGTGAGCACAAGAAAGCCACACAGTCAAAGGGCCAGCGCGTCAAGTCTCCCTACACGCTCTCGTATTCGCAGCAGGTCAAGCTCTGCCTGTGGCGAGGCTGGCGACGACTGATGGGCGATCCCAGCTTGACACTCTTTGCATGGCTGTCCAACACGGCCTTGGCCCTCATCATATCCTCGCTGTTCTACAACATGCAGCCCACGACCGGCAGCTTCTACGGCCGAGCGGCGTGCCTCTATGTCGCCATCCTTATGAATGCCTTTTCGAGTGCTCTCGAAATTTTGACGCAGTATGCGCAGCGGCCGATTGTCGAAAAGCAGTCGCGGTATGGCTTCTATCTTCCGTCTGCGGAAGCCTTTTCATCGGTGCTCTGTGATATGCCGTACAAGGTTGGAAATGCCATCTGTTACAACTTGGTGTTGTATTTCATGGCAAATTTGAATAGGACACCGGGCGCATTCTTCTACTTTCTCTTCGTGGTGTTCCTGATGGTGTTGGCCATGTCTGGAATCTTCCGTTCCATGTGAGTTTTCTTCACCCCCTCCCCCCCCTTTTCCTTTCATCCCTAGGCATCTTCGTCATTCTCACACTCACATCCACCCCAGAGCCTCCCTCTCCCGGACCCTCTCGCAAGCCATGGTTCCCGCCTCGCTGCTTATCCTCGCCATGGTCATCTTCACCGGCTTCGTCATCCCCGTCGACTACATGCTCGGCTGGTGCCGCTGGATCAACTACCTCGACCCGGTGGCCTACGGCTTTGAGGCCCTCATGATCAACGAGTTCAGCGGCCGCCGCTTCGAGTGCGATGCCTTCGTCCCCAGCGCCCAAGTCCCGGGCTACGAGAACGTCACGTCCTCGCACCGCGCGTGTACCGCCGTCGGGTCTGTCCCCGGGCAGGACTTTGTGAGCGGCGACGCGTACATCAACCTGCAGTACAAGTATTTCCACGCGCACAAGTGGCGCAACGTCGGCATCCTGATTGCCTTTGTGCTGTTCAACCACTTCGTGTACTTTGTCGCCACGGACCTCATCCAGGGAAAGAAGTCCAAGGGCGAAGTCCTCGTCTTCCGCCGCGGCCGGCTCCGGTCTTCGACGCCCAAGAAGAGCAACGACACGGAATCGTCTCTATCAGGCCCCGTCCCCGTTGTTGAAAAAGGGGCGGATATTCCCAATGAGCGCAGCGACGCCAAGATCCAGGCTTCGACCAGCGTCTTCCACTGGTCGAATGTCTGCTACGACATCAAAATCAAGGGCGAACCGCGTCGTATCCTCGACCATGTTGACGGCTGGGTTAAACCGGGCACCCTCACGGCCCTCATGGGTGTGTCTGGCGCGGGTAAGACGACGCTGCTCGACTGTCTGGCCGACCGAATCTCCATGGGCGTCATCACGGGCGAGATGCTGGTGGACGGCAAGATCAGGGATAACTCGTTCCAGCGCAAGACTGGATACGTGCAGCAGCAGGACCTCCATCTCGAGACGACGACGGTGCGCGAGGCGCTGGAGTTTAGCGCCCTGCTGCGACAGCCTGCGACCACGCCGAGGGCAGAGAAGCTAGCGTACGTCGACGAAGTGATCAAGCTGCTGGACATGCAGGAGTATGCGGATGCCGTCGTCGGCGTGCTAGGCGAGGGGCTCAACGTCGAACAGCGGAAGAGACTCACGATAGGCGTCGAACTCGCCGCAAAGCCACCGCTGCTGCTGTTTGTCGATGAACCGACCTCGGGTCTCGATTCACAGACGTCCTGGGCCATCCTTGACCTGCTGGAAAAGCTCTCGAAGGCAGGTCAGTCGATCCTGTGTACAATTCACCAACCGTCCGCAATGCTGTTCCAACGTTTCGACCGGCTCCTGTTCCTCGCAAAGGGCGGTAGAACCGTGTATTTCGGTGATATTGGCGACAACTCGTCCGTCATGACGTCGTATTTCGAGCGACACGGCGCTCCCAAGTGTTCCCCTGGCGAGAATCCCGCTGAATGGATGCTCCAGGCCATTGGTGCTGCCCCTGGATCGACGACGGAGGTGGACTGGCACCAGGCCTGGCTCGAGAGCAAGGAATATCAGGACGTCCAGGCAGAACTCCAACGGCTCAAGGAGGAGGGCAACAGCAACGCCAACAGCAGCCACGATGTCGACGACAAGGCTTCGTACGCCGAGTTCGCAGCGCCCTTTTGGTCCCAGTTCCTCATCGTCACGCAGCGCGTCTTCCAGCAGATCTGGCGCACGCCGTCGTACATCTATTCCAAGTTCTTCCTCTGCTTCTTCGTATCGCTCTTCATCGGCCTCGTCTTCCTTAACGCCCCGCTCAGCATCCAGGGCTTGCAGAACCAGATGTTTGCCATCTTCAATATCCTGACTATATTTGGACAACTGGTGCAGCAACAGATGCCGCACTTTGTGACCCAGCGCTCGCTCTACGAAGTTCGTGAACGACCGTCCAAGACGTACAGCTGGAAGATCTTCATGCTGTCCCAGATCGTCGCCGAAATTCCGTGGAACACGCTCATGTCCGTCGTCATGTTCGTCTGCGTCTACTACCCCGTTGGCTTCAACAAGAACGCCGTCCCGGCGGACCAGGTCACCGAGCGAGGAGGCCTCATGTGGCTGCTGTTCTGGCAGTTCCTCATCTTTACCTGCACCTTTGCCCATGCCTGCATCGCCATCACGGACACTGCCGAGGCTGGCGGCAATCTGGCCAACATCCTCTTCATGATGTGTCTCCTCTTCTGCGGTGTCCTGGCCTCTCCTGACAGCATGCCCGGCTTCTGGATTTTCATGTACCGCCTCTCGCCGTTCACGTACTGGGTCTCTGCCGTTCTGTCGACTGGCCTGGCGAACACACACGTTACCTGTTCCTCCAACGAACTCGTCCACCTCGATCCTCCGAGCGGCCAAACCTGCGGCGACTTCTTGTCCAACTTCATCTCTGCTGCTGGAGGATATCTTCAGGACAGCAACGCCACGTCTGACTGCAGCTACTGCCCGATCGCTGACACAAACGTCTTCCTCACGAGCGTCAGCTCGAGCTACTCTCACCGGTGGCGCGACTTTGGCATTGGAATGGCGTATATCGCTTTCAATATCGCGGCTGCGGTGTTCTTGTACTGGTTGGTCAGGATGCCCAAGAAATGGGGCAAGAAGAGAGAATGATGTCCCCCGGTCACCATTCCTTGACAAGACTGCATCCATCTATTCGACAAAAGCGGCGAATCCTTATGCATTGCATTGGACTCACTTGCTTGTCATCTGCCAACAACCGCAACCAACAACAATCTCGACATCTTTTTAGATACTGTTCTTTCCTTCTTCTATAGGTCGTCTTATTTCATAGATCGTCTTCTTTTCATTGTTAGAGAGACGTGCCAAGTTGGCACCAATCGCTAGATTTCTTTTTTATCCCAACGCATAATATGACTTGTCGTCACAACGAAGCATCCGCGAAAATGATTCTCTGTTTCTATCCATCTGTCATTAATGAATACCTGCACATACCTGCACCTGTCTCGTTGTCACCGATCCATAGATTGAATAGATACTTGCCTCTAATTATCAGAAAGGACTGTCTGTGTGGCTCCACATCATCCATCTCCCTTCGTTCATATATAAGGTACAGATCAGAATCTCAGGTCCTCGATATTCTCAATCAGAAAAGTGTAGCTTGTGCTGCGATATTCTCAACGAGCAGCCCGTTGCTGTTGGCGTTGCAGTGAAGCAATTGCTTCCCATACTTCCACTGCGGCCGAAACACGTCCACATTGCTGCCGTTGTTCGGATCAAGGTTGTGCAAAAAGTTGATGTAGTATGTTCGCCCGCTAATTTTCGGATACTTGTCGTTGGAGTCGTTGAACAAGACTCTAATGTCCGATCCGTGATACGTGCCAATCTGCCCCATGACCGGGTCGTACTTGTACGACGAAAAGTACGACCACGTCGGCAGTGTCGGGGTGACGCTGGCAAATGTCTGCAGCGAGATACGTCGGACCAGGTTGAAGACTATGTCGCCCAGGATCGCCGCGATCCTCTTCTTGCCGAGATAGCTCTCAAATCGAATCCCCGTGTGGTGCGGGCTTCCGTCTCGGGATTCGCTGCTATACGTGTTGACGAGTTTTGTGATCTGCCCTTCGTCGGCGTCGTGGAAGTCTTGCCTGCCCGCTGCAATGCGTCCGGGCTGTCCACCAACACCCTACCATCTGGTCGAGCAAGATAGGACAGGGCAAGAGAGCTGTACGAGATGCGGTCCGACACCGAGTCGGCGGCGACGGCGAAGGCGTTGTTATCAAGAATGCGGAGGCATAACAGTGAATTATTTCCCAAGCATCCGGCCGACGTTGCAACGGCATCGTAGATGGCTTGGGCCTTGTCGCTGTCCAGGGGATCAGTGGGCGTCGCAGAGCCAGAGTTCATGATGGTGCCGCGAAATAGCGGCTTTCCGTTGTAGCTAGCATCACCATTGAAGAGGACGAGCTGTTCAAACACCGAGATGGAGCCAGAGGATTGACCCCAGATGGTGACTTTTCCCGGATCACCACCAAAAGCCCAAATGTTGTCGGCAACCCACTCGAGGCCCATCCGCTGGTCGAGAAGGCCAGTGTTGCCGCTTCCCTCGGCCAGAATCTCCTTGCCCGGCATGAAACCCCAGGCAGCGACGCGGTAGTTGACCGCCACGAAGATAAAGATGAAGCAGGCCAGTCTCAATGAGCTGGGTAGCGTTGTAACCCCTGGTGCTGCCGGCGAGAAAGCCGCCGCCAGAGATCCAGAATAGCACGGGGAGGCCAGCGCCGGCCTGGACTCCTTTCGGGCGCTGGACGTTGAGCGTTAGGCAGTCTTCCGACGATGTAGACGCCTCGTCCTCGCCCGAGGGGTCATTGACGATGCCGCCAGCGGACAGAGCATCCGTGAAATTGGAGAGGCCCGTCAGAGTGACAACGGGTCCCTGCGGGCATGAAAGGGGTTTGCCAGTGGCGTCAAAAGTTCCCAAATGTCGGGACAGCTTCACCGGCGGCCTGAAGCGCAGGTTTCCGATCGGCGCGTCGGCATAGGGGATGCCATTGAACGTGTCCACCGTCTCTCCTGCGGTACCAATGATGGTGCCGGACGAGATGGTGACGCTGACAGTGGCAGTCATTTCTCCTGCCTCGACAGAGAGAGCGGGTATGGATGCGACGAGCGGCAGCAGGCCAGCTGTGATGGAAAGGATGGCGGGCTTCCTTGTTGGGGAAGGCAGAAGCTTGATGAAGCTATGCTTGTAGTAAGACTGGTGACTGGGAGTCTACCACGAGCTGCGAGGCGGAGGAGGTGCTGCGGGCAATGACACGAGTCTGAGGAGCTATGGTCTTCTCTTATGAGAGTTTGGCGGCCCCATATCGTTTCGTGTGGCTTCGTCCGACTGCTCCCTGCTTCGTTTGGTTCATTCTTCGAACAAGACGAAGGGTGTCTTCCCTTCGATATGACATGATGAGCCGAGCTCGTCGACAGTCCGAGTTGGAGTTGTTCAAGGGACTCTAAGAAGAACTCTGCCGTGGCCTATCTTCTGAGTCAACAAGCCAACGAACTGCATGACGCCCTGCTAAGATCCAGTATGTGGCATCCGTCGCCTCGCTCGCCTCAACTTCCAGGAGGTTGGTCCTATAAGTTGAGGTTAATTCTCCATGCGGGTGGCGTCGTCAGATTGGGCGCTTGGGAGGCAGCATTTCACCAATCGATCGACAATGTCGATGAGAGGGAGAAGAATCGACTTGACCAGGTTTGGAATTGTTGGAGCCCGGCTGCTGTTCGATCACTCAGCCTGAGGCTCGGTTCGACTAAGTTTGTACTGGGCTCGGCTCGGTCAAGGATTTGCCTGGGTTGGGTCTGGAACCGTCAGCGGATGACTCGCTTTAGTCTAGGATGGTTCAAGGCATTAATGAACGAGTTCAGCCGTGAATTGCTATAGCGAAGGTGAGAGCAGAGAAGAAGCGAAAGTAACTGGCCTGTGACGTATTTCAGCCCGGACCTGCTTTCACCGCCCGAGCACGGCCCGGTGCTTCTTTGTTCCACATTCACTCGAGGTGTTTTAATGGTTAGCCATCCCCTTTGAACTGTTCAAGTCACAATCAGTACCTATACAGCCAAAATCCAGTCGACTGAAAAGACCGTGCAGTTGAAATTCTCAGTCAAAACGAACAATCGGTCATACATCCCCAGACAGGAGTGGAACCAGAATCCGTCACAGCAAGATGTTCAGTCGATTTCAACTTCTCCCTGGGACCAACTGGGGTAACCGGATTGATATCATCACTAGAACCGAACTGAACAGCCAAATGGAAGTCGTCGTTCGTCAAGTCGTGTATACCATGAATGTGTCAGAAGTAAGCTATGCTGACTGGCCAAGGTAACAAACAGCTTCCCCTTATACAAAAAGAAGAAAGAAGGAAAAAAAAAAAAAAAAACACGCCGATAGTACTCCGTCGTGAACCTTGGCTCACCAGAAATGTACAGGGTATCTCCTCCTCCTCTTGGTCTCTCCATGCGAAACTATGTCCGCCTCGTCAAGTTTTGCCCCTTCGCAGAGCTCCTCTGCCTGGTCGCGCTCTTATGGATGCTGGTGCCTCCCCTGCTTGCGGAGCTGGCGATCCTTATCAGTGCCCCATTCCGTCGCGGATCTCCAAAAAGGCCAGATACCGCTGCTTCGTCCACCGCCGCGCCTGCTTCCCCCACACAATCATCGGCAGAGACAGCATCAGGATTACGAAGCCCAGCACCCCCAGCTCGATAAAGGTGTCCATGACGCCCGTGTCCAACCAATAGCTCGCTACAAAGGTAAAGATCATGGCCAGCGTGTTGTTAATGACGGCAACGCCCACCATGCCCTCGAGGACCATATCCGGGTAGCAGTCGGCCAGGTAGGTCAGGCTCAGGTCGCCTGCGCAGCCGTAGCCAAAGCCGATGAAGCCGAGGCCGACGTACGGGACGGGCCAGTCCCACCCCTTGGCCGATCCGATGCCGAACAGCCACATGCCCGTTGGGAAGATGAGGACACACAGGAACATGAGGTAGAGGCGGAACTCGGCCTCCTGGATGCCCCGGTTACGCCGGCTGGCCCAAAGAACAAACAAGTCGCTGAGGTAGCCTCCGTAGAAACAGCCGAGGATGCTACCGATGAGACAGGGGATGTTCATGTTGCTCACAGCGACGTCGCCATAGTCCCAGGGGTCATCCGTCCAGTAGTCCTCCTCGATGGTGAGGTAAAAAGACAGGGCAATATTCTGCATCCCCCACTGCAGGCCGGCGAACCAGACGGCGGGGAAGGTGAAGATGCGCAGCGTGTGCCACAGTCGACCGACGTACTGCCTGGCGCCGAGTCCGCGCAGGTTGGGGGCGGGCGTAATGAGGGCAATGCGCTGCCAGTAGGACTTGGGGCGCGTGTAGTTGAGAGAGAACTGGTCCGTCTCACGGGCCTCTTCGTCTGACGCGCCAGGCGTGACCTTTTCGTCGCCGCTCGTCTTTTCATCGCCGCCAGTCGTCTTATCATTGCTCGTCGGCGCAAAAGGCGTTCGGTTCTCCACCGCCCGCTGGTACCTCTCACGCGGAAACGCCGTCTCCTCCAGGCCAAAATAAAAGAGCACAAAGTTGAAGCCAGACATGATGGCGCCCAGATATCCAATCCAGCGCCACCCAAGGCTACTGTCAGCGACGTAACCGCCAATCAACGGACCAAGATACGTTCCCACTGAGGTAGCCAGCGTGTACAGGCCCATCGACGTGCCGTTCTGGTGCTCGAACCAGATGTCCAGCAGGGAGAGCTGCACCACGGCCTCGGCAACGGACTCGGAGGCCCCCACAAAGAGCTGCGTCCAGATAGCGTCCTCGGCAGTCTTGAGGCGGCCAAACCATATGTTGCCAATCAGGCCCCAGGTTGCGCCCACGAGGTACAAGATCCGGCGGCCGTACAGATGCACGGCGGGGGAGCTCAGCAGCGTCCAGTAGCCAATGGCGAGGAAGAGGACGCCGGCGCCGGTGTTGAAGACGTCGTAGCTGATGCCGTACTCTTCATTCACACCCGTGCTGGCGGAGCCGGCGACGTTGGACGTGGCAGCTGTCAAGGCGACAGCGAAGCAGACGAGGGCGGTGTGCCATATCTTGCGCGGTAGGCTCCAGTTGAGGGGGTCGTTGGGCGACTGGGTGGGCTGGGGGACGAGGACGATGCCATCATGCTTCTGGAGGAGGCCATTGGCAGAGGTACTGCTGGCGGACTCGTCGATGAAGACGCAACGCGTGCCGGGGAGCACTTCGTCAATGTCGAGGACGGGCGGGGGAGGCTGAACGGCCATTTGGGGGGGAGGACTCTGTGAGAGGGACCTGGTTGGACTCGGGAGGAGGTTCGGGGGAGGGAACTGGAGGGAGTTCGAGGAGGGGGTCGAACTGGCTCACGGGAGCCTCATGCGGGTGTTGCTGCGGTTGGGAGTCAGTAAGAGGCAAGAAGGAGAAAAAGAAAAGAAAACAGAGGGAAGAAGAAGAAGATATTTACCTGCGCGAGACGGGACAGAAGCGAGACATGCGGCGGAGGTGACGATAAGAAGCGGCACTTTTTTTGCCGTGTCTGATTTTTTTCTGTCCCGTCTCTGTTGGTGTGTGTCCACCAATCGGGCTTATCGCAATGCAACCTCAATTGCTGGGTTTTTCGGGTTATCAGTGCATGGATCGTCGGTGGGTTCGTGACGGGAGCTCTAGCGGATGTGTTAGTGGTTGGTTTTGGTGGTCCAGCGAGTTGGCTGTAGCGGGTGCGGGTACCTGCTGGGGGATGCGGTACCTGGTTTACGCGCCAAGACGGGTGATGCGCCAAGTCGCTTGGTACTTGTTGTTCATTGACGGCATCCGATGCCTTTCTCGACCTCGATTCTCTAAGCCCAGGCTTACTGTTCTTACCTTACCTTTCTCTCACCTACACGACACCACAATTTCGAGAAGCAATTCTATCAGCTGGAAATGAACCATTCTGACGACGTGGCGGCTCCCCAGGAATGGCAGACAGGGATCTCGCCCAATCACTCGCTGGGCCTGCAGTGGCGCATCGGGAGCTGCGGGCCTCTTTGGGCTAGTGCTGGACGGCGCCTCCGGGGAGATTTGGCTGGGGTTTGATGGATTCATGTGTTTGGGTATGGTATTGGATGGCGTCGCTGTCGTGTGATTGCCTCTTGAACTGGGCCATTGGGCTTGGTGAGTTGAGAAAGCGTTGATGCTCGAAGTTCATGATGTTTCTGTCTTGAATATCTACTTAGGTACCCAGCAGGTTGAAGAAGAAAGTGATGTAATGGTAGCCAGAGCTGACTAAGGTAACTATCAAGGTTGAATCATAGGATGCCTCACCAAGGCATTGTCGGCATGTTCAATATTACCGTACCCAGGTATGCTTCACCTTTGATGGCTATCTAGCCAGTTAACATTGGATATCGGACTACTTTCACGAATTCAATCTTTCCTCAGGTACTGACGAGTCGCAGCGATATATCGAACGAGCCAAAGACCGCCAAAGAGTCTATAGTATTACAACAAGTATTCAATATATACGAGAATCTACTACGGGGTAGGTAAATCCATCAACACCGACTCACAGAATCGTCAACATCACTTTCATCATCCCCATACCGCGCGCCGCTCTTCCGCTCCGCACTTCGAATCGTCGCCATTGCCACACTCGAGTCCATCATGAACCGGTGTCGCACCTCTTCCTGCCACAGGTAGCGCTTCCGCTTCCTTGTCTGCCAGTCCCCCATCACCGCCGGCGTCTTGCAAAAGTCTAGCGATGCCTCCTCAAAGTCGACCAGCATTACGCTCTCCCGCGATCGGTCAAATAGGAAGTTACTCGCCGATAGTCCCCCGTTGTACACGACGCCGAGCTTGTGGATCGCCTCCAACGCGTTGTCCGCCATCTGGGCAATCAATTCCTTCTCGACCTGCCTGTGGCAGCTCTGGAACGGCCGCCCGCCCCAGCTCAGAAGCAGCATCTCCTTCCAGGCGTTGTCAGTGTACCGGCGCGGCCGTCCCAGATCCAGCAGACCGAGGCAAACGGGCACGCAATTGCCCTGCAGCTCTGCCATCTGATCGTAGACGGACTTTTCCGCCCACATGCTCGCCGAGCTCTTCCCGCCCTTGGCGATAAACGTGTAGCCGTGCGACGTCAGCCTCACCTTGAGGAGCGACCGGAGGGCGTTGCCAACCCGCAACCGCATATAGTCGGAATCTTGTCCGTCGGGGCGATCGAGCTGCCTCAGGAGGAGGCGCATGAAGTCGTCATAGCCGAGGTGAGCCGGTCCGTGGAACTCAGCGTTGGGGCAGTGAATGTCGGGCGCTGTTCCCTGTACCAGACCGAGGAGGCAGCTCTGGGAGCAGTACGGCTGATCCATCAACAGCGGCCGCGAACCGCTAATGCATCGATCGAGCTCGCAAATGGATCCGTCCCGGCCCGGCACGTCGTCGAGCCAGCTCCGGATCTTCTCGCTCTCCTTGGGCTCTGCCGTCTTCATCTCGATGTATAGCGGCGATTGTTTGAACCCCTGCCAGCGGTAGACCTTGAATGACGATGGCGATCGCGGCCTTGAGACACACGTCCTGCGTATTCTGTCCAACACGTCGTCATAACCCATTGTCCAGGTGTCCAGATACGTGACAGACTCGCACCACGACTCGGGAAGCGGCCTCGCGCGGAGAGCCTGCAGCACCAGCCCAAAGACGAGGGCACCCGCCGTCCGCTGAAGCCGTGTAGGGTCGTCATTGAGAACCTCGTGCTCCGGTACGCACGGCGTGCAGTATATCGTGCAGGGATCGTCTTCGGAGATGCGGCAGAAGATAAAGGCCTCACCCGTGCAGACGCACCCGTACTGGATGTTCCTGCTGACCATGTACGAGTAGAGCTGCGTGACGGTGGCAGCCACCAGCGTCCTCGAGGCAAAGGCATAGTCGTCGCCCTCCTTGTCAATCACGTCTCGCTCGGGCCGGATCTCGGAGGCCAGGCCACACTTGATCTCGTCGAGCTGCAATCTGTGCGGCAGTTGATGTACAATGGCGAAGATGGGCGTCCTCGTTCCGTGATCCTCCTTGTGGCGATATACGCATGACCGGTTGACCCAGATGCCGGCCCTCTTCGCCCTTCGATGGGAGTTTCGCATCGACAGCTTCAGTTCCCCTGCGTCCTTGTGCCACGACGACTCCAGCATGGGCTCGTACACCTGGCCGAGGTCCTTGTCGGACTCGATCGTCACCTTCACGTCGTCGCTGAGCCCGAGGCCGTTCCAGAGCAAGCCATCCTCGTACAGTTTGTCCATCAACTCCTGGACCACGTTCTCGATGGCGTAGCGTCCAAAGTGCTGCAGCGACGCCTCGCTGTTCACCGGTGTCAGTGTCCGCCTGACGCTGTCCAGCTGCTCGATGGACGGGAACTGCTGTTCCGTGCAGAATTCCGTCTCGGACGGCAGCTGGCTCCATACGCCCTCCTGCAGCTTGGCGAAGCCATCCCAGGGAATGATTCGTCGCGGAAATGTCCAGCTGAGCGCCTCCTTCTGCGTGATCAGGGACCGACTGGCCGTCTTTTGAAACCGCAGATGCAGCGCATGGCAGGCCTTGAGATACTGGGCGAGGTTTTGGGGCAGTCGGTCTCTCTCTCTGGTCGGCTCCCTCTGCTTGATCGGCCCTCGCAACGCTCGTTCGTTGATCTGGCGCTCGATCCGCTTGTACTCGCGGTCGAACAGCTCCTCGTAGTGAATGTCGATCTTCTGGCGCTCCCGCTCGTACAGCTCGTCGCGTTCGCGGGCCAGCTGGCGGAGCTTCCGCTGGTATATCTCGTCACATTCGCGCTGGACGTCTCTGCAGTCCTGCTCCCTTTTCTCGCACTCGGCGGCTACAAAGTCCTGGAACTGCTCCTCGTCCTCGTCGCGGTCGAATCTCTGTCGATGGCGTGGGAACCCCTGGCGTCGACGCAGCTCCCGCTGCAGGACGCATTTTCGTTTCTTCAGCTCCTCATATCTGACACTTGTCTCTGTCATCCTCGCAGATCAAGGATCCAAGCAGTATAAGAGGCACTCGTGAGCTGCACATACATGTCCAAATGCTACCAGCAACGGTGTTGATCAGGAGGGCCCTCGTCCGTGTTATAAGAGCTGGTCTGTCTGCCTGTGGGCCCAAGCGGTGACAGCTCACAAAATTACAGCTAGGCTGCAAGCGGCTAGCAGGCGGGCGGGATAATATGACGGCTCGTTCGTGATCCCTGCAAGCTGATGGTCGTGAGCTGTCATTGGCGTTGACCCATTGCTTTGTTCAGTTGTGGCCCTGGCCCTGCCAAGGACGCTCGATTGTTGGCCCGTCTGTTTGTACCACTTGGCTGGACCATGATTTCCCTTTTATTGGGCTGCTTTCTCTCCGATTCGCTGCTGGCGGGCAGGGGTCATCTCCAGAGACGCAGCAAGACGGCGACAATCCTCGAAATAACACGTGTGACACGAGGTTGCGGTAGATGAGGCGGTGGATACGCCAATGTCCGGGGGACGCGGATGATGGATGGACGTCCTTCACGGAGCCTCGAAGGCGTACGTCGTACTTCGTACTTACAGCATCACCAATTTCGCCTAGTATGGCTTTGATTACCAGCAGTGAGGCAGCCTTGCTAAGAATAGCTGTGCATCTTCGTATCGTCTTGCTTCTGCTGCGCTAATCGGATCACCCTTCACCCCTTCATCGCCCTGCCGCCGACGTGGAATACCTACCTACTTGTACTCAACCGCCGTCGTATACGCATCTTCCCCGTGAAGAGCCCAGTATCCATCCCAGATCGTCTTCGTGATCGGTCCAACCTGTCCGTCCTTGACCGGCCGTCCATCGAGCTCCGTAATCGGCATCACTCCCCCAGCCGTGCTGCACATGAACATCTCGTCACAGACGTACGCCATTTCGACAGGAACGGCCTCGACGTGAACATCGATCCCCTGGGCCTTCGCAACCTCCATGACGGTCCTCCGCGTGATCCCGTGCAGCACCCCCCTGTCGGGCGTGTAGACGGCTCCGTCCTTGAGCAGCACGATGTTGTATCCCGAGCCCTCCGTCAAATTTGCGTCGCCGTCCGTGAGAAGCGGATAGCTGGCTCCCCGATCCTGCGCCTCGTGCATGCCGCGCACCATGTCGCCCCATTGCAGGTTCTTGATTATGGGATCCATGGCCCCTGGTGGCGTCCGGCGGACTGTGCGGGCAACAACGGCGCTGCCGCCGCGATACTGCATGTCCGGGTCCATGAGCCAGACGTATGGCAGCAGGATAACGTACAGGTTGTTGACAATCTCCTCAGGCTTCGACCCTCGCACGCCCTTCAGTCCACGGGTCACTATGAGCTCGACATAGGCGTCTCGCATCCCGCTCTTCGCGACCATGTCAAATAGGACCGCCTTGAGCTCGTCTCTGGGCAGCGGCAGCTTGAGTCTCATCTTGGCGCAGCTGGACTCGAAGCGCGTGATGTGATCGTCCAGGCGGAAGAACTTACCATCCCACACCGAGGGAACGTCGTAGCAAAGGTCGCCGTGGAGGAAGCCCTGGTCCAGAATCGGGATTCGCGCCTCTGCCAGTGGTGAGAGCTCCCCCGCGATCCAGGCGACGCCGCTGGCGTACGGATTGTCGCTTGCTTCGAGGGCAGCTTGCCTCTGTTTGTAGGCGGCAAAGAGGGAGTCCATAGAAGACATTGCGAGAGTGAGGATCAGGGTGAGGTTGAGATGGCGCAACGTGAACAGACCTATAATCACCTCCGGAGAAAAGTGCGGAGTCATTCTTATATATCCATCCGGCCGGATCGTATCTCTTTAGCTCTGCATCGTAGCCTTGACGATCGATCAGAGGCTGCAGTAGCTGCTAATGCAGTGGGTATCCGCGATGCCTGAAGGGGGAATGTCGTCCGCGGGGGGATGGACTCTCGGAGAAGTTGGTCGTTTGCGGGGGAATTTGGAGAAGAGCATCGTTTCGAAACGGCATTACAAGGTCAGCCTTAAGCCATGTCTGAAGCTGGAGAAGACGTTGAGAGGATAATGCCGTCATCCTGGGAACATTTCGGAGACGTTGAAGAGGTGGAAGAAGGAATCGTTGTGGGCTGATGACGAGATACATAATTTATGAGAATCGATCAGTTCCTCTATGAGAGGGCCAAGGAATTTGACAGATAAATGGCATTTGTCTCCGCTGACTTGGAAATGTGTGAGCGAAGCATTATTGCTAGGTAGGGATGGCATTTCTCCTTTCCGCATTGGCTCAATATGTCAAGACTGAGGAAGGCACGGGGTCACGGGGTCTCGTTTCCATGTGCACACAACCTTCACTCTCCAAGTTTTTGCGACCCGCTCCTCATTCATTCAAGCTCTGATACTCTCCGATCCTATTGTTGGCATTATTCGTTTGCTCTCTGATCGTCAGTTGACATCAACCACCAGTCTCCAGTGGCCAGGCTGACTCCCGTTACAGCACCAGAAAAGGAAATGACGAAGTAGTCAGATAGCCAACTTGCTCCATCGTTGTACGAAGCAAGAAGCACTAACAGACCAACTGACCTTGTCAGACACTCAATTCCAATCATTTCTCTCTCCTCACCCTTCCCCGAGTTCGGGATCAACCGTCTGTTGTCGAAAGCCCTCGACGCAGACTACCCAATAATGAAGCTTAGCACCAACCTGCATCCAACCATTCCACATCAGCGACCTCTCCAACGAAACTTCAAGACGTAAGCCGATAAGCTGCGTCAGCCTATTGCAGTCGCTACACATTTCTGCGTTGAACGGCAAGTCCTCACCCATTAGTGCTGACATCGAAACTATATTCGACTACTGTTGTCGGGCGACAACTCCCAGCATAAAAATGCCATGATCTGCCATCAAGGTCGCTCTACGACCCTTTCGTCAACACAGGTTTCGCTTTCAGACTCACATCATGTGGCCTTTTAGCTCCTATCCCGAGCGAACGGCGGAGGATGTCGACGGCAAAACATACGACTACATCATCGTGGGAGGCAAGTCGAGATAATCTTTCCGTCTAAGCAGAAGACTTCGTGCCTAACAGTTCAATTCCACAGGCGGCGCCGGCGGCTGTGTCCTAGCATCTCGTCTCTCTGAAGATCCTAACGTACCTGTTCTACTCCTCGAGAAAGGGTTCGTAAACGACAATCTCATAGGCCGCATTCCCCTCCTTTCCCTGCATCCGAGCATGCCCGGCACCGCAGCCGTGAAGCATCTCAGTCAACTCTCCAAGGTAGTCAAACGCAAGCTGTCCCTCTTCTGGGGAGAAGCTCTCGGAGGCTCGACCCGTATCAATGCAATGGTCCTCACGCGCGGTCCGCCCAGCAACTATAACGACTGGTCCCAGGAGTACGGGCTCAAAGACTGGGCCTGGGAGAGAGTAGAGCCTTACTTTATCAAGAGTGAGAACGCCATAGGCCATCCAAAAGCTCTATATCGAGGCCACCGGGGGCCGGTCGAAAACCGTCAGATGCCCTTGCCATTCTCCTGCTACCCATACATTGAGATAGCCGCTCGCAAGCTGGGATTTCCCATCTATGACGACTGTAACAATCCAGCAGCGGGTGCGCAGGGATACTTTAGCCTCGACCACACCATCAGCGCGAGCGGTCGGCGCTTCTCTGCGTACCAGGCGTGGCTAAACAAAGACGTTGCCATCGCTCGAAAGTCTCACCTCACTGTGTGCACCGGCGTGACCGTCTCCAAGCTCGAAATCGACCCGGAATCGCGGAGGGCAGTTGGGGTTAGAATCCACGGGAAAGGGAAGACGAGCGACGAAGATTATCGCGTCAAGGCACGACGGGAAGTGGTCTTATGCGCTGGTGCAATAGGGACTCCACCGATATTGATGCGAAGGTTTGTCGCTTCAGGCATCCCTCACATGCACATCGAGAAGTCAGCTAATAAGTAATGATCCAAGTGGCATCGGACCCGAAGACCAACTCGACCAACTCGGCATTCCCATCGTCCAAGAGTCGTCCGCGGTGGGCAACAACCTCATGGACCACATTTCTGTGCCCATCATGTGCAAGCTCCCGGCCCGGGATACCATCCACAGCCTCTACAATCCGCTTGTCTTCATCTGGCAACTCATCCTCTGGATCTTCTTCGGCCGCGGCCTCCTGGCACACTCTTCAACAAGCTCAACCATCTTTGCTCGCATGACTGCTATCGATGATACGACTCTGCAAGTCCAGACGTCGCGCGATGGAATCGACACAATGGACCCAATGAATCCACAAAACGTCCCTGATGTAGAAATCATGGTGATTCCTGTGTCTTGCTACCTCGATGTGAATGTAACCACCCATCCGCTGATGACTTGGCAATGCACGCTGGTCCAGCCCTTCAGCAAAGGAAGCCTCCGACTGGCAACCACCAGTCCCGAGCATTTCCCCGAAGTGATCCATCCTCTCCTTCGAGACGACAGAGACCTCGTGCCTATGCGAAAGGCAATCCGCATGTCGCTACGTCTCGGCCAGGAATTTGCTCGCTCGGGATACCCTCATCCCGCGCCTGTGCTCTACGGACCTGGCATGGACCTGCAATATCTCGATAGCATATTTGGATTTGTTACGCAGCTGCCAGATAAAGAGGAAGACAAAAAAGGTGAAATAACGGAGCTCCCGGATTGGCAGACCATCTCGGACAAAACCATCGATGAGTACGCACATCGCACCTACCAGAGTTCTCTCCACTATGCCTGCACCTGTCGAATGTCCCTGGATCCGGCAGACGGCGTCGTGGATCAGAGGCTACGGGTCTTCGGAGTCGAGCGCCTCCGTATAGCCGACGCCAGCGTGTTTCCCAAGATCCCGAGTGGACACACAATGGCACCAACCATGATGGTGGCTGAGCGATGTGCCGATTTCATCAAGGAGACGTGGCGTGATAAGGAGTCGCTGCGTATCTGAGCTTGCCCAGAACCAATGGATCTACTTGTGGAGCCGAGCAAGTCTGGAGGTGACTCGACGAGACATGAATACTGCATCATTGGGCAAAAGTACTGCGGCAGGTCCGACAGTCGGGCGTGGCTCCCACTGCGGAAAGACCTCGATGATGTCCACGTTTTGCCGCACAAGTCGTCCGCAGTGACCAAATTTGCCGCCCCTGGCATCAACAATGTGACCATGTTCGATAAGCAAACATATTCCATCACGCCAGCATTCTGCAGGCTTGCAAAGACCCAAGTTGCCCTTCCCCTTCACAGTGTCCAAAGGAGTGTGCCGTGCTGCTGTCCCAATAGTTGAGCGGTTCCACAAGCTTCGTTCTCCGGCTCTGATGGTCAGGTCCCAGGTTGACAGTAGCTGTATGTGCCTTTCCAGCCACCTCCCACATTAACCTCTGCACCATGATCGAGAAGCAGTTGAACGATATCTTGCCTTCCTGCGCGAGCAACAGCATCCCAGAGCTTTACAATCGGCAAATCTCGACGCGGGGACCCTCGTGCTTTTGAGGCGCCAGGTTCATGTCATCAGAACCACTAGACGGCCTATTGTGTCTCCGTTCCTCTGAAAACCACCAGAGAAACAACACGAGAGCCTCGCTGCCTAAACATCATTGCGGATCGGCGCGCTCAGCTTCAACACGAGTAATAAATACAGCTGTAATACTTATGGGGCGCATTGTTGGAGGTATCGACTATGAACATTGCAGATGTGGTCAACCCATCCCATGCCACAATAAGAGCAAATCGGGTATCAGACGGCTTTAGCGGCGGAAGAACGCTGATTGGCTGGCGCCGAAGAAATGTCGGCGGAAGAGCGCTCATTGGTCAGGCTGCTTCACTTTGGCGATCCCCGGTCCTATCATCGAGCTCATGTTCAAAGAGCAACAGCCCATATTCATGGAGATAGGTGCAAGTAATCCCGAGGTTTGCGTAATGGACTTGTCAATAATGTCGCAATTGTGCCTCGCATGGATCCGTTGGCAGGCCGGTCGCGGCTATAAATGATGCTCAAACCAACCCTGCTTTGACATGTCTGCCAGAGTAAAATAGCATCACAGATCAGTACATTCGACGATAACAAGACAACTACAATGTCTCAGACGCTTCCCAAGATTGTCACCCGCGCTTTGGGCAAGAATGGGCCTCAAGTGCCTCGCCTCGGTCTCGGCCTCATGGGCCTGAGCGGACACTACGGCCTGCCAGCCCCGGATGAGCAGCGCCTGGCCTTCTTGGACAAGGCGTATGAGATGGGCGAGACGTTCTGGGATACTGGTGAGTCCAGAGATCGCAACCGAATGTTCTCGACGCACTTTTGCTGATCAATATGGTATGCAAGCCGACATGTATGGCGACTGTGAGGACCTGTTGGGAAAATGGTTCGCGGCCAATCCAGGAAAGCGAGACAATATCTTTCTCTCGACCAAGTTCGGTTTGCGGCCAGAAGGCAACAGCATCAACGTGAACTCGTCTCCGGAGTACTGTCGAGAGGCTATCGAAAAGTCGCTCAAGCGACTCAGGCTGCCATTTGTCAATCTCTACTACGTCCATCATCTCGATAAAGTTACGCCAATCGAAAAGACCATGGAGGCCATGGTCGAGCTCAAGAAGGAGGGAAAGATCCAGCATATTGGTCTGAGCGAGTGCAGTGCCGATACCCTCCGCCGTGCTTCCGCGATCCACCCCATCGCCTGTGTCCAAATGGAATACAATCCCTTCACCTTGGAGATTGAGTCGCCCCAGCGTCGCTTTCTTGAGACTGCGCGAGAGCTTGGAATCGCCGTGGTCGCATATAGCCCACTCGGGCGTGGCCTTCTCTCGGGAGCCATCCAGTCGAAAGAGGACGTCAGCAAGGCTGGCGATGTGCGGACCAGGCTTCCTCGCTTCAGCGGCGACAATCTGGACAAGAATATCGCGACCGTTGCGAAGATCAACGAAATCGCAAAGAGCAAGGGTGTCACCCCCGCCCAGCTGACGCTGGCTTGGATCCTTGCGCAGGGCGATGACATTTTCGCCATTCCTGGCACGACAGAGGCACACAGGTTGAGGGAGAACCTCGCTGCCATGAGCATCAGCTTGACTGCCGAGGAGGAGCAAGCAATTCGGAATGTGGCAAAGGATGTTGTAGGACCCCGACTTCCAGAGAATCTCCCTAGCGTGAACCCTTTCGGCGACACTCCGCCGCTGGAGTCATGAGTGTTCGATGGCAGCCATTTGGCATGCGACTGACTTTGTGCACGGCGTTGCTTCAGATCAAGACCTTAGGAATAGCATCAATAGATTCATATTCGCTCATGTTGACTGTCAAATCCCATCCGAAACGTGGAGGTCGTGTAAGTGTAATCGCGGCATCGTCCGCATGTCGATACACTCGACGTCGCTGCCCAAGAGGTTTCGTGAATCCTGAACGTCAGGACCGTTGGATATTGCAGGCTGGGGACCATCAGGCCTGAGAGCAGTGGAAACCAAGTCGGGCCACAGAGATGACGAAGAACTTCTCCATGCCCACGGCGAAGTCAAGAGGTCACCATTGAGGCCGGCTGTCTCCGTCGTGCTCTGGGAGCCGATTCCGTCTGTCAGCACATCCTCTCGGCGGCACCGGCGCATAATGTGAACGGTTCCCACATATGGAAACTCCAGTGTGACAGTGCCTTCGTCATCTCGGACCAAGCACTCCAAATGCAGCATCTCGCTGGGCTCGCTCCAAACTCTGTAATCAAGGCCGTCTGAGGCTGCTGCTTCGAGGTTGCCAAGCCTCCTCAACGCTCGAACGGCAGAGGAGCACAGCTTATCGTCATACTTTTGGGCCACAGACTCCAGGCTCTGGATGGCCCGCTCGACACGCAACAAATCCCCTGGACGCTGGTGATCAAGGGCATTGTCGCGACCCAGCCGGTGGCTATCCAGGTGGGCTAAGAGAAGGGCCAAAGCAGAAAGGATGATCTTTACAGTGTTTCCCCGTGTTGAAGACGTCACCCGATTGGGGCTGACAGGAATGATGCATCGGATGAGTAGCTCACGACTGGCAAACATAGCGGAGAGCTTGGAGTTTGTGTAGTCTTGGGCGCCTTGGCCAGTAGAGCAATTCCCGAGCCGCGGGACAATATACGGCAGATGGAGCAGCAGCACAAGGTTGTAGTGATGTAGCTGTAGAACAACCTTGGCAGTCATGTCTCTTAGGTCCGCATTTGTCTGAGCATCCTTCAGTCTCGGGAAAGCCCACCAATCTGCGGGCAGAGCGCGCGCCGCCTGCTTCAATGTGTAATCAATGTCTTTCGTCGCGTTGTAATGATTGTAGGTGGTGTCGCTTGCGCAAGGATCCAGTCGCATCAGTTCATTCCTGGAGATGATGCGACTGGTAAGCTTGGCCTGGATCCGCTCAAGCTGTTCGTGAGGCTCTTGCCCTATCAGGTCTTCCATGAAACTATCATCTTGCACGGATATTGGAAGGCAAAGCACTAAAGATAGGTAACGCTCCGTGAATATGAGGCGGAACCATAGAGTCGCCAAGCATATAGGCGTCTGTTTACTGTGGCGCCGTCGCTGTGGGATGTGCAGGCCCATGAGATGAGCAATGCCTATTGCTCGACGAAACACCAGCCAAGCGAGGCGTATCTGGCCAGTCGAGACGTGGTACAATCCTTCAAGCATCAATGTCTCAATGCCAACAAAGGAGACAACAAGTGAGTCCTGGGAGGTGACGTAACGGGAAGCGGCCTCGAAATATTGGCCTGCAACGTCATTATTGGACCTATCGAGGCAGAGTGTAGATATTTCCGACGTGCGTTCTGACTGCTGAAGGCAGATTGCCAGCTGGAAGAGTCTTCGAGCTAGATCAATCGGTTCGGAGTTGGTCGACGTTGGGGAAGCCAAGAGGGAGATTTGACGAGGGGCAGAAGAACGAAAAGGATCGGTGGACAAGCCCCGAAAGACGTGCATAGACATCATCAACAGCTTGTTTTGGTGCATGATGCGCGTGGTGACGTTGGCAGACGGGAGTATGGACTGCAACAGCAGACTTAGGGAGCTGCATCGCAGAGCGCCATTGGTTGGATGAGGCGGTAGCAGTAAAGCGTCGGCCCCTTCAAACTGTGATGACAGAGGCGGTATTGAGGTCTGAGCCGGTTGATTGAATGGCGCGAGATTGTCGTCGGTGGAGGAATTACAGGAGCTCTGGTTTAGCCCGAGATGAGGCTTGGGAAGCAATTTTCGTCGAGAATCGGAAGAGGGCTGCGGTACTCGGGTTCTTTGCGATGTCTGCTTGATGGCTGGACTGTTCTGCTTCTCGCGGGGAATATTGCGATTTGGGTTTTGCAGGAGATGATCTGAATCACAGATGGAAGAGGCAGGAAGAGTCGACTGACGTACCAGTCCATCGACCAAGCCCTCGAGATGATCCAGTTGATCTCCAGCATATCGAGCACGAACCGAATGGTCCGCTGCCTCTGTGACCGAAGACCGCTCCTGGATATGCTGCGGGACACACTTGCATCCACGACGCTCGCAAGACTCGCAAACGCCTGAGCCACTCCTCTCAAAATGGCATCGTTGTTTTCGCCGTTTGCATTCCCAGCAGCTTGTCGTACCTCGCCGGATCTTGCGTCGCTCGGCCCTGGCTGAACCGGATGAAGTCGATGAGCTCATATCGATGGAGCCGGGCTTCCTGCAAACGAAAAGCCGGCGCCTGGGGTGATCATCCAGACTCTGGCATTAATCACATCAGCGGCGATGGTCGCGCATTGATGAAGAGCTGGACGAAGCTCTGCAACGCGTAATGATGATAATTAGATCGAGTAAGAAGCATAAATGAATCGAGGAAGGACAGAACAAGAAGAAGCTCGAATCATGCGTCTGCCATTGTATGCATTTCTAGTCCTCCTCTTCACCGATGAAGAGACGAAAGAGCTCAATGAATCAAGTGGGCAGGAGTTCATGCCAGAGTTACGTCAGCATTTTTTCGAGCCTTGGTTGATGAGTCAGCCCACCATACGTCAATGCATGGGTAAGGACGCGGATGTCTCGCAGGAAAAGGTAAAAGAAGAGAGTATGAGGGAATGCGAATCAGCACAATATGCCGAACGATGGTACAACGGAGAGAGAGAAGAGGCAAAGTTCTTACATGGAGCCTCAGGACTAAGCTCGCGCGAGAGACAAAGGCAAAAGCCAGCCGGTCATTCTGATTTGCTTACCTTGGAGGCATCTCCCATTAAAAAGGATGCAGGTCAAGTTTCAATGGGCTCAGAATGCTCTAACAAAAGCAATCTGTTTGGATTGCGTGACTTGGAGAGGCGTATGAAAGCACGACGTTCTCAAAGTCGCTTTGAAAGCCTACAGTAAGTGACGATAGCAGGGTACTCGACATTCCCACCGATTCTGTGTTTGCTTCTAGGGTACTTCTCAGCTGGGATGCAGCAGTTCATGTCTAAGGTAGGTCCAGATGTGAAGCCGCTCATGAAATGCATATACCTAATAACTGATGTAAGCATATTGGTAAGCCGTAGGAGGAGCTTTGGAAGCCGGTGCTCTGGGAGAAGAGGCCACTTGAAAGGAGACTTCATTCGAAATGACCCGGTCAGATCCAAGACCGTTCCAAGAGCTACAATTATTTGTAGCATTGGAATATGCGAGATATCAATTGCTTTCCAAGTTGTCATATCCGATCAATCTCAAGGCTCTTTGAATACCCATTGTTGCACTTGCCATCCAAAGATGTATCATGTACCAGGTCCTGCCCTGTTCACGTGTTCGCTTGTCGGACGTCCTGCTCCTGCTCCCACAGACATTCAGCAGCACAGGCACCTGTTCAGCCATTCAACTACGTGCTGAATCCTCAGAATTCTGACATCTTGATTCTTCTGAATACCACAGTCCTGCCACAACGGAGCCTCTCTGACATTGAGTTGCTTCACCTCTTTATTTTGCAATTCGAACTACAGCTAAGGATTTGTTGCCCGAGCAGCCGCCTCCAAGCAACTGCGCGAGCAGCTGCAGTTTCATACGATCACCCACGAGCGGAGAAGACCATTCCTCGTCGGCCGTTGGGAAAAGCCACTTGTTCATCTTGATACTCTTTCTACTCTCTCATTGTATCAGATGAATGCATCAAGATTGACCATAGGGGAAAAGCAGCATAGGGTGACAGAATGATGATGCCTTCACCAGTCTACGCCCCAGATACTAAATGACTGACAGATCTCCAATTCAAGAACATACCATCCAAAACTCCCTATAAAGCGGTCCTCGACATGCTTCCAATTGCCAGCAGTGCTGACCTCGATGCGTTTGATGAGAGTCAGAAACCGAGATGCCTTCCTGACCCTCGAGTGGATTCCTCTCCAGCACATTTGCGACTAGGCGATGACTTCAAGTTCCCTTGTCATATTGTGGCTCAGCGGCATGACATATACCAGCAAATCGACTATTACTCGCGCACTTCGAGTCCAACATTTATACTAAATATTCCCTTTGGAGTGAGGTTCTTACCAAAGAGAGACGAGCTGACTGAAGAGACTTGGCTGGGTCAATGATCGCCACAGACCAGGTATATCTCTACGTTTCTGGATCATGGCTTCACCAAGGTACGTAGAGACTATTACCTTTGGGATCACACAATCTCAAGCTTCCAAGCTCATCCGGCCGATACTAAACATCGTTGTTCTAACAGTAGCTTTTGCGGCCGGCTCCAATATGGTTCACTCGACGAAGAACTTGCCACATATTATGGATACAACTAAGGCCAGGTCAAATACCGAGAATAGACTCGAGGATGGGGACCAGTCTCTGCTATGATGCCATGCTGAATAGCGAGATACCCCAAGCCCAGACTTTGACCAGCATGGTAGATCCCTGTTCAGGCCAGACTGTGGTACACCTGCTTCAGAAGGGAGCTTTGCACGAGACATACCCGAGGACAGCCACTACACTCGCACGCGGGCCATTTCATGTGCTTATTATTCGTCTGTACTTCCAGAGTCAACGAGAGTGATATTTGTCCATTGTGCCATCTTTACAGACCCCACTCAAGCGTCAGTTGTCAAGGGTCCTTGTCCTGGAAAATTACTCGAAACGGAAAACGGTCGTTTCGGCCGGCCGAGGTTGACGGCCCCACGTCCCACATCATCATCCGCTCGCTTCGGTGAAGAGGAGACTTTTCAGGCACGAATCTACACCAAGTACAAGGCAGTTTGGAGGCCCTGTGGAGCACATGAACTGTGCGAAGCGATACTGCTGAATGGTGCTTTGCAGGCGGCGAACAGGGATATACAGAATCGGTGAGGGACACAAGACTCGGGCCCCGATGTTGGCCGAGACGAACGTCAGAATGCCTCTGGATTGCAAAGATGGAGTCTATTTGGAATTTTTGGTCTTTCAATCACGCAAGGTTGATATCGCACTTCTATCCTTCCCTGAACACGCGAGCGTCGACAACACAATATTCAGCCTGGAACATCCAAAAGCTGGCAACATCTCACTCCGCCGCAACAACCGTTCCCGAAACGTCTTCAATCTCCAGTCTTCAGTTGGCCATATGCTTGTTCGGAAAGTATCGATATGCCAATAGAGTGATACGAACGTCCGGATTCCTCAAGTCGGCCTCCTCCCACGTCAGAAACCGCTCAAAGCCTGATTTTTCAAGCACCTTCTGGCTGGCAAGGTTTTCCGCAGATGTAAAGGCCGTCATAACCTCCAACACCTCCCCCTCTTCGTTTGGGATGCTCCGTTGATCAACTTCAATATGAACCTCTTCCCGGGGCAATTTGCACCACATGTCCAGCCATGCCCGGGTGAACTCAGTCGCGAGTCCTTTACCCCAGAATTCCTTGCGAAACATGTATCCCATGGCAGGCCAGCCAAACATGGACTTCAACTGGTGACAGCCTCCGATACCAATCATCTCTCCAGTCTCCTTGAGACAGACAGCAAAGTCGTAATGCGATTGATCTTTGGGTGGCAGGAACAGGTTGAGCTTTGGGCGTGTTTCCTCTAGGTCTCTGTCTATCCGCCCCTGGGGGTTGTTGGCCATGACTTCGGGCTGAGTGCGGATCAAGTGCAGGCCTTCAAGATCTTGAGCATCGAGAGCCCGGATTATCAAGCGATCCGTCTTGACGGGGACTCTACTGGAGTTGAGCGGTAGCGGACGAGCTGGGAGAGTTGTGTCAACCATTGCCCACTTCGGCTGTGGTGCTGAAGAAGATGCAGCCATCGTTGAAGTAGTCATTGAGTCACTGCGAGATGCTCTTGATGCAAGTGTATGTCTTTTCCTTTTGGTTATGAATCAATCATGAATATGTCTCACAGTCTGCTAGGCATCGCGAGAGCTTCCCAATGTGGCTAAAAAGGCTCAATTCCTTCGCCGTTTTATTTGCTTTTAGTCCAGCTTCAGTCGAGACCAGGGTCAACACAAATGCCACAGTGTATCAACCAACTGCACTGTCGATTGGTCACGGCGGCAGCTCGAAGCTGAGCGAGCTTCATGTTGCCAATACGGGCACCAGGCATTAGTAAGCTTGCCTGTTTCCCACGATGACCTCCAGCTGACGCTCACCTTTCTTCGCACATATTCGACTAGTTCATCATCCGAGAACAGCTTCTTTCCTAATTGGTTCATTGACAATAGCTGAGACGACAATCTGATTTCGACTTCGCTCATTTCGCGAGAGAGAATGAGCTCGAGTGTTGATTGTCAGGACTCTGTCATTATACCCTGTGATGACTTGAAGCAGCTCCATATCTCACAAACAGCCGGTAATTTTACAACTTGTCGGTTTCGAGCCCGCAGTTCACGAGACTAATCACAAGGAAACAGACACCTCTTCCATTGACAATGCGATCTACAGGACGCGCATCAGCCGCAAGCCTCTTGAATTCGTCACGGTATCACCCGCGAATGAGAAGGATGGCAAAGGCATATCCAAGGTCGTTCGCACACAGGTCATGAAGGACTACTTCTGGAAGCAACGGAACCCAGAGAATCCTGATTTGATACCAACCGATCAACCGACGAACCCGTCGCAGTACAAGGGGAGATTCCGCCTCAACGCACGGCCGAACAAGTCAAAGTCGAAACCAATTTCCAGGAAGACAAAAGGTCGCGATAGGGCTTCCGATGACGCCGCCATTCGAGCGCAAAAAGGGCGTATCGTGATGCCCAGGGGCCCAATTACTGATCCCAACATCTATGATCCGGATGGCTTTTTTGCAAGCACACCTGTGGCTTTGCTGGGCGGGAGCCTCGATCCTTTCAACTCGTTTGCTCTCAAACTAAAACCGGAGAGCCTGAAGTTGATATACTACTGTACGTCTCCCAAGCTCAGCACCAAGCAACGCTGACTGATGTTTGCGCTCGGTCGATAGATAAGCAAAGCTACTCCAGAGACTTTCTCGATCTCAACGTAGGAGGCGGCTACTGCCTCTTCGACGCCCGAGAGCACCGCGCCCTCTTTCACTCCATTTTATATCTCGTCGCCCTTGACTTCAACCTCCGACGCGGTTTAACGGATGATCTGGGATGTCTCTATCATTCATCGGAAGCATTTCGTTTGATCAACGAGCGAATTCGGAACGGCGATATTGAAGATGCTACGATCGCGGCGGTTGCTCTGATTGCTTCGAAAGAGGTGCTTTCTCCGGCTCTTTCCTGTTTTCCTGTCCGGCTGACTTGGCGTTACTGATGGTTATCATCTTTGTGCAGAATTTGGCGGGCATGTTTGACGCTTCGTACATGCACATGCAGGGCCTGAAATACATGGTTTACAAAAGAGGAGGAATCGAGAATATTCGGGGCATTCATCGCGGAGTAGTTATGTGGTAAGTATCTCCCCCCCTTCTTCTCTTTCTCTCCCATACGTACACACAATTCACATAGAAAAGGATGTTCTGTCAAATTTATGAGGTAAAGGAACTGACAAAGCGTATAAAAGGGCTGATTTCTGCAATTCGACCGCCTGGAACTATCCGCCACAGTTCCCATACGTGCCGCTCTCCACGAGTCTTCGAGACACTTCATTATTACCCGATACTCTCCAGTCGGCGGAGAGTGCTTCCTTGCAGAGGCTTCCTAGCGTTGAGCAGCAGCTCATGTCCATCGTGCAATCTCTCCACAAAATCTCCGCCGCAAAAGACGCCAATGCGCACAAGAACGAAGCAAGCCGCGTGTACGACGTCGAATACAGGCTCCATCTGCTACAGGCTCAGGTTTCTCACGACAACCTCACCCCAAACCATATGTCTCCTCTGTGTGTAGCACTCAACATCTACCTCTATCTGGCAATCCGAGAGCTCCCCGCCAGAGCCCAACTTATGCGGCAGTTGATCGATCGGCTGCAAACTTGGCTCAAGGCCGGATCAACAAACCAAATCACTTCGTCGGATAGTCGAAATCAAAACTGGATGTTGTGGATGCTCTTCATCGGATACGGAGCAGCATTAGAAAATGGCAGACAAGAGTGGTTCACGCAAGCTCTCCAGTCAGTCTACATCCAGGCCCGGTGTCGAGATATAGAGCAGCTTCACGGCACCCTGAAGAATGTCCTGTGGCAAGATTCCTGGTGCGAGCATTACTTCAATAAGTTAAGAGGAGAGCTTGCGTGATGAAGCCATACAATCAAGACAAGTATTGTGAACCAAGAGACACTCAGAAATGGTCTGCGATTTAACTATTTAAATCCTCATGACGGCGTGGGGCTCGACGACCCCGGACATGTCGATTCAGTCCATGTTTGCTTTTCATTTCAAGGTTCACTTACGCCGCTGATTACCAGTGTCACACATCATGGCAAACATCTTACTCTTGCTGCTTCGTTCTCGTGACGTGCATCCAAAGCTGCGATTGCGAAAAGACACCGTGGTTGAACACTTTCCAGGGCTTGTCGGGATCGCAGACTGTCAAGTCAAATCGTCGGATCAACTATAAAGACGACAAGCGTCCGCTTAGCGAAACCCGTCTTTACGAACAAAGGGAAATGAAAAACATACCTCTACGAATACCTTGTTCAATTCAATAAGGGCGATCGTGCGGCCCAGGCAGAGCCATCGGCCATAGCTGAAGATGAGATCCAACGTGCTCTCCATCTCCTTCACTTTCTCCGGAGCATTATCGAGCCACCGCTCCGGTCGGAATTCCAGGGCGTCCGCTCCCCAGATGTCTTTTCGCCGTGTGATGGCCCAGATGCTGTATCCGACTCGGGTCCCTCCTGGGATGAAGACGCCGTTCCAGGTATCGCCGTGTGGGGGCACCTCCTTTGACATGAGGCCTGCGATTGGGGGGAAGATACGAAGACCCTCTTTGATCACGGCTTGGAGGTATGGAAGCCTTTTGGCCTCACTGTCGCTGATGATGTCGCCAGCGATATTGGCAGATGCAATTTCTCGGCGAAGTTTGTGAAGAATTTCGTGGTTTGAGCACAACTGGAGGATTGTTGATCGAATTGCTGACGCGGTCGTGTCGGATCCGGCGGCGCTGTGCCTCCTAGTCAATCAAGAGGAACAGACAGTATAGGGTTCACGATCACTGAGCAGCCTCAGCAAGAATCAGGCGGCTTACATTTGCAGTAAAATCTCAGACCTGGATTCCGTCTGAGTGAGGCCGTGCCGGATGAAGGATGCCAGCATGTCCCGCTCGTCCTTGACGTCCGGCTTGAACCGCTCTGCTGCTACCTCACTCGCAATACTTGACAAGCGGAGAGATGGAACCTAATGTCAACTTTTTCACGTCCGCCAAGGTACGGGACCGCCAGGCATCAGCCATGATTGCTCACCTCATTATCCTGCCAAACCCAAGTCGGTCTTTTGTGGACGGAAGTAACCCTTTGAGAATGGGGGAGTTTAGTAGCGTCAGGAGCCACGGAAAGACAGTCACCACCATGACCATGGGGAGATTCTTTTCGGTCGTCTTGATGTATTCATACACATCCGTATCTGTCTCAACGAAGCCAAAGGGTGCTCCATACGCAAGATCCGAGATGACGTCGAGGGTGAAGTACTGGACCTTGCGGCCAAGGTCGACAGGCGTCTCCGTGTCAGAATAACTAGCTAACAGGCGCATGAACTCGCGAATGTTGTTGTCGATTTTCGGCTCGATATCATCGACATCGCGACCGGCGTACTGAAAGTCTCGTCCGTCAGCACATCGAAATTTTCTGGCTGATGATGCCATGACAGCAAACATACACCCGCGGCCATCTTGGAACGCAAAGCCGAGTGTGCGATTTCGTCTCGCGTCGACAAACAGTTGTTGGAGGCAGGGTTGAAGCGCATGCCGTCGTACCAGGTAGACCGACGGTATTCCGTTTTCACATTGCACATGTGCTTGACAAAGGCAGGATCGTCGGTGACCAGGTCGTTGAGTCCAACTCGAGCGATTGTTCCTGCGAATCGTCGAGCGCTGTTAGCCAATACCTTGTTCAATGGATCCGGACGCTGGTCTGTGCGATGTGATGCCCACTTACCGTACTTTTGAGTCACTTGCCAGAAATCGAGGTAAGATCTGCCGCTGTTCACAGATGCAAAGAGCCACAAGTTTGAGATTTTGGCCAGTAACGGCCCGTCGAAATGGCGAAGCCGATAGTATTGGCATACTGAGGACGATATGAACCATGCAAGGGTCACTGTCCACGCGAACAGAATCCCATTAGCCAAAGAGACACTGCGGACAGAATAGCCACCAGTATCGCCAAGTACCGGGATGCCATAGCGCGGTTGCTCTGTCTGGCCCAGCATCGTGGATAAGGCACGAAAAGTGTCGCCAGAAACGCTTCATGATACAGCAGGCAAAGGAACGCTCGGCATAAATATCGCTGAAAAGGATGCTGCTTTCGCGGCCGCCATTCTCGGCATGCGAGCCCTCAAATGACATTGGGGGCTATCACCATGCCTGCAGCCATGCCAAGGTTATCGATCATATTAACAATGGCGCAAGGCAAGCGGGCTGGCCTGGGACCAGAGAATCCATATAGCCGACAGAGCATATCACAAGTCTCCACCACCAGGGCACGATTCAGCCAATGCCGGACATGCTCAGCCTCTAGATGTACACCATCTCCGTCAAAGAGGGTGTCGCAATAAAGCCTGAGGGATGAAGTTGCTGCAATGCCACCTTGACAAAAACCACACCTGTCGTTCTCAACGGGATGCGAGTCAAAAGCTCGATTGCAACCACCAGGTTGACAACCGACACGGTGTTCTTCGGGGTCCGCTTGATGGAACAATACTTGCGGTCATCCTGATTTGGTGAGTAATCCTTAGCAGAAGGGGAGTGTAAAGGAGTGGCTGTCATTATATGACCAGAGACTCACGTAGTCACCTAGGGCTCAAGTGTCTGTATCCCATCATGGTAGAGACAAACATCTCCAAGAAAAATATCACACGATGCACTGCACATGTTCAAGCATCCCCGCAGTCAAAGTGCTCTGGTGCTTTTTACGTCGTCCATCGCATTTCCCATCTCTGGGCGCTTCATGCTTTGGAGAGTTTCGTAGGGGCTAGATCGTCAAGCCACAGGATCTTGACAATGACTGCGTCTGCTTATTATTCCGGGGGGGCTTTGAGGGCTGCGTCTCTCTTCGGGATGTGCCTTGGTTCGACGCGAATGACCGGGCGATACTGCTGGTAGGTGTCAGCACTTACCTTCATAGCTTCACGCGAATCAATGGCCGAAAAGACTGCTTAGTGGTGATTCGATCAAACGCATTGGATGTGATGGGGAAATCCGTCGTCGTCTCGTATTTTTGCAAAATAGCTTCCAGTGAGCGAAAAAGGTCAGTGAACGTTCTAGTCTCGTCGTGACCTATTGCAAGCGTGGCCGAGTATGAAGAGCAAACGCTGCCGCACCCGAAGTTCGTGACTGCAGCAATCTGCTAGGGGAGGCGGACAAGGCCTTTGTAATTGTGATCGTAAGCGCTGCAAAAATCGCGACAGCCGTCGATCGATAAGCGAGTTGACCTGTGAGTGTCATTCAAGCACTGGTTATCTAGTATAGACGCTTTGGGTACTTCAACGCATGGAGAGCCCACGACTTCTCATGCAGTATAGAATCGCTCGTCAGTCGGCCAATCAATTATTGTGAGATGGAACCAGCGACATTCCGACAGATGCTGTGGATGGTGTCAAGCAAGTGAAGGGTGTTCCGTATCTCCGATGTGCCAAGGCATTAACAGCCCTGTCTTCATGCACTCCGTGAATACATACCGATAATCCGGAGCGCCGGTAAGCCAAATCCCAGCACGGCAATTCTTGTTCGATGGCTGTCTGGAGGCTTGAGCGGCTCCTAAAATAAGGTCGACGGGAAAGGGGTGGAGTATCATCAACAAATGCCCGATGGGGAAATAAAGCGTCAGCGGCTCTCGTAGTCCGAATTTGGCATACGATGCACTTGATATATATGGCACTCAAGATGCGAGTTGAAGGCGACAATTACCGAGTGTCTTGCAGACATCAAATAACCGAGATCAATTGTACTCATTCCGAAAGCGCGCTTGTCTGGAATTACTTCGACCGATCGACCGACCGCGGAGAGTTGAAGATACTGGTAGCACGCCGTCGTCAGCCATCATAAGCGAAGATGCATCTCATTCTCACTGGTGCAACTGGGCTCATTGGCTCGAGCGTCCTAGACGCCATGCTCAGAATGACAGAGGTCACGAAAATATCGATCCTCAGTCGCAGGCCAGTCGCCATGGCGGAAGACACCAAAGATCCTAGGGTCAATGTCATCATCCATCAAGATTTTTCAAGCTACGATTCAGAAGTACTCAGCAAGCTTCAAGGCGCCAGTGGTGCAGTTTGGGCCCTCGGCGTGAGCCAAACGAAGGTATCCAAGGAGTGAGTTGATCTCATTGTGCATTTGTATGAGGCGGAGAAACCAACATACTTTGAATGCAGAGAATTCGTCAAGGTCACAAAGGACTATCCTCTTGCAGGGGCAGAGGCATTCTCGACGCTTGCACCAAACAACGGTCCGTTCCGATTTGTGTTTGTGTCCGGCCAAGGCTCAACCCAGACCCCTGGTCGTTTCGCCAGCCTGTACAGCAGAACCAAGGGCGAGGTTGAAGCTGCGCTGTCTCAGATGCGCATCGGGAACCCTCGCTTGTTGGCAGACGCGGTGGGACCTGGCTTTGTCGACAGCAAGAACCACGCGGCAATCCAGCCGTATCTCCCGAACCAAGGTGTGTTTATCGACGGGACCAAGATGCTGTTGAGGAAGCCGGTCGAGGTCGGTGCCAAGTGGCTGCATTGTCCGAGCGAGCCAATGGGACGGTTTTTGGTGGGCATGGCTTTGGGCAAGTACGAAGCTCGGTTGCAAGCGGGAGACGTCGAGTTCGAGACGTTGAATGGCGGCCTGAGGATCATCAAGAATGTTGCGATGAAACAGTTGGTTAGCCAGGAGGATTAGCAGAGAAAATGACAGGACGCCGCGTGGTTTGACTCACAAGGGACTGTCGAGCGGCAGTCAAGGATGACGAAAAGGCTCAGTACCAATACCTTGATCGGAACAAGGGCATTGCTCGGCGTTGACAAGTGAATGGCGTTGCGTACTGATGGACATATGGGTTAATTCGCAAAGATCTTTCACCAATACTAGACAGGTATGACTGACGGGAAATGCGGATGATTTGAGCGGAGCTGTATGGGGGTACCTACTCGTCTCTGAGGTCCGTATGCGATGGCTGCAATTGGTGGACGTTGCATGGCAACGATTGGAGATGGCCCCCTTGCAAGACAAGCGATGAAAGAGAGCCACGGCTTTGAAAGACGAGTGTAAGGAGAAGAAGAGAATGAAATCTGATTTGGCGTGTGATGAGTTGTGCGCTGTTTATTAAGCGAAGCACGTTTCAGAATCACGCAATGGAAAGAGTAAGCAGGAGGAATGAACAAGAAGCACCTGCACTCTCAATCAGTCGATTGCTTCACGGGACGTCACTGAACAGTGAGAACGAAAAGGAAGATACCTACCTTAATGGTAGCTGAATAGATGAATAGCATCTGGACGCCGGTGGTTCACCGTTAGCTGAAAGCTGCAGCTGAGCTCATGGGCAGTCGTGAAAGATGCACCATGACCATCACATCCACTGACTCACTAATCAATATTTATTCTGCTCACGAGAGGCAATTACAGGACATAATGACAAATGTCATCTCATGATCTGGGATGAATGATGGCAGTAGCATAATGATATTGTACGTCTTGATGGTATACGGTAAAAACAGCTGATGGAGTCAATGGCTGCGAACATATTCGAGTCAAACAAGCTGTAGGAATGATGTATCACGATCACAAAATGCCGTGATGCTAAGGAACTGAACTTCACTCATCGAAACTGTTACACGGTTCACTGAGCTCACAACATCTGCATTTCACCAAGCTGTTCAATGAACGTGAGCATGACTCCAAATTGCCAGTTCCTGCCGTGAGCACGCGTCTCAATAACACTAATGCCGACACTCTGACGTCAAAGCTGCCGTGTCATTGTCGCATCACCGCCTGCCCAGGCAAGAAGAAGCAAATCAAGCTTGGCAAATACCTTGTATAGCTTTGATGGGCAATGCCGCGTAATCAATTGATTGATTCACGGAGCTACAATGATGCGTTTATGAAGCCTTGCTTAAACATACAACATCGTCTCCTTTGTTCAACCGTGACACTTCCAGAGTTGAGTGGACGCGTACGCACTATGGAGCACCATACACTGTGGTGGGTTGCCTGATGCGCTGTACTTATGGCTGAGGTACCTGAAGATGCACTGTAACGATGCGCTACAAGATTAAGGTTTAGGCGCAGATCTCCGCACCCCACGTCATCGATGACGGGATGCAAACAAGATCTTCGATTGCCTTAAATACAGACGAGGAGAATCTCCAGCTCGACACCGATAACCTGGCTCCATCCATCTTATCAACCATTGCAGCTATTGAGATTATCATCACGGCCAATCTTATCAAAGGATCATCCAAGCAAAAATAACACCATGTATATCAACAAGCTCACCGCCGCGGGCCTGGCTCTGGCCAGCGTCACCATGAGTACGAGAACCCCCATCGCTTAGCTACCTTCATTATTTTTGCACAGCCCCTACCCAACAAACCTCCTACAACCGACAACCGAGGTCTATTTGACTGACGCTAACTGTCTCCTCTAGCCGGCGACACCGTCTCCAAGGGCCACGTCCTCGACTTTGCCGTCGAAAAGTGCCTTGACAGCGACGGCAACGTGCGGTGCTCCAAGCCATTCCCCGTCAGGAAAGACGGATGCTACCACCTCGAGTGGTCCACCAACGGCGCCCTCGCCCACACGACGATTGAGGTCAAGGATGCGGGAAGCGGCGAGATGGTGTACTACAGGGATACGGATGGCAAGTGGAAGCCCAAGAAGGATGAATTGGTGTATTTGGACTTTAAGCCCAAGATTTGGGGGCAAGGGAACGAGACTGTCGATTACGAAGTGAAGAAGTGCGACAACGATAATGAGCTGTGAGTGGTTGGATGTTGCTGTAAGAAGATTGGAAACACAGCATAGCTTTTTACAAGGTAATAATTAGGGTCTACGGTCAGTTATAATACGCACAACGTTTCGATGCATCTTACATGGAGGAATTATTTTGCTGCGGATAAGAAGCAGTCATGGTGTACTCATTCCAAGAGTGAAATCCTAGAGTGTTACCAAAACAGAGTGGCTCATAAGGAAGGGCAGAATGTCATACACCCAGTCGTGCTGCTAGGCAGTGTTATGCAGATTGCACCAATGTGGCTTGGACGCTTCCAGTTAACCGCACCCATAAGGCTGAGATCTGAATTTCCAAATCCGGATCCACAGACGCGCGACTGAAAGCCTGCAGCCACCACCGGAGCAGGTCATACAATGCTTTGATCCTGCAAGAATTGACGCAGACTTGAATCATCAATGCAAGGGATGCCAACCAGCCACCGCAGTCACAAACAAGGAAGCCACCAGTGACATGGTGACGGGAAAACCGGTTAGAATAGACGCCTAGAATCAATCTTGACAGCTCTCAATGGTACTGCCTGGTATTAACCTAAACTGTTAAGCTTAAATTTTGGTGCCGCTACTGTACCAAATCAGTAATGAAATTTCCTTTTCCACAGGCTTCTGATATCGTGAATCTTGAGGGCCAAAGACATCAATTACCGTAGCTAGCCAAGCTACCTATCCAGATATGTCCAACGTTGTACCTCTTGTACCATAACGATATGCTCTTATTCCCCCCTTGTTCAGTATCTATGAGTCCACCGTACCTTTTCGATTTCGATCAGCCGACATATGAGCTCACGTGGCAAGTTGAAAAGCTCTTCGCTGTCGTTCTCTCTCAAGATCATCTTAGATGCCGCGACGTAGCTCGTAACGAACGCGTTCCACGCCTTCTTCTGGATCTCCTGGCGCTGTAACGGCATGGGAAAGTAAAGGCCGTTGTACCACATTGCTTTAACGGCCCTGTCCAGGCCTTTGTCGTCCATGGTTATGGGCCGGACGTGGTGGAAGTCGATGAGCCACAGCTTGGTGGTGCGCCGAGTAGCCTCCTCGAGAGCGGCCGACGAGGCTCTTGAGTTTGGTGAAGTTGATGATCCTGAGCTCACGGTATTCAACCCGAGGGCCGTAGAGTCCTCTGGCCCGCTTGCCATTTCGCAAGAGCCGCCTAGGACAAACTTGACGCCTCGGCCATCCACATTGGCACCCCAATGCAGGAGAGCCATAGAAACGGCCACCTTTCGAGCCATCGACTCAACATCCATCTTGACCTTGAGCATCTGATGGATATTCATGGACCGGCACTTCTCGTTTGCCTGGCCACTGCGACCTCGAGGGCCAATATGTAGCCGCGCCACAAATTCGGCGGTGTTGCCGTTTGCCTCGGCCAAAGCCGTGACTCTTGACTTTCCCATCTTTGCCATCAGGGCGCGGCGGATGGGGCCCGGAAGGAGCCGGATCTGCTCTGCGACAAGAGCGTTTTCCGTCTCGCAAGATGTTGAACCGGCTGCCCTTGTTACTTGCGGACGCTCTTCAAGGCTGGTTGAGATGTCTTCCGGGTCGAAGAAGAGGCTTTCGGGTACATTGACTGCAGTAAACTCCCATTTTCTGAACTGCCCCAGGATTTTGTCGTGCATGTGACTATATCTGTCGATATATTTGTCGCGCACACGCTTTGACATCAGGGCAACAGATTGTGTCGCCTCGTCTGAATCTTGGTCGCTGGATCCCCTGGACGGTGCGAACATTGGGACACATCCATGCGATAGGAGCGAGAAACCACTGGGCCATTGGCTCCCAGAAGCAACATCGGAAGCAGAATCTGCCAGTCTCTCGAGGAGTGAGGAAACCTGAAGCCATTCCGGAAAATCTGTCACTCTTTGGGGTGTGTCATGGCTTCCCGGGGCACAAAGAGCCTGAAGGGGGTTTGAACAATCCCTGCCTTTCATGTTGTCAATTTGTGTTGGGGAGCTGGTTGGAGACCGGACGACGGGCGAACAGAGGCAACAAAGTATAAGCACAAAGATGGTATTCAAAAAGAAAGCAGAACGAGGGAAATGTTTTGCGGGAAGGCAGGGAACAGGGGGGATTGATTGTAAAGGTGATGATGGCAGGGAGAACAAATCTGTAAAGACATCAAAGTAAGACAGGACATAGGACAGTATTTAAGGATGTTGGAACAGTCTAAAGCAGCGGATGAGCCCTAAGCCATTAAAGTTTTAAAGACTTCTCCCAGGTACCGTTGGCATACCTCGTTTGCTCTAGCTAACGATACTTTGTTGTGTGGCTTCATCTACATGACGGAGGCGTCATCTAGCAAGATTAACAGTACTATCAAACTATTTATAGAGAGAGACTAAGAAGTAGGTACTTGCATCATAAAGGTCGCTTCCTCACAACAGAGGCAACTGAAGTGTAGCGGGATGGGCCGCACCGTCGGTACCTAGCCGAAGGGGAGCTAGGGGGCCTAAAGAGTTGACAACAGACATCGCACAGGACAAGGCGGAAGGAACAGTACATACATGATCAGTATCAGTGTCACATACGGTGGAGCCAACCGGGAAAATCGAGAGCAGGAGTGGTATACTAAAGACATAGAGGCTGTACATACATGCTCCCTCCGTCTCCAATGCCAATAAACAGAAAGGCCTGGCGATTGACAGCACATGTGAAACAAAATGAGGTGGAAGGACAGTACATACCTGCAAGCTCCATGTGCCAAGACCAAGGCCGAGGAAATCTGACAACAGTAAGTAGACAATCAAATTCAAAAAGAGGGACCGTACTTGCCTAGGTGATCTGGGTCAAATGGGGATCGATTTCGAGACCTAGAGAGATGATAGCAATGGCGCACAATGCAAGGAAATGGATACACATACCTGATCAATGTCAGTATCCCATGTATTCGATTGATCGTCGAGACCTGTAGAGATAGACAGCAGAAATCAAGACAAAGCTCAGGCGAGGGGAGTGTACATACCTGGTCAATTTCCGTTTTCTCGTCGACCCTCGCGAAGACCTAGCTAGAGATATGATAGCAGAGAACATACAACAGATTTCAGGGAAGGGAGTGTACATACCAGATCAACATCAGATCCTCATTCAGCCGATCGTCGAGACCTGTAACGTTGACAGCAAGAAACAGAGCAAAGTTGAGAGAAAGTGGGAGTACATGCCTGCTGAGTCTCCGGGTCCAATGAAGCCGGATCGCTGAACCTGTAAAGTTGACAGCAAGGATCAAAGCTAAGTGAGGAGAAGTGGGAGTACATACCTGCTGAGACTCGGTGCCGGATCGATAAGACCTATAAATCTGACAGTTTGAAGTTCACAGCAAAATCAGGGGGGAAGGGAATGCACTCACCTGCTGAGTCCCCCGTGGCCCGAGGCCCGCTCGCCGAAACCTAAGAGACTGTGTAACAGCAAGAGTACAGTTAGACTTGATGAAAGGGACTGCACTTACCGTGTCGAGTGCTCCTCACAATGAGCCGGTTTGCAAGTTGGGGGGAAGAGCCCCTTTATATAGACTCACATCTTGCAAGAACGGAGGAAACTGGACACCTCAACATTCTCATGATACATCGGGAACTTGAGCTCGAATCTTTGTAACTGTTGGGACTCGGCGATATACTGAAGTCGGTTCCTGGAAGCAATAGGGGCGGCAACATTTGTATTACCGGAGTTCGCGAGAAGAGCGTCTCGTGGTTGCGTGTCGGCTGCGAAAGATTGTAGAAAAAAGTACATAAAGCGTCCGTAGGAACTATGCGTAACTACGAGGAGGGTGAGAAGAAACTTCTGAGTTATTGGATAGACTTTCGCACCTTTTTTTGTTCAAGGTTCTGCAAGATAACTCCGTGCCGAGGGGATCATGGGAAAAGATGCACCGAGACAAGTCGCCGATAAGTCTCCAGAAGCGATTGTCGCGAAAGCATCTGCAAGACGCAGATCTTGGGTGTCCATATTGCATTACGAGTGGAGATTCAATGGTGATAGGACTGAAGCATGTTTGAAAGTTGCCGTTGAGGCTCGCGGAGGGAGAAGAACTCTCGAGGACCGCAACGGAAACTCATCAGACTTTGGGATCAGACTCACTGATTGCGCAGCCAGTTGAGGCAATGTTTCAATTTGTCGGCTCCCGGGCAGTTGAGAGATATCCTCGGACAGTTTCTCACTGCTATAAGCATGGCTGCTCAAGTGTTGCCGTGCTGTAAGGTGTGTTCGCTCGGTTTGTCCGCTTGGCGTAGTGGTTTCGTGACGTCTCGCATGTAACGGACAGAGCTGTTTTCGGTCTGCATCAAATGCGGGAAACTCTGCTTCCGCAGAAAGATAAAACATGACAATGGATAGAGAAGGCGTTTGGCAAAGATGCATCAGAGAATCAATTTTTGTGCGGGAGATGGGAAATCGATAAGAGAATGCATATATCGTGTGAGGAAGGAGCTCCTTGTCGATAAGATTAAGATCTCTAACCCATCGAGACCTTGATGGCCTCCATGTGTGACATACAGACTACAGGGCAAAGACCTCAATACAGTCAGTTACAGTCGTCGTCGATTATGTCAACAGATAACTTTTTACTTAACTCCATCCGCAGTCATAATACTTATGCAGGCGTTAATTCCAAATAGACGGACACATAGCCGCAAACAAACATCCTGCGCAGTCATTTTACGTCAATAAATCTTCTTAATCCTAAATAAACACCTCCAATATGCACCGGAGTGCTCCAGTGGAAGTATTTCTCTGTAGACGGAGGGCGGGTTTAACGCCAGAACCAGGACCATAATACCAGGCCTCAGATTGACCTACCCTGGGAAAGGGGAACACGCGCAGACGACATGGAGTATTCTGAGGGATATTACATCAAAGCTCTCTCTAATTCACTCCTTGAGCGGTGTTAATGAGGTATTTCATCGCCGTCTACCTGGTATCATATCTGCTGTAAGTGCGAACAGCCCAACAACCATCTTCAGTTTGATCCAACATCTCCTCGAACAGCATCATGAATCGTTCTCATGAGACTAAAACTACAGGAAAGAACAGTATTGAGACAGCCTATCTAGGAAGCTTCAATGATCAAGGAATGCAACATAAGCTACTTATTGGGTCACCGATCGCCTCCCTGTCCACCGTACCCAAGGTAGTACGCGCTCAGCTGCAGAACCAACCGCGATGAACCAACAATGCATCAACAGCCATCCACCACCTTCCTTTACTGCGGATGTCGTTGGCCAAATCGAGTCAGACGTGGATGCAGATCTCAAGCAACCCTCCAATGACACCTGACCTTTGTAGATGGTGTTGGGCTCGTCGTGACATGGGTCATCCCTGTGTCACATTCATGCACATTGCTTATATGCGAGTTACAGTACATACAGCAGCTTCCTACTTTGTCTCTGGATGGTCATTACTCCGTCTGGCATCACCTTCGGAACGCTGATATTCCGAATCACCTTCTTACCGCCTGTATGGGCACCATCATTCTGTTCAGCTTCAGATCCATCGTTATGGGCTCTTGCTCTTGGAGAGTCAGAACGGGCCATGACTCGGCGCCCAACAGAGCTCCCGTCCAACTGTTGCCGACATCATATATCTCGGACAATTTGTAAAGTAAGTCTCACTATTCCCGTGATGCAATGCAAGTTAAATGATCTCCATCCACTCCCTTGGGACCCAAGCACGGTCCAACTACCGGACTACCGGACAATCCTCATCATCCATCTCCCTTCCCCCAAGCCTCGAACAAGGGGCCCAGACAGGGATCACCGCAACCCACTCATGCGGCCAGTGTCACACCCTGTCAGTGACACAGGGTTCTTGTGTGACCTGACCGTTGAGGGCGACTGGGGGTCACATGCTGCATGATCGCCTCGAGGCCCAAGCTCCCGTCGAGGCTACTGTACTGTCCGCCAACGACGTTGAAGGCTCCAGACATGTGCGTTGGACTGAACCATGGTTCTGGGACGGGACGAAAGTGGATTCGTAGACCGAAAGTGATGACGTTTTGCTGGTAACGACACTGGTCGAACAGATCAACACCACAGTGATCAACTCACTGATCGGGAGCGAAATCGCCGTTTTGCAAGGCATGACACGCATGAGATCATTCAAGCAGGACGTCAAGGTGATGACATGAAAGCTCTTCAAGCGGCTGTAGCATTTCCAATCTGCGCCAATACGAAACAACAAAACGCCAAGCTAGAATTCGAGATTCCCCCTCTCCAAAACAGGACCAATGTGAACCAAACCATGTTTCAGCGAACCACTCCAAGCGAACTATCAAAAACAAGCCATTTCAAGCAAAACTGCTTTTTTCCGGAGAAGCCATTTGAAACATAAGCCACTGCCAAACACAAAGAAACTCGCTTCACTGGACAACGCCGAATCAAACACCAATGGGGGGCGATTTCGCCAAAATGTGAACTTTCCGAGTGGCTCGAACAATTTCGGGATTCGCGCCGAGGTAGCGTTCCGACTTGAAACTTTGATGCCAAATGCGTCAGTCGGCTGCAACGGGAACTGAAAATAGCGGGTGGCTTGGGCAACTCACCTCCAATTCAGATTGGCCTTGACAACACATTTGATGCCCTCAATATACTTTCGGACCTCAACGTCGGCCTCCTTACCCCAGCTTGGGAGGCTCGCCTCGATCTTGTCCCATCGCTCGTAGCGCCGTTCGAGGAGCCTGCCGACTGTATTGAACGCCTTTTGTGCCGACATGCCATTCCGTCGACAGACTGTGACCATATTATGCGGTACGCCCTCGACCTGCGCAGGGATTAGCATGGTATCAGCCTGAGCCGAAGAAGAAATGCTTACCTGTTCCTTTCGATAGGAGAGAATGTCGTTTGAACTGCAGTCGCGTTAGCCCACAAGTTGCTGACGGCTTAAGGCATAGCAATGGGAGCTCACATGGCCACCATGTCTTGGCCGAGATCCTCCAGCTCCTGGATGATCGGGTGCTCAAACACCTCATCCGGCACTCGGAGGCGATGTGCGTATTCAACGAGGTAGTATAGAGGCCTACATCCAGCGGACTCTCGGCGAATCATGGCAATTTCCTCCAGTGTCGGGATTTTTCCGGAGAACTGGTGTTCCATCTGCGTGAGTGCGCCTCGGCAGTAGCCCTGCATGGCAAGGGCAAACCTCTTTTGGACGCCTTTGGGTGTTCTCTGTAACTCACGTTGTTAGCAACAATGGTCGGATGAGACAGGGCCAGGGGTCGACAGACCAGAGCCATCCGTTCAACGACTGTGTCGTGGAACTGCACGATGCGGAGACGGTCTTCAGAATTCAAGTTCGCGGTGCTGCCTAGCATGGGCATCATCAGGCTCTCCATGACGCGCTGAGATTCTTCCGGGTCGTTGCGGAGATGTCCATTGTCGAACACTAGGTGGGAGTCAGTAAGGGGCTGTGGTGTAGCAAATTGAAGCTGAGATGGATTAAACCTACTGTCATCGTATGGAAAGACCTGCATTCGTAGTTGAAAGGACCTCCGATTAACAAGCGCAAGTACATGGCTGGTCGTGGTTGATGCTTACCCAGTTACCCCAATCACAGACGGTGCGAAATCTCGCTCGAGAGGCAAACGGAGCGGCAATGGCACAAAAGTATGAAAAGTCACACTTGTTCACCCTCTTTCTCATGCTGGGGTCGAAAGAGCAGAATCTTGCAATTGCACCTCGTCAACACATGTGGTCATGTGGATGGTGAACGGAGAAAGAACATAGTCACCTCGCCAGCCCTTCTTCAGACTCCAACTTGACGGATTGGTAATGAGGATTGACGCGAGGCGGTTGCTTGAGGAACGTCTGGAACATGTCTGGAAGGAGCACCGTGATCTGCTCCGGTTCCATCTCTTCGATAGAAGGCATGGTGATGTTGTTGTCGTTGTCGTTGGCGTTGGCGTTGGATCAGACGATATGTGCTTCTGTAGCTGATGGCTGTGGGAAGAGAGACAGGGCATGAGCATGGTGAAGCCACCTATTCTTGAAGTTATATACGATTTGAGATACATGTACTGTGTTCGGGTTATAGTCCTTGGATATATAGGTGAATATGCCAACGCATGCATAGTGTCCCGTCTAGATGCGTCCGAGCGCTACGCCGATGTTTGTATCACAGATGGTCGAGACAGGGGAATAGTGGCAAACTAGGGAAGAAAGGGAAGTCCGATGTCCTCATTCGAGTGACGACTTGGGACGAATGCGATGCTCTGAGTAAGCCCTGCATAAAAAGCGGGTTGAAAAAGCGCATTGCGATAAGCTCAAGCGTCCGTGGGTTGTCCGGAGAGTCGACCACGCTGGCATGGGGAGGTCTGATGTTGGCGGTTGGATCGAGCAATGCTACCATTATAATCGCGCTTTGGCCTCTTTTGAGGACGTGCATCCGGAGGAGCTCCCTCGGCTAACTTGGCGGGAGGATCCTGCTCCATCAACTTGCAGATCGTCGCAGAAGTCAAGATATGCGGCATACGGCTTCGGCAAAAAGAGTAAAAAATCGACGCGGGGTTTCCTTTGCCGCCCTCGTGTGAGTCCGGTGACTTCGAGGGAGGTGCTCTGATCCCGGTGGTCACCGAGAGCCACACGAGCAATGATCTCGTGTCTCAGTTGACTGACTGGTTGAGAGTGTTGTCATTTATCTCTAGCGGTTGTTGGCTCTGCCAGCTTGTCCATGAGGTGAAGACCCTGATTCAGTTCAGCTGGCGGTAAATCTCAGGTGAAGAAGGGCAAGCTGGTCCGAATCTTTGTCGGTTGACGTCTGTTGCCCGACCTGCCGGTTTGGGTAGATGGAGGAACAGGGGGATCAGATCGGACGGCGCTAAATCAGAAGATGGGACGGGAATCCTCCGTAGGACCAAATGAGGGTCGTCCGTGGTGGTTTCGGAGTAAGGCCCGAAGGAACGGACGCTGCACTGACGAGGGAATGAGCCAAATGCGGTGACTATACGTAGTTTGACGGTGGTTGAAACAGACTCTGATGGTGTTGGTGGTGTTGGTGGTGTCAACATAAAGGGAAGGGAAGGGGCATTGGCACTGACGGTGAACAGGGAGATTCGAGTACCGAAGGTGCGATGAGCATGCTCATACCGTTTCCACGGAGTTGTTGCTGAGAATCGTCTTTTCCACGGAGTTGCCATTGAGAGGTGCCTTTTCCTGGGTGTGGCTGCTGAGAATCGCCTTTTCCTTGGAGTTGCTGTTGGGAATCGCCTTTTCCTTGGAGTTGCTGCCGAAAATTGCCTCGCCCACGATAGACGAACAGGAAATTAGATGCCTGCCGACGTCAGCGATGACATTGGTCGGGTCGAGCGATGTATGAGGTTGCGTCTCCCTCCCAGTACCTAATTGAGGGCAGTGCTGTACTGGAACATATGTTGGCTGCTGTTGGGTGTGTCTGTAATGGCAAACGAGCGTGCGTTTGCCTTGGGGTGGGAGGAGGCTGTATAAAGTGAACGGTTTCGTGCAGAGGGGGGAGATGGAAGGCCTATGTGCGATGAGGCTCCAGTTCGATAAACAAAAAACATATCATTGCATTCCGCAGTCGGCACATGCGAAGACTCGCCTGTCGATATCGCCACTCCACCTATTCTGCAGTCCAAGCCAGAGTCAGCATCACAATGGCTTTCCACACGGTAGGAAACTATACGTTTCAGTGGACAGACCTTCACCTGTTTCGAGAGAGGATGGACCCCCTGCGTCATGAGTACGACACGCTGGGACACAATGCGGTCAAGAGGCTGCAGCAGATTGCGCGGGAGAGGAAAGGAATGGCATCCGTCAAGCCCACTCTCTGCCCCGGCGGCTTCGACATGTATGCCGCTCTCCGCGATCACCATGCTGAGGACGAGATACTGAACCGGCTGTGGAACGAGGTTCATGCAGTTCCAGACTGGGTAAACTGGGCGCAGATTGAGCGCGGGCAAAAGTTTTTCTACCGCTATGCTCCCGCCAACCTGATGGGATTCATGCTGCAAGCATTCGTGGGCGAGAACTCTTCAGCACCTGGCGTCGTCGAGGTGTTATTGCGAACAGGAGGGTTCTCAACCAAGGTGCTGCTGCGTCGGCTGCTCGAGACTTTTCAGCACCTTCTTCAGGTGACGGCTAGCCTTGAGTCGATACAGCCGGGAGGCCTAGGCCACACAACGACGATTCGAGTGCGGTTGCTTCATGCTGCTGTGAGAGAGCGAATCCTGCGTCTGGTCGAGACTCGCCCTGGCTACTTTGACGTGGCCAAGTTCGGAGTGCCTGTGAATGTTCTCGACTCGATCCATTCCATCTGTGTGTATTCTTGCGGTCACATGTGGCTTCAACTACCGCAGATGGGTGTGTTTCCCACCGAGCAGGAAAAGGCCGACTACATCGCGCTGTTCCGCTATGTCGGGTATCTGCTGGCCACTCCTCACGAGTATTTCTCGAGCGTGGCCCAGGCCAAAGCCACGATGGAGAGCATGCTGCTGCACGAGCTGGAAGTCACAGAATCGTCGCTTGTTGTCGGCCACAATCTGATCGAGTGCCTCAAGGATCTGGCGCCGTTCCGCGTCTCTGTAGACTTCATCGAGGCTGGTAGTCGGATCCTCAACGGCGATGAGGTTTGTGATTCGCTAGGGTTTGGAAAGCCTGGATTGCTGGCGTACGCCTGCTGGAGAGGCCACTGCTGGTTCGTTCAGAGTCTGGCCTTTGTGCAGAGATGGGTTCCAGGTGCGGATGATGCAGTGGTGCGATACTTTAGGAGCACACTGTACGAGACGCTCGTCAACAGCAACCGAGGACTCGGAGGAGGATCGAAGATGGACTTCAAGTTCGTCCCACAGATGGGCAAGAAGACTGATAAGGAGGGGAGCGGACGGGCGAGATTCGCCGGTTCGTTTGTTGATCGACCGCTGGAGATGTTTTATCTGGTGGTATTTGGACTGGGATGCGTGCTTTGGTTGGGTATTGCAGCTGCAGTATTGCGGATGCATCTGTCGATGCTATCGTGAGGTGAAGTCTCGTTGGTTGCTCCGCACCTGCTTTACTCATGTTTCAGCTGGAAAGAGAGACTGCACGTGATGCAGTCATGACACAGATTTCAGTCAATGTTATCGACAAGTCATTGCAATCAGCCTTGATTAGAGATATTATGTTCAATTGGAAATCGCATATGCATGAGAGACTTCGCATTGTCTGCTTTACTCGAGTTCATGATATGCCAACTTGCCTCTAGGTTACGTCTATTTCGAAGCCATCACCACTACCGACAATAACGCAAGGTGGAATACGACGTCATGCCGCGAACAACTTGGAGGCGGCGTCCGCGTGTACGCTGAGTCAGCATCATTGGTCGCCTCCCATTGGTATCCCTGAGCCTGGGCCTGAGCCTGAGCCTGAGCGAAAAGGAAGAGCTGAAACGCGAGTCGGCGAACTGGTTCTTGTTGGTAAATTGGATTCAATTTGCAGCCGTACCCGAGAACCAAGCAACCTTGCAATTGCCCACTGCGGCTACACGCGCCACTAGAAGTGCTGTTCCTCAGCCCTGTTTGCGCCACTGTCGATTTCTGATTATTCCCGCCTCGTCTGAGAGGGGGAGCAAGGGGACGAAGTGGGATATCTCCCACCTGACGCTATCCCTCTCTAAGCTAGCCCCCAAGATGCATTAGGCTCGGACCGGTTTAGCCATTGGCTGAACTGGCCCGTGGCTTGGCAGCTAGGGGACCTAATAATAATTCCAAGCGGTTGGTGTGCCGCTAGCGAACCGCATTAAAATCTGACAGCGCCGTTGCCGATCCCCGGGGGCACGTTGTTGCGCACCGAAGCGTAGGCGAGACCACGGAATACGGCACCTTGGGTGTCGCTTGCGAGCGAGAACGGGGTAGCGAGAAGGTCAATGTACTTTTTGCGCAATGCCGTGGAAAGTCGTGGTGAGACTGCGGCTAAGGGGAACGGCGGCAGAAAAGGAGAGAGTGGTGAGGTGAAGACGGGTGTGGCAGGATGAGAAGTGATTCCAACCACCTGGAAGCTAAGGTAGCGCAACAGAGCCTCACTTTCCGACTGCAGACTGAAAAGAACGCAAGGATATTGCCAAGGAAAGAAAGGGGGAATTGCGGTGATGAGTATCCAGCATGATAGTAGTCATTGATTACTGATTCTTCGCTGCGGAACAGTGACAAAACAAAGAGAGTCGATCCGACCTTGGTTGGGCGCCTGGTTAGTCAGCATTGCGTAGCAACGGGCAAAAAAAGAAAACGGGAAAAGAAGCCGTCCGGCCTGGTGAATCTCGTTTGTTTCCAGGTCGGCGATCCAGGGGTGTCTTGGGCTGGACGAACCATAGCTAACAGACGACGATAACCTCCGCAGGCTGGCCTCGTAATTTGTTAGCCTAGTAGGGCTCAGTCCACTCAGCCCCTGCCTCTGCAAGCACAGGGGGCATCACAGCCTGGCTGGTGGATACGGATTACATTTGATCACGTTGCGATCATGGGTTTCGGAGTAAAAGCAAGAATGGGTAAGCCAGGCGAGGCGAGATGCTGGGATGAACTGTAATACTGGGCGCGGGAGAGACTCTGAGGACACAAAGAGGAGAGACAACGAGAGTCTGGTGATGATCTTGACAGATACTGCATACAGAGAGATGCAGACCGGATACCCGCTGGATATATGCCAGAGATCAGCAAAGAGTACTCCGTACGTACATATGGCAGAGTTCCAGAAGAGCACAGGTCAGTACAGACGGACCATTCACGTCTCTTCTCCTCACACACACAGGGCTGACTGGTTCGAACAGGCCTGCCGACCGGGCTCCAAGAGGCAAAACACGGCTGATGTTTTGGGGTATAAGATGCAACGGCCCCAGTCTGTATTAATAGATGCCGCTGCTGAATGGCTGCCCGCCTAGCCTGATGCCCATTCTGTCGTAGGTCAGCCGCATTTTATCGAATATCAATTTGTTTTTTTATATGTACGCATTGTAAAAATCGCCTCCACCTCTCTCTTGGTTCTTGGTGATTTTTCCTCTTCGCAGCCTGATACTTGCTGATGCTGATGCTGCCCCGTTTTATAGTGGCGCCGCTCTCGTCCGGGGAATCTGACAGGCTTTTTTTCTCTGGTCTCTTCTTGGCTCCTCGCTCTGACTGACTGACCCGCTCGCTCTCTTCTTCCCTTCTCCTCCCGCTTGCCTTGGACTCTTCTCCTCTTTTAATTCTCCATTCCCTTTTCCCTTCTCTTTCTTTTGCTGTTGTTTGTGCTGTTTCTTTTCCTTTCCTTTCGCTCTGTTTCTCGAGTCATTTCGGCGGAGAGCGGACAAACGCTGAGCTAAGCCGCCGCCTCTGCTTTTGCAGCTTCAGCTTCTGCTTCTGGTATCAACATCTCTTCCTACCTAATCCACCACCTAATTCCCCCCAATTGTCCACCGCCATGACAAAGTCGTGGAGCGCCGCCCTGCTGGCGGCCAGTAGCCTGATCGGCACGGCCAGCAGCACGTCCATGTTCGCCTTCTACACGGGGACGGAGAAGGGCGTCCAGATCGGCATGCAGGACCCCGACACGGGCGACATCTGGGTCAACAACTGCAACTCCAACATCAACGGCGCGCCGCTGTTCCCAACGTCGCCTCACATTGTGCTGCCGACGAAGGAGAAGCCCAAGAAGGGGGGCAGCATTGCGGCCACGGGCTGGTGGGATTCACAGCATGTGATTGTGAGGCTTACTCAATATGATACGGGCAACATGAGCATCAGCTAACCAGCCGCAGGCCTCTGTCTTCTGGCACTCGGAAAAGGGCGACATCGTCAACGGCTACTACCAGTGCGATGGCGAGTCTGGCACTTTTGTCGAGCAGGGCGAGTACATCATCTCGCAGACGGCCAACATCCCGTCCTCGGACATCCACCCCAACACGGGACTGGCCGTCGAGCTGCTGGGAAGCACTGAGGGCTATCGCGTGTTTTACCACGACAAGGAGAGCCAGGTCCACTCCCTCTCTTACACCAACAAGATCAACTGGAACTACTACGGCACCGTGTCCCAGGATCCCACATTCGGCATGGCCTTGGCATCTGCCCATTCGTCTGACAACAACATCACTGTCGTCTTTCCCAAGAGCACCAAAGACATTGAGGTGTCTCGCCTGAACAAGGACGGCACCTACCATATCTGTAAGTGGTCTCCTTTGTCTTTTCTTTCCTTGTATCAAGTGTTTCGACGTTTCATTGGCTCGGCATGAATGTTGCAATGTTTCAACGTTTCACAACCCCCTCCATGCAGCTAATCCAGAACTGACACAAACATCCCGGTAGCCACGTTTCCCGAGACAATCGAGAACATTCCCACAAACAACACGGCGCCCTCCAAGATCGACATCAACCCCAAGGTGCCCGTCAACTTCACCCTCCCCGCCTGGAACGGCAAGCCCGGCGGCATGGGCGTCGCTATCGACAATTCCTACACTCGCACCGTCTTCTACATCGGCACCGACAAGAAGGTTCACGAAGTCGCCAACATCAACTTCCAGTGGCAGCTGATGCCGAACCAGTCCACGCACGCCTGGCCTCTCGCCGACGACGCAAACGCCGATCTGGCCGTCACCTACAATTTTGACTCGAGCGAGGCGTGGGTGTACTACGTGTCCAACAACACCCTCATCCAGGCGTACCGCGGCTCCGACGGCACCTGGAGCAACTCCTCCGTGGTGCCAACCTCGACCAGCGTCCCCGGTAGCGGCGACAGCGGTTCTGACTCCGGCTCCGACGACTCGGGCGACGACAGCGACAGCAACCCCAGCACCGGCCTCTCCACGGGAGCCAAGGCGGGCATCGGCATCGGCGTCAGCGTGGGAGCGATCGGTGTTGGACTGCTTGGCCTCCTCTTCTTCCTCCGCCGACGCCGGCAACGTGCCGCTGCCGCCGCCGCCGATGCTGACAAGGAGCAGCCCACCACCAACCTGGGTCAAAGTCAATACCACGCGCCCAGCGAGCAGGCTTTGTACATGGCTGACGGGTCGTTAGCACCGGCATACACGCCGCAAACGCCATACGACGCCCACGATGCTTCTAAGAAGGGCACGCCCGACATGACCATGAGCAGCATGCACAGCTCCGGCATGGCGTCGCCGCCGCCGCTCGTCGAGATGGAGCAGCCGCCCACGATTCACGAGCTGCCACCTACGAACTATACCTATGAGCTTCCTGCTGATAACGTGGAGCGCAGGTGACTCCTGGGGAACGGCGCTGATGGCCATCAGTAGAACGGGGTTTCTCTTATGTCTTATGTTTCTTTGTCTCATGTCATTTTATCATATACCTACCTTATGTATGTCTCTTTTGGATATCTTTTCTTTTAGAGAGGAAAACGAATTTTGAATAAGCATTAGCGATTTTGTTTGTTGAAAAAACACACAATCCACTTATAATTATATTTACACTTCTTTTCTCTCCTCCATTCACTCTATGCCGCAGAGTCAATTGACAGATATGTACATGCTTGGATTGATGTGCCTAGTTGACGGCAGCAGCAAATGCAGCGGCCTTCTGGCCTCCGAGCTCCAGATAGAAACCAGTGTCGGCGAAATCGTTGTCGTAGCCAACGAACTTTTCGTTGGTGGGGAGCTGGTTGTTCTTGAGGCAGGGCAGACTTTGGGTCCCTACACAAAGGAAAGATGTCAGACGGGATCATGAAATCAAGGCTTTCTTAAGTGGAGGAAACTCACCCTCGTTGATCTCGTCGAACATGGCATTAAACACAAACAGCGGCTTGGCGGGCAGGGACGTAACGGCGTCGGCCTGCATCGAGTAGAAGGAGCCGTTGTAACGGGGGAAGTAGTCAAAGTTGGCCGGCGTGGTGACGCCGTTGAGATGGTAGGCGGAGGTGCCGGGCCAGACCAGGGGGGCGTGGTCAATGCCGAGGGACTGGAGGGTTCTGTTGAACGAAGTTAGTTGACCACCGCTTGCCACTCGACGAGAAGTCGACCATAAAGTCAAGAACACTCACTGAGAATCCGGGATCTGCGTCGTCGTGTGGTATCCGTTCTTGTACCCTCCCTCGCTGTAGCTGCCCACGGTCCACGGGCTGATCAGGTTGGCCGCCTTGTACGCCGCCGCAAAGCCCGTGTTGGCCCTCACGTCGGTACCAAAGTTGGCCGGCACGCCGAGCCCGACATAGGCGCCGGCGTTCTTGAGCTGCGTGGCAATGTTGGCGCCGTCCGTAACGTTGATGCTGACAGTCGGGAAGCCAACGCCAAAGACCATGACGGCGGGCTTGCCGTTGTGGTGGATGTAGGCCGACGACGTGGTGTAGGGCTTGATCTTGGAGTTGTAGTCGGCCAGAATCTGGGCGGCGACGCTGCCGGTCGCCGAATTTCCGCCTGAGGCGTCGTATTCCACGATGAAGCCTCGGCCATACTTGACGGCAGCGGCTTCGACCTGGTTGAGGATCTGTGTTTGTTAGCCAAGGAGTCCTGTTGTGATGGCTGAGTCTGTTTTGCACAAGAGACTTGATTCAACCTGGACGGGGATTGTGAAACTCACTGTGATGAAAGAAGCATCGTCCAAGTGACTCAAGAATCGCTGCACAATGGCTCCGTCAATGCCATACTGCTGCATCCACTTGAAGTGCAAGTCGACAACTCCCTCGCAGGTGTTGTCATACAGCTGCACCGGCTGCCCATTGGGTGCCGTCAAGGTGGAAGCAAACAGGCAGTTGGCCGGATACTGGCTGACATCAGGCACAAATTCGAACTCAACTTTATAAACTGTCAGAAGCAATCTCCTTTATCCGGCCGTTGAGAACATACCATTTCCAGGACCGGGAGTTCCGCCGTTGGGAGACCAGTGGTTGTTGACGCCGGACGCTGGCTTGCGGAACCAGCCCTGATATCCGTACAGCCATTTGCCCTTCAGCGTCGAAGTATCAATAGCCGCTGCTCTGGAATGTTCATGATGGGCCCTCGCGTGGTTGTCATGGCTGTGTGCCGTGACAGCGGCCGCAGCAGCCAGAAGCAGTGAAGTGAAAGAAGCACGCATTGTGACAGCTGATTAGTCTATGGTCAGAAAGATTCCTAGACTTCTCGGTTCTTGTTACGGAGAGAGATCAACGGTTCCAACCTCGGCACTGGGTCTGGCAGAGGGTCTCGCTTATATTCTTCGTAACAGCAACAGCCATTCAACTTCTCTGTTTCATACACCCGCGGACGCGATGTATCCCGGTATGAGTAATCTAGAGGATCAATCTGCCGGTGAGCCAATTGTTTCGGCGCCATCGTCAGCATAGCGCGGCACCATCAATGCCAGTGAAAAGGCCCGATGAAGCCACTCGGGTATCAATCCCTGTCAACAGCAACAAAAGGGGACATATAAGTAAACACATTGTTGAGGAACCACAGATGGCTTGACACGTCCTCAGTGGATGTCGGCATTGCCGTCTGGATCGTATAGAGTACAAGGTAGGTAGTAAATACGTGTAATGAAAGTATGGGATTGAATGCTACGCTGATGGGAGCCGGATGCGTGTAACATTGCTCTTGGTGTGGTTGTCCGGATGTTCAATTGCCGGGCGGATCTGTTCCGCGCTTTTCCGTCGGATGAGCGGTTGAATGATATATATGCCCATTGCCCACCCCGGCGGGTTTACTTAGGAGTTACCATGACACCAAAGCACTAAAAGACGAAGGCCTTGAAGATTTCTTCCAACAATGAGTTTCTAAACTGCGACTTTCTGTTCAACTTACAGCAGCTTTCACCTAGGGCAAATTACTTGTGCGGTTACACGCGCCCGATGCTCCTCCTTTTCCAGTGGGCTTTTCCGCTTCGCAGTGGCGGTCAGATAATTGAGCAGTTTCTTATAGACAGAACAGTCCTAGGTTTCCATTCGAAGTGGGGATAGATCGTGTTGCATGGGCTACTAAGGCTTAGGTAGTACTACTTTAGACGTGAAACAGGGAGCTCCTCTAGAAGGATAGCCACTATTCGCTGATCAGACCATATAGTAGGACGATGGACTATCTCTAAGAATAACTCTGTAGTAAGACTCTATGCGGAAGCTACATACCTAGTCTCTGCTGTGGATATCTTAGGTGACATACCTCGGCATGTGTTGCTTCAGACTCTAGATCCGTAGGGTTTGAAGCAACGCATAGAAGGTAGCGCCTAGAATTATGTTATTTGCTATTTTCCCGATGGCTGAATGCCCTTTTAGAACTTTAAAGGCTCTTGGATTCGATGATTGTATTCTTGACCGACAATCAGCAAATACACGTGTTCACCAGTCGCTTACACCCAGTTACATGGTATATACATCCCACATAGCCACCGTTATCTATCCTCCCCAGTCTTCGAAGTGTCTGAACTTAGAATTGCAATTTCCTCTACCCATATGGCTTTTCCTTCCTCATTCAGCTCCCCCATTAGTAAAGCCTCTGCTTTTGTTATAGTGCCATCCTTGCCCGTTCCACTCGCCGTGTGTCTCTCGGCAAACATGTTACCGTCGCGTATAAAGTGATGGCACTGGATCTCCACAGACGTCCTCCTGGCGCGAATGGCCTTGACATAGGGGACAAAGTCTTTCCATGACATCCGATTCTCATTGACGGTGATGAGAGACTGTCTTGTGTAGAGATCGAGGATACGGGCTTCGAGATCGGAGTCGGGACAATTAAAAGCGGCATGGATTGCGGCAGCAAAGGTGTCTTTGTTGGTGAAGGCACTGGGAGTCGACATGATGCCTGTGAGCACAGCGGTCGTATGTGGCCGGGGTATACTGAATAAGTTTCGTGATCAACCGGTAAGAGAACTTTTCCTGTCTATACGGACTCTAGTTTCAGTCCCTGTCAGCTTACGTGCTGATCGAATCTGCACAGTGCTTGTTATCTGAGTTTCTGCATACTACGTAACATCAGGTGATACTGCTTACTCTGATAGTGATTAATGGGTAAGAAGGATCTCCCATATAAGAGTAGATTTAAGCGTATATATAGTCCAAGTCTTAGCCTCTAACACCAACTTCGAGGTTGGTGTACTACAAACATCAGCTCATGGCAGCTGCAGATCCCCCTTGGTCACCAGCTCCGAGATTCGAAGGATGTAGTTTCCAATCCTCTTTGGATACGCCTTGATAACAGCAGCCTCCAGCTCCTGCCACGTCGACGTCTGTGCATCGAGCTTCGCCCAAGTGCGAATGTACTCCTTGGTTGCCTCCAAGTTATCGAGCCCAAAGCCATCCGTAGACAATCGGTGAGAGGGAACGATGACCTTAGGATGAAGAGCGGCAATCTGGTCGACGGCGTCGATCCACTTCTGACGGAGCTCTGGTGTTGTGTTTTCGGCAAGGAACTGGTAACATCCTCCATAAACCACGTCTCCCCCAACGACGAGATCCAAAGAAGGCACGTGAAGCACCGTTGACGAGCCAGTATCACCACCAACGACCTCAACGGCACGGAACTCTTGACCGTCCCCAGTAAAGTGGTCTTTGGGGAGAACTTCTACCGTGAGGTTCGGCTTCGGGCTATCCTGCAGCTCGGGAAATGTCGGAACCCACAGACCGTCCCAGAAGGCAGGGGCAAGCTGTTCCTGCATATGCTCATAGGTGCCCTGCGTTGCGCGAATGACGGCGTCAGGGAAACGCTCCTGAATGACGCCGGCGGCAAAGAAGTGGTCGCCGTGGCCGTGAGTGATGTAGATGGTGCTCAGCTTGCGGCCCTCGATGACCTCGGCGATCCAGTCAGCCACGGGCTCGGCGCGAGATCGGACGGTGGGAGTGTCGACCAGGACGGCTTCGTTGGGGGTCGTGATGAGAGTGAATGTGGTGGGATTGAAAATGACGGGATCTGAGAAGTTTTGGCCGGCGAGGTTGGCTGGGACGGGAGAGTCCCAGTACGTGTAGGCCTGGATGTTGTGGCCTTGGGCGATAGGGGTGGGACTCATGATGGGTGTGAATTGTTTGCTTGGTGGTTGAAGGCTTGATTGAGTGATGGACTAATTGCGTCGCCGGTATCGCCTTCTTCTCGAGGCTTTTAAAGGTTTTATATGCTTGAATTGCCTTGATACACATCTCAGCTGAACAACGGAATGTTCCGTATGGTTGCCAATCGATGCTTCAAGATTAGTGATATCTGGCCGTGGTTGTAATTACGGACAACGAGCTACTACATCCACTTCTGGAAAATAGTATACTGGATCAGCGCCAGCATGCAATCTGATTATCTCTACATGAACAGCTTGTATGAGTGTGATCAGCTAACTATTGAACTGGCGTGTATACAGTGTGAGGCGACACGGGACTTTCCTCATGCTGCGATGTGGAATCATTTGGCTCGACTAAACATTATTTGTAATCAGCTTAAACAGACGTGAGGGCCGTTTCATACCAATGGCCGGTAACATGCTGCCCATACTGAATGATTTAAATGAAATAGACGGCGTGTGGTGTGACTTGATTCGTGCAACGAACCTACAAACAGGAGGCCGGAGGCGCATCAAGTACTTTGTAGCCTCCACTTGTATACTGTCGGCCCTTATTCTATTACAACTGCATCATACAACTGCATCATTGTACGTTGAAAAACCTCTCGTGAGCCAATGATTAAAGGTGAGGCTTTTTGTCTGCAAGCAGGCGTTCGAGTAGAGGCGCCGCCGTCTACCTCACAATACGCAGCCAGACTTTATACTCGCACGTGGACCTATCGGTACACTCACGTATACATGGGACAAGCTTCAAGGAACAACAAAACTTTCAAGTTTAGGCACCTTTTAGGCCTCAAATAGGTACGTAAAATTACAAAGTATACAGAGTGACCCTCTGTCCAGAGACTTCTGCCTCTCTCAGCAGCTTGACATTCTCTCTCCGGAGCAAGAACTTGAGCAACGAGGAGCACCCAATACTGATAAACGAAAACACCATCATCAAAATCATGGCGAGCGCATACCGAGGTTCATCTTGTGGGCGGAAGAAATACGGGCTCCAGATATTACCCAGCTGAGCGAGGAGATTGATGATGGCCGTCGCAGCAGCCCTCTTCTCGGGTGTCTGGTTCAGCGTACTCGCAGCCCACGAGTATACCATGGCGTTGGCAGCAAAAGCGCCGGAGCAGTAGAGGAATGATGCAAAATAGCGGGCTCCAATGTTGAGGGTAGCTGTGGAGATGATGAAGCCTACCGCTGCAACGGCCATTGGAATCGAGATGTGATAGCTTCTTTCGTTGCGGCGGTCGCTCGAGTAGGCAACTGCAAACGAGACGGCGGCGCCAAAGAGGTATGGAGGTGCCGTGAGGACGAGGGTGATGGTCTGTGAGCCGATGTGAAAGCCACTCACGATAGTGGGGAAGAAGTAGTTGAAGCCGTAGGCAGTGTGGTTCGAGCAAAGAAGAAGTACCTGAAAGCCAAAGTACGTTAGTGATCGAACAAACCATATAGATGATAAAAGGGTGGCAACTTACAAAGATCCAAGTCCTGGTGTCCTTGAGGGCCAGCCGCACGCCGTACCAAACAGAGCGGTCAGCCTCAGGCAGTGACACACGATCGAGAGCCATTCTCTTCGCAGCCAGCTCGCGTTCTTCCTTGGTGAAAAGCCACTTGCCACTTCCGGACTTGGACTCAATATAATCGGGAAGAAGGAAGAAGGCGACCATGGCCGCGAAGAAGCTGCCCGCGCCGTCGATGATGAAGAGCCACTGCCAGCCCGCGATGTTCCTGGCTCCGTCAAGGCCTGAGAAGACGCCGGCTGCAATCAAGCCTGAAAATGCGGTGGCGAGGACGAGACCGGAGTACAAAACGGCGGTGCGTAGAGCTAGTTCTTTTCTGGTGTACCAGCAGGACAAGAGATAGAAGGCCTGTCGGTAAGCACAAGACATTAGCACATTTAATACTTGTGAGGTAGCGTCAGTCAGATGCTACTCACGCCTGGGAAGAAAGGAGCTTCCACGATTCCGAGGAAGAAACGGACAACAACCAGGTCCGCATAACTTGTTGCGGCTGCTGTAGCGGCGGACACGCATGACCAGATGGCGACACAGGCAGGCAAGTAGATACTCGGCCTGATGCGAGTGATGAGCATGTTGGACGGGAGCTGGGCAAGCATATATCTATGTCTTTTAGTTAGACAATGACAAAGTAATAACTATGTCAAGTAAGGTACGGACGGACCCAACGTTCAGGATGGACACAGCAGTATTGAAATCGTCGCCGGTTAATCCGAGGTCTTTCTCAAAGGAGTTGAGCCGGGCTTGACTAGGAATCCATGTTAGCATATATAGTAGAGCAGTGCTGTGTGCTGTGGAGTAAGGGACATACGAGATGTTGTTTCGATCGAGGTAGTTGAACAAGTATAAGATCCAGACCACTGGCAGCAGGGTCATGTCCAGTTTACGGACCAGTCTCTTTTCTCGGGCTCGCCATTCTGGTGTTTCGAGGAGCTCCTCCTGAGCAAGCCTGCCCTTCTCCGTGCTAATATCAGGCAGCGTCTCCAAATGCTCGTGACCGGATGCATCCTCCTTCACCGGAGTAGCAGGAGTCAGGTCACCCTTGGAGACTGTGTCTGAGCTCATGATGGAGTCTCTAGAAGGAGCAGGTTGGGTGGTATGTGATCAAAGTAGTTGCACCGGCAGCTTGAGCGGTAGCTGCGAGAGGAGGCTGGAACCAAGAGAGAGAACCATCAGGATCAAGCTTGAAACAATCGATGCATCGTGATGATTATATACTTCTCCGTCTTACAGGGACAAGGTGAAGAGCAACAGGGCAAGGTCCAAACCCGGACCGGCAGACGATTGACGCGGGGACCCCAGACATTTACCCCGGCCATTAAACTTTATTCGGCCCTAGAATAGAAGAAAACCTGGGGTCTAGCGCGAGGGTGACGAAATAGGGGGGGCAAACCGTGGTCTGGCGCTCACCGAAAGAAACGCCGATCGGACATGGCAAGCTCGCCGATCGGAGAGGCAAACGCCGGTTCGGCTCTCCGCCCGGCGAGCGATCGTCTCCTCAAGGATGAAGATAGTCTGACGATCACTCTGACTCTGGAGATATATAAATCTGTTTTATCTACGATTCTCGGAGATTGATTCAACAAAATCAGCAGCAAGTCTAACAAAGACCTCTCGGATCCTCTTTGTTTCAACCACCTCGCCTTCGCCAACTACGCCAAAGATGACTTACACAAACGGAAGTGCAAACGGGCACAATGGACATGCCGGCGCGCCCACACCCGCTGCAACCCGGCTCCGCAAGATGCTCACGGAAACCGATGAATTGATTGTCATGCCCGGCGTCTACGATGGCTTCAGCGCGAGAATTGCGTTGGAAGTTGGATTCGATGGTCTCTACATGGTAAGCACCTGCTATGATGAAGATACCTAGTTTGCATTCGATTTCACGACGTTAATGCGGCGCGTAGACTGGCGCCGGAACATGTGCTTCCAAGCTTGGCCAGCCAGACCTGGGCTTTGCCTCCCTCAACGACATGAGAGAGCATGCCGAAATGATTGCCAACCTGGACCCCCGCGTCCCTCTCATTGCTGACGCTGACACGGGCTACGGCGGGCCCAACATGGTTGCTCGCACGGTGGCGCAGTACCATCGCAGTGGTGTCGCCGGTCTGCACATTGAGGACCAGATCCAGACCAAGCGCTGCGGCCACCTTGGGGGCAAAGAAGTTGTCAGCGTTGACGTCTTTCGGCAGCGCATCAGTGCTGCTGCTGCCGCCCGCGAGAGGCTGGCGTCTGACATTGTCATCATTGCCCGGACGGATGCCCTGCAGACAGATGGCTTCGACGAGGCCATCCGTAGGCTCAAGGCTGCCGTCGCTGCTGGTGCTGATGTCGCATTCCTTGAGGGCGTGACCACCAAGGAAGAGGCCCGAGAGGTGTGCCGATCGCTCGCACCGACCCCGGTTCTCTTGAACATGGTCGAGAATGGAGCTACACCATCCTGGACCGTGGCTGAAGCTAAGGAGCTGGGCTTCAGAATCATCATTTATCCCTTTGCAGCTCTCGCCCCCGCATATGAAGCCATTCGCAGCACATACTTGCGGATCAAGGAGACTGGTGTCACAGGCATTGACCCGACTTTTACCCCCAAGAAGCTGTTCACGGTCGTAGGCTTGAAGGAAGCGACTGCGGTGGATGTGGCAGCCGGAGGGCAGCTGTACGAAAAGGTGTAATATAATAATCGCATCCATAGATGAGGTCATGATGAAAATAGAAGCGAGTACGATGATATTGGTGCATCAGAGTAATCATCCTGGCCATCCCATATTGAAGCCGTCTGCAAGGCTACTCAAATGATCAAACATCATGGCATCTTGCATATCTTCGGAACTGAACAGCGCCTGTGCATTCGGCGTCAGTGAAACTGGGTGCAAATTCGCAGTCATCAATCCACTTATCTTGTGTTTCTTCGGAGCCTTCAATGCGATCGTCACCATTCGATTGAAAGTGTCGCCGCCATTCCCAAAGCGAGTCGTACACAATGCTCATGCTAAGGCGGTTTCGAACACGCAAGCGTAAGTCGTCGATGGAGTCTCCGCTGATGACTCGAGGATCCGGTAGACTGCAGAAGAAGCCAATGACGTCGCTGAGACGGCCGGGAAGATCGTTGTTCGCAACCGACATCTTTCGAAGTGATGATATGGCAGCATCAAGCAGTCTTTTGCCCGCTTCCACATCCAGAAGCTTTTCGAAGTACCCATTCATCATCACCTTGAGAATGATGAAAGCCGCAGAGACAAACACTTGGTAGCAGAAGAATGGGCAGTAGTGAAAGAATCCGCTTTCCTGATTGTCCATCTCGAGACACTGCTCGATGAGTGAATAGGCGGTTTGGTATAATACCACGATGCGATCGGAGTATCCATCGACGCTAGACTCGTCGAAGAGGTAGAATGAGTGGAGGTGAAGGCGGGCGGCGGCGAGATAATAACGAGTTATGGCTATGACTGTCATTAGCAAATGATTAGTTGGCTTAAGAGGGGCAGATCCATCATTACGCGTCATATTGATCGCCTCACGCTCCAAGTCGACAAGGGACGCGTTGAGAAGTCGGTACAGCGACAGCCGCTCACGAGATGACATGAATCCGGCAGGATCGAGAGCGTTGGATGTCAGCGCTTGAGACACTCGGTATCTGAATTGCTCGATGCGAAGATGCCATCTCAGAGAAATATCGTGAGGCGATGACATGGACTCGGGTGCAACCGTCAGGGACCAGTCGTGCATTTGTATTGTGGCTGGCAGACCGCATCCAACACTTACACTATGGAAGAGTGTTTAAAATTTGTGAAGCTTGACAATAAAACGAGGTTCGACGCATTTGTGCCACTTACCTCTGCGCAACAATATTGCAAGCTTCCCAGGTCTTGACCCATTCCGAGTACTCGTACACGCTGAGATGTAGGGGAACCTTGACAAAATCCTCTGCGCTGAGCGCGCGGTGCAGCCCCATTTGCGTTCCAAGCTGCACCATCATGCCCGCCAGCATATACGTTGGATCTGCGGTGCTGCTGCTCGTCGGAAAAGGCCAGGTACAGAGGATGACCAGACTCTGTACTACTCGGAGCGAATATGGAATCGAGCGGAGGGTTTTCCACAGAAGGTCGGTAACACTCCTCGCGAGCTTAGCCAGCAGCGTAGGATGGCTCTGCAGCCTCCGGGCGGCGACGGCAATTATGGACCAAAAAAGGAGCTCGGATGATTCGTAGTACTCGTGAAGCGAGGTGCTTGGATCCAGAAACGGTAGATATGGGTGGTAGTGAAGTATGTAACTGCATGCACGGCGGTTAGTTTGTTCCATCTCGAGAAGATGCTGGCCTTTTTTTTTTTTTCTCCTCACATGAGATACAGCTCGTCAATCTCTTCGACGGAGAGTTCAACGTTGCCTAGTTTTCTGGCCCTTGGAATAGTTATGATTGATCTCCGAGGCTCTGGCGGTTGATCAATGACAGGTTGTGTGGTAAGACCCGGAACGCGAGAGCTTTCTTTTGGGTCTGGTGATGGCCCAGACGCGCCGGATACCGATGACACGGCTACCTCGCTGACGCGCGTCTCAGCTGAAAAGCATCAAATAGATGTGTATGTTAGCTTTTTATATCGTCAAGCAAGCAGAAAACAGTAATTTCTCCTGTACAAAGGGCTAAATGTACTTACAAGGAGCTGCTGGGGTTGGAATTGGCCATTCGAGCGCAGCATTGTTAGCTTCGCGAGTGGCTAGTTGTCGTCTAAGCTCCCTGACTTCATTCTCTAGCTCAAAGGACTTTCTAGAAAATGAACGAGTTGCATGTTAGATAGCCCATTTTTCTCACAGAATGGAACGTTGTGTCATCTTGAGATGCTTGCCTCCTCTTCCGTGTTCTGCGGAAATCGGTGTCTACTTTGCATGAGAGACTGAGTCTCTGGCACCGAGAGCACGTACTGGGAGCGCCGTCACTGGCAACCAAGTCGCATCGAAGCTGCCAAAGGTGTCAACTCAGTGATACATGGAATAAACAGGTGAAGAAGTTGAGAGTAATTCATCATACTTTTTGCTGCTTGCACTCGTTGCAGGCTCTCCGACGCGGCTGCTTGGTTGGCTCGCCGTTTCGTGGCTCAGCTTGGACTGTGGGAACGGTGGGCGTGACTTGCAAAGACATGTCTAGCAGACATTTGGCAGCCCGACTCGGCACACGCCCTTGCCGAAATTGCTTTTTTCTAGAACAACTCGAGAGACTTATTGAGAGCTTTCGCTTTTTGGTGATTTAATAGAGGACAATAAGCTGATGCTTGGGTTCGGGCAGGCGGACAGATGGCTCGAGACCGGTGTACGACACGTGACCCCACATTGTCTCTGCACTCTCGCGGCGATTCTATTCGCTACCCTGTATTAATTGGTCATTTTGTTTTTGACGGTCATTTCTCATGGTAAGTGAGATTGTATTCTGATTTTAAGTGTATGAAGCGCCTGTGAAGTATTGAATGATCATTCTAGAGAAGGAAAGCATTTAGATAACGCTATGTAGAAATTGCTGAGTTTTGATGCTCTTGACCAGAAAGCTCAATGAGTCAAGTAAAATCTGAGAACTGGTCAATTCAAAAATTTACACAAGAAAAGCTTGGGGACTCCAGCACGTTAAAGCGAAGATTGTGACTTGTAAGGAAGTGTAAGTCCTTGCGCGGTATTTTATAGGGCTATTTCCAGGTCTTTTGTACAAGAAGATGCCAGTCAAGTGGGAGGCAAAGAGGACACCACAATCGATATCATGTTTTAGACTGGTGGCGAAGAAGGAGACGACTTCATCATCACGAAACAGAAGTTCTTCACCAGATTGAAGCAATAAACGTCACTTGCAATTTGGAAGAGTCGTCCATATTCCCAGGCACGAACCCATAATCTTTCAGCCCAATCCTCACTGCAAAGAAGCAGGAATGAATAAGAACGTCTTGTTGTATTTATATATCCAGTTGCTTTACTATAGTATCCAAGCAGAAACAGAAGATGTGTATCCTCCATTGCCCGAGAAATGAAGCTCTATCACTTTGAACCATGCGGAGAGAGTCCCGTCAACGCCTCAGCAATACAGAAGTGTACTGCTGGGGCGGACGTCGGCGCGATGGTTCTCATAGGAGCTTTCTTCTGAAGCATCGCGCTTACTCGTCGTCGCTGTCCGCCTTGCACTGCTCTGGGCCTTAGTATTACTGAAGAAACATGCGAGTGGATAAATACAATTGGGGAGATGTTCTATGACTTACCCAAAGGTACGAGGCGTTGCAGCTGCTCACGCAGTAGATGTAGCCGAGTCCGGTGGGCCTGCACTTTTCGACGCAGTCGTCCCGCGACGACTTGCAGTCGCCATCATCTCTGGCAGCGAGGGCCTCGACTTCTTCGGCGGCGCGGGCGTCGATGGCCGGGAGCGAAGGAAGGGCCGCAGCCAGGGGGAGGAGCACGAGGAGGGTAGACAGTTGCATCTTGAAGGTTTGAAGTGGTTGTTGTTGGATTGAAGTGGTTGTTGTAGTTGTTGTAGGATTGGTGTTGTCGTTGTTGAGAGTGAAGAAGTTCGAGATGAGAGCAGGAAGAGGGCATGGCTTTATAGGCGAATGGAACAGGTGTCGACGCAAATGGAGATGAGTCGATGTCAATGGAGCGTGCGCTTTGCGTCAGTCGAGAGTGTTTACTTGACGATAGAAACCGGAGTCTATCGTCGTTCTAGATGGGGAGAGATAGTGGAGGGATTGTACGGTGGTTTGAGCGTTTGCGGAGTAAGAATGTTAAGTGGAGGCGTCATTATTCTCAACAAGTCTATAGACAGTGCTCTGCTATTGTTTGTATAGGGTCTTGTTCCGCTCAGACCATTTGGTGGTATATGTAGCTTATAGTGCGAAAGTCGTTATCGCCGCACGTACAGTCTGGGGATGAGGGTCTGCGACCACTTTAATACAGTTGCGTCACTTAGCACAACCCGGGGTCTTGATCGTCGCAGTGATAGGCTCATCGGATGTTGCTGGTCAGTTGATAGTTCCTACCGGCGAAGCCTCCAGGTCCGATATCGTCCGATGAGCGCATGAACTGGGTCTGGCATATACAAAATAGTCGTTCACGGGCAGCTTAGGATATCGCAGTTGAGCCAAATGGCTCAGATCAAGCCTTCTTCATTTGCGCAAGGTAGGCCTCGACGTTCATTTCTCGCAGTCGGTTCGCCTTCTCCTCCACCTGCTTCTCGTTGTCGAGCTGATACGCCTTCATCTTGTTGTGAAACTCGGGAATAAAAGCACCCAGGCACCGAATTGCGAGGAGCGCTGCATTGGTCGAGTTGTTGATGCCAACCGTCGCTGTGGGGACACCTCGCTAGTTGCTCGTCAGCATCAATTTGCGGGGAGGGAAATGGAGCGATAGAGTCCGTTGTACTTACCGGCATCTGAACAATCGAGTAAAGAGAGTCAACGCCATCAAGATGCGTGGCCTTGACAGGAACACCAATGACAGGCAACGGCGTATAGGCTGACACCATTCCAGGCAAGTGGGCTGCTCCTCCGGCTGCGGCGATGATGACCTTGATGCCGCGAGCAGCGGCTTTCGTAGCGACGTCAGCCATCTTGGCCGGCGTGCGATGAGCCGATGTGATGTCAACTTCCCAGGGCACGCCAAACTGGTTAAGGATATCAATGCCAGCCTTGAGCACTGGGAGGTCAGAGTCTGAGCCCATCGTAACCAGGACCAGAGGTGCTTGTGCGGGCTTGGACACTGCCTGGTCTGGCCGCAGGGCCTTGGTGCGTGATTGCAGCCTCTCTTGTCTCATTTCGCTGGCCATGTCCACCAACGGCTTCGCAAACTCTTCGAGTTCCGTTATGCTAGCGACTAGGCCAGTAACGGTAATGTGTCCAATCTTTCGACTAGGCTTGGACTCCTTGCCGTAGAGGTGCACGTAAACAGCCATCTTGTTTCCGTACATGGACTTGGCTTTCTCGACAAGTGGAAGGTGAGAGTCGGGATTGGCGCCGCCGAGAATGTTGATCATGATACTCGAAGCAACGTACGGCTCAATTTTCGGCGGGAGGGTCTCGTCGAGGATCGAGGTGAGCTGTGCCTTGTATTGTGACCTAGGGAGACCCCATGGGTTAGAACAATGAGAGAGAACGAACCAACAGAAAATAGCTTACATGTATGGCACTGCCTCGATAAACAGGTGCCCGGAGTTGTGCGGTCGAGGTGCAATCTCATTGACAAGAATCTGGCTGTCCTGGGTGACAAACATCTCAACGGCAAAAATGCCTCTCCCCCACAGCTTATCGACGACGTCGCTAGCGACCTGCTGTGCTCGCTCGCAGGCAGAAGCCGGAGTCGTCCGAGGGGGGAGGTAGACTCGGGAGCAGATGTTGTCTTCATGTACCGTCTCGACCGCGGGATACGGCAGCAGACGTTTGGTCCGGCCCTCGTCGTCCTCCGTGCGAATCACGAGGACAGACAGCTCGCATTGGAACGGGACGAACTTCTCAGCATAGCAGCTGAACTTGCCAAACTCGGCGACAGCATGTTCCAGGTCAGCGTCGCCAGAGATCTTCATATTTCCTCGGCCATCGTAGGAGTCCTTCCTGGCCTTGAGCATCCAGGGATAGCCAAACTTGGCAGACACGGCCTTGAGAGACGCGAGCATGGCATCGCCGGATCCCTCAATGGCCACAGACTCCGCGACGGGGATTCCTTTGCTGGCCAAGTAGGCCTTTTGCTCGTATTTGTCCTGGATCAGCCGAATCGTCTTCCAAGACGGGCAAACGGCGACCTTTGTAGTCGTCGCGATCTCTTCTAGCACCGTCGTGTCCACGTGCTCCGTCTCGACGCTGAGGACGCTGCAGTGAGAGGCCAGCTCCTTGATCTTCTCCGCGTCCTTGTACGAGCCATTGATGTTGCGGCTGTTGTGGTTGACCTGCTTCGCGGGCGCATTTTCGGCGTCGAGGATGGCGATTTCGACGTCGAGAGGAGCAGCGGCCTGGCACAGCATTCGGCCCAGCTGGCCGCCTCCCAGAAGGCCGATGACGGGTTTCGGGCTCATTCTGAGTGTCGAGAAAAGCCTTGATCTGTGTGATTCGGCTTCGTTTGCTCGGGTGAGCGACAGCTCGATGGCTTTCGCAGGGATACGTCGAGGTCGTCGGAGGAAAAAAGAGCAGCAATCAAGAGTTGAAAGTTTTTAATGTCCTAACAAGATAGCACGGAAATGCCTAGCAGATTGGTTACCCCACCATTTCTCGCGCCCCACCTCACCACTCTGTATGTGACTCGCAAGGTCCCAAATTACCAGCATACATATCTTCATGAGAACAGTTTCAAGTGAGGACATATAAGGCTCAATATGATCGCTTCATGTACGCGACTCGAATCACAAGGCGTAGAATGGAAAGGAAACGGCGGACTGCAGCAGCAAAAGTATTTTGTACAGAGTCCGATATACCCAAGAGTTATCGTTATCGGCTATCGATAACGCGCATCGATTGCCCCGCGAATTATGCGGGCGCTCATCTTATCTGTCGATCAAACACGATCAGAGACCACGACTCGTGCAACAACTCGATGTTCTTGTGTCATGACGTCATACACAACATTGCAGATGCGCTTCGTCTCGTCTGCCGGTTAACCTATACTCACCAATCTCTCAACCACGTCTATTCTGCGGATGTATAATTCATTTATTTGATCACGTACTTGGTATTTTTATCAAGACCCTCTTGTTGGGTCAATGCACGACACTAATGAGCTTCGTTGCGCAGTCCCTGTGATGATTTTGATCTCTCTTGATCGAATCCGATGGACGAAGCGGATGTTTGGTATTTCATGTCGTTGACCCTGATTACCTGAAAAGGGGCGTTTGGACCCCTCCCGGTGCAGTGTATGCAGCCGAGATGAAGATACCGTCTGTAAGATGGAACCACCTTGAGACAGGTGCGGTAATTGTTCACGTTTGAATGTTCCCACGCAGCTTTTGTGGTGGTGATATCTGAACACATGCTGCTTACATAAACAGCTAAATCACCACATCTGCCTTCCTGTTCCTTCCCGCACAACAGCTTCCCCTCTCTGCCTCATCCTCATGCGCAGCTGGTCGAGGATTTTTCTTCATCTGTTATTATTACATATCCTTCTGTAAAGGCTTTTAAACAGTCGGAAAAGAACGCGGTTGTCTTGTCAATGTGAACATTTAGTTTCTTCCACCTCACCACTTCCCATTTGCTGTCGCCTATCTCCTCTACCCGGCATTATGTGACCAGAAGACGGAATTGGCCAGAGGAGCATTGCTAAAACGGTACGTTGGACAGCTCGTGCCATGATACGCCAAACAGAGAGGTTGCAGCTAACGTGTGCGCTATATCCAGAAATCCGAGGCTCACGATGGCTTCGCACAGTCTTTGCAATGTCGAGCGGGCTACGCTGTACACAAACCGAGATCCAACCCGAGCCTACGAGGCGGCATTCGCGAGTCACGACCAACTGCAAAACTTGGCGAAAAGCAAGTCAACAGACATTTGCTTTATAATCTAGACAACTATATACCATCTGAACTACTTGTCAACGTTGTCATAGATGGATCGCAACACGACGTCGTTGATCCACGCGCCACTGGACCAGTCGTCCCACACTGTAAAGGTAATAGTACGGCTCTCGCCCTTGTTGAGCCAGAAGCCGTTCTGGTCAAAGTATCCCCTCACGGTGGAGGGGTAGTCAACCCAGACCCATGCCGCAACACCTTTGGTGGCGGTGATTTTGAACTGGGCAGTCTTTCCACGAAGCGACTTGGTCATGACCAGGCCCGGATCGGCAATGCTGCTCAATCGGAGGCTCTGAGGGTGGAAGAACTTGGAGTGAGTATATTCACCGGCCTTGATGGAGATGGAGAGCAGCGCATTGGACGAGGGGTTCTTGCAGGCGAAGAAGGTCGACAGGGCGGGATACGTAACTAGCCGAGTGGCATTGATGGGCTGCACGTCAAAGTTGACCTCGAATGATCCATCGCGAGCAGGGTTGACATGGACGGGAGGATCAACATCCAATGCATTGCCCTCCCAGTCAACCCACTGGAAGGTGGCAGTTCCAGAAACCTTTTCCCACAGATCAGAAACAACCCAGACCTCCAAGACATCGGTGGCCTCGTCGTAAAAGGGCCAGACAATGACGGGGTTGAAGATGTCCTTGGCGGCATAGTATGCCACCTTTTGGCGCAAGCTGTGTTCGGTGCTGGACCAGGTCGGGCCAACCCAGATGTCGTTGAATTGCCAGTACAGAGAGCCCATCTGTCTGTTGGGGAGCCCCGATCCACGTCGGTAAAAGGCGATCTGGGCCTGGTAGTAATCGGCCTGGAACACCTGCGAGGTCCACGTCCAGGCAGTGAAGTTGGCCACGGGATCCGGCAGCTGAGGGAGCGGGTACCACAGCTTGATGCTGTCGGTAAACTGGTTGATGCCGTTCGCGGAGGATGAGAAAAAGTCGCTGCCGCCGCTGAGGTGACGGTTGTGATGGCGGACATATGACGAGTCGAAGTTGAACTCGCTTTCGGGGATCGCATCTCTCCAGGAGTAGACAGACGGCATGGAAGGGAAGCCAAACTCATCGGCGAAACGACCAACGGGGTAGCCGCTGTACTGGAAAGCAATGCTGCCGTCATAGTTGTAGAAGTCGGTGTCAGCATAGATTGCATCGGGGCTCTCCATGTAATCGTATCGCGAGGTCTGGGGACTGACGGAGTTAAAGTCGAGCGAAGTATATCCGTGGTAGGTGGAAGAGGGGATATAGCTGATGGAGTGGGTGTTGGCGTACACACACTTGGCGAGATGCTGCTGGAAGATGGTCTCATAGTCCTCCAGCTGAGTGTTGTTTCGCGGGTTGAGCCACCAGCCATAGATGAGGTACTCGAGCTCGTTGCCTCCGGCCCACAGAGCTAGACTGGGATGGTGATTCACACGGCGGGTGTTGTAGTATGCTTCGGCCTCATACTCGGCAAGGAAGTCGGGCGTGGCAGGGAAGTATGCGACAGAGAACTGGAACTCGGACCAGAGCAGCAGACCCATCTTGTCGGCCAGGTCATACGCCCAGTCGGGGAGATAGGCTCCGGAGGCCCAGATTCGCATCATGTTGAAATGGGAGTTGACGGCCAACTCGAATGTCTCCTTGATCTTCGTTTGGTTGACACGGGGCCAGAAGACGTCGGGAGGGACAAAGTTGGAGCCCTTGGCGTACATCTCGTGGCCGTTGATCTCGAACTTCCAGCTGGCTCCGGGAGCGACGCCCTTGGCCTTGTCTGCATCAGTGATGGCGTTGAGGTTGAGGACGATGGTTCGGAAGCCAACACGCTTGGTCACGGTGGCATGCTTGGGAACTCCGGCGCTGATGAGAGACAGCGTCGCGGTGTACAGTGTCTGCTCGCCGTAGCCAGAAGGCCACCACAGGTCGACCTTGGTGTTGATGGAGGTGCTGCCGGTGATGGTCCCGTTATTTTGGGTGATGCCGACCAGATTGGCCTCTTTGAGCGTGTGGCCCTTGCTGTCGACAATCTTGACGTGAAACTGGGAGCCCTTGGGCAGTGTACCGATGTAGTCGATGCTGGCGTTGAAGACCCAAGGCTTGGACTGATCGGGCGACAGGTTGGGCATCTGACCCTGGCGATAGATGTCGATGGCCGTGTTGGTGATGTAGACGGGATCCGTCTTGGCCTTCTGCACGATGTACGCCGGGCGCCACGGACCGGCTGGGGCAAACTGCGGGCCCCAATCCCAACCGAAGTCGCTCTCCTGCTTTCGCATGTAGACTCGGCCCTGGAACTCCTGTCCGTTGTAACCGTTGGCAGAGTTGACAGTGGCTGGGCATCGGCAGCTCGTTAGCGGAACGACTCATACCTCACAGGCGTGGAGAGCAACATACACAGATCGCTGCGCTGGGAAATGTCGAGCACGATCTTGCTCGCAGAGCCAAAGTTTAAGCTGAGAACGGGGTCGCCCTCGCATTTTGGCAGGATGTCAGAGACATCAAAGGTGTATTTGCGGAACTGGTTCTTGGTGTCGCCAACTTTCTGGCCGCAGAGCTTGATCTCGCAAAAGGTATCGAGACCTTCAAAGACGAGCCATGAAGTCAACCCGTTGCCAGATTTGCTGATGCACTTCTCGTCAGCTTCAAAGCTCAGGTCCGCCGCCCAACCGCAGCCACAGCCACTTACAGTCCCTTGATAGGCCCGGACGTGTATGTCCAGTTCATTCGCTGAACCCAAAATTGATTCCACTCGTTGAAGCCATATATGGGATCGTCAATGACGCCGGCAGCCAGCAAGTCAATGTGGGCATACGAGGGAAGCTTGCCCGGGACGGTGGCGTTGACACCGTTGCTGACCGTCCATGAAACATCGCTGAGGTTGAATATGCTCTGCGCGGTGACGCAGCTCGCCACGAGCGAGAGCGCTGCTAAGAACCGGCCCATTAGCCAAATGTCTTGAAACTGGACTGTTTCACCGAGAGAGGTTGTCCACTTGCAATGGGACTGGGGCTGCAATTATGATACTCCAATAATGACAGCGAAGCGAGCTGTTGAGTCTATATACACAGCGAAAACAACTCCCAGGCGGATAAACGACAATCACACAGGAAACAGTTTCCGTCATGTAACAGCAAACAACGTACCGCCAACATACTGCCAACATGCCTCACGCCAACATGCCTCGGGGCATCATTTCTTCTTTCTCTCTCGCTTCGCCTCAGCTGCCAGCTTGGCACAGTGCAGTTTCCGTATGAGTAAACAAGAATCGACAACAGACTGAGAGATGACTTGAGACCCAAAGCTGGGGAACCACATCTCGTCTCGGTGCTTTCCTGAAACCGATTTTCTCTCCGCCTTGAGGGTGTCCCAATTTCAATCCCTGCTCAGGCAACCGGGCCAATAGCAGATGACCAAGATGAAGAGAGTTGACGGTGTTGGTATAAGCATACATGCACTACCCCCCACCTACACACTTTATCATTATGGTTATATTGACGAAATCTGCGAAACGAAGAAGAACGAAGCTCGGTTTTATCCACCAGACGCTATGGAGTACTCTTGTGTACAATTTCGGCTAGAGTCACCGGCCTCGCTTTTCCATGGTAAATATCCGTCTTTCTTCATCGCCTTGAGCTTTTCCGAAATGATGAGTCCACTTTTTATGGGCTTTCCCCAGACCAACTTGGTGCTCAAGTGCTTTGTGAGCTTTCGTGGGGAAAAGCTCGTGTGGAGAGAGTGACAGGCCACCTAGAGAGTTCTCGGCTAGCAGCAGCTTGTCATCGCCGAGTAAGATGACTCAAGAACGCCATTCGACACCAGGAACAAGAGGTGAGAGAAGCCATCCGCTGCTGATATTCGCCATTCCGCTGCCACAACATACGACGTCGGACCACGAGGTTACTGCAGAAAGATGGAAGTTCATGGGTTATCCAGCGGGGCGGATCATGGGGTAATGAAATCGCGGGGAATGCATGGGGGAGATTACTGATGCTTGGATGGCTTCCTGAGGGGTAGACTGCACAATACTCCATTAGGAAGGTTGAGCGCGGGGAAGACGACAAAGGGAAAGGCGGCAAAGACCTTTACACGAGTTGACGGCATTAGCTCCAGGGCAGCCGTGTCTGTCCAGCCAGAGCATGGGACAAAAACTCGGGCGGAAATGGTCAATGGAGCTTCTTTCGGATGGACTCGATGACTGGAAACACTTGGGCAAAGGCACGAGCCCCATCCGGAAACCAATGAGTACCCCTGGTAGATGAAGATATATCCGTTGACACTAGGTAAGGTAGGGAAGAGTGTGTTTGCCGTGGACCGAGCCACTGTCAGCAACACCAGCAGGGAGCAAGTGGAGAGACAAATAACTACACGCGCTGGCCCGTGAAAAGCTGCGGCGGCGCAGAACTGTCCGGGTCTTGCAAGGTTTCGGGTCGACTCGAGCGAGACTATTTACTCTGCTCCGCCCAATAGTCTCTTGTAGTTTCTCCGTGCTTTGCCGTGGAATTCGCCAAGTTCCGAGAAGCCATACCACGGAGCGGCGGAGTAGCGGAGAAGGCAGCTTGTATAAAGCATTTGCCTCCTCGTTGCGAGACTCCAACTCTGACAAGACGCTTAGACGACAGGACAAGACAAGGCTTTACTCTCCACGGCACAGAGTCTTTTCACAATTACCATGGCATCGGCCATTGTCTTCTCCCTAGCAGCGGCGGCGCTGTTGCAGCCCGCCATTGGCACCGACACCGGCACGGTTCACTGTGCCGATGCCTCGTACGCGCCTGGCTCCGTTTATTTCACAGACGGGTGCTATACGGACATTCAGAACTGCATCACCAAGCTGTCGGCCGATCCGTCGCTGGTTGATTGCAGCGGCGACAACATCAGCATGCAGCAGCAGGCCAACACGGGAGCCGTTGGATCAGCCCAGAACAGCGACGTCAGCGTCTCCTTCAAGAGCATGGTCGACCTTTGCCTGCTGAGCGGCTCAACCAGCGGAACCTGGGGCTGGAGTGACAACCAATGGTACTGGCTCTGGACCAGCGGCAGCTGCTATACCAGCGAGGCCGGAAACGGCGCCATCAAGACGCGGCCTGCCCCATACTGTCTGCAGGATCGCGACTCTACCCTGCCCGACTGCTATCCTCAGCCCAAGCCCGGCGGCGGCCCGCTGAAGGTGCTCAAGATGGCCAAGACGACCAATGGCTTCACAAAGTCGGCGCGAGGCTGGAACACGTACGGAGCCCAGGCCCTGACCAACGGCTCCACGCTGATCCCCTCCTTCGCTGGCCAGTCCGGCCTATACTACACCCAGAAGTTTGTCGAGACGCAGTGCGGAGTCTTGGCAAACTCCAAGTTCAAGGCCGCCGGTTTCGACATGTGCAGTCTAGACTCTGGCTGGCAGTCGTTTGACACGGTTGATGACCATGGCCGAATCATCTACAACTCGACGCGATTCAACATGCCCCAGCTTGGCTCCTGGCTGCACAAGAAGGACCTCCAGCTCGGCCTGTATATCAGTGAGTTTGGCAATATCTTTTCCGTTTCTTCTTTTTTTTTCCCCTCTGACTTTTGCAGCACCGGGTGTTCCGTGCCAGGCTGCCAACAAGACGATTCTGGGAACCAATATCAAGGTTGCAGACACGTTCAACGGCAACTTTGACCAGATTCTGTGCCAGTTTGACTACAGCAAGGATGGTGTTCAGCAGTGGCACGATTCCGTCGTGGCTCTGTGGGCCTCGTGGGGCGTTGACATGATCAAGGTGAGACAAGATGCTATTATGCCTTTATGAATGATCTTGAGCTGACAAGAATCGAGTAGCTCGACTATATTACGTGAGTCCAAAGTGATTTTTATTCAGGAGTTTCTACTGACAGATATCAAAAGCCCTGGATCTCCCCAGAACGGCGCCATGCTGGGCTGCCGGAACTCGGACGCCGTTGTGGCCTACCAAAAGGCCATTGCTAAAACAGGGCATGATATCCGCCTGAACATCTCGTGGAAGCTCTGTCGTAACGAGACCTGGTTGCCCGTCTGGAGCGGCCTGGCCGAGTCTATGCGTACCGACCAGGACATTAACAACTACGGGCACGAGACGTTCTTGGCCTGGTCGGTTGCTCAGCGCGCCATTGACAATTACCGGCAATACATTGGCCTCCAGCTGCAGCGCAACGTGCCCCTGACCATCTACCCTGACATGGACAACCTGTTTGCCGCCAACGCCGAGAAACTGACGGGCGTCAACGACACCATGCGAACCACTGTGATGAACCACTGGCTTGGTGCTGGCGCCAACCTCATTCTGGGCAATGACCTGACCCAGACTGATGCGCTCGGATATAAGCTGCTGACGAGCCCTCAGTCCATCGCTGCCGCCAACTTCTTTGCCAAGTACCCCATGCAGCCCCGCAACCCTCGCACGGGCAACAACCTGGCGCAGCAGCTGCAGTCTTGGATCGCCGGCCCCAGCGACAATGGAAAGGAGGCGTACGTTCTGATTGCCAACTACGGACCGGACCAGGGCTCCGGCGGTTTCAACACGCAGCTGTACGGACGACAGGCTGTGACTGTCTCTCTAGCTACTCTCGGTCTGAGCTGCACCGAGTGGAAGTTTACCGATGTGTGGTCGGGCAACTCTACCCGCGTCAAGAACTACTACACAGCCTACTTGACGGAGGGAGAATCTCAGCTGCTTCACTTGACCAAGGCCTAAAAGGAAGGGGTTGTAGATCGAATTGACTTTATTTAGCAGTAATCTAACAAATTATTCCATGTTCGCTGAACTTCATTATAGTTTAAGACGAGTGCGAGTGAGTCACTGGGTGGGCTGCAGGTTCTGCTTTGCCTGGATCTTGGGGACTGCGCCAAATCGCTGGTTGCCCTGATCAAAGATCTGATGACTATTAGCACGTGTATTATTGTTTCATGATTTAGAATGTAACTCACCGCATAGACCGACTTCAAAAACACATCGCCCAAAATGTCAAAGGGGTTGCTTCCCCTCGACTGAACACCGCCGTACCAGTTGCTCTCATCTGCGGGTGCGAAAGCCAGATCCTCGGGCTGGATCACAAACTGGGTGTTTCCAACCGAGACCTTGAGCTCTGGCAGACTCGACGCATCAGTGTCCATGGGGAAGACGTAGCCCTGCTGTTGCTCGTCGTACTTGGCGCCAGGGATCGCCTTGTACAGGGCGTCACAGACCTCGTCCGAGACGAGAGCGAGGGTAGTTCCGGTGTCGGCAATGGCGGTGTTTCCGTCTTGAGAAATGTCCTTGCCGTTGATGGTGGTCTTGGTGGAGGGGAACATCCAGAAGCCCTGCGAGTTGTCGACATCAGTCCAGGCGATCTCTTGGCCGGAGGCGGAGACGAGGTCCTGGTCGATGTAGCCAAAGGTGTAGAAAGACTCGGCATTTTCGTCGCGCTCGCTGTAGAAGGCGGCGGTGAAGAGCTGGGCGTCGCTAGGGATGTCATCCTGCTGGATCATGTTGGCGACGGGTGTGTTGGCGGGCGTCGGGCGGCCGTCTGTCATGACGGTGTTGATCTGCGGCCAGGCGAGGCCCAGGAGGCCGTCGCCGGTGCCCTGGGCGAACTGGGCCGCGAGCTTGGAGGCGAGCTCGATGGTCTGGTTCTTGATGGAGAGGCCGCCGAGGGTGACGGTGTCGGAGCCGCAGGTGCCCGAAGCGGAGCTGCCGTCGCCGTAGGAGATTTGCCATGTCTGGCCCTCGAGGGTCTTGAACGTGGATGACTTCTTGGGGTCAAAGACAGAGTGGTTTTCCTGGGTTTGCTTGCTGAGTTCTGTGGAGAAGACCTATCGAGGCGTTAGTTATCGTGTTCTGGTGTGTGTGTGTGTGTGTGTTTTTGATGACTGCAGGGCTACAATCATACCCACAGATCGGATGAGCCAGTGTCAAAGTCGAGCATGAGCTTCTGTCCAGGAGTTCCGATGGTCACTTCGCAGAGGTATTCAGAGTCATTCTGCTGGTCCTCGGCGCCGACCTCTCCGGTCTGGCTCCCGCTCGCATCGACGGATCCATCCTCCCTGGTCTTCTTAGCGAGCACCTTGGTCCTCTGGACGCGGCCGCCAACGGGCTTGTGGAAGTCCGGGTGGGCGAGGCCGCGCTGGTGGATGCGCGTCTGGTGGAAGTACGGGCCGGGCTTGGTGGGCTCGAAGCCGAAGCGGTTGAGCAGGTAGACGTAGGACTTGGGGCCGTGGCGCTTGTAGTTCTTGTTGCGGACGGCGGTGATTTTCTGGAGGCCGCGGTCGAGCCGAAACTTTGCCTGGGCCTGGAGGATGGCTTCCATGATGAGCGGGGCTTTTATGGTATGTTCTGTCTTGACTAAAGTTGAGTTGAGTTTAGTTGATGTTGGAGTTGGTTGATGAGCTTGGCTTCTAAGACGGGAATAATGGGAGGAGTTGAGGGCGATTTATATACACGGCAGTTAAGGTAGGCCTTGTCTTGATTCAACCGTCGTTTCAAAGAGTTCAGCGCATATCAATCAGATCGTCACATTTACAGGTTATCATCTATTGATAGTGGTTCTCAACGCGCGTGTCGTTGCAACCCTGGACTGTTCCTTGACAGCTGACGCGCGGTCGCACAGCAGCTGAGTGATGGCACGTTTTGCCTCTTCCGTCAGTGTGACGCTACACAGGCAATGCACAGCAGCTGGTCGTCGCAGTAGAACCTGGCACAACCCCTGAAAGGCGTTGCAGATGCTATGCACAGAGGAGCCTATTAAAAGGCGCAGCAGAAGCAGGACAAGCAGGACAGCTGCTGCAGCATCTCGTGATTGGGGAGGCTCGCGATTCCAGATTCGAGGGCTGCATAAAGTGCGTGCGGAGACGATGTGTGCCGAGTGCCGAGTTTGGCTGTGTGCGGATTTGGAGGCGTCTCGTAGGGCCGGGCCGTCGATTGGACTTTATCCGGCCTATGGACTGGACGGAGTTGAGTGACGGAGGCAAGTTTCTTGTTGATGCAGTGTGATGGGATGGAAATAGAAACTGATGATGTTGTCTGGGGTTTCAGTTCAGGTACAGCCTTGATGCTGGCATTGCATTTACATCACGCCGTGACGGAGCATGACGCTATTCCCAGCGTGTCCATCGCCAGCGTGTCCCCATTCGTGCTCGCATCAACGGCTTGCCGTCATCGTCGTTTCAGCAGGCAGACAAGAAATCAAGTCCGAAAGTGGAGTTGGAAAAGAGGCACTGCCCTCATATGGGACTGGCCGCCGGCACTAAGACGCGGGATTCAAGCATACAAAGAGAATTATGCAGTAGCTCGCGGGTAATCGGATGACGAGTCGCGGGATATCGTCGCTTTGGACGATGGGTGATGGCGTCTCAGTAGTGGAGTGCAGATACAACGTCGATATCAAGCGTGATGATGTCTGATGAACAGATGGATTACATATCACAGCCTGCTGGAGATGTCCAACTAGTATACACGATGAGCTGCCTGTCTCTGTACAGCCAACTGGAACTCCGAGAACAATCGGGATTCGTCACTCGACTGGAAGAGAGCTTACGCACAAGTACGATAGACGACGAACTGCCGGCAGACATCGTTTAGAAACCCGCCTGCTCGGCCACCATCTGCTCCCACTGCAGCCACTGATTCGGATCCGACTCAAACGACAGCAGGTTCGGAAAATACTGAGCCTCTGCAAAGCCCCCGTCTAGATAGTCCGCATACGAGAACTTGTCATACCCACAGAAATGCCGCGACACAGGCCTTGCCTCTGTCCTGTCGCTTCTCGCCTTCGCTTCTGACTCTTTCTTGACTCGCTGCCATTCTCGAATTTCGTTGATATACTCCGGAGCCACCGGCTCTGGGAGGCCCTCCTCCTTTGAAGCAGCGACGTACGAGTTCCAGACCTCGAGGGTCCATTTCCCCAGCGCGACATAGACAGATCCGGTGAACTCTTCCAGCACCTGAGGGCATTGTTCAAAGACGACCCCGATCAAATGCCATGCCTTATCAATGTCGGGCCCAGTCCTGCGTGCGCGCACCTCGATCAGCAGGTACAGCATCGTGTTCCAGAGATAGCTGGTGCCGATCTGCCACGTGTACTTGTCCAGGCCCAGGTGCCCTCTTTGTATCAGATTTGCATACTCCAGGAGCTTCATGGCGTTGAAGAACGAGACGTCGTGGTCTTTTCTAGAGGCCTTTGCCGACAGGTGTGCAAACTGCCGCATGTTGTGTGCGAACAGCCTCATCTTGCAGACAGCCGCCCGGGCCATGATGGAGATGAAGGTATCCAGTGGATTCGACGGGTCGCAGTACCGTAGGTACTTTTTTTCTACATGGTCCTCGACCGCGTCTATGATTCTGTCTTTCCCCTCGAGCGAAATGTCCGGATCGTAGAGCATCTCCCAGCGCGCGTCGCCGGGATACACTTTTGCAAACTTGCACAGCGTATCCATGATTTCGCACTTGAGCAGACATAGAGTAATTGCCGTGATCCCATTGCGCTCCTTTGGCAAAGAGGTCATGTCGGGATAGAGCTCGTCGTCATCGACATTGAGTGGCGCTTTCACGTCGCCGCTGGATATCTCGGGAGAAGGCTTCGTGCCCATGACATCGGCCGTTCGACAGTCGACGTGGGCGAGATGCCACCAGAGACGCCGCCGCATTTCTGTTTCAAAGGGGGACAGGCCGAGGAATGTGCCGTCGCGGTGGAGGCCCATTTTGCGGGCGAGGCGGATGGCGACGCCGGAGAGGATATAGAGGGTATCGCAGCGATATACCTTCCTGACACAGATCTAGGTGTTGTTAGTATGATGAAGAACAGGTCTGGGGAAGAAGATGTGATGTACCGTAAAAATGGAAAAGGCTTGAAGAGTCATGATATTTGACGTTGAGAGGAATCTGGCATTGATCAAGGCTTGTCGCGTGGCGATTCGGTAGTGTTTGACAATGACTGACAACGGCGCCCCGAACAGGTTCTTGGCTTCTTCTTCTTTCAGCGAGCTGATGGTGGCGAGATAAAACGCAAAGACAAGCGATTGCAGGCTCTTTGGCATCTCGAGAGGCCGCTGCAGTGCGTTTGTCATGGCGACCCAGAACGTGGGGAGATGCAAGATCTTCATCATCGGATCAACGCGATCTTTGTAGATGTCCCTGATCTTCGAGAGCAGTGGCATTGAAGGATGAAGCTTGACAAGGGCATCGGGCTTGTCGCCCTCTGGCTCAAAGAAGAGGCCCGATTCATCGAGCTGGCTGTCTGGTTCGAGTGGAATGGCTTCCCCGACATCGTTGAAGTTGGTTGACTCTGGATGTTGAAACTAGGCGATGCGTTAGCAGAACACCTGGGACGATGGAAGGATATAACACGTACATCATCCGTCAGGTTGGTCCAGATGGCACTAAGAGTATCGAATGAGAATCTGGTCTTCATCACAGAGGTTCTGATAAAAAGAAAGACATACCTATCAAAGTATCTCGACGCTCCCTCCTTCATGATAAACTTGGGCTTTGCCTCCTCGGACGCACGACTCGTCTGCTTCCTCATCGGCATAGGCTCCCCCCTCTCAGGGGTAACACTACTCCCGCTCTCCATCTCCGATCCAGACTCTTCGCCATCCTCAAAGGGTTCGATTTTGGCCCCATACGCCTTCAGCATCTCCTCGTACCGCTTCACCCGCGCATGCAGCGTCTCCTTTGGCGGCTTCGTCCGCTTCCTCTTGCCGCGCACCGGCGCGACGAAGCTGCACGGCCGCTCCGCCTTTACGCAGTTCTGGCAAGGGGCGCGGCGGTCGCATTTGACTTTTCGCTGGCGACAGCTGAGACAGGAGAAGTTCTTGAGGTCGGCCTCAGGCCGCTTCGGGGTGTCGGCCATCTCTATCTGCGGTATCTCCGTCTAATTCCTTTAGCTTCTCTCGTCTCGGTGTTGAACGAGAAGTTCATAAACAGGCGCCGAAGAAAAAAAAAGAAAAGAACTAGAAGGAGCCAGAAAGAAAGGAGTTCGTTGGGCCTTGTTTTACGTTGTTAATAAGAGACATGTCTGTGTCTGGCGTCTCGGGGTTCGGAGGCGAAATTTTGCATTTTCAGCCCCGAGAGGCGGATCGGTTTTAGCGTCAAATGGTATAAGAGACTACATCTCTGAGTCGTTGATGGGAACATTAAATATTCCCCTAAAAGTTTTACAACTTGCAGATACCAATTGAGCATTCTGAGACCATCTGCTGCAAATAAAGCAAACTACAATCACTGCCGGTCGTCATGGCGAACTCGGTATCAGAAGGAGACGAAAAGCCTCCTACGGCCATGACAGAGTCCAGCGCAACCAAGACGGAAGCGCCTCACCAATATCCGTCCAATCAGAAGCGAATCATCATCATGCTGGCTCTCTACTTGGCAATCTTTTTGGTCACACTGGTAAGCCAACAACTTGAACTTGGACTAACAAGCCTCAGCTTACACCACAGAGCCAGCATGCTGACCATACCTTATACAGGACCAAAACATTCTCGCAACCGCCATCCCTCGCATCACGGACGAGTTCAACTCTCTCGACGACGTCGGCTGGTATGGCACCGCCTACCTCCTCACCATGTGCAGCTTCCAGCTCATGATGGGAAAGGTCTACAAGTACTACCCGGCAAAGCCCATCTTCCTCTCCGGCATCTTCCTCTTCGAAGTCGGCTCGGCGATTTGCGGTGCGGCTCCGAGCTCAGATGCCTTCATCGTCGGTCGTGCGATTGCAGGATTGGGATCGTCGGGCATGTTCTCCGGGCTCATGGTCATCATGTTCAATATCATTCCGCTGCAGCAGAGGCCTCTGTATCAGGGCTTCTTCGGAGCCGTCTTTGCGGTCGCTTCTGTCATTGGACCTATCATTGGAGGGACGTTTACCGATAAAGTGACGTGGCGATGGTGCTTCTACATCAACCTGCCGATAGGAGGCGTCTCCATGATCGTCACCTTTTTCATCCTGCACCTGCCCAACCAGAAGCTTGACAAAGCAGCAGACGGATGGCTGGCCAAGATCCAGCAGCTCGATCCCATCGGCAACCTCGTCTTCTTCCCGGGCATCGTGTGCTTGGTTCTGGCTCTCCAGTGGGGAGGCACCGAGTATGCCTGGGACAACGCCCGCATCATCGTTCTCCTGGTCCTCTGCGGAGTCTTTGTTCTCCTCTTTATCGGCATCCAAGCGTGGAAGGGAGAGGAGGCTACCCTTCCCCCTCGCATCATGAAGCAGCGCAGCATTGCGGCCACGGTCTGGTTCGGCTTCTTCAACGGAGGTAGTATGATGGCTGTCTTGTATTACCTTCCCATCTGGTTTCAGGCGATCAAGAACGTCAGCGCTATCGATTCCGGCATCTCGCTGCTCCCTATGATCCTTGCCACGGTTTTCGGCTCATTGTCGTCTGGCGTCATCATCTCCAGGCTTGGCTACTACACTCCTTTCTTCTATCTCAGCTCCATCTTTGCATCTGTTGGCGCAGGACTCTTGTCTACACTCACGCCTGAGACGGGACATTCGAAGTGGATCGCGTATCAGTTCCTCTTTGGGCTGGGCCTTGGGTTCGGGTCCCAGCAGGCGTTGAACGTTGTCCAGACCGTTCTCGACAGGTCGGACATTGCAACTGGATCTGCGCTCGTCATGTTCACTCGATTCCTTGGATCAGCCATCTTCCTGCCGGTCGCACAAACCATCTTCCTTAGCACTTTGGTCAAGAAAGTCTCAAACATTCCTGGTATCGATCCTGACGAAGTCATAAGTGCTGGCGCGACCGATCTGAAGAACCTTGTTTCTGGAGATGACCTCAAGACGCTGCTGTTGGACTATAACGATTCCCTAATGCCAGTCTTCTATCTGGTTGCAGCGATATCTTCTGCGACAATGCTGGGCAGTGTGTTTGTCGAGTGGAAGAGTCTCAAGAAGCGTGCAAACAAGGACGCCGGTATCACCAGCGAGGCGGCATAATAAATCGGCTCTTTGGAAGGGATGGACTCTCAATCGTGCTTGGAGCGCACTGAAATATGATTCGCATGCCAAGAAAGGTGTCGCAGCATGGATGAGATGAGGCGAATGAGAAGAAATGTATCATAGAATGAGATCGAGATGAGATGAGATTGGGACAGAGATGAGATTGAGCCGAGGTTACGAATGGCGGACCTGGTCAAAAACATTGATCCAGTTCTTGATTGCATTAATAGATAGAATACACAATTCGGTAATGTCATTTAGATCAATATACCACTCCACTTTATTAGCCACACATCCACAGCTTCTACCAAGGTTCACTTGCTTCTCAACCAAGGCTTACCTTATTTCTCTTCAGCCAAGGTTCATTCCAGCTCAACCTCGGGATTGGCGTTTCCGGTCTTGTATCCGGTAGAGTTTCCGGCCAAAACTCGTCCTTCTCCTTAGCTTCACTCGCCACAGCTGATTTAAACAACGCGCTGGTCATCTCACAGTTTGACCTTCTCCCCGAGATAGCCTCGCACTTATTTCTCACTCTCGAAACCTCTTCTCGTAATTTTTTCATGAGTGTCCTATAATTTGTCAAGTTGCTGACGAGATGAAGTCACCATCATTGGCTGGGTAGGGACGACGTTGACTATTCTATATTCGCGAAGTCTGGTTGAGATACTACTGCTGACTATGAGGCTGGCTGGAGCTACTATATAAACACCATCTCCTCTGCTTGTTGTGTCTCATTGTCATTATCCGCATCTCATCAGTTCTAGCCTACAAATAAGAGTTTTTGCTTATTATTCACGTCTGCATCATTATCGAGATGTCATTTCAACCAACCAAGCTTCCGAGCACAACAGTCCCTCCCGCATCTCTCAGCCGAGATGACTTCGCAAGAGAAATACCGGAGCTTTTGCCGCTATACGACAAGTTCCCGCACATCATCTACACAAAGTCCGATCCTGTCTACGAGACGATCAGTCCTGCGTTCAACTTGGCCGTCACTACTCGGCCACTCGTCGTCATTCGTCCCCTCGAAGAAAGCCATGTCCAAGCCACCGTCACAATAGCGCGGGCTGCCGGCATACCACTGGGCATCCGCTCAGGAGGCTCCGAAATGTATGCGCGGAATTACAAGGGCGTTGACAATGGCATCATAATCGACATGCGCAGCATCTGCTATCTAAGGGTCCCTGACGACGAGGCGAGTGCGACCATTGGCGGCGGCATCATCGGGGGTGACTTGGCGGTCGCTCTCGCGAAACAGGGCCTTTTCACGCCAATTGGGTGGCATCCCAGACTTGGCTACGTGGGATGGTCTCTTGCGGGAGGTTACGGTCTCTACTCTTCCTCGTACGGCCTTGGTGTCGATCAGATTCTCGGCGCTCGTCTTGTCCTTGCTAATGGATCCATGGTGGATGTCGATAAGAATAATCACCCCGATCTGTTCTGGGCATTGAGGGGAGCCGGAAATGGCATCTGGGGTGTCGTGACGCAACTCACCATCAAAGTCTATCCAGCACCGCATCTTCTAATAGGCTCATTAGAGATTCGCAAGGAAAACTGGCCCGCCGTCTTGAACCGGTGGACCAACGATATCGAGCCAAATTTGCCCCAGGAGTTGGCAGGCGAACTGTATTTTAGGAATCCAAAGTTGGACGACCCGGAGATGATCATCTTCTTTGCCTGGTGCGCAAAGGAAGGCGATGATCTGACGAAGGGATGGGAGTACTTCAATATGTTGAAGTCATTGCCTGGAGCAACTGTGCAGCGGATTGCAGAGTGTGAGTTTCCCGTGCACACATTCGCTCTAGACATATATCATACTGACAAGTAACCGCCAAGCCGATTTCGCTGCCTATATCATGTCAGAGTTGACCGTCCAGCCAGCATCTTTCCAGACCCGCGGAGTCATCGCCAAAGGTTTGACCAACAAGATAGCCGATGTCCTCATCAGCAAATGGACAGGTTCAGACATGTACATGGGCATTCCCTGCCACTTCATACATGGAATGGCCACCAAGCCAGATCCGAGCGCTTGTTTCCCACTACGTTACCGTCACAGAATATTCCCAATCGCCGGCCGTCACCAGAAGCTGCGGGGGACAGAGGAAGGCGATGCAATCGCGGCGGACATGTGTGCGCGTGTGGTGGAGGAGCTCAAGGCTACGGGCGATGTCTATGTGGGAGCTGCCTATGAGAACTTGATTCCTCCGATCGATACCGACTTGGAGGCTACTTTTGGCAGGGAGACGTTGGAGAAGCTGAGGGCTTTGAAGGAGAAGTACGATCCTGATAATTTCTTTTCCAGAGGATATCCCGTTTTGTAGCCTGCATACCATTACTGTCCGAATTAGATGTGAACGGCACTCTTCATTTTCCTCGCCAGTGCTCTTAGTCGCCACTAATGGATAGACATGTCTTTTCTACCATGTCTCAATAGTATACAGCGGCCTCTGAGGGACAATTCATCGCCGGGCACTATCATGCGGACGCTATGAAGAAACCGAAGAAAACGCCTTGGCTGGCGATCGCGCGTTTATATTGTTCAGGAAATAGTTTTCGCTTATGGAAGCAAATATAGGCTAAATGCGAAGGCTGTCTGCTGCTCATGAGATTGCAACCAAAGTGAGGCGTGGCAGACCTCCGGACGAACCGCAAGAAATGCCGAATGGAACAATGAGACAAGTCACTTGGAGTCTACTATCATTGTTATAGTAGGGCTTGAATGAGAGAGCCAAGTCAATCGCTTTTGCGCTTCCCTCTGGTCGACCTAGAGTGAGTTCTTTGGTTTAGAACTTCAATGTGCATGTCGTGACTAAAGATATGGAAGTTGGTTCTGATCATACTTGACTGCTAACTTCACCCACGATTGCACGCAGTGAGCATCCTTACATTTTTTATCACTCAAAGTAAAAAAGGCCTCTAGGACTCTGCAACGCCATGTGAGGTTTGATGTTGGTCTTTCCTGTTGACTTATTCTGAAAAATTGGCTTTATCGCAGGGTAGGAAGGGAACCAGATCTCGGCCGGGTCATTCTCTGACAGCTTGCAACCAACCGCTCCCACAACGTTACCTCTCCACCACCTCCAAATATCGTTTTCTGAGCGGCACTTACTTGCCTTCAGAAGTCGTCATACGATAGATAGCCATGTAGAGTTTGATTCCATCAAGTTGACCATCCATATCTGCCAATGTCAAAAAAAAAAAGCTCGCGGATGAGCCAAATGGCGCAGTCAGTCGCCAGTCGCTCAGCTTGAGCAACAAAGGAGATAATATATGGAATAACGGACTGATCACCATGTAGAGAAATGCAGAGCGTCGGGTTGTCTCAAGAATATCATCTCGGCTGCTCGCCAAACCAGAGCATAGCATTTCTAATACAACACCATAAGCCTATCAACACCGCGGCAATCCTAAGGTGTGTGGATGGCGTCATATCACGACATATGAACCCAGTTTCTCGCAAAGGCAAGCCGAGAGTATTGGAGGTTGCCCAAACGGGAACGCGTTCAATACTTCTGCAGCCAACTGATCTTCTGATCTTATTTTCTCTCGCTATTTCCTGGCAAGTTTAATATGTTGCTGCGAAAATAAATCCTGGGTACGTGGAATTAAATCCGAACGTCGACTGCATATCGAGGGTCCCCCGCAACCCTGTCGATGGTCAACCATCCCGGAAGGACAGTATGTATATAATGTGTGACTTGAAATCGGCCGTCCTGTAAAGACAATACTACTACTAAGGACAAGTTTCACAAGCGAGATACCGTAACCGTCCCCAATGCTGTGATGCCGCCCCCACGTTTGCTTCTCCCGCACGGCGGATTCGGGTTCATGATCATCCCCAATCTATGGCGCAATGCGCCTTCGGATTCAGCAAACTGCGGGGAGACGCAGACGACCGCAGCTTGAAAGGCGTTGACCAGAGATAAGGTGCCATCGGCCTTGTCGCCTCAGCACGCAATCATAGTCTATAATTGAGGACATCAAGGATGCTCGCTTGACATATAAACGCGATGATCCGGTATTCGAAATAACTCTTTTGTGGTGTACATCACCAAAAGGGAATTCATCTCGTCTTTTGCAGCTGCTAGGAGAGGGCAGCTTGAGAAGCCCTGCCTCGCATTGTTCTCACGTTGCTTGACTGCCTTCAACAATGGCTGCAGACAGCAAAGCGACCAACATCTCCATCACTACGGAGGAGTTGGCGGGCAGCATCCATGACTCTGCGTCCAGCGACAGACAGCACCTGAGGGAGCACACGGGATCCGAAGAAGGCGGATACAACGAGGAGAAGAACCCATTCCGGGACTCGGCCGTTGCCCAGCATTGGACTGAAGTCTACGAGAAGTCACAATACGAGTGTCGGCATGTGTTTGATCCAACATTAACATGGACCGAGGAAGAGGAGAAGCGTCTTGTTAGAAAACTGGATTGGCGGGTGTGTCTGTGGGCTGTAAGTCATACCCTTACCCATGACTCTCGTCACGTATACTGATAGGCATCTCCATGATCCGTAGTGCGTCATGTTCTTTGGCCTTCAAGTCGATCGAGGGAACCTTGCACAGGCAGTGTCGGATAACATGCTGGATGATTTGGGCCTCACAACAAATGGTAAGTACCTGATACAGGTCTGACATGGAGTAATTACTGACATGGTGAAAGACTATAACTACGGAAACAGCGTTTTCAGAATATCCTTTCTGGTTGCCGAACTTCCCTCGCAGCTCGTCTCGAAGATGGTCGGCCCCGACCGATGGATTCCCGTACAGATGGTCCTATGGTCGGTTGTTGCCGTCTCACAGTGTGCATTGACTGGCCGCACAAGCTTTCTCTGTACACGCAGTCTTCTAGGTCTCCTGGAGGTTGGTCAAACTCTCTTTCTCAGAATGGCCTCTGTACTTGAGCTGACATATCTCTAGGGAGGGTTCATTCCTGATATTGTTCTCTGGCTGTCTTACTTTTACACCTCTCGGGAGCTGCCAGTCCGACTGGCCTACTTTTGGACTTCCCTCTCGGTTACTGGCATTGTCACCTCGCTTCTCGCCTTTGCCCTCCTTCACCTGCGTGGTGTTCACGGCTGGGCAGGATGGCGGTGGTTGTTCCTCGTTGAAGGCTTGATCACTCTCGTTGTCGGCCTCGCTTCATTCTTCCTGATGCCCGCCTCTGCTGTCCAAACGAAGACCTGGTTCCGCCCTAAGGGATGGTTCACAGACCGCGAAGTAGCCATCGTTGTCAACAGAGTCTTGAGAGACGACCCATCGAAGGGTGACATGCACAACCGACAAGCTATTACTCCAAAGCGATTGTGGGAGACGTTAAAGGACTTCGATCTCTGGCCTCTCTATATACTTGGACTGGTTATATACATACCCTCCAGTCCGCCAGCGACCTATCTTACACTCACCTTGAGGAAGATTGGCTTCGATCCTTTCACCACTAACTTGTTGACTATCCCATCCGTAAGTTCACCCGAAGCATGCATACACGTTGCCAATGATCGCTAACAAACTGCCTAGAACGTCTTCCACATCATCAATCTCATTCTCATCACTCGACTTTCAGAATGGCTGAACGAGCGAACCCTGGTGTCCATGCTACAGATGATTTGGACACTTCCTTGTGTGATTGCCCTCCGCTGGTGGCCTGGTGTCATGGTCGATCAATGGGGCACCTTTGCTCTCGTCACGGTCCTGACCTCTTATCCATATTGCCGTATGTTTAAAGCATCCATCTGTCGCTCTTATCATGCCGCCTGCTCACAGCTCTATAGATGCCATTTTGGTTGGCTGGACATCCAAAAATTCCAACAATGTCGGCACTCGCTCAGTGTCTGCTGCGGTCTATAACGTAAGTGGTCTACTATTCTGCTTATAGCGTAACTCATTTGCTTACCCTTTGTCAGATGTGCGTCCAAGTTGGCAGCGTAATCTCGGCGTACATATACGTGGACGATGACGCTCCGCTCTATCACCGGGGCAACTTTAACCTCTTCATCATCAACGTGCTTTCGATCGTCCTCTTCATTCTTACAAAGATCTACTATATGTGGAGGAACAAGCAGCGTGACAAGGTCTGGAATGCATTGACTGAGGATGAGAAGAAGGAATACACTGCGAATTCTAAGGTGCAAGGCAGCGCGCGATTGGACTTTAGGTTCGCTCATTAATATGGGTACTTAAATGCTTATTTGATAGTGCAAGTACATGTATATAGAATCAAACCGTTGAAATTGTCTTTCTGAAAACTATTTAACCAACGCAACTTCAGATTTCGCCCAAAGACAAACCGCCTTGCCATGTGGTGCCTTGCTAGGCTGTCGAACTGCCTGCGGCATATACTGAATTACTACAGTGTTCACGATTGCGAGCTGTGCCGTCAGGCTCCATGCTAGGCATAGAGCGGTATTTGTCATTCAGCACTCCATGGGCGAGATTCTGTCTCAGAAGAGTGAGAGCTCGAGCAATTCAACGCCTCACAGATAGCTCCTAGAGGCACAAGATTGTGTCAGTGAATCCCCCCATTGCTTTGCTTGGATAACGGAGGTACGATAATACCTAGCTAGTGAACACAGCTCGCGAATCTGCTCGCCGAGAGACCGTTCCGGACTGCCCTTGTAGCAATAGTCATCGTCCCTTTGGCATTTTATGGCAATTTGATGTAGCGTACCGCGCACTTCACTCATCGCGTACCGCTTGCCCGGCGAGGGGACCAGCATATGGGTTTCAATGAGTGCTAGAAAATCATGCATCGCATTCGAGCAATGTTCGTTCCGGTGCAGCATCTTTATCCACTACTGGAATTCAGCCAAGTTATCAACACGTAAGGGAACTGAGCTTACCCGTCTGACCGATTTTTTGACTTTGGGGAACCTTGGCAACCAAGCATAATAGTAGAAGAACCCACCATCTGGATCCCTGCTATTGCCGTCCTCTTTTTCCCTCATCGTCCGAAAGCTATCCAACAATTCCCCAGTCGGAGCGCGGAATTCTTTCTCACGGATGGCAGCGTAGCCGATCAGGTACCAAGTAATAAATTCCAAGTATACGCAGCCGAGAGTCCAGACATCGTAGCTCTGATCAACGCGTGCCTTTGATGCTGGAATAACTTCCGGGGGACGATACGTTGGCGAAAAGTTCACCTGATCTGCGACGGTGTGATGAACGGTATTCGTGGAGTGAAAACGCATCAAGGTAAAATCCGCAACGACCAAATGACACTGACCTGAATCGGGTTCGCCGAAATAAAGTATGTTCTCAGGCTTGATGTCTCCATGTCGGCCTAGCATTCCCGCTCCAGTTTGATCCGCGAGCCGCTCGCTATTGCCGTGAACTTCACTTAACCCATCCGAGATATCCAAACACTGTTTGATGAGCCATCTTGAATGGTAACCTGTCTTGGGGTTGCTCGAACATGTCTTCCAAAACTCCGCGAGGTTTCCTTGTGCCCATGGAAAGACCAGATAGTGTTTTCTGCCTCTGTTATACGATAGTAGTAGTCTGATAAGATTCTTGTGCCCATTGTTTGCATTGCTGAATCGTATCAGAGCATCTCTTTCTTGCTCAAAATCCTTTTCTGAAAGTCTGAATTTCTTCAGGGCGAAACGATTGGTTTCAAAGCCGAGAGTCTGTATAGCATAGGAGGTTAGTTAAAATACTTTGAAGCCATTGGGGCCTTACCGAATCTGTTCCCCGTAGTTGATGGCGGGAGTGTATCTTGATTTGGGCGATTACCCCGTGCGCTCCGCTCGTTTTCCACTCCAGTTTATCTAAAAAGGGCATGCGGATTTTCTTGTCCCATTCGACATGGTCTCCTCTCGTGAAGTCAAATACAGGAGCTAATACCATATACTGCTTTTCGCAGAAGGTATCCGTCTCGTGTGGGCTCCAGTTCCGGAATATCTCGGCCTGATAGTTAAGTAGTAACGGCAGCTTGTCATCCCGTATGCCATGCTCGATGAATCGGGTGATATACTCGGCCCTCTCTATCATGATGAGTATTGCGAGTATCTTGAGACTCGATTCGCACCCCGTTTCCGTCCCCATTATCTTCGAGCTTATTATTCGTGACGTCTCACTGTCGCAATTCAGTACTTCCCCTAACAAATTTGATATAGGCTCGGTGGATAAGATGGAGACCAGGTCGTCGATCGGCAGGAACTGCTCGTGTATATCCCCATTTTTCGGTAGCAGCTTTGAACGAATCTGATTGCTCAGGATCACCTTCCATGGCCCATTTTTATCGTCCTGCGTTTCGGACAGCGCAGTTGCCAGTATTCGTGACTCTTTAGGGAGCGCCTGGTCCTATTTGTTGTACAAGAAACCAATCAGTGTGGGATTGCCGAAATCGCACGTGGAGTGGTGTTACCTCGAGGGTGGACTTTGACGAGTTTTTGGACTTTGTGGACATTGTGTTACAATCAGCGCTAAGCTACTTTGCAGCACAGACAAGCAGCATATCAGCTTCAAAGTCGAGAATAACTTCCACCAGTCCTACAATATGGCAAACTCTTGCAATGGAAAGCAGATGAGTCCTCCTATTTGAACCGTAGAGAATTCCTATTTGAACCGTAGTGGTCTGTGCCTGTACTGAAAGTCATATGCCTACACCTGCAATCCCAGGCCTGCACACCCATTCACAGTGTGAACTTATGGCACACCCCATAGCTTACACGACAACACCACGACTTCGTCAATTTTAGTCGTTTTTCTCCCTCGCTATTGATTATCACAACTTTCACCATCAACATCGTGATAGATCACTCTCAGCTAGGAGACGGCCGTCTTGACACTGTCTATTGTGATGTCTTGCGCCCTCTACTTGGTGATATCTGGTTAAGGGTACTGACCGCCAGTGTGCTACACTGTATTTTGCTGTGGGTGTATGGATAATTGGACTTTGGGGGTTGGCCTAGCTGGTGGCATAGACCACTACGGTTCAAATAGAGATTTGCTACGGTTCAAATAGGAGGACTCAAGCAGATATTCCACAGACAGCTAAGAGGTTCACGGGTAGATATATTTGTTATCTCGGTGACTACGCGGAGAAGGCATCCGGACGCCTACTTCTCTCATTCTTACAATGGTGTAGGAAGACAGTATCAACCACCCGCTCATCACCTTCAGGCGAGACGAAGCTATACTTGACTGAGCTCATATTCAGCCGCCAACCTCCCAGAGACTTCTTTCGACTGGGAGAAAACAAAACAAGGCTATGCACGGATTTTCGGGCGTGGGCATCCATCGCCAAGATCTTAATCCCCTCGTTGTGAACATTGTTGCCTTCGCAGCCTTGAATGAAGAGGCTGCAAAAGATGCAGATTCTCGGTGATGAGGAGTCGACCCGAGTTGAGCTAGTGGGCAAAGAGAGCCTCGTCTTTCAGCTGAACATGGATCTCTTCGGCGGTGTCGATTTCTTCCTTATCACGCGCGCCTCGGTGCCTTGCCCGTGACCGGATGCGATTCGTCAAGGCCGTCAGGCAGACACTGGACGGTGTGGTCGCCACAAATGCGCGCATCATCTAAGAAATAGGAATGGTTGTATTTGATTGCCTGGCATCCGTCCCGTAATTGGGCCTCAGATGGCTGGCAACGCTACAGCTTATTCGTCAAGAAATTCTGATGTCTGACTATTAGATGCAAAGCTACGTGGCATTGCATGTGATGTCTGTGGTGATGGAAGGAAGCCTCATCCCCGATACGTAACATTCCGGGGATGAGGCTCCCTTCCTCACAGATGTTTCATTTCCATCCTGGCTCTACACCAGTTGGCTTACCATATAAATTTCATCATTAACTCAATTTCCGAGCTGAATAGGTGATATACTACCTCAATTGCAGCCGAATTTAACATTCTCGTTATTTCTTGGGACTAGAGCAGTATGGACACCAACGCGGTTCTCCGCTTCGAAGACATCTTTCATCATTGCGTCAACAACCCAGATGGAGGGGAATCCAACCCCCCAGGGTGCAGCTTTTTCCTCCCGCAGAACAAGGCCGAATCCCTGGTTGTGAAGGGGAGAGTCACCGCGACGTTGATGGAGAGACTCAACATGCCTTCAGACAATGCCGAGAAGCTGGCAGATTATGTTGTTGGATCTGCAAAGAAAGTGTTTCTCACGCTTGTATACATGAACGCCCTCAACTTAATCGGAGAACTCCAGATCGCCGGCTTCAAGGACGAACATCTTCCAGTGCGCTATATCAAAAACTCCACAGGCGCCCCCATGGGATATAAAGTGTGCAGCCAGTACCCTCCGAGTACTTCGAGTCTTCCGTTGAAGGGCTTTACGAACTGGGGACTTCGCAAAATTGAAGACTTCTGCCACAAACAATGGATTTTCCTGTGTCCCGTCTTTGAAGAAGACAAATTCGTCTATCAATTCTGTAAGGAGCAGCGGCTTCCTTTTATGCCCGCGGAGAACCCTGGCGAGGGCGCAGGGCGTTTTGGTATCGTTCAGAGGCTTAAACTCCATCCTGCACATTATCAAAGGAGATCAAACGTATGTGCCTTCAGTGCCTGCGCGTCTCGAGATATTGAGCTAACGCAGTCTAGTCAGAGAATGACGATCCTATCGAGGTTGCTGTGAAGTGCCTGCGTCAGGTCGACCAGCCAGCGGAAATCCAGAAATTCTACGAGAAGGAGATGGAAACTTTGCAAAATATGATCACCCTGAACAACAGACATCTGATCAAGGCCATCGCGACATATAAGAAGGGAGTACAAATGTACTTTATTTTCCCATGGGCTGACGGAGGCAGTCTTGAGGACCTGTTTCAAAGGGACAAGAGGGAGCTTGATGAGGCGCTGGTGAATTGGGTTTGGACCCAGGTTGTTGGGCTGTCGCATGGTATCAGCCAACTCAACGGCAAGAAGTTTCGCCATGGAGACATCAAACCGTCCAACATTCTCTGTTTCGGCACCGGTTCTGGGACATCTAATGAATCGAGACTTGTGGTTGCTGACGTTGGTCTTGCAAAGTTTCACGCAGAATACACTCGGAACCGAGATAAAAGTACAACGACCAAGCACGGCAGTATGACATACGAGCCCCCGGATGTGTTTCCCAAGAGAGGGAAGGCGATCCTCTCCACGCAGTGTTACGATACATGGTCCCTGGGCTGCGTCTTTCTTGAGCTTGCCATATGGCTTCTATATGGCTATGACGAACTCAAATCCTTCTACGAGAAACTCCGGACAGACCCTAACAACTGCAGGTTCTGGAAGGACGACTACTTACTAGGCCAACGGAAACACCCTGCAGTTAAGAAATGGATCAAACAGTTGAAAGGCGATCTTCGAGAGGCTTCGGCGTTCCGTGCCTTGGTCTTGACAATCGAGAAAAAGCTGCTGGTATCGAGAAAGAAGCGAATGACCTACACGCAATTGCATGATAAGCTTCTACAGATCCAAGAAAAGGTTTCAGGCAATTCAAAATTTCTCTATAGCTCTGACATTGTGAAGCTGGCCTCAATAAGGAGAGCATCAGCGACCGGCGAACCAGCCGACCAAGGAATGATCAAGAATTTCTCGGTCCAAGTAAGCTAACCTTTCTGCCTGGTCACCTGAGTGAAACTCTGTGTACTATGAACTGACCCGAATAACCTAGTATGTGAGCAAGAAGGGAGCTGAACACCGATCATTTTTCCAACGATTGCTAACAAAGTCTCGCTCGGGACTTGGAGAATGTTTGTAACGTCCCAAACTTCATAAGTCTCGAGCTTCTAACACTGTGTAGCCTGTGAGTTCTACCATGAGAATTGAAGCTTTGCAATATCAGTTACCGAGAATGCTGGTCGACTAACAGATATCAGCGCCCCAGTAAACTTCATGATAGATGGCGAATTGCTTCAGAGAACGATTGGGAAAGAAGTCTCATATGCAGACTGGGCTGGCCATCGCTGAGGCCCTCAAAACGTACCTCTCAAACCTGTCAATCTTATCGCATATATGACTTTGAGGCATCACGTTCAAACTTGCTGTCTATCACAAACCACGTGAGATGTGGCTCTAACGATTGTTCTTTGTATCATTTCATACGCGTCTGTCTTGCAAAAGTCAAGTCCAGCCCGGAGAAGCCCGTGATATACGTCCTCGACGAAACCTCTCACGTCATACGCAACGCCTCGGATGATCGCGCCATCATCTCCATCTACTCAGATCCAGGTTGGCAACCCCAATCCTCGGTGTTCCATAACTGAGCTAATATGGATCTGATATGGATCTTCTTAGCTTCTGGATTTGTTCCATCATACGCACGAGTTGGGTTGCCAATTCTTCCTGATGCTGGTAGCGACCAGCAATTTAAGCTCCTGAATGAATGGGTAAAGCGATGTGACACATCCCATAATTGCCTGTCTCATCAGAATGGCATAACTGAAAGTTCTAAGATGCCTACAAGGGTGATCGAGGTTGGGAAACGTCGTCTGCGCCTTGTCGAAACGAGCAATGGCGCCAGCGGAAAGTACATCGCTCTGAGCCATTGTTGGGGAAGCCTCACAAAGGAGGAGAAGTTATGCACGTACCAGAGCAACATTGAAGCCCTAAAGAAAGATATCCCATACAAGTTGCTTCCTAAATCTTTTCAAGACGCGGTCAGAGTCACACGTGCTCTAGGCGTCCCATATCTTTGGATAGACTCCCTTTGCATCATTCAAGAAAATGAGGAAGACTGGAAGTCAGAAGCTTCCAAAATGGAACAAGTCTTTAGCTCTGCGTACTGCACTATTGCCGCGAGCTCCGCCACTTCTTCTCTTGATGGCTTTCTCGGAGAACGAATGCCGAGGGCTTGCGTTACCATTCAGACTTCTCAAGGTCCGCTATACCTTGCGGAAGCGATTGATGATTTCCACGGAGATGTCGAGCAAAGCGTTCTCAGTACACGGGGATGGGTTTTACAAGAGCGAGCACTTTCTCGCCGCACCATTTACTTTACGTCAACCCAAGTCTACTGGGAATGTGGTGAGGGTATCGTCTGTGAGACTCTTGCCACGCTTTCAAAGTAAGGATACGGAAACAGACCCATTCCATCATATATAGTTCCTGCCCTGATTGGTTGCTAATCTTCTGTGGCAGCCCGCATTCACAATTCATCGGCGACTCTCATTTTCCCGCGTCTGGTCTTAAGTACTATAAAGATGAACGCATACGACTTATTCAACACTTATATGAAGTCTATAGCAAGCTTCAGCTTACGAAAGCCAGTGACCGTCCTAAAGCCATACTAGGACTGCAAAACCGACTTGCTTCCACTTTTGGTCAACGGGCTGACTACGGTGTACATTGGAACTACTCAAGCAGAACACTGCTCTGGCAAGCTGAATTTTCCGGCAGCTTGTCTCGCATAACGTATCGGAAAGGAGATTCCGTCCCTTCCTGGTCTTGGATGGCATATACCGGCGCGATTACGTTTATGAAAATTCCTTTTAAGGAAGTCGATTGGATGGAAAACCCTCAGAATCCTTTCAGTAACGGAGATCACAACGGCGTGTGGGATGGCCTGCTATGCGCGCGAGCAAATCGACTGCTCATCGACAAGAATGAGCTTATGGAAAGGGCAGTCCTCGACTCAAACGATATCATCTCTAGCCTGAAGAGTTGGAAGTGCATTGTGGTTGGAAAAAGCAAGATGAAGATGGAAAATGATGATTTCATCTATTACGTCTTGTTGACACTCCCGTTATCAGGCACAACTCGAACTCACGGAAGAGTTGGCGTGGCTTCGCTTTTGACTGCTCACATCTCTGCGGAGACTGAAGATGTCTTCCTTGCATAGCATCCGAATATTTGGTATTGCATTAGGTTGGGTGGACTTGCTATTTTATATGTGCAGATTCGAGCTTTGTTTACGAATAATTCTGGTTAACCTTGCTTAACAACTTATTGGTCTCATCAGAATTAAAATGACTGCTAACTATCTGCAAGACTGATTAGCAAGCTTGATTGTCTATTCTCAGATAATGTTATTAAGCTCGTAGTCATCCCGAATGCTCGATGTCGATAATATGTTCACCGCATATGGAATCTTGACGGTATGGGCAACTTTTCCCGAACCTAACCAAATGCTGTAGCGGGTCTATTACTCAAGTCGGAGATCTCACAAGGCTCCGTCAGGCTTTGTAAATAAAAAACAGAGATGAGGCTCATTTCGTCGGATACTTTTTTCGTTACTAGAGAATATGATTGGTAATGCCGAAACGCGGTCAAGCGCATCGCGTCCTTGAGTTGTACGACCTACAGAGAAGATTCATCCGAAATTGAATGGCAGAGAACCCTTTTTGAGGAAGCAGCAGAATGTTATAAAGCTTTCCTCTTGCCAAGTGTTCAACCTCGGAATCATGAGCATTGAGTGTAACAAACCTTTTCCATCACGATGCGTCTCACTATTCTTTCTTCGCTTGTTGTGTCTGTTACCGGAGCCTCGGTGCTTTCAAACAGCCACTCTCAAGAAACCTACAAGTTGAAACCCTTTACGCTTAACCTCGACAGTCGCGTGCCTCGGATGCTCAACTTGATCAAGAATACGCAATTTCCTGATGCTCCTGAATACCCCGACTTGTCGCCAGATGCTGGAATCCCACTCAGCACTCTGAAGTCGCTGCGTACAGAATGGCTCACAAAGTTTAACTGGCAGGAAGAGCAAGCTGCCATTAACAAGTGAGCCACCTCATATAGTTTCATAATTCTGAGTATGGCTAATATTGGATCAGATATCCTCAGTTCTCTGCAGAGATTGAAGGTCTTACAGTCCACTTTGTATACCAAAAGTCAAGCGCACCAAATGCTATTCCGCTGATTCTGTTCCATGGCTGGCCGGGATCATTCTTGGAGTTTCTCCCCCTAGTCAAGAACCTTACGAGTGAGGCAAAAACACCAGCTGGGAAACCAGTCTCATTTGATGTGATCATACCCAACCTTCCGGGATATGGACCATCGTCGGCGCCTCCAGCCAATTGGACCACCGCAGACACGGCCAGAATCACCAACACTCTCATGACGGACGTCCTTGGCTACAAGACATACGCTGCTCATGGGACGGACTGGGGCTGCGTCGTTGCATATCACCTGTACAGCTCATACAACACCACTGTCCGTGCATCTCAGCTGGTGTTCTTGCCGTTTTACCCATATACGCCCGATCAGCTCTCCGATGCCGGCATTTCACTGAATGAGCTCGAGCAATTTGAAGAGGGAAGTTTCATGGAATGGTACACGAATGGCCAAGGTTACTTTGAAGAACAGACGACCAAGGAAAGTATACCCCGAGTCTGGCTCAAGAGAGAACAAATGTCTGACAATTGCTTTAGCCCAACACCATTGGCCTGGCCTTATACGACAATCCAGTTGGTCAACTCGCATGGATCGGCGAGAAGTTTCTCAACTGTGAGCCCCCTAAGAATACCTGTGATCTTCGTCTTCTAAAGTTATCAAAATTCTAGGGTCTGATCCTCGAGCCGGTACTGGTCCTTCGATCTTGACGCACAATGAGATCTTGACGGCCGTCTCACTGTACTACCTCACTGAGTCGTTCAACTCGGCGGGCTTCATCTACTATCAGAATCCGGATGGCTTTGCTACGGAATACACTAAGGCTCAGACCGATGCGCCATTGCTATTCAGCTCATTCAAGTATAACGTGGCATTCTGGCCGCCTGCGTTGGTGGAGAAGACCGGCAACCTGGTTGTCTACAATAGTGAGTGTTAGCCCTGTGAGTGACGACTCATTCAGCCCTAACTCTCTATAGATCACGATTTTGGTGGACACTTTCCCTCGCTGGATAATCCTCCAGCAATGCTTGCCGACCTTCGAGAGATTGCCGATCATTGGGAGTAGTGAGAGGTATGAAGGCATTGTTTGAGAGGATGCGCACTCTCATGCTGAGCCTTTCCGATCATCTGAAACATGCATGATGGAATGACCCAGGATATCCATCAAGAGAAGATTGCATGTCAAAAGCGCTAGCTGAGAAGACCATAGACTGCCGATTCAATGGTTTGTTCCTCTCCAAGCTTGTTGTCGTGTGTGATTCCGATGATATCTGAGCTTCGACTGGGTATTCGGCCATTACTGTACATGGCCGTAGGATCGTCAGTCAGCCCAAAGACGAATGTCCAATGACATGATGAAGCGGCAGAAAAAAGCGCCTTGTAAGAACACTCGTGCTGCATCTGTCCGTAAAAAGCTAGACTGCTGCTCGTTCTCGTTTATGCTGCCGCGATCGACAAGTACATGTACCCTTTCGTCGCCGCTCATCATCGCTTAAGGACTTCGCTTGATGTTGCATCGGACATACACAGACTAGTCTCCTGTCAGAGAAATACATAATGACTCTAACGGCGAGGTGAAGCCCAGGAGACGCAGACGCAGGCCCAGCTGCCACGCAAGAAGCACGCGAGGCTATTCCACAAGTAGTTCGGACTGGCTGCCAATGATGTCGAATCCGTCGAGTCAAGATGTGTCCAAGCCCCTAGTAGGAGGCTCTGCTGTGGATCTACATTTCTACTAATGCCAAAGCAGTGTGACGAAGCCAAGCCCATCTGCAGCAACTGCACGCGACTGGACCCCGACTGTGGCTATGGGCCTCCTCCAACGATCTTGGCCGGTGAAGGCGATGCCGCCAAAGCATCAAGTTGCATTAAGCAGTGACAGCTGCCTGGTCGACTCAGATGGTGGACCTCATCTCCTCGAAACATAGATTGGCGGAAGCTGGAGCTCGAGCTGATTTATCGCTACATCACAGTAACAGCCCCGACCCTCGCCGCGGAAAAATTCGCCCAAGACTTCATGGGCCCGCTGTTATGCCGCAAGGCACTGCAATTAGACGCCGTCCTCGACCGGCTCTGCATGTTCTCGGCACTTCACAAGGGATGCAAGCCGAATTTCAGCGAGCCGCAACACATGCAGCATCTTTCCACGTATCTCAATCCTACGCTTCAGTCGTATCACAAGCACGGGGCTCACCTCGACATTGATAACATGGATTATGCTTGCAAGACTTCTACTACGCTTCGCATCTACGGTTATGTGCGGCTACAGCGGCTGGAGCCGCAGCCGTATACGCCGCCTATAGAATGGCGGCGCATGCGCAACACCAGCGACATTGTGTTTCCTGAAGCTCTCGCCTTAGTTTGGAAAATTCCCAACTCTCTGCCCGGAAAGCTGACGCTACCTAGAGGCATCGCGACACTTGTAGAAGATGGAGGCTGGAGCACTCCAGCGAATCGCTACACCTCTTACGACGTCAGGAGCCCCACGAGCTGGAAGGAGACTGGGACGACGAAGTCCCTGCGTCTACAAGCGCACCCTTGGCTGCTATGGCTGGATCTGGAAGCACAGATTTGACAACCATCCACCGCCTGGCATGTCTCGAAGATTCTATCTCGTCTCATTGATAGTAGATGTCCAGTCTGAGGATTACGTAGAGACGAGGGGGCCGCGATCGCTGGTGATTCTTGCTCATTATTTCACGCTTCTGACTCTTCAACGCGATTCTTGGTATGTCGGAGATGCTGGGTTCCGCGAGGCGGGTGCTATTGCGGCCCAAGGTGCCGCTTAATTAGCAGGCAATGTTGACTCGCCCTTTGTAAATATTGAAAGATGCTTCCCTATTGTGCAATATTGAGAATAGTAGATAGAAACTGATCAGTAGAAGATGCAGAACAAGAGACCAAGGTTACAGCAGCCTACAATCCAGATCACACAACAATGCTGCTATGTAAAGCAAACAGCTTCGCGTAGCCGAGCTGTGGATCCTGGATCTGTCTGATGCAGGGATAGTAAGACTTTAGTTAAGGTACGGAGTAGTAGTTCCCTTCGTCTTTGGGATCTACCGTCGCTCTCGTTTACTCCACAGTTGACTGCGGCGACTTCAATCCTTCGGCTGACTAGCGGGTCCTGAGATCCCTTGATAGTATCAGAGACGTGTGAGGTCGACAATGATCACGATATTATACCTATATAGAGTCGGCATGATGTCCATATGCTCCCAACTACCATTGCGCTGACTCAAGCTGCATCAACAACCTTCAACGCCATCAAACTCTCAACAATGACCACCGACGGTCTGTCTGCCGCCAAACTGGCCATCTATCTCGTCCTCCTCCAACCTGCCCTTTTCTGCCTGTGGAAGCACGGAAAGACGGGATTCTTAGGTTGGCTTTTCGTCCAAGCCTTCTGTGTCCTTCGCATCGTCACCGGCGGCATTGGCCTTCACGGGAGCCAAAAAGGCGAGGCTGCTCTAATCCTGGGCAGCATCGGTCTTTCTCCTTTACTTCTCGCCATTTCAGGCATCTTATATGAGGCGTGCGATTACACCTTGGACTTACTTTGAAGGTTTCTCTGACAAGAGGCGTAGTCGCCGCGCTGTGAATCCCCGGCTCGATCGAAAACGCGACGTGATTCTCGAAATCATGTACCACAGCATCGTGAACCTAGGCATGATACTGATCATCATCGCTCTTGTCAAATTGAAGGACGGCGATTCGGCGTCCAAGAGTAAGACTATGCTTTATGTCGGCTTGGCACTCTCGTGTATCGCGTGGGGACTTGTCACGCTCTGGGCAGTGTGGTCGAATCTCATGGTCCGCGAGTATTCGTCATATGCCAGCATGCAAACCGTCGACAATGGCAAGATTGTACGTCTTTCTCGAGTTTCCAGCAGGGTATTGGCTAACAAAATTTCCCAGTTGATCAAGGGTATTTTCGTTGCTCTTCCCTTTCTCGCCATTCGCCTTGTTTACGGTGTCGTATTTCTGCATCTGCAAGTGACGCACCCGAATTCCGGATTTCTCACCTCCCAAGCCGTTCAGATCTGCCTTAGCTTTCTACCGGAAGTGATTTGCATCACCATCCTTCTCCTCATTGGTGTCGTCACCCGCTCCTTGCGACCGGACTTGAAGAAGAGGGAGCAGGAGGCAATCGGACTGGTCTCTGGCCAGGAAAACGTGCTGCACCAACGAACTGATTATAAGTGAGTGCGCTGTTCGGAGATAAAGATAGTTCAGGCAGCATATATTCTACTCTCCGTCAAGTAGCAGAAATCCCAGAGAGAATTGCTGTGATGGGAAGGGGGTTCTTTGCATGATTGGGTTTACTGGAGCCCGCTATGGTTTTTGTTCTTTGTACTGGTTAGATCTTCAAGAGATTGTTGGATAGATTCGTAGCACACCTTCAATGCTTCTTCAATAATGGCACGTCGTATGAAGATTATAGCCGCTCAATTGACGTATGACGAACACTCTCTGGTTAGATCAGCGGTAAAGTTCATTCCGGCAAGCGCCGTACGTTCACAATGACAATGAGATGAACTCGGCATTTCTGCGGCAGCGCGGATCGTCATTTTGTACCAAAATAGACCAGGTCGATTCCGCTGGTCAAAAAGGGTGCGAAGGATCTCGCTCAAGCCGAAGTGCAGGGCATTGCCGTCTTCAAGGTTTCATATACACTGTGGGCTAAGACGCAATTAGCAGCGACAAAGCATTATAGAGGCTTCAGCAAGAAGATGGCAAGCCAGGAGAACGCCGACATCGTGGTTGCCGCACTTCCCCGCATACTCTTTTCTCGCTTGGCCAGAAGAACCAACGGAGCCTCAATGTCTGACCCTCAACAAAACTCGCGGGCACTAGTCGTCCATGATTCATCATGTACAAGGCACAATAGGGAAATGTGTTTGGGAACCGAAAGAGGTATGCCGCGCAGGTGGATGGCGTGTCTTTGTTCGACCTTGGTGGCAACCAGAGGCGCTCGTTGGATCGATATAAGAAGACGGAGCAGAGCAGCTTGTTGGTGTGACACCCATCGAGAGGAGGCCTAAGATGAACTCTGCCGCAGATGCTTGTGATCAGTTAATTTTCGTAAGTGGGGTGGAAGGCAGGGGCACAAATCTACTTAGCCGGGAAGCCTAAGCGCCGTTGAATGTGACAGCAGCTATCTTACAGCGTACTCAAGGCCAACAAGTTTGCTTGCTGTAGTAGCAGATAATTGTCGTGGCCAACGATGCCAGAATGCAGGGCTGGGGGGCGAGACCAAAGGTTCGCTGGATGAGCGTTACAGCAACCCGAGCTGGCGTTCCGGTTCCAGGAGCTAGCGTGTGCCGAAAAGCGACATAGTTACTCCAAGACGGCGTATACATGACTATAAACGGTCTAGGGTATGAAATTTGTAAAGTCCGACGAGCAGGAGCATGTGGTTTTTCGAAGAAGAATGTTCGGTTCGGTGGAGGCGCAAATGCGTCAACTTGAAGTTGCGGGCGGGAGTCCCGCAGTACCTTAGCATGGAAGCCCTGATGCGCACTGAGCGCGCAGCGACGGGCTACAGGGGCTTGAGCCACTAACAGCCCTATCAGATCGGCTAAATGCACCCCGGATTGCTGTGACTGTCTCCACGTCCGTCACCTCACCTTGGGTGAGGTATGGTAGGTAGGCAACTTCCACCATGTTCTCTCCATGATGCTTGTTGGGATTGACCCTAATGTTCCCCCCTTCTCTCTATCTCCTTCATGATTTCGTGGACCTTCATTGATTTTAGAGCATTGTTGTATGAGAAGAGGGGATATACCTTGCTTTCCTCAGACGTACCTACCAATTCCTCCATACTTTATCGCTATCGATATCGCACCGATAAGGTCCGTTGCCGGGAAATGGCATCACAGATAGGTACCTCCGTGCTGGTCTCCTGCCTACCACTTCAACAAACATCTGCCTTGATCTTCGAGCTTCTGATGCACTAGCAGACACCACGAGCGCGCATTCCAATTACTGCAATAGTTATCGACTCTGCATCGTCCTCGTCACATAAGCTTGATCAGCCATGCGTCTCTTAGGCTCTCATCCAAACGTGAGACATGTCCGCATTGCCATTTCAAGGACCAAAACCAACCGCAAAGGCTTCAGCTCCTTGGCCAGTCGCCGCTTACCTCCTGGAGCTGAACGGTAAGTGTCAATGTCCGTCACTACCTGGTCTTCTAGAAAATACACTCCCGTTCTCAACTAACATTACTCTGCCTCCATCGCGATCATCGACATCTCAAGCGCCACAATCGAAGCGGCACAAAGGATCCCATCACCGCACTTCAACGGGAATGAACAACGAAGTGCGAGATTCGTTCTCTTTTTGCATCACACATTTCAGCCGCACTTGTTACATTCGCTACCGCAGCCTCTATATGCGTCTCCAGTTCGACCTCCACAACCCGCGCTGCCGCGCCTTCTCAGATATGGAAGCCATCCTCATGGCCACAGAGACTTAGGATCCGTTGACACACCTCACTTTACTCTGGTCGGCCTGCGATAGCAACTGACTGGACGCAGGTTTGTGCTTGCTAGTGCTGGCCACCATGGTGCACAGCAATGTCTCTCAAGGAGACGCTGAGGGAGGTAGCACCAAGCTCGGGTGGTGGCAGAGTAATAGATCCAGTGAAGGAAAGCACCAGCCTACCGACACAGGTTCCTGCATTCTACTCACTGGTTTTAGGTGTTTTTCGAATCCAAGTTTGCTTTCATTATAGATTCATCATGTGCGTAAATCGACCTTTTGAGCCGCATGATATAAAGAACCTAGCTCACGACGGAGCCCTGAACTTCAGGAGTTTCGAAGGCAAGACACGACTCAAGCATGCTGTCTGGCTACCCGAGATACTTGAGTTTCTCGCTGCTGAACACATCAGTGTGCCACCGCTTTCTCAAGGTGCGTTCAAGGCAAGGTATTGTGTGAAGGCGCTATCGCCCAAGACAGATAAAGCGCCCCAAACCATCCGCTTTTCTTACAGCAGTGCTAAATTATCAAATACGCTCATAGCAGAAGTATTATAGCACGTCATATTTATAATATAAGAATCTGAAAATGTGTCATAAGGTGAGGATGCTTGGGCACTGGCTCAAAACATTTCCATTATGATTATACACTACCTAGTTGAGAGGCTATTCCTTTATATCAATGGAGTAAAACAGACTATTATTCGTAATGTAAACCGTCCGTAGTCGTAGCCCGCTCATGTGAAGTATCCGCTGGTTTCACCTAGCAAAGGGGGCCACCAGCCTTGAAGTCGGTGACCTTGTACTTTGGATAAGCATATCCAGTGAGCTCGTACAGGTCGGTAATGTTAGCAGGAGTTCCATGAATAGGAACGACCCTGTATCAGACAATTAGCACAAGCAGTACGAGAAGGAAGCAATGTTTCCACAATTATTTGATCGTGAGAGGAGAAAGTGGGAGACTCACAAATACTGGTAAGGCATGTGATCTTCAGCGGCGAGGTTGAGGTACTCAATAGCCAGGTTGTTGTCAAGCTCGTAGCCCTCAAAGTTAGGGGACCAAGCATCCGCAATAGTAACGACGACAGGGGAGCTGTCGGTAGGGCAGGCAGTTGTCCACACAAAGTACATCCAGTCACTGGCGTGGTCGAAGTCGGGGTGCCAGATAGCTCGAACCTGCATGTGCTTATCCTTGTGAATGAAGGGTTTGTTCTCTCTGTGCTGAAGGTTAGATGTCTTTGTTGGGATAGGAGACTTGGGAAGGACTGACTGCGAAGGAGCAAACTTGACGTTGGGAATCTTTGTCCAGTAGTCTTCGAAGTCCTTGGGGACAACGAGAGCTGCACCAGCTGCCACAAAATCAGGTGCGCCGTAGCTGTGGTCATCTATGAACAGTTAGTATGAGACGCTTGCATTCCTAATAAGGGAATAATTCTTACGGTGGTGGTGAGTAAGCTACCCAGTAGTTAGCAAAAGGTTCGAAGCGCCTGTCTCAGTCCCAGACTTACCAAGAGATGTGTGGGCTTTCGATGAAAGGTCTGCTCGATCCACTGAATGACAAGCTTGCTCTGATGGGGAGCGGCGTCGGTAACAATGATGGCATCGTCGAAGACTCCAACCGTGCAAGCGTAGACACTGCCTGCGAATGCGAGGTTGTACAGATTGGGAAGTTCAGGAACAGGCTTGGTAACATTCAAGCCGTCAAGCGATCCTGAGTAGGGGCCGTACCAGATCAAATTCTCGCTGCGCACAGGCTGTAAGCTTTTGTTCCCAATGTGCGCCATAGTCTGCCAGCGAGTGTGTCATTCGCTTACCTGTTCTCGAAAACCTCAGCCGCGTCATATTCTGTCGATACTTCAGCGGCAGCAGGCTTCAGCTGGGATCCCGTCTGGGCAATTAGATCCTGGCTGAGTCCGTCAAAGAAGCCAGCAGCAAAGCTAGGATTAATAGTGATGGCGTCACGGATTGTATGCACGAGAAGGTTTCTCTCGTTGTACATCGTGTGGATGTACTGGGGAAACTGAATGCCATCAATGGCGGTGTAATTGTTGAGAACGAAGTCGTTGGTGGAGAGACCAAACAAGCGGTGGTTCTCGTAGGCGCGCACGACGTACGGCAGGTATGTCTCAGGGTCGAAGAGAATGGTGAGGTTGAGGCTGGGGTCGTGTACTGAAGGATAGGGGCCGGCAGAGTTATAGTAGATCTGCTCAGCTGTCAAAGACTTCTGGTGCTTTTGGAAATCGAGAAGCAGCTTTGGCGAAAGGCGATTCGCGTCCCGGACAAGGACGTTGACAAGATAGGCTAGAAAGGTTCATAAGCCTCCTAGGAAAGAGAATCTCGAAAGAAGGCCAGACTTACGGTCAGTATAGCCATATGTACTGTCAGGAGGGTCCAAGGCGTGATCGTTGCCCTGGACGTAGCAAGCATATCCGCTTTGGCCACCTTTCACAACCAGAGACACATTGAAAGGCTCCAGGTTGGGCCTGGCCCAGTAGAAGAAGTCGCTTATGGTGTACTCCTTGTCGATCCTTTGCACGACATCCGAGGAGTTTCCCGAGAAGTCATACGAAACAGTTTGAGAACCCTCAATGATGACGTTCGTATCCGGGTGACCGGGGACCTGACTCTCCTCAAGAGTGTTGGTTCTGAGCAAGCTATTGTTCAAAGAGTAAGCGCAATTGATCGAATTAACGAGACGCAAAGGGGGTAGTTGCGTACTTTGAGTGGTATGAGATTCCCTGAATCTTGTTCAGCGCATCAGAACCACCGAGAGCGGTGATTCCACGACTCAGAATGGTGGAAGCAGATTGTTTGGCACCGGTGTCTTTCACGGCCGCAGCAAACGCAGATGGGAGTGTCCCGATAAAGATTAAGAGTAGCTTGATATTCCGTCCCATGGTGTTGTTTTCCGAGTGGATGCTGAGTTGATATGATTGTTGTCAAGATGATTCTCTTGATGATTCTACAACGTCAAACGGGGGGCTGTCTTCATCTCTTATATAGCATTTCTCCTGTCTCAACGGCCTACTGAACCTATTGAATTGAAGCCGTTCCAAGTTCTCCTTTTGCCAAACCCAATCGAGCCCTCCGTAAGATTGAGGTGACAAATACAGCCTGGTGATCCAAACAGAAACTTGGTAACAGACTTCTTAGACCGGTGCATTGCGGTCTCATGCGGCGATAGTTGTCATCAACACACTTACTTACCCGTTATGGCATTCATGCCTGTCGCCGGGATGGAATCTCTGGCGGGCTTCTTCACCAAGGAGTCGTCGTCAAGGCCCTGATCGACGAGCATTAACCATGACTAACACAGTTTTTCTCCAGATTCCACAATGGTGAATGTCATGCTTTCGGACTTAGCAGATACCTCCAGAGCTCACCCATGATCTGCTTTGTACATAATACATTTCTTTACGGAGCACAACTCAAAGACTGTGTAAGCATCGTCTCCACCCTTGGTCAGACCTGCTCCCATATTGGTCAGCATGCCATCCTCTGATATAATCAAGCTAGCTCGACAGCATTGCGGCTATCCCATTATCGCAATAGTAGCAGGTTTCTTATGTCGAAACAGCTGCTTGACAGGTCTCGTCGCCAACCTGTCGCTGGTTATTCAAAGGATGATATCCTACAAACCGTCAAAATTGCACAAATCGCCGCAGGAATCGGGGAAATTTATCATATCATAGATTTAAGCCATTGAATACACACGTGTTTAACGCCATGGATGAATGATTTCGCAGGTAAAAAGTTGGCGCAGACTGAAGCTTCTTACCATTGAAGCTGTGTGACCCACGATGCAATCCATTCTCTCATACCATCAGCTCGCCAGTAACCATGACACATCAATTTCAGGATCTTAGGCGATAATTGTACATACTGCTAAGCGTTATCAGATCCGATCTAAAAATAGATGCGGCCACTTGCGGCGTCTCTGCCCCTTTTTTGTAGCGTAACGCCACCCCAACTCTATATACAACTTACTTCTCGGCTACAAAGCAGCAACTCGTTGGGATTTTTAGCGACAAACATGGCTTTTATCTGTTCATAGCTCTCAACATCAGCTAGGCGAGTGTGTTTCCGATCAATAAGCTCGACAATGACCCGCGATATCGTGGTTCCATATCGTTTAAAGGTACTAAGCGAGCCAGCTTTGTACTATGGGCATCGGATCCCTCATTGCTGGACTCAAATATTGTGACAAGTCGCCTAGCATCTTCCATAGAGATCATAGGGCGAGAACATCGCAACATAACAGTAAAATCTGAAAAATGGCTGTGCCCTACCTTGCATCAACGGGCTAAAAGCCCCGACGAAGTAGTTGTAGAGTAAAGTTCATAACGAACGCCACAAGATAAAAGTTCAGCTTCTTTACTACATGAGGCAAGATTCAACACTTAAGCGTAAAATTGAAAATTGACCTTCCTCACCGATAAAACTCAGGTTGTCCGTCACGGATCTGGCTGCTTTCTCATTCCTTCAACGAAAGTAGTCTACGAATAGACCATGGTGCCCTGAAATTTCCGGAACCAAATTCTAAACATCATAAGCAGAGAAACCAAAGATGTCCGGACGAATAAGTCGTCTAATTCTCTTCCTCTTGATCCTGGCGTCAGTGGCCACTTCTCAAAGCAACATACCATTAAAATGGACTGAATGCAATCCTCCAAATCCATACCCCAACGTCCAATGCGCCAAGCACCCCGTCAAATACGACTGGGTTGCGGGACTGAGCCAGTACACGGCCATGAGCGCGATGCGCGTCAAGTCACGCGCCGAAAAGCCAAAGGGCACAATCTTCCTCCCCTCGGGTCCGAAACGCTCCGGAATAAGGCTTCTCAAGCAGTATCTTGGGGACAACTCGTCGGCCGCGATGGAACTGCTCGACGAGTATCACATCATGGGCTTGGACGTCCGCGGCATATCGGAGCATTCACCCGTTAAATGCAACGCAACTCGATGGAACAGACGCGTGCCCAGCATGGTTAAGAACATGGCACAGTTCAACAGAATGCAGCAGCACTGGAGACACATTGGAGAGGAGTGCAGGGAGATGACGGGCGAGCTGCTTTTCGACCACATGGACACATTCACGATTGGCCAGGACTTGGAAAACGTCCGGTACAACAATTGGGAGCTTCCATCCAAGAATCGCAAGTTGCACATGATCGGCCTTTCGTGGGGCGCGCAAATCGGCCTCGCCTACGTCGAGAAAATCTCTGCGTACATGGGCAACGTTGTGCTGGACGGCACCCCTGACCACACGCAGGGCCCAATCAGCACCATCATGGCCGAATCCGCAGCCTTTGAGACGACGCTGAAGCACTTTTTTGCATGGTGCAAGGCTGAATCCTCCTGTGCATTGCATCATCAGCCAGATCTCGAGCACTTCTTCACACAGCTTACCGCCACAGCGGAGGTCAAGCCCATTCGCGCGCCCAAATGCAAGCAAGCTATCGGCGAGAGTTCATGCCGACCAGACGTCAGTCTGGAGGAGATGTTGTTGAGCGTGCAGAGATACTTGGCCCCAGGGCCACCCCGATGGCCGTTGTTGGCAGAGGGCCTGTTGGAGGCATCGAGAGGCGACGCATCCGCCTTTTCTGCCCCTTGGTTCACGGGTGAGACAGACCCCACTGCTACCTGGGCGTCGCTCATCACTGGTTGTCAAGATTGGATTCCCGCCCGCGATTATTATGAGCTCCTAGGCACCCAGCGAACAATGCGGATCCTCTCTCCTCTGACACGAGGATACACGCAGAGCTTCCTTTACTACTCCAGATGCATTTCCTGGCCTCGGAGCGCGAAAAAGATTCAGAATGGACAGCGCCCATTGCTGCAAGAAGGAAATTCCATAAAATCCCTTCTACTCGTCAGCTCGGTCTTGGATCCCATAACCAGCACCCAGGGAGCTATATCGCTGCGTTCTCAGATTCCCAAAGGCGTTCTGGTGTTCACAAACAAGACGGGGCATAGGAGTTATGGTGCGCCCGGAGATCTTACCTACATAGTGAACAGCGTTCTGAGGACAGGGAATTTCCCACAAGACGGATCTGTATATCAGACATGATGTACACTGAGCGTTGTAGCTTCCGTCTTGACGTTCGGTAGGTAGTTTGGTCTCGGAACTGAAGTGAGATCACTACGATTCTACTTGTTTTATTAGCCGACTTGTCGGATTTGATTCACAAATCCGAAAGCATCTTCTCGCTTCCTGATACCTGGACTTGTGACGGCTTCGAGAACTTAGTTCGAGGGAGAGTGTGTCTTACCGTGAATACATGTAATGATCGGCTACTCCGGTACAGGCCACCTCTACTGGCATCTGTGAATGTACACTCCTTTCTTGCTCTCCTTCTAAACAATCTTGTTCTATCGCCTCGCAGATGATCGTTGTCACAACCGTCATGTGAGAGTAAACGGTGAATGCAGGGTCGTTGTTTTCGACGGAAGCCTTCGGCGACCGGCCGTCGTCGCGGTGTCAATCGACCAGCGGAGCATACTAGGTAGGTAGGCGGTCGTGTTATGGCGGCTGCCGTATCGTTCGAGTACCTCGGCGCTATTCATAAAAACAACTGAAACCTGTCAGCGCTGTCTGGTGGGCGTTTGAGGCGAAATTTTCATCAATGACTTGCATTTTCTGGGCAGAGGGTTTGGGAAGCACGGGAAACGTGAAATGCTTGTGGTGATGGAATCGTCACCGACACGAAGAGTAAAAGCGTCCGCAATGTCGGTGACTGAGGCGCCGCGGCATGTTGAAGCCAGAGTTTCCAAATACGCACAGAGGAAAGAAAATCCATCAGCGGCAGGCTGAAGCAAATTGCAAAGGTCACTGCTGAGTTCTTCCAAGCAGCTTCAGCTCTTGAGGTTGCGACAAACTGCAGGGTACGCGTACGAAGTTGCTATACAGTGTATAAAGCACGGAGTACAGCCCCGGAGGAGGAGCAAGGCTAACCCGCGGCTCCCTCAGACTGCAAAGTTGCTGCCGCAAATTATCTTCTCCGTGCGACATGACGTAGGTGCAACTTGCAGCTTGCCTCGGATGGGTCTCCACGCGTTCCATCATCACGTCTAAATTCACTTCTGCTTCAGACCTCTTGTCATTCATACTTCTACTCTGATACCTATCCTGAAGATTTACATACTGCAAACAACGAGCTGTTTCTTCAAATACTCGTACCGTCCCACAATTGCAGATGCTTCGCTGACCCTCACTCTAGGTTACAGGTCCACCGTCTTCGTGCTCACGCTACCGACAATGTCCCTGTCAGCCTGATATCCCGGCTGCTCGCTCCCACGCTGATGCCAAACGATCCCGACGGCACCACCCACTTCTGCGATGCGGTGTCCCAATAGCTGATGTCTCGTCGTCGGATATTGAACGTCGCTGTTCCACTCTGGCCTGGCGTGAGGTTCAGCTTGGCAAAGCCTCGCAGCTGCTTCGGAGGGGTCCTGGGGGCTGAAGGCGGGTAGGTGATGTATAGCTGAGCGACCTCGGCACCGGTTACTTGGCCAGAGTTTGCGATGTCAACAGTGACCGTCGCGACATTCTGGAACAAGTCACTCGGGCCTCCAGGCACCACCGCCCCCGTCGCAGGACCAGATTTGGCGGTCGACAAGACGGAAAGGCGCGAGTAGTTGAACTTGGTGTAAGCTGTCGTTGAAAATTATTATTTGTCAGTCAGGGTGTCTAACAGTTGGTTGCAGGCCAGCAAACTTACACAGTCCAAAGCCGAACTCGTACCGCGGCGTGATATTCGCGTCGTCAAAATGCTTATAGTCGATAAACAGTCCTTCGCTGAAACCGTCATCGCCGGAAACAATGCGAGTGTTGTAGTCGTTGGGGCTCTTCGCGATGGTGTACACCAGCTTGCCAGAGGGGCTGACGTCTCCCCACAGCACATCAACGAGCGCATTGCCGCTCTCCTGAGAAGGCAGACCCGCCCAGACAACGGCCTTGACCTGCGGAAGCGCGAGAATCTGCTCCAAGATGATGGCACCAACAGAGTGGACAACAACGATGACGTTGCTATTGGCACCGGCCACGGCCTGGACCAGAGCGTTGCCGTTGTGCCAAGGGTCCAGATTGTTGCGATCACCCGCGTTGCCCTCCACGGTAATGTAGCCTTCACCTGAGTCGGCGGTGATGAAGACAATGGCGACGTCTTTCCCTCTTGCTGCGGATGCGCCGGAATTTGTGTCGTCGGTGTTGCTCAAGGTAACTTGAGTGCCCTGCGAAGAAGCTCTGGTATTGATCGCATCGTAAGGTGCGACAAAGTACGGATAGTTGACGGCACCAGAACCCCAACCCATACCCAGGGCACCATTGTCGCAGCCCTTGTCGCTGCAGGAAGGCGAATTATTGGCGTGATTACCAATGACTGCGGCAGATCCGACGATTGCAATGCTCGCGGGCTTCTTCAGCGGCAGGATGCTGGCATCATTCTTTAGCAGAACAATGCCATCCCTGGCAATCGCCCTGACGTTGGTCTTGTGGTTCCCTTGGACGTTCCTGCTGATGTTGAACGACGGATAGCCTGCCTGGTCTTGGCCTGTTAGATACCACGCGGCGAGGATGCGAGTCACCATATCGTCGACTCTGCTCGTGGGGACTTGATTGCTGTTCACCGCATTGGTAAGAGCTGGGCCCCAGAGCCTGTTGTTCCCGTTGAAGTCTGTGCCAGGCATCGACATGTCAAGCCCAGCATTAGCGCTTTGAACAGTTGTGTGCTGTGCGTTCCAGTCTGTCATGACATATCCCGGAAATCCCAGCTGATCTTTCAGCACAGTCTGCAGCGTGTACTGATCCTCACAGGCCCAGGTCGTGTTGACCTTGTTGTACGAGCACATAACGGAAGCGACATTGGCCTGAACCGCATCGGCAAATGGCCAAGTATACAGCTCATGGAGAGTTCGGTCATCTGCGTTGCTCGATATGGTCTCTCGGTTGAGTTCCTGTTCGTTGAGGATGTAGTGCTTCGCTGTCGCCTGCGCCCCTACCGACTGGATGCCGTTGATCGTCTGACCCATGGCTATGCCCGTGAGGTATGGATCGACACCGAAGCCCTCCCAGTTGCGACCGGCCTGTGGCGTCTTTCCCAGAGGTCCAGCTACGGGGCCAAGGATGACATGGATTCCCGAGTCCTTTACCTCCTCGCCGATGAATTGTCCACGTTCGCGGATCAAGTCGATATCCCACGTCGAGGCTGCCTGAATGCCAGGCGTAAAAGCTGTGCTACCGGTTGAGTAACGAACGCCGAGCGGCCCGTCTTGAAGGCATAGCGACGGATAGCCAATCTTAGAGGCTGGGGATGTGTTTCCAACACAAGGGCCACCGTTCCAGCCGACGCCACTCACAATGCCGACCTTGTCCTGGAGATTGAGATTTGCCAATGCGGTTTTGGCCTTGTCGTACGCGATTCCCCAGGGAGTCCCTGCAGGTGGCACAACTGCCTCAGCGGAGGCCCCCGATGTCGAGCTGCCTTGAATCAACGTATCAGCACGATTCCTCAAGGCCACACTTACGTCCTTGACATGGGACTCAGTATACTGACTGTCTGCTCCAGCAATGGGTGCTGTGGCGAGTGCCAACGCTGCTGCTGTTCGGTAATGCATTGTCTTTTAGACTCAACACAACGGCATTGATGAAGGCTGTAGGAGGAACTCAACAGAGCAGCGCCTCGACCGCAATTTATACAATCTGCCGGGGTGGCGTTATTGATGGAAGGGTAGTTGAGAAATACGCCCCAACTCTCAGCCAAGCGCAAATCATCCTGATAACGTTACAGAGACTCTTGAGGTCGGCAGTATTGCGGACAAATCCCATCCTCGCACTACTATCCACACGGAGAAAACCCACCAGACGCCATGGTCGATCTTATTTTCCACGACCAAGCAGTAGCGCGAAGTATCCCTCTGTCGCCAAGGCATAACTGGCCACTTACCAAGGCCCCTTCGGAAGGTTGCATGTTCGTTCGACTGGGACAGGTGGCGATGGCGCCCGGCCTCATACTGCCGCCATGGTCTGTCTTACCAACTTGATAGCTCCGACTGATCGTCGTTAACGGAATCTCCTGCACCACCGTCGGCTGTTGCAAGGTTGTGGGGTAGAGACCGATGCCGAGCGTCGCTTTAGGCTTCTGTCTTGAGATTCCCCGATAGAATTACATGCTGCAATCCACCGGCAATCAGATGGCAGACATATCCCTGCAGTGGTTCCTCGTGAGCCGCTGATCACAGATGCAGAGTGCGTGGTGCAATTCTGGGGGAACCTCTAGTGGAAAGTTTCATGACCTGGATCGCGGCGCCACGACGGAAGAAGAAGGTGATCCAACGCTCTGAGTGCAACAGCAAACTAACAGCATGCCGACAAGAAGCTAGCCGAGGGCCTTGGCCTCCATTCTTCCAAAAGCCATTTGGATTGCCATTACGGCACAAAATTGCTGCCTGTGGCTTGGCCAATGGCGATGAGCCCTAGGGTTGTAGACGTCGAATAGCCGCCTATTCGAATCTGGGTAAAGGGCGGTTTGCGTATTAGCATGAAGGATCGCTATCGGCGTAAACTTACGGCGAATTCGCTTCTCCCAATCGAGTCGTCTCAAGCTGCACTGCCATCGCGGGTGGGACTCGAGCACTTAAACTTTTGCCTATGGTCATTGATGGCTTGCATCCACCCGCCATTGACGGCGGCAGGCGATAGACTGCTCCATAGCCCGTACAAGGCTGTGGCGGCGTCAATTGGTGCCACATACCTATACTTTAATTTCACCACTCGCAGGCTTCTCTCCTGGTCTGATGTCCAAGAGTTGCGACATCTCGACCAGAGTTCACAAGCGCATTGGCACAGCTGGTTCAAGGGAAGAGAAATAGGAGTCCTTTTTCAATCATCATTAACTACCTAGTACCGTTTCGTCATAAAAACATCATTAATACATCTATACGTCAGGAGTAGCGTCCTTGATCTGCTGCTCCTCCAACGGCCAGTTCTCAATCGTCACCTCTTCGCCCACCAGCTCAAACTCCAGCTTGACCGACTCATCGGTATTCAGAGCAAGCTCATACTTGCCGGGGTAAACAATCCGGTTTCCGAGAGTGTCAACACGGGCAAGAGCACTGACGGGGATGGGAATGCTGAGCTTGGAAGAGTGGCCAGGCTTGATGTCGGCAAGTCGGTCGAATCCGACAAGCCACTTGTTCGGGTATGGGGCTGGGCCCGCGTTGCTTGTGCGAACAAACAGCATGGCCGTGTACGGGGACTCGGTCTTGCCTGAGTTCTTGATGTTGGCCTCGAAGGTGAAGACAGGATTCTGCTCGCTGTAAGTGTATCCGGGGTGAGGCGCAGAGAGGATCGACGAGGTGTTGAACTTGAGGCTCTTGGGGTGGCTTGCCAGAGTCTCCTTGAAGGTGGTGTAGAAAATACCGTAGCCAAACTCGTAGACGGGCTTGCCCGTGTACCAGATGTAAGTCTGTCCAGGGTTCGACTTTCCATCGGGGCGGAGGTTCATGTCATTCTGGGGGAACTGGTGAACGTATTCAGCCGGGTACTGAGTTGTGATCAGTCGGCCGGCAGGAGCACGCTTGCCAGAGAGGATGTCGAAGAGGGCAACGCCTCCCGACTGACCGGGATATCCGCCCCAGACGAGGGAATTGACCTTCTTGTTGCTCTTAAGCGAAGATGAATCAACCTGGCCACCGCCCATTTGCAGGACGACAAGGGGTTTGCCGACGTTGCTGAGTTCCTTGATGAGGTCCAGCTGGTTACCGGGCCAAGCAATGTCCGTACGATCAGCGCCCTCTTGTTCAATAGTGTTGTCGATACCACCGATGAAGATGATGGCGTCCGACTTCTTAGCGGCAGCAATGGCCTTGGCGAAGCCGGCAGTGCTGGTGCTGGCGATGTCTGTGCCAAGCTCGAAGTTGACGTGATAGCCAGCCTTCTTAGCGGCTTCTAGAGGGCTGATGAGGTATGGGGCAGGGCCGAAATAGTTGCCCTGCATCTGGGTGGTGGCATTGGCCCACGGTCCGATCAGAGCAATGCTGCGGACCTTCTTGGACAGAGGCAGGGTGCCGTCGTTCTTGAGCAAGACAATGCCCTCAACCGCAGCCTCGTATGAGATGTTCCAGGCGTCGGTCTTGACGACATCCTTCCAGCCGAGCGAGCGGTACTGGTTCTTCTTGTCAAAGTATCCGAGACGGACGAGATTGGCGTACAGACGAGTGACAGACCGCTCGATCTCGCCGCGGGAGACTTCGCCGGCCACAAAGGACTCGTTGAGGTGCCATGGGTATGTCTGACCGCAGTCAATATCGGTACCGGCTCGCAGCGAGCTGGCGGCGGCCGACGACTGGTTGCTGGCGTAGTCATGAGGGTTCCAAACGTTGTAGACGGCATCGCAATCGGACGAGACGTAGCCCCATTCGGGGAAGCCCCAGCTCTCTCGCAGAAGGGTCTGCAGGAAGAAGCTGTTGGCGCAGCTGGGCACGCCATTGACGGAGTTATATGCGCACATGAAGCTGTGGGACTTTGCGTAACGGGCCGCGGCAAGGAATTGGGGAGTGTAGTACTCGGAGAGGTCCTGCTGGGTGATGATGGCGTCGAAGCCGAGACGAGACTGATTGTTATAGTTTTCGAGATCATATCCAGCAAAGTGCTTCGCCGTCGCAGCAATCTTGAGGTGCTCGGGGTCGACGCCGCCCTGGATGCCGGTGATGTACTCGTAGGTGTAGGCGGAGCTCAGGAAGAAGGCATCTTCACCAGGCGTCTCCTGGCCACGGCCCCAGAGCGGGCTTCGGAAGCCATTGATGTTTGGCGCATAGACGTCGAGACCATAGCGACCGCTGTTGCTGAATGCTCGCGCCTGGGTCGAGATGATGTCGGCAATCTGGTGGATCAGAGTGCGATTGAGGGCTGCCGTACTGAGAATAGGCATGGGGAACGAGGTCGACCACTCAAACTCGCCTCCCTTGGTGGCGAAATTGGCACGGTCCAAGCCGTGCAGAGCCTCGTTCCAGACTTGGTAGTTTGGAAGACCGAGGCGAGGCACGCCGGGGCCCGAGTTTTGCGTATTGAGAATCAGCTCCTCGAGGGTGAAGAGCGAGATGAGGGCCTGGGCTCGCTCAACGTAACCCGCAGACGAGTCACAGACGAGGTTGTTCTTCAGAGGACCATGATCGCAGTCGGGGAACGAGAGCGTGAGCGTGGCAACTGTCTCGGGGAAGAGATCAGGCTGGCCCTGAGAAGAGTAGTTGGCGTATGTCTGATTGTTTTGCGCCAGGGCCCTGGGCAGGAGAGCCGACAGAGCGGCGAGAAGAGCTGCGTTGTTCACCATTGCGTCCGGCTGTCCTTCAATGGCTCACGATCTTCCTTGTCTCTCTCTCTCTCTCTGTTGCCTTCCTGTATCTGGTCTCCGGGAACACTCGATATTTAAATTGAGCGGTATGACGATGACGATGTTGCAGCCTTCCCCCATGCATCATTTCCACTTACAGCTTATTACCCCATACATACCCCATACGGGACCAAAATGCTACCCCAGCTTCGCCGTTGGTGTGGCTCGACCTGCATCACAACTCCACAAACGCCAATTCCCCCCCCCCACACCATGATTTTCCGGCATCTCATGATATTTAGCCTGAATAGCAGACAGTTTCCAGCCGTTGGTCGAAAGACTGCCATCGTCCGTCACTGACAGGGCTGGTCCTTGTGGTTTTTTCTGTCCAAATTTCATATGCTAAGCTACTGCGTTTAGCTTGGCTTTTAGTCTAGGATGAGTTGACAGCGGATACTGCCGACTAGCTTGAGGAGACAAGAGATGGAGATCTGTTGTGAATAGCCGGTCTTGGGACCTCTTTTTGTTTCTTTCTTTCCCCTTGTTCTCTCTTTTAGCCAGTACGCCCGACAGGAACACATGCGCATTTCATTTTCGCCGGCTAAGTAGACGAAAGCGGGGAAGCAGCTGCAGATTGCTACCTTGTACTTTGTAGAGAGGGAAGTGTCCGGGATCATGGTGACAACAAGACGAGCCTGGGGGAAGTGCGGAGTAGAGGCCAAGTCCTTTTGTCAATGCGTGCAACTATCTGCAGGAGCAGTTGGAGTAAGAAGAAGTAAGCCCTGTCGAACCGAGGCTGGACTCATTGGAGGCAGGCTGAAGCGAGGGAAGGATGCTGAATGTCTACACCATTGGAAATACTCTGTGAAACAACTGGTGCTAACATACGACTCAGCACATGCTACCGGAGAGGCGTTCGAGTTCGGGTAAGCGTTGACAATATATATAACTTCCTAGATTGCGATTGATGCATCGTATGACAGCGGTATAGTGACTTAGAGGCTCCAAGCCAGATAGTTTCCCTTCCCGTCGACGACTCAATGAGAATCAAGGTTTTCAAAGGGGTGGGGAAAAAACGTGCCAGTGTATCATACAATGCACCCTTATGCCGCTACTCTGAGAAACAGCTGGTAGCATCCCGAGCGACAAAACGACGATCTTGGGTTTCGTAGCTGAGGATGCAGAGTCCGGCGGGAGAGCTGAGGTTCAGCTTCAAGTGTAATGCCATCCCGGTGTTTCGCAGTGTCCGGTTGCTCACTCCGTGAATACTTACTGATTGCACGTAACGAGCCGGCCTGCATTCATTACATGGATAGGCCTGCGAGGCACGGAGCGCAAGTTGCCGAGCTCGACTAACGAATGAACAAATAGCCAGCCTCTCGTTCATTCGCTGGCTAAAGTATTTCTTGTTGTTATACCGAGGCGGAACAATCCTCCTTGTCGTCAGCAATTCGCTTTTCCCCATGCTCCCAGGACTCCCAGATCTTTATTTACCACCCAATCCATGGGATGCCGAGTAAGGCAGAAGAGAGTCCACCTTGTATAGACCATCTGTCACTGCCCACCTTTCTCCATGTTTCCGTGCCCATTTGAGAGTTGCTTGTATCCCCCCACCCTCCCGTCTCGCGGAGGGAGGTACTTTGGATGTAGAATATGGGGATACGCGGAGGATTTTCTTCCGGGATAATGTCTGGATAATAACGGCTTTTCCGCCTCCCATGCAGCCAAGCAAAAGAGGAAAAGCACGTAATTCATTATTAAGTGATGTTTTTTGTTTTCCCTTGCTGGTGCTTCCCCCATTTCCAAGGACGAGACGGACATACGGAAACCAGGGACCCCATGTTCGTTTGCCATTGTTTATGGATCCAGGAACCCACTTATAAAGAGGGCGGATCGGTGGCTTGGGGCTCCCCGCCGGGCCGAATGGTTGGCTTTTCCGAATTCGTGTAAGATCTGGGGGAGAGACCGGCTGAATTCTCCCTGGCCTTGCTCCCACTAGTTTTTTGTCCAGGAGCGAAATCAAGGAACGGGAACGTCATTGGAGGTGGTTTAGTTAAGCTATGGTGTGAATTTGCTGGTTTGTCGGTTCGAAGCGGAGGAAATAAGTTCAACAATCCCTTGATGGACACTCGGTAGATTGTACCAATGGCCGAATCTTTGGACAGTGTTGACAGAGGGAATAACCTGTGGTTTTCCAAGTATCATCTGGTACGCTTGGTAGATGAGGCTGGTGCGGAGGCGGATGTATAGTGTGTATTCCGTGTTGTATGATTTGTATCTGCGGGACACTGCATTTCCTTCTGCTTCTTTCCACCCCCGCTGGACGCGCTTACTCTGGGCCTCGAACGTGGGAATATTAGCCGGGCTGAATGGGAAGTTCCGATAGTCAAGTCTTCGATGTCCCATGTTTTGCGTTGTCTATGGGGTTGCACTTGGGGGGAGCGTTTGGTAGATGCTTTACTTTGATTCATCATTCGCGATTCGGCTACGCATATCCACTGTAGGCATAGGAAATGGCCATTGATAGATTACCAGAGAACCTGTAGAAATATAAGTCTTTACGTTATATGCTGTACGTTCGTTTGGTTGTCATTGCGTGGATTATTACCCACCGCCAATGTTCCCGGGTAAGGGATGAAGGAAGTCGATTGATACAAGGGATCTAAGCTAGCAACAAGGAACTCTCGTGACTGGATACTGGGATGATGGTAATCTTGATCGTTGAAGAATGAAATGAGGCTGCTTTAAAGCAACTTTCTATTTAAGGGGTCTCCAAGAGTCCACTGGAATTTGGTCTGTGCATGCGACGTAAGTGCCTCGACCCTCGACAGCCGCTGCTGGATAGTTACAGTCTGAAGAGCAAGAACCTGTCAACTCGGGTTATAAATCCGTTGTTTCACTGTGTTGAAGGTCTGCTTCAAGGACAGTTCGGGCGCAGTTGTCTCGTTTCCTCCCCAGCCTCCATGACACGTCGGGTTGTTAGCTACCTGGATGCTCTTCAGCCGTCCATGAAAGCGAACACATGTGACCGACTTTTGTACATACCTTATCTTCTCCAAGAGCTCAGTGGATGGTTACTACCCTCCTAAATCTCAGAAGTACTAACCTTATCTATAAAAGCGTAGTATGTGCCTGCAGCTGGCTTCCGAGAGCGACGTTGGCGGATCTGAAGCGAGCCATCCGGCTGGTCGGGGTTTTCATTGGCCAAGGGATGTAGCTGAACTGAGTCATTTGATGGTAAAGTAGAGATGTGTGCGTTTGTTCTGTTCTGTAGGACTTGGGACTGACCATTGTCATGCTGGTGCCGCTCGAGGGAATGACGGCTTCCAAGATCCACAATCTCTAGCCTGTTACTACTTCGGAAGAAGACAATAATGAATGTAAATGTCAATGAATAATGCTACTTGATATGCTAGAGGCAAATGACTGGGTAGTGAGATATTGTTTATCGACGTTGTATTACATGGTCATGCCTGATACAGTGAGGAGACTGCGCATACGCCGCGCACGATTGACTCTAGATACACAACTTGCAATCAGGCACCGACCTACCCAGCAAAACGAGCCACCCTTCGAAAGGCAAGAGAATTTGAAGACAGTGCATCAATTTTGGTGTGAAATGCCATACGAGATACGCTTGTACTCAGGGGCTGTGGCCGCTTCTGCGTTGCGGACAAATGTTCTTATGTCTGTTGAAAGACTGCTCTACTATATAGCAAATGCCCCAGTTCACGATTTAGACTCTCAAAAAGCATATACCTCTTTGAAAAGTTTGAAAGAAACACTACTATTATGCCATCGGGATGCCTCACAATGTGTGCTCAAAGCAATTAGGCGCGGGGCCGTGACGCAACGAGATGCATCTCACCCTTCTCCCGACACTTTCCACACCAACTTCCAACGATCTAAATGGTTCGACTCGTCTATGTCGTGCAATTAATAGCTCTAATCTCTAATGCCTACCTAGGCTGTCAACCGAACCGTCCTGTCAACGAACATGGAATGCATGGTTCCTTGGACAAACACTCGAGCTTAGGTACCTTACCTAAAAAAAAGGCGGCCATTCACTTCCGCTTCACTTATCCTGCCCGCTTAAACACTCCTTCACAAGTTCCTTCCCAATATGCCCAATTCCCTTTCATCATTTCGCCGTTACCCTTCTTCTTCCATTGCATCATCTCTTTCACCGTTTCCTGGCTGTCCGTTCACACATTCTTGACGACGTTGACGAACCATCTCCATCGACTTGGTGTCTTCTCAGTTCCTGCCTGGTCTTTTCGTGATATCGGCGCTGACAATGTGGCCCAGATCTTCGACAATCTACGCACCGCCTACGGCGCAGGTCCGTCTGGAGTGCCGATGCTCGGCATTTCGGGCACGGCTTGACGAAGTCACTTCGCCTCCCCTCTACTGTTTTCCATACGCATCTTCGACTCCCACCACCGAGGCCAGACCCCGAGCCGCAAGGGAAGTCATGAACATTTGATTTGTGACGTGAGCTGACACAGCAGCAACTCCGGGCCAATTCGACCCCAAGCGCCTCGATGGCCTCTCTGAAGCTGAACATGATCTCTTCAGCCCCGGTCTCGACCAGTTCGCTTCTGATCAATCGGAAAATTCCACTGACGCATTTTGTACTCCTGTACTTCCTTTATGTTGTAGAATCATCCTGGATGCTTAATGTCACGGCAGCCGGTAGACAAAGTATAAACGGTATCTGCTCTCTGCCGAGCATACGCTCGATGCCAATTCCACCTCCCCCCAAGCGACAAAGGCGTTTCTCGAGCGCTTCGATAAAGCCACGGTCATATGTGCCATTGTCATACTTCTCCTGGCTATAGCCTCGTCAGCGACAATGACCCGTGGCCTCAGCCGCTCCCGCATCGATGCACGAGGCATGCCAGATCCGAGTACTGCGATGGAAGGCGAGACATATGAGGTGCTTTTTTTCGCGGGCGTATTTGAGCTGCTCAGATCTGCCTATGATACCATGCTTGAGAGATTCGACAAGGAAGAGGCTTGATGCCAGCCCTGACGGTGGCGCCGCGGAGATGTCAGGTATGTCTCATCTTGGGCATTGTTGCCCCAGCACAGTTTTTACAACTCTTGCAAAAGATTGACACGCCCTGGTATCTAGTTTGTCAACAGGGTTCACATTCTCGAGGCCGTCGACAGCACTGTTATACCTAGGGAACGTCTGCCGCTTGATGCTCTCAGTCATGTCCCCGCCGGCGAGACAAAGCCACGGCAATGGAGCAGCTCACCGGGCAGACGATTGATGGCGACAACAGCCGGCCATCGGCCTCGCGCATAGCGCCTCTGAAAGAGATGGTTCCATGCGCCGAGGGTACAAGATGTCCCGAGTTTACTACTTGCTCGAACTAAGATCTTGATCTTCATGATCATCGTCAAGGCGTTTGTGTACCTCCCCGCCCCCACGTCGAGCTGCCTTGCAGAGATGCCCTCTGCTGCCGAAACACTGTGAATTGATACCGACTGAACGAGTACACCTCTCACAAGACCCCTCCGCCGCAACGCCATTTGCTCACGCGGTGAGGTCGGAGAAACCGCGCTTCCGTTGTTTCAAGTACCAATCAGGCTTTTGCTCATGTTTTTGCTCGGAGAATTTTCGAGTGTGAAACGTTATACCCATGTCACATGGTCGATGCCGATCGCGATCGCGAACTCAAGACATGAGCTCCATACGTTTCCCCTTGGCACCGGTCCTCGTGGCTGTCATTTCGAAGTCACTGCTAACCTCAGCATGCTCTCCTCTTAGCCCGAAGATCAAAACTTTGCTGATCGGAACACAATTACGAGACTTGAACAAGTGTATCGACGGAACGGGTGCCTCCATCCTATAAGCGCACCTACTAGAGTAAGAAGTCGACTAAGGCGTGAAGGCAAGATAAGCTGACGAGTGCAACTAAGGCACCCAAGTCATCAAAGGAGAATATTGACATGCCAGATTCTACTTGCACCTAACTCGCATTTTATTGCTAACCTGGAGCTTTACTGCCATCAACCGGAGTTGAGAGATGGAATACACGATGAAACGTATGATAAGGCCGCATATCCAATCCCTAAGAAACTTGAAGATTTCGTACAGTTGCAACGACAAAACAAGCCCACGCCGCCAAATCAACGGTCAGACTCCTCAAAGTGTGAATCTTCAACCATCCATCCAGATCATTGGTGCTCTGTCCCTTTGAACTGTCCTCGATAATAGCCTGTATTTTGGGCGCAACAGCTGGTACAAAGGCGAGATGGCTAGCGGTTAAAGCGATGCCAGCCGTATACCAGCGCAGAGACCCATTCGCCCAATGCGAGTCATGGTTGACGAAGCAAGTGGCGAAAGAAGAGGACAACGTCAGCGAAAGAAGGGCCAGGACGCGGGTGACGCCGCCGGGGAAGAAGTAGCGGAAGAAGGTGGGCAGCAAGTCGTTACTCTTGGCGCGGAGCTCGGGCTTATTGAAGAGGTGTAGGAAGAAGTGTTGATCCCAAGCGAACCAGAGGGAGCAGGTTGATGTGATGAGGGGGGCGGCTCGTAGAGCCACCACAGGATCGAAGAAGGCTTTTGAGGCCATATTGTGGCAATGAAGGATGTTCTAGAGGATTTGACGGGCAAAGTTGGAGATAAGTTCACTACCAAGTCGTGCGTGATTTGAAGGATCGATCGGATGATGTTGACAGGCGAATCACATCACGTGATAAAATCACCGATGAGGTATTCCTACATAACTTCGGATATACAGTAAAGGAGCTGTTGATTTCGCCTCCCTCCCGAAGGATGATGTTCTACATAATAAGTCCGGTGAGCGAACCACATAGGCAGTTGAAGGGATGTCGCTTGTGGAGTTGCCTCCGTAGCAGTGCATTAGTAGAGCGCGTGATTGGAGGTAAAAGCCCGACTAAAGGTACGGTACATGAAGATGAAATCAATGTGTTATAGTTAGATCCAGTTGAACGAGAATGAACAAAGCCAATGGTTTCTATTTGGGCACGCACAGAGCTCTCAACGACTCCGTCAGCCCGAGACGAACCCAATTGTCCATCTTTAAGCCTCGTAGCTACGGCAACTACGCCAAGCATTCCCAGTGTATTCGCGCCATCTTCTTTATCGATGCTCGCCCGACGTCTCGGAATCGCAATCATTCATCGCTTGCTCATGATCAAGTTGTGAGGATATGCCGCATCTGATGGGGCCAAATCAGCGTGCTCAGACTGGCCCTGACCGACGGCGGTAGCTTGCGGAGGAGTCGGATGTAGATTTTGTAAGTTCTGCTCCACCAACGTTATCAAGAACCAGTGGAGCGCTGAAGGTTAATAGCAGAATAACAGGGAATCCCGAACAGCCGATCCAACAATGAGAAAGGTGTATTAAAAAGTGAAATGATAATGAATGTAAACGCTCGATGCAGATCTTATGGTAATTGAAAGCCTCTTACTCTCCTATAGGGCTGCCTCAATCGGGGCCGCAACTCTTCGTGGGGGTACATACGGATTCCCTTCGCGATCGCTGCACTTCTCCAGTCCGGGGCAAACAACAATTGTACTTATGCTAGCAGTTCCGGTCGGAGCGCCTTCAAAAACGAAGCGCCAGTCGACCGGATGAGAAAAGAGCATGTAGCCGAGCTTTGCACACTCGAGGACAACATCCTGGAGATGGCTGGTTTGCTCCTCGTCTGTCCCTGGGTTGACAAAAGTAGCTAGGAACTTGTTAAGGGAGAGTGTAAGCATCTGAGCCCGCGGTGCGATCATGGATGCATCGACTTGGAGGGCGGTTCGTTGACTGCGATCAGCATGGAGGAGGAAAGCGGATTGACGACGCCATGAGTGCAGAGCCTGAGAGAATGCTATTGGTCTTATGTTAGCAGCCACGATAATGAAGAAGAAGGAAGAGATGCAACGTACCTTGAGAATCGCTCTCGTTGGGCTTGGCTGCAGGTATCGACTGGAGCAATCCAGCAACTGGCTCGGGAAGAAGCGATAGCCCGCCGGCGGAGTGAAAGTCGATGCTCGTAAATATGACACGTGAAATGACGCAGCGAAGTCCAAGTTGCCGAGAAGAGCTGTTCGAGCATAGAGCAGCAATTGCTTGAGTGTCTACTTCTGGACCTAATTCCAGCTTCTGAAGCAACTGCGAGAGCTCTTCTACGTCGGACTCAACAGGCTGAAGAGTATAGTGATCCTCCACATGTTGACGAATGAGTTCACCCAGAGATTGCAGCTCATTGATGATCTCCTGGTCAGGAGCGCCATCGAGGAGAAACTGATCCATTTGGACGCCGGTGCCAGAGCCTGTGCCAGCGTTGAGACTTTCGCTCGTTTCCACCACTGAAGGCGCTTTGGACTCGGTGAGGATTGCTGCCGCATCGCTGGGAGTAGAGGGCCTTTTGCCTTTCCGACGGCGGAGTAGCAGCAGAGCAGCAATGAGGCCCACGAGGAGACCGCCTACGACACAGCCGGCTGCAATCCCTGCAACGGCTCCGGGAGAAAGGCTTTTAGTTTGGTGAGAAGTCGGCGATAGTGTCTGTGAAGCGACGGGCACCAGGTTCGTGGGGGTCAACTCTTCGGTTTTGAGAGTTTGGAGGGACTCTGATGAGAAACTGGGAGTCTCTTTGAAGAAAATTGATGACAGAGTGGCAGATGGATGGCGAGATGATTGAGTAGAGCTAGGTCTCGAAGTCGACTCGGGGATCTCGGCTGCCGCTGCACGAGTTGGTGCTCTCTCAGACGTGGTTGTCGTTGAAGTCGAAGATTTTGACTTGGTAGTCGACGAGGACTCGGAGGACGATGACGAGATCTCGGTTGATGTTGAGGCCGACCGAGATTCTGATGATGCTGATGTCGGATGCGACTCTTTTGTTCCCATCAATGTAGAACTGTTTCCCTCCTCCGCTGTAGTCGTCGTCGTGCGAGGACACGGAATCCAAGTTTCGGCCCCATTCCGAGTGATTTTACAATCATAGACCAGAGAAGCCATGAGAAGCACGCGATCCAACACCAACTAATGACACGAAGTAATCAGATGCTCCAGGTTGGTGAAGAATGAAGGACAAAAGCTATCTACCTAGTATATGAAAGATGGAAGAAAAGTGCGAATATGCTCAAGCCTTGGAAGCATTACGGCCAAGCCGCACAATCGCCATCCCTTCTTCGCCAGCGTACTATATCCGACTCCAAATGAAACAAGAATCGTATTTGTTCATCGGCCAAGATACATTCCCTTCAAGTCCGAGAAAAAGTCAGTGCTATGAGCTGCCGCATAGGTGCAACATCAAAGCGTCGAAGGGGACGCACACGCGACATTGATGGAGCAAAAACGCTTCGCCCAAGAGGGCATTTCACGCACTGGCGGAGGCATTACTTTTGCTTAGCAGCATCGGTGCAAGAAAAGCGTCCACGCGTGCTTGAAACGAGCAGGGTATTATTTTTTTTCTTTGCAGTGGTCTCGATCCTTCCACTGCACACCTGGGCACTCGTGGAAGAGCCATCAGCTGAGATTTTGTTCCACATGCTCACTCGAGGGGAGAAAGCTAGAAGTCAAGATGCCTAAACCTAGAAATTTCTCAAAACTGAAACACATGCACGGCCGATAACGTAGCATTTGCGCCTATGGGCACCGTACTCCTGACTCAATATTGTCGTTGAACGACGTTGTGAAGTTATCGCATGTGTTTTGTCCGGACAAGCCCGATGGCCGCAAATCTGCATATTTGTTTTAAGGCTTCTTGTGTGATGGCGAACTTAGCCACCGAATCCCTTTGGTACCCCAAACTGCTTCTGCTTGAGACAGCACTGCGGATTGGGAGAAACGTGAGAGAATGGTGTCAAAATGGCCGAAAAACCTGACATTACCGTCTCAGTTGACTTTGGCACCACGTACACAGGTGAGTTGGAGGAACCCAAATTTCTTGATGTTTCTAACTGCGGTACACAAGGCGTTGCGTGGATGACCCAAAAGACGCCCATCCAAGTCATCAACGACTGGCCTGGGAGCGGTGATCGAGGAGAGCGCAAAGTTCCCACTACGCTCATCTATAACGAAGACGGCGAGTTGTCATCATGGGGCTTCATGTGCGATGATGACGACGATTCCATCCCCGGCAAGACGCGGAGGGATTTCTTCAAGATCTACATTGACGAAGAGACGCTCGTCGAGGCACGGGGGAGGGGGCTCTCCAATGTGCCGCAGACGACCGTAGAGGCGCAAAAGTTTGCAACAGACTATCTCCACCAGATCTACCTCCACATAAAGGACACCATCGAGACGCAGATGGGGAGGAAACACCTTGGCGGCTGGGCCGACATGGCGGTGACTTTTCTGTTCAGCGTGCCGACGACGTGGACGCGCCTGGAGATTATCAATACGTTCAAGACTATCATTCGTGATGCAGGATTCGGAGGCGGCGGGTCGAAGCATGTGGCTCAGGTTGATCTTACAGAGGCCGAGGCTGCGGCTGTTGCGACGCTGAAGATGAGCGCCATCTCGTTCAACAAGGGAAGTTTGTTCCTGACCGTTGATGCTGGAGGAGGAACAACGGATTTGGCTCTCATGAGAGTGACTTCAAGTGATGCCAGCTGCCCGCAGATGGCGCAGATATCCACCGTCAAGGGTGTCGGTATTGGATCGACGCTGATTGATCGGGCGTTTATCAGGGTCGTCACGGAGAGGCTGGTCGCGAACCCGGATATCCAACGCCAACTGCCCAGCGATTTTGCCTCTCGCTTCTCCAAGAGCCACCATTTCAAGGTTCTGAAGCACAAGTTTGGTGAAAAGGTTTACATGCAGCCCGTGTTCAAGCTGCAGATGGAGGGGGTGTCGCACGGGTTCAGCCATGCAGGTCTTGGTGTAGAATATGGGAGGATGCAGTTCAATATGTAGGTGTTTATGAGAGTATTCTGGTGAATGGTCATGAGTTGTGAGTTAACTTGATAAAGGGAAGAGATTCAGTCGCTGTTTGATGCTCAGGTGGATGGCATCATGCAGCGAATTACAGACCAGCTAGACTGGCTAAGTGAGAACGGATACACAGAACAAGTGGTAAGTTTTCAGCGCCCGTAGGAAACGCATCATGATTCACATATACTGATGCATCCAGGAATACATGATTCTGTCTGGAGGTCTCGGCAGCTCAGCATACGTCCGCGACAAGATCTCACTACACCTCGCCTCCAGACCCCACGCCAGCGCCGCAAGAGTCGCCGTCGTCCCATGCCACGACCCCCAGCTGGTCGTCGTGAGAGGCCTTCTTCTCGATTACCAGCAAAGAATGGAGACGGGCAATGTTCCCGTCCTAGGGGCGCGAGTAGCTCGGTCAAGCTACGGCGTCATCGTGAGGCAGATGTATTCGGCGACGAAGCATGCGGACGAGGAAGTCGTTCCCGATCTGTGGGATCCGAAGAAGAAGTGGGCTATCAACCAAATTCAGTGGATTATTCGGAAGGTAATTTGTCCATATCTCGTCATATACGGAAGTCGACTAAGATAGTTGTAGGGAGATAAGATCGATCCAAATGTTCCGCTGGTGAAATCGTTCGAATACCGTCTAGGACCGGATGACCCTACGAGGGTATGGAATGCAGACATAGTGGTCTCTCAAAATGATCCCTCCAATTTACCAAAGAGCCTTAAACACGGTATGTCCATTCACTTTCCTTCTCTTCTGTTAAGCATGGAAAGTGTATGCCCGTACTGACGGAATCCCATAGCTGGCGTGACCAAACTCTGCATGGTAAAGAGCAACCTCGAGGGCGTCCAACAAGACCAGCTCGTGCTGAAGCAAAAGCGCGGCATCCTCTTCCGCAAAGGCTACAAGTTCTATGTCTGCAGATTTGACCTGCGCGTCATCGTTGCGCCCGCGGATCTGCGGTTTGAGCTGTGGTTTGACGGGCACAAGTTTTCAGGCAATCACGAGCCTGTCACGCCGCAGTGGGCTGAGGCTGGACTCAAGGTCAATCAGGTCTGAGGCATCCATTCACTCACCCATAATTGTGCTTGGGGGATAATAGTCCGACTATCAATTCCACAATAATTGAATAAGATTTACAAGAGGATTTAAAAGCTGTGATTGGATGTGCTTGACTGGACGCTTCACCCCCGCGGACTGTTAAAGTTTATTGGATTTCTGTTGGTCATTTACACCACGGTGAACGAGCAGGTGCGTTCCGCCAGCCACCTGGCAGCAGCCACTTATAGGGGTATGATGAGCGCGTACGGTACCAACCTAGGCTTGGAACTCCCTTGGCTCCCGTCTCATAAATAAATACCTGAGCCCCTTAGTTCCTCCCAAGGCTCTCCCTATCATTCACTTACCACATTCAACTGCCACACATCAGTATAGCAATGCGTTTGAAGCAGCCACGTCAACAACCCAAGTCATATATGGCGGCTTGCAAAGCAATTGTAGCACAAATCAGAAGACGATCCCTTGTGCTTCCATATTTGCCAGCTTTGATCAAAACCTAGCGAGTGGACAATACGCTCAGTCGCACTAAGGCCTAATAAGAGCTCGCCCTGGAGCACTTCGATGGCAACGTCCATCTCAACCACTACCTATCTAGACAACAATTGATCTGTACATTGACAGCGTCATGGATTGTTGCTGCTTCATTGTCCCTCCCCACCTTTTCCGGGCCATCGCTCAGTCTCCTCACAATCCCGAATCCGTCCGCAGAGCAGCCGAGGTCTCTCTGGCTGCACATGACCGCATCGCTACCGCTCGTCAGGAACGTACTCTGAAGGTTATCCAGGACAAGAGAGGCAAGACATATGCAGTCATTCAAGCTTCGCCGTTTGTTCCCGGCGTTCTCCTCGAACAATTGTCCGCCTCGGATGCTGTAGATGAGGCGACGAGGACTCGTGCGAAGAGAGATCTGCGCCATATCCAGGACCTCATGAGCAAAGCTCATCAGGGTACATCAACTCGCCATACCTAATTCTTTTCAGACCAGACACTAACCATTCATCGCAGTTGGTACTGATGAGAGTGCCACAAGGGAAGCTACTAAAGTAGGAGCCTGTATTGTGTACAATGCAAGCAACACTTGGGATAACGAGAAGCTTCCCGGTAAACTTGAACGTGGCCACGGCGAACCTCCGACCAAGGACTCAGACGTCAACAAGGCCTATGAAAACGTGGGCCACGTTCTCAGATTCTACGAGCAGCTCTTTGATTGGACATCTGTTGACAACCAGAACGCGCCCGTGACAAGCACTGTTCACTTTGGTGACCACTACGAAAATGCCTGTAAGCCTTCCTCGGCCCTCTTTGAGTGACTCAGGCTGAGGATGATGCTGTATAGTCTGGTCTCCAGAGGCCATGCAGATGGTCTTTGGGGATGGGAATACGTATCTTCATAACTTCACCGCCTGCGTTGACATCATTGGACACGAACTCACGCATGCAGTCACGGACAACACTAGCCCACTTGAGTACAACGGCCAGTCTGGGGCTTTGAACGAGCATGTTTCTGACGTCTTCGGCATCATGGTCAAACAGCAGGTGCAAAAAGTCACAGCTGAAGAGGCAGACTGGCTCATCGGCGAAAGCTGTCTCTTGCCCAATATCAAGGGAGTGGCCTTGCGCAGCATGAAGGAGCCAGGGAAAGCATACGACGACGAGCGCTTTGTAGGTCAACTAGAGCCATCAAGACGTCCTATAATTAACATATAGACAGGGCAGAGATCCTCAAGTGGACAACTTCACTCAATGGGAGGTTGTCACTGAAGACAGGGGCGGGGTGCACATCTTCTCTGGCGTTCCCAACAAAGCGTTTTACCTTTCTGCTGTCGCCTTCGGAGGCTACTCGTGGGAGATCGCCGGCAAAATCTGGTGGAGGGCCATGAACTGCGGCAAGGTGCCAATTCGGTGTACGTTCCAACAATTTGCCGATGTCACAGTCGAGTGTGCGGAGGAGCTGTTCGATGTGAACGCTGCGAAGACGGTGCGCACAGCTTGGATCAAGGTGGGCGTTACTCGAGGCATCTGAGGGTATTGCCTGTATCGTCTGGTTCGTTCGTGTGATTCCGTGCGAAGTCTTATCCAGTCACTGCAATCTTGTTAGTGCATATACACAGTCCAATCTGAGGCGGAGTATCGTGCGACACACGTTACGTGCAAGGCTGCCGCTCCGGCCATGGAGCATCAGCCGATCCAGGTGTATAATTCCACGCCCGATTACAATTCAAGGGTTGTCCTTGCTTGGGACCCCAAGGTACAAGCCGTTGACCTATCGAGCCAGTTCGAAAGCATGATCTACCAATAGGAGCAACAGCTGGGATTCGGACCGGAATTGTCAAGCTGAATCTAGTCTCTGTGAAAGTAGATCATAGGAGTGGAAAACTGTCGCGTCTAAAGGGTTTCGCCCTGCTTTTGACCCCCGGCGTTCCCAGTCAAGTAGTTGGGTGATTCGTCGTGCCTTGGCAGCCCAAGAGCCCTTGCGCAGGCGCAGCAAGTGGTAGCCGCCAGATTGAGATGGCTGACATTCCGTGTGGACCGTTTGGAGACCCATTGCTATCGACTTCAAATGGAACGGATGTTGCCTTGGCCCGTCTCTCCAGCGTCTGACTTCGGATCGTCAGAGGATCTGACGGACATCTGCTCCAAACGCACTAACGCTTTCACCAGATATGATGGCGAAGGTCAGAGTCCGAGGCAAGCATTTGCTCACCATAGCGATGCTCTCGCGGTCATTGTTCAAAAGCGCAGGTGATATCTGTCGGAACAAGCTGGACGAGCGGGCAAGCAGCGCCTCAAACAGCTGCAAGCGATCACGGAAGCCGGCACTTCACCAACGGCCTGCTCATGATCTCCTGCGTCAGTGTAGCACCATACCAACCGCAGCTGCAAACCATCCACAACGGTTCCGTGAGCGAGCTTCAGCTTCACGATGATGACCACCTCATTTGGTTCACTTCGTTCGCCAAAGTATGACTGCTGAGTTGTGAGGTGCGGATGCCCACATCGCCATGTCGACTCTAGCCGTCACATTGCACAAGACATCCATACAGCTGTGCGCTGCGGAGGTAGCACAGACGGGGGGGGGGGACTGCCCGTTGAGCTCAGCTCGATCGTTTTCGTTGGCACAGGCAACACGTACGAAATGTGACTGAAAAAGACGACGCGTTCGATCGATCGTGGAGAGTCGAGGATGTGTATGCCTGTGTGGCCACGGTCAGACGCGTCGTAGTGCCCGAGTCTCATCTCCAAAGATCAAAGCATGGAAGATGATGACTTCTAGCCAGCTCATTCGCCACGTGTGCCGGTAGGATCCAAACAAGAGGCGAAGGGCGCTCAACTGTACTCGTCTCTTACACGGAGGGTGCACTTCGCAAGGAGAAAAGTGAACGGCGATTCGGCGCGGATTCGAGGCAGCATGTGCCGATACCAGCGACCTGAAATTGCAAGCTGCTAGTGCATGTGTTGATATCATTGAAGGGCGTTTGACGATATCCCACAGTCGACGGCGTTCTGTCATCCGCTGCTACTTGACGCTGGATGAGGAAAAAGCGACGACATGGAGGTGTGTGGCATCGTGGTGGAAAGTGCGATGCCTTGCGATTCGGTTCATTTAGGGCAGCGTGTTCAGGTGCTCTCGCTTGTTGATATACGCTATCGATACGGGGATTGCGCACCGAAGCAACGCGTGGGTAACTCGGTCATCGAGAAGTAGCCACAGCTCCTCTTGACCATAGAGGGGGACTCACCTCGGAGACGATGATGGTTCAGGTGATCGGTGGGTACCAAGTAGATGCGATTTCAACTTTCTTTGGAGTCCTAGTCATATTCTGTAATAGTGGGTGCAAATCGTGTCCGCGAGACGACAAAACATCTGGCAACTTTGGCAAGCCTGCGACTGTTAAGGTACATTGAAGAGAACTGAAACTGTCGACGTCAACTGCCCGTGGTCGCACTCCTTTCGACGATATACCGAAACCAGCAATTCCAGGCACTGCGCGTCCGATCCGTCCGAATATCGGATACAGCCGATGGAGCCAGCTACCTTAGTTTAGTGCTTCTGCCCCTTGCATCAGATCAGGTACGGTCAGCTTCACCTGCAGTTTCCGTCGTTGGTTGAGAAGCGATTCATCCCTAGAGCTCGTGGGCGGCGGAGGAGGGTTCAACGGTAGGAACCAGTCGCGTTTCCACATCAATCTCCTTCTTGAGCCCCGGCTCCGGCGCCAGATTTGACTTCAGCTTCCTCTCTTCTACTTACCCAACAGCAATTGTGGTTCCACCCAAGCTGTCCGGTGGTCGCTTTACCTCTGTTCTGCCTCACCCCAAGTGACCCCGCCAACCCGCCTTGTGTCTGCCCCGCATCCCGGCGCTGACGTGACGTGAATTTGATCCCTCCGCGAAAGGATCCAATCCGATCAGCATTGACTGCATCAAAACTTGACAGTTACTCCTCTGGCAGGGAAATACTGACAACGTACGCAATGGCTACGACGACTTGGCAAGGTTCGCCAGAGGGTCTCAGCCCTGACTGGATTTTCTCCAACAATTCCAACGTGCAGTGAGTTACGCTTTGCTTTTGTTCGACCAATAGAGTCTGTACTGGATCCCGAAGACTGACTCCCACAGCGCGTGCAACGACCGGAAATGGTTCACCGAGTTTACGCCCTTCCCGAGCATTGTCAATTCGACTACCTTCGTTAACGGCGGAACCCCTGTGGAAGGCGTCGGAACCGTCAACCTCCCAGTCAAGCGAGGCCCCAACGCCCGCGGGCCGCAAGCCCATCACATAATTCGTCTGACAAACGTTCTCTACGTCCCTTCGAGCATCTGCAACATGGTCGGCATGCCCATTTTCGAGTCTGGCGTTGCTAAAATACGCCTGGGTATGGAGTCAAACACGAAGGGCGGTTTGGAAGACCACAATGGCCGCCCAGTCGCGTATTTCTCTCCCAACGCAAGGCTTCTTTCCTTGAGACTCAGCGGCCCACCCATCGGCCCACAACTAGCAGCATCCAGATTCGATCCTAATACACTATACGCGCTGAGTATCAGGTGGCCTGATGACGAAAGGAAGCGCTGGGAGGCCCATCGTCGACAAGATAGAACAGACGACGAGAAGGATCAATGGATCGGAGACCAGCCATATACCGCTGAGGAAAAGACATGGCTCAAGAAGCACTTTACAAACGAGTTCAAATTTCTCATGACTTATGGACTTTCAATCTACGATGAAGAGGACCGAGCAGAAGGCCGAGCCATTGCACGCTCAATGATGCGCGCTGACGAGCATGCTCATGGAGCTGAGCTGGATGGGCAATATCAACAGAGTGATGACGAAGAAGTAGAAGTAGAAGAAGAAGAGGAAGAAGAGGAGGAGGAGGATGAGGAGGAGGAAGACTTCGAGAGGCACCTTGCTGATCACCACTTCGACGAGCATCAACTGCGCTGGATCGAGGAGAATTTCCGGGATTCTGCCAACTTCATGCACTCCTTTGGCCTGAAGTTTTACAACGACGACGACTGCGAATCTGCTAAAAAGATCGCTCGATCCCTCATGAACTACTGACCTCTGTTATACCACCTATTGTCGAATTGATATACTCGCTGCTGAATCTGCATCATATTGTGGTTCGGGGGATTTCATTCTTGCGCTTAAGAGCACCTCATTGGATTCCTCGATCTTTGTTTTCCGCGGAAATTGTTTTGTGTTTTCTGCCAAGCAACAGCACTTGTCGTTTGCTTATAACATCTTGAAAGATTGCTGAAAACAGCCAGAACATACCCTTAGGCTGGCAGTCTCGCTGATAAAGTAAATTGAAGTTATGAGCATATAGCCGATTTGCTGCTTGTGTTGACATCGCGAAAAGATCCAGACAAGAGTCACAGGAATCTTAGGGTTCTATAGGTCTATAGAGCCGCTTACTTGCCTCACTAGCTGTCAACGGCTGACTGTGCATTACCTCCGCGGATGCCTCCAGTCGCCGGGTAAGCGGTCGCTGAAGTTGTAGCTGCTCCTTATCCTGCACTTTACTTGTCAACTATTTGTATCTTCTTTTATGCAGCATTGGTAACGTCTCCGAGGACTCTGAACTGGCAACTTCTTGTTTGCGGCAGTCCTCTTGTGTCACCCGACTACGGATCTTGGTGAAGTCACATATCAGCTTCAGGGATATGAACTATGGCCCATGTCAGCACTAGACACCATCCGGGAAGGCAGTTCGTAATAAATCCTACCTCGGAATAGTTCACCAAATCCTTCTCGCATTCGGCTGCCACTTAGCACGCCGATTGAATTTCTTACACGCGATCTTTGTCCGCCTTGGCTTGTGCCATTGATGTCCTATGGCAAGGAGAAACAGAACAACTGACCTGCCTCCCCATTATGCGGAGGATTTCGGACCCCATGAAGGATCGTGATGGATCCATTGACTCCATAGAACAGGTAGGCGAACGTACTGGAAATCCCGCCGCGATGCTGGAATGATACGCCATGTCCACGGTCGCCGCTACTAAGAGTATTAGCTTAACCAAACGATCGTTGAACGATCGCTCGGCAAGGCACCTTGCTAGCACCAGGACTTGTACGAGTAAGTTCGCGTTATGCAGGCGGGCTGCAGGGAAGCTCTACTGTAGGGTTCCGGGAATAAATAGAATATAGGGAATAAAGGCCTGTTCTTTGAAGATTTTGGGGTTCTGGCAATCACGGTTATCGCGAGCTTGGACTGCCTGTTGGTCCTAGGGAATGGCTTCCCCGGACCCCGGCTCTGGGGAAGTTACGGACCAGACCAGAATCAGAAACATGTAGATACTACCACATGTACGAGTACGGGAGTGCAAGGGAGGCCGAGAACACTGCCGCCGCACAGCCTGAAAAATCTGACCATATTAGAGCCTCCCATAACCGCTCGCGGAATCTTGCCAACCATACGGGATACGCGGAGCCCTGGATGTAATTCAGATGCTGCTCGTTGCTCTTGGATATATGACGCGACGCCCTCTAAACAAATGCTCCGCGAACTTGTGATTGGACGCAGTCTTCGCCTCGTACTTGCTCATTATATACAGTAAGACCAAGGATGTTGTATATCGACTAACCAGCTTCAACCAGGAATTGATTTACTTATCTGCACATAAGCTGACGCTACCAAAGCGTATGTGTCGCATTGTTGCGAGGTTGCTCTTGAGCAGTCATAGGCCAGCGGTAGTGGGCAGAGTCTTGAGGAGCTTTTAGTAACTGATGTCTATTTTTTGTTGAGTCTTCTTGAGTCTTCGGAAAGAGCATGAAACTGCAGAACGAAAACGACAAGTGACGCGTCTATTCTCGCTTTCGCTTAATCACTTACAGGGGTGATAGCGGCACTTGTCGTAGACGATGCTCTGTTCTGTCGGGGCAACTAGCGGAGAAAGGCAGGCAATCCGTATTACTTGACCCTCTTCACCAGGTAGTAGGCCCGAAATAGTATGCCAATTGTCGAAAACAGCTGCAGGAGTTCGCATAGCGTTCTTCACCATGACATGGTAGGGGTTCAGCCTTTAAGGATAGAGAGAAGCTTCTAATTCAAAACTATAGCTTATAATAATGCTATCCCAGGAGGTGGAGCCCTCCGTGCGGAACATCTCGCGGCTTCGTAGCTGAAGCTCCGAAAACAAGCGGTCAGTATTCGATTGTCATGTTGCAATTGTAGTTGTAGCTGTAAGCTTGATAAGACTCTGAACTCTCAGTGACTGTGAGTTTGACTCATTGGGTGCTTCTTCAACATCCTACCTCAAAACTATAACGCAACATTACCGGGGGATATACTCCGTAGGAGAGGCTTAGCCCAACTACCCATTGATGCCAAGACGGCATGATAGAAAACATCACATGCTAGTCATTGACCTGCCGGATGAGGATCGTGAGCCTGGTGGTCCAGGGTTTCCAGGCTTCAGGATTTATATGCTAGTAGGACTAGTAATAGCATATATAGACCGGAACACACCCCTCAATGAGAGTTGCATATCAGTTGAGGATCAAGCACTGCTATCCTTAACTAGACAATACACTTCAATATGGCGTCCAAAGCCGCTGCCATTCTCTCTATCCTCCCTCTCGCTCTGGCGACCCTCGACAAACCCGTTATCCAGCCAAACTTCCCCGGAAATGGCCTTGCGTCCTTGGGTCAGGGTCTGTTGGACAATCTAGCCCCTACGCACTCGACGTGGGATGATTGGGGCGCTGGTTGGATCCCCCAGGACTGCAAAACTTTGGTTGAGGGCGCCGGATTCTCTGCTTCCGACGTCATCCCCTTCAACATTCACTATGACGACTGTGCCCAGACATGGACCTTTTGCCGCCACAAGGACTCTCCTCTCAGCGAAGTCCAGATCCTCGATCTCTTCGGGCGTTTGCCCGTTCGGATGAGGTCCTTTGTCCGGCATCTGGTCTTCATCCCCGGTAACAAGTCTGCCGGGTCCAGCGGAGACAACGTCCTGATGACTGGCCCCGTAGACATCACTGTTTACGCCCACGAGATTGGCCACAGTCTGGACTCTCACGCCTTTGACCCTTCATACGGCGTGCCTTTCTCTACCGGCAACGTCTGGATCAGCAACTACAACCTCGACTCTGCCGTGACTGATCCCTACGCGCAGACCAGCCAGCAGGAGAACTTCGCCCAGGAGACTGTTGTCTCACTGTATGACAAGGTTGTACCGGGCGGAATTGGCACGATCCAATCCAACTGGCAGGCCATCTTCCACCAGTATGCCACCCTTGAAGGATACATTGGCGATGTCATCATCCCCGGCGGTACTTGCACCCACCGCTTGACTGATAGCCCGGCCGTGCCGATGAGCGGCTCTGCCAAGTTGCGTCGTGGCCTGGGACCTAAACCGCATGTTGCTTTGAGCCCCGAGGTTGAGGAGATTGAGGCTATCCCCATGAAAAGCTCCATTACGATGACTTCGTTCGATGAGGCCGGCAAGCCCAATGGAACTTATGTCATCAATCTTTAGAAATATATATAGGCATGGTTAATGAAATAGAATTGTCTTCGCTTCGTATGGTTTCATGGAGGTACTACAATGTGACATGCAGACTGCAATCTGAGCTACTACTAGTAGGATTTTATAACCCAACCTGGCTCTTACTTCATAGTATCTGAGACCGCAGATACCATAGCATCGTCTCGATCAGCCTTTGTTATACCTAGGCCTACAGGTTCACTATGTTTAAAGCCCAATCAATTGGTTCCCCGGGACATTCAGAGATTACCATATCCCCGGGAAGTTTCAGAGCAATTAGCTATCTCATCATATCAGTGAATAGCTGACACCTACGCGGACTCACTGTATGGCTGTATACGGTATTGCATCCCAAGCCTACCTGTGCACCTTTGGATATAAGAGCCTATAGTACCCATATCTCCTATAGAAGGCATTGAGTTACTTGATATGCTCAATTTAGAGTATCAAATATCGTATGTTCTACAGAAGAGTGGACTACAGGTAAAACATCTACTGCATGATGACGATAAATACTGGATTCTCGAGCTGCTAGGTATAACAGACTCATACGCTGAAGCAAAGTATCAAGAATCACCGAAACTTGGCTAATTTTTGAAGTTGAGTACGAAGGTTCATGAGAGTCAGATTTCAGTTCTGTGAGTTGCGAACAAATGATGAAAGATGTGACATTTCTTCCTGTTCAGGCAAGAGCCCTGAGCAGACGTGACACTCCTCCTGTATGTGCCAACGGAGGCTCTACTGGACAATTCGATTCCTGGAGCGGTCACATTGTCACCTTAGGTGTATAAGAATCCTAGTATCACTGCGTTTGCATCATGCTGTTCCTTGACGTCTCCATCACCACTAAGCAATGCTGCGATAATGTGAAGATTTGCTTCTGGCTTTGTTGCCATGACCGTGAGTTCGAGGCTATCTCGAAGAAGAAAGGGGAAAGAAAGCTTGACCAGCAGTCGGCCATCTGCCTCCACAGGGTACTTTCAATTGTATCAAGATCTCCGTCCCACCCATACTTTAAGTACCGCGATATCACGTTTGTGGCGTACTAAGATTCCATACTTTTACCAACTTTATACTTCAGTCAGTACGCCATGGAGTAGGTATTTAAACGCTTAGTAACATCGTACATGTAGATCTGAACAGCGCCTAAACCGGAAGATATGAGAGGATCAGAGACTCCTACCTTGAAGGCACCCAATGTTACCAGATGTAGGTGGCGTAACAAAAATCTTTCCATCCATGAGCGCCATTAGCAGGCATGAAATATTACAGTGACACCGTGCCACATCGAAGGACCATGGTGTACTTTGTACTTTGGAGAAACTTCTATCCAAGCCTCATCGGAACTATGCAAAGCTGAATAACAAAGGCCATGAAGAAACAGGTTGTATATGCCGCTGAGCCGCGGTTGGCTTCACGGTTTACAGTTTTAAGAGCTATGAGCAGGCTTACAGAAAGTTTCAGTGAAGACTCGACGTCAGGTTCAACCACGATTCGATGGGAATTAGGTCAGAGGCCTTTCAATAGGCTGTGCGTCAATTGATGACATGAAAGACAACAAAGAGTTGAACTATGTATTGGAATCTCTACTCTCCGTCTTCACCTATTACAGGGATATATTCACCTTATTTCGAGTCCAGCCCTGTATGCTCTTAGTCAAGTCCATCCGAGAACATCAGTATCGGTCGATGATGACTCGGGAGAACACATCTCAGAGAATTACGGAACAATACCATATCGTCACTAGGTATATGAAGGATCTGCTTGACCGGAGAAATAGCAGCAAGCACCGATACTATAAGAAGCATCTACAATAGCGAGCACATATCTTTAGAGGCTAACACGTATCAACATACTGTCATAGCTTCATTGCTCTTCCAATATCATGGAGCACTATTGCTACGAAAGGCTCGAGGTGGGGTAGTTCGCTCGTCACTGTATAATGAGGATCATTGTTCAAGTAGGCTTCTCACAGGCTGCATAGAGAGTATGACATACCTCTACCACAACCTTCTAAAAGAGGAAATTATTGAAACATAATCCCTTTGCTTGGTCACTCTATGATTCGAACAGACCAATCAAATATCAAGGCGTAAAGTGTATATGACATAGCTGCTGCAGACCTCCGTCACTCACCAACCCTATATTATCCTAGCGACAAGGCTTGAAGTGAGTCCTGTTTTGCTACGATAATCACTATGACGGAACTCTGCGCTCAAGTGCCAATTGATATAGCTCTCCCGAATTGTCAAGCCCCTCCCGAAGCGTTAAGCCATGGCAATAGAGAACCCACCAAAGTCAAAATTAGAGATGGCGGCTATATTGGTTCCCGAATCGTAGCAACTGGCTGTCGGCATAATTCAAGCGTGATAACTTCAACTTCATCGAAACGCTTGAAGAATTTTCATCCCTATTTAATCCATCAATGGTACGAGTTGTGACAGTACGTCTTGGTCAACTATTCGATAACTAGGATGTATCCTGTTTTTCGTGCAATTTGCTCAGCTTTGACACCTGGCAAAGCTTGCGCGGCTTGAGCAATACGCAACGTAAGATAGGCTTGAATCACGCAAATCACGGTGTACCCGCCTGCCCGCCGCAATATGACCATCATTATTGGGTTCAGTATAAGCTACCACAGACACGGCCTCGTTTTCGTTTACATGAGGTACCATTTACTGCTGCATACCGGCCTGTCACTTCTCATACACCACAACAAGTCAAGGGGTTCGGAAGCAAATTCGCTTTTCCGAGTCTGATACTTGCCCTTTCCACAATAGGATCTCGTATAATACGGCCAGTAGCTTTTTTCGTGCAACACTACTTGGATTATCATACTGATCAAGGCCCTCTGTGCAAAGAGTTAGCTAACTTGTAACAAGCTTGTTTGCTTATGAATCATCTCGGAGGCTGTATATCTCCAGACATATTTAGGGTTATCAAGGGAAACAGAGACTTGCAATTGATTCTGCCTTGGCAAAGTACATGCTGAAAGTCGCTTGAACTATGAGAGAAAAGTCTGGTATTTTACAATTGTCGCCATCCTTCTTTCGGCTATATGGATGCTTGATGTAAACGTCTTACAGCGTGATACTGTACTATAACGAACTATTTAGCATATATCTTCCTTGGACATAAAATGTCATATGCTCTGCATTGGTCTCGCTATAGCGCAATATCTGTGTGGAGTACAATAGTTGGTAACTCTCCATTCGCAGACGATGAATCGCAGCCAAGGTTCCCGAGTTCTCTTTGTTCAAGGTTGAATGTACCCGTTTAGAGGCTGCTTGATATACATTGTGCTTGGCAATAACTCACACGGTCGCCCACGATACCACAAGCTCTTACAATCACAATAGTATCCTGCCATCTCTAGCCGCTGACCAACAGAAAGTGCTTGTCGGAGATGGCCCCTGTCGTAACTCCTTGTCAGCATCCTTCGTCCCTAATTGTGGGCAGATGGTCAATACGCTCGTTTGACGGCTCTCCCTCGGCCAACTCCGAGCAGAGCCTTACGCCATTACATGGGGGGCGTGGGATGGAGAGCTCGAGGCGATCGAAGTTTTGGCTGCTGATCAGGGACCATCGCTCTGTTATGCACTGTTGTGTGGATGCAATCGTCCAGGATATTCCCCCCTTGACAGAACGGCCACATGGCAAGTAAATTGCTCTACCCCCCCCTCCTCATCCTTAGAAGTCGGAATAGGAATAGTTGATTGAGAAAAAGAGAAATGCATCAGCTGACGGCGTGGAGAGGTAGTATTCCGTGATCTGTGTTCCAATTGTAGATTGGCGTATCTTCTGTCATTGTTATCCTTCAGCTACGGGAGGCGGAGGCCGATGTGCCCCGGCTTCGCTTGTGGCTTAGTGATTCTTCGTGTCTGACTTAGTGATTCGCCGAGCCCGCGGGATGCGGTCGTGGATGCGGAGGGCGGAGGTGGGTTGGTAAGAAGTTTGGCTCCGGTCCGAGCCTATGGCTGATGAGAACGTGCTGGAGCCTCCCGCGCATTTGCGGCGACTGAAAGGAGCGTCCGCTGTCTCGGTCCCGTGGAATGCGGCTTTCCGAGCGAACAAGTCAATGAAACGTACAGGATTTCTCGATTACAGCCGCTCTCTCATACTTGTTTCCAATCTCGAACAAAGATTCCATACTTAGTATCGCAAGCAACTCCGAGCTCAGGGGATAAACTTGCATGCCGGTATATCCGTATCATTACGAGTCTGTTATTGATGATTCCTCAAAAAAATCTTGGCTATAGTGCGAGTAGTAAGTTTGTGTGCGACTTTATTGCTTCAGAAGATTCTGGTATCGGTAGACCGGCACGCTGTATGTATGGAGAAAGACAAGCCACCAATAATTGAGCTCCTCGTCAGATCAGTGGAACCTAACTAGCTTGATCGGAGGGTTAAACTAACTAGTGGCTCTGTGATACGTTTGCATATCAAATGTAATACTACTCCGATATGCACCCATATAGCCTGTCTGCAGCTCTTGGTTCTGCCTCGGTCTTATTCGGAATAATTTCTCAAAGCAATGACTAAGTGAAAGCACCAGCAACGGTGACATACCATTGCCTTGATAAAGCCATCTGCTTGCGTTCTGAGAGAGAATTCCTGGTACTCATATATTACTAGGGATATTCTCTACTGCACTGGGAATAGCAGCACTAAAAAGGCCCACACGAGGCTATCCAGGGCCCCTTGCAAGATGACTGACTATACGGAGTACGTCATCAACAGACGCTGCCCTTTATCAAGCAGCGCTCTGAATCACTGAGGTGTAGCTTACGAAATATTCAAACGGTAAAAGAGTGTCTTTACTTGGGTGATACTAAGGGATGGAAGGCAATCCGAAGTGGCCGCCGAAAGACAATTTCGGAACTTGAAACGCATTGCTTGTAGATTTGATATCAAACACCCACGAGGATCTGTTCTCTACACCTTTTTGGTCTACTCAGTATACTTGTATACCGTGAGCTTGGCAAACTAGTCGAGACACGGAAGGATGCAACTGTAAGACGTGCATATGTAGAATTTGACAGTGCAACTGTACTTCGTACCAAATACACTCTACACTCTTATGTAGGTACTTCAAGCCACCTTCATGCAAGTGGGGTGAGGAGTAATCACACCCTCAACCAACACGTGTGCCCGGCAAGATGGTGTAGCAGTACTGGTAAGGTAGTATTTCACATGCTTCAATCCTGGATTTCGGCCATTGTGGGCCAGTATAGCTCTCACGGTGCTGTTCGATTCTCTTTCAGGATCGTCAGAGACAGCAAGAATGACATGATGGCTCCCGCCTATAGTGATCGAGAAGTGTATCTAATGCATCTGACAGCTAAGATACCTTGCTCTCATCGAACTCGCGTTCGCCTAGCTTACGTGTAGAACCTAGAGCCTCTCCAAATGGAGATAGATAAACCAACAGTTGACATCCTCATCCCGATGGTGTGCCAGAAACTCTCGCTTGGTCCTCTGCGTCCACTCCGCCAGCAGCGTATGTCCTTCTTGTTCGGTATAAGCCTCACCTAGTCCAACACGCAGAGCCTTGAGGAAGTAGCCGGACACGACCGCCATCAGCCAATCAGTCACCGTTTCAGCGTACCACTCGCTGTCCCTGTCCCGCTTCTTCTGCTTCTCGCCACCATCGCTATCGCTGTCAGTCTTCTGATGCCGCGCCCGCAGTTCGGCACCGGCCGGATGGACCACGCGCTTCTCTGAAATGTCCCTGACTGCCCACTTCCCAGGCACTCCATCCTTTGTCAGGTCGTCGAGATCTTGCAGTTTGCGGTTATAAGTGGGCACTTCAAAGGACGTAGCAGCAGCCATGGGGATCCGCCCGGCCTGGAGCATTTCGATTAGCGCTCGCCGGCAGGAATCCACCAGCCCGGCATAATTTTCTTCCCCGGTAGATGACTGGGCGACAAAGGATAGCACAAGGGCGCCTCCGGGCGCGATTTCCGCGGCTCGATGTTCGAGGAACCGGGACAGGTCTGTGCGGGATTGCTCGCGGAGCACGGATATGCGGGATGTGTCGACAGGGGACTCTCCCTCTGCCAGGGGCGGGACATGCTCCAGGTGGTGTAGACAGGCCAGCGAGAAGCCAATGGCCACGGAGGCTGATGGCGCAATCTGCTGGTAGAAGGATTTGGGCACCATGGCTGTGAACAGCCGCTTGTTCTGCTGCTGACGGGCCTCGAACGTTGCGATGTTAGAGGCGAGGATACTGAAGTCGTTTTCGGGGCGATCACTAAAAACCAGCGTGATTTGTGCATCTTCGGGTATACGGAGTGCTTGTACAATGGTAGAAAAGGGCTCAAAGCTGTGTCGTGGGTTGTAAAAATGGAGTGTCAATGGTCTTACGTTCCATCCGTTCATTAGACCACACAAAGGGATGGGTGGCCTTACGAATTGTTCCCATGGGCCGAGCCGTATTCCGCCACTGTGAGTCGACCTCTCTGCTTCAGGTCGACGGTAATTTGAGAAGCCGCTGTTTGGAGCAGCGGCAGTGTCTCGAGCATGGCTGCATGCTGCAACTCAGAATGCGAGCTATAGAAGCCCCTACCTTGCATAGGCACGTCGTTAACCAGGACGCCATTGACTGCCATGTTGGAGATGAAAGAAAGCTCAAACACTAAGGAAATCTCATATAGAGAGGGAGACAGGCACCGACTTGTTTTCCAACAAGATGAACTCGACCCCTTATGTCTAGGGTCGGCGAGTTTCCTCAGTTGGGAATGAAAGAGCATTCTGGTGAGTTGCCGAAAGGAGTTTCATTCGTCTTACGTTATCCCCTGCCTTAATTTACTATCTACCAATTGATTTGTCTCCTCGTGGTTCCCACATGCTGCCCGGGTTCGGGGATTTTCGCTTTCAAGAACTTCGTTTGACTTCTTCCGCTGAATGTCTGTGATAATGAAGGAAGGGTGCAATTCCAGGCTACGTCTCGATAGAGTGTGTGCGTACTCCGCACGACATATTCTTCATCCATGTCGTGTTCTTTAGATCTCAGCATTACATGGCGCCATCTGCAAGACACAATCGTGACTCGGCATGTCTCCGTCCGGTGGTCGCTATGGTTCCAATGTCTTGACAAGAATTCCAGAATGAATCCTTCAGCCTCTCATTTTGGTATTAATTCAGCTGAGCAATTTGATTGATTCCTCTTCCGTCGTTTTAATAGCGGCACTTGCAGTCCTGATACCACTTGAGACTAAATGTAGGGCAGTGAGGAATCAGCGGCGCGTATGATCTTGGGGCCTTCCTCGGTTGTTGTATCATCCACGTCGGTGCTTTTTTTTCTTCCCCAATACCTTCTGCTCTAGATGCAAAATCATGGAACACTCAGCTTATGGTCCTTGATGTGAAACGATAGCTCCTACAATCACGGCCAGTCCCTATCATATATTTGGGCGAGTCCTTATATAGCAATAGTAGTAGCAGCTTAGCTAGGCGTATGCCATTAGCTTCCATCGTCTAATCACATACTTGCTCCTCTACTTTAAGCACACCACCTCCATTCGAAGACAGACCATTTTTCATAGGCTACTATTCGTCTCACTTATCCCTCTCACAACCATACCATTTCAGCCAAACATGACTTCCACACTTGACAATAACATTACCCCGGACGCTCTTCCGCCCTCACTCTCACACTCGCTCTCATTGGCGTCTTCAAGCGGGAAGGTCCATATTCCCCTTCTGGTGGAGCTCTTCTGGATTCCTGCATTTCTCGCCATTGCCATCTTCCTGCAGATCCCTCAACCAGGCCCTGCGCGGGTCGCATTGGGACTGGGGGTCTTCACTACCGTCTGGACTTATGCTCTCACACACTGGGTCGCTCAGCCGTCGTTCCTCTTCAGTCCCATGTTTGGCTTTGCGGTGACGGTCAGGTGGCTGTACATGGTTGTCTTTGATACGGCAGAAATGAGCTTTGCCTATGTGGCTCAGGGGCAGACTGCCAAAGAGTCGCCGCTTGAGTTCGGATTTTGGAAGAAGATCAAATGGAGTGCTGACCTATGGTTCTCTTGGCGCGGTGTCGGTTGGAACTGGGAGGTTTCGAGCATCCCGCATCCAATTGGGAAGATCACCTCTCGAGGGTATGTTCACGTAAACCCGCCCCAAGTCTTCCCATCTCGTATAGGCCTCCGCTTATCCAATTCTTCCACCAGCCGATGGCTGGCAGTCGAGACTGCAGCCGCCATCGCAAACTTTGCCGCGCAAAAGATTACCATTGATCATATCTTCTGCCGCTATTATCCCTCTAGCAACACCGTCGAAGCTTTTACTGGTCTCTCACTGTTCCAGCGGCTCTGGATCAGCATCGTTCATTTGGCTCTAGGTTGGTTGTTTTTGGACAACGCCAACCGCCTCATTGCCATTGTCGCCGTTGCAGCTCGTCTCTCGCCTCCTGAGAACTGTCCTCCCAGTTTTGGTAGCCTAACGGAATGTTACACAGTCAGGAACTTCTGGGGTAAGGCCTGGCACCAGACTTTCAAATGGGTGCGTACGTCAATCGAGTAAGACTATCTATGATTGGCCGATGCTGACAAGCAAGGGGGCGAGCAGAACTTCAACACCACAGGTGAACTAGTGGCCAGGAGCACTGCAGCCAAGAAGGGATCCTTGCTTCGCAAGTATGCGAAACTCCACACTGCCTTCCTCATGTCCGGAGTCCAGCATTATGTGGCCACCCTATTTGTCCCATCCCCTACATGGGCTTGGGCCATGTGTGGCCAGATGGTCATGTATGCAATCATCATTACGGTTGAGGATACGTTGAAGGGGCTGGGCGAGCGGATGGGACTGAGACCAAGCTGTAAGCAAGCCTCTAATCCTTTACTCTATGTACCTTTGTGAACAGTAACTAAGTCAAGCAGTCCTCACATATCTCGCTGGTTATCTCTGGTGTGCTTTCTGGGTTCCCTTTGTGTATCAGTATGTATTCATCTATGACATTGATGTCGGCTTTTTCGATGGCAGCTGCCCTATCTAGCAGTTATATCAAGCTAGATTCCCAATCCTCTGTATTTTCATTTGTTTCATAAGTCTTTCTGACCTTCATGGATGACTTTCAAGTTGGGATGGTTGTATAAGGATATGTAAATGAAATGCGGGCAATCGAGTGTATTATAAAACGCGAATAAACAACCTAGGAATATTTACCAACTCATCGATCAAGTGTCCGGTGGTCTGGAAACTGGGAGTGCATCTTGAGCCTCTCCGAAATCAAATCCAATCCATCTCGAAGGTCCTCCTCCTCTCCGCGGATGTCCTTGCCGATAATGTTGCTTATGAAAGCTCCAGGGTGACTCTGATCCATGTTCGGACGCGCCTCGTTGATTCGTGCAGCTAACAGCCGGATTTTATGGCGGATCTCTTCCGTATGCTGAGAAATCAACTGTACGAGCAAGGCAATCTGTAGGCGAGGGCTTACTACTGTATGCAGAGTGCCAATTTGAACGGGAACAAAGTCGGATAGCTCGAAGTGCTGTGTCTCGGTTGTCGCCATCGAGTTGACTAGCATGTGTACTAGGTTCTTGTAGCTTCGCAGGATTTGGATGTAGCAGATGAGAGCCAACCTGATCTCCACAGTGTCGACTGTACCGGTAGAACTGTATTGCTGCTGCTGTTGAGCTGCTTGTTGTTGCCGTTTAGGTTGCTTCATGCCAAACGTAGCCCATTCAACGTGGAATGACGGGTCTTCGGCAGATGATATGGATGCATCGCCAACTGACGGTGCGTGAGGTGTGTGTTGCCTCTGATGTGTCGCTACTGGGCTGGATTCGGCCGTACGGGGTGGTAGTATTTGGTTCAAGACCTCGATGAACTTCTGGGCAACCTGGACGGTCTGGTTCATGATGACACGGAGCTCTGCTGCTTGGGGTGGCCTCCGAGTTTGAATTCCGTGAAGTTTCAGTTGGATCTGAGACAGCAGTGATATCGGGTCCATGATGGGGGGATCGGCCAGCTCGGATGGGCAGTGGTCTATTGATCCTATTGCGGAATCACTACCAGCGGCTCCGGGCAACACCATGAGCGAGGGATCCAATGGATCCATGTGTGAAGAGGCCGGTGGCTCTGAGGTTGCTTTGTCATCGAGGAGATCTGACCACGCCTCGTCGTGATAGTTGTTGCATTGACTACCGAAGAGGCCGGGTGTCGCCACAGACATTGTTGGATCTGGATAGTGGTCAAGAGACAGTGGCCAGACATCAAAAGGCGTGGAAACGAGGCTTTGGTTCATGGGAGTTGCGGTACAGGCCATCCTGTGAGGCTCTGCAGTCGGAGAATTTGCTTTGTCGGCAACGTTGTCCACGGAGAAGATCGAGGCCGTGTCCATCGTTGAAGTATTCTCGTCTTGACTTGTTGTTGCCGTCGTCGTCGTCGACATCGATACCGTTGTAATCGTTCTTGAGAGGTCTTGGTTGGGAACAGCCATGAAGCTACTCTCCTGGCCTCTGTATTTGGCTTCCTCCTGCTTGCTTTCCTGCTTCTGCCGTTTGCTCGGCCGTCCTAGGCGGAGAGGAGGACTAAAGACACACTTCTCGCCAGCTTCTTTGCATCGTCGACATGGATTTTCATCATTGGCTGAGGTACGAGTACATCGTTGCTTTCGTTTGTGACATCTATCACAGGACAACCGAAGTAGTTGAGGACCACCAAACAGCAACATGATGAATAAACGGAACGAGCGATGGAGAGATATAGGGAAAGATGTGACAAGGAAGCGGGGTCTGTAAGCAGAAGGAAGATGAGGTGGGCTGTGGAGAGATGATATGAACGATTGGGCCTTGATGAAGGTAAATATGGCTTTCTGTGCCTCCAATATCCGCCCTAAACGCTACTTGCCGCTGTTGCACTTCGTATTCATCTGTGAGCAGTGGCGTCTCTGAAACGATCAGAGTAGTATTATCCGATCTGGAACAAACAGTCCTGCAGGATCTCTCGTGGGCTGACAGGACTGAATGAGCAGCGAGTGAGTCCCCGGGCAGTTGCTGTTCTTGATACAAACAGTCAACCAGGTACCATCAAACAGTACCTGCGGAAGGGCTCGGTGGTCTTTCGTACCTCCAAGGGATCATAAGATCATAGCATAGACGCACCTTGTCTCTCTTCACTTAGCTCACTCCTCCCACCGCGTTATTTATACACCAGGTAGGGAGGGTGGCTGTGGTTCGATGGACAATCTCACGGACGGTGACAGTTATTTGGCCATGCATACCGAACAGGCCATTTTCGTTCTCGCAACACACCAATAAAGCAGAGCTGTGAGATAAATGAATGTAGATTATACTAGGCGCCTTTTGCACAAGCGCTGACGGGGACCAGGGGTGAAGATCACATTGCAGCGAGTAAGATGGTCTGGCAGCTTCCGCACACATGTGCGTATAGGGATGGACGGAATTTCATACATGATTGGGTAGTATCTGGCAAGTAACTAGACTAACAATCGGAACAGGGGCGGTTCCCGATGAGGTATCAGTTTCGAAATAATTGAGGATTTGTTCTAACATCCCAGCAGACAGCAAAAGTGGATAATTATTGACATGGACCAGACGGGCTATTCCATGTATTGGCAGGTTGCGAGCTTTGCAGAGTTCGGAGAGCGAAACGATGTAATGCCCCTTATAAGATAATTGGGATAGTTGTCAACACTCAACTTTCAGCAAGTATTGCCTCGGATCCCATTTCTCATAGCTCAACGAGGTAGAATTCCAGAATTATCGACGCAACCAACATGACCCTGGTTATTCACACAACCGCCCGTATTGTTCAGTCCCAATTCCTTATGTATGCCAGGTTAAGCACGTAGTATTCGCAACTCGCAACAACGCACACAACGCTTCTCGGTAGGGGTAGCATTAGCATTCATCCCCGTTCCCGCTTGCCTACGCAACCCAACATGACTTTATTATATGGGCCCGGTGATCCGCTTACCCTTTCCTTCTAGCTTCAGCCTGCTGATGGGGTACAAAGCGACGTGCTATTGTCAGCGCTAGGAGGCGAAGGATTCTGGTTGCATACGCGGACCCTTGCTTGCTATAATTCCATTGACAAGAGTTCCTGTTTACACACCCTGGATCTCGTCGGTCCTCGTTGCTTTTTGTCTTCTCTACCCCCTGCCTTTAAATGATACAATTGCAGGGTGCGACGACCACCAGCATGACGCAACGGTTAGGTACAGATCGGGAAACTGTGGGCGGAATCGAGCGTTTGCGCTATGCTGAAAGCAAATGTGATGCGTGTGTAAGTGGTTAGGCAACTAGCAGATGGACCAAGGGAGATCGGATATTCCATAATCATTATGCTGCCGACGGACTTTCTACACTAAATGGTTTTAATGTAATCAGGTTTCCGATTTCGTACAACTACTTATACAGATGCCTGTACACCGGTGGCTTACATCGCATCGTGTGCAAAGTTCCGCATCTTCTATCGTGTGCGGGGTGCGATCCCCGTTTACTGGAGTTGGCATCCAAGAACGGCATTTCGTATGCACTTAGCAATCCTGCCATCGAGTATGTTACAGAACTGATAGAAGAACTTGTTGTATGTTTCCTGGAAACAGTGCTATAGGAAGCTTCTACGAGCAACGAAGTGCTGAGTTAATAGACGTCCAGGAGCCTGTCAGGCCTTTCCCTTCACTATCAGGCAATGAAGGAATACAGCCTTACGGCAAAGACGTTCCAGCAAATCATACAGACGGAATCACGTGATCCGTACTCTTCCTTTTCTGATCTTCTTCTCTAATCTCTCATCGGCCAGCCATCTTCGACTGCGCCCCCAACTGTCTGGAACGATGTAGGCATAGAAGGCCACGGTGACAGATCTACATTAAAGCTGAGGGGCTCTCCACGCTGTACTGTACAAGTACTACAGTGGGGAGCAAGTAATTTCGAGCCGCTTCCACAGTGCGCTGCTTATTACATATAAAAATCTAAATATATAACTTCTATATATCTCTTTAATTCTATGTTATATTAAAAAGATAACTATATTTTACATTTCCTAATAGCAGAATAACTATACTATATAAGAATTAATTTTCTTTATAATTATTTAAATCTATTATTTATGCTTAAAGTAAGGTGGTGAGCTTGATATTAAGCGTTTTACTGTATTATGCGCTATAAGACCGCTATAAGCTTGCTACAGCCAGTGCGAATTATAACTGCAAAGTATTGCTACACTTTAACTAACATTTTCCACTTTATAACTATAGAATAAATTAAAAATATATATATATTATAAAATAATAGCTATTAAACTATTAGTAATTTATTTTAATTTTATATTTCATTATATTAGGAGCTCTGTGGCTGTAGTTTAATAAGTAGCATTTTGCGGGGATACTGTGCGCGGCTCGAAACTTTTTGAGACCCACTGTACCTATCCAGTATTACTTCCCATCTCACGCTACGGTCCACCGTGAGGGACGTGCTAAGATGACATATCCCGGCTCTAGCACCTTTCGGGTCCAGACATGTGGAAATCCCGGGATATAAATAAAATAATACGGAGCATAACACAGTTCATCAGCAAAAAGAAGCCGACACGGACCAAACGCCGACACGTTGAAGGGAAATGTCGCAGGTATTTCCGAAAGCAGCCAAATCTGACGATAGGCACACTTGCAAGGGGTATTGTTGCTATTCTTCTCTCATCTTTTTCGCTTGTGCTCTTCTGGACGAATGGAAGTCTCAGAATCTGTTACTGGTTATCAGGGAAAAGGCGCGATTGTGAAGACGGAATAGTCTTGAGTGTTTGTCTTGAAATGATAGCCAGGGTGGCAAAGCGGCCGTAATCTCGCATACTCCGAGGCTTAGTTGACAGTTTCACGACAGGACGCTTATCAATGCGTCTGTAACATTTATATATGGTACAGCGATTTGTGTAGTCGATGCTCTGTAGAATGGGTGTGATGAACATTTAGCCAACCGTGGCAGTTGAATCATCATACGAGCCTTCAGGCCACCCATTCGAGGTATACAGATCGAGAGCCGACAGCTATCCTACGATCTAAACATAGGCGGGCATCGACATGGCCAGTGTATCCGGAGTCGTCTTTTCTCCGCAGAGCCGTGCGCCCTCGAAGCTGTATCTGGACTATATCCGCGAGATACTCACCGGATCGGCCATCTACTCGCCGCTTTGCGAGGCAATCTCGGGGCTTTCCGCAACGTGGTTGGCAATTGCAAACTATCAGCCAAGAATCTCCTCTCTGGAGCAAGGCCTGGCTCTTGCACGATATTTCCCGAGATGGATCGCGACGGGAGAGTCTTCAGGGCTGGAGAGCAGCATGTCGGGGGTCGTCACATTACCTCTCCTGACAATAATACACGCGGTTCAGTATGTCGAGTATCTACGGGAGGCCCGTATCACACACTCGGAACTGCTCCAAGATCTGCGGGCCGGTGGCGCCCAGGGGTTTTGCGCTGGATTGATAATGGCCATTGTACTGGCTACGTCAAAGGACGAATCACAACTAATAAATAATGCAGCGAAAGCCGTCCGAATAGCCTTTGCAATCGGGGCATATGGCGAGATTGGCTGTGATGCAAAGTCAACAACTTCTACAACAATGGTGGTAAGGTTGAGATTAGGCTCTGAAAGAGAGCAAATCAACCGCGAATTTCCAGAGGTATGACACTGTCATTGGCTCCAAGTTTGACTCAAAGGCACACATACTAAACAAAGAAATATAGTCCTATATCTCTGCCATATCCGATCCCAAGACGATAAGCATTATTGCCCCATCATCCCAGATTACCGCCATCCAGGCGTATATAGAGGCACTAGGCCTCTCGTTCAAGATGGTCCACATGCGAAGCAACATCCACAATCTGAACAATGTCACTCTCGCAGAAGAGTTGCTGGAATTTTGCTTGCGAGACGCAGACTGGCAGTTACCCAACAGCGATAATCTCCAAGTTCCTGTACGATCTAATAGGAATGGACAAATTCTTTCGGACTGCTCGCTTACAGCTGAGATCATCAACACTATTCTTACCGCTTGCTGCGACTGGGATACGGTCATGAATAGTGTAGCGCAAGATCTTGGCCGAGCCGGGAAATCCCACCGGATAGCTATGATTGGCCTGGGAGACTGCATACCTCTCCCGCCGTTTCAGAAGAAGGGCATCGAAATCACCAAAGTGGATGCTATGAGCTTCACAGACGACGCAAAGGGACTGACGAACGGTGCCGTCTTCTCAACCCCGGATTCCTTCCCTTCCAATTCGATCGCCGTTGTAGGCGCTGCTTGTCGATTACCGGGGGCAAATACACTGGAGGAGCTGTGGGATCTCATTTCCCGAGGAGAATCGCGGCTGGAAACGCTGCGTCAAGATCGCGTCAAGCTAGAAGAATCCTTCCGGGCATCACAGGACAAGGACTGGGCCACACAGCGAAAATGGTTCGGAAATTTCGTTGACGGGGTGGCTGAGTTTGATCACGGCTTCTTCGGTATAAGTCAGAAAGAAGCGGCATACATGGATCCCCAGCAGCGGCTCCTGCTGACCTGCGCGTACGAGGCGATGGACGCCAGCGGTTATCTCCACAGCCACAGGCGAGAGAATGGCGATCCGGTCGGCTGCTTTATCGGCGCGAGTTATACCGAGTATAACGAGAATTCCAACGCTTACGCTCCTTCTGCATTCGCCGCAACAGGAACGATTCGAGCATTTCTTTCAGGCAAAATCAGCTACCACTTTGGCTGGACGGGCCCCTCCGAGGTCATTGACACGGCGTGCTCAGCGTCGCTAGTTGCTGTTCATCATGCAGTTCGAGCGATCCAGTCTGGAGATTGTTCCATGGCTCTCGCTGGCGGCGTGAATATCATCACCGGAATCCACAACTACATCGATCTCGGCAGAGCGGGTTTTCTCAGTAAAACGGGTCAATGTAAGCCTTTTGATGAAGCCGCGGATGGGTATTGTCGTGCAGACGGAGTTGGGCTTGTTGTATTGAAGCCGCTCAAGCAAGCAATTGCTGATGGGAATCACATAATGGGTGTTATTCCTGCGACAGCTACAAACCAGGGCGGCTTGTCTCATGGCATCACAGTTCCGCATGGAGATGCTCAGAAGGCGCTCTACCGCCAAATCATCAAGACTGCCCGAATTGAGCCGGACCAGGTGACATATGTCGAGTCACACGGGACAGGTACTCAGGTCGGAGATCCTATCGAAATCTCCAGCATTCGCGAAGTCTTTGGAGGAGGGTCCCGACAATCGATTGTGCATATTGGATCCCTCAAGGCCAACGTAGGACACAGTGAAACCGCTGCTGGGGTTGCCAGCCTTCTCAAGGTTCTCACCATGTTTGCTCACAAAGGCATTCCTCCGCAAGCTGGTTTCAAGACGCTGAATCCGAAAATCCCCGCTCTCGAGCTTGATAACATGAGAATCGCCACTGACCTCGTTTCATGGGATGCAAAACTACGTATAGCTTGTGTCAACAGTTATGGGGCCTCGGGAAGTAACGCGGCACTGATCTGTGCGGAATGGATTGCCGAGGGAGAGACACGGAGAGCCGATACGTCGTCTTACCCAGTGTTTCTGAGTGCCCATACCAAGGACAGTCTGAGAGACTCCGCAAACCGATTGGCCTCGTACCTACAGGGTCCCGGAAAAGCGTTGAGCATTGGAAGCGTATCGTTTACTCTGAGCCAACGCAGAAGACATCACCGATTTCGATGGTCCACCACCGTCCAGGGCCTATCTGACTTGACCAAAGAACTGGGCTCTGATGTGGTAGGAACCTGTGTCGAGATCCCCAAGACAAGGAAACCCGTTGTTCTGGCATTTTCTGGTCAGTCGAAGACGAAAGTTGGCCTTGATCCCACTCTCTGTGATGCATATCCCCACTTTCGGAATTACCTGGGGCAATGCAACGGCATACTGCGAAGCTTGGGCTATGCAGACATCATGGCTTCTCTTACTCAAACAGAGGCAGTCACGGACGTCGTCGCCCTTCATGCGGGTACATTTGCCGTTCAATATGCCTGTGCCAAAAGTTGGCTAGACGGCGGATTGCAGGTTGACGCAGTGATTGGCCACAGTCTCGGCGAGTTGACGGCGTTGGCTGTATCCGGTGTCCTATCTCTGGAAGATGCCCTGGGTTTGGTTGCGAAGCGAGCTTCGTTGATAGAGAGCAAATGGGGCTCGGAAACGGGAGCCATGCTGGCGATTTACTCAGACCTCGAGACCGTTCAACGAATCCTTGCGAGCTCAAACACGGTAGCCGTGGAAGATCGCCTCGAGATTGCCTGTCACAATAGCCCTAGCGCTCATGTTGTTGTCGGAAAGCGATCATCTATCGCTCGAGTCGAGAAGCTCATCGATAGTAATCCTCACCTTCACGGCACGCGATATCAGCGTCTCGACGTAAGCCACGGCTTTCACTCGAGGTTGACTGAGCCGCTAATCCCGGATCTCATCAAGTTCTCAAATACTTTGACGTTCAATGAGCCTCTCATTCCGCTGGAGACATGCACAGAGTCACCTGTTCGAAGCATCGCGCCAAGTTATATCGCAGAACACTCGAGAAACGCAGTCTACTTTACTTCTGCCGTTCAGCGTGTCGAAAGCCGTCTTGGTCCTTGCATCTGGTTAGAGGCCGGGTGGCATACCCCAATCATCCCTATGATAAAGAAGGCTGCTGCAAAAGCCGAGATGCACAGCTTCCACTCATTAAATGGCTCGTCTGCCGCCGTCACCAATATCACAGCTGCTCTCTGGAAACAGGGCCTTCCAGTTTCTTGGTGGGCGTTCCTCTCCCTAGAAGAAGACCCAAAGCTCAACCACATCTGGCTGCCGCCATTCTCTTTCCAACGATCTCGCCATTGGCTAGATCATATAGATCGAGCGATCGAAGTTCAGCAGTTACAGGGCTCAATTCAGAATCCCGACGGCCAGGTACTTCAGAAACCAGCTCAGCTGGTAAGCTTTGTCGGCGCTTCAGGGACAGACGATGAATTCCAACTCTTCACACAGGGTGAAAAGTACAGCAAAATGGTCATAGGCCATGCTGTTCGCCAAAGGCCTCTTTGTCCGGCTTCTATGTACATGGAAGCTGCCGTCATGTGCGCTCAGGAAAGAGGCTTCGACTTTGATAGGCAAACGATCCGATTCCGCAACATTGGGTTCCATAATGGCCTGGGGTGCGACGATAGTCGTGACGTGAGCGTTATGTTGGGACTGAATGCGGAATCAAGTGCTGCTGGCGCATGGCGATTTTCGGTCAACAGCTCGAAGAAGGATGACGCAAAGTCTGTGAAGACGAAGCATGCGGATGGACAGTTTGATGCCTCACCAGGGTCGCCCGACTTTCACATATACGAGGCACTGATCCTGGATCGCATGGCGGCCCTTCTCAAGGACCCGAATGCAGAGCACCTTATGAAGAGGACCGCGTATGCTCTGTTCTCGAGAGTCGTCGAGTATGCCGATCTGTTAAGAGGAATCTCCTCCATTACTCTGTCTGAAGGACAAGCTATCGCAGAGATTGAGGTCCCAGGCGAGATGTTCATCAGTCGCGAGAGTACCGTCGACCGTTTCATGGACGCCATATCTCTGGACACCTTTATCCAGGTCCTCGGCTTATTGATCAACACGAGCGGCAAGACTGTAGGCGATGAAATATTTGTTGCAACAAGCATTGAAAACATGACAATTCTTCCCTGCGACTTCTTGAACCAGAGACGCTGGAGTGTATACGCTATGTTTGGCATGGACGGAGATCGACGAGCTGTTGGGGACGTCTTTGTCTTCTCTGCTGAAGGCAAGCTCGTCGTCTTCGGGTCGCGAATCTCTTTTACCAAGATCCAAGCAAGTGTACTTGAAGGGCTCCTTGACGGAAATAGCCCACGACCGATCATTGCGAAATCTCAGCGACCTGAGGGTAAAGCTGTGCCCAATGGAGTTCACGGGGTGCGCGAAGATAACCACATCGCTACGGAAACTTCCGTACATCTTGTCAATACGCCGCCCGAAAACCCTCAAGGTCCAGCTCACAGGTTTGCCGACGTCAAGGTGCTGATAGCCAGTTACATCGGTCTGTCAGCTTCCGACATTGGCGAGGACGAAAGCTTCAGCAGCCTAGGCTTGGACTCACTATCCTCTGTTGAACTTGCCGATGAGCTGCGAGTCAAATTTGGAATTGAGGTTTCGCCGACCGACGTGCTAACAATGCAAGTGAGCGAGCTGAAGAAAGGGTTCGCGTCTGATGATGCGAAGTCGACTGGTGTCAAAGAACCGGAGATAACGAAGCTCACAAATGGATATGTCAATGGAGATGCGAATGGACATGTCGTGCAAGCCAGTGCGCTGGCAAACGGCCGTGTGAATGGGCAAGTAAATGGACATGCCAACAGCTATACAAACGAGACCAGCGGACATCATCTGGAGAAGCCATTGAAGCCGCGACAGTACACGAGGCACCGTGTCGAAACGGTCACTTACAAAGAGATTGACGGCATCCAGATCCCGGCAGACATCTTCATCCCGCTAGAGCTACCCTCGGAGGCTATGCCCATAGGTACCTACCAACAGGCCGACTAATCCCCCATGACAAAACTGACTATCAACAGCACTCATGATTCACGGCGGTGGCCATCTAACGCTCTCGCGGAAAGCCATTCGGCCGTCTCAGACATCGTTTCTACTGGCGAATGGGATTCTGCCTATCAGTCTGGATTATCGACTTTGTCCTCATGTCAACATCATTGACGGACCTATGGCAGATGTGCGAGATGCCTACGCCTGGGCAAGGAAGGATGTTCCCCTGCTGCTACAGGAGAAAGGCATAAGGGTGGACGGCTCTAAGATTGTCGTTATTGGCTGGTCCACGGGAGGCCACCTCGCATTGACTACTGCTTGGACTACCCCCGCCCTGGGGTTGCCTCCTCCGTTGGCTATTCTAGCGTTTTACTGCCCTACACATTACGATCCTTCAGGTATGTTTAGGCCATCTCACTTCTTTTTTTCTTTTGTAAGGTCAAGTTTACTAAAGATGAAACTAGATGATTCATTAATGATGGGCAAAGAATATCAGCCTCGCACAATGTCCATGTCCGAAATACGAAAGGCGTTAGGAACGCAGACGGTATGTCCTTTTGCAATCACAGATCCAGATATCAGAGGTACTCAGACATCAAATATATACAGGCGACAAGTCACGCATTCAGTAGGACTGATACGACCGGCTTGGGCTGGCTCCAACGGGGAGATCCTCGCTCAGAGCTCGTCCTCGCTCTTGTCAAAGAGAAGAATGGCATGGCTATCCTCCTAGATGGGATTCCTACTGATGGGGACACTCTACAAGCCCCTGAGCCACAGCGAGTTGCAGCAATCAGTCCGTTGGCTCAGGTCCAAAAAGGCAACTACCATACGCCGACGTTTGTGATAATTGGCGATGAGGATGAAGTTGTTCCCTTTCACTCGTCGGTTGACTTCGTCGATGCTTTGAGCAAGCAGGGGATCAGACACGGGTTCATTCCGGTGCCAGGTCAGCGACACATTTACGACTTGACGCTTACGCCAGGGATGGCGGAATGGGAGCAGTGGGTGGCTCCGGGCTACAGATTCTTGTTTCAGATTCTTGGTATCATTGCTCAGTAAATGTCTCTTTAATTTCTTAGAGAGGTACGGCGTTGGTCCTGGGTCTATGGTTGGCGCAGGCATTTGGTGAGGACTTGCATAAACAGTGGCTATTGGCGTACGAGCATTTGCGGAACAGAATTAATTACGGTTCACTAGCTCTTATTTACAAGCATAAAGAGATCGGTTTAATGTAAGAATGCGGAAACTAACTCGTTGACTGCACGCCCAGGGCTAAAAGTCCATGAAGCACACTAGAACGGCAAAATCCTGCACTCTGGGTGAAGCCAGAGAGTTGACACATCCCAGCAACTTCTGAATTGAGAAGGCTACCTAAGTGTTTTTTAAGTTACCAACACACCACAACCAAACCGTTGTCCTTATTGGCGGAAGATCCATGCACAAGTTTCCGCATCTCTTAATCGCCGATGTTCTAATATCATGTTCCCATCGGTGAATTCCGTGGTTTCTACTGACCTGGCCCCAGTCAAGACACTGCCCGGCAAAGCTATGCATATCGATATAAATATATTAGCAAAGGGACAAATTATGTCGACTCAAATATGCCAACTCGAGTGTACGTTGATGCTATTTGGCTATTAATATATTGTATGCTGACGAACGTATCTTGTCACTTATCAATGTCGATTCTATCAACAAAGCCTGTTCATTAAGTGAGGTACCCTACTGATCTCCAATAATTGACGTATCCAGCAATGGTTTCCTTATCCAAGGCCTTGAGACTACGCAGTGTAGCCGAGCTTTTGCGGCTCACATCGGTGCCCATGACGACCGCCCCAGAAGACGCGATGCGGAAGTAAAGCTTAAAGAACTCGTACAGTTTCTTAACGGGATAAGCGTCGGCGTCCCTATCGTTCGTAGAGGCGACCTGCTCCAGCCAGTCGTCAAAGAGGAGTGTATCTGTGATGCCGAGCTCGTTCCCGATAATGCCCAAGACCTCTGTCCACGGTTGTCTGACGGGGTTCTCCACGTGGGCGACCAAGCCTGGGGCATCTGGGGCGAGCAGGAGTTCCGCCACCGTTGCCGCGGCATCATCTACTGGGATCCAGGAAACAGTCTGTGATATCAAGCGTTAGTGCTTACCCGGTTACAATTGAGGGTGTGTATGTTCGCCGACGAACATGGGAGGGGGTAAGAGAGAGGGTTATGCATACGCCTTCAATCGTCGGTAGGATTCCTAAGCCCTGCGAGGTGCGGACAAGCATGGGGATCTGCTCAGTCACATTCCAGGCTCCCGTCTTCCGAGAGCCAGTCAGCTGTCCGCATCGGACAATTGTGACCTCCAGGTTGTTACTGTAGAGTGAGGCCGCCTCTTCGAGCATCTTCTCACAGACTAACTTTGCATCGGCGTATCCGATGCCACAGGCGGCGCTTTCCACGTCCAGCGGCTCTTCCGGAATGGTCTTCCCAGGAGCGATGAGCCCCAGCTTGGCGAGGGCAGATATGGACGAGATGAAGAGGAATCGGACCTTTTGCGGTGCTTCAACAGCGACTTTCACAAGGTTCTTGAGGTAGGCGAACTGGTAGCCGAAGGATGGCAGCCGCATGTGAAAGTCCATGGGCCAAGCTGCGTGTAAGACGTGAGTGATTGTCCTGGACATCATGCCGATGACCATTGGAGGAAGTCCCAAGCTGTCTGCGGTCGGGTCAATTTCCAGGGCCGTGATCTTTGCCCATTGATCGTCGGTCAGTTTGATGCCCTTCGTCTCTAAAGCGACTCTATCGACTTTGGCCGCTCCTGGAATAGGGCTGATGACGCTGCCTGGGCGTTTTCGCTGCAGACAGACAACCTTGCCGACTTGAGGGGACTTGGCAAGCTCTCCCAGAGCGTGGGATCCCAGACCTCCTGAACTGCCTGTCAGAAGCACCACTGCTCCCTGGATAAGCTTGGAGAAGGCCCCAGGGGCTCCGTCCTGAATTTGAAGGCCTTTGGTGGAATACTGTTGAGCATAGCTTTCAACTTCCTTTGCAACAGATACGCTCTCTGTGTCCGTAGAACCACTGACTTGTCTTAGAGCATTCGCAATGGCTTTGACTGTGGGATTCACGTATATGAAATCCTTTCCAATCACATCCTGAGGCGTTTTTGAAGCAGCTGAAAGAAGAATTCGTCGCAGCGTTGTTGCTTGTAGAGAGTCGAGTCCCAAGTAGAAGAGATTGTCATCAATTGTCCACGCATCGGCCTTGACTCGCAGTTTCAATCGCTTCTGAATTAGTTCTTTGAGCTCCTGCTCCAGGTGGTCGTAGTTGAGCGGTGCTTCCTCAATGGCGCCATTCTCGAGGTCCTGATACACCTGCGCGATTTCAGCCTCAAACAGTTTAAAGACCTCTTTTCGAGCAATCGATCCCTTGTCGGTTCTCGGAATTGTGACGGTCGACGGAACGACAATGACGGCAATGGGCGAGTAGATCCTCGCGGTGGCATCCATGCGCTCTCCAGCCTGGACAATGATAGGCCAGATCTCCTTCTTAAAGTCCTCCTTTTCATCGTCGTTGATGGGACTTGCAGGCTCCACAATGACACCAATTTCGAACTGATTCTCACCAAAGGCTATTGCCGACTTGGCCAATCCAGACTCAGTCAAGGCAGTTTCCAGCAGTAATGGGTTGACCTTTTCACCAGTCGCAAGTACGACCACATCGTCGTCTCGTCCCACGGCGGCAAAATCCGTCTCGGGGAACTTTTCGCTTCGAATTAGTTGATCTGCAATCTCGAATGGCTTCTCAGCGCCGAAAGGGAAGACTGTAAGTCTAAACCTTTTCTCGCCATTAATGGGCGGGAGCTCTGTGACCTTGAAAAGCATGTCCTTTCGCAGTCTGAAGTACTTCCAATCGTAGCCATCTTTGGGCGCAAATGTCTTCGTCAACGGGCCTGTTTCCGTCGTCCCGTAGAGGTTCAGTAGCTTGATGCCCGCAGCTGCTGCAGATGCTCCGAAGCCAGCGCTCAGAGCACTTCCTCCCGTTCCAACAAAGTCCAATTTGGCCAGAGCCTTCAGACCAACTTCATTCGGCAGAGCAGCCATGTCTTCGAGCAGAAAAGGCACAGTCAGCATGCCGGTTGCGCCAGAGGTGTTGATAAGGTCGACAATCGATTCCGCATCGGGAATTCCGTCAGAAGCAGGGAAACACACTGTCTTTCCAATGGCCATCGACAGTCCTGGGGCCAGAAGGCCAAATCCGTGGAACAAGGGTAGTGTAGAAATAACAATGCCTTGAGCCTCCTCCTCCGTATCAAAGTCACCGTGACTGACGGAAAATACGAGCTGTCTGTGAGTGAGGGCGATCGGCTTTGGAAGGCCTGTCGTTCCAGAGGAATGCAGAAGCACAATGTTGGCGTCGACATTGTCCGGGTAAACAGACTGTCTCTTCACCGCTTTGTCTGCTGAGACATCATAGAAAGTGCTGTACGGCTGACCAACGTGAATGTCGATGATCTTGACGTTGCCGAAAGCTCCCTTTGTGGCCAAGGCGACTCTCTGAGAAACGATGAGGGATGAAGCTTCAGTGCTTTTCAGGAGGTGGAAGATGGCCTCAGGACTCAGACGGGCGGAGAGGACAAGCGGCTAGCAAGGTCAGATTCGAACAATGAGGAAATACGGGAGGGAGGGGTACCACGAACGGGGATTCCCATGGACACGAGAGCAAACTGGTGCACTAAAAGACCAAAGTCACTCTCCATCAGCAAAGCAACTGGCGGTCTTTCTGTAAGGCCATTCTTTGTCTTAATCTCCGGCAGCTTGACATTGTCCGTAATCCATTGGGCGCACTGGTCGATAGCGACCTTGAATTGGGCATTGGTGACCTTAACCCATGGCGCGTTTGATCGAGCCTGAATGCAGAGAAGGTGATCGGGGTTGTGGACAGCATTGAAGTCAACCAGCTCTGGCAGAGAGTGGATGTAGTTCTCCTTTCTCTCCGCAGAGAAGAAATCGACATTGGCCTTCGCAAACGGACGCATAGTATTCGCGTATCGTGGGCACTGTAACGTTGGCTAGGTAATGGCTTGAGGTGTATAGGATCCTCGTAGAGAGTATGGATATGTTTATATATAACTACGCTATGTGATGTAGTCCACGGCCACCATATACGAATCGGTGGAATATCACCGACACTGTGCTATTTTACGACTTGGGCTCCAGGTAGTAGTATCGGACGCTTGGCTACCCGTAAATTGACCAAACTTCATTTCACACGGTACCTTGCGCTATAGGTGACATATATTCCAAGAGCTTGGATTGTGTCATGCAAATTGCAATCCATGTCTAGGGTGGACGCAAAACTGAAGATCGCGGAGTACGCCTTGATGATATTCCGCAAAGCTGAAGTTGACCGGAAAATACGGCTATGTCAGCACAGGAGAACTGTAAGCGCAGCAAAACGATGCTTTAACCGCTGTCTCCGTTGGATGGTAATACTCCGAGCTTATAATTGCCGGCTGGTATGACAGAGTCGCCTCGACAACGCTTTGCCAAGTGGATCAATCTGTATTATTCCTCTATGCTACAAGTAGTCATTCGTAACGGAACTGAGAAGGAGACAAAAGCGGCGTCTTCGCTGTAAGGGTTAGAAGCTGCGGCGCTTCACCTTGATCATGTATCGCGGAGCTTCAAGCTGCTGCGCAACCCGAAACACTGTGGTCTCATCCTGCCCAGGAACATACTCGAACTCGAAGCGCCGGAAGAGGCTAACTAGCGTCAAATGCATCTCTTGCAGCGCGAAATGCTTTCCGATACACACGCGGCTGCCGGCGGAAAAGGGCCAAAAGGGAACTTCGTTCGTCTTCCCTTTTGCGTAAATGTCCAGCCAGCGCTCCGGCAGAAATTCCGTCGCGTGAGGCCAGACTTTTTCGTCCATGTGGACGTTCTGGGTGGATGGGAAGACTGTTGTTCCCTTGGGGATACTGTAGCCCAAAACCTTTTCTTCCTTCAGACACTCTCGGGGGCTACCCGTTGCTTGGCCGGGCACGAGACGCATCGTTTCATCAATGCAGGCTTGAAGGTAGGTCATTCCAGTAAAGCTGTACTCGCAGTCGACGATCTTGTCGGGATCTGAAGGCGGATACCACTCGTCCACCTCTGCCACAAGCTTGGCCATTTTGTCTTTGTGCTTCGTCAGCATGATGAGCGTGAAGATCTCTGCGTTGGCCGTGGTTTCGCTGCCCGCAGTCAGCAAAATAACGGCCTCGTCTTGAATGTCTGAGCGGCGGAAGGTGGAGCCTTTAGCATCATCGCCAGCTTCTACGAGCTTCTGCAGCAGATCCTGCTTGTTGCTCGTCTTGAGGATTGCCCTTCGGTTCTCCACGGCATCGGACGTAAACTTGTCGACATAGGGATCACGAGCCGGCAAGAAAGGGATCTTTCGAATCCAGGGCACAAGCATCAGCACTCCAGCCAGCTTCAGCGCCTTCTTGATCTGGTCTGGCAGAGGGTGCGACCCGTTTTGCACGACTTTGAAGCTCTGGCCAAACGTTGTGACGCCAATGATGTCGACAGCCAAGCTCTGTATGAGATGTTGCATGTCCACTTCAGCCGGTTGGTCTCCTCCACAAAGCGCATCAAGCTTGTCAACAGCTGCGCTGATGCATTCCAGCATGAGCGGCTGCATGCTGCGGATGTAGCGCATGCCAAACATGGATGAAATCATGCGCTTCCGCACCGAGTAAGCCGATTTGTCGGTAAAGGCAATCAGCGTCGGACGCTCAGGATCTTGTCTGAAGTTGCCATAGACGGCCTCTGACTTATGCCAGTCTTGCGTCTGGATGATGCGCTTCACCTCAGCATGGTCAGAAACGGAGATCATGTCCGGTGCTAACACGACGATGGGGCCATATTTCTCGTGCAGCCTATCTGTGAAGTGATGGCTACGGACTGTCAATATCTTCGTTGCCAATGTGAGAGAAGAAGTCATACCTTGCTCCCCTCAGAACTGACAAAGTAAATGGCCATGATGTGACCTTGTTGAGAAACGGGCCAGGAATTTTCTGAATGGGTGAGAAGAATGCTTTCAGAAACTGGTACAATTAGCTCACCACTCGTTCGCGGGAATATGTCGTTCTCAAACTTACACCAAAGATGCGCGGAAGGATAAAAACGACGAAAACACCAGCTAGGGCCACCCTTGTAGGGGTGAGGCTGTTCTGGATCGACGACCAGTCTACTGCGTCCATTTCGCCAATCATGTGACTCCAGAGAGCAACGCAATTCTTCAGCGTTTGCTCTGCGGCAAGCATATCATTTTAAAGCTAAATTTCCTACAGGAGCTGTCAGAGTAGCATGATGCGATTGGCAATGTCGTTCGATTCCCATTGTGGAAACTCGCCGATGCTGGTATCACAAGCCTAGACGGAATGGTTGTGTCGGGCTTGCGATTCGATGGGTTTCCAGTGCATATCAACCAGGGAGTGGAGGGGCTCCATATTGGACGATAGTGAGCAAATGCGAAATACAGCAGTGTGTGCTGCTGACAAGGGGTGATTTCAATTCCAAAATGTGAGTTTTCCTTGATATCAGCGGCTTATGGCTTGCTTGTTTTTGCGCGTCCCAGGAGAGGCAAAGCATTAATCACTAGCACATGCCCTGTACAACAAATAATTCAGGAGGTAGAATGAGAAAGTGTAAAAGTGACATTTTCACGTAAGTCTATTACCTTCAAAACTTGTCTAGTTCCATCCGATGTGGGAAATTGCTGCCTGCCACTGTCTCACCGATAATAGTATATCGATTTGATCTGGCAATAGCTCAACAGTCCCTCAAGCCCATACTCAACCCCGATTCCGCTCTGCTTGTGTCCCCCAAACGCAACAAACGGATCTGGTTGAGGAGGCCCATTGATAAAAATATTCCCTGCCTCTAGTCTTTTCGCAATGTCCTCGGCAACTTCCGGTCGATTCGTCCAAACGCTCGCCGCGAGCCCACTTTCTGTGTCGTTGGCGAGACGGATTGCTTCGTCAATATCTGAAAAGGGGACACATGGTATGATGGGGCCTGCCACTATCAGTAGTTGCTTAGGTACGTCGTTTATTAATAGACTTACCAAACTGTTCGTCCCTGACAATAACCGAATCAGAAGGCGGATTATCTACTATCGTGGGAAACGCGTAGAACCCTTGCCCATCGCGTATCCCGGCCTTTTCCGTTCTGATTCTATATCCGCGGCTGCTCATATCTTCAAACAACGCCTTTAACTTTTCCAATTGCATCTTATTCTGTACAGGCCCGACGTTGGCCACGACATCTTCGGCGGTGGAGTTTGTGGCTCGTGTAAGTGCGTCGACAAAGGTCTCGTAGATGGATTCGTGGATGTACAATCGGCGGCTGGCGAGACATATCTGACCTGCATTGAACCATAGGCCCGCAGCTATCAAGGGTGCAGTTTTTTCAACGTCGACATCCGGAAGAATGATCGATGCGTTATTACCGGCCCTGTATGTCTCATTCTTAGCTATCGATTCGTCTGTCCAGGGGGATACTCGGCAAGCTGCTGTACATTTCTAGGGTCAGCCTCTTAACTGTCCCGGCACAGGCCTCCATAATTTTCTTGCCAGCAGTTGTTGATCCTGTAAATGATATCTTCTGAATTCCTGGATGGCGGACAATGTTGGGACCCAGTTGATCATCTCCTCCCAGGACTTGGATGACTCCTGGAGGAAATACTTGCTGAGCCAACTCCACTAGTTTCAACGCTGTATACGGAGTAAAGGGCCTGTTTACAATCAAAATCTGTCACATTGTTGGTTTCTTTTGCCGATGCCAGGAGTACCTACGAAGGCTTCACAATGACACAGTTTCCTGTAGCTACCGCCGGAGCAATCTTGCCAATTGCTGTATTCATTAGGAATACAGTGATGAGCTGGAACTGGGGTCAACGTACCGAGCATTAGAGGAACTGAGGGCAAGCGTTGAGTTAGCAACACGATCTCCGCGGCTGAGACAGAGAGACTCACAATTCCAGGGACATATTGCCGCCACCACCCCCAGGGGCTCATATCGGGTGACTGTATATTTCCCCTCGTCCTCTTGTCTCTTCTCGGGGATTTCGTACTTTGCTGTCAAAAAAGGTTAGCTTGTTCCAATCACTAATAGTTTTTGGTGTACTAACATGGATATCTAAACCAGTTTGCCGCCCAATGCACCTCAATTGCATTCACTTGAACCTAGACTCGATATGAGCTGTGGTTCTGTCATGCTGAGTTCCTCAATACTTACACTTCGTCCGGTCTCTGCGCCCAGAAGCTCAATAAACTGGTTTGCATGTGCCACGTATAAATCGGCAAACTTTTCAAGTAATTCGGTTCGGTCTTTGTACGATTTAGCCGCCCACGGACCAAATGCTTTTCTTGCAGCAGCAACCGCATCGTCGATATCCTCGCTGGTAGCGACAGGAGTCTGCCACAGCGAGTCGCCCGTCGCCGCGTTTGTACCAGTGTAGAAACTGTCGGACGTGCGAGGTACACCGTTCACGATGTTTGCAAACTTGGTGAAATCGATACTACTCATGGTTCCGGCTGCGATGATATTATTAGACATAGGACGTTGTTACTGGGATGCCGCAGGCGCGATGACTCTTATTATTATCATTGGCTAGCATTCCTTTCTGTACGTTGTAGTATTTTTTGTAAGGCCAGCGCTTAATGGGCGACTCTTTCGGCGACTTTGTATGGATTCGCTTAGTGCAGCCGCAAACAATATGTACCTCATCTCGTAAACGTTGCTGAAGAACTACAGGTCTTCACATTCAATTTACGCAAAGGCTTCGAGGAAGAAGCGAAGTCAACTCTAATTCCTCGGCAGTTGGCAAACTTTATCTAGGTAGACTTGATAATAGAAAATACTCTAGTAACATCTACTACCGATTATTAAACCTACCTATTTAGGGCCTATCGCAATACATGTAGTTGTCGTCCCAATTTCGTCCCGCTGAGACATCAGAACAAGCAGCGCTCCTCATCCACCAATCAGTAGTACAGTCTGCAAACCCTCTCATATGATTTGATGAAATTGCCTAGATTGTCTGCCAATCCCGACTTTCCTCTGCTCAACATATTTGAGCCTTTCCCATAGAGTGCGGCATTCCTCAGTCATTGACCTGAAAAAGAAGTTGACCACTAACAGCCAGAGCCTGATGCACGTCAGTCCTTCACTTTCCCATTTGGTCGGGCCTTTTGAAATGCAATACTACTCTCCAACAGAGTGAAAGTCGCCGACAAATGCGAGGGATGGAGGCAAAACGACAATTGCAAATTCATAAAGCTTTAGTCTGGAGCCTAACTCTCGAACATCTCTTGCACGCAAAAAGGGGGAGAAGAAGTTGAACTCACCATCCCGCCAGACTCGATCCAGGCAACCAGTGAGAGAGTTATCATCATGGACGTTGAGAAAGAGACGGGGCCGGCCCCAGCCGCTGTCGGGCCTGAGGCGCCACCAAAGGACGCTCGCTTTTGGCTCATCTTCGTAGCCATCAGCTGCGTGACGTTCCTCGTCGCTCTTGACACGTCCATTATTTCGACGGCGCTCCCATCAATCACGGCCAAGCTCAACTCGGGCGAGCTCTACGTATGGATCATCAACGCGTACCTCCTCGCATCGACAACATCTGCGCCGCTATTTGGCCAGGCTGCCGATATCTTTGGCCGCCGAGCTGCTGCCGTGACATCTCTGATCCTGTTCGCTGCGGGAAGCGCCATCTCTGGAGCCGCTACAAGCACGGGCATGCTGATTGCCGGACGGACAGTCCAGGGCTTTGGTGGCGGCGGCATCGCGACTTTGTCTGAAGTCGTCGTCTGTGACCTGGTGTCTCTGCGTGAGCGAGGACAGTATGCAGGCATTATAAGCTCGGTCTGGGCCATTGCCGCCGTGGTTGGCCCCATCATTGGTGGTGCTTTCACACAGCACGTCACCTGGCGCTGGATCTTCTACCTCAACTTGCCAATCTCCGGCGTGACGCTTGCCTTGGTGCTGGTGCTTCTCAAAATGCGAAACCCGCGCCAGGGCACCATTGCCGAGCGTCTTGCATGCATCGACTGGGCTGGATACGCCATCCTCACGGCTTCCGTCACTTCAACCCTGCTAGCCCTCACATGGGGAGGAACCTTGCACGCTTGGTCATCATGGCGAACCATTGTTCCATTGGTGCTGGGTTTCGTTGGCCTTGTTGGCTTCTTCGGCTACGAAGCAACGTCCTGGGTCAAGGAACCCGTGATACCTCTGCGTCTCTTTGGAAACCGGACAGCGGCCGCGACACTGGCCATCAGCTTCGTCCACAGCATTCTCCTCTTCTGGGTGTGCTACTTCCTGCCGGTATACTTCCAAGCCGTGCTCAATGCCACCCCTGCCAGATCAGCCGTCATGCTGTTCCCCATCGCAACGACGACGGCACCTGCCGGCATCATTTCGGGCGTGATGATTACCAAGACTGGTCGGTACCGACGATGGCACTACATTGGCTTTGCGCTCATGGCCATTGGTTGCGGCCTCTTCACCCTGCTTGACGAGCACTCCTCGACGGGCCGCTGGGTCGGCTTCCAGATCATCTTCGGCTTTGGCTGCGGCTTCGTCTTCACCAGCTGTCTGCCTGCCATCTTGGCCAGTCTGCCAGAATCCGAAGTCGCACTCGCCACGGCTACGTGGACGTTTTTGCGCAACCTGGGATCCATATGGGGTGTTGCCATTCCTTCAGCCATCTTCAACGCGCACGCTGACAAGGTTGCTCGTACCGTTTCCGATGCCTCGGTGCGTCAGCTGTTGCTTCGCGGCGGAGCATATGAGCACGCCACCCGCACCTTTGTGGCCTCTTTCGTGGGCAATGCGGCTCTTCACCAGAAGATTCTTGATCTGTACGTGTCGAGCTTGAAGATTGTCTGGCAGGGGTCCATTGGCTTTGCCGTCTTTGGTGTCGTGCTCGCCGTTGTACTTAAGGCGTACAAGTTACGTGACGAGCTCAACACCGAGTACCGGCTAGAGAGTGGAAGCAAGGAGGCATCTTCTTCAGAGCCGGCTACTGAGACCACGAGCGTGGAGTTGGAGAAGCCGGCAGAACAAAAGTGAAGCTCGAATTGATGTGACCTACCTACTTTAGTACATAAGGTAGCGATCAAATGGAATTTCCTGTCAACAGATACCTTACATACCTTAACTTTCATAACACTGCATACAACCATACAATTTGTAATACACCAGCGTTGCAAGTATTGTCGCCTTTGCGTTCGTAGTTTATAAAACCAGCCCTGCGATCCATTGTTAGCAGTCCAGGTTATAGCAAATTGTCCGATATGTTTTGAGCATCAGACAACCTTCGGATGAATGGATGTTACCCTGTTCGCCGAACCCTTGCACGAAAGACATAGCATCAGCCTCCACGATCGGCGTTGTTCAGCCCTTCGAGTCCGATTCCCACTTCGGGCCGCCTCTTCCTCCCTGAGTGATGCTGATATGGCATGATTTTGATATATTCGCATTCGCTCATTAGCAGCCCGCCTTGTCTAATTCTTCCAAGTCTTTTCTATGCTATTTTTCCCCGCTTTTCTCCCCGCTTTTTTCTTCTTTCTTCCTTTGAAATAATTATAATAACTATAATAATACTAGATATCAATTCCATTTCTGCCCTATTCGTTATAGATAGCGTGCCTCTATCTTCGGTACATTGTGAGATCCTCTCTTCCTAGACCGTAGTTACTCCAAAGTACGATAATCTGGAGCACGAGAGGTCTGTTGCAACTTCGCATGAAACCTATGCGCAAGGAGATTACCTTTGACGTTCACTGTCATGAGCTACAGGTTAGGAGCCATGTCGTAGTAGTGTTTTAACGATGCGAAAAATTCTGAATTTCTTTTCTTCTTCCTCTTTTGGGTTCAAAATTTGGCAGTCGTTATCTAGGGTACACCGTGTCTCGTCCTCCTCCGCAACTTATACCTTACACATTGAGCTCCGCCTGATTAGGATATGGAGACGGGCTTTGGACCTTGGGCCACGTTGTAGAACGAAGAGATCAAAACATTTTCTCTAATCATTTCTCAAATTCACCATATAGGCTTCCTTGTCTCCTGATGATTGGCTATTCGGCATCTGACCACCACTTTTCAAGAAATTGCCGAATTGTAGTAAACTTGTAGTCGGAGAAAATGCTGTTCCACTCATCAGACACCTCCCAGCTACCCTGATAAATAGAGACAATCGTCTTGGCTGTAAAGATCTTTGCCGACGACTCTCTCAGCTCCTCAGGAACCGTAGGGTGCTCCATCTTTGGGTGCCAGCTCGCAGTTAATCTGCCGGCACGAGCTTGGACAGATTTGATTGTTTCGACAGCAAATCTTCCACCTATATTGTTTCATTCATGTTAATGAAGCACTTGACAGGATAATAAGGATCAATTACCTCGAATCTCTTCTCCCAATGCAATGAGCTCTTGCTGGGAGATCCGGTCGCCTCGTATCCCTCCCACCGTTGGCCATTCTCCTTCATAGTCAACAGCCTTGGCAACGATGTTTGCCACATCTTCCATCGTCGTCATGCTGAAATAGCCGGGACTCTTGGCATCACCTAGTATGATAGCCCGATGATGATCCATATCGATGTGGATGCCCCAAATATCTGCATATTTGGTCGTCTTCTGAGGGAAGGCCAGATAGTTCATGAGCATTCCTGGTCGGAAGCAGCAGTACTCAAGGACCTAGGAACAACGTCAACCTCCACGTTAGCAAGCTGATTCGCTCGACTGTGGCGCAGAGACAAACCGCTTCATCCTGATTTATCTTTTTCAGATACTGTTCTATCGCGGTCTTACCCGCGTACCATGGCAGGCCATTAGTGGAAGCTCTATGAAACGCGTCAAATGTCAGTGTTTGGCAACAGTACTAAAGCGCGCAGACCGAAGTATACAGACCCTGCCCAATCACTAGGAGCAAAGCGTTTGACGCCTGCTTTGACACATGCGTCAATCAAATTTCGCTGCGCTGAGTTGCCCTTGTCTTGAGCTACTACGATGAATGAGAGGACTGTATGCACGCCTTGCAGGATGTCCACCAGCCTTCGGGTATCGGCATAATCTACAACCACCCATGATACTCGCGATTGTAACTCCGGAACATTATTTCCCTTGTCACTTTATTAGCATCATTCGTTGGATAGTCTTGTGAATTACTTGCCTTTCGAGAGATTATCGTGATGTCGTGTTTTCCGGTGGATAGGAGGGCATCCAAAATCTCTCGTCCTACGCCCCCAGAGCCTCCTGCAAGTGCAATCCGAACCATGGCTTTCCTTGCGGTTGCAACTGTTCGTTTGTGAGTTCCGCTTTTGGAAATTTATTCGGAATATTCCACACCTTTTTTCATCCACAGACTTATTTTATATGATTTCTATCTTGTGAGCGACCAGAATTGCGTCGTGCTTTCCGACAAGTGGCACGAAATCACTTCCACAAATCACGGTACTCGATACGAGCACCACCATGGCGCAAGACTAGTATACGTTATCGTACATTAAGCCTGTCTCCCCATAACTCAGGATTTCCCGAGTTGTCGGACCACGAACGCTCCCTTGTTTTCGCCGATCGTGGGTCGGTTGCCATCGAGCGTCCGCACGGTAGCGCTTCCTTCTAGAAAGTAAGAAGTACCGCCACCCCATTGAAACGCGGTAAACGCCGCAAAAATTACTGCATCTGGATTGCCACATGGCTGACAGCGCCTAGCTCCATTGATGTGTCACTTGGTCAGCATGCGGAGTAGTACTCCATACGTCCTGCGGAGAAACTAGCATGGATTCCAACTGTTCCCATACATTGGCGCATGGAGTTGAACAGGGGTTTGTCCATAGCCCCGGGAGTTGTCATCTTTCCACTCTTACTTTTATTCCCTGTCTAATAAAAAGCTCCAGGACTCATTGTCTCCGATCTCTTCATGGAGCCAAACAGAAACGCCCCGATGGACTGTGCCTGGTTGCTCAGGCTCACGTGGGGCTCCTTCTTACTACATGTATGTTATGGCTCGAATTCCTTTGCGGCAGCTACCAGATTGGGCGGCCCAAACACATCCTTGACTCCTTCGGCGCCGATGGTTCGCAGATACCACGCCGTCACGAGCGGATACGCCTCCCTCCTCTTGTCGTCGAGGTAGTGCATATACGCCCAGTACAGGGCGGCAGCCAGCGTCAGATCTGCCAAGCTAAGCTGGTCGGTGGCCAGCCATTCCCGGCCCGTGAGCCATTTCTCGACGACCCCCAGCCCGAAGTTCAGCCCTTTAGCGGCGGCCGCCTCCTTCTCTGGCACATGGGGCGCGAATCCGGCCCGACAGAGCACGACGCCCATCATGTTACCGTACACCTCGCTGTCGGTGAAATTGATCCATTGTCGGACCCTGGCCCTCTCGCGGGCATCGGCTCCCAGCAGCTGGGCGGAGCGAGGGCCGACTTCCGCAACGTATTGCGCGATGGCGTCAGACTCGGCGATTGTGGTACCGTCGGTGGCTTCGAACGCGGGAACCTTGCCGATGGGGAACTTTGCCAGGAACTCGGGCGTCTTATTAGTGACCATGTGCTGGTAGTCTGACGCTGTCGCGACATTAACGCCGTTGATCTTAGCCGCGGCGAAGATCTGTTTGCGGATACATGATGGTCAGCCTCAGCCCATGTTGGCGAAACTGGTGATGATGTAGTTGACTGGGTGTAATCCTCCTCGCAAGGCGCAGGGCACGTATATCACCTACCTTGAGACATCGTGCATTCGGAAGGTAGGAATACAACGTGCCGATGGTCGTCATGGTCGTGAGGTCCAATTGTTGGCTGATCCGATGAAATGAGATAGCTTGTAACCCTGGGTCTTAGTGAACCGAGTGAGCTCAGTGCATGAGTCCTGGTGCTTCTTTCTTGGGAGGTCTGGATCTTATGTTAGGCCCCGAGCGGAGCATTCGGAGAGTTTTTTCGCCATGAAAACTACAGAGAAGGTGTATTGGCTCTGCAAAAGTATCAGACTGAGGCTTGCGAGAGGACAGCGCTTGGAGTCGAATGATCGGAGAAGCCAGAGGTCTATTACGGTTAGCACCATTGAGATTGTGCTAGTTCGGGTCTATCGATAATTCACGTTCTGAATAGTTCTCCCTAGTATAAACCACTATGTATCGAGGTATCTCCGTGTTCAAGATAGGGACGGTCGAGTGATTCCAAATTGCGTGTCCAGAAAGGCAAACATCTTTTGATGAGAAAGTGCCAGAGCCGCAATCTTTGCTTGAAGGCCCCCTCCACTCACTCCCTGACCGATCCACAGCTCCTTATTGCTGCTGTCAATATGATTCAGCTTCTGAAAGATACGCTCGGCATTGAGCTCCGGGGTAAAATAGAACGTGTCGGAAGCGCCCGTTACCAAGGTAGCGCATTTGAGCTTGGATAGATACTCTCCTCCATCTTCGAGGCGGAGTGAGAAGCGCTGCATCTGTCTCATGACGTCGGCTGGGTTGTTCACGCCGTATAGCCACATGCTGTGGCCAAATTCCCACCGAAGCTGGAAGTTGGATGCCGCAAGTCGGTTGACGACAAAGTTGAAGAAACCGTCACTTAGCCATCCGCTCAGCCAGCCGCCAATGAACCAATTGGGCATTCGACTCTTTGTAACGTCAAAAAGGTCATAGCATCCATCTGTCGAGATAGCTGCTCCAACTCGCGAATCAGCGGCAGCTCGCAGCACCAGATACCCTCCCAGCGATGCTCCCAGCACAGCAACCCTGCCCATATCTATGTTGTGCTTTGCTGCGAGCTTAGTTTCGAGGTAGTCCAGCACCTTTCCCGTCACTCTTTCCCAGTCAGGGACCATGCGAGTCTTATCTCTGCGCAGAGAGATGCCTTGACCGGGACCGTCAAAGGTTAGAACAGCATAGCCCCGAGGTAGTCCGCCTGCTGGTCCGTAAAAGTATAGCTCTTCCTGCGTCGAATCAAAGCCACCCATCTGGACTAGAATAGGCAGCTTGTCCGTCACCTGCTTATGAGAAGGGGGAAGAAAGAGTCTCCCAGGCAACGAAATGCTGTCTTCGAATGGAATATCAAGAATGTGGAGCTCGCCGTCCAGAAGTCTCGCCCCCCGCTCAAAGACATCAGAGCTCTTCTGGATGGCGTTGAGGATTCGGGGATCCTGCGGATTGCAATGCAGAAAGAACTCGCTGGAGCGGTAGTAGTTTGATGCGCGGATGAATGCCCAAGAAGCTTCGACTCGATCCCCATGTTTTACTGCGTCTTCGCCTACGCTGACTGCACGCTCAGCCTCTGCTGTCCAGGCATGATACCAGCTCTCCGGATCGCCGTCAGTAATCTTAGTCCTAGCAACAAGACATTCTCCAGTTTCAGATCCGTAGAATGGAGCTGCGTCGAGGACACGCAGGAACTCGAAATTAAAGAAATCTGATTTAAAAAACTTGAACATCTTGGGATTTGAGTTGAGTTGGCCGTAATAGACCGATGCAGAATGGAATCTAGGAAGGACAAGGCAAGAATAGCAGAAAAAAGACAGATGGCATGACACACGTATTGCCAGATATGACGGTGTGATATGCTATATGTTCAATAGACTTATTATTGTCGGCGACTTTCATTTACCTAAACATGTAATACTGGTATCAACATCATTTCATATTCGGGGTATTGCTTCCGAAGCGCCACATAGCTCAATGTCCAATTACTGTATATAACCCGGCTACACGACTAATGAGAAACGAGAACCTCAAGGGGTTAGGCTCGTCTCCTCTCCACTGATATCCTGTAGATACTGCTTGGCTCCATTCTCTTCTTGCCATTTGTCTTCTCTCGCATCTTCTCACATATCCTTTACAACATCGACATCACCACAATGCCGCACGCTTCTGGGGAACCGATTGCTGTCGTCGGTTTGGGTTGCCGATTCCCCGGCAGCTCCAACAGCCCCTCCAAACTATGGGAATTGATCTGTGACAAGAAGGACATCCTCAAGAAAATCCCACTCGACAGATTCAATGCAGACGGCTACTTCCATGAAGATGGAGAGAGACAGGGGCTGATGAACGTCAAGCACGCCTACACCCTGGATGAGGACATCCGAGCGTTTGATGCCTCCTTTTTCAAGACGAATGCCCGCGAGGCAGAGGCCATGGATCCACAGCAGCGTTTACTGCTGGAAACAGTGTACGAAGCGCTGGAATCGGGTGGATTCTCCATGGGTGATCTGCAGGGGTCTGATACATGCGTCTATGTCGGTAGCATGACAGGCGACTACCACGAGATGTTGATGCGAGACCCTCAAGATATGCCCAAATACATGGCCACGGGAACAGCACGAAGTATTCTCTCTAACAGGATATCATACTGTTTTGACTGGCATGGGCCGTCTATGACCATTGACACAGCCTGTTCGTCCAGTCTGGTGGCAGTCCATGAGGCTGTCCAGGCACTGAGAATGGGGACGTCAAAGGTCGCATGTGCTGCAGGTGCTAACCTAATTCTCGGCCCGGAGATGATGATTTCGGAGTCAAAGCTGCACATGCTGTCGCCCACAGGCAGAAGCCGAATGTGGGATGCTGCGGCCGATGGCTATGCGCGAGGCGAGGGTTTCGGAGTTGTCATCCTCAAGACCTTGTCTCAGGCAGTTGCTGATAAGGATAACATTCACTGCATTATCCGTGAGACTGGAGTAAACTCTGACGGACGTAAGTTTCGCAACAATCTACCTGTAGACAGATCAGTTGTGACCAGATAAACTGACACGCCTCGATCCAGGAACCAATGGAATCACGCTTCCTAGCTCCGAGTCCCAGACGGCTCTTATCCGACAGACATATGCTCGTGCGGGACTCGACTGGAACAAGGATCGATGCCAATACTTCGAAGCCCACGGGACTGGAACGCCTGCGGGAGATCCGATCGAGGCACGAGCCATCCATGACGCCTTTTTCCCAAGCAAAACAACAACTGGCACCGACGATGTCCTGTATGTTGGCTCGGTAAAGACGGTCGTCGGCCACTTGGAAGGCTGCGCCGGTATTGCTGGCCTCATCAAGGCTAGTGAGGCCGTGCGAAGAGGCGTCATTCCTCCCAACATGTTGTTCGAGAAGCTCAACCCCGCCATTGCCCCTTACTACAACAATCTCCAAGTGCCTCAGCAGCCGATCCCTTGGCCGGCCCTGAAGGAAGGGACCCCGCGACGAGCGAGCGTCAACTCGTTTGGCTTCGGAGGAACTAACGCGCATGCCATCATCGAGAGCTACGATGCCGATAAGGCCAGGCCTGTGGTCCCGCAGCCGGAGTCCATCATTCCAACGCCACTTGTGCTCTCAGCAGCCTCAACGAGCACATTGAAGCGTATGGTGGCCAACACACGAGATTTCCTCCTCTCCAACAAGTTGACTCCTCTGCAAGATGTCTTGTTCACGCTGTCCGAGCGCAGATCCCAACACGCTGTCCGAGCGACGTTCTCGGGATACAGTAGGGAGAGACTCATCGAGAAGCTTCAGATTGCGTTGGATGATGACAGCTGGACTGGCACCACTGTGGAAGCCGAGATGGCCGAGCCGCGCATTCTGGGCGTCTTCACCGGGCAGGGCGCGCAATGGCCAACTATGGGTAGGGAGATACTTAAATCGTCTCATGTGGCATCGGAGACTCTCCAGAAACTGCAGGACTCACTGGACAGTCTGCCCGATCCTCCGTCATGGACGCTCAAGGACCAGATCCTTGTTGACAAGAGTACCTCTCGTCTGTCCGAGGCCGCCGTTGCCCAACCGCTGTGCACGGCTGTCCAGATCATGCTTGTTGACCTGTTGTTGCTGGCTGGTGTCAAGTTCAACGTCGTGGTCGGACATTCTTCTGGCGAAATCGGCGCTGCTTACGCTGCTGGCATGATCTCTGCGGAAGAGGCTATTCGCATCGCCTATTACCGAGGCGTCCATGCAAAGCTCGCGCGTGGTAACAACGGCAAGCCAGGAGCCATGATGGCTGTTGGCCTCTCGTACGACGAGGCATCTGATTTTTGCGAGCAGAACTTCTCCGGTCGGATCGATGTCGCTGCGAGCAACGCCCCGGCCAGCGTCACGCTCTCTGGAGACAAAGACGCGGTTCAGGAGGCGCAGGCTATCTTCCAGGAGCGAGGAACTTTTGCACGCCTCTTGCAGGTCGACACGGCGTATCACTCCTCCCACATGATACCCTGTTCAGAACCCTACATGGAGTCTCTGGCGGCGTGCGACATCCGGCCGAAGCAGCCACGCGAGGGCTGCACCTGGTTCTCCAGCGTATACGGCGACCGGATGGAGGGCGATATGATCGATGCGCTGACGGGCGAGTACTGGAAAGACAACATGGTAAATCCCGTACTGTTCTCGATGGCTGTTGAGCTCGCTGCAAACGGTGAACTTCCCTGCGACGTCGTACTCGAAGTCGGGCCTCACCCAGCACTCAAGGCGCCCTTCTCTCAGACATACAAACAAACTGTCGGCACCGAACTGCCGTATCAGGGCGTGCTGAGCCGTGGGAAGCACGATGTCGAGTCGATTAGTGAGGCGCTCGGATTTCTTTGGTCGCGCCTCGGAACCTCAGGCACGAACCTGGGCGCCTTCTCAAAAGCGTTCAACCCTGAGTTCTCGCCACAACTCACCGCCCTTCCTGCATATCCTTGGGATCACTCGCAGTCCTTCTGGAAAGAGTCTCGCAAGTCTCGCAACTTTCGCAGCAAGCCCAATGCTCGCCATCCGCTCCTGGGAGACCGCTCAACCGAAGATATTGACCAGAGCATGGTATGGAGGAACATCCTCCGCCTCGAAGAGCTGCCTTGGCTCGATGGCCACAAAGTCGAGGGGCAGGTCATCTATCCAGCTGCTGGGTATCTGGTTATGGCGCTTGAATCATCCAACTCCTTGACGCTTGGTGCCGGCCGCGAAGTCGAGCTGATTGAGTTGTACGACGTCGAGATCGGAAATGCCATCCCGCTGTCTGATGAATCGCCGGGTGTAGAGACTATCTTCACGCTGAAGCCAGCGAAACCCAATGGAGATGCAATCACTGCTGAGTGGGCATGCTACTCTCCTGCTGGCGATAACGCTCCGTGGCGGTGCAATGCTTCGGGAAGCGTGCGAGTCGTATTTGGCGATATTGACGGCGACGACGAACCTCTCCCTCGTCGCGTTGCCCCTGTTGCATCTCTCAGTAGCGTTGAGACGGAGCGTTTCTACACTTCGCTGACTGAGATTGGATTGAACTACACCGGTCCTTTCCGTGCCCTGCAAGCGATCGAGCGCAAGTCCGGCATGTCGACTTCGACCGTCACTCAGCGATCGGAGCTGCCCACCATCATTCACCCTGCCATCCTCGACGCGGCTTTCCAGTCCTTATTTGCGGCATTCTGCTGGCCTGGTGACGGAACCTTGCGCGGTCCTTTTGTTCCCACAAGGCTCCAGAAGCTGCGTATCGTCAACAAACGCATTGTCGAGTCAGCGCGAGAGCTTGTTGTCGACTCATATATCACAGAATCGTCGGCGCAGAATTTGACAGCAGACCTTGGTGCCTTCGAGATTGGCTCCAACAAAGGTATTGTGCAATTGGAGGGCCTGACTTGCACCTCACTTGTGCCCCCAGGCCCAAGAGACTACAAAGAGCTGTACACGCGGCCTCAGTGGGAACTGGACATTGCCAGCGCTGTTGCGTCACTTCCCACCACACGTGGAGATGCCGCCGACGATTTGGAACTTGTCGACCTTTGCGAGAGGCTCACGTACTACTACCTTCGCCGGCTCAACGACGAGATTGATCGCAGCGAGGTTCCTGCCATGGAGTGGCACTTCCAACGCATCTTCGAATGGATTGACTATCTCTTCCCTTGGATTGAAGAGGGCACGCATCCTACAATTCGAAAGGAGTGGAAGTCAGACACAGGCGCCTGGTTGCACCAACAAAGAGCCCGATTCCCCGACCAGGTGGACCTTCAGCTGATCACAGCCGTGGGAGAGCACCTTGCCCAGGTAGTACGCGGCCAGACCACCATGCTGGAACACATGATCAAGGACGACGTCCTCAACAGGTTCTACAAGTTCGGTTTGGGTTTCCAAAGAGCAAACGGCTTTATGGGCCGCATTGCCAAACAGGTTGCGCATCGCTATCCTCGTATGAAGATCCTCGAGATTGGCGCCGGTACGGGCGGTGCTACGAAAGGAATTCTCGAAGCCCTGGGCACTACATTCGAGAGTTACACATTTACCGATATCTCAACCGGCTTTTTCGAAGCTGCTGCCGAGGCATTCTCTCCTTGGGCCGACAAGATGATCTTCAAACCTCTGAATGCGGAAAACGACGTTCTTGAACAAGGATATCAGGAGAAGTCGTTTGACTTTATCATCGCCTCAAATGTGCTGCACGCGACCAAGACCCTGTCGGAGACCATGAGGAACGTCCGTCGACTGCTCAAGCCCGGCGGCCATTTGCTCCTGCTTGAGGTCACGAGCGACATTGTCCGTGTGAAGCTGATGATGGCTGGCTTGTCAGGTTGGTGGCTGGGAGGCGACGACGGCCGTCGCTACGGACCGACCATTACCAGAGAACAGTGGGATTCGCTGCTCAAAAACACGGGATTCTCTGGTGTTGACCACATAATCAATGACTTCATTGACGAGTCCAAGTACATGACGTCTGTCATGATTTCGCAAGCCATTGACGAGGACGTCGCTCTCTTGCGGCAGCCGCTGTTGACCTCGGCCCAACACCCTGTCTGGACTTGCCCACCCATCACCATTGTTGGCGGCAGCTTCGAAAATGTCGCATCCAGAACGGCCAAGATACTATCAGCTATCCCTGGTCTGCATCCCCGGGTTACCTTGGTTGAAAAGATTGCGGATGTAGCAGACAAGGCTGTGACCACGACCACGCTTGTCATCTTGGAAGATCTGGATGAGCCTGTATTGCAGAGATTCTCGCAGGAGAAACTGAATGCCCTTCAGAGAGCATTACCAGAGAGCAGACAGCTGCTGTGGGTGTCACGGAAAGCGCGCACCGATAACCCGTACAGCAATCTCTCAGTTGGCCTCTGCAGAGGCCTGTCTTCCGAGTATCCCCACGTCTCGGTCCAGCACATAGACTTTGACGATGACATTACCGAATCTTCCATCTCGATCATTGCTGAAGCTGTCATTCGCCTCGCCTATGCGGCTCAGCGGAAGTTCAATGGCGAAGTTGTGTGGACTACCGAACCCGAGTTGCTCGTCAAGGATAATAAGCTGCTGATGCTAAGGATTCTGCCCGACACGCTTCTCAACGACCGCTTGAACGCCCGGCGAATGGCCATCAAGAACACGGGATCCGTTAAGACTAACGTTATTGATATCATCACCACAGGGGATCGTTATGTTCTGTCGAACAGCGAGGCCTCTCTTTTTCGTCCAGTGGATGCCAATCTCGTCAAGGTCAAGGTGTCGCATTCGCTCGCGTCTGCCATCCGCCTCCACGATGCCACTTCTGCCTTCCTTTCCGCTGGCTATCTAGAGCACAACCCTGCCATCAGCGTCATCGCATTATCCAGCGCCCACGGTTCAACCATCAGCGTGCCTTCTGGCTGCGTCTTCAAGGTGGCCGAAGGCTCAAACTTTGCCACTCTTCTTCAAGACGTTACGGCAGCTGTGATTGCTGACCAGCTCATCTCTGACATTCCACTTGGAAGCACCGTCGTGCTACATAAGAGTGACAAGTTCCTCGGAGCAGTGCTCAAGCGCAAAGCAGCCAAGGCTGGTCTGAATGTGAAGAATATCAGCCTACACAAGTACGCTTCCGAGAAGACCCTGCGCAACGCTATTCCTGCGTCTTCACGACTTATCGTTGACTTTGCTTCGGTTTCCCACTGGGCTGATTCCCTTCCCGAGGGCTGCACGTACTGGAATGTGCAAAGCTTTTTCCCTCACTCGCCCAAGGGGGACCCAATCCTTGTTGCAGAAGCTGTGAGGCGACTCGTTGATTTGGCACAGCTGCAGCCATCCGTCTACTCAAAGGTGGACGTTATTCCTCTGGCTGATCTTGTTAATCAAACCGTATCGGCGACGACCTACTCGACCATTGTCGACTTTTCCGATGCATCGGCTGTTCCATCCCAGATATGTCCTCTCAACCCTTCAACGCTTTTCCGAAGTGACCATACGTATCTCCTTGCAGGCTGTACGGGTGGCCTCGGTAAGGCTCTCTGTCTGTGGATGGCATCACAAGGTGCCAAATACTTCGCGCTTACGACACGAGATCCCCGCAAGATTGACCAGCTCTGGCTGAAGGAACTGGCCGCCTTAGGTGCCGAGGTCAACCTCTACGGCCTTGATGTCGCGGACAAGGTTGCCCTGTCGGCAGCTCGTGACCAGATTGAGCAAGATATGCCCCCGATTGCGGGTGTTGTTAATGCAGCCATGGTTCTGTCCGATCGCTCGTTTGGTGAAATGACAGCTCAAAATTTCCATACAGTTTTCGGTCCCAAGGTGGACGGTACCAAGAACCTCGACGAGCTGTTCTACGATCACCCTCTTGACTTCTTCATCATGTTTTCCTCTCTTGCAAGTATTGTTGGCAACCGTGGTCAGTCCAATTATGTCGCTGCGAATCTGTTCATGTCTACCATTGCGGAACAGCGCCGGCGAAGAGGACTTGCTGCATCCGTTATTCACATCGGCATGGTCCTGGGTGTTGGCTACGTGTCTACCACCGGCATCTACGAGAGCACTTTGCGCCAATACAATTACATGCCGATTCCTGAGCAAGATTTTCTCGACATGTTTTCCGAGGCCATTGTTGTTGGTCGACTCGAGGCAAATCATTCACCTGAGCTCATCACCGGCTTGGACCGCCACAGCCTGCGTGAAGACGCACAGCGATTATTCTGGCAAGATAACGTGAAGTTTTCCCACCATACACTCAGCGAAGTCCGCCAGACAGAGACAACAACGGCAGACAACATGTCACTGGCTCAGCGTCTAGCTCAAGCAACTAGCATTGAGGAAGCAGAGGAGCTCATCCAAGAGGGCTTCTGCACCAAGCTTGAACGAATGTTGCAGGCCGCCAAGGGATCCATTCAAGTGTCACAGTCACTAATGAATCTGGGTGTCGACTCTCTGATTGCCGTCGAGATTCGCTCCTGGTTCTTGAAGGAGCTGGATGTTGACGTGCCAGTCCTCAGGGTCCTCAGCGGAGCATCAGTCTCTGACCTCTCTAAAGAGGCTGCAGGTAAGGTGACAATTGGTACTGAGACACCAACCGAAGTAGCTACACCGGTAATTGTCGAACAGGTATGTCATGCGTTCGAGTGTTTTTAAAGATGGGTTACTAACTTTCACCAGAAACCAGTTCAAGTTATCCCGCAGGTCACGGAACCCATTCAGCTCATTCCCGCCTCGGCGATTACGACGGCCGCTCAGTCCACTGCACCATCTGTTTTTGACGGATCCAGTTCTGTCTCCAGTCGTGGTGTTTCGCCTCCCCGATCATCATCCGATTTGTCTGAAATTGAGCACAAGGTGAAGCGGGAGCAGCTGCACATCGAGCGGGTGGCTGAAATGTCCTTTGCGCAGAGCCGACTGTGGTTCCTACGCCAGTTCCTTCAAGATCCTACAACGTACAACGTGACGCTTTCCTACAGCATCACTGGTCGACTACGGATCAATGACTTCCGCAATGCTTTCCGACAAGTTATCGCACGACACGAATCGCTCCGCACATGTCTTTACAACGATCCCGAGACAAATACGCCGACGCAAGCCGTCTTCTCGGACGCGATCTTCGAACTCGACTACAAGACAGGCACAACAGTTGAATGCGAGTTTGCCAAGATGCGCGACCACATATTCGACCTCGAAAACGGAGAAAATATGAGGGCTGTCATCATCTCCGAATCAGAGTCCAAGTACTTCTTTGTGCTTGGCTTCCACCACCTTGCCTTTGATGGATTCAGCGCCCAAACTCTGGTCAAGGACCTAGCAATGGCCTATGCTGGACAGCCTTTGCGCCCTCTTAAGCACCAGTATATTGACTTCGCCATCAAGGAAAAGACCCTTACATGGAGCGATGATCTCGCATACTGGAAAGCTGAGTTTTCTGAGCTTCCCGAGACGCTACCGCTATTCCAGTTCACCGAGACAAAAGCTCGTATTCCCTTGACCGAGTACAATACCCGAGCTCTGACACAGCAGCTTCCAAATCATATTGCGTCCCAGGTCAAGGAGGCGTCGCGAGGCTTGAATGTCACACCTTTCCACTTTCACCTGGCTATTACACAAACGCTTTTGTCTCGCCTCTTAGATACCAGCGATATCTGCATTGGAATTACGGACGCCAACAAGAATGACTCAGAGTTTCTCGATACGATTGGCTTCTTTGTCAATCTATTGCCGCTCCGCTTCAAGGCTGATGGCACACAGTCATTTGCCAGTCTAGCTACTACGGCAAAGGACAAGGTTCACCAAGCCTTGGCGCATTCTCGGGTACCGTTTGATAAACTCTTGGATGAGCTCAAGGTGCCTCGTTCAACAGACCACAGCCCGCTCTTCCAAGTGGTTCTCAACTACAAGATGGGTTCAACGCAGTCCGTCCCTCTTGCGGAATGCCAGGCGCAGACCATTCGATTCGAAGATGCCAGAAACGCCTACGACCTCAGTTTTGAGGTTGAAAGCTTCCCAGATGGTGGAGTGCTTCTCTCGCTCAAGACGCAGGATTACTTGTATACCGATCATGATCTGAGGACAATTCTTAATACATACACGCATTTACTCGACGCGTTGTCGCGCGAACCAAACTTAGCCGTCAACGCTATTAACCTTGCCCCTACCTCAAGTCTGGATCTCAGTCTGCAACTCGCTCGAGGCGATACATACGAGCCAGCAATTCTACACCTGCCCGGCTGGCTTGATCACTGGACGGACCGGCAAGCCGAGGCAACCGCCATAAGAGACGATTCTGGTGCTACGCTCTCATACAGAGATACTACGGCGCGAGTCAATGGCATTGCGCAGCTTTTGACTGACGCTGGCGCCAAGCCAGGCCAGAGAGTTGGCTCTTACTGTGAGCCTAGCATCGATGCCATTTGTACTCTGCTGGCCATTCAGAAAATTGGCTGCATCTACGTGCCGCTTGATGTGCAGAACCCGGTGCCCCGCTTGAACTTGATTCTGAAGGATTGCCAGCCATCGCTGTTGGTGTATCATGACGCGACTGAGCCATCTGTTCAGCAATTTGAAACGTCTGCATCACTTGTCTCCATTTCCAAGGCCACTGCACTGGCAACCGCCGTCGATGCACCCAAGCTGGATCACCTTGCCACAGCGTATATCCTCTATACCAGTGGTACAACTGGCATTCCTAAGGGAGTCATGCTGTCGCATGCCAACCTGATGTACCACATTGCCGGCGTTTACAAGAAATACGGTCTGGAGAAGGAAACAGTGCTTCAACAGTCGTCGCTCGGATTCGATCTGTCGCTAGCTCAAATCTGCCAGGCTTTTTTCTCTGGAGGCACACTCGTGATTGCGCTGAAGGAGACTCGACGAGATCCGGCAAAGCTCTCGAAGCTCATGCTCGAGGAAAAGATCACCTACACCTGGATGACTCCCACCGAGTATTCCATGATTCTGAGGTACGGTGCTGATTATCTGCGCCAATCGACTTATTGGCGGTCTGCTTTTTCTGCTGGAGAGTTCATGTCGTCCAACCTCCTCAGCACATTCCTCCGAGTGCAGCCTCCACACCTGCGCCTCTTCAACGGCTGCGGTCCAACGGAAATCACAATCAACAACTGCATTGGTGAGAACGAGCTGAGCGATTCAGCGCCGCGTGACACTCGAAACCCGTCCATTGGCAAGTCGCTACCGAACTACTCTACCTATATCCTCGATGAGAACTTGAAGCCAGTTCCGGTCGGGTATCCGGGAGAGATCTGTGTCGGTGGCCCTGCCGTGGCTCAGGGATACGTTGATCGCAGTGAGCTCACTGCTGCAAAGTTCCAGCCTGATCCATATGGGCCTTGCCACTTGTACCGCACGGGTGACAAGGCCAAATTCCTTCCCGATGGCCGTCTTGTGTTCCTTGGTCGAATCGCGGGTGACTCTCAAGTCAAACTCCGTGGTTTCCGAGTAGAGCTTAACGACATTGCCAACACCATCATTAGGGCTAGCGAAGGTGTCATCCGTGATGCGGCAGTAAGCTTCCGAAGGGGGCAGGACACCGCCGAGGACATCTTAGCAGCATTTGTTGTTCCGTCCTCAAAGGAGGAGCAAGTTGCACCTGGAACCCTGGAGCAGCTTCGAGACAAGTTGCCCCTCCCGGCATACATGCGTCCCGCCAGAATGATTGCCGTGCATGACTTGCCCGTGAACTCGTCGGGAAAGCTCGATCGATACGCTTTGGACAAGCTGCCGATTCCAAGCATCTCTTCGAGTGCTGAGATTGGACAACTTACCGCTGTGCAATTGAAGTTGAGAGAGCTTTGGCTCAAGGTCTTGCCTGCAGTGGATGCTGCTACAATTGGCGCCAACACTGACTTTTTCTCCATTGGTGGCAACTCTCTTCTCATGGTCCGACTTCGTGGATTGATTGCGGAAGCGTTTGACACAGAGGTTTCCGTTTTTGAGCTCTTCCAGTCCAGTAGCCTAGGCAACATGGCTGCTAAGCTCCAGTCGTCCGAGGTAGACGAAATGATTAACTGGGAACGGGAGACAGCTGTTCAGCCTCTCCCAGTTGCCGATGGCAATTCCCTCCAGCAGGTCTACGAGGGGCTTGAAGTTCTGCTTACCGGAGCCACTGGGTTCCTCGGATCATCGATACTCAGTCACCTTGTTGCAGACGAACGCGTTTCCAAGGTGCACTGTGTCGCCCTCCGCGGAATTCATCCTCTAGCAGTGCAGTCACCAAAGATTATCCAGTATTCCGGTGATCTTTCAAATAAGACTCTAGGTCTATCGGAATCCGACTTTAGCACTCTTTCTAGTCGCGTGCACCGCATTATTCACAACGGCGCGACGGTGTCATTCCTCCAATCTTATTGGTCCCTTCGCGAACCAAACGTTGAGAGCACGAAGACGCTTGTGTCTCTCGCCGCATCCCGAGGAATTCCGCTGCACTATGTTTCTTCTGCTGGAGTTGTCAACTTCACTGGATTGGATGGCCTGCCCCCCGTTTCCGTTTCCGAGCACAAACCCCCGACTGATGGGTCGAATGGCTATTCGGCCACGAAGTGGGCGAGCGAAGTGTACTTGGAGAAGGTGACGGAGAACACCAACCTGCCTATCTGGATCCATCGCCCCAGCAGCATCACGGGGAACAATGCTCCCCATACCGACTTGATGCAGAGCATCATTCGACACTCTTTGAGCCTTCAAGCTATTCCTGATCTAGGCTCCTGGCAAGGCAGCTTTGACTTTGTTCCTGTTGACGACGTTGCAGCAGGCATCACCTCTGCCTTGTATGACGTCGGGCAGGGCTTGACTTTTGCTCATCATTGCGGCAAGGAAAAGATCCCCGTCCACGAGCTAAAGAAGCACTTGGAATTTGCAAACGGCATCAATTTGGATGTTTTGAGCCTGAAGGAGTGGGTGGATAAGGCAAAGTCCAGGGGTTTGCTGGATGATGCCAGCGAGGTGCTGGTTGCCAATATTGTGGGTGTTTCTGATGGAAAGGCCATTCTACCAAGTCTGCTTTAGCTTCTTTCTTTGTCAGTCCTAGCCGATTCATTGGGTCGCTTGTTTGTCCCGTTTCTACCTATCTTTTTCTTTTTTTTTCTGTTCTGCTTTCTCTCTGTATATCGAGCTCTTGGCGTGGTCACATATCCAACATTTAGCGTTTCTGTTTCATCTTTACTATTATAGGCACTGCCTGCTTGTCAAATATCCATTGTACATTGCAATTCGCCCAAATGACCCATTCGGTATGTAATTATACATCGACAATGACGTGGTAAGCTTTTTATGAATCGTGATCCGTGTAAGAGCATGGCCTGTTTGATCAAAACACCCTTGTCATGGCCGCGCAACGCCATATCAGCCCGGTATTATCCACCAATATTCGCATGGGCCAAATTAGATCCGCCGCATTCCGTCGGAGGATTTCTCAATCTCTTCTACAAAATACCTCCGATCCTTCTTGTCATGTAAGCTTCGAGTATATAAACTGTATGTTTAGACGTCTCGATATCTCCAAGATAGGCAGGTAATCTCCCGAAGGCTTCATCCAAGTCTCTTGCTCTAGTTTCCAAGATGCCGACCGTACGCAAATTTCTCTTCTCGCTGTTGCTCGCTGGGCAGTCCAGCGCAAGAGTGCCTCGTTCTCCTGCTACTGCTCAACCTGTCGACCTGCCTCTGACTCTAAGTGCGCTTGGCTTCTTGGCGCCCATCTCCATTGGCTCGCCTCCCCAGTCGGTGATTTCGTTGATGGACTGGACTTGGATCAATCAATTCACTCTCTCTACGCTGTGTTTGGGAAGCCCACATGATACTTCGGCGTGCCTTGTCGATGGACAGGCTTTCTTCAACCAATCCAAGTCGTCGACCTTTAAGAACCAGACGAGTTTGTATCCTGGCCGAACCTGGAACCCGAACGGCTTCTTTGGGCCGCTTCCTCTTACTGTGCAGTTTGGGTCGGATATCCAGCATGTCGGGCCCTTGTCTGCGCCAGTAACCTTTATGCTGGCTGATATGCAGTTCCCGCAGCCAAGCTCGTTCCCATTTACAGGCGTGTTTGGGTTGTCGCCTGTGTTTCAAACAGACAATCAGTCAACTCAATCCACCTTTTATCAATTTTGGAAGCAGGGGCTTTATTCAAGTCCAATAGTGTCCTTTCTCTATTGTTACAACAGCACTTTTGGGAATGTAGCCCCGGCACGATCTCTTTGCAATGGAAACGATGCTGTTCAGACCCTTGGCGGGTATCATTCCAACTGGATCTCGTCTGGGACTATTCAGTGGTACGAAAGCATTGTTTTCCCGTTGGTCAACACCATCGACATCGTCACAAGCCCCGAGATTCTCAATTATTGGGCCCTGCCGGTTACCCAGCACTTGATCGGGGACGAGGCACAGGCAATCAACAAGACGGCATCTGGAGCAGTCTTCGACTACGCGAGTCTCGGCCGTGGCGCCCCCGTGTCCGTCAACAGTTATGCGAGGTTGATTGAGCTCACTGGAGCCAAGCCCATCACTCTCGATCCTTCTGTGGCCCCCAATAACGGAGCCCAGGCATTCTACTCCGTGCCCTGCTCCAACGTCACGAATTTGCCTCCTCTCAAGTACCAATTCGGCGCGGGAACTCCCCAGTGGGAGATTATCCCCCAGAACTACGTCGAGAAGATTACCGTATCCAGCACCGAGACTGCCTGCGTACTGAATGTACGGACCTTGGGCGATGGAGATTGGGTGATTGGCAACTTGGGGGAGACGTTTGCCAAGGACAAGGTTATTCTCTTTGACTTTGACAAGCTGCAGATTGGCATTGCCAATGCCGCCTAGAAATGGGTAGACTTCTTTTCGATACCTGGTGTACGGTGCGGCGATTAATAAACTTTTATACTGATAAGTTGAATGGTTGAGAAGTACGGAGGTAGTATACATACCTTACGCTTGAGAGGATAAATGAACTGCACATTGACGTCAAATACGACCTACTCTTAATAAGCTTAACTTTGGGTTACACGCGTCAGTCAATCCTATGCATCGAGTAGGTAGGTAGCAGCCGAGATCTGTTCCTGCATGAACCATATCACCCTTCCGATCCCCAAAGTTTATCTTTTAACGTTCACCCGCTTGTCATATACTACAAGCCCTTCTAGTGAATTCTTGCACTTCGCGAGTCACTTACCACGACATACAATCAATCACCTTACGACAAAGAGCGAAAGAGGTCCCGCAACCATTCAATTTCTCTCTGCAATACTTTATTACCATATCTCCATCAGCGCAACTCGGGAACATACGAAAGTTCTATCAAGTTGATCACACATTCTACCGTATCTTTAGGCCTTGGCCATAAGACCAAGGTCACCCCTCTTCAGGTGGGGGACAAAACCGTTAATCGAGTCCGATCCAAAGCTGCTGATGTTCATCGTATCCTCCGTCCTCATCATTTGTCTGGCACGGATGTGATCAACGACAGTCCGCTGGTCAGGAGAGAGGTCGACCTGGTACGCGGCGGTGGGATCCTTGCCCATTTGCTCCAGCATGCTCGAGCGATCTTCTGGCTTGACGGGCTCGAAGGCGTTGCTGCAGAACTCGAGAGTCTTATTGAGCTCCTCTTTGGACAGCTTCGTGTCGACATCCGCAGTTCCCTGAATAACTACACAGGCGTTAGTATCTAATTTGCAATTGATGGAGATGAGGTATTACTTGGTCGGAAGAAAGCAAAGGCGCGATCATAGTTATCTTCATCAAAGTCACTCAGCACAGCCTCTTCCTGGCTGCGAATCTGCCTGTAAGCGCTCAATACAACCAGCAGGAAGCGAATATAACTGTCGGCAACCTTCTTCGAGTGCCAATCGGCAGCCTCCTCCTCCGGGACTTGGCCCTTGATCGCTGCGGAAATTGTCGTTGCTGCAGATAGACCACCAACGAACGCGAGGTGGACGCCAGAAGAAAAGTACGGGTCGATGAAACAACCAGCATCACCTGCAATTCGAGCATAAGGAATAGCATAGCCCGAGGCGCTGTATGAGTAATCTGATGCGGACTTGATATCTGTCAGTAGCTCGGCGTTCTCAAGTAGCTTGGATAGATCTGGCGCGAGTTGCTTAAGGTTGTCCAAGTAGAAGGTTTTTGAGTCGGGAGAGCCGGCTTGAGATTTCCGCTCGGCAGACATCTTCTGATTCATGACGATTCCCACAGACGTTGTTCCGTTGTGCAGGGGAATCAGCCACGCCCAGCCGCTCTCATCTGTACAGCGTTAGAGACCCGCGGAAGATGCCAGAGAGAAATAATAGGACGAACCTTGAAGCGCTTCAAAGAAGGGTGAGTTTTGTCTTGGCGTTCCGACACCATATGCGCCAGCTCCTTTCCAGTATCCCCACGTAGCGACATTCTTCAAGCCTTGGTTGTACTTTCTGTTCTTCAGATGTTTCGTGCTAAGAATCCCTACACGTCCACTGGCATCGACAACGTAGTCAAACTTGATCTCGTGAGACGTGTTGTCGTCCTTTCGGAGGTAGATTGCTGAAACAGGCCGTCCAGGATAGTCATGAGGCAGTTCGCCAGGGCCCTTGTAGGGCTCATCAACGAACCTGATGGACTTAACCTGGACGCCGTCAAAAGTCTTTGCGCCGCTTTTGGCGGCATGCTGGAAAAGCAGGTGGTCTGCCTCCGAGCGAACCACATTCCAAGCATAGTTCTGGGGACCACCAGCAGCAAGGAAATCGGTATCTATCTTAGGTGAGCTTTGGTGTATACAGAGTCATCAGTTCGTGACTTACATCCTTCGCGTTTTTTAGGGTTGAGCTTGAAAGCTGCACCAACCTGCACTGAGAGTTAATACCAATATCACTGTGATTTTTCCCTCTGCTTGCGGAGCATGTGTTTACCTTCTTTGTGAACCCGTAGCTATCAAAAACTGAGTCCACATCGATGAACCTGAGGAAGTGGCGCATGGACGCCAGCATACTCTCTCCAATATGGTATCTGGAGATGGTCAATAATTCCTCCTTCACCAATCTTTTTCTTTTTCTTTCTAGATCAGCTGGAGTAATACCGTGGAAATTTGTCAGCCTCCAGGAGGACGGTGTCGATGCCCTCTCGTGCCAAAGCTGAAGCTGCGTATGAGCCAGCTGGCCCACCGCCAATGACGAGAACGGTACATTTTTCAGGAATCGCCATCTTTGCTGCGAATAATCTTTATGCACTTAGCTGACTTGATTAAGAAAGGGTGAAAATAGTGAGATACGGCTACACATACATGCACTCTACGTCGATCCTAAAGGGACGTATATGTATCCCCCCAATCTAATTAAGACGATGAACGACATAAACACGGCTTTCAGAATTAACGTACGATAACACCACGACCGAGAAATGCAATAGAAGGATCGGAGCGGATGAAACACATTTGCTTACGCCGATCAACGACTATCTCTGTGCCTCGCAGAGATCACATACGCGTGATATCGGAATATTACCACGTCAGTGTGCCTGTCGGCATATTACAGCTTCTGGTCCAAAGCGGAAAAGGCCCTGGTTAGGTGACAAATTGAAACTCGCCGCCAACGAAACAGCTTGTGCTCAAGTTGGCCCAGAGATCTGAGATTCCAGGTTCGATTTCCCGGTCGGTGGGATTGATGTGACAGTGTGTTGGGATCAGTGTGCCCGAAATAGCCCCCTTCATAGTCACCGATGGCGCAGCACTCCGTACGGTAAAACACATCATGTTTAGTCCGTGCTACCTGTTCAATTACCGGATGATGATAACAATAAGTGAACGGAGCGCTAATATATGTCATCGAGGCGGAAAACAGTACTTCGTTTCGTTATGTCGGTCCACAAGGTAAGACGTGGCGAAGCTCTTGGGAGATTCCCGAGTCATGGGGGTATGTTATACAATCGCAGGCAATAGATTCGGAGCATTTCATACCCAGATACATTTAGGGTTCAGATACAAGCCATTCACATCCAAGGACTTTGTAATGCTCCCCGGGCCCTACGCCTTAGCCTCGATATCGGTCTAGCAACAGTCTCACCTATATATTGGGTTGGCCCAAGTACCAGGATTATTCCGTACATTTCCAATACAGCGTCGAATGTTTTGAGCAACCTCCTTTTGCAGGTGACTGGGTACAGGCTTAACACCGAAATGCCTCCGTCGAAAGCCAAGGCCTCTACTTACACTCCTCCCACAAAGGGGATTCTCTCATACCTGCCATCATCATGGGTTCCCTATTCAGAACTCATTCGTCTGGATAAGCCGCATGGCATTTACATGACCATATACCCTTACATCTTGGGACTATTCTATGCCGGTCAAATTACGCCTGCTCCAATACATCTCAACTTCCTCCTGAGTCGATTCCTCAATCTGGCGATTTGGACTTTCCTCATCCGAAGCGCCGGCTGTGCTTGGAACGACAACGTTGATCAGGATTTTGATAGACAAACAGCTCGGTGCCGCGACCGACCCATTGCAAGAGGTGCAATCTCGACCCTCCAGGGCCATGTCTTTACCACAGCCCTGGTGGCCCTCGGTTTCCTCTCCATTCAAGACTTTCCTCTTGAATCCAAGATCGACGGCGCTGCAACTGTCTTGTTGACATGCATCTATCCCTTTGGGAAGCGATTTACACACTTCGCTCAAGTTACTTTGGGCTCAACGCTATCCGTTTCTATCGTATTTGGACCGCATGCTGTGGGCGCCAACCCCTTGTCATCAGAGAACTTTCTGCCAACGGCCTGCCTTGTGTCGTCTATTATTATGCTGGTCATCTTTTATGACGTAGTTTATGCTCGTCAGGATACGGCTGATGACCTGAAGTCTGGCGTCAAGGGCATGGCAGTCCTCTTCCGCAACTGGATCACAACGTTGCTTTTGTCTCTCATCACTGCCATAACGACTCTTCTCTATATCACTGGAAAGTCTCTTGGATTGAGTCCACTCTTCTTTGGCCTGTCTGTTGCGGGCCCCGCCATCAGCCTTCTTACTATGATTGTCCTCATCGCCAGCAAGTCGAGCAGTTCACGATATGCCGGCAAGTTTTATGTGCTGGCCATTTTCAGTTTGCTCAGCGGCTTTGCTGTGGAGTACTCCAAGACAATAATGTAGCTTTCTTAGGGCTATAGGTTGGACGGATTCGGTTGCTGTAGAAGTTGGTCGGACGAGCTTTTGTGAAGCTGTTGAAGAATCATCGATAATTTTTGTACGTAGTACACGATTACGAGATTTATGGCATCAAATATGTCTTTACAAAAAAAATACAGAACAGCTGAAAGAGAACGAGGGAAATGACAGGCTATTAGATAGCAAAGATGGATCACTATCTGTAGGTACCTTGTCATTCAACCATCTGACCATGGTAGCATCGCCTAGGTACTGGAATAACTGAACATTCCCATGCCAAGACTGATGAAGAAGAGTGGATGTCAAAGTGCCTAAACAAATAACTCCTGCTGAGGTCGTCATACCCGCTTAAAGAAACCGTGGCAACGTGGGAACAAATTCAGCAGTCCCTTGATCTGCAGAACAAGGATCAATCTGGGTAAAGTCCATATCAGCGCAATGATTTGATGTTTGGTGAATACGCCTAGAGACCAGCCCCGGAGGGGAATCTCAGCGCTTGGCTCTGTGGGCTGCAGCGGTTGTTATCGCACGAGCGATAAGACACCTTCAGCGACATTGACAGACAGCATATTGCATTCCCTTTGCAAATTTGCGCTACCGCTGCCAGGTTTCAATCACTGGAAAGTTATTACTGGAAGAAGGCCTCTCATACACCTCTGAAAAAAATTGCAACCTGAGCTCAGACCAGATCCGTTTACCATCGGAAGAGGATCACATCTTGCATGACCTTCCAACGGGCTAGCACGCAGTAAGCCGAGCTGCTGATGCCGCTGTAAACTCCTAGCTAGATACAGCGGCAAAACACCAGACTCCACTGAGCCTACAGCCTTCTTGACCATAGATCAACCCATTCTTATGATGATCAGATCCCAGTTTCTCAACTCCATGCCAAAGCATCAATACGGTGCCCAAGCAGTGCAGACTCCACCGATCGATCACCTCCAGCTGACAAGATCGGCCGCGACACTATGTGCACGTCCCGCATCTCTTCTACCCCCCTCCCAACAGCTCCAACTCCCCTTCCTTACGACGACGGCAGAGGTGAAGAACATGCCGAGCGGATACCTCTCAACCTGGTGGGTTCCCGATTTTCAGCACCTATTGTCCGTGTACGAGCTAACGTTTCTCTGCTTGATGAGATTTCTTGAGCTACAGATGCCTTGCGAGTGACCAACAGCCCAAAGAGCAACTTCGATCCCATTCTGGTGCTTTATCTCCGGCTACCACTGATTAACCTGCTCACCTGCGTAGTATGGCGAATCGCCAGGAGCCTCGACAGCATCTCCAGCCGTTCCTTCTTCGTGCACTGGCCGACAGCAGCGAGCAATTCCTCCGTCACAGCATCCATTTCGGGACACAACTCCAACACAATCCCACATCATCACTCACTCATCCTCGCTCTACTCCAAGGCTCTCCCAATGACCGCACATTGCTGGGGCCTTTCTTTTCCGCGCAGAGCAGCGCGCAGCTCCTAGCCAGATCCAAATCGCGGTCGATCAAACGGGCCGTCGTCAGCTATCGAAACCCGAACAAACATGCGACGGCTCGACTCATGCTGCTTTACTCGCCTGTTGGCTTGAGGGTTAGAAGACCGGCGAGGACGTTTCTGCAATATCCCCGACGATCGACTACTCTTGGCCGTAAGTATTTGAAGATCAAAGTTCAAGACCACGACACTGGTCGACATATGGATACATGAGCGCTGCATTGAGCCGCTCAGCAGGGCTCGAGAGCTTTGGACAAAGCATCGTGGCATCTTCGGCGTTGTTCGCATTGGTAACTGCCAGCGTTTGAGCGATGCATTCTCCGTCGTGATCCAAGCATTTACCATCTAGCGCTGTGGCGACAACCAATCCGCATTATTCTGGCTCTGCTATTTCTTGGTCAGCGTCCGGCACACTGTCGGTGTGATTCTCCTCTGGCGGTTGGACAAGGCCTGTTGCCAGAGGAGGGCAACGACTGACTATTTGGCGAGGCGTTGCCCCAGGCCATGCTCCTCTCCGTATGCCTCTGTGCTTTTGGGATTTGACATGGTAAGGCTGTACTATCTTTGAGCCGATGTCTGACGCGATAGCGAAAACACACAAGACCTCGTGCTATTATCAACACATACTCCGTAGTGTTGGGTGCTCTCCTTCGAATCGACCTTTACACTGCCTCTCTCGCAGATGGGATCTATTTCCCACCTTTCGGTGCGCAGCTTTTCGCAGGCATCCCAAGGGAACCAATGCCTACGTCGCAAGACGAGGTTGGGGTGCCAAAGACGAGAGGCTCAAGCGAACTCAGATACGTCCTTCTATCGCAGAACACTACCGACGCGAAGCCTCGCACTAGTCAACAATGACACAGATCAATTTCCAACTCCATTTCGAGGTGGCGTTTCAGCGATCGCCAGTGCTGTGCTTTCTACCTTGCCCTCCAGCACTCTCGTTTCAACCAAGCCGTAACAGAGAAAATCATGGCGATGACCAACGGAGCAGAACAGTACTTGCAGCAAGGCGTTGTCAGTTGTTGGAACCTTATCCCCACATGAGAGACTGTATCGAAGTTGGAGGATTCGCCGTTCGAAAGAAGCATGATCCTTCCGGACACTGCCGAGACACAGCCAACACTGCCGACCGTATATGCGATACACGTACTGTAACTAGTCCACAGGTGGTGCGGGAGGAGCCGAGGTGTGGGCGGGAAAGAAAATGAAGCTCAGCCAGCCTCAGACAAAAATGGCAAAGGGACAGATGGAGGGGCAAAGCATCTCGGCTAAAGATGTGGAATGCATAAGTGATTGCCGAAACACAATCCAAACCATTCAGCTTTTTAAGCTTATTGAATTACTACCCAGATGTACAGGGTCATGGTGCTGCGGATTCGGTCGCATGAACTGCGTATGCTCATCGCCTGTCAGGCGATCAGAGTTCATTCTATGGCCAACATTGACGTCAGGTGATGCCAACAAGCCTACGCGCGGCAGTGGTGGAGATGTACCTGCATCTGCTTATAAAATCTGGGCACCAGTAGGCAAAAGTCATTGTCACGCAGCACTGAGACATTGGTAACCCCCAATCTTGTCGATCTTATAACCCATAATTCATTGTAGATGCAATATTGGACTAGTTATCTGGCTCAACATCGTCTGTGAACACAACTCCCTGGCTTGCTTGGCCAGCCGCCTTCTTGTCCAAGCTAATATTGTTGTTCAGCTTCGTCTGCTCCTCGTCAATCTTGTCCTGGTTGTCAGCCCCTTGAGCCTGCTCAATCTGCAGGGTTGACACTTCAAGAAACAGCTTCAGAACCTTGTTCTTGATTTTGCCGTTTTGCAGTGCTGTCGCAGCGTCGCCGCTTGCAGCATCAATTTGATCGTTGAATGCATCGGTCTCGGCTGCCTCCGCGGTCTCCCGGGCGGCTTTGATGATGGCCAGATCACTATCTGAGACGTCCTTCAAATTGTTTGTGTCGATCTAACAGTTGTTAATTGAGGTCATAAGATGCTCGGGACGCTGGTAACCTACTGGGAACTTTGCTTGAGCTTCACTGAGAGCATTGCCTGCCTTGCCGTCCGAGATTTGAAAGTCGGCATATGGGCGGAACTGCAGGGCCCTCTTGTGCGGCATGCTGGTAGGTAGAGCGAGAGCTGAGGCAGCTAATGAGACTGCCAGGTAAAGCTTTGTGAAGTGCATTGTGATGTTGGTGGGAGTGAAGATATTGGGCGAGTGTAGGATGATAAGATTGGATAGTGAGGGTTTGCGGCAAAGCGATGAGCAAGTGTGACTTGGATAGAGCGGATGAGAGTGTTTGTTGTCGACAGTCAAAAAGAATTCGTGAACATTGCCAACTTTGCAGACTTATATGTTCGTTCAATCCGCACGAAGTCATCACCGGTGCATCGCTTCGTAGGAGTTGATGCTTTTGGCGTTTCATCACTGTTACGGAGCATGGCTCTGAAGCTGCCAGGCCCCCGACCCCAGAGGAACGACGAGACTAGCAACAATTGGAATTACAGTTCGTTATTTCCGCTGCGAACAACTATGAAACGAGCGGTTATTGTTTCATAAGAGCGGTTAAGGAAGTAATTCCAGCCTGCTGCTGGTGAGAGGCTGCGTTCTGATCTTTTCAGGATGATGTTCGCAGCTAAGCGAGCAGTTGACAGTGGAGACATCACTCAACGTGAGCCCCCTGCTGGCGTTTGGTGGTTTGGTAATGCAAGCGAGGCGATATATAATTATGCCATCCCAGATGAGACGAACTGTAGCTCCGGACAGGGAGACCAGCAGGTGCGTCCTGAAACGTCTGAAGAATATTGAGCGAGGTAGCCGTTTTATTAGTGAAGAAGTCAGAATATTTGCAGCCGACGGAGCCCCTCCCTACATCGCTTCAAACATCAGGCGGACGTAGGTGAGAGCAATCATGACGCTTTTGCGACTGTCTAATAGCTCATTTCCTGTGATGTTTGGAGGGCGCATAACGAAACAGTTCGTGCGGGCGATAAGCGACATTTCCTTCCCGCACGACGCGATGCAGCGCTGCTCATCCCGTTGGCTACGCAAGCACATGGAAGGAGAGTTTGGGTGAACCTTCAGCGTCTTCAGTACGCGCCCGGTTTCGACGCCCCGGTTCAGCCTCGCCAAAACGTCACAGAGACCAGGACAACACACGTGGACATTCTCAAGTCAAAAATGGACTAGGTGACCTTAATAAGCTCTGAGATGTGGAATCATTCGGTGAAGCATCTGCAGGAAAAATCATCACCATTTCTATGTCATGTCGAGATGATTTTCATTTCTGAGAGGGCCTAGATATCACACATGTATCGATAGACACAATGAAGCCGATCTCGGTCTGCCGCATGCGACGCACGAGTCTCTTTCGAGATGAAGTAGGGCCAATGTTACACGACGATTGTAGTAACCGTCGTATTGGTCATGGCCGACTGTGCCCATACCCCTAGGGGACGATGCAGGGTAGTACGAGCAAGCAGGCATAGACTAACCATGTTCTGACTTGAGTAGTAACAATCAACCGAGTACTTCGACGAGTACAGTCCAGGTTGCGAGCAGGTAATGCAAGCAATCACAAAGCTATATCAATATAGTAGGGTTACTAAGTGCCGACGGTTAAGTACACTCGATATCATCATACGAGACTGCCGTCGGCATTACGGCCCTCGCTGCAACACGGCGTCGTCTCCGGATAAGCGGCATAGATGATACTGAAATGGCAAAAGATCCGGTGGCATGTTCGAGTTCAGTATGGTCCAAATACGGCCATAGTTGAACTAGAAGCTGTCATCTCAGTCTGTATCTACAAGTGAACGAACGGGAGAGCCCTTGGCCATGATGTCGACAGAGCAGACGACAGCGCGATGATAACAAAGCAAGACACTATGAGACTCTCGCAAAAACTATACTATTGTTAACCTCAGTATTGAACTTGTCGAGATTCGCACCCATGGAGTATTTTCTTTGGCTTTGGACCGAAGCAGCGAAGAGGGAAAGACAATAAGGCTCGAATATTGACCCAACGAGTTACTGGGTCTTCCATGACATACGAAGTCTGTAAATGTAACCCAACTCCAAAAGAGGGGTTGGCATATAATTTGTCGATTTCGATCCAGAACGACCAGTGCATTCCCCGACGCAGAACGCCTATCTGCATACCTTTGGTAAAGGAAAAGCTATCCTGTCGTAGAAGGGCACATCTAGATAAACAAACATTTTGTCTAGCTCGAGTTCCTATATGGTAAAAAGTGCTTAGCTCACGGACGAGTTGTTGACGGAATGGGAGGTCGAGATCACGCATGTGACATGCCATCTATGTTCCGATTTTTTATTTTGGGCACGGGTGACATCGTCCTATCTCAAGCCCTGTCTCGAAGATGGAACAAGCTCGTGGATATGCCGAATAACGTCATACGTGCATGAGAATCAACATATTATTGAACTATTACCAATCTACGGTTTTCAAACGTAGGGTTAGAGGGGACTTTCAAGTTAAAGTTGTTTTCCTAATGGAAAGCCTTGACTTCCATTGACAGTAGTTTGGCTATACTTCATGTTTTTTTTTATTCTCTCAGTCAGGCAAAGCAAACTAGCAGGCCCAGTGATAATTAGATCCTGTATCTGCATTGCAGGCCAATCCTCTCATCCCCAATCTCGATACGAGGAATAAAGACACTGAAAAGAACTGAAGTTGCTCGTATTGCCGACTTGTATCTGCCTCGCAGCGTTACATGAACTATTGCTGCAGGCCGAGCATCACTTGACACCTTATCTTAATACCTTCCCAATAGAGCTGTGTCGTATAGGCGTTACGACACCTAGAGCTACAACTCTCCATACGCTGCGAACTCACAACACTGTCAGTCCTTCTCTGCATATATAAGATTTGCTCTCGCTGTATCGACATGATGTCTCTCTGTAGTCCTCAGTCATCCTCATTTGCTGAAGAGCATCATGTTGTTCAAGGCACTTGTCGCTGGCCTCGGCCTCCAGCTCGCCGTCGAAGTTGTTGCAAGCCCCATAGTGCGCGAGAAGCGTCAGGTTCCCGCCACTCATGCCGTCCATGAGCAACACGCGCCCAATATGGCTACCAAATGGGTCAAACGGGAGCGCCTGCCTCGAAAGACTGTTCTGCCAATGCGAATCGGTCTGAAGCAACGAAATCTTGATGCTGGGCACAAGAAACTGATGGAGATGTGAGTTCCCTCACCGAAAATGTGACGAGGACAAGTATATGCTAATAGTACATCAGTTCCTCTCCTGGACATGTCAGCTATGGCAAGCACATGACTTCAGAAGAAGTCATTGACTTCTTTGCTCCTGCTCAGTCCAGCGTGGATGCCGTTATCGAGTGGCTAATTTCCTCTGGCATTGATCGAAAGCGTATCAGCCAGTCTGCCAATAAGCAGGCAAGTATCAGACAACAGGACTCAAGTCTCACACTCTAACACATTGGGTGGACAGTGGATTCAATTTGACGCCGCAGCTGAAGAGGCCGAGGATCTCCTTGTCACCGATTTCTACTACTGGGATGACACCACCGGTTCTCACCGTGACATCGCTTGTGAAAAATACCACCTCCCCTCCCACATCAGAGAGCACGTTGATTACGCCACTCCCGGCATCAGACTGCGTGGAAACGGTGTCCTTGAGCGAAGCCTCAAGAAGCGAGGTCAGAAACGGGAGCAGAAACAACAGACGAATGTCCCATCCCTTCTTTTTCGTGAGGGCAAGCACTTTACCAATAACATTGCTCATATGAGCGCCGTCACACCCGCCGTAGCCAACGCCGGGCCGTTCTGGAACTCGACCACTTGCGACACTTATACCACGGCAGACTGTATCCGAGGTCAGTGATTCACCCTTTCTGCTTGATGTAGAGTATCAGCCTAACATGCTATGCAGTCCAGTATGGCATTGAAAATGGCACCACTGCGGCTCCCGGTAATGAGCTCGGTATCTTTGAGGACCTGAACGATCACTACAGCACAGCAGACCTTGATCTCTTCCTGAGTCAAGTTTATCCGTATGAGCTTGTCAAATCTTCACTGAAAAACCTGAGCGATATCTGACTCCGTAATAGTGAGCTCGACATCCCAGCCGGTACTTATCCCGAGAATCGTCTCGTCGACGGCGCCTTTGGGTCTTACGAAGACCTTGTTGATGCTATCGGCACTGACTTTGGCGGCCTTGGCCCTGAATCTACTCTGGACTTCCAGTCCGCCATTCCCCTCATCTGGCCCCAGAAGACTGTCCTATTTCAGACCAACGATGAGTACTATGAAATTGTTGGAACCAATGGCTTCTTTAACAGTAAGACTACATCACTTACTTGCAACCTACTTTAACTGACATCCAGTCAGCCTTCCTTGATGCCATTGATGGCAGCTACTGCAGCTATAGCGCTTTCAATGAAACAGGCGACTGTACCGACAGCTCCTGCGCAGACCCGGTTTATCCCAATCCCAATTACGCCGCCCCCATTGGCTACCAGGGCTCCAAACAATGCGGTGTCTACGAGCCCACCAACGTCATCTCCATCTCCTACAGCGGTATCGAGGATCTCTTGCCTAACAACTACCAGTTGCGCCAGTGCAATGAGTATCTCAAACTCGGTCTTCAGGGCGTCACCGTCGTCGTCTCCTCCGGAGACTATGGTGTCGGTACGCAACTGGGCTGCATCGGGTCAGTCGAGCAGCCCAACGTCGGCACAATCTTTGCACCTCTCTTCCCCCAGTCTTGCCCTTATATCCTCACCGTCGGCGGCACGGAATTGAGGCGCTCCGATCCCACTGCTCCTCCGGTCGCGTGGGAGATTCTCGACGAGGTTGCCGTGACGCAGTTCCCCAGTGGCGGAGGCTTCAGCAACATCCACCCCGTGGCAGATTACCAGAAGGACGCTGTGGATGCATATCTTGATGCTGTGGGGAGCTCACTACCATTTGAGTCTTACAGCCAGATTATTGTCGACGGCGATTTTACCAACATCACTGATATCAACCAGGTGTATAACCGCGGTGGTCGAGGATACCCTGACGTTGCTGCCGTGGGAGAGAACCAGCTGATCATCTACGAGGGCGCGTTCCACACCATTGGCGGAACCTCACTGTCGACGCCTCTATGGGGATCAATGCTGACTTTGATTAACGAGAAGCGTATTGCTGCCGGCAAGAGCACTGTTGGCTTTATCAACCCTATTCTGGTGAGTTACCCTAAGGTATTTTCTCGGCGCCGTCTAGAGTAATGCTAATTGGATGCCAGTATCAACATCCTGAGGCGTTCAACGACATCACTGAGGGGAACAATGACGGCTGCAGCTCCGCTGATCAAACCACGCTCTGGGGCTTCCCTGCGGCCAAGGGATGGGATCCCGTGACGGGTCTTGGGTATGTTCTTACATCGTCCTCCAGATTCCTTACATGTACTTGACTAAGCTGCGTAGATCGCCCAATTTTCCAGCTCTGCAAAACGTGTTGCTGAGTCTGTAAGGTGAAGTGTTGGTGTCTGCTAGAGGAAAAGTATTGCGTACACCATACGATGTTCATGTGGCCACGATCAGGATTGGACAATGTTACGAATAAGATGGATCCCCAAGACGCGGCATTACCAAGGAAACAAGACGGAAGACGTTGCGAATCGGGACTATTAGCTTCTACCGTCCATGATGTTGACTCAATGAAGTTCCCTTGGACCATATTGCAGAAAACGGACGTTGATATAAGATTTTGATGGCAAATGAATAAGAGAAAACACCCCTCAGACCTTGGTTGAGGTCTTTTCTTCGTGCAACACCTCGCCAACCTCCACAGCCTTGTCGGCTTCGTCATGGTGCACGACCTTTTCGACGGCCATGACGGCCTGGTCTGCAAGAGTCTTGTCCTCGAACACTGTAAGAATGGAAGGGTCAGCGAACAGGATCTGCAAAGACCTGAGCAAGAGCAGGAGCGGAGAGGAAGCTTACAGAAAGACAGTTCTTCCAAAGTCCGACCAGCCGTCTCGGGGAACAAGAAATAGACAAAGAGAATCTCGAACCCTAGCCAGCAGCAGTAGACAATCAGCCATCGCCAGCTGATGTTGTCCAGCCCGATCGGGTTGACAAAGGTAGCGAAGAAGCCGGCAAGACGGCCAAACAGCTGGAAGACGGAGATACCGCGGGATCGCTCGGCATAGGGCCAGAGCTCGACCATATACGTGTAGGTCAGGGCATTGTAGCCAATGTTGTAGCAGGGCTGGTACATGAAGATGAAGAAGATGGTGGCGGCACCTGCAGCCTTGTTGGGGTGTCCAGTCGCGTTACCGGCAATGCTGCGCTCCATGGTCACAGTCCAGCAGATGTATACGACGAGCAGACTGCACGTGCAGACGAGGTACATGGTGCGGCGCTTGAAGCGGTTGACGAGCAACGATACGGTGACACCAGCGACGAGTGACCAGCAGGCAATGGCAACGTTGATCTTCTGCTTGAAGATGGACTCGGTCTGTCCAATCATGGCCAGGAGATCTCCGAGGTAGTACGAGATAAGGGTGTTGCCGGACCACTGAGTGAACAAACCGAGGAAGCTGGAGATGAGTGTTCGTCGTCGCATACCGGCCGTCTCGAATATGGACATCCAGTTCTTCCTAGAGTGCTCCGCCTCAAGCTCAATGGTGGTGGTGATTTGGGCCATCTCAGCGCGGACAAATTCAGAGTCCTGGTCGCCCTCGGCGTGATACTTGACGAGGATGTCGTTGGCCTCGGCGACCCGCCCCTTGGTGACGAGCCATCGGGGGCTTTCAGGCAGCATGAAGACGAACACAATCTGCATGACTGAGGGCGCCATTTGCAGCAGAGAGGGAATACGCCAGGCCCAGTTGCTGGCGATGTTGTTGGTGCCAAAGGTGATGCCGGCGGCAACGATCTGGCCGATGAAGTAGGCGACGTTGAAGAGCGAGGTGAGGACAGCACGCTCCTTGGGGTAGCTGAGCTCACCAATGAGGGACGAACCGGAGACGATGCAGGTTGGGATACCGAAACCTAGGATGATGCGGGCAACAATGTACATGGCAACTGAGACGGAGTGTTAGATAAGGTTGTATTAGGCAGATCATGCGCGTATGTATGTATATCACGACTGACCGTGCTGAGAGAAACCCTGAATCAGGGCGCCGATGATCATTATGACGGAGCCCCCCACGATGGACCAACGGCGACCAAATTTGTCGTTGACAACGGGGATAAAGGGCAGGGACAGAATGGCGCCCAAAGAGTAGGCAGCGGCGATGATGCCCTTGAGGGAGCCCTGGGGGTTGTCAAAATCTGCAATGCCGTCAGTAACGGAGAATAGGGGTTATAAGGGTTATAAGGCCAGTATAAGACAGCATACAGTCAATCCATGAAGGCACAATCTGCAGCGCATTAATCATCTGGGAGTCGAACCCAGATGTCAACTCGATGCCCATACATGCTGGAAAGAGAATGAAGTAGAGATTTCTCAGATTCGGCTTCCTATACCAGGCAACCTTGTCCTCGTTCGCAATCTGGGTGACAATGGGCTCGGAACCCCCCGTCTCCTTGGTGGTAGGCTTGAGGATACCCATGGTTGCAGCAGCCCGTTGCAGAGATAAAAGATATTGATTGCTTATAAGAATCAAAGTGGTGTTCAGGGCTGGGCTGATGGGGATACACGAGAGAGAAAAGAAGGCCTCAAGGGTGAGATGGCGGCTTCTTTTTATTCTCGAGACATGTCTGTCCTCGGTCTGGACAAAAGGAGGCCAAGCTCGTGGCCAATGGCGAACTTTTCAGCCAAAAATACCAGACCACTGTTGCAGACTCCCACCAGTTACGCCGTTGCCAAGCGCAGACTAGCCTGCGCTGAGAGAATGGTTGCACACTCCAGTCGTCAAGGGACCGGGACAACTTCAGCTTCTTTCCCTCTCTTCTGCTTCGGTTGGCGTGATTCTTCCCCTCAAAATCGCGGAGTAAGTCTGGGGTTCTGGGGAATGGGAAACAATACTTTCAAGTCGGGGGCTAAAGAAGCTACGGGGAGACTCCCCGAAGATGACTCCAGACAACCGCAGGATTTTAAGCTCGTAACCCCACACCAGCCCGGACCAGGCCCAGCAGCGGTCGTAATAGGCGTGGCTTTTAGCCTCTTCAGGCCGGCTATCCCTGTCGACAATTGGGAGAATTGGATCCGCCTCCATGGGGAACCTCCGAAATTTCAGAAAAAGGAAGAGGCAGAAGCCGAAAAAGCGTTTAAAGCTCCACATGACTGGAGGAGGGACGGCAATATCAGACGAGTGAATCTGCGGCCCTTCCATCCTCACCGAAGCCCCCAGTATACATCTAACGCACATGCTATTGCGTACTGATGGAGAGGAGTTTTAGTGAGGAGTGTAGGTTATTCGTACATAAGAGTCGTTTATAATAGAAATCTCACACCTCCCCCCTCTTTCCTCTTGCCCTCTTGTTCCTGATTTCTTAAACGTGTACGAGTTTTGCATTTCCTTTTTCTTTATTCGCCTGTTTCCATGACCAGACAAGCGGCGCTCGTTTACATCTCATCCTTCTCAATATGGGCGAGTGGCAGCAGGCGACCACGATGGGCTTTGACGTAGAGCACGTCCTGTCTCAGCTGAGCCAAAACGAGAAGATTGCTCTCTTGTCCGGTGAGTGATCATGTTCTTACTCGAGACTAGCGTCATTAAGACACCACCTCTTGTCAAATATGAGCTGACATGCTACGACTATAGGCATTGATTTTTGGCATACCTACCCCATTCCCAAGTACAACGTCCCGTCAATCCGCCTGACAGACGGCCCCAACGGCATCCGAGGCACAAAGTTCTTTGCTGGCATTCCTGCTGCTTGTCTGCCATGTGGAACAGCCCTGGCCTCTACCTGGGACAAGCAGCTGCTGAAGAAGGCCGGAAAGCTGCTCGGTGATGAGTGCATCGCAAAAGGCGCCCACTGCTGGCTGGGCCCAACCATCAACACTCCGCGGTCCCCTCTGGGTGGCCGCGGCTTCGAGTCCTTCTCGGAGGATCCGTACCTGTCCGGCATCCTCGCCGCATCCATGATCCTCGGCTGCGAGAGCACGGGCGTCATATCCGCCGTCAAGCACTTTGTCGGCAACGACCAGGAGCACGAGAGGCGAGCGGTCGACTGCCTCATCACCCAGCGGGCTCTCCGAGAGATCTATCTCCGACCTTTCCAAATCGTAGCTCGAGATGCAAAACCCGGCGCCTTGATGACCTCCTACAACAAGGTCAATGGCAAGCACGTCGCCGATAGTTCCGAGTTCCTGCAGGGCATCATCCGGACAGAGTGGAAATGGGATCCCTTCATTGTCAGCGACTGGTACGGCACTTATACCACTATAGATGCTATCAAAGCCGGTCTTGATCTTGAGATGCCTGGCGTCTCTCGGTATCGCGGCAAATACGTTGAGTCTGCCCTGCAGGCCCGTCTGCTAAAGCAGTCCACCATCGATGAGCGTGCTCGCCGCGTGCTCAGGTTTGCCCAGAGGGCAAGCCAACTCAAGGTCTCTGAGGTGGAGCGAGGCCGCGACTTTCCGGAAGACCGTGTTCTCAACCGCCAGATCTGCGGCAGCAGCATTGTCCTGCTGAAAAATGAGGATTCTTTCTTACCTCTCCCCAAGACCATCAAGAAGATCGCCCTCATTGGATCTCACGTGCGGCTACCGGCCATTTCTGGAGGAGGCAGCGCCTCTCTTCTCCCTTACTATGCTATCTCTCTATACGATGCCGTGTCCGAAATTCTGCCCGGTGCCACCGTCACGCATGAGGTCGGCGCCTATGCCCATCAAATGCTGCCCGTCATCGAAGCGATGATCAACAACGCCGTGATCCACTTCTACAACGACCCCATCGAAGTCACAGACAGGAAACTCCTGGGCAGCGAAAACGTCTCCTCGACGTCGTTCCAGCTCATGGACTACAACAACATTCCAACGCTCAACAAGGCCATGTTCTGGGGTACTCTCGTGGGCGAGTTTATCCCTACCGCCACAGGAACCTGGGAGTTTGGCCTCAGTGTCTTTGGTACAGCGGACCTTTATATCGACGATGAGCTCGTCATTGAGAATACAACACATCAAACGCGCGGTACAGCCTTTTTTGGCAAGGGGACGACGGAGAAAGTCGGCACCCGGGAGATGGTGGCCGGAACCACCTATAAGCTGCGTCTAGAGTTTGGATCTGCCAACACGACCAAGATGGAGACGACCGGTGTTGTCAACTTTGGCGGCGGTGCCGTGCATTTGGGCGCCTGTCTCAAGGTTAGCCCGCAGGAGATGATTGCGCGGGCCGTCAAGGCCGCGGCCGATGCCGACTATACCATCATCTGCACGGGACTCAGCGGCGAATGGGAATCCGAGGGCTTCGACCGGCCACATATGGATCTGCCCCCTGGAGTCGACACCATGATCTCGCAGGTTCTCGATGCCGCGCCAAATGCCGTGGTCGTCAACCAGTCGGGCACCCCGGTCACTATGAGCTGGGCCTCCAAGGCGAAGGCCATTGTGCAGGCTTGGTACGGCGGTAACGAGACAGGCCACGGAATCTCCGATGTGCTCTTTGGCGACGTCAACCCTTCAGGCAAACTGTCCCTGTCGTGGCCGGTCGATGTGAAGCACAACCCGGCCTACCTCAACTATGCCAGTGTTGGGGGACGGGTCTTGTATGGAGAGGATGTTTACGTCGGCTACAAGTTTTATGATAAGACGGAGAGGGAAGTTTTGTTTCCATTTGGGTAAGCTTTTTTCTTTTCTCTCACTTTGTGGCTTTTATCTTGTGGTCTTATTTTCGCTTTTTCTCTCTGCTTTTTCGTCTGACAATTCTGCAGACATGGGCTATCATACGCCACCTTCGAACTCTCAGATCCTACCGTCAAGACGGTCCCCGAAACCTTCCGCCCGAACCAGACCGCCGTCGCCATCGTCAAGATCAAAAATACGAGCAACGTCCCCGGCGCGCAGGTCTTACAGCTGTATATTTCGGCCCCCACCTCGCCAACGCACCGCCCTGTTAAAGAGCTGCAAGGGTTCGAAAAGGTGTACCTCGAAGCCGGCGAGGAGAAGGAGGTGCAAATCCCCATTGACAAGTACGCCACCAGCTTTTGGGACGAGATTGAGAACATGTGGAAGAGCGAGGAGGGCACGTATGACGTGCTTGTAGGGTTCTCGAGTCAGGAGATTGTGGGCAGGGGGAAGCTAGTGGTGCCCCAGACACGATTCTGGACGGGATTGTGAATTGAACGCCTGGGTAAAAGGACCCTAGAGAAATCTTAACATACTTAAGGCAGCCAAGCGGCAATACTTGGGCGTCTCGATAGATAGAACTCATGCATAGATGGACAACATGGGAGGTTATTGGGAATTGGAGTCTATTCAATCAGCTGCACATCCAAAACGTGGCTGTTCATTCGAACACATGGCAAGGGCAGGCATTCTCGTTTAACCCTGAGTAGAGTACAACGCTACTCTTCGACTGTAAAGACAGATAGAGAAAACCTTACTTGGGCGCTTGAGTAAGCAAATTTATGTGAAGAAAACCACAGGATGGGTGTGACATAAGGTGATATTACTGCAGGTATGTAAAAAGTCACGTCTTCTTCAGCCAGTCAAGCAGCACACCCAGCTCCCGAATCCCTCCTCCCTGATCCCCCCATGTCTCCAGTCTCTCCTGTACCATGTCGACACACTCTCGCCACATGGGTGGAACTAAGACGTGCACCGCAGACTCGACGCCCGCCTGCTTGCCCCGGTACGCCGCAATCAGGCACAGCGCGTGATTGAATCGTACCCGGCACGCTCCCCACGATCCTGGATGCCGGAAGAAGGGGTTTTCCGTCTGGATCCGGTAGACGCTTAGCCGGAGACCGAGAGAAGCGTGCGCACCAAATGTCTCAGCCTGAGAGCGCGTCAGGCGCATCCCGCCGTGCAGGCACATGTACAGGTACGCCCGGCACAGCAGCTCGCGCACCTCGGCATATCTTTCGCGCATCAGCTTCACCAGCTCGGGCTCATCTGGCGACGGACGGGAGTCGGGTGGGATATGGAACCTGAGGGCTGGGGGCAGGCAGTCAAGCCACTGCTGCAGCTGGCCCTCGAGCTTCTGCAGCGTCTCGGCCAGCTGTGCGGCCGTCAGGGAGTCGATGGTTGGTGAAAGAACAGTGGCGGCGCTGCGTGTGCGGTTGAGCAGCCGCCGCAAGGATATCTCGGCAAGGTAGTAGTAGTATGACAATGTGGTGGAATGTACCGTGAAGGCATCGTGGCGTGCCTCCACGGGGCTCTGTTCGAAACTTTCGATGGTAGGAAAAGTAGGTAGAGCGTAGGGGAATGATGACTCTTGCAATGTGCACGGCGGAAGGCCGTTGAGCTCATGACGTACTTCGCTAAGGCCGTAAGTTAGCTTCAAGGAAAACAAAGGTACGTGAATTCTACTTGCCACTCAGACTTGAGGCACGTCCAGTATAGCCGCTGTTCAAGACCTGCATGATATGTCAATGACCCCTCTCAATAAGAGACGATGTCTGAAGTAGTCCGATGACACGTACTCTCTTCTTGCTTCGGCCGCTGCGTCTTCCCATCAGAATGCTTCAGGTTGTACGCCTCCCACATCATAGATGCCGTTCTGAACATCTTCCATCCAGGTATTGGCTCAATATTGTACTGATACCACATTCTTTTCACGTCACTCATCAGATCAAGCTCCACTTGACATCAGGCAAAGGAACATACCCAAAAAGGCAAAAACACACGACGCCGAGCAGCGAGTCGTCCAAGTAGGCCGTCGACATTCGCTTCTGCGCCATGGCAATGTACATTAGAGACTCCCTCATCCGATGATCCGGCACGGCCATGGTCACTCGCTGTCTGGGATAGAGATCCAGCTCCTCGTCCGTCTCCACAGTCCGTCGCTCATCGTCGGGATAGTTGCCCCAAGCGGCTGCCAAAGCAAACACCAGGAGCACTAGGCACGACGTAGCTGACCAACCGAAGCCGTTGTCTAGGACGTGTGCAATATGCGCATCCAGCTGGTCCGCATCGACAATAGGATTCTTTCCCTGGATCTTGCTCATATAAATGTCCCGCAGCTCAAACATGCGCTCTGGAGATGGGTTCGACACTTCTACTAAGAGGTTAGCAAGACGTCCAGCTCGACCACAAAGTCATTTCCATCCACTTTGGTTAGCAATTACTAGTGATCAATCTGCGTTCAAGTGCATAGCCTCATTCTCAACATACCAAGATCAGAGGGCTTCGGCTTCTCGGCGTATTCCGTCGACGGAAACGTGCTGACTGGTCTCTCCTGTGGGAATACGGACCAGCTCAGAATCATATCGGAGCCCGTGATTGGAGTCCAGGGAGTGTCTTTTCGCGACATGGTCTCCGAATTCTCGCCGTCCATGTCCAGCAGCCGAGCCAGCTGGTCGGGACGCTGCTGCTGGAGGCCATTTCGGGCACCATCTGAGAGAGCGGCTAGTAGGCGCCCCTGTTCCTCCACCGCGCTGAGGATCTTCTTGCCCCATGTTTCGAATCTATGGGATGCAACTCCCTCATCAGCACATGCTAGTGTTTGATACTGCAGGGCAAGTAGAGAGAGGCACGTGGCCAAGCGCCCGCCCCAGGCAGTCTGTGTGTGTCCTTGCTTGCTTGCGTGCTTACATGGAGAAAGGATCTTTATCAGGATATCTGCAGCTCAGGCCGCGCTCAGCGCACTTCGCGCATGTCGGGCGAGCAGAGTCGCACCGTGTCTTGCTAACGCGACATGCGTCACAGGCAGCCAGGATCCTTGTATGCGAAGGAATGTCTTTGGGACGCTTTCTCTTCTTACTGCTATTCGTGTCCATGGACGCATTAGGCTGTGTTTGAGGGCTGATGCTGATGCTGTTGCTATTGCTGTCGTTCGACTCCATTGTACTGCTGCTGCTGCTGCTGCTTTGCTCTTCTTTGCTTTCCTCTTTGTCTTCTTGTTCACCTTTTCGGTGAGGGTATCCCCTGCAGAAAATACCAAGGTAAGCGAATCACCCGTCACCGAGACCAGGCCTTTTGCGCGAGAAGAGAACGTAACAATCTGCTGCTAGGCAAATTACGATAAAATAGATAAAAAGAAATAGAACCGTGATGGTCGTGGGGAGCGCTTAGCGTTCTCACTCCACATGCAGGCAGAATGTAACCTTTTATGCGCGTCTGGATTGGGGTAATCGAGACCAGTCTGCCTCTACTACCCCACGTTATGGAATCGCTAGCCGTTTGTTGCAGATGCGGGACGAAGGACCCAGAGACATGAACAGAACGTGACGGCGCTTTCGGGCAAGTAACTGATCGGATTTTGTGCGATGTACAGATTTTTTAAGACAAGAGCTGGAGACAAGGAGTCTTGATAATCACAGGCAAATGAAGGGTTGAATGACGGCAAATTCACTTCCATACTGCCGGCTGAGGTAGAATCTGCATCTAGGAGGAAGTCAGCAACGCGGAATTACAATGGACCGGCCTGCCAATCGGAATCGTCACCTGAATAAGGTTGTTCGCCCTGCAAGAACGAGAAGCTCGTCTGCTGATGGATGGATGTGTTTACCCGCAGATACTGAGAGCTTCAATTTACAAACTTGTATCTCTCAATGTATCGACTAAATGATTTGCACCCGGGGCTTTAACATTTCCCTTTCCTTTTTCCGCGCACTGAAATCGTGAGGAGTTAGATTTGAGAAGGGAGCTCATCCTCTGTCCATGTTACTCCAGCCACGCGATGCTAACCTGTAACAAGTGCATTTTATTCCAATAGCAACCCACAACTGCTCTTTTGACTAATAGCGTCAATTGACAGTGATCAGATGGTATTGATAACTACATCTCTCTGTACTGTTTCAATTGATCCGAGCCTCGTCTCTGAGTGCAGTGCATCCGACATGGTATCTCCTGCGGATTGCAACAAACCCTCATACTCAAGCTGCTCCCCACAAAACAATTCTGTGCTTCCCATTGTCACACGCCAAATCAACTCCTCGGAATTTCATCTTTCAAATAATGCTACGATTGACTACTAGAATCATGGCGATTCCCTCTTCGAAATTCATTAGCCTCACTGGCTGGCCAGAGCTTGCCATCACGTCAACCTAGGTATTCATCCATCACGTTCAGGTGTAGCTCCGCTGGACGCTCGCAAGTGCGTGTTATGGCAGCGCGTTTGCGGAGGGAAACGGATACTACTACCCGTTGGTTCCACTTTCAGTAACCAACTGTTCGGCTCCAGCCTCACAGTTGGTCACGAAAACACTGTTCCACCCCAAAAGCCATGCCATTTTTTACTACTAATTTCACAGGATTTTACATATAATAAAAAAATTAAAATATTAATATAAAATAAAAATAAAATATGCCTAATAATTAGAACACTCTTTATAATAAGTTTAATTAAGGCACTTTTTATTATAGGGGTTGTGGCTGCTGTAATGGCTGGTTGATTTTTGTTGTATTTGGCTGTGTTCAGTCGCGTTTATTAATTTTTTGGCGATTAACGAGAACCGCGAATATAGCTGCAGCGGATGCCTAAAATTAAGAAAAAAACGCGCCTAGGGCATAAGATCAATCGTTTAACATCGATTTCGATATTTTCAGTCGTTTTCTATGCATTGCGGTAGGTATTCATGGCTTCGCGGTTGTGGATCGGTTGTTATAGTCGTGTTGTTGTTTTTTCTAGGTTCATATTGTATGGAAAATACACTATAAAGCGACCTGGAACAGCCTTTCAGGGTGGAACAGGGTTTTCGTGACTAACTGTAAGGCTAGAGCCGAACAGTTGGTCACTGAAAGTGGAACCAACGGGTACTATAATTCGCGTTCTCGCTTACATCCTCTCTCGACAGTCCTCGTATTGACAGTCCTCGCATTGGCCCACATATTCCTTGGCACCCCTTGTTCCTGGCTCGGCGCGTATGGGAACAAGCAGTATTTCCGGGTCCGTACCCACGCCGTCGTTCCGTGAAACCTAGAATATTACCTACTGAGCGACAATGGCTTCATCCTGCGGTTACTGAGTCTAGACGCCGTAGGGCTCTGGTTTCACAAGTGTCTGGAATATCCAAGCAACTACATCCTTGATATTTCTTCCCCGCCGTCGCTTCCGCAGATAAACACAATCCAGCTGGAACAAGTCTCGTTTCATGCTTATCCGATATGACTTCTTTGGCGCGCCAATTGCCTTTCAACATTTGGGTGGGAGCGTGGTGCTGCGAGATGCCATTTGCGAGATGCGGCGACGAAAATGTATCGGTTGCTTCTGCGATGGTGCGATGCATTCGCGACGCGTACGTACCTTATGATGAACTACCTACCACCTCCTGGGGAGTGAGTTGAGCGGCGTCAATGCAAGCTGCAAACATTCAGCAGACGCTGGGGAGTGAGGACGTGACTTTGAAGCTACGTCTGCATCTTTATTCTATTACTACGATCGTCCCAATTTTTGCATTTGCGAACAGTGCTTCCGAGTACCTGCTGGATCATTCATGGCGAGCAGTACTGGAAGTCCCCGGCCTTCAAAGAGCGTACTCTCCGCAAGTCCTCCTGAAACCGCGGGGCAGATTGCAACCCCTTGGCTACCGCGCGGGCTGCGAGACGGTAGCGCAGAGGTGAAACGGGACTGGTGATGGTATCATGTAAACAGCAAGGGATATTTCGTCCACGATGGCTTCTAAGCGATGTCAGTCTAATGATATATAGGCAAACATCTCCTGTTGGCATTTATCCCGCTGTCAGTTCTTCACCACACATTTCCATCTACCATTCTCTTCGGTCATTTCAGAGTGTAACGCATCGCCGGACGATTGCCTCTGCCTCTTTTCGTTCTCCTTGTATTGATTGCAAATTTCTTTACCCTTTCTTTCTTCTTGTTCATATTGTCATCTTTTCGTGGAAGGTCCTGGCCCAGTTCTAAACCTTCAAGATGAAGGGCAGTCTTCTCTTTCCTCTCCTCGCCATCACGGCAGAGGCCCGCTTCGGTCAGGAACAAGGCAACGGCGCCATCGCCGCCATCGGGGCGTTGACAGACCTCGGACAGCCAGGCCAGGCCGCGACCCTTGCCGGCAATTCGATACAGTTCCTCCTAGCTGCTGCCAACCCTTGCGGCAAGCTCACCCAGGCTGATCTCATCCTCACCCAGCTGGGCACCAGTGATGCCGCCGTCGCAGCAGCCCGAGGCCTGGTGGCGGCTGAGCAGAATTTCAACCCGTTTGTCGTCAGCGTGCCGTCCATCTGCTCAGACCCGACGCTGCCCAAGTCGCCGGAGCTCCGTGGCGTGGTGCCTCTGGTCGACCCTGCGGTTGGTGGATCGGACGTCGAGAACAAGAACGCGGCGGCGTCCAAGACGAAGCCCTTCGCAGCCGATGGCCTTAGCGTTGCTCAAGTCATGATCAACAATGGATTCTCGAACTTTACGTCTGTTGCCGCAGATGGTACCGTGGAGCAGGCCGCGGGAGGATCGGGAGCCGGCTCGTCGTCTAGTGCACCAGCTGCTTCTGCTTCTGCTGCCGCTTCTGCTGCCACTTCTGCTGCTCCGCCGGTTACTGTTGCCGACGGACAGGCATGCAACAGTATCCCAGTGCCCACGACGATGATCACCATCACCAAGACGGCTGTTGTTGCGTCTGCAACTGCTCAAGCTTCTAGTGCAGCACCGGTGCCTTCTTCTGATAGCAACACTGCCGCTCAAGCTGGAAGCTGTACAGGCAGCGGAAGCACCTTGGCCTGCTCGGCTCCCCAAAGCGGCTCCGGCGCCGTGAAAAACGCCGTGACTGGCAACTTTGACGGCTTCGTGGCCTCGACCATCGAGGGTCTTGACTTTGGCCTCTGTGTGCCCACCATGAAGTTTGAGGCCGGGCTCAACGGACGCTCAGACACCGAGTTTACCTTTCAAGCTGTTGATCCGCTGGTCAACAAGGGACAGGAGGAGGCTCTCAACCCCAATATCATCACCAACCGGATCCACGACCAACTCACCAACGTGTGTGGAGCGAATGCGGCAGCAAAGGCAGCGGCTGCAGACGCACAAACGAAGATTGCGGCGCTGGGCACGAGAAATGCTGACACTGCCAATACCTGGAACCAGCTTCTTGGATTTGCTGGCGCCAACATCAATCCCGACAATGCGCCTCAAGCGGGACTGGTTGGACACACGTAGAGTCATGCATCTCACGGATTTGCCGTGAATGTTGACGAGTGCGGGGGGGGGGGGGTGTATGATAAGCAATGGGATTGTACAACCATGGCTATAGCGTGCAAAAAGAGCTGTCTAAAGACCAAATGTAAAAAAGAATTTAATGAAGATGTCAGATGGATTCCATCCCAGAATGCACCTACAGTGACTTGGTAGAAGCAGTGACGAGATGCGACTTCTCACCGATTGTGTGCAAAGGATGGACGAAGAAAGCACGGCAATCCACAACCCAGCCGTCGACGTTGGTATTGTCAGCCCTTCCTGGAAGCGTTCGTCTGAATCAGTGGCCAAAATGAACGTGCAGTTTTTCGACAATTACTCCAATGACATCTACATGCCGGCTGGCGAGTATCACACCATCTGCTGCGAACCGGGCTGTCAGGCGTGGATCCGAACGCGTTTAGAATTCGGCAACAGATCGGTCGCAAATCCACGGCGGCTGGTCGGTTCGTAGCCTTGTGCAAATAAAGAATGTGTCATGGAGGACGCTCATTGCCAGTGGACGTTGACGTCTCACAGGCCGCCGCTGAAGCCTGGGGAACATGACATCATTTCCCCGCGTGTCTGCCTTCCGCCCTCGAAATGATCGCGTTGTTCTTTGATCTCTTACGAAGTTCTCGTTGATACGCATGCGTTCGAGCCTTTGTCGTCTTTCTGCCGCCGAGCTGCGCTTCCCTTTCTGCGGTGTATCAACGTCCATATCCGATGGCGAGCTATTCGTGGAGTTCTTGTCAAATCGTTGGCAGCGGGGCCTTGCGTGAGCGCCACCGGACGCCATTGTGAGTCGATCCAAATGGAGCAAATCCGATCTAACCACAAGCTGGATCTCCTTCGCCCTCAATTGGTTCATCGCCAATGATGGCTGATGCCCACACGTGCTTCTGACGCAGCAAAACTTGTGGGTGATGCTGCTCTTGTGTTTCTATTGTGGGCCGCCTTTCCCATCATCTCCGGCTCTATAACCCTCAGCTGCCCACCAAAGGGAATACTCCGCAAATACCCTGTTGATGATTTGCTGATGCTGATCCCCAGTTCCCGAAAACCCCGACAAGAACTAGGCCTGCCGGTCTGATTCATCGCCATGGCACCGGCAATGCCGGCTGAACGTTTTAAAACAGCGCATCCCTCGAGCTTCCGGAGCCGGGTCGCGGACTGCACATGGCCGGCCAACATTCTTTCAGCCAGCGGCTCTGCGGCCTGAGCATCGCACTGTTGGCTCTGCAGTGCCTTTGTGTCCTTTGCAAACCGACAGCGAGAGAAGATGCCGATTCCATCTTGGCCCTGTCAAACGGCGTCGTGCCCGAATATGTGACTCGATACGGTATGTGCCTACATAACATGCCACAACTGGAAGGCCTTGACCTTGCGCTTAGATGGTTTGATGGCTAACTGCTTGTTTGTTCGCCGCAGCACCGCTCGTTTGGCTTCACTCGGACGATCCGTTTCGACCGGCAGACTTGCTCCAACACATCCGCCATACGACCCCAACTGTCAACCAAACGGCCATCCCCGATCTGCCCGAGCTCGACCTCGACAATCTCGCCCTCCTCAACGACATCGGCGGCGGCAAGGTCGCACTGACCTCGAACGACGACATTACGACGTTGCCTGCATGGCTGTACGGATCTAGTCCAGACGACTCCGGCCGGATCGCAAACGCCACGCCCTGTGTTGTTATTCTGGTGGAACACAATCCTCGGAATGTGGACGCCTTCTTCTTCTACTTTTACTCTTACGATCGGGGCGCGAATATCACACAGGTCCTGGAGCCTCTCAATCGCTTGATTGAGGATACAGAGCATGGGATGCACTTTGGAGATCACGTTGGCGACTGGTCAGTATGCCCCGGCAGTCGTTGAGCCGCCTCAGTAGGGCTAAAGGGTTGTGCAAAATAAGGGAACATAACATGGTTCGTTTTCGCGATGGCAAGCCCATTGGTATCTGGTATAGTCAGCATGTGAGCGGTGCTGCATATGACTGGAACCACAAGGCCCTTTCGAAGGAAGATGAGCGGGTATGTTGCGCGAGTGCAAGCTTGATGGACGTCTTGCAAGCTGACCCCTTTGATAGCCTCTGGTCTTCAGCGCATACGGGTCGCACGCGAATTATGCTTCGCCTGGGTGAGTTCGCATCTTCCTTTGAGTGATTGCCAGTCGTAGCGTCGATTGCCCGGTACTAGCAGCTTTTTTCCACAGCGACCACGTCCATGATTCAGCGTTGATCGACTATTGCGATGCCGGGCGGCTCTGGGATCCCGTTCTCTCGGCGTACTTTTATCACCTCGACCCTGCTACTTTCAAGTTGACGCATCTCCTTCAGTCCAAATCCAATGCCTCCACAGCATCAAACTTGACGTCCTTCTTTTACTATACTGGACTCTGGGGTGACGCGCAATATCCGGACAGCGACCCTCGTCAGAAAACCGTCCCGCACTTCGGTCTCAAGCGATTCGTCTCGGGGCCGCAGGGACCCATTGTGAAACAACTCGTGCGAAAGAAGCTGTCTCCCGATCATCTAGAAAAAAAACCTTGGATGCAGTGGGCGGTTGTCATCTTCATGTCCTTGTACCCATGCTGCCTGCGCGGATGGAGAGTTTGGGTCTCGGCAATCGTGGCCATTGCACTCGTGATATTGGCAGTGCTTGGCGTCAGGTATGGTGTCAAGTATGGCATGAGAAGATACGTGACGAGGAAAGGATACAGAAAACTAGACGCGGAGATTCCGCTCAACGATATGAATGGCAGCGGGGAGAGTTCCGGCTTGCATACGCCCTCATAACCAGACTGCTTGGTATTGATGCAGATTTGCCGCGAGCATCAAGCACCATTTGCAGTTTGCTGACGGCGCCGCAGTTCCAGGACTGGAAAGAAGACGAGGCTGTTGGGCTCCCCTAATTGATGAATGCTGTGCAATGAATGTCGAATACAGCATTGATACGTGTACAAACAGCGGACGCATCTTGGATAAGCAATACAGCAACCAACAAAATATGACATGAATTTTATTTGTACGGCATACTGCCATTGCGTACGACGTAGGGCATCTTATTACCTGTTCGGGCTCGTGCGTGGCGAGTCATTGTGGTGTTGTCACTGTTTTATAGTTTACTCGATGAACCGACTTCAGCCCCTGATATATCAGCCCCTCATTGAGCTCACTTGCAGCATCCCTCATGCATTGGCGCATCCGATGAAGAAATCTAGCCCGCCTTCGTAGCACACGCCCAAGTTCCCAACCTGCGTAACTCTCACTACGTATACGCTTCTGGTTCAACCAAAGCCCCATTTCCTCGACGGAATCTCGATCGCAGCGCGACCCCCCACGGCCGCGCCTCTTATGGTAATGCCAGTATATGGGACTCGCAACCTAAACGAGAGTTGAAAGGACCGACGCTTTACTCCGCCGCATTAATAATAGCGTTATCAATCAGTCGCGCGGGTGATATAATGGCAGTATGGGAGCCGAAGCGTACCTGCGACCTCAGCCTAATAAGGCAATGCTGACTAGAGCATTACCCGCGCGGGAATTATATAATAGCAGCGGTCTTTGCTTGAATCCGAGATCACGCCTTTGCTTGCGCGCGATAGGCGAATGGTAACTCCGTTGTCTCATTACAAACTTTGTGTCAGCAGGATAACGTTGCACTGCCACTTGCGACAGTTGAAAGCTGAGTTGTCGTGGGAGGACTTGTGGGTTGTGGAATGCTTCGGGTGCCGTTGGGGCCAAGTGCATGGTGATACGATAAAGTACCTACCAACAGATGAACGTAAAAGATGGAGACCAGCAAGATGTATATATTCCAATCTCGCCTCTCGAAGTCTGGATACCAGTCTCAACTTTATTCAAGCAACTCCCAAGAAAACATTTACTCTACTTCACTTCCTTCTCCCAGCAAAGCAACCTCATCACGTCAAAATGGCTCCTCCCGTTTCTGCTGACCAGTGGCTCGCTGCCGCCAAGTACCGCCGCACCGTTTACGGCCTCAAGAGCACCTCTGCCGTCTCCGACAAGCGTGTTGAGCAGATCCTCGGCGAAGTCCTCTCGTTTGCTCCCTCTTCCTACAACACTCAGCCTGTCCGAATCACCCTCGTCACTGGTGAAAAGCACAAGGGACTGTGGGATGCCATCATCAAAGAGGCCGAGCCCATCCTGAAGGGTGCCGGTGAGGAGGTCTGGAAGGCGATGAGCGGGATCTTTGCTGCCCACAAGGGAGCTTATGGCTCGGTACGTGCTTGAGACTGGTTCCCCTTTCGAGTTCATTTGCAAGATGCTAACGCGCTTTCGCTAGGTCGTCTTCTGGGAGAGCGGCAGCAGCATCAAGGAGGCTGGCGAGAAGCACGCCTCGGGTGCCCACATGTTCCCTCAGTTCGGTGACCACACCACCGGCATGGCTCAGATCCTCGTCTGGACCGCTCTCGAGCTGGAGGGTCTCGGTGCCAACCTGCAGCACTTGCAGGCCATCCCTCCTGTCGAGGCTGTCATCAAGAAGTATCTCGATGTGCCCAACGACTACTCGCTGAAGGCCCACCTGAACTATGGTGATGAGGCTCAGCCCCATCCCGAGACGGTCCCTGAGAAACTGCCTCTCAGCGAGACTCTGAAGGTTGTCAGCTGAGTTATAGATCCTGGAGACCCAAAGAAGAGTCTTTCGCTGTAGACGTGCTTATAGACTAGTCGTTCAAGCGTAAAGTAAACATGTTTCATGAAGGATATCGTCGTGCTACTTTTCGTCGTCGTGCTACTTTTCATTCTCGACAAATGAGACGTGACCCTTGTCATCATGTGAGACTGCAATAGTTTGCATCGACCGCCATTATTCGTATGATTTACAGAAATGGTGAAAACAGGTATGATGTGGACAAACATGACTAGGACGTTGGGAAGCTACAGTCCGTTTCACTTCGGCTCATACCTGCTAAGCAACCATAACCGAAAGTCTCTCAGTCTACCTATATCCCGCTCTCAATGACGTCTCTGACGACCTCGGCAGCCGCCTGCAAATGTTTTACAAACTGTTCCGACTTATTCTCTCCATTAATAACCGTAAATTGTACCCTATTACGCATTGGTTAGCACGCAGTTACAAAGTTTGCGCCTTGTATCTCTTACCTTTCATCAAAGACCTGCACACCGACCCAAACATCGGTCTTCAGAGGTTGACATCGTCCCATCTCTGGAAGCCCAAATTCCGTAAAACTGGTACAAACAGGACGCTCGCTTGTCCGCGTAAAAACGGTGTCATTATAGAACACGGGGAGTTCTTCTCCGGGCTCCAGCATCTCCCGGAGCGCCATGAGGTGCCATCTGAACCCTCTTCCGCGGCTTGACAGCGCCACAAGCCTTGCATGAGACTTGACTGCCTCCAGGAACAATCTTCTCTTCTCGAAAGCACTGACAGACGAGTCTTCGGCTGCCGCGCAAAATGCCTGGATTGGTGGTGTCATGACATAGATCATGTCTGTTCGACCGCCGCGGAACGGGCGTTGAGAAATCACGTCGACTGCGCCCAAGGGATTGTATCCGAAAAGCCGGCGGACGGCAACCTGAATCACCAACTGCATGACAGTCTTTGGTGGAAGCTTTTGCTGTCTCAGATAGGCGGCAGCGTATGAAGTATGCGTGAGGTTGGCGAGTGTGTAGCCGTTGTGGGCGATTTGATGTTGTGTTCGAAGAGTCGCGACTTGTTTCGATAGCGTTGACGGCAATGTGAAGGGGACATATTGAAAGTCGCCTTCGACAACCTTGCTTTCGGCAGACAACCTGCTAGAGGCTCCAGTTTGCTCCGCGGACGATGAGGCGAGAGCTTGGATCAAACCGCCGAATGTGGTCCCATCAACCATTGTGTGCTCACCCCAAATGGCAGACACGCCGTTGGCGCAAACCACAAACGAGAGCGTCTTATCGAGCCAGCGGTTGAAATTTTCGTCCAAGAGGAAAATATCCGCTCGGTCGCTTGCCGTTTCGGGAGCTGCATCCTCGAGGCAGACAATGAAGAGCGATTCTTCAATGGTTTTGACGAAATCGTGGCCACTAATGCTACCCGTCTTTATTTCGTCTCGGATCTGAGAGACAATGTCAGCTCGTGCGCCCCGGAGAGGTCGACGACAGAAAGCGAAGTAAACCGAAGATGCGGACTTACCCGTGCCCAATCGTCACGGTTCGCGGTGGTAAGTATGCTTGCCCAATTGATCCCTTCTGGAGTGTGCTGCGATATCTCCTCGAAAATGGAGGCGAGCTTGCCGTATGTTACCGCATGACCGCTGCAATTCATAGGGACCTTGTAAACGTGGCCACGCTTCATGACGACTATGTAATCGCTGTCTGGGAACCGATCGTAGCCATCGCAATCAAGGGCAGGCGTGCGATTGGAACTGAATAGCCAGTAGACCGTCGCCACTACGTTTTATAAGTAATCAGCTAACCTTGTCTGCAAAAGAGGGACTTTGAAGCTTCACGTACTGTCAAGCGCCTGCTCGTTGTAATAGTCTTGCTGGACTGTTCCTGTGTCCAGCGCCAGCTTGTATGCATGCGTAGCTAGAGAGAGGAGAGCTGCCTGTTCCGCTTGGGGTTTGCGAGCGGTATCTTGTCCCGGCAGAGTAGCGAAGAAGTTTCGGAGTCTCGGCCGCCAATCCCGCCCACGTAGCCACTTGTGCCTCACATACATATCGACGACTTCGTTGTTCTCACCATGCTCGCCTGAGAGCTTTGCGAGCCGGGTTTGCAGCTGTTGTCCCAGCCCACCGGTGCTCTGGAAAGCTTCAATAGCCTCGCGAGTCTGCTTCAACTCCGCCGCGTTTCCAATATGGCCTACTGAATCAAGGAAAATGTCCAGTGTTGACTCGAGAGACTGCAAGGGATATTTGGGGAGAGCAACCTCTCCATTGCCGCTGGCGCCATTCCTTTCACCGTTTGTATCGTTCCCATCACCTCTCGATGGTGGTGCCAGCTTGCTCTTCACCAAGTTTGATCCTTCAGTGACGAATGAAGCGAGGGATCGAAGGCTTGGTGCATCCAAAATGTCCGACGTCTGAACGGGCGCCTGCAGCTTGTTAGTGATCCAGTTCTTAATTTCAGTGGCGACCAGCGAGTCGAGTGCCATATTTGCAATCGACTGATCTAAGTCAAGCTCTTCGGCTTCCAGAACAGTGAGCGAGGCAATCTTTTCGCGAATTGCGATCAGCACGAGCTGCTCCGCCTCTTCGAGTGTGGATGCCAGAGCAATCCTTTCCTCTACAGTCTGTTCAATTTCGCGGTTTGCCTGTCGCGCACGCCCTCGCCCGTGAGCAGATAGGGTATGAGACACAAGAGGGGGGATTCTTCCACCCGGCGTCGTTTGGTCAATAAAGGCTTGGGGATCGAGGCCAAAGGCAATTTGGTGAATACCATCTCTAATTGCTTTCCCGCTCATCGCATAGTCAACAACAGGAAGCGCGGCCTCGATCGGAAGAAGCTGAACGCCCTGTCTCGCCAAGGAGTACGTGTGTTCCTGTGTGACGGTATAAGTGCTTCTTATCAGCGGCAAATCGATTGTCACAAAATTGCTGCGGCCTGCAGAAACTTGAGCGTGCGTAAACATGTCTTGGTACGTTCCTCCAGCGGCATAGTTAGACTGCCCAAGTGTGCCGACGATGCCGCAGAGAGATGAAAGGTTGATGAAGAAGTCAATGTTCTCATGGTAGAAAGCGTTGTACATGTTAATCGTTCCTTGATACTTGGGCAGCAGAGCAATTTCGAAATCCCGCTGTGTGATTTGAGATATCGTTCGATCCTGTCAAACACCATCAGCACCGCCATCATCACCTCCCGACTGTGGGCTTTAACTTACAGACAGCACCATACCACCATGTAGAACGCCTTTCACCGGCGGCATCTTCTGGCCGAGTTCGCTCGCCACTTTCTGGACCACGCTCGCATCCCCAACGTCGCAGGTCACAATCTTGACAACGGCGCCATCAACTCCAGTCAGCTCTTTCTCCATGCTCTCCTTAACCGCTGCGTCATAGCTTTGGCGCGTGAACAAGGCAATGTGGCGTGCGCCCTTTTCTTGGAGATGTATGCATAGATGCTTGCCCAAGCTTCCAAGCCCACCAACGATGATGTACGTTCCGTCGGATCGGAGTTGGAGGGGTCGGACTTTTGCTAGGACGGTAGACTCATCAGAAGCTTCCATGACAATTTTGCCAGTGTGCTTCCGACTCTGCATCAATCTGAATGCCTTTTCGATGTCACCAATTGGCAAGGCCGTCACAGACAGAGGACTGAAGTGTCCTGCCTCGAAATCATTGAATACCCTTTGCAGAAGCTTCTGGCATTCGACTGGCCGTTGGCGCGAGAGCCCTACCAGGTCCACGCTGACAAACTTCAGGTTCCTCTCAAAGGGCTTCATGTTGAGCTGACTGCGTCGGGAGATGTCTGTCTTGCCCACTTCCACAAACGTTCCAAATGCAGCGACACTCTCCCAGGAGGCATGAAGCATGGGCCCAGAGAGAGAGTTGAGTACCACATCTACTCCAACTCCTTTTGTAAGTCGCCTGATCCCTTCCGCAAATACTGTTGTGCGACTGCTAAATATGTGGCTTGCTGCGATGCCATACTGCTCGACAAGAATATCTCGTTTGGATGCACTTCCCACCGTCGCGAAAATGACTGCGCCGAGTCGCTGGGCGATCTTGATGGCCACTTGGCCCAACGCCCCTGCAGCAGAGTGTACCAGGATCGTCTGCCCTTGACGCAAATTGGCACAATTGAAAAGCGAATAGTATGCCGTTGCGAAAGTCAAAGGAATAGATGCAGCATCCGTCAAGGACAGCCTGTCAGGGATGCGATGAATCAAGTGTCCATTTGTCCTCGTTCGACTGGCGTAAGGCGTGCCAAACATGGCCGTGACGCGATCACCGACTTTGTATTGCGATTGGAAGTTGGACCCAACAGCCGTTACGATGCCAGCGCTTTCGCCAACCATGGGCTGAGCAGGCGGTAGCTGTCCGAGCGCAATAAAGACATCTGAGAAGTTGAGGCCCCAGGCGAAGGATTTGATCTCGATGTCATCGGGACTGAGAGCGCCAGCTTCATCGTCTACAAACACGAGGCTGTTCAAGAGGCCGGGCTTGTCGACCTTGAGCTTGAGGGGGCGCTCAGCTTGGTGGAATTTGACATGTTCAGCATCTGCATTATCTGCGGTCGTCGAAACGGCCCGAGCCAGCTTGTCGTCGGAGACAAAGCGTTGGATCTGCATCTGTCCATCTCTGTACATTAGTTCGAACTCATAAGGTTCGTGCCTTGCAATCTTTCTCTCGGTGGAAGAGATGAATGCTGCAATTGCTTGTAAAACCTTTGCTCCATGTTGATCGAGAGGATCTTGCACGTCCACGGTAAAGAAGTCAAGGCGAGGGTTCTCGTTTCGCGCGGATCGAGAGACTCCGGTGATGAGCGAGTTCTCAGGCACAATGCCCCCATTGCCGTTTGCGAAGCTGATCCAGTAGATTTTCTTTGCCCTGGATATTAGTGTTGTGGTGCGAGCAAATTGTTCGCTTGAAGCCTGCCTAAGAAGCGGCTGGCCTGAAGACTCGACTATGACGTAAGCGCAACAATCGTCGACCGTGGTGCTTGTCCACTGATCAAGAGACGCTTCGAACCCTTTAGCGACCAAATGAGCAGCCAGTTTCTCAGAGAATGCATGCGCCAGATCGCCCTGTGCGACCGAGTTCAATATCCTGAAAGCTGGCCGGCCATGTCCGTTCGCCATTGGCTCGGCTCCCACGGCGGTCGATATCAGCAGCGCACAATGTCTTTCAGGCTCGGGAAGGTCGTATGCTGCTAAGTCGACTCCAGAGAATCCAGCAGCCTGAAGATGCGCATCCCACTGCTCAGCAGACTGGAGCGGGCTCTCGGTTCGGCCCTCGTCAACGCCAGCCCACCAGCCGGGGATGCTGCCAAAAGTCATGTTGATGTACGGCGTTGTCCTCGTGAGTTCTACTAGTCCCAGCACGCCGCCAGGCTTCAGCAGCTTGCGGATCGTTTGCAGTGACTTGGCCAAGGACCGCGTGGCGTGTACGACATTTGCAGCGACGACTAGATCGTAAGAGTGCTCCTTGAAGCCCTGTTCGACCGCATCTTTCTCAAGATCTAGCGTCTGGAATGTCAACAGATGAGCCCAGTCCTTCAATCGAGTCGTGCGCACAGCCTCGAAGAACCCGGAAGAAATGTCCGTGTACATGTATTCGGAGCAAAAGCCGTCACCATTTGGGCTGCAGGACTGAAGAATCTTGAACGTCGTGCCTCCAGTGCCGGCGCCGATTTCAAGAATCCGTAGTCCTCTCCTCTGGAAGGTGAGCAGCTTGACATAGTCGGCCATGTATTGATTGGGCCGCGCACCCTCATCTGAATGGTAAACTCGAAAGAGGAGATCGTCCTTGAGAAAGTGAGTGAGAGGATCGGTTTGGCCAGTCAAGAGGAGGACCAGCTCAGGGCCAATCCTCGCGACGGCCTCTCCCTCAACTCCCAGCTTGGACGTGAGCTTGTCCAGCTCTTCTTTCGTCGCTGGGCTCTGCTGAATGAGCGACTTCCCGACCTCTGAGTTAGCAAAATTTTCAAGTAGCTCCCACCAGTTGGCCCGATGATCGTCTTTGACCGCAAGTCCGCCCTCCCGCATTTCCCGAACGGCCCAGTCGATATACCGGGCGCAGGCAATCGACATGAGGTTGACTTTCTCAGCCTGGGTTATGCCAACTTCGTCAGATTGCAAGGGGACAACAGCAGACTCGAGTTTCTCCGCTGTAATCGCCGATTCATCGAGACTCCATTCTATCGTAAAGATGTTTTTGTTGTCGATGACGTGCGAAGCCTGTGACTCCCCGACGACACGTATCTCCCCTCTGTCCATTGTGAGAACACATCGCTCTTCACCGTTCTCTTCTGTTTGGAAAACTGCGGTGCTAAAGCTCGTGGAGTGGGCAAACACGTCGCTCAAATCGCACACAACCTGAAGTTGGCTGCCAGGTTTGTTGGCGATAGCGGTTGAGACAAATACATCGCTGATGAGAATAGGCATGACTGAGCCTTTGGTGGAGTGCTGTTGGAACAACGGAAGACACGACTGGATGATGCCGTCGAGCGTTGTTGGATGTATAACGTGCGGCTGCATGAATTTACCAGGCATTTTCGCAAAGACATCTGGGACAACAAGTTTGTTCAAAGATTGATACGCTGACATCCGAGCTTCGTCGTTGATCGCAAAGGCCGGTCCATATTGGTTGCCTGTCGCTGCCATTTGCGCATACAGATCTTTGTGGGTTAGAACCGTGGTACAATGCTCGCCTACGCTCTTGAGACGAGAAGCTTGGGAGTCTTTTTTGTATTTCGCTTCACGATTCTGCTCAATCTCATCCAGATCAGCCTCGAAGGTAGCCGATATGGTTCCATTACAGTGGTCCTGCCATTTTCCCTGATCAGAGATCGAAGAGATAGTGAAGACCCAAGAATCGGTTGATTCAACATATTGGAATGACATGATGGCCTCAACAGCCTTATCATTCTTGGGAAGCGTCAGCGTCTTCTTGAAAGAGACATTCTTTAGCCTGTACCCCTTAGGCTTCAGATCTGGACGACGATCTTGATCCAGCTGCTCCAATGCTTGGATCGCCATTGTCAAGTATCCAGCTGCAGGAAACACAATGAAATTGTCGACGACATGGTCCTGCAGCCAGGGCAACCCCTCAGTGCTAAGCAAGATGCGCCAGCTGGGCTGACTGTCTGAGGATGCAGTTATACGAGAGCCCAGAAGATCGTGAGCGGGGTGTTTTCTGCATCTATATTCGCGACTCAACCGGGACTCTGTCCAGTGGGTGGTAGTATGATTCCAGTGGTATGCTGGGAGATCTCCTAGAACATTCGGGGACGGTGACGGCGAGATACCCAGCGAAGCCACCGCGCTGACGTCCATGTCTATTCCACTTCGGAAAAGATTCGCCCCTGCAACCATAAGTGACCTGACGCTATTCTCGCCACGTACCAACGTGGGAAGGTAGGCGTATGAAGCCTCTTCGACGTGAATAGCCGATAGTGTTTGCTTGACTGGTCCAGAAAGAGTGGAGTGCGGGCCGATCTCGATAATATTGAGTGCTGGTCGCCTCAAGTCGTGGTATAGGTTTTGCAGAGCGTCTGAAAACTGAACAGGCGACACTAGATTGTCGACCCAGTATGAAGCTCCAAACCCACTAAGCTTTCCTTGCCCAGTAACGCTGGAATAATAATGGATATCGGGATCTGCAGAGCCCGATTCGAGTCCTTCGAGAGAATGGAGGTAATCGGCGCTGACTAGCTTCATATGATGTGAGTGATAAGCGGTGTCGACCTTGAGGCGCCGGTTGAAGATCTCATCTGCATCGAGAATATCCTTCAAAGCTGAGATACCATCCGCATCACCAGAAATTGTTACACTCGACGGACTATTGACACATGCCACTGTGATACCTGGAGCCTCAAGTCTTGCGATATATGCCTCAGCGTCTGCACGCCCGAGCCCGACGGCCATCATGGCTCCGCGCTGCGTAGTCCGTTGCTTGGACTTTTCTGCGAGGAAACTTCTGTGGTATGAGGCAAGCATTGCGGACCTGTGTGAAACGGCACCAGCGGCATACGCTGCCGCTATCTCGCCACTGGAGTGCCCTACCACGGCAGCAGGCAGGATGTTCCAGCTCCTCATAAGCTCGACAAGAGCGATTTGGACAGCTGTGCTTGCAGGTTGGCCGTATGTACTATCATTTAGTCGGCTCGAAGTCTCGTCGCGAGACAATTCCTCGACCAGGCTCCACGGCGCGCCGAATTCCTTCATTAGCTGATCCGAAGCTGAGATGGATCGGGCGAACTCGTTGTGTTCGGCCGAAAGGAGGGTGTAGCCCATTCTCGCCCACTGCGCACCTTGTCCTGTGAAGACAAAGGCATTGGCAGTCTTATGTGGCACTTTGCTTCGGACCAAATCCCTTGCTGAAAGACCTTGGATAAGGGAGTTGACATCCTCGGCAACGACACTTGAGCGCCACTGAAATTGAGATCGTCGCCCAGTTAAAGTGTAAGAAATATCATCCAGGGAGATGTTACCTCGACGCTTTAGGTAAGCTACGAGGTCACTTGCAGCGTTCTGCAAAGAGAACTCTGATGTGGCGGACAGAGTGAAGAGACGCGGGACCTTCTTCTCAACCGGCTTGACGCCGTGGTGGTTCAGCCCATTGATGTAGTTGTTTCCGACTAGGTACAAAAACTAAGTGTGAGCAGACAGTTTACTATGAAAGGACAGTTCGCACATACCATTGTAGGTTCGTCCAAACTCCAGCAGTAACATGGCGTTTGTGCCTCCAAAGCCAAAGCTATTCACCACGGCTTTGCGGCTCGACGTCGTTGACGGCCAGGGCCTGAGCGATCGTGCAATCTATTTTGCAATCAGCAAAATGGTGAATACTTCACCGACTCGGCAAACAAAATCCATCTTACCTCCATACTCCAGTGACCAGGTTCCAGCCCAGGTTTAAAGTGCTCCAGCAGGATATTGGGCGGAATCATTCCCTTCTCCATCGCCATCACCGTCTTGATAAGGCCTGCAGTGCCGCTGGCGGCTTCAGAATGTCCAAGGTTGGGCTTGGTGGCGCCAACGAACACTGGATCTCGATTGTCGCGGCCTTGACAGAAGACATTTCGAATGGTATTGACCTCTACCTTGTCTCCAGCTTTAGTTCCTGTACCATGTGCCTCTACATAGTGCACATCGGTCGGGTTGAACGGAAGGTTCTGGAATAAGCTCTTTGCAAGCCGCTCCTGGGCAGCCTGGTTTGGAAGCATGATGCCGTTTGTGCGACCATCAGAGTTGATGCCTGAGTTTCGAATTACGGCTCGAATGGCATCGCCGTTACGCAGCGCGTCATCCAAGCGCTTCAGGACCACCATTCCTACACCTTCGCCACGGCCATAGCCGTTGCCGCGAGAGTCAAATGTGAACGATCTTCCGTGTTCATTGAAGAGTCTACATAATCTGTAAGCTTTTTGACAATGGAGGGAAGGAGAAAGCGGAAAGCGTACCCAGTCATTGACATGAGAGCCATCTGGTCAGGAGAGAAGATCAAGTTCACACCACCTGCAAGAGCCATGGATGTCTCTCCGGATCGCAGGCTTTGGCAGGCTAAACTGATGGCAGCCAGACTCCCCGAGCAAGCCGTATCGACCACAACTGAGGGCCCTTGAAGATCAAATATGTAAGATACTCTGTTTGCCAGCAATGGCCGCGCCACACCAAGGTTGTGGTATTTAGAGACCGACTCCGGGTCTTTGTGCGTTGCCTGTTCGAAATCATGACCAAACATTGCCACTTGGGAATAATTAGTTTTACTTTGACTCAATGATGTAATACCAGTCTTCGCCTACCAAATATGCCAGTGTCCGAGCCCTTGAGATGGTGCAATAGAATGCCGGCATTCTCAATTGCCTCCCACGAAGTCTCTAGCACAACTCGCTGCTGCGGATCTAACGTTTCCGCCTCTTGTTGTGCAATTCCAAAGAAACCGGCGTCGAAAGCAGAGATTTCTTGATTAATGAAGTGGCCCCCTCTTTGGTTGATGGTGCCTGGAACCTCAGGATCAGGATGATAGAAGGATTTGTGGTTGAACCTGTCCAAGGGAACTTCTGTCCAACCACTTCGACCCTCGGCAACGACATTCCATAGTTCTTCAGGACTGTTGGCTCCTGCGGGATATCGACAACCCATGCCTATGATGGCAATAGGAACTGGCTCTTGGAAGGACATCTTGGAAAGTTATGGAGTAAACTGGATGGTGCTTTAGGAGCATGACGAAAGAGAAACTCTTGCCCTCGCGGTCTGGGACAGATAGATATGTGAAAGCTGTGCTTTACTATCTTACTACTCTGTCACCCCACAAGCCGTCAGAGAGGCGGAAATGCGGTCCATGGAGCTCACTAAATCCTTGTTACCCCATAATGGTTAAAAAACGCACTCATGAAGCCACGTTATGGCAGTCGTTCTATGCAGTCAGCATTTAACACCGCCCTGATCTGTAGGCCTACTCACTGTCTGATGCTGATCCCTGCTATTTAGGACAGGGTTTACTAGAAGCAGGCATATAGATCTAGAGTTTCATTGGAGCGGATGCAATATTACCCTTCTCACCACTGTGGTACCGTAGCATGCTGACAATGAATAGGCATTAGGAAGGAGGAGCTCCTTGTAAAATCTGATCACACTTAGAGTAAAGTAGGTGAATAGAGGGCATCTTTAATAGCTTTATATCCTATAAGTATTATAAAGGTTAGCTCTGCATATCGCAAGGTATAGTAGTTATTTTAGTAATAATTAGCAGAGGTACTCTCTTTATATAGTAATATAAGCTAGTACTTAAAGAAGGGAAATAAGAAATACTTTAAGAAGCTTAGTAAGTATAAAATAAATAATTATAATTATATTACAGCTAAAGATATAATATCTTATAATTAGTATTATAATAAAAAGTAAAAAATAATATATTTATAATTTATATTTAAACTTTAATATATTAAAGTATTAAAACTTTTATAATAAGTCCTCTTATTTAAACTATAAAGAATCTCTATTTAAATTATAATAGTTTATATATATAAGAAAATTACTATACTTATATTTATATTCTTATAACTATATATCTATTTATAATATAAGCTAATAGTATATTTAATAGCTTATATAAAAACACTATATATAACTTTAATTTTTTACTCTTAATATTATAAATATTAATTATTATTATCTTTATTATAAATTTAAAAAGTATAATTATAATAGTAGTAAAAGAAAAAGCTAGTAATATTTATAGCAGTTAGTTTATAAAGAAATAAAGCTACTTTAATTCCTTATATTAATTATAATATCTTATGCCTTTTTATAAGGGTTAGGGTTAGGGTTAGGGTTAGGGTTAGGGTTAGGGTTAGGGTTAGGGTTAGGGTTAGGGTTAGGGTTAGGGTTAGGGTTAGGGTTAGGG